TAACATTTCGGATATCTGATTTGTGTGTCAGAACAAAATTTAATTTAATTGTAATTTAATTGTAATTTTAGTTTTGTATTTTTTTTTCTGCTTTTTGTTCTTTCTTCGTTGTGGCTGTGATCGTCACTCACCGGAACAAATTTAAAATCAAAGTAATTTTAATCTCACTGCATTTTAATGTGTTTTTAGTCAACAGTAATAGAGAGAAACATAACCCAAAATTTTTGTATACTGCAAAATATAAAACTAATCCTCGTTTAATATTAACCAGAGCTTAATATATACACTCTATATATATATATTCAGCTTGACGTCACAAACTTTAAAAGTTTAATTGGCGGTATCCCATTAGATGAGAATGGAGTAGATATATTCATAAGGCGCACACTCAACTAAGCTGGTCGTTTCCAGTTTTCTTTTCTCGTACCTCTGGTCTTTCTTTCATGCGTGCGGGGTTCGGAAGTTTGCGGAATTCGGAAGTGTATCTGTCAGTTTTGTTATATGAAACCGACCTTCGTATCAAATAACAGAGCCCATTGATTTATTGTTATTGTCGACGAACAAAAAATTGGCTAGATAGGAACTGCACTGATTTCAAAACAATAAACAGAAAAAAAGAAAAAAAAGAAAAAAAAGAGAACAAAACATTCTAGAACATTCATTTCATGTGATATTTTTGTGTACTAGATATTAAGTAAAGTTGTTCAACTGCGCATATGCATATAAACACAAGAGGGTTGTAAGTGGTGTTTTCTTATATCCCTTACCCAAAGCAAAGAATAAGAGCACACACACGTACACACACACACACACATACTCCATCTCGTAAACAAGGGATAAATGGGAGAGAGTAATTTTTCAATGGTGATATGATTTCAAAAATTAAAGTTTTGAAATCAACACAAAACAACAATAAGGTTTGATTATATATGACATCATCATTCAAAACGCAAAAAAAGAACAAAGAGAAAAAAAAAATCAGAACAAAGGAAAGGGGATTTGTTCTCCTTAGCGTATGTGAGGCATTCTCGATAAAAACTTCTCTACGGGTACGTTTTCCCTTTTCAATTATACACATGCTCAAATTGACGTAAACACCGCCACAAGTGGCTGTAGCTACATACACTTTTAGTGTAATGTTGTAAAAAAAAAAAACGTTTATTTTGGTGAAAATAAAGTTGTTTAGATCAAATTTGCATGAGTCAACCCCTTCCCCCCCCCCGTCACCCTCACCCCTGAATTACATCACTAAACTTTAAACAAAATAGGAGAAACAAAAAAGGGGATAGTTGACAATAGGATTAGCTGGATAAACTTTTGAGTGTCCTCTTTTTGAGGATACATTGATGTAAATGAGGAGAAATCAGTTTCAAGGAGACTGACTATTAATCGCTTTTAGTCTTTACAAATTCCGATTAACAACTGTGGCGGTGGCTGAAGAAATCAGTTGTGGCTAATACACGCATCTATCAAAACAAGGACTCTAAATTCACTAACTTCGCCACCCCTTTTGGTTCTAAAGCGACTTTAGTACTTGTACAACATCCAAACAACAACTTCATCGGCTAAGTTTCGGACGAAATTTACACTTTTTTAGGTCTGAAATAGAGTTTGTTTTTTTTGAAAAAAAAAAGAAAAAAGTATAAACTGTGTTCATGTCGTCATCTCAGGTACGTTTCATTCCAAGGGAGAGAGGGTCTGCTCTCTTCAAACATAACTCAGCCTCAACTGCTCACTGAGCACGTTGTCTTTCCACGTTGTCTTTCCACGTTGTTTTTCCACATTGTTTTTCCACGTTCTGTTTGTTGATTTTGCAACATAGTTTTCTTGAAACGTTTATGGCTTTGAAACTACCCTTTTTCTCCAATAAGAAATCAGATTTGATATCAAGGGTGGGTGGAGATGCACTATGTTCACGCACTCTCACTCATTATGATCTTGCAAAACAAAGCAAAGCAAGAATTGAGTACTAGCTAGAATCACATTTGCAATCTTTATGGCTCTGTAGTTTCTTGCAATACACAATCCTCTAATCCGAGTAAGCAGCAGCAGTTTTTAGTCTAGACTATCTGAACTCCGTTTAATTCTAGTACAGTCAAATTATATGCAGGGAAGTTTTTCTTTTTTTCTTCTTCTTCCTCTCTCAATTTAAGAAAAGGTACATATTTGTACACAAAGTTAGAGAAGAAAAAAATAAATTTATATGTATTGCGCCTAAACCATCAGAGTCTGTATCATTTCCTAATTTTATTAAGAGATTGTGCATATATATGCACAGTAGGAAGAAGATACTTCCACATTCAGTATGGTTTTTACTAACAATTGGTTGACATCTATTATATTTTCGGAATTCGGAATTCATTCTAGCTTAACTTTCTTTCTTTTCCAATTCCGTTGAGAACCACCAAATAAAGGAAAAAAAAAAACAAAAAAAAGACAAAAGGGGGAGAGATGAAGTTTAGAAGTTTCTAATAATACATTTTGAGAACCTTTTTCATTGAAAAAAGGGCATGTTTAAGAGAGAGGAAGAGGCCACAGTTATGCGGTGATGCTAAATTTGAGGCTAATGAATATATGTGGGCCATATAGAAGAGTGACCCCCTCCCTCCCTCCCTCCCCGCGCCCTCAAACCTTTCCACTGGCGTATTTTTTCGTTTCACAAGTAACTTCTACCGTAGGGGAAGGAAAAGGGAAGTTCTAGATTTAGTCCCAATTACTCAGCTATCTTTCTCCATGTAATGGACCCTTTAAGCCTACCTCAGGGTTGAATCAATTGTCTGTGTGCACAATGGACTGGAGAGGTTTTGTCTAAGACAAACTGTGAAATTTGTCTAAGTACACAAATATATTTTTGTTTTTTTGTTTTTTGTTTCTTTTTTCTTGCATGCATTGGATATGAATTTTTCCAGAGTCATAAATTTCACCAAAGAAATAAGAGAGTAGTACTTTATGCTACGCCATTCATTCTTTCACTCATGAATGAGTGTACTCTTGAATTAACTTCTACCATCCCTTTCCCACACCCTCGTCTATTTTTCTACTTTGATCCCTTTTAACCCTTCTTACCGTTACGCAAACTAAGGTCATGCCATATTGATTTTCTTCTTCTGTTTTCTTTAGATACTGTGCACATCCACAACTACAAGAGCTTGTGCTTTGTGTGATTTATCGGTGTGGTGCCTGTTTGTGCACACGTTGTTATTTGTTGTGTGTTTTGTGGTAAAAATCTCTACGGAATGACGACATCCCATTTCTTGCCTCGAGAGAATTATAATTAATGAGAATCTTCTTTGTTTATATTGTTTTGCCTGTTTTGAATATCATAATATTCAACAATTGTGTAAGGAGAAAGACGTACATGAATGATAAACCTTTTATGATACAAACTGAATTCCATTTCTAATTGCACGTGGTCAATGAAATCCGTTATTTGTTTCCTATTGCACTATAATCATACAACCAACTTTTCATATATACTCGGCCGGGAAGTGGTATTAGAAAACATCTGCGACAGTCGTCACTACTTGAGTCTCTTAGAGTGGCACTGTATCAAAATAGTAATACCAAACACGATATCACACGTCAAACAAAAAAAGAAAAAATGTTCTTGGAGTATATATTACCCGTCTTCCTTCTTTTGGGCGTCAACATGCAGATTTCACTCAATTCAATCAACATGAAAAAATAAAAAAATTTTCTTTCATGTTGATTGTTTGGTTGTTCTTTCGTCTCTCCGCTTCTCTTCAGTCAAAGTCACATTCGTGGCTTATTATGCATTCCCGGAACAAACCATTTCCCTAAAGGTGTAACATCTTTGTGGTGTTTTGTCTATCTTTATAGAAAAAAGATGAATGACGAAATTTTAAGAAAACGTCAGTCTTTGCGTATTGGTGAAATTTTGGAAATTATCAACAACTCGTGAACAAAAACTTACAAGCCGGATGACGAATAAAAAAAAAAAAAAAACTAAAACAATAGCCATCGCCACCTCTATCGTGTCTCAGATTGTGATTGTACAGATCCAAGACGTTGTAAAAACCTTATACTCTATTTTCCCAGCAGCACCTAATACATTGAAAACTTTAAATGAGATACTATTTGACGAAATCACGTTTAGAGTTTCGATTCCAAAAAGGTCTGGAGTCTCATGCACTCGAAGCTAAATTACACAGCATTCAATCTATTTTGTGATCGTATTTGATCCTACTTCGTTGAGGTCGATCGTTTAGTCTTTTTAGTCTTCTTTTGCTGTGGGTTTGCAATTACGAGCCAAAAATTTCTTTTTTCTCTTAATTGCACAAACCACAACTCTTTAAATAGACTAACAAGTTGGCGAGGGGGTAGTGGGGGGAGCAGAGAGACAGAAGATATAACACTAGCCCTGCTAAAGCTCTTATTTTTAAAAGAATTCAAAATTGATCAAAAGTTGGCAAATATCCGGGTTTCTCGTTTCCTTATATTCTCTCTCGTATATGTAGCCAAAGTAAACTGATGAATGTAATTCATATTTGATTAGTTCAAAAGTGGAGAACTCAAAACGCCTGGCTTTACAAATTTACGACGGAAAATAAAACCATGATGGGTCCAGAACCATGGCAATCTTCAAAATGGAAATGGCCTTGAACGTTTCTAAACCGAAGTATCTGCAAAGGACCCAAATAATTCTAGGTTAGTATTTTACCAATTGTTTTGCTTCAAAGTGGTTGTAAATTCCAAACCTTTTCGTTGACCATCAAGGTACCGAGCAAAAGCAGAGTTTTATATGGAAGTCATGGCGCACCTTCACGCCCACCAGTAACTACCTCTCTATCGATCTTTCCATACAGACTACACTTTCAACTATTCTAAAAATAGATATCTAGCTGATCATATGTTATCACGTGACCCCTTTCATTTTAAAGTATTGCGCTAAAAAAATAGGAAATGAAAATCAACAAATAAACAATATGAGAATGATGCTTGCACACACACACACACACACACAAATTTCCCCTCCCTCCATGATTGACATTGCACCAAGACACGGTGATCATCACTTTATAAACATCAAATATGGGTACATAGTACTTGGGGCATCTGCCGTGCTAGTTTTATATCTCCTACTTTTCAAATTCATCTATATTCAACAATGGAAGCGCAACGGAGTTCATAATAAAACATTAACGTATCTACAACACCCCCCAACGTGGTTTCTCATGTTGATTTGGAGTGTTGTGGCTGTTTTCCTATTACAACACAAGATCCACTCGATCTCCGCCGAGTACGTTACCATTGCCAAAAGGTCAGGTCGAATAGCCTATAGTTTAATCCCCTTCAATATTTTCCTAATTCTACGCTTCACAAATTCACCCAATCTAAACCCAGGTTACTATTTACAAAACTTGAACCTTCACAAATGGCTATCGAGGCTCATATTTGTGCTTTCGGCCCTACATGGGTTGAGCTTTGGTATCAAATGGATAGTTGAAGGATCAGGTTCCAAATTTCTCAACTTTTGGAATTTCTTGGGCATCGTTGTGCTAGTTCCCTTTGTTGCACTCATTGTGGTGTCTATTAGATACATGAGACGCAAGTCTTACCGCATGTTTTATATTGTCCATAACATAACGTCCTGGTCCATGGTATTTTTGATCACGTTACATGCCAGACCCGGTATCTGGCCAATTGCAACACTTGCAATCGTCTTGTTGGCATTCCAAATGTATTTGAGATTTGCTGCCTATAACGTCAATTCAACCAAAGTAATTGATGTACCATCTTCATCTTTGCAAATTGTTAAAATACCACTTCCCTTAAATTTCCCCGTTTGGTCACCGGCAAGTCACATTAGGATCAACTATTCATTTCTGGATATACGATGTTGGTTGATGGCTACTCATCCATTCACAATCGCCTGCATTTATGAAGATTCACCAACTTCGCTAGTATTGGTCAAGAAAAAGACTCTGTTGAACTTTGACCCACAAGTTTCTTATTTGGTGACAGGTCCATACTGCTCATTACCACAACCATTACTCAACACAGCTCAAGTAGTGAGTATTCTTTGTGGTGGGTCAGGACTCTCCTTTGGATTACCGATTCATCAGTACTTGAAAGCAACAAATCCATCTGTGGTTGTGAATTTGATTTGGTGTATTCTGAAAAGAGATGATTTGTTTATTTGCAACCACTTGGATCTATCCAAAGTGCAAGTTTACGTTACCGGCATTGGTAATCAAGAATCTGTTACTGAACAACCGACGCCCGATTTTGTAGTGGGGGGAGAAGAGGATGAAGTGGAGAACCATGGTCTACTAAAAGATAACATCGAGTTACAGCCTATAGTTCCCAATCCAGTTAATCCTGACAAAATCAACGAGGGGAAATCAAAAGATGATGTTGATGAGGATTCAGTAACCAATGGTGGACGCTATAGATTAGGGAGACCCAAATTGGATGAGATTTTCGCCATTAATAATCCAACATTCACATTCGACCCCAGTACTGCTTGGATCATCGCTTGCGGTCCAGATGGGTTGATAAATGATTCACGAAAATGGGCCACAGAGCACAGCTACCAATTCTTTAGTGAGAAATACGAGATGTAGAGCACTAGTTTGATGTGATTTATAGATTGTATTGCCAAAAAAAAAAGAATTAATCTTTTTTTTAAACCTCAAAATTACGATCCATCCCTACTTGTCCCCAAGACGTATATCACACACCAAGCTGGTCTTCCCCCCCTCCAAAGGATGTCTGTCAAAGTCGAGAAACCACAAGACCAACCACAACTACTAACGTCTCCACACCCACAATCTCAATTCACATACAAGAACTTGCGCGACTTGAATAACCCCAAGTACGCGTACCTACTGCCATTATCAGCCATTGCTCTAGTGGACTTGAATGCCTTCTTTGCCCAAGTTGAAACGATCCGTTTGGGTCTTACTGAGGACGTCCCAGTGGTGTGTCAACAATGGAAGGCCATCATTGCTGTAAGTTATGCAGCGCGTAAGTTTGGAATCAATCGAATGGACACGGTGGAATCGGCAAGGGCCAAATGCCCTGATTTGGTCTGTGCGCATGCTGGAGTTTACAAGAAGGGTGAAAAGCATTGGGCATATGAAGAGGGCCAACCGGACCCCATAAATCACAAAGTTAGTTTGGACAATTATCGACGTGAGAGTAGAAAGATTTTACGGATTATTCAAAGCAAATTTGACTTGGCGGAAAAGGCAAGTGTTGATGAAAGTTATGTTGATTTGGGAAGACCTATTTATGAAATGCTCTTGAGCAAGTTCCCGGAGTTGAAAAGTGGCAATTCAAATGCTAGTGACGATGAGATACTACCGAGTATTCCTAGCAGTCTTCCACGAGATATACAATGGCGTGGAACCGTTATTGAGTCAGAAAAGGAAACAGCGGACCCACAGAATGCCCTACCACCACAGATATCTGATTGGGATGACGTAGTACTCGCCATTGGCTCAGAGTTGTTGCTAGACCTACGGCAAGCAATCTATGATGAATTGGGATATACGACCTCGGCTGGTTTAGCTCGAAACAAACTAGTTGCGAAATTGGGTGGTGGGTTCAAAAAACCTGATGACCAAACCATTGTCAGAAACTGTGCATTGACCCGGTTCTTGAACAATTTTGAATTGACTGATTTTACTGGAATGGGAGGGAAATTGGGCGAACAATTGATTAACCGGTTTGAAGTACCACCAGATCGAAACTCAATTGCATTCATTCGAGAAAATTATGATCTCAATATGATCAAAGAAGAAATCAAAGAGGACCAGGAGTTGGCGTTAAAGTTGTACAGGATAGTTCGTGGACTCCATCCCTCTGAATTGACAAATAAAGTGGAGATCAAATCAATGATGTCAACAAAGAACTTCCTTGGATCTAGGGGCTGGTCGTTGGCTGATGCTTATGATTGGCTAACTGTGTTTTCGGGGGATTTGAGCAACAGATTAGCCGACTTGGATAACGAGTCAATGGAATTGTCAACGACAAAACTTTCAAACAAGGAAAAGGGGGTATTGCGACGACCAAAGACAATTACCATTGGAGTAAGATCAGCATCATTTGTAAGACAAACAAGACAAATGCCAATACTGTTTTACAAAGATATCGAGAGAATGAGAGAATCAATCAAGAATTGTGGGTTCCAATTACTTCGCGATTACTTGGAATTCAATTCAAATATAAGTATACTTAACAACGGAACTTCTGCTCGTGAGTTGTACACGAGGGATCCAAAACTGGTGAGAATCATGGATATGCATAATTTGTCACTAACGATTTCGAATTTCGTAGCATTGAATGATTCTGCATTGATCGAGTCATTTGCAAAAACGGGCAAGACACAAGCAAATAAAGAGTTGATGGAAATCAATGCCGTCTCCAAAAAGAGAAAAATTGAGAGTGACAACAAGATTTCACCGCCCGTGATTAAAAAACCACACAAGATTTCGTTGGAACAAAAGGAAAATATTTCAAAGTTGTTTCACGACTATGAACGAGGGAATATGGAAAACGAAAGCAAATCTACATTGAATCTGAAATCACGCAAAAGAGCAAGCCCGCCAAACCAACCAGTCAAAAGAGACATTTTCAAAACATTGCAGAAAAAATCAGCCAATTTGCTCGACAGTCTACTACAAGATATGTACTGTCCTCGTTGCAAGACTTCCATTGAGGATCCCGTCGAGCATAACGACTTTCACATTGCCATGGAGTTGTCAACGAAATGGAACAATTGAGGGGGGGGTACAGCTTACTACTTATTCAATACATATTTATTCAACCGCATCCCTTGTAACTCAGCCATCCATCCTCGACGCAAGGTTCATAATCCTTTCCTTGTCGCGTTTACGGTTTTCTTGCTCTCTAACAACAGACTCAGCAAATACATTATCAGACGGTAAATTGAGTTGCTTGATTTTTTGGTTTTTGCCATTCTTGGTCAACAAACCAAATGCCACGGTTCCGTGCTTTGTAGCGCCACCACCAGTGGATCTCTCTGAAAGTCGAAGCTGACTCGGAAGGGGGAGCGACTGTCTAAAAGAGGGCGCTTTAGTCAGTTGCGTTGCCAGGAGCTGCAGCTGCAACAGCAGCAGTAGTTGTTGCTGTTGTGATGATCCATACGACTCAATCATAATTTTTTGAAATTCTCGATCCAAATCCTCTTGGAATTTCTGCTCGGCTTCAATTCTGGCCCGTTCCGCCTCTGAAATATTATTTTCAGAAGAGGGAACCCTGGATAAATCCTCGTCATCATCATCATCTTCTTCTTCTTCTTCTTCTTCTTCCTCTGACTCGCCACTATCTTCATCGTCACTATCGCCATCGCCATCACTCTCCTCAGCATCGCTTTCGTCCTCATCATCCTCGTCGAAGTCTCCCTCTGCTTCACCGCCGTCATCATCATCATCATCATAATCATCATTGTCATCATCGTCAGCACCACTATCCTCGTCTGAGCTGACATTTGCAGAGATAGCTGTCTTATTCGCTTCAATTTCTGCCACTTCATCCTCCTCCTCCTCCTCCAACAACAAAGACTCTGCTTCCTTCCTTTTCTGCATTGCGCCGCCCAAGCTTGTAAGTACTTCTTGTATAGTGTCGTATCTTTTCACTGTAGCAATGCTCTTGTATTTCTTGAATAAATCATCCAATTTGAATCTGACATCCACAGGGAAAGGCGACTCTTTACAGTACATGTAGTACTGAAAGAATGTCATAAACACACCCAAAAGGTCCTTGTTGATATCATTTCTTTTCTTGATACTTGCAGCACGAGTTGGCGATTTCCTTTTGCCAACATCAGTATCCACAAATATGGATCTAAGCGATAATAACAACAAGCAACACATTTGAACTCTGAAGTAGTTATTTGGCAAGTCAATCTCAACATCCCAATTTTCGGGCAATGGTCGATTTTGAGGATGACCATAGCAAACGATTCGGTACAACATATCATTAATGAGCCTGAAATTGATCACCTTTGAGTTATATAGCTCTGACAAATACTTTACCTGCGCCATTCGAGTTCTATTCATCCTAAAGTCATTCAATTCCAAACCACGAATAATGTCTTCGAGTACAGTGTCAACAGAACAAACGACCAAAGATTCGTTCTTTTCTCCAAACGCCAGTAAAATTCTTGCAAGCGTAGGGATATTGTCGTAGTTTACCAAATGTGGCTTGGAGAAGCAATCGAGCATAGTTTTGTATTCAGCATTGCCAAGCTGACAAAATTTGGCCCTGAATCGCTTCACAACAAGAGACCTTGTACCTGGATTCAACTCCTCTCTAAATATTTTTTGTATAAAAATCTGTTTTGGAGATAGCTCCGGGCCCGTTCTAAATGTCTGTACTTTTGTGACTGGAGGCTCGACGGTGATTAACAAATTATTAATGGCCAACTTGTCATTTACATTCAAGTTTGACTGCTTCAGCTTTTCCCTTAGCAAATCAATCATTTCTCGCATCAACTCCTTGCTATCTGGATCGTGTAGCAAGAACCTTCCCACATGTTCATAGAATACAGTCAAGATTTCGATGTTATTTGTCGAGGTGATGTTCAACGTCAAACTGCGAATTTTGTGAAACACAACGTGCTTTGGTATCATTTTAAATTTGATTAGTTCGACGAAAAATAAAATGTTCTTCACGTTAAGCTTATTTCGATGGATTTGAGATCGGAACCCTTTATCCAAATATGTAATCAACTCCTCAATCAATTCGGATAAATTAAGCTCGTTGATTTTCAAAAATCGGGTGTAATACTTGAGATTATTCACTGTAGACGTCTCAATGAAAAATCGCATAATTCTGTTCTTTGTGGCTTTGTTGTTCAAGTTCAAATTATTGAACTCAACAACTAGCTGCTCCAAATTGTTGCCCCTAACATCTTTCAATCTGTCCAAGAACTCTTGAATCTTTTCTCCATCTTTATGGGACTGCGCGGATTTATGTTCCAAACTTTCCGGGTGGGCTTCCAATAACTCACCCAACAGCGGAATGACCATATAAAAGTTTTTTTCCTTAAGGTCCTCCCAAATGCCAGATTGATCGTCTTCAGCACTTGCAGTCAGCTTTACCACTTCAACAGAGGCGTCCTTCTCGTGTCCTTCCTCCACTTCATCGTTCAAGTCATCTGGCAAAGGCAAGTTGCACACGTGAGATAGAAAAGTTGCAACATTCTTAAATTGCTCAAACAACTTTATCTTTTCATCCAATTCAGATTGCTCCTCTTCCTGAATTCGCCCAGTTCTTATGGACGCCTTTTTGTTACGCACATCTAGTTTTTGCACCTGCTTTTTGACCTTCATCATGATGCCAAAGACAGCCTCCGTGTAAATGTAAAATATTTGCTTTAGCACACGCCTGGTATCCAGAGGCAATAGTTCACTGTCACTAAAGATGATATGACCAAATCTTTTCAAAAACGATTGCACTATACTCAAGCTCCTTCCCAGTTCTAGCTCAAAGTTTAGTAAATACTTCAACAACAAAGTCAATAATGGTTCGTTTCTCTTTTTATCTAACGAAAAGCCTTTAATCACTTTGGAGTCCAAAACATCCAAGAAGTCGGCACCCGTATGCAAAGCACCTACGATATAAAACTCTCCCATCAAACGCATAAAATTCTTTTGTCGGGATAAACGAGATGAGTCTTCCTTTTCTGCCACTTCTGCTTGCGATGGGTTCGTCAAAAGAACCAATATTTCATTCAACAAATGACCGGTAAACTGTTTGCCAAACCTCTGGTGTAATGCAGATACAACCTCCACTGCTGCATTGATTTCATCATTTTTGGAAACCTTGCATAATCCCTCCACAAGTGATACAATAACTTCTGACAAATACTTCTCTATCGAAACGGAGCTGATGTCCTTCAACACATTAGAGTATTGTTCCTGGTTTAGTCCAGTTTTGACCTTTTTGATGAATGTTGAATTTTTCTTCAATGATGAATCCAACTTGGTTGCAAGAGGAAATTCATATTCTCCTGCCCAGGATTTTGAGTTTAGCTCCAATAATTCTTTCCGTCGCTCATCAAATTCAGTTGTCATTAGTTACGTTAATGGTTATTGCATGTGATATAACTTAGCGTTGTAGTATGAATAAGATCACAGTTGAGTTGGTTGTAATTTAGAAGATTACTATAATTTTTTTTTTTTTTCTTTTCGTTTGATAATATCCGAGTTTCATAAATCGCAGCGAATGGAAAGGCCGCTTGGGCGAAAGATTACAAGTTGGTATTACGAGATGAAAGCACTCTTACCACTACATAGACCAATTATGGACTCTATATACAAGCTTTGGTTCCGATGTGGTGTTAAAGATTTATCGGGTCCATACTCCTGGCCTTCTCATAAACACGTCCTTCACCAAGACCGTACATCTTTCTGATTTCAGGCACACTTCTGTCGTATGTTTGTCTCCAGACGTGAGCTCCAACAGCGGTCAATCCATGGTTAGCAGCAAATTCCCTAATGTCGAAATTTTCACTAGATTCGGCCAAATCACCAAGTTCTTTTGTTTGCCTGAAAACCCACAAACATGCTCTTTGAGCTGGGGCATTCTTCTCTGGTGCTAATGGGACATACTCTTTGAAAGTGATCTTTGGGCCCACTGTCAACAATTTCGATATATTTATCGAATTATCGACATTATTGAGCACAACATTTTTCAAACCGTAATGTAAGGTAGTTGTAAACGAGTTTGTTCTCAAATCAGGCGTATCTGGATTCACTAATAAGACGGTGTACAAGTTGTTATTACCTTCGACTCGGTCAAACTCTTGAACATGTATTGTTGGAGGTTTCGAGACAGCGAAAGCTGGCAACAATGCACCAGGAGTCACCCATTTGCTAAACTGCTCATCTGTATTGTGCGTAAATTTGATTTTCACGTCCGCCTTTGGTACTAGCGTGGGAAGAGTATCGGGAATAACATGTAGCTGTTCTAATCTTTGCATGGTCACTAGCAAGTCATAATTCTCCCATTTTTCCTTCAACAAATGTCTGTATACTGGTTGTGACTTGTCCAAATGTTCGGGGTCCATAAATTCGGCATTGTATAAAACTTCGGGGTTTTCAATCTCAGCATCTACCAAATACTTGTCGATCTGGTTCCTGAGAGCCAATGCATCTTTATCTGATGTCGTATTTGCAAGAGATTTCTTCAAACGATGCACAACTTGATACTTCGATTCAGCGTCTCTCTCCAAAATCTTGTACGCCATTTGGAAAGTTTCATCTATAGCAACAGGAGAGTGGTATGCTGATCTATCCTCTTGGTTGATCAATGACGCGGGGCCCTCTTCCGGATTTCCTTCCCCAAACAAGGTCTCCTTGATATGTTCATTGTTTAGCTGCAATGATGCAGCTCTTTCGGAAAAGTTGGTCCAGACTCCATTGACTTTAGTGCTCTGACGTCTTCTTAGAAGTAGAAAAGTACTTCTCAAGCTTGTCCCTGTGCTCTTCATGATGTGGGTAGTAATATCTTGCACTTCTGCAATTGTACTGATTCGAGATTTTTCAAAAATTTTTTTATTTTTTTTCTCTCTCTCATTTGTCTGGCGCTGAGAACCAAACGAAGAAGACGTAGGGGAACATGGTGATAAAAAAAAAAATAAAAAAACACTCTTCAGAGTACTACAAACGCAACCGCGTCAACATCACAACTGTCCATCAATCAAATTACATATAAAGAATAAACATTATTTAGAACTAAATGGGTCCGATAACGAATCGTGGTGCAGTTGAACCAAATCTTTTCCCTGAGTCAACTCGATGACTTTCCTTTGCAAAACCATGACATAGTCCTTCAACTGGACATTTTCGTTATTTAAGTTTTCAATCTTTACTTTCAACTCATCGATCTCTTGTACCTTCTTCTCCAAATCTTGAACATACTTCCCTCTTCTTTGCCTGAAAGCCCTTTGGGCATTTCTATTTTGCTCTGCTCGTTTGGTGAATGAGGATATCTGCTTTGGATTGTATTTCAGATTATTAGATTCTCTCGATAGCTCCGGGTCCGTTGTGGCGCCATCAATACTGGAAGAAGTCTCAATGATTGGTGACTTTTCATTCACAGAGATTGATTCCAGTGACCTAAAAGCTAAAGTGTTTTGGTGTTGTTGCTGCTGTTGCTGCTGCTGGTGGTGGTGTTGATGAAGATCCTCGTTCTTTGTCTGCCAATTAGCGTAATTCATGTCGATACTGGTCAGGGCTGTGATTATATTTTGGCTGCAAAGTGAAGTCGTGGGTGATTTGAATGCTGACAAAACGATTACTTAATTGCTGAAAGTGACGAGATTGATGAAAACCACAACAAGGCGAATAAGGTCGTGCAAAGTGTGTCAATTTGGTGCATAAAAGTTCACCTTTGCTACAGCAATGCCAGCTCCAACGTCCTGAATAGGACTGAATAGGACAACAACAGAGCACATGACTAGTACACCTTCACGAGAAGTAAAGAAGTTGAGTGTCGAATTTGTGGTTTATCAAGAGCTTTAGGCAATACGCATGCAGCTTGAATACTTTTTTCCATATGCTACGAATTATCCCCATTCCGATATGGAAACATATGTCCCCAAGTTTATCTCTCCCTAACTACTTGAAAGCACTGTCTACCTTTACCAATCTGCTTTAGACAAATTATGATGTGCCAGGTGAACCACAAGATATGCATCTGAGATCATATGATCTTTTGAAAACCAAATTACTGCCTATCAATCTCATGAAATGTGCGTTATCCTGCATATAGCGTCTCTCAAATGTACTATTTTGTCCAATAATTGTTATGGTAAATGATTTTACCATACTGTACACTGATGATGCTACCAATATCTTCTCTCTTTTCTTACATTTTTTTCTATTTTGAGAGCTGGAAAAAAAAAATTGTTACCAATAGAATGGACAGAAACACTACAAGCTCACAACGCCCATTTGATTGCAACAGTGAATTGATCGTTAACACTAGCCAATAGAGAATACAGTTTGCGGAACCCATTCATTCAAACTTCAACAATAATTCGGTAGTTTTACATTCGCCTCAAACACCAACGATACTGCAAAATCATCTCGTAGTCCTAGTTCCATTATCACTATTTATTCCAGCATGATATCTTCAACCATTCGTTCAGCATTAAGATCAAGATTGGCAGTCCAGACTCCAAGAATCTCAAACGCCATGAGATTGGCTCCAATTGCCAGACCAACTTTCCAACAAAGCGTCAGATCGTACTCCTCTGATCACCAAGATGAAACTTTTGAAGAATTTACAGCTAGGTATGTATTACAGAGAGACGCACTCTCTTACTATAACCGTTACTAACATTTTATCTTAGATACGAAAAGGAATTTGAAGACGCTTACGATTTGTTCGAAGTTCAAAGAATTTTAAACAATGTATTTTCTTACGATTTGGTTCCAGCCCCAGTTGTTATTGAAAAAGCATTGCAAGCATGCAGACGAGTAAACGACTACCCAACTGCCGTCAGAACTTTCGAAGCGTTGAAACACAAGGTGGAAACTCCAGAACAATACGCTGCTTACTTGGAAGAGTTGAAGGACATCAGAAAGGAATTGGGTATCGATTTGAAAGAAGACTTGTATGGAAATGAAGCCTAGGAGGGTGGGGTCTACATCTGCTCCAACTGTGTGTCAGGCCAAAAAATAACTGTAACTTTTACTTCCGTACTATTATAATGCAAGCATATAACTAAGGAAAAGGGAATCAATTTGTATAGGTATTTGCAAAGATTCAATGCCGACAATAAGTGCAAAAGAAGACACCTCCGTCGAAACTCTGCCATTAAACTCTGTCAGTTAGCTTTCAACTTGCTTTTGACTTCTTCTATTTGCTTCCAGTGCATGATCTGACACGCTACCAAACTAGTAGAAATTTCAGCAGCCTCTCATTGTATACACGAAGGCTAACCTTAGCAAAGAATTAAACGCCACCCCACACTACTCCTACGAAACATAGCTATGGGAGTCTACATACCGCCCCCTAATGACGATAACAACGACCGAGGTGAATCCAAGGGCAAAGCCAACAACAAAAAGAACGTGACTAGCAACCCTACCAATCCCCTCTCAACTTCATCATCCTCCGCCTCAGAGGCGACTACTATTGTAATACCCAACCCCAAGTCGCTCATACCGCATAACCCCAGTGTTGGCTTGATATGGGGTCCATTCACCCCGTCTCCAGATAATCGTCCAGCACTTTGCGCAATGATTGGTTTACAATTTGTCTTGGGTGTCGGATGTTTTAAATTTGCCAGAAATCAACTTAGACATCGACTTGTGGCAGTGCCAAACGGCCCCCCACGATCCGTGAGAAGTGGCTCCATATTCAAGCTGGTCGTCTTTGCTGCAGTTGGCTCAACCGTGATATTTGGAAGTGGGTTGGAAATTTCTCGAATGTTGTTGCCGTATGATCCATGGTATGAGGAAGCACAACACTACAGGAAAGTTGCCATTAAGAATGGCGATAAGCCAAGCTTGTGGTTTGGGGCTTACAGATACTACCAGCCAATGTCGCTCAAGAAATGGACAGAACTATTGCACAATTGGTTTGAAAATGTTAGTCAAGAATTGGAAGAGCCCGAAGGATTCCGTAATTTGTCAATTGAGCTAGGAGAAAAGAATAACGTATTAAACACCGGAAACCGTGGCACCGGGTCAGGTCTTTTGGAGCAGTTAAACACCAGAGGCAAGTACAACGAGATACATGCAAAGTTGAAGGACAATAACGACCAGCGATTTGAGCACATGTTGAACAATGAATTGAAAGACGTTAACGAGCTAAACAAAGCCGAGAGACTTGACTTGATATTGGAAGGGAAAAGCAACTTGGTAAATGACAACTTTGCCAAGCCAAGTATAACATTGGGGACGCATACGATTGATGATGATGACGAGTTTGAAATGGTTTGGCTCAATTTTGAGCCCTGGGACGAACTCAAGTTGGAAACTGATTACGATATAAGGCTAATACCAAGGTACGCATTGCCCAAAGAAGAAGAAGAAGAAGAAGAAGAAGAAGTCAATGCCGTGAAAGGTCACCAAAACAGCCAGACGTCAAGTCATGAAAACTTATAGCATTCCGAATTATATATATTCTATATACAGCTTTTCTTGCTTCTTTCTTCAAGACCTCTCTCTGATCAAGTCGTCTGCCCATTTCAACGCATCTCTATCAGCTTCATTCAATGCTGGCTTGTTGTATTTTTCCAAGTGCTCTCTCCACTGAATTTCCGCTGGATCTTGATCAGGCTCCACCCACTCGAAGCCATCACCTCCGGTCATCCAATAAGCTTGAAATTTCAATTTCTCTAAATCATCCTTGAGCTGCATCAATCTAATTTTGTGACCCTCACGATCGTACCCCGGATTCAAAGTATCTACATTACTGCGGATCTCCGGTGCAGGTCGACAAATCTCCTCAGTGATAGCTGGATTGGACTCTCCATTGTTCAAGCTCCTATCAGCCTCAACGATCTTGGAGTTGAACAACATTTCATCTGCATGCTTGAACCAATGCGAATAGAATGACCCTCGCTGCCACGTTAAGTAGTCACCTCCCGAGCTAATGAGTTGTCGGCCAAACTTAACAATAGCAACAAAAAAGCTTGAGTTTATGATGTATGTCAACAAAATCGAATTGATTGCTCCTAAATGGTCCCATGACGGAGGCAAGATCCCAGCATCAATCATAGATGTAACACCAAATTTGGTAAAAATGGTTATTGCCGCCGCGGTTGATATAAGTTTGACGATACCGCTTTTGAGAATGTTACCTTGGTGCGCGATATAATTTGGGTGACCAACAGTAACGTCAGATATCTTTATAGCTCTTTGAAAGTCGGCATTATACAATGCGTTTCGAAGCGGAATAAGTGCAACCAGTCTATCTATAATAGTTTGTGGGTCCGGATTAAGCTTGTAGTATTCATTGATGAGTTTGAGATTCAATGTTGAGGGTAAGTTTAAAAGCAAAAGTTGCTTCAACAACTGAGGTGAAAAATCGACCGTCTTGTTTGCAAATACTTCGTCTATTAAATTCTTGGACTGCTGTGATAAAATGGAATTTGATTCTAGTTGATCCTGTAGTGGATATGCAGGTTGGAGGTTTTTGATGGAAGAAATTGCTTCAACAATCTCTTTGTTGGTGGGATTACTCGGGAGCGATGCTTTCACTTTTCTGTGTAGCGTGTCATAGTCATTGATATACTCGTACGAAGTTCGTGACGAAAGGAACCGGGTAGAAAAAAAGTGATTCACTCGCGATCTTAGCCCAACCTGTCCACATCTGAGCATCTTTGATTTGTACTGCTCCTGGCTCTGTTGATGAAGGTTTGATGATCTATAAAAAAAAAAAAAATTTAAAATAACCTTTAATAATGCACACGGAAAATGTATTTGGGTATCTATAAAATGATTGAACTAAAGTAAAACAAACAGAGTAAAAATGGGCTTGCTGCCAAATAAGATCCACCATTTCCAGACTGACTACTCACGGAGCCTGAATTTGTGGACGAGCCTTGACTATCACTCGACGCAGTTGACCTCATAACTCTTGTTGTAACAAATGAAAGACTCTTGGTGGTATCGTCGACGGCTGTGCTATCGTTTGAGCTGTCAGTAGCACCAGTTGCCGCAGTGGCTGCAGTGGCTGCAGTGTCTGCTGCTGCTGCACCTGCTGGGGTTGTAGTTGTTCCTGTGGTAGCTGTTGTAGGAGTGGTCGCGGCTGCACCGGCTGGAGTTGTGGTGGCTTTCGTGGTCCCTGTTGTACCTGTAGTACCTGTAGTAGCCGCGGCCCCTGCTGGAGTTGTAGCTGCCCCTGTGGTGTCTGTCTCTGTTGCAGGCGTGGTGGCGGCTGCACCGGCTGGAGTTGTGGCTGTTCCCGTGGTAGCTGTTCCGGTTTTCGCGGTGCCGGTAGTTACTCCTGTTGTTGCAGCACCAGTAGTTGCAGTATCAGTAGCAGCGCCTGCAGCAGCAGCAGCAGGGGTTGTGGTTGCTGCCTTGGTTGCTGCTGTATCAGTACCAGTACCAGTAGTGGCGGTATTGGCGGTTGTAGCTCCAGTAGTGGCTGTATTAGCGGCTGCAGCGACAGCTCCAGGTGCGGTAGTTGCAGCTGTAGTAGCCGTATTAGCAGTGGCAGTATTAGCGGTAGCGGTGTTGGCAGTGGCAGTATTAGCAGCTGCGGTATCAGCTACTGCTGCTGCAACTGCATCGGCTGCTAAGCAATAACTGCAAAAAAGAGTCAATATGGCAACTTTCTTCATGGTATGTAAACGAATGTGTATGAATGCTGGGGAAGGGTCCAGGCGGATCGAGAAAGGGGCTGAATGGGTACTATAAATCAAGCCAAACTTTTGTTTACTTTGAGAAAATCAGGCAAACAGGGAAAGTGAAATTAAAAATTAAAATCAAAATCAAAATCAAAAAAAAAAGAAAAAAAAAGAAAAAAAAAAAAGAAAAAGGAAACATAGCTCCTAAGAAAAAATTGGAATATGACACAAACTCGTATTTAAGGGGGCTCATATACCAATCTAAGATATTATAAACCTTGAAGTTCTTAACCACTCCATATGATACAACAAAAAATGTCATGACATAATTGCATTGACTCACCATTTGCAACTCTTTCCCATCTGTCGAAGAGCCGGTTGTACTCGCATCCTCAAGCATGTCACGTTTCTGCGCGACAGTGTAAATCAACACGTCCTGAATAACACAGCCGCTTACACCAAATAGATTACGCCTTCTTCTTCTTTTTCCTCTGTCTGCAATCAGGACAGTACCATATATCATCTGGCCCGGGAGCGGCGGTAATCCCCACACAGCTCCAATGAAACCATTCATACTTACAATCATCATTATCACACCCAATCATCTCACCAAAAGATACTCTTTGACAAAAACAATAAAGCTTGTTGTCTGCATCTTCTCCCTGGGGACCATCCATGTTCGTTGGTATATCAGCTGTAGACCCACTTAGCGCCAATGATCCAGCATCATAGCCAAGTGTGTCTTCCACTTCTTCTGAACGCAATCTTTTGGTTGCCCTGTTTGCTGTAGCTGCGGGTGTAGATCCCACAGAAACAACTCCTTTGTTGGCAGCTTTCCGCTTTTGTCCCTTCTTCACTGGCTCCGCTGCCGGAGTCACTGACAATGCGTTTCGTGGGGTTGGAGTTGCCGACAACGTATCCGAAAGGCCGTTCAAAGCATTCAAGTATTCGTCCTTTCTAGTTTTCTGTACATCTACTGGAGCATCGAGCGGGGGCAAGAGCTCATCTCGTTCTAGTTTGGTGATGTCTGTTTCAAAATTGAAAAGGTGCTTCGAGACTAAAAATAACGCAGTGTTTGCAAGTAGTATCTTTTCTTTCTGAATCTTTTTAAGCTGCTTCACATCCTCCTCTATCTTGTTATACAACAGCTGCTCCTTGGGGTGCTTTGCGAGTGTGCCATTAGCTCTTATGAATTTGTGGATCTGGTTGTCTTTCGCTTGACATTGCTTTCGAAGTTCAGCTGCGTGAATATCCTTATTCTTGATTTCTTCAAGTAAATGTCGTATTTCCAACGGTAAGTTGGAGAGATCTTGCGTGTATTTATCAAGTACCGATGATGTATCCATGATGAAGATCAATTCCAAAGTTGATAAGTGTTTGTCATCAACGGTTGAATTTTTTTTTATATATTTTTTTTATTTTATTTTTTATTTTATTTTTTTTTTTGGCTTGTTTTTCGTTCCGTTGTTTGGATTCTGGATCATTCTGTCTACCTTACGAAATGTCGGAAAACGAACTTGTCAAGAACCTCAACAACTTGAAGTTGACTGATACTGGGATAGACGTGGCGAATGGCGATAAGTACGATGAGGAGCAGAAAAAGCAGTTGCGGATAAATCTACAGGACACCAAAGATAATAACTTTCAAACTCTTTCGCAGCAGTTGGTAGACAATCCAACCCAAGTATTGCTATTCTTGCAACTTTTGAATGACAAGTCAGGAACAATATTAGTCAAATTGATAAAGCATGGTAACGAATCTTACAAGTCAGTCGTTATGAGCATCTTATCTGCTATTCGTGGTATATTGATAAAGTCATCCAGGCTCAAAACTTACTATTTAAAGGTGTACATTTCAGTCATTACTCAATTCAAAATCACAAATGCTCAGCACTTGAATTTGTTGTTGACCTTTATCGGAGGTAACAAAGAGATCAACAATGCTGTTCTTGTCATATTGGTTCAAGATTTGGATTTGAGTAAACAGGAAACTGTTGATATAGTGAAGGAGTATTTACAATTGCAGCTGGATGAGCAAACATTGAACGATGCTGACTTGCAAAACTTTATGGTGACTCTTGAAGTCTGTTTCCCAATTCTCCCGCAGATTTGCTCAACCATTTATGCAAATGCATCCACTAAGCAGCACATTCAGAATGCATTTTCAAACCAAGGCGAACGTAATGTGTCAATGGTACCTGTATTGAAATGTATTGCAGCATCTTCAGTTTTGGACAATTGTCGTTCATTCACAATTCGACACTACTACTCGCAATTGCTGAATTTATTGCTGTCCTCGCAGGTTCGCATACGAATTTTATCTGCGTTGAGTGTGGCCAAACTATGGACGTTTCTACAAGCAGAGCAGAAATCAAAATTGAAGGTTACAAACCTCGCCAAAGACTTACTTCTTTACGTAACTGAGGGTGATGACTTTGAATATATCGAGTATTCTTTAGAAGGTCTTGTATACTTGAGTTTGTTTTGGCAGGTTCGAGATATGATCAGGATGGATGTATCTTTTGTTGAAAAATTGATTGAAATCTTGCACACTTGCTCAACTAAGGAATCTATTAATACGTCGGTACAGTTCGGCATTTTGTCTCTTTTATCCAACATCACGGAACTTAAGCAGCCTGACTCACAAAGTACAGCTAAAAAGTTAAAAAACGTATCAGCACCACAGATGGGCTCCAACAGCAACGAAGAAAATCAAGACAACGTCAAACTTTTCAATAAACAGTTGGTTGAGCAATATGAGATTATTTCCAAATTGAGTGCCATCAAAACCTACCAATCATCGAGTAAGAATAACTTTAACCAGATATTAAGCATAATTTTTAACTTGTCGACGGACCAGGCAAAGAGCGTGCGTGTAGCTCTTGTCAAACAGGGTGCTTTGGTGCTTATCATGAATTTCTTGGTGAGCAACAGTACCATTGAAAAGACAGGACATAGAGTCGTTGCCGTGCCATCCAATATAGGTGGAGGAGAAACCCTTGATCAAAGATTCAAAGCCTTGAGGAGCTTGGCGCGGTTGTTGATATGTGTTGATCCCCAAACCTCATTTCAAAAATATGATGTCAAGTCCGCAGTTCCTTTCCTTGTTGAGCTACTTGGTCCTGTCGCTTCTGACCCTTTCAATACAAAACAATCATACTTGCACGAAGTGACTTTATTGGATGGTTATGAGTCGTTGCTAGCTTTGACCAATATCGCCGCCACGGAAAACTCGGAGACAAGAAAATTACTTGTATCGCAAATTGCTCCCTACATCGATGAACTAATTGTTCTGAAAGACCATATCCAAATAGCCTCATTTGAGCTTTTGAATAATTTGATCAGTGAACCGATTTTATTGGCTAAATTTTTCAACATTGAACAACTTGCAAATAAACAGAGGTTGGAGATCGTTGTGAAGTTGTTGGACTCGGACAATTTGAGACTACAGGCTGTGATTGCGGGGTTTTTGGTCAATGCCACAAATTTTGATGTCATTGCAGATGTTCTCGTTGAATCCAAACCATTCTTTAACAAATTGTTGGAAACAATCATCAGTATAATTAGAGAGCAAGTGTCACAAGATGACTTGATCAACCCAATATCGTTCTTATTGGTGAATTTGGTATACGCATTAGCCAACAAAGACGAATCACAACTCACGAGCCTCAAATCGGATGAGCTAAAGTCCGCATGTCTTTTGGTTTTGAAGAACGGGTCTTCCGAGAGTAAAGAGGCAGTGGCCAGTGTATGGAGTTTAGTTGATTTCTAAATACTCGTTTAATGCTAATCACTCAACCATGATTCAAAAGTTTATAAGTCTTTGTGCCAAAGTCCCCGTATCATGTTCGACACTGGATATCGATTGTCGGATTGTTTGTGATGCTTTGTCACTCTCCAATTGGACTTTGATAGCCTTATGTAAACTCGTGAGATATTCTGCAAAACCTATTCCATTTGTAGCCTTCATAGCGCCTCCAAATGCATCTTCTCGCAATAGCTCTTTGAAAGTAAACTCAGATCCATCAATGCCCTTGCGAACAATTTGAATTGACAAAGAATCAACACCAACAATGTGCTTGTTGAAGAACTGTACTAATTTACGGGCTTGCTGGGAGATTTCTGATGGTAAATCGGGCAACTCATCAATGAAAGCATCAATCTCATCAACGCTTTCGTACTGATCACCAAACACGTCTTTTATCAACATGATATTTGCTTCGGGATCAATCCAAACGTATACCCTAATGCCGTCGCATAGGATATACACTCCCCTATCCAAACTCTTCATCGTCAAGTCCTTATACTGGGGGACAAGGGTGAATCCTGTTGCTTCGTCTATAATTCCCTCTTCTGGAGTCAACGTGTGTAGCTCAGTCAATGCGGGATACAAATGATACATCAATCTCTCCAATGGCATATTCAACATATTGAACAAATCAACCAATCTTGCGTCTGCGGATAATCCGGTGGATGCGTTGATCGCATGTGTCTTCAAAAAACTCAAAATATAAATTGGCAAATGCTTTAACGAGTCTGGAAATAGTAAATTATTATTCATTACCTTGGCACGGTTGTGGCCGTATTCAGTCATTGCTCGATACTGGGAGAAAACGTCAACCAATCTCGTATTGAGAGACTCTCGCAAGGAGGCCAAAGTTTGCTGACCAACGAAATTGAGGGAGTCTCTTACCAAGGTAGCAACTATGGCATTTTCATCAGCAAAATGAAACACATCTTCCAACTTGTTAGTCACTGCCAAAACCAAATTAATGACTCGAACTTTCCGTTGGCCATAGATGTCAGTATAAAGCAATGCAGCTTGAAAATGGCAGTCCAACTTCCGGCTCAATGTCCCATCATACTGAAGCAATACAGTAAACGTATGGTCCTTATTCAATACTGGAACCACGGGATCTTGCACGGACCCCAAAATACTAGCATCCCTTACAGACGAAGAAGTCCCGTAGTAATCTATAACTTGCAACCCATTGGAACAACGCAATTTCAATTGTCCTTGATATCCAGTTGTCTTTGCAACTGAGTTTTTGAACTTTGCAATAAACAAACGGCCGTCTCTCTCGTAATGTAGGTTTGGCCAACGTGTCAACTCTCCTCCAGTTGCTGAAACCAAGAAACCAATATTGGAGAGATCAACTGACGTATGAGATGCGATGTGAAGATCCAAGCCAACACTCTTTTCAACAAACTCTTTGGTCAAGTTTTTATAATACTCGTTGTCGGGTAAAAATATTTTCCTTTCCACCTCTGGCGCCGGAGTTCTACCGACTGCTTTGTTGTCCTTATATTTCAATCCTCCAGGACCCCAAGAAGGAAGGTTCGACAAAACAGAGACGATTTTACCCCCACCGTGCATTTCCAAGCATAACGCTGCAGTCTTACAAGCAACAGCAAAGCACGGCTCCAGATCAAATACTCGGGTCTCAGAGTTGCATAATTGCTCAAGATAGTTCAATGCATCCTCTATGACAAGTCGGCTCTCTTGGGGATCGGCAAACAAACCTTCGTCAAATGGAACAAAAGGATCATCGAGGTCGGACGAAATTGATATTTGTGTTCTTTCGAGATTTGCAGACAAGTTGAAAAAGTGTAATTTTTTGTCAAAAGCCATAATGGCTATTTTGTAAGGAGCTGTATTTTCAGCTGTGCCATCATTGTAATCATATAACGTGGCTCTTATGGACTCACTAACCAAGACTGGTAGGTTCTGTTTGATGCTATTTTCCGTGATATCAACCATAAACACGATATGAAATTGATCCGGATCTTTCTTGCTGCCTCCAAAGTTGTACTCCTTTGGAACACGCATATCGTACACACTCTTGTGCAATTCTGGACGTACGAACTTGTCAATTCTAAAGCCTCTAGCGTCAAGTGCCGAGGCATATTCAGGGGGCACTTCATTGTTGGCAAATTGGCAAATATTACAAATAAACCTTTGGTTATGAGTAAATTGCATTGATGCATTTACATAAGCCCGGCATCTGTGACATCTCAAGGGACCTTTACTCAATGGGTCATCATCGGTCGATGTAGCCTCAGGATTGATATCATTTTGAAAATCAACCGTCGGTACAGGCTCCTCGGTCTCCAAGAGTGGAGCAAATGGTCTGATTGTGACTGCAACGGGTAACTTTGTTGCCAGTCTCAATTTTTCTGACTCCGGGACATAATACATCGTGGAGCGCATATACTTGGACGATGCGGTACCCTGGTCTGTGAAATGGAATTGCACTCCTGCATCCGGTGGAACCGTTTCAGAAAATGTGAGAAAAGACTTGTAGTTTCCGTCCTCGTTGGGTGTATCATATTCCTTTTGTTGTAAGTATCTATGTGCTTGTAATGACGGCACAGATTGTTGAACATTAGGTGACTCGTAACTCATCGAGATGGGTTGAGATTGAGACGGAACATGTCCGGCTGCAGCTTGCAAATCGGGCACATCATCTAAACGTGGGGCCTGAAAAAAGTTTGGTGTGGTTGTGGGTACTGATGTAGGGGCTGCCGTTGGTGCTGCTGTTGTCACTGGAGAATTAAAGTTTGTGTGAAATGCTCTTCTTGATCTCTTTTTGTTTGACTGAGGGTGTTGCTGGCTATTAAGGTCTAGTGCTTGTAAGTTCGGCGACAAGTCATTGCCATTACCCAAAGACATTGTCAAATTGAAATAATTATTGTCGCTGTGCAACGATATCTTTCTCCTTGTCTTCTGCTGTGCACGCTGATTGTAAACCGGTGGGAAAGACCTGTTTTTTTGCTTTCTGGAAAATTATCCGAATAAACTAAATGAAAATTGAAAGCTGCACGTGAAACGGAGATACAACAGCGAAACTACAAAAGATATGACCGACAAGAAAAATTTGAAGAGAGGAGAGAAAATAACCAAGAAAATTTTACCAATACAGTTTGTGCCTTACATCACATGTGATATACTGAGGTGTGACTATGTGCCAAAGTAGAAGTCTCACATCATATTACATAGACTTGTATAGCTAAGTCGTCTATACCATAATTGTAGTACCCCCAACCTTTCGATTGTACTTCTTATAACATCCTATGTTTTGCAGACGGGGGAAAGAAAGAAAACAAAATAAAAAAAAAACAAAATAAAATAAAATAAAAAGAAAAAGAAAAAAGTGAAAGCCAAATTTGATTATTTTCTTGAACAAAGAAAAGCAGAGCCAAGCGTATTTTTTTTGCACATCCAAAATTATACAGAGAAGTATAAAAGACAAGGCCTTTACTCATCCTTTTTTTGCAAATGTTTCTGCTATGTCGTTTGAAAGTTATACACCCCCTTTGGATCCAGCGATGGGGAATAATTCACTCGCATATCTACTGCACAGCAATATACCCATCAACTGTTCGGTTTACTCATTGACCAACGGCACCATAAAACTACTTGACCATTATAATCAATCATGGAACAATGCAACTGACCTTCACGAAATGCTACCAGCATACTTCATCACCAACTGCTCTATTCCGCGTCTTATTGAGTTAGTTTCGGAGTACGAGAACATGACCTCACAATACAGTCTACAAGATGGTTTTTCATACAAATTCAGCACAAGTCCATATAATGAACGAGATAACGGTGATACTTTTATTGCCCTCCTTTTCACGCTATGTGGTTCGTGTGTGTCCAGTTGGATGTTAAGTTTGTTGTTGTATTTGACTCAGAAACATAGGAAAAAGCCATGGTTGGCTCAAGTCACGACAATCTTTTATGCCATATTTACCAGTGTGTTACTTGACAGACTAACTAAAGCAGCTGAAGTTGAATATTATGACGATAACTTGGACATTATTAATTTAAATTATAAGCTTTACGACAACAATGTTTATCGTATATTGACGATTTTGACGCAGGCGTTCACTATGCTGTCTTGGTTCCAAATTATTCAACGACTAGTACGAGTAAAGTACAAGTTTGCTACTTTAATTATCAACTTCATAATTATGGGAGCGTATATTGCCGTTTACGTATACTTTCAAGTCCAGTTCACCACGCGAGATTACATAAATCAGGAGTTTGAAAATTTCTCATTATATTATCGTTGGGATATTGCATGTACTGCTTTGAGGCTAGTGGTGATTTTTTGGTTTCTTGGTGTGCTTGCATATTACACAACCATTGTTAAGAATCCACGGAAAATATGCTATTCAAGGAAGTTGCTACCTTTGGCCATCTTGGTTTGGTTTTTCTTTGTCTTGAACATTGTCTTGAACATTCTTTACATATCACTATTCAGAAAGCGGTGGTTGGTAAGAACATGGTTGGTTCTTATTCCATGCTTGATAGACGTCATTTTGTTGACAATTATTTGGGAATGGATTTACAATATTTGGATTCTTGAGAAGAGATGTGAACTTATGAATGTTCTTGGAAGGAGAATAAGTTATGAAGATATTGTTAGTTTCAAAAATAACGACTCAGCCAGGAAAGCTATCAATCTAGGCAATTTTGTGGATTGGATAATCAGCAAGTTCACAGGTCAAACGACAATCAACCATGTGGAGGAGAGGTCGGATGATAGCTTAAAGGAGTATTTCACACTGACAAATTCTGAAGGTTCAGAAGAAAGGGCTATGATGTCTCGCACGCAGGATCGTGACTCAAATCAGGGGGAAACCCACCCAATACCAAACTATCACGAAACCTCCATCCCACTACACCATGTCAGGCACAATTCAAGTGGTGGTGCACGAATAACACAAGCTGATGGGATTGACCCCAGTCCTATTTCAGGTCACGAAAGCGAGCGCAACAGCCAAATTTTCACAGGCAATAATGACAATTTTGATGACGAGTACGTGAACGACTATGAAATGTGGAGCGATGACGATGGAGGGCTTAGTATGAACGGCAGTGGTGGCCACAGAAACGTTGGCATGAGCTGACCTAGCTTATTTGTCAAGATATAATAAAATCATTTCACAAGCTCTAGAAGCTAGGGAATTAGTTCATTTCATTTCATTTCATACGGTATATATTTTATTAAATAGGAACATTATAGATTTTGTATAAACTACATCACTTGTAGCTAGTACAATGTGAACTCTTGTTTTTGCATCAGAATGGTACCAAAAATTAAAAGAATTGTTGTCGGTGAGGTGGAGATTGCACTCTCTACAAAACTGAATTATAACCATTTAATACTTCATTCACAGCAACCTATGAATGATGTACTTGTACTAGTCATGACTAATTACGCTAAATTGTACACGTGACTTGCTTACGTTGTACTCCATCCCTAGTAACTTGTAGTAATGCAATTAAATCCCCACATCTAGGACTCATCGAGGGTCATCCAGTATGGGTCAACCTCGTCTCCGCCTCAACAGAAGGTGGTCCTCCAAATAAGAACCGTGATTCTTAATGCTATTCTGTATACATCTTTGCGTATGTTCCAGAAATTTCTTTGTGTTCTATGAAATTCCATCAAAAATACAGACTAACAAAAAACAGAAGAAAAATATGTTCCGCCAGTATTTTTTCTTTTGTGCCACCCCTAAACTTATCATTCATCTCCGGTATCCACTGCATAAAATTTACAATTGCTATATATATGTTCAATAGCATTTGTCAACTCAGGAATTCCAAGTTTTTCTTAAGAACTATACACTTACTACTATCCAGTCGTTTATATGGAAAATGTTGACATCAAGATTAGCCAGAAATAGAATACTGAGAACGATTCCAAGCATCCGCTTGAGCAAGACGTATTTACCCGTTACTACGAAATGTTTGTCACAACCACAATACAAGCGTCCATTCACTCCGCATGCACAGCAGGTGCTGGCACCGCCTTTCGTATCGATCCATCACAATGTAGGTCACACTTCGCAAATCAGAGGTTTCCATTCATCCGCTCCTAGATCATTGCAGATGCAGCAAAACCCGGATGACCAGGACAATAGACCGGCATTGGAAAAGTATGGTACCGATCTTACTCAACTAGCAAAAGACGGTAAATTGGACCCTGTCCTTGGACGTGATGAAGAAATTCGCCGTACGATACAGATTCTATCACGAAGGACCAAGAATAATCCAATATTGGTTGGTAAGGCAGGTGTTGGTAAAACGGCAATAATGGAGGGATTAGCTCAACGAATCATCAAAGGCGAAGTCCCAGAATCAATGAAGGACAAACATATCATTACTTTGGATTTGGCCGGGATAATAAGTGGCGCTAAATTCAGAGGTGACTTTGAAAGCAAGTTGAAATCAATTTTGAAAGAAGTTGAGGACAAACATGGCCAAGTTATTCTATTCATCGACGAATTTCATTTGTTGATGGGATTGGGTAAAGCTGAAGGATCCATTGATGCTAGCAATATGATCAAGCCTGCTCTAGCTAGGGGCCAATTATCAATGTGTGGTGCTACTACTCTTGACGAGTACAGAAAGTATGTGGAAAAAGATGCTGCTTTGGCTAGAAGATTCTCACCGGTTCAGGTTAGTGAACCTACCGTTGAAGACACGATATCCATCCTTAGGGGCTTGAAGGAAAAATACGAAGTTCATCACGGTGTTAGAATCTTGGACTCGGCATTGGTGACAGCTGCCACTTATTCCAACAGGTACATAACTGACAGGTTTTTGCCCGATAAAGCAATAGACTTGGTGGATGAGGCAAGTTCTACGTTGAGGTTGCAGCACGAGTCAAGACCAGACGCTATAGCCAAATTGGATCGACAGATCATGACTATTGAAATTGAGTTGGAATCCTTGAGAAAGGAGGAAGATCAGCTCTCTAAAGATAGAAGAGTCAAGCTAGAAGAGGATTTGGAGGTGAAGAAGAAGGACCTTGATGAGTTGACGAAACAATGGGAGTCTGAGAAAAAAGTCATTGATGACGTGAAGGAAGCTAAAGCAAAGTTGGAGGAAGCTCGTCACGAGTTAGATCTGAGCCAAAGAGACGGAGACTATGCCACTGCTTCGAAGATACAGTACGCTGTCATTCCTGAATTGCAATCAAAGTTACTCAAGTTGACTCAGTCAGAACAAGCTTCGAGATCTAGTACTCTTTTGCATGATTCGGTAACGTCAGATGATATTGCTGGAGTCATTTCCAAAATGACGGGTATTCCAGTCAGCAATTTGTTAAAAGGTGACAAAGACAAGCTTTTGGATATGGAGGTTATTTTGAAACAAGAAGTTGTGGGTCAAGACGAAGCTATTCACGCTGTTTCAGATGCAGTTAGGTTGCAAAGAGCAGGGTTGACGAATGAAAACAGACCGATTGCTTCATTCATGTTCCTTGGTCCAACTGGTTGTGGTAAGACTGCTTTAACGAAAGCATTGGCAGAGTTTTTATTCAATGATGAAAATGCCATTGTCAGATTTGATATGTCAGAGTTCCAAGAAAAGCATTCAATCCTGAGGTTGCTTTCTGCTCCACCCGGCTATGTTGGTTATGAAGAAGGTGGTGAATTGACGGAAGCAGTTCGAAGAAAACCATACAGCATAGTCTTGTTTGATGAATTTGAAAAAGCACATCCAGATATTGCAAAAGTGTTGTTGCAAGTGTTGGATGAAGGTTCTTTGACAGATTCCCATGGTACAAAGGTCAGTTTCAAAAACACAATCATCATAATGACCTCAAACATTGGTCAAGATATTTTGTTGAATGACAAAAACACGCACGATGATGGACATATCAATAAAGAAGTCAAACAACAGGTATTGGACAATTTGAAGCAATACTATCCACCTGAATTCTTGAATCGTTTGGACGACACCTTGGTATTCAACAGATTGTCAAAGAAGTCGTTGAAAGATATTTTGGATATCAGATTGCGTGAGATTGATGACCGTTTATTGGACAAACGTATTGTTTTGGAATTGACCCAGGAAGCTAAAGACGCATTGATTGAACAAGGATACAGTCCAGTATATGGTGCAAGACCTTTGAATAGAGTTATTCAAAAGAAGTTGTTGAATCCGCTTGCTATGCTTATGTTGAAGGGACAGATCCAAGAGGGAGAGATTGCAAAGGTTGAGGTGAAGAACAAGGATGTTTATGTTGTACCAAACCACAGCGAAGACTCGGTGATAAAAGAGGAAGAGGATTATTATAAGAAGAAAGAGAAGGAAGAATAAGTGTGTAGAAAAAAGATATAGGATAAAATGAATGGATTTCAGACACCATGTTGATTGAAGTGTTTTGTCAAAGTTTCCTAACAGGGAAGAATATGACTAGGCTACAGCTCTGTTAAGTACCGCTCAACAAGGGTTGGGTCCTCTCACTCTACTCGGCGCGGCGGAGTAGACGCGAACCAAACTATGACATCAAAAGTTACACAAAGCTACTTTTATTGTATACGGAATTTCACCTTGAAGCAAGTTCAACGGAAAATTTTCTCCACCTGTCCCTAAATATATATTAGGGAAAGACTATCCGATCTCAATTGTCGTTCAATCGCAGTCTTCTCACTTCACACTGCAAACTCGACTTTAAAATGGTTAACTACAAGAATTGGATTGGAGAAATCAACGACGACACAAGAGTCTCAAAATTGTCAATTCCAGGTACGCACAACTCGGCTGCTTGTCACACGGCTTTGCCCTCGGTGCAATGCCAGGGTGCTAGTGTAACTGAGCAATTGGAACATGGGGTTAGATTTCTTGACATTAGAGTCGGTAGGTTGTTTGTTGGCGACAACAAGAACGATTTGCAAGTTATTCATGGCAAATTCCCCGTCAAGATTCCATTTCCTTTGAAGTTGACTGATGTTTTGGATGAGGTTTACAAGTTTCTTGAGCATAACAGAAGCGAAACGGTTATTGTGTCCCTTAAGCAAGAAGGTTCCGATGACTGGAATAACCAAGCAGACGAGTTTGGTAAATTGATTTGGAACGACTACATCAATCCCAACAAGGATAGATGGCATTTGAACACAGATATTCCTAGAGTTGGTGACGCTCGTGGTAAAGCTTTATTGTTTAGAAGATTCGGTGTTCAGGATGAGAATTTGAGAAACCAATTCGGTTTTGGGGCATCTTCGTGGTCGTATAACACCACTGATGATGACCGTGGGTCTTTTGTAGTGCAAGATTTCTGTGAAGTCAAATCTGCCGACGACTTGCCAAAAAAGATTCAATACGTTAAAGACTTGGCTAAGAAAGCTCAGGACTATACAAACAGTCACGATGATAAATTGTTTGTCAATTTCACTTCTGGTTCAAACTTTTTTGACACCGAATGTTGGCCACAACCTGTTTCGGAGGCCATGCTCAAGGGTAATATTCAAGAAACTTTCCACAAGGGTGTGGGAATCATTGTCTTGGATTATGCCGAGGCTGAGAACTGGAAATTGGTCAGAGAATTGGTCGACACAAACTTTCAATAGGTAGCAATTAGTGTAAAGTGATTTTCTCTTAAAAATGCAGTGTAGTTCGTTATACCTCTTGGAACAGTCGCGGATTTCTTAATTTTATATCTCGCAAAAATTCCAGCGGATCGGCTTTTTGTAGATTGTTTATACTGTGTTCAATGTTTCACCGTGTAACGGCAACGAGGGTTCTTTTGCGACGTCCTTTCGTTATCACATCCATTCGCCTACGGTCTAAGAAGCCGGACTACTTGTCATCCATCAATGATGAGAAATTGCGTGAAATAATTGAAGGAACCAATCTCGGTCAGGAATCGAAACGAAAGAAGATTGAAGAGGAACGAAAGAAATTGGAAAAGGATAGGGAGGCGTCACGGAAATTGAAGGAAAAACAAGACGAAGAAAATGAAAAGAGTAAGCAAGAAGAACGAAATGCAGAGCTTGTCAAAGTCAACAAGAGGCACGATGCAGATTTCAGTACCACGGACTCTGGCAAGCTTCGAGGAGTTGATGAAGAAGTGCATGAAAAGACCGTAAAAAGTGAAGAGACCAACAGAGAGGAAAACCTTCGAGTTGAGAACAAAATCATTGCTAGCACCGAGGATGCCGTTGACGAATCCGACATACCAAATTTGGCGAAGGAAATAAATGAAACCATTCAAGCAGAAATCGGAGATTTACCATCTCAAAAAGCAAAGAGACAAAGTCCGCTTACAAAGAAAATATCAACCTATTTGAACTCAGCACATGATACGATACTCACGGTTACCAGAGCATTAAATGATGTCACCGGTTACTCTGCGATTGAGCGATTGAAAAAATCCATTGAGGAACAAGAAGAGGATTTAAAGAAAGCCAAAGAGGAGGTCAAGAAACGCAAACATGAGTATGGTGAAGCTATCCAGAGACGATCCCACTCGCAGCGGGAAGTCAACGAACTCTTGACAAGAAAACATAATTGGTCGCTGCAGGATTTGGAGAGATTCACTGAGTTGTATCGCAACGATCACCAAAATGAAAACGAAGAACAAAACTGCGAAAAGAAATTGGAGGAGGCTGAACTGAAAGTTGATGGTATCCAGCTCAAGTTGACGCAACTGATATTGACCAGATACCATGAAGAGCAAATTTGGTCTGACAAGATCCGAAGGTCGTCTACTTGGGGCACTTGGGTATTGATGGGACTAAATGTTTTGTTGTTTATTGTTGCCACGTTCCTTGTTGAGCCGTGGAAAAGAGATAAATTGGTGAGAGGTTTTGAGGATAAGGTTAAAAATGTGTTGGTTGGGATTAGCCAACAAAATGAAGAAATATTGGAGCCAATAATAGAACAGTTGGAGCAAGAAGATGGTGATGTTACAAAGCAAATCGACGAACAATCGAAATTGCGTGAGCCAATTGGGTTCGATTCACTGAAAAGTTATTACTGGCAACTTCTCAAGACAAAGTGGTTGAGCTTGAGAGATGCTTGTGTACGCAACTATTGGGCCATAACGTCACCTCAAACGAAATCATTACTGCTAGACAAATTTGAGTTTGGAGTATACACGATGGTAGTTGGTGTTGTTGGGTGTTGTATAGGATCAATTGTCACTTTGTTTGTAAATAGATGATTAAGTAGACCTCGTCAATAAAAAGTATCACTAGGGAAAGTATGAGTACTTCCATTCTTTATGTCCAATGGAAACACTATTGGAGTATACTTGTAAGCCCAAACCAATCAATACGACGCTGACACGACAAAGTGTCAAAAAAAAGAAAAAATAAAAAAAAATAAAATAAAATAAACAGTGTCTCTCATTATCATAGTCGCACTAGAATTTTCTTCAACACAATTCTATATTTGCCACTACGTTTTGCATTAATTCGGTTCAACACACTTTCAAACAACACCGTTATCACCACTACGATCACCATCACCCCACCACCACCACCGCCGCCGCAAATGACGAGTGTAGACGCAAGCAGTGACATATTCTTACGCCACAAGGCATTGTTGAAAGAGTTAAACTTGATAAAGATACAAGAGGAGTATATCAAAGATGAGCAGCGCCATTTGAAACGAGAATTGATTCGGGCACAAGAAGAAGTAAAGAGAATTAAATCGGTACCTTTGGTGATTGGCCAATTCTTGGAACCGATTGATGAAAATACCGGTATTGTTTCGTCAACAACTGGGTCGAACTATGTCGTGCGTATTTTATCCACCTTGGACCGTGAATTGTTGAAGCCATCATCGTCGGTTGCATTACACCGTCACTCCAACGCATTGGTTGATATTTTACCTCCTGAAGCGGACTCCTCAATTTCCATTGTTGGAGATAATGAAAAGCCTGATGTCACATATGCCGATATTGGTGGTCTAGATATGCAAAAACAAGAAATTGTCGAGTCGGTGGAGTTGCCATTGGAACAATCACATTTGTACAGCCAAATTGGTATAGATCCACCACGAGGTGTATTGTTGTATGGACCACCAGGAACCGGTAAGACCATGTTGGTTAAAGCTGTTGCTAATGCCACGAAAGCCTCATTCATTAGAATCAATGGTTCTGAGTTTGTGCAAAAGTATCTTGGTGAAGGTCCAAGAATGGTTAGGGATGTGTTTAGATTGGCCAGAGAAAACTCACCGGCAATTATTTTCATTGATGAAATTGATGCTATTGCCACGAAAAGATTTGATGCCCAAACTGGTGCTGATCGTGAGGTGCAGAGAATCTTATTGGAGTTGTTGAACCAAATGGATGGGTTTGATCAAACGTCAAATGTGAAAGTTATTATGGCAACTAATAGAGCTGACACTTTGGACCCTGCGTTGTTGAGACCAGGTAGATTGGATAGAAAGATTGAATTTCCAAACTTGAAGGACAGGAGGGAAAGGAGATTAATCTTCACCACCATTGCATCAAAAATGTCTTTGGCTCCAGAGGTTGATTTGGACTCGCTTATAATGAGAAACGATCCTTTATCAGGTGCTGTAATCGCCGCCATTATGCAGGAAGCTGGTTTAAGAGCTGTTAGAAAGAATAGATATATGATCTTACAAAGTGATTTGGAGGAGGCATATAGTTCACAAGTGAAGACGGGAACTGAGCATGACAAATTTGATTTCTATAAATAAATCTATGTACAATACATACACCTTGTGGAATACTTTTATTAAGTTGATTTATATTATCAACTGATAGACTCCCAAACCTAAATGAAAGTTGTTCAAGTCCAAATGATCCAAATCAATGTGATACGTGTAGTTGTAAATGGGTCTGAATTTAGTAGCATCAAATTTTTGAAACGAAGCAATTGGAGTTATCAAATATACAGGTTCTTGTTTTCGTTGCATTGATGCTTCCACCTGTTTTATGTCTATGCCCATCGCATCAACTAAAGTGAAGTCTTTGTTACCTGCATCTAGTTCATCAAGAGCTATAGTCTGTGCCGATTGGCTTCCCAATATCCAAGATGGTGGAGAGTAAGTATGCCACCAAATGTGTGTGCCTTTGAGGTTGTTCTCTCGCACATAGTTCAAAACAGGCACTACTCCACCTTGATGGAACACTCCCATCAATATGGACATGAGCAAATTGAACACATACCATACGTAAATCAAGTAAGGCGAGACCCATTTCTGGGTCAAATCAAAACAACAACAACAAAGGGGCAAAATTGGAATAAGAAATCGGAGTTCTTGATGTGGGATTAATGAAAGAAACAAGAGCCCACTCGCTGCTGATAAAAATGGAGTAGTTTTCCAGTATCTTTTCGAGATCAAGAATAACAAACCGGGACCAAGAATCTGCGGCAAATTGACAACGAAATGTGTGTACAAGGGATGCAAACCGTGTGATTTCAAGTTTTCCACATTTGAATTGTAAAGCAAGTTGTTCATGGGAGTTATCACGTACTCTTTGGAATCATACATCCAAGTGTCAAATAACACAAATGCAAGGGACGGTACAAGAAAGCCCAATGCTAATGGCACGATTGAGGGTATATGACAGGTAAGGTACTTGACCACATACCAACCAGGTAGGATCAAAAAGGCAGGAAATGTAATTCGATTGAAGACTCCAATTGACACTAAGACTCCCAACACAAACAACGAAGAAGTTTTTTTGACAGAATGCAAATCTGGATTTTCTTGAATGTATCTCAAGTCATCAATAATGTATATCGCCGATACCAACAAAATCGTCTCAACACTATTCGAAAACAAATGGTTTTGAAACACTAAAGTAACAAACGAAGTCAGGGTGAAAAATACTGCCTTGATTCGTTCGTGTTTGATGGGTAGCATCCAGTACAAACAGAAATCCGTAACCAACCAACTAACGAGACAATTTTGTAATCGAAGTATGTACCATATTTGCAACGGTGACAAGTCCAAGTTTAATTCTCGAACAGTGTATAATATTGGGGCGTATGCGATGTGCAACGGACCATAGCTTCTAGCGGGTGAAGAGTCGGTAAATTCCCATGGTATATTCGTTTCATAGCCGAGTATCTTGTTTGCGAGGACTTCTAATGACTGGAAGTGTTCGTCAGGGTGTATGTACGAGTTTGATAACGTGAGTACTATTCGAAGTGGGACAGTTAGTAGGTAGATGTTCCTCCAATTGATGATGTTGAGCATTTATAGATCTTGATTGAGAGCTAGGGGAAACTTTTGGAAATTTTCTCGTTTATTTTGTTCGGCTTGTGAAACGCGTTCTTCGCGTGGTGTGCGTCCCACGGCATGCGTTAACTAGGCAGCTCACAACTTAGTGAATGCGCTAGCTTTCCGCAGCTTCCCGCACGCAGTTTCGCTCCATCCATTCTGTTTCCGTTCAAGATCCACTATTTTTGCGCACAGAGAGACATCTAAAATGAGGTTGAGCACTTAAAAGTAGAGACTAGCTATCCAAATTAGACTTGCTGTAAGTTTGGCACAGCTTACTTAATGTGGACACATCAATTCAAGAGACTCTACAACAGCTTACGCAATAGATTGAAGCATGCTTTTTGCCGTTGTACAATTTTATCCATCCGGTCTGTAGCCTTCGGAGTTTCTACTAAATAACGAGTGAAAAAAAAAAAAAAAATCGAGTCCGAAGAAATGACAAAGGTAGAAATGGGTTACAAAAAGAAAAGAAACAAAAATTAACCATTTTCATTGGACAAGAGTATATGTTTTATAACTCCGAAACAGAGCAGACAAAGTGTGTTCTTCTTCACTTAGAAAGGACAGAGGAACGAACCCAATCTCCAAGGGCCAGACTGAGCGGCTTGCACACTACCTACTCACCATAGATCTGTCCTAATTAGCAGAGGCTGACAAAGTAACTTGGTAGTTTTAACTCTTGTCTGATGCAAATTGAATGTTCTTAAGTTATAATGAACATTGTCGGAACAAAAAAAGAAAAACAAATAAAAATTAAGAGAATGAGAGAAACAGTGTGAGAGAAGGAAAAAAAATAAAAAAAAAAATATCTCATTGAATTTCATTTCTTTGAAGAAGAGATTAACTGTATCTTACCCATCCTATACTCACAGCACTCACAATCCGTTGCAAATGTTGAGACAAATTGCTAAATCTATTCCACTCAGATCCACGACTGGTCCATCATTAACCAGATCATTCATTGCTGGTCAATTCACCGGTAAAAGAAAAGAAAACGGTAACTACACTGTTACATTGATTGAAGGTGATGGTATTGGACCAGAAATTTCACAAGCAGTTAAGGACATCTACGCTGCTGCCAACGTCCCAATCGAATGGGAGCCAGTTGACGTCACTCCATTGTTAATCGATGGAAAGACTACTTTGCCACAAGATGCCGTTGACTCAGTAAATAGAAACTTGGTTGCTTTGAAAGGTCCATTGGCCACCCCAGTTGGTAAGGGTCACACTTCCATGAACTTGACTTTGAGAAGAACTTTCAACTTGTTTGCCAATGTCAGACCATGTAAATCAATTGTTGGTTACGAAACCCCTTACAAAAACGTTGATACCGTATTGATTAGAGAAAACACCGAGGGTGAATACTCTGGTATCGAACACACCATTGTTCCAGGCGTTGTTCAATCAATCAAGTTGATCACTAAGCCTGCATCTGAGAAAGTCATCAGATATGCTTTTGAATACGCCAAGTCGATCAACAAGCCACATGTTGTTGTTGTGCACAAGGCATCTATTATGAAGTTGTCTGATGGTTTGTTTGTCAACACCGCTAAGGAAGTTGCTCAAGAATATCCAGATGTCAAATTGGGTTTTGAATTGTTGGACAACACTTCGTTGAGATTAACTCAAGACCCAGGTTTGTACAAGGATGTTGTTATGGTTATGCCTAACTTGTATGGTGATATCATGTCTGATTTGTCCTCTGGTTTGATTGGTGGTTTGGGTTTGACTCCATCCGGTAATATGGGTAACACTGTTTCTATCTTTGAAGCTGTCCACGGTTCCGCTCCAGATATTGCTGGTAAAGGTTTGGCTAACCCAACCGCTTTGTTGTTGTCTTCGTGTATGATGTTGAGACATATGTCTTTGAACAGCGATGCTGACAAGATTGAAACTGCTGTCTTGAAGACTATTGCTTCTGGTCCAGAAAACAGAACTGGTGACTTGAAGGGTACTGCATCTACTCAACGCTTCACTGAAGAGGTTATCAAGAGATTGTAAGTGAACTACCCTTTTTGCACAAAATTGTGAATGACTTAATCTTAGAACACGTATAGGTACAATATATTTTGCAATGTACACAAACACACACATAAACACGCACACACACATACACACACACACACTTGTAAACACTATAGAATAAGTTTATCTAGCTTCTTTGTTAGTATCAACTCTTCCAATATTTTGTTTGTACCTTCCACGATAGCTACATGTTCAATCTTGTGAACCCTTTCCTCATACTGTTCCAACGTCTCATCCTTTTTCAACTCTAGCTTCTTCACCAATATAGGCTCACCACGATCGACCTCGGCAATAACCTTGTGGATCATTACCCCTCCCTCGGTAATTTCTCCATCCTGGCCCGCTTTCCAACAACGATCAATAGCATGCGTACCATCAAAAGCTCCAGGTAATGCCGGGTGCAAATTTATGATTGTGATTCCTGCTTCTTCCAATGGTTTCAATACTGATGGGGCTAAAATCAACATCCATCCAGCACACACGATTAAATCAGGTTTGGTGTATTCTTCATCTTCAGATTTATCAACAGATCCATATATTAAGAGGTTGGCTAAATCGACATTGAATTGCTCTCTTTTCGCCTTTCTTTCATCTGTTTGTTCTTTGGCGATACCTTTGTAGTAATCTTTCAAAGCATGTACTTTGGTTGGGATCTTATTCTTTTCGGCTCTTGTTAATCCATAAGCGGTGCTTGAAGAAGATATGACTTGGGTGATTTTACCGTTTGGTAACTCGCCCTCATTTTGAGCATCTATCAATGCCTGTAAGTTTGTACCTGATCCAGATATTAAAACAGTTATATTCAATGGCATTTTTCTGTGAATAAGTAGGGGGTAAAGTATGTGCCTAGAGTCTTAATTTAAATTTCAAATTTACTCAGATGTAGTAAATTGACTCTGCTTTGAAAATGAGAAGAAGTGTCGTGTCGTGTGAACCTTTTTCAAGACACTTCTTCTCCTCCCCTCAAATCAAATCAAATTGAAGAGAAGAGTAGTGTACTCTTGCACAATTAATAATAAAGTGGTAGTCTTTTTAACCATTGATGCACTACCTTTTCTTTCTCTGTGATGTCCTCCTTCTTTCTCTTTAGTGAGTGAGTGAGAGAGAGAGAGAGAGAGAGAGAGAAACCTGCAACAGACAGAGAGAAAAAAAAAAAAAAAATTTTTCTTCAAATGAAAACCTTTTTTCCACGCCCCCCTCTTCCCCTTCTCTTTCTTCACATCTCATTGGATTTAACACCATAAAACAAACTACAAGATGGGTATGTCTTTTTCAGAGAAAACAAAATAGAATGGGATAAGGAGGCCATACTTTGAAAGTCGATTGCAGCTTGACTGGCATTTGCTACTTCACGGTTGCTTATCGTAGCCATGTGGCTGGTCATGGATGAAAAATTTTTTAAAAATTTTTTTTATTTTCTTTTTTTTTTAGTTCACAGGAGTATTCCCATACAATGGTCGGAATCGACTATCTGACAATCCAATTCTCCCCTAAGGCAAATGATTACTAACTGCTGTTTCTTATAGTTGCTTTCACTATTGAACAAATCCGTGACTTGATGGACAAGGTTACCAATGTGCGTAACATGTCCGTCATTGCTCACGTCGATCACGGTAAATCTACTTTGACCGATTCTTTGGTCCAAAAGGCCGGTATTATTTCTGCTGGTAAGGCTGGTGAAGCCAGATTCATGGATACCAGAAAGGATGAGCAAGAAAGAGGTATCACCATTAAATCCACCGCCATCTCATTGTATGCTGCTATGACCGATGAAGATGTTAAGGACATCAAGCAAAAGACTCAAGGTAACTCATTCTTGATCAACTTGATTGATTCCCCAGGTCACGTTGATTTCTCGTCAGAAGTCACTGCTGCTTTGAGAGTCACTGATGGTGCTTTGGTTGTTGTTGATACCGTTGAAGGTGTCTGTGTCCAAACTGAAACTGTCTTGAGACAAGCTTTGGGTGAAAGAATCAAGCCAGTTGTTATCATTAACAAGGTTGATAGAGCTTTGTTGGAATTGCAAGTCACCAAGGAAGATTTGTACCAATCTTTCTCCAGAACTGTTGAATCCGTTAACGTTATCATCTCCACCTACGTTGACCCAGTTTTGGGTGATGCTCAAGTTTTCCCAGAAAAGGGTACTGTTGCTTTCGGTTCCGGTTTGCACGGTTGGGCTTTCACTGTCAGACAATTTGCTACCAAATACTCCAAGAAGTTTGGTGTTGACAGATCCAAGATGATGGAAAGATTGTGGGGAGACTCATACTTTAACCCAAAGACCAAGAAGTGGACCAACAAAGACAAGGATGCCGATGGAAAGCCATTGGAAAGAGCTTTCAACATGTTTGTTTTGGACCCAATCTTTAGATTGTTTAGTGCCATTATGAACTTCAAGAAGGACGAAATTCCAACTTTGTTGGAAAAATTGGAAATCAGCTTGAAGTCAGATGAAAAAGAATTGGAAGGTAAGGCTTTGTTGAAGGTTGTTATGAGAAAATTCTTGCCAGCTGCTGATGCTTTGTTGGAAATGATTGTCTTGCACTTGCCATCTCCAGTTACCGCTCAAAACTACAGAGCTGAAACTTTGTACGAAGGTCCATCAGATGACGCCATCTGTAATGCCATCAGAAACTGTGACCCTAAGGCTGATTTGATGTTGTATGTCTCCAAGATGGTTCCAACTTCCGATAAAGGTAGATTCTATGCTTTCGGTAGAGTTTTCGCTGGTACCGTCAAGTCTGGACAAAAGGTTAGAATTCAAGGTCCAAACTATCAAGTTGGTAAGAAGGAAGATTTGTTCATCAAAGCTATTCAAAGAACCGTTTTGATGATGGGAAGAAATGTTGAACAAATTGACGACTGTCCAGCTGGTAACATTGTTGGTTTGGTTGGTATTGATCAATTCTTGTTGAAATCAGGTACCATCACCACCAGTGAATCTGCCCACAACTTGAAGGTTATGAAATTCTCTGTCTCACCAGTTGTGCAAGTTGCCGTTGAAGTTAAGAATGCTAACGATTTGCCAAAATTGGTTGAAGGTTTGAAGAGATTGTCCAAGTCAGATCCATGTGTCTTGACCTCCATGAACGAATCTGGTGAACACATTGTTGCCGCCACTGGTGAATTGCACTTGGAAATTTGTTTGTCCGATTTGGAAAATGACCACGCTGGTGTTCCAATCAAGGTTTCCCCACCAGTTGTTTCATACAGAGAAACCGTTGAAGGTGAATCATCAATGGTTGCTTTGTCTAAATCACCAAACAAGCATAACAGAATCTATGTTAAGGCTCAACCAATTGACGAAGAAGTTTCTTTGGACATTGAAAACGGTGTCATTAACCCAAGAGACGATTTCAAGGCCAGAGCTAGAATCTTGGCTGACAAGCACGGATGGGATGTCACTGATGCCAGAAAGATTTGGTGTTTCGGTCCAGATGGTAACGGTCCTAACTTGGTTGTTGATCAAACTAAGGCTGTTCAATACTTGAACGAAATCAAGGATTCAGTTGTTGCTGCTTTCCAATGGGCTACCAAGGAAGGTCCAATCTTTGGTGAAAACTGTAGATCAGTCAGGGTTAACATTTTGGATGTTACTTTGCATGCTGATGCTATCCACAGAGGTGGTGGTCAAATCATCCCAACCATGAGAAGAGTTACTTATGCTTCCATGTTGTTGGCTGAACCAGCTATCCAAGAACCAATCTTTTTGGTTGAAATCCAATGTCCAGAAAACGCCATTGGTGGTATCTACTCAGTCTTGAACAAGAAGAGAGGTCAAGTTATCTCTGAAGAACAAAGACCAGGTACCCCATTGTTCACTGTCAAGGCCTACTTGCCAGTCAATGAATCCTTCGGTTTCACTGGTGAATTGAGACAAGCTACTGGTGGTCAAGCTTTCCCACAATTGATCTTTGACCATTGGTCAATCTTGAGTGGTGATGTCAAGGACCCAACATCTAAACCAGGTGCTATTGTCAAGGCCAAGAGAGAAAGACAAGGTTTGAAACCAGAAGTTCCAGACTACACTGAATACTACGATAAATTGTAAGCTAGATTATAGGCTTGTGTATTTATCAACTTTTTATTTAGTTATTTAGTAAAGTAAAGAGGTTTATGTTAATTAAAGAGTGTAGAATAGGATAAGTGGTGGTGAAGGCAGCACGGATGATGAGTGGGTACAAGTGGGTAACGCTTTATTAGATTAAACCAGCAGTAACGGCCTAGACGTTGCGAGAGATTAACCGGGTGGGGGGAGGAGGGGGAGAGGGTTAGAAAGTAGAGCCACGTCGGTAATACTTGCTCTATGTGACACGTGATATAATCATTTCGATCAAGGGACATTTCCCCCTAAAGGACTAACGATCAAACGGAGTTGCCAAGATCTTTTAAATCCGTTCGTTTTGTATGATGAGGGATTATCGGCAATATAAAAAAATTTTTTTTTCACTCTTCACTTGTGTCGCTTCTTTTGCAAACATCTGTTTCTAATAATAGTCTTGCAGACCTCTACGCTTTATTGTACTGGTTACATGTGTCTGATGCAGATGGTTATGAGACCCATGCAAGTAGTTGTTGTAGGCCAATAGCTTCCTCACGTCATATGACGATCAATGACATTAACGGATTTGAAGAAATACACAAAGTTCAACCTGGGCTTTTGACAGTCCCACAATACGACCCATTGTCCAATCTGAACGGACAATACCCGGGGATGGGCCAGTACCAACTGCAACGACTGAAAAGGTATCTCGAACTTACGTTACAGTTCCAAGTTGGTGTTACTCTACAGTGAATCCCATTTTTGTGTTTAATTACAAACAAGCAAAAAAAAAAGAAAAAAAAAAGGTTTGAAGAGTTTTGGTTTTGTGTCTTCCCGCATTTTATTACCGAGAACAGTGACTCGGTGAAAAATGAAAAAAAAAAAAAAAAAAAGAAGAAGAAAAAGTCTAGAACTTATAAGCATAACACTTTGTAGTCTTTCCTCGTGAGCTAGCTTCCTGCGCGCAAACCGGGAAAAAGATACAGTGTATCAATGGAGGTGTGTGGGGGCTGTCACATTCAGTTTGCTCCAGTTGCAAATTGTGTACTTTCTGTATAAGTATATGAATAATTTGAGAATATCTCTTGAAGAAGAAAATGCGTCATAGATTTCTCGGATATCCAGGGATCGCAAATGAGAGAAGAAAAAAATTAAAAATACAAAAAGGAAGTTTAATTTTGCTTTGCTTTGCTTTGCTTTTCCTTTCCATCAGTGCCGCAAAACAAGAGGTCCAGCGAATAGAAGCTTGGAAGAACGAAGCGCACACGGCTCTTACCCTGCCGGTGTTTGGAGTTGAAGGTGCAACTTGGAAGAGAATGAAGTTTCTTTAGACGAATCAAAGAGAGATTGATTTGTTGCGCCAAACGCGTGCTCTCTTGCTTTCCTGGCTGGTACGCTTTGTTGTGCGAAGTATTTACAATCTAAATGACAGCTTAGAAATGAGTTACATGTAGAGTGTGCAAGACCATGACGATGTTTATTTTACTTCTTTGCGCCGGTTTTTCTCTTCTGTTTCCGACAATAAAAAAGTGTATGCGCAAAGCTTTTTAGACCGAAAGGGCTAACAAATTACTAACAATTAATAACAAACAGTTGTCGAAATGCTAAATTGGAAAAGCATTTAATATTCTGAATAAGGTCATATTCTCGTTTTGTGCTGAACTTTGTTTCTATTGTAAGTAGAGTGATACAAAGTTGAAATTACACATAGTTTCGGAAAACAACAGCAACGAAAATGTTAAACGTGTGGAATATGATACGCATCATGCGAATACAGTCTTTGCATTACTAATTCATATATATATATAGTGGTTCATCGGTTTCTCTTCGACTCACATCTTTCTTCCTCATTCAACAACGCCTCATATGACAAGCACCAGTGAATGCAATCAGTAGTCGTTTTTCCTTTTTGCTTACCCATCTGTCTCAAACGCATACCAATTAATTACCACACTTTAAATTTTAACGCGCAAGACACACAATTTAATTCCATCTCGTACCTCACTTTCACCCACGCCCACACTTGAACACACACTGGGCCTCTATCAATTGTACTACTACATCTTGAAAACCCTTTATCCAGAATACCCAATTTCATTTCTTCATATACGTCACTTATTCATTCCTAGCTAAAGCTGCAACCACCACACTTTATCCATTTGATAAGCAAAAGAAATGGCTATTCCATCTCAAATACAAGACTCAATAGCCACGCTAAGCGCCCAGCCTTACTTCTCCGTCAGCACTATAACGTCCCTATGCTTTCTACTATATCACATAAAGTGCAAAAACCTATACTTGATAATCTTGCTTCTATGGGGTACTTTTGTCACAACAATAACTCAGTTGAAGCTTGTGTCATCGCTGCATTTTGACTGCTTTGTACTCAGCGCAATCTACTGTGTGTCAATTTTTTTAACCAGTGTGATGACTCCATACAACCACACGTTCAGCAGCAATAAATCATCCAAAATTCAACTTGATGAGCTTAGTGATCAGGAATGTTGCCAAGGTGAAGATGCTTACAACGAGAAGGAATTGCCACAAAATTTATTGTCAAGAACCAGTTTGCGAAGAGCGAGTGGGTTGGCCTTGTTTGTTGTGATGATACTATCTTCCTATGATTACATTGGTGAAGTTGGCACTTTTATATGGTTGACAATAGTGTACTGTGTTACTGTTGGCTCCGAAGTTATTACAAACCTTACCGCTTCAGCAAGAAGTGTCACTGACTTTAGACTAATATTAGCCAATTTGATCCATAGCTACAATGCGGTACTAATTATTGTTGCGCATTGGATCTTGGTTGTACATATTGGATTGGATTTGGTTGCTTTGACATCCTACGCAGTATTGATGTTTTTCTCATTCACATTCTTTCCGTACATAGAGCACATAGTTAATTGAGGAATAACTTTGCTAATTATAGGAGCAATAACCTTGTAGAATGTACCGTGGTGCTTCACTTATAGTTTAGAGCACAAAATTAATTTTAGCAACGGAATTCGGTACTTGACAGTTGTCATAGGTTGAAAGTTTGCGACAAATAAAAAAAAAAAAAGGAATAGAATTTACGACACTTTGCAACCAATTCATCCATAATATGTCTGAGACAAAATCAAGGTACACTTGCATACATTACACCCTGTGGAATCATTTATGCAGAATGTATCTGGTAGAGGGCTTGCCATCTATCTTTGCAAAGCTGCTTCTTGCACTGTAAATATTTACTCTACTTCACTCCCTAGTACTTCTTCTATGTATTGATGCGGACAAATCCTATTACTGAACAATGAAACCAACTGCAGAACCTTATCGACCGAGTAATGCCTTTCAAGTTTGACAGTGACTTTATTTCCCTCTTGTACTACTTTGTACAGGAGCCAGTTTGCTCTAGTGTTGTGCATAGGTCTTTGAGCTCCGTGCACCGCGATACAGCCTGATGGCATCGCGGGGCTAAACTTGTGCTGTTGCTCAAGAAGGCTATCGTTCACTCTTTATACCGTAACAAGAGCTCCACCAATTAGTGCTTGCTTTTGGAAACTGCAACACAAGCTCACAAACCCTCTTTGCTATTGCAACATCAGTCACTGCAGCACCAGTTGAAATTGTCAAATAGCGCAATGTCCGATGCGTTGAGTGAGGAATCATTTTACAAATCATTTGAGAAGAATCTCTATCAGAGTGCATCATGCCAAACAGAACCAAGTTTGGATAATCATCAACGAGCTCTCCAGTTACAAAAGAGTCACCTTCACAATGAGTTATTGTTATATAAAGCTCTCGAAGAAATGCAGTGTCTCGAGAAACCACGTAATCTTCTCTTTTTCTTGTCTGCATAGCATAGAACGTGCAATCTTTGGCGACTCGAAAAAGATAGTTCAAGCATACTTTGCCAGCAACCAAAAGTTGTGACATAAAAATAATCTCCATTAGACTCAGCGTATTTTTGATAACGTCTGTGGCCAATATGAGTAAGTGTTTGACCTGGAAAAGAACGCTCAAACTCTTGTTGCGGACTTAAGGCTATGTGATACTTGATACTTTTGAAATGATCTAAAACCATTTTCATGAGACATTTAGTTGGAAACTCTGCAAATACCAAATATCCAATGGGTTGGTTGGAATCCATTTTTTTTTCAAGTGTGTTGCTAATGTCTTCAAGGAGAGAATAGTGGTTTTCTTTGTGCTGAAGGTGTTCAAGTTCTTCAAAAATCCCAAATCTGGGATTGTGCATGCGACACCTTCGTGTGCACAACCGCCTTATTTCTCGTTCCCATTCTCATTGTCTTCATGTTGTAAGTCGTAGACGTAAATATAATAATACAACTTGGCCTTGGCAAGAGCGTATAATGTTGAATGGAGTGAGGCAAGGTTTATGGCTTGATGTTGATTGAGGTTGTCAAATGCTATTTGGAGTGCCGGGTCAGGCAATTAAACAAGTGAGACCATGGTTTGATTGTAAACCAGAAAGAAGAGAATGATAGGTAATAGAAACTAGCATCATGGATGTAGAATATCTCGCAAATTGATGTTTTTTTTTGAGTTCTCAATTGTGCTTTCCTAATTTCAATTGCATCGAGTTTCATTTGAAGTCCGCCTTGAATGCGTACAACCCCCTACAACACTTGTTTGTTGTACACTTACTCCTTTCATCTTCCCACTTTTTATAAAAAAAAAAGGGTGGCGTTTGAACCTTGGGATGTGACAGTCACATCAGAGTTGGATAACTGTAATACAAAGATTCGGTCGTGTGTGTGCGCACACAAAATTTAATTCCTTCAGTGAAGCTTCACATGGTGCATCTTCAGAGTCCACTTCTGACTGACATAGATTTTTGCCGGAGAAACGAGCTATGTAAAGATGACATTGGCGTATGTGAGAAGCTAGTGACACCGCTGGTTTTTTCCAATCAATTTTTTTCAAAAATTTGTCTCACTGCAAGTAATATCTCTTCTATATTGTTGATGTGAATGGTTGCCAAATTCGAATAAAAAATTTACATAAAATTTAAAACCAAAAAAATGCAAAAAAAATGTTTAAAGAACTCGATATATAAAAACAGTTTAGCCTTATGAGTGTCGTGCTACTAAGAAGGAAACAAGCTAAGCCATTCACTGTTACTACTGACTGCTCTCTCTTCTTTGTACGGTCATCTACAGAGTGTTGCTACTGGTTGCGAAAGTGATGTTTGCCAAAAATACACGACCTGTGTCTAGCCACGAATCTAGAACAAAATCGCATACAAGTCTGTACGATACTACAAAGCAGAGCGTTGGCAGGTGGCATCCATCCCCACTCAAGGTATTGCAAGATGAAACCACGCGGTTGTATTACACAAGGTCACGCAAGAGCTTGGAATCGCTGCGCGTCATCTCATCTCTGCGGGGGGTTGATTTAGCTAAAGAGAGCAATTGGATGTGCAATCCAAAGCAAAGCTTCAACAAACACACAATAATCGCGTGAATCTGTCATGTTGTTGTGAGTGAGTGAGTGAGTGAGTGTGGGGTGACTAATTTAAGCGTGGCCGCTTATTTCAAACCACAAACCATACAATAAACAGAGTACAAATGGCATCATGAGTTGCGCGAGGCTTTAATTGGTGTTTGTATCAATACAGCAACATACCACGCAAACATCACAAGCAACTCGTGTTGCATTCTATGCAATAATTGAATGTGTGTCCTTAGCATTTTACGCACAGTTTTAAGATGCGTATGTGATAACTTGTACTCGTGATTGAATGCCAAAGTTATTCTGCTCTACTTGATCAGTTAAGCACCTTTTTCACCTCATCTCCACCCAAGTGAAACCGATGCATAAAATCTTAGTCAAGAATCTGCAGAATAGTTGCACACACTTTTACATCAATCTGGTTCTAAAAAGTTAATGCACGAGCTGGCCATTCTTTTTTTTTTTTCCATTTTTGGTGGTTCGTCAATACAGGATAATGAACTCATCAAGAGCAAACCACTGTTGTTGCAATACATTCTGCCTACGGAAGATTCTTTTTACCCGATTTGGCGACCGCTCCCGGGGAAAGAACTAATTTTTTGTTATCCGACGATCAAAAGCCGCACAAATTAACAAATTGGGTAGGTGTTACCCACGCCACTAACTACCAACTTCTCGCCTGGATACAATTGCCTAATTTGGTATAACATAGAGCGATAAAAAAAATTGATTCTGACACAAAAGGTCAAATTAGAATCTCCACTCGCTGTACAATCTCGCACCAATAGTAGGGCCGTTGACAAGGGACTATTGAAGCTGCAGCATTCCTTTGACAATCTCAGCCTATCATGCGAGATGAACGCTCGATATGACTAGCCATTACTGTATATTGTGATACTCAAAGTCCAATTTAATGAGGAAGAGACGAATTTACAACTTTGATAAGAACTGTCAGTTATTATTTGTCGGCTTTTTCTTTTACAAACATAATTTTTGTGCGTAATCTTTATCTTTTTTTTTTTACCCACTTTTTTTTCATTTCTACATAACATAATGTAAAACAATTAATAGATTACTAGATATCGTCAAACAGAGCTTCAGCAATATATAAATAGAAGTTGAAATCTCGTTCCTTCAACCTCCCTCTCGCTATCATTACAACAAGCTTCTTTCATTTCGCTATCAACAAACTTTGCTAGAGAGATCACTACAAACAAAGATGGAAAGATTGGCTCAATTGGCGCTACACTCAACTTCAGCAGCAGGTGCTCCACCAGCACCAGCTCACCCATTGGACCCTTTGACCCCACAAGAAATCAAGTCAGTATCAACACTCGTCAAGAGTAAATACACAGGCAAGTCCTTAAACTTCAACACAATTACCTTGAGGGAACCTATCAAGAGAGCTTACTACGAATGGAAGGAAAAAAATGGACCTAAACCACCGAGAATTGCTTATTTTGTTGTTGTGATTGATGGTGACGACGGTGTTCATGAGGGTGTGGTGGACATTAGCGCCCAAGAGGTTGTTGAAATGAAACACACTGAAGGAGTTCAACCAATCTTGACTCCACTGGATTTGCAGAAAACCGAGGAAATTGTTCGTAATGACCCAGAAGTTATTAGACAATGTGAGTTGAGTGGATTACCACCAAACTCTATGGACAAGATTTATTGTGACGCTTGGACTATCGGTTATGATGAGAGATGGGGCTCGTCTAAGAGGTTGCAACAGGCTTTGATGTATTACAGGTCAGATGAGGACGATTCCCACTATTCGCACCCATTCGATTTTTGTCCAGTAGTTGATATGAATGCCGGGAAAGTTATTTACATTGATATCCCACAAAAGAGAAGACCATTGTCAAAAGCAAAACACTCAAGTTTCCATCCAAAACACATTGCTGAAAAATTTGGAACAAAGGAGAACCCATCCGGTTACAGAAATGACAATACTCCAATCAACATCACCCAACCGGAGGGTGTTTCTTTCAAGATGGATGGTCACGTTATGTCCTGGTCCAACTTCAATTTCCATATTGGTTTCAACTACCGTGAAGGTATTGTTTTGAGTGACATGACTTACAATGACCATGGAAATGTGAGGCCATTGTTTCACCGTATCTCCCTTTGTGAGATGGTGGTTCCTTATGGTTGTCCCGACTTTCCGCATCAAAGAAAACATGCTTTGGACATTGGAGAATATGGTGCTGGTAACTGTACCAACCCATTGGCATTAGGTTGTGATTGTAAGGGTGTTATCCAGTACTTGGATGCTCATTTCACCGACAAGGATGGTGATGCATCAACCGTTAGAAATGCCATCTGTATTCACGAAGAAGATGATGGTTTGCTTTTCAAACATTCTGACTTTAGAGATGATTTCCAAACAACTGTCACAACAAGAGGAAAGAAGTTGATTGTTTCACAAGTTTTCACCGCTGCCAACTACGAATATTGTATCTATTGGATCTTGAGACAGGATGGTACCATTAAGTTGGAAGTTAGATTGACTGGTATTTTAAACACCTTTATTTGTGGAGATGACGAAGATATTGGACCATGGGGTACTAAAGTCTATCCTAATGTCAATGCACACAACCATCAACATTTGTTCTCATTGAGGATGCACCCAAGAATCGACGGAGACAACAACTCAGCAGCAACAAGTGATGCTAGACCTTCGCCGTTCCCAACTGGCTCCAACGAAAACATGTACGGAAATGCATTCTATTGTGACAAACAAACTTTCAAAACTGTCAAAGATGGTATCACCAACTTTGAAGGTGCCACTGCTAGAACATGGGATATGTTCAATCCAAACTCCATCAACAAGTATTCCGGCAAGCCGGCAACTTACAAATTGGTTTCAACTTTCTGTTCCCCATTGTTGGCACAAGAAGGTTCATTGGTGAGAAAAAGAGCACCTTGGGCGGCTAACCATACACAGGTCATTCCTTACCAGGATGACGAATATGGATATGGGTTATTGTATCCATCTGGAGATCATGTGGCTCAATGGAGCGGTGATGGACCAAGAGGTATGAGAAAATGGATTGGTGATGGTTCTGCAAATATCAACAACACCGACATTGTGTTTTTCCACACTTTTGGTATCACCCATTTCCCAGCACCAGAAGATTTCCCCGTTATGCCAACAGAGATTTTCGATTTGCAATTGAGGCCAAGAAACATTCATACAGAGAATCCAGTTTTGGATGTTAAACCATCGTTTGCCAAGACCACATCCGAAGTCAAGGCTGGTAAACCCGGTATTGATACTTGCAGTTTGAATGTTGATAAGACTTCTAGATTGGCCACAGAGTGTTGCAAGAAATAGAGAATTAGGGTTTTTGTACTTGGGTAATTTATATATATAGTAATTGATAGTAATCGATAGTAATAGATAGGAGTTGAATTGTATTGTGATTTAAAGGTGACTTGTAGAGATGAAGACTGTCTTGAGTGTCACTGGTGCGCTGTATTTGTCATAGGATAGGATAGGTTAGCTTCATTAAGAGTGAGTGGGTAGTAGTCGTTTGCGCATAAAAAAAAATAAATAAAAAGAATAAAAAAGACAGAAGGAAGATCCATCGCTCAGAGTAGCAAAAAAAGCCTTTCCTCATCACTAATTGCACCACCCACGAAATGAAGTACATAATAGAGCATATGGAAGAAGGATTTTCCGAATGGGTCGTATTAGAATATTCTCAGATCATCAGAGACGTTGGTAAGGACAACCTTATTCTTACATCTCTTCCACCATCAACTACTGAAAAGGATATTCCTCAAAGATTGCTTGACCTCGGTATCAACTGGACCACAAAGGAATGTGTGGAGATAGAAAAAGGCGGCTTACAGAAAGATGAAGTTTGCTTACTTGACCCCGCTGCTAAAACGGATTTGACGCCTCAAGACAAAACAAAATTCAAATACTTTGTATTTGGTGGTATCTTGGGACAACATCCAAGGATTGATCGTACGGGGATTCTACGTGAAAAATATGGGTTTGCAGGAAGGCGATTGGGATCTTTACAGATGACTACGGATACTGCCGTTAGAACCACACAACGAATCATTGAAGATGGGATAGAGTTTGGCAAGATTAAGTTTTTGGATTATCCTGAAATAAAGTACAATAAATATGAATCGACCGAGATGCCTTTCCGGTACGTTGTTGATGACAAGGATGAACCGATTTTGCCTGAAGGAATGTTGGAGTTGATCAAAAAAGATGCCGATCAAAGTATAGACGATTTATTGATTGAATAAAAAATAGACTCAATATAATGTAACTGTTTCACTTTTGGGTGGTTTCCTATTTGACAAAAGTTCATTCATAATGAACCCAGCAGTGTTTTCGTCTTCGAAATATGAGATATGTGCGCTGACAGCAGATATGAGACTGAAATCAAGCACACCCATAGGCAAGCTGTAGTCTATTCTTCCAGTTTTGTTCAACGAAGTGAGTATAGATAACTCTTTTGGCGTCAATTTACGCTTTTCTCCGTCATTTCCATCACTATGATCACTTTCCTTTTCCGTAAATGCAATACTTGAAATAATGTCACCCAATGCATTCTCTTGCGATGCTTTTTCTTCAACAGATTTGGGACTCGTATTCTTTTCCTTCTTTGTAAAATTTAGCCATTTGACAGCAGCTGCAATCTTTTCAGAAATCTCATCACCATAACTTGCCAATTCCGTGATTTGACTATTGAAACCCTTGACAGCAAATTTAACGGGAACCGGTTTGAAGTCACCAAACTTGGGTGAAACCAAGGGCTCAATCCTGTACGCAACTGGGTCGCAAGGGTGGAACACATTGTACAAGTTTTTGCATTTGGGTGCCACAGCTGGTGCATCCTTTGACGGCTCATAATCTTTTGAGGATCTGGCTTCAATGTTCTTTCCTTCAAGAAGTTTAAACATTCCTACTGGCGATCCTGCAAGAAATAAATTTTCCACTTCGAAACTAAGATCCTTGGTTACATCTATTGGACCTTTAATTGTTCCACTTTGTCCTGAAAGAATGTCAAATGCAATTGCTGAGCCCAATGAATGACCCAAAATGTGCACTTTTCCCTTGAAATTTGGATTTCTTTCCAAATACAATTTGTAAACACGATTCAATTCAGATATGACTGAGGTAAAAATTTGTTTCAAATACTTTGGCTCATAATACAACAAGACATCGAGTACGACATCACCAACTATATTCCTCAACGCCTGAATACCTTCCACATTCAACTGGGAAAGAGTTGGTAATCGTGAATCTTTGTTCTCCTGTTGCGTCCTTTGAGGAGCGAAATCAACACGGTGTCTCCATGAAATGGGAAGGACCTGAATACGATTGTTGTTTCCATCTACTTGTCCATCAGGATACGCAAGTTTTTGATACTCATTATTGTCCTCATAAACTTTCCTCATTGTGTTGCGTAGCACGTTGATGTTGTGCGTGAAATTAACCGATTCATATTTACTCCCCAACACTTGGCCGATACCATGAATACAAAACACCAAATGGTCAATCTCCCTATTGGATGTACTTTCTGAAGTGTCCAAATCGTAATCAGCTTCAAGGTATTGCTGCATATGCTTATCATCAGCATCGTTATCAACCGAATCGTCTTTCGTTTCTATCTTGTCGGGTCCGCCAGTTTCAGAGTTTAACTTCCCCAAAACATTCCCAAATTCTTGCTGAAATGTATCGGCAATACTTGGCAAAGGGTTGTTGGGTAGCTTGTCGAACAAACTCTCCTTCAACTCTTCAGTATACCCACGCTGAATGTGATTAACTCCAAGCAATGAAACAGGATTGGGACCAAAGTAACGTATAGCATCAATTTGGAAACCAGAGTCGTAACTATCGGGAAACATGACAGCTTTGTTTTCATTGAAGTACAATACGAGCTCTCCATTCCCAAGATTATAGACATCTTTTTGTCCACTCAAATCTATCTTGTTCTCGTGTCTCTCCTTTTCAGCTTGCAATTTGTTAAACTTTGAGATTTTGTCCTTGTTCCCCTTTTGCTTATTTTTGTCACCATTTTGTTCAAACAAGTACGGCTTGACAGAATCATACCCTTGCTCAAGCTTCTTGCTAACTTCATTTGGTAATGGATTTCCGTCACTAGTAAACCAAAGTCCTCGGCGAACTTCATAGACTGGCCCTTCCCAATATACAGGGCTCAACTCATATTTCTCAATATTTACTTCAAACAACTTGTCTTCGTTAACTTCAACGGATTTCTTCGTTCCATTCCTGAGGGCCCTTTCTAGCCTATTAGAGTCGTACTCGGAAAATGGAAGGAACGACTCAGGCTCTTTCGTTTTCGTATACTTGAACCATTCAGGTTTCGATATTGGTACGTCTGAGGCATAGAACCACCTTATGCTGGCTTTGGGGACATTTGGATTGAAGGATTCGAGTGGGTTGCTCTGGCTTTTGGCGCTGTTAAATCTTGCAAATACAGCGACGTTTGTCACTCGCACGAATCGCACTCTTTGAAGGTTTGGCGTAAACCGTAGCAGTGGGTATATCATTGTTAGGATCCAGCGTTGTACTTGTTGCAAGTAGTGTATTTCATACTTATTGTTGAGCAATTGAAGCCTGTGAATATTTTGGTTTGACTGAATAGGCCCGGATGCATATAACACAAAGGCAAACATAGAAAACCAAAAGCGATTCAAGCTGCACGAGAGCTTGATTTGAATGAGGCTGTCACACGAGTTAACGTTGCTTCTGATCAAAACTACAATGTAATCACCTACAAAACCATCACAAATATGTAGAGAGCAACCCTTTATTCTTGAAGCAAGCTTTCTGGCATTTTTCACTACATACATTTAAGCAGCAACATCTCGGTCGTATAATCCTTTCACCAACCATAAAGCAGTTCACTTTAAGTGAGGCCAGGTAAAGGCAAGGTAAGAATCCCACTTGGCCATCTCAAGATAGCAGCATTGGAGAAATCGCTATACACCATTGTATTAGGGATCTTTCTTCCAATTCTGATATACAACGGGATATCACCATTGCCATCTTTGATTCCATTGCGAAGTGTGTCTTGGAGCGAATCGTAAAATGGCGCAGTAGTATTCGTCAACAAACTCTTCAAATCTAGCGAGGAAATGTTGTCCGAGACAAAGTATTCGATATCATTGATTAACAACGAGATCGATGAATACTTATTGTAAGCTGCTGCAACACTTGTTGCATTTTCAGGCACAAGTTGCCATTGCAATACTCCCGATCCAGAGTCGTATGCGGTAAAGATTGGTGGAAAGATTTTACCCAATGGATCATCACGCTTGAGCGAAGTAATGGTTTCCGCAATCGCCGCCAACCCCCATCTTGATGCTCCAGAGAGAAACAACCCCAAAAGAATTCCCTGAAACATTAGTGCTGTCCTACCACGCGTTGCACAGCCTGGAATCAACAACATCGCCAAGATATAGTGATGTACCCTTAAACTTAGACCTGGTATTTGAGCTAAAAGTACCAATCCCAACACAAAAATGGAATACACACGCAAGTACTTTCGAAAGCGACCAGATAACCAAATCTTGTACGCCTGAATAACGGCACAGATTGATATTGTAACAATTATGGCTGAGACTGCTAAGAGAGCACCCGATTGCTCTTTCAAGTCGCTTATTGTTAGCCTATCAACCGGTAGCCTATCAAAACTGACATTGTTTAACACCCCCAACCAGAATAAAGGATACCACAAGAGCACACGACTGAGATAAGAAAACTTTTCATCAGGAGAAGCCGGCTCTGACAATGTTCTCTTGGTTGACGAATGCCACAAAATATACAAGATGGAACATGTAGGCAAAAATCGTTCCAACCCAAGTGAGATCAAGCTGGCAAAACCTTGCGGATCTGTAGCGTCAACAACTATGGGGGGATCTGTGGCTAAGCAAATGGTCCAGAACCCCACCACATTTATTACCCAGTACACTGTGGCACCACTCGCAAGGTAGACAACAGGAAGACCAAGAAGAATATTTATCATGAGTATCACAATTCGTGGGTCATGGCATTGGTGGAAAGTTTCACTAGCTAGTTTCAATTTTTTGAAATAAAATGAGGACTTGAAGAACGATTTGAAACCGATCGAGTCATCAACGCCGTAATGACCCTTTGCTGACTCAAAGTATGGTTGATTCTTGCTTTTGTATGATAAGCGAGCACATCCACCCCAAAACGGTGAAATCAACCCAGCATGAACTGCCGCACCACATGGATAAGAATCTGCACGGTATGGGTTTGTTAGTTGCGTGTCCTCAATTTTAGAAACGACTTTATCACCACCTCCAATGAAATAACCCCTGTACTTGATTCTTTGATCTCCGATTGGGATTAACGAGTAAGTCCAACTTCCACGATCACATAATGCGGGACATCGTATTACCACATCATTATCGCCACTATGCTTGACAATTTCCGGGCACGAATCTCCATTCAAACCACACGCTGCATTCTTTCCGTTCCAAAATTCACGCAGCGACAGACAAGTTAGACTATGAATAAGAGGAGTTGATGGATCCGACGACGAAGGTGGCACAGTCAAATAGGGTATCAAAATTGAGTAGCACAACCCAAACCAGAATACAAGATAGATTGTAAGCAAGACTCTTCTGTATAGTAGGGGTACATTGGTATTAAACTTTACCGGTAGCTCTTCGAGAAACTCCAATTTTGAAATTCGTGGCGCATAGTCGTCTCTAGGCTCTTCGGGACCGATCCACAACTTGTGGAAAAATCGCTTGGTCTTGTAAAGCCATCGTTTTTTCCGATCTTGATGGTAAAGTCTCATGTATTCTTCCCCTGATTCGTTCTCGTAGTCATCAGCCAACAACTCCGATGTGGACATTGTTGACGGAGCAAAATCAGTCAAAGGTATATCCTCGGGATTCTGTATAGGTGGAGTTGGTGAATGTGATTTATTAGTGACTAAACTTAAAGATCGATCTTGGTTGTCAAATTTATTTGGCTGTTTTTTGCTCATATATTTTTGTAAGGTATATTCTTCTTTATCTATAATTAGAACAAACTAAAGGGGGGAGGGAGGGGAGCAGAGATGGAGGAGCCGCAATTTACGCACACAGTTTTTTTTTTCTGTAATTGCGCGTGGAAGCGATTATTACTTAATTGTCTTCTTAAAAACCATGATCTCTTTCCCTTCAGCTACGATCTCAATCCACAGAGTAACTTTCCAAACGGTATAGCTTTCTGATTCTAAAATGAACTTTACATTAAACATTATCTAAAAAAAAAAAACAAAACAAATGAAACCCTAACAAAAAATATAGGAAACAAAATATGAAACAAAACAAAGCAAACCCCGTCAACAAAGTCGTATTCATTTATCCAGAACACATGGTGCAGGATTCCGGGTTGTCAATAGCACAAGCGATAACTTTAGCACTGTAGATGTCGCTTTCTATCTCTTCTATGGTTCTGTTGTCAACTGGTTCTGCATCTTCCCCTTCCTTTTTTGGTTCTTCTGCCTTTTCGGCCTTATCTTCAATCTTCAAGTCAGCAACTGAGTTTTCCAAAGACGTTGGTTCAGTGCTAGGACTCTTTTCAAATGAGTTTTCAGTCGAGGTGGTTCCATCCCTAGACTTGGACAAGTATTTAGGTCTGTTCAATTTCAGCAACGAGGCAACATTCAAACCAGCTGATTCGGCAATAGTTTTATCGATGGTGAATTGGATAGCGGCAGAAGCGGCCTGCGTTCTCAAATAGTACATACCAGTCTTTAATCCTTTCTTCCACCCGTAAAAGTGCATACTGGTCAATTTACCCATTGTTGGGTCCTTAATGTGGATGTTTAATGATTGAGATTGATCAATAAATGCGGCTCTATCGGAAGCCATATCGATAATATGTTTCTGTGAGATTTCCCAAACTGTCTTGTACAATGCCTTAATTTCATCGGGGATGTTTGGCAAAGCTTGGATGGAACCATTGTTTGCAATAATGCTACTCTTCATGGCATCATTCCAGATACCCAAATCGACCAAATCTTTCAACAAGTACGGGTTAACAATTTGGAATTCACCAGCCAACACTCTTCTTGAGTAAATGTTTGAAGTGTATGGCTCAAAACATTCATTGTTACCCAAAATTTGCGATGTCGAAGCAGTTGGCATAGGAGCCACCAACAACGAGTTTCTCATACCATGTTTTGCAAGTTTTTGCTTCAATTCATCCCAATCCCATAATTCGGTAGGCTTTCTGTTCCACAAGTCGTATTGCAACAAACCTTGAGAAGCTGGAGAGCCTTGGAAAGTTTCATAAGGACCTTCTTCTTGGGCCAATTCAATTGAAGCTTCAACTGCAGCATGATAAATAGTCTCAAAGATTTGAATGTTCAATTCTCTAGCTTCTTGAGAGTCAAATCCGATTCTCAAAACCATGAAAGCATCAGCCAAACCTTGGACACCCAATGCAATTGGTCTGTGCCTCATGTTGGACCTTTCAGCCTCTGGAACTGGGTAGTAGTTCCTGTCGATAACTCTGTTCAAGTTACGAGTAACAACCTTCGTCACATCGTGCAACTTGTCAAAGTTGTACCAAGCGTGTTTACCATCTTGCTCAATGAAAGAAGGCAAAGCAATTGAAGCCAAGTTACAAACTGCAACCTCATCTGGAGCTGAATATTCAACAATTTCACAACACAAGTTAGAAGATTTGATGATTCCCAAATTCTTTTGGTTGGATTTGGTATTACAAGCATCCTTGTACAACATGAAGGGAGTACCAGTTTCAGTTTGTGCCTCCAAGATGGAATACCACAACTTTTGAGCTTTAATTGTTTTTCTACCACGACCTTCCCTTTCGTACTTTTCATACAATTCAACAAATTCATCACCATAGGTATCAGCCAAACCTGGAGCCTCATTTGGAGAAAACAAGGTCCATTCGCCGTTTTGCTCGACCCTCTTCATGAACAAGTCAGGGATCCACAAAGCTGGGAATAAATCTCTAGCTCTAATTTCCTCCTTACCGTGGTTCTTTCTGATTTCAATAAAGTCAAAGATGTCGCTGTGCCATGGCTCAAGATACAAAGCAAAAGCACCAGGTCTTTTGTTACCACCTTGGTCAACATAACGAGCGGTGTTGTTGAAGACACGCACCATTGGAATGATACCGTTTGAAGTTCCGTTTGTACCTGCAATATAAGCACCAGTACCGCGGATGTTGTGGATGTGCAAACCAATACCTCCAGCACTCTTTGAGATCAAGGCACATGTCTTTAAAGTGTCGTAAATACCTTCAATAGAATCTTCTTTCATAGCAACTAAGAAACAAGATGACATTTGTGGCTTTGGAGTACCAGCGTTGAACAAGCATGGAGAACCATGGGTAAAGTACCTTTGTGACATCAAGTTGTAAGTTTCAATGACTCTTGGGATGTCTCTTCCATGGATACCGATGGCAACTCTCATAATCAAGTGTTGTGGTCTTTCAGCAACTTTTCCATTAATACGCAACAAATATGACCTTTCCAATGTTTTGAAACCAAAGTAGTTGTAATTGAAATCACGGTCATAGACAATTGCCGAGTTCAACTCATCGGCATTCTCTTGAATGATATCATACGTTTCCTTCGAAATCATTGGCGCGTGACGATCAGTTTCTGGGTTGATGTACTCATACAAGTCCTTGGACACTTGTGAATACAACTTGGTAGTTTGTTTATGTAAATTGGATACCGCGATTCTTGCTGCTAAAACCGCGTAGTCAGGGTGTATAGTGGTCATGGTTGCAGCAGTTTCAGCAGCCAAATTGTCCAACTCAATAGTTGTGACGCCTTGGTAAACACCAGCAATGACCTTTTGGGTGATGGCGACTGGTTCAATGTGATTTGGGTCTAAACCGTAGCATAATCTTTGAACTCTGGCAGTGATCTTGTCGAAGCGCACAGGCTCCTTTCTACCATCTCTTTTGAAAACGTACATGATGATAATAGAATGTGTAGACTGGTGGAATGTATCAGTCAGATTAAAAAAAAAAAAACAGGAATCAAATCCGATAGCAAAGAAAGAAAAGAAGAAAGAAAGATATATATCAATGTTTATATATATATATGAAGAAGACGCGTTACGTGAAGAGAGATCATTACAGAAAGAAAAGAGATAGAAAGAAAAAAAAAAAACGCGAAAAAAAAACAAAACAATATAGGTTAACTGTGCGTGTATGTGTGTGTGTGTGTGTGTTTTGTGTGTGGGACGTGTGTTGGTTACATTAGTAATAAGAAGAAGGAAGCTCTATCTATAACAAAATGTAAACAAATATTCACTCTCTACATTAGACAAACTCAAAACAAATAAATGATTTATAATCAAATACCACAAAAGGTTGAATAAACTTGCCTCTTTCTCTTTACACAGAGAGGGAAATTTCATCTTTTGCTCTTGCAGTAGAGTTACGCAAAGGCAATGGATCTTCGAAGTTCGGCTTTTATCTTCATAGGCTGCTCCACTGATTAGTGTGAAAACTCAAAGTACATAGGAAACGCCACAGCTATCTCAAAAGTTAATGGCCATATCGGTATCTAAACAATTCCGGATGAAAGGTTACAAATAAGAAAGGGATACATAAATGTGGAATTTATTGCCCCACCCCTTCCAATTGCCACTATTCAGAGGCAAAGTTTGATGTGACGTTTTCCAGTAACCACAGAACGGAAGAGGTAATGGTCAAACGAGGGGGAGCTCTGTTTATTGTACCGCTTTTCTTCCCATGCATACTTTAATTTACGACAAAACCTTGTACATCTAAATTTTTTATTTCCTAGTTACCCATAGTATCGTCAACTATAAATAGTCTGATAAACTTCCCAACGGACCCCTCTATTTTGTTTCCTCTTTGGTCAAATCGCTATAGCATACATGTTAGTACTTTGTTGGCTGAATTGGGTTGCAATGGTACATACTTTATGAATTTCTCCAAGTCAAAGTCATCTTCCTGGGTTTGAGATACTGGCGCAGCAGGTGCAGCAGAAGCAGCAGCATCTTTCTTCACGTCCTTGTTACCCAACAATTTGGGAACGGTAACACCAGCAACAACTGAACCTAATGTGAGAATGGACAACTATGAGGGGCAATTGTTAGAAGACAACCACGGACTAAAATTACTCAATTGAGATATACATACAACGTGTGCTGGGACCTGTCTGCCCAATATAGTGTATGCTGAACCCATCGTGACTTGTGTGTTTTTCGTAGTACTCTTGAGGGAACAGTCTGTTTGAATTTAGATGCTGAGTTTGCTAAACTTTTTTGCTGATTTCGGATTATCTCTCCCCACAGAACAAAATTTGATTTGCGAATGAGAAGAACTAGGTGCATTTAGCTAATTGGAAGCAGAATACCACGACACGTGCTACCATATACATATACATATACATATACACACTACTTACCCGCCTTTACCTACTTTTAGCTAGTCTCCAATAGTTCTCTAATCCAAATTTTCTTAGTACATTGATTGCCTCTTCATCATTTCGAGAATACATGAAACTCCATTTTTGAAAATTGAGACGCGGTAGCCTTCCTTCCCAGATTATAACACACTCGTTGCCGTTATCGTTGTATTTATATATACTTTCGGTGCCAGAACTTGCCAACTCTGTGCTATCATCTCCCTTGTCTTCGCGACTGGTCCCTTCACTCCATTTGATTCTGTTCATCAACAACTTTTTATAATGGTTGATCGACTTCTCTCCGCCCTCAACGACGATCAAATTGAATTCCGGATTTTTCAAGCATATTCCAAACAAATTATCCTGCTTGGCATTGACGTCGACTTTGAACAGGTGTTGTGGATTATCTAGAGACTTCACTTTGTACACCGTGGTGAAGATTCCCTTTGCCAAATCTTGTTCTTGCTTGGCGTAAATCTTCGCATGCTTCTCCTCCTTCGTTAGTTTACGTGCTTCGTTGTCAGCAAGATGCTTTTTCAATCGCTCTTCTACCTGTTGTTTAACGCGATTTTCAACCGCCGTGGGATCTCGTATAGCCTCATTTGTCAACACATTCATCAAGTTCGACAACTTCACTTTCGGCTCTGGTGGAGGCTCCAACCCAAGTTTGATTCTATCTTGCATTTCCTTGTGACGTATTTGCCTGTCGTTTTTCCTCATACGTTTCCGTTCCTTCTTTGTCAAAAACATAGGAGTCGTCGTATTGACTCCATTAGGATCGAGCCAAATGGGGTAGAGTAACACTGGATGTTGCACATACGACGTAATTGGCATTTCTTCATTATCAAGCACCCATCGTGTTTCATCGTCGAGTCTTGAGTAGTTGTTATCTCGCAAGTATGGTCTATCCCACCATTCCATCAATGGTGGATATGGTGGTTGATACAGCTTCTCGTTCAAGCTCACATCAGGGACCAAGCCCTTGCGCTCCAACTCCTCATACCTTTTTCTTTCACCTTCTTCTTCTTTCAACTTTTCCCTTAGCTTTTGCCCTTTTTGTACGTATTCACCGTGCTTGATGAATTTTAGGGGCTTGGGCCTATGACTTGCGAAGCTAGGGGCATCGTCAATATACGGGTTGTACCGTGTGGGGTCAAACCATTTCCTTTTCTTCGCTTTCAGTCCAGTGTTTTGAGTATTTGATATGGATGTATTCAGTGCACGTAGTAATGGGTGGATGTCGACGTCTAGACCCTTGCCTGTTTTCTTAGCTACATTGTCACCTACGATATGGCCAGGCGCTCTTGAGCCGTATGTTTCCTGCCCCGTCTTTCTTGATTGTGCTATTGATACAGAATTGTCATCGTCTCGATTTTGTTTATTTGAGGACATCGTTGTGTGTCATATAGCAAAGACTCTTACCCTACCTCATCTGTCTCCTTTGTCTTTGTAACCACGTCCGAGACATTGAATCTGAATTGGTAGCTCTCAAGGCAACTGCAACCAACCAAAAGCTACAGGAATGGTTGTACCCTTTCCACTTGCTGGAGATTAGGACAGCTCATCAAGGCATATATATAATAAAAGGAAAAAAATGTATGTAAAACCAATATACTTATAAGGTCTGACACCAATTCCTCCATTGTTATTGCTAGTGTTCTCAATACCAACTCATACTACAATCTTCACCTTTATGAGCCTTATGTACTGTTATTACTTTTTTTATTTTATTTTTATTTTTTTTTTCTTGCCTTTCGGGAGCAATTGCATCATCATTTTAGTGATAGATCTATAAACTCAATTCTTTTTCCAGTTTTTTTTTTTTTTTATTTTTTTTATTTTCCACTTTTCGTTTCTCTTATAAATCACTGCTTAGCGTGATGATAATTGATAAAAGAGAGCATCTACAGCGAATGGAGTTGGCTGCCCCAATCAAATCATTGATTGATGGTTTGATCCATGCCAACGAAGAGGAATTCATAGTGTTGTTGAAATCAAACTTGCAATGGAAAAGACCTAGAGGGGATCTTTTGCCCTGGATTCCTGTCCTTAATCGCATCGATGAGATTTTTGCAAGGTACATCAAGGAATATGATCTTGAGAATGAGTTTCCAAAGTTACGTGTTATCCCGGAAGATGATGCACATGTTATTTTGACGTGCCTTGAATTTACAAACACGTTACTCAGCAATTGTTCCGACAAACATATTTATTCAAGCATGGAAAGGATTTACGCGTTGATCAACACCCCAACGATTGATGTGAGGCTAAAAGCTTTGGAAGTGGCCGTCTTGCTCAGTGAAAAGTTTGTGCTGACAGGGGCATCTCGGTATTCCGCACCAAAGGAAGCGAGGGATAAAATACTTGAAATCGCGAAAGCGTACCCCCCTTTGGTTCCTGCAGATTGTTATCTGAGAAAGGTTGACAATGAGCAAAAGGAATTGAATGAAAAGTCAAGTATCATAGGAGATCATTACAACTTCGTGGACACTCTACTGCACTCAAAGGTGCTTCCACAAAAATGGAAAAGTATCAATTTCCAGTACTACAAGTCTGCGATGTCTCAAGTGAAACCTAGCGAGGAATCGGGAACTAATCTGAGCAAGGGGAAATCCGATAAATTAGTCGTGTCAGAAGGTTTGCAAATTTTTTGCGTTCCTGAGGAATCCGTGGCTAAGTTGACATTGGAACAAATATTTCTGAGAGGAATGGAAAGTTTACCCAAGAATTCTTGGTTTACATTTGGTTTAGTATCGGAAGTGGCAAAGTCCTTCAATTCACAGGCTGATGGTGCATTTACTATCAGAGAGAAATTGATCCAAATGAAATGCTTTGCTGCAGCTTTTACCTGCTGCATGTTGTCGCATCAAAGTGCTTCCACAAAGTTACTTGAAGCCGAACCGTATATTTTAAGTTTTCTAGTGGATGCTATTCTGCCTGAAAATAGCGTCAACGTCCCAAGGGCCGTGTTTTATGCTGCCATGAAAGCGCTTGAGTGTGTCTCAATGAAAAAAGTTTGGGGAAGTGATATATTGAGATGCATGGGCGGAAATGTTAGCCACGGTGTTTTATTTCAATGTTTGAGGCGTATAAAGACATCTGTTGCTCAAGATGATGACGAATATTTTGAAGAGGGAAGCATACTGTTTTTTAACATGCTTGGCAATATGATAAACACAAAGAGCATTTTGCCCCGTCTTGCTTCTGGAGGGTTGCTCAATGACTTGATGCCGTTCTTGGACATTCGCTCAAAGTACAAATGGACCTGTTCCGCTGCAATCCATCTGCTTTCGTTGCTTATAGCTGGGCTCCCAGATACTCTTGATGAGTTCATTGCAAACGACGGTTTCAATTCACTCATCGGTGATATACAATTTGAGGTAGATTCTGCACTTAATCAGCAAGGAAACGAAGAAAGCTTATACGGCGAATGCCCCCAGTACACAAAGGTTCCATTGCGAAAAGCCAATTTTTTGAGAAATTTGATGAAATTTGTGGCCGATTTATTGAACTCTGACCAAGGGGATAGACTTCGGAATTTGTTTGACTCGCCAATACTTTCAAGTTTCAACAAGATAGTGAACAATCCAGACATTTTTGGTCCTGCAGTATTGGCCTGTACTATAGATTCTGTCTTTTTCATCATCCACAACGAACCTACAGCTTTCTCGATTTTAAATGAAGCCAATGTTATCGACACAATACTAGACAATTACAGAGAGCTCTTCGTACCCTCTGGACAGTTATTGATGTCGCTTCCGGAAGTACTTGGTGCAATCTGTTTGAATAATGAGGGATTGAAGAAGGTTATCGACAAAAAAAGTATACCAATATTTTTCGACAGTTTTTACAGGCTTCCAATAGCGAAAGTCTTGGTCAAGTCTGATATGGCCACCAACTTGGGATGCTCTTTTGATGAATTGGGTAGACATTACTCGAGCCTCAAGCCATTGATATTGAAACAAGTCCTGAATTTGATTGAGCAAATAATGGTTTATGTGGACAAACAAATGGATGGCATACAACTATACGAGTCGCTGTCGGGCCCTTTCTATAACTCCAAAGACGAAGATTCAAATGTGAATGTTGAAGGTGGTACTGAAATCGAAACTTGGGACAAGAACGAATGCTCCATATTACTCGATAATGTCTTTTTTTTTCTTGGAGGATTGCTACAAGAGAGTGGACTGTGGGGAGAAGATGTTGCCCGTGATATTGGATTTTCCAAATGGTTGAGATTCTTGACGATTAAAAAGGCACCATATGATTACTTTTTGTCTAATGGAATCTCCTCTTTAATGGGTATATTCAAATATTTTGATGATGAGGATCGTGACTATGGGTTTCCCATGATTGTTGAAAAGCTTAGAAAAATGCTCGAGATAGAGGTGGTGGACAGATATCTTTTTTCCACCGATGAGGGTTCCTTTTTCGACAAATTGAATGACACAGAGGGAACTGAGCTTTTGCAGTACTTGGGTGAAATTAACGTGCTACTTTTCGCTTTGACTGAAATTTACGTAAACTTGGGCTTATTGTTCACCGAAAGGATCAAGCAGATTATTGATATGTTTGGATCCCACCACAACTTTGTGATGCGATTGTTTTTGCTTTTGCAGCGAAGCGTTCTTGAAGAGACCATCTTGAGAAACAGGACACCAAATGAGGTCTTGAAAATGACATCTAATTTCCCCAATGATAGTCCTCCATTGCAAATTAATGTGTGTGACCCGGCTGACTCCAAAATCAACACGAGCGGTACTAATCCCAAGTTCAAAAACACCCTTCAACTTCGAACACTAAACTACTATTTCCAGGGTTACATCGCGCTCATATTTGCTTCAATTGTTAGGACTTGTATCCCACGAAGAGTGGATCACGCACATCACCAGACTAAAAGAGATGCCGTATCGTTGTTGTTGTGTATTGCAAATTTGATGACTGATTCATACAAACGACCAATGGAGTCGAAATACAACAAACAATGTTACATATTGGCTTTGTCAAATATCAACTTGTATATTCTTTTTCAAAAAGAGCGGGCAAAGGAAACAGCGTACACCCCACTTGGAATTGCATTATTTCAGTCTTCCTTTTACGCAGTTTTGAGGGAAGTCACTCGCGATTTATGGCAAGATTTGTTGCAAATGGATCCGGAGGAAGTCAAAAAAACTGCAAACCTCAAATACATATGTGCAGATGAAAGCAGCATTGTGAAAAATGCAATTAGTCAAAGCTTGATGATATTTGCAAAAAGTGTCAACGAAGGAGATTTGGGAAACTTTCCCTTTTACAAGTCATATTTTCTGGACAAACCTTTTGGTCCATTGGAGAGGGGCATCACTATGTCATTCTTGGCTCAAGTATCCTATGAGGCGTTGAAGTTGGTGTTTGAGTTGGTAGAGAGTGTCACTAATTCGACTGATGGCCATGCTACCAAGCAAAACGTCCCCACGCCATTGATCGAGCAGGTGATTTATATTGCATCCCACCTGCACCAAGAAAACGAATGCACGGACAACTTTATCCCCCTAGATGTCAGACGAGTGTTTCCTGATCTGGATCAGGTTGCGTACCTTATATCTTTAGGTATGTCGGAGTCGCAAGCCGAGCACTATTTCGATCACGAACTGGACTTAACTGCATTGAGCGAAGGAAGAGCGATCTCTTGCCAAGAGTTTGACAATATCAAAAACAGTGACTGGAAAGCCTTTTCAGATGAATATAAGTCAGCAGAGTTGGACTTTTCATTGGATGGCGGAAACTACCCTAATTCGAGACAAATCTTTGACGAGTGCAATAAAATTTGGGAATCATTGGACGGTAAATGGATTCTGTTGGCAATCACTTACCCAAAGGCTACTCGTTTAGTTGCTGATCTTCTTGTTGCACTGAAGGACGACCAACGTGTTGACAATCTCATCAACGAAGTTACAAGTACGAGAGATATGAGTGATGAAGAGTATGTTGTATACTTACACCTTATATCGTTGTTAGTTGAGAAAGTCGAAAGTGCCAAAAGCGATACCTTATTGACAGTTGGGAAGCTATTCACTAAATTTTCGATGGGTCCTTCAACGGTCGATAAACCATTTTATCAATACTTAATGGCAATTCTTGAACAAAGACTTGTCGATGAGGATATACCTTTGGCTGAACCCACAGATCATGAAGGCATCAAGCATAAATCAAGTGAGAGCACAAATGATCTCTCAGTGAGGTGGAAAGACCGCTTCTTGGATGAGGTTTCGAAAGTTGATCAGATTTCAGATTTGCGATCAGCAAACGGTTTATCTCGTGTTTTGGCATTGCTCGCAAAGGATTATGCAGTTGCTAATAAGATTGCTAAAATGCCGCTATTAGGCGCATTGCTAAAATTAGCTGGAACCCCCGGAGAAGACAAGAGCGTCATGGAATCATTCAGTACTTGCATTGTGTTGATTATGCGTTATTCTTTCGAAACAAGAGAAACAGTCGAAAGCTATATGAAGCCTGAATTGTTGAAGATCTTGGGCTCGAGCTTCAAACTGACGAAAAATCTTAGGGTGTTGCTTAAAGACAGCATGCCATTGGTGTTTCGTAATCCGCGCGCCTTGACCGATACTATATCCGGGAACATTATTCTTGAGGGATACAGCGGCCAAGGCTCTCATCTAGCTTATGGTGATTTGGTAGTTACCAAGGCCGATGATACTAAACAGTCAGAAGAGTCTGATATAGAGGGCTACACTGATCCCAGGACTCTTGAGCGTGGAACCGTTATGAGTCATTTATTATCGGAATTGATGAATGTCTTCAAATCAGATTGGGTGTCTGACCCGAAGGATGAAGGCAACAAAACTGAGAAGGAGAAAGCCAAGCTTGGTGATGCGTTTGCAAATACAAATTTTGCATACATGTGCTTTCTTTTGCAAACTATTGCTGAGTTGTTAGGGTCCTACAAGCAAGCAAAGTTGGACTTTTTAACATTTACAAAGAGAAAACATGGTGACGTAAAGCCTAGGTCTACCTCTTTGAACTTTTTCCTTCATCAATTGATTCCCACTCAACTGTTGACCGCTTCAGGTCTGGAGTTGCGCAGACGAGTGGGTGTATCTGAAACTGCGAAAATGGCCTTGATGTGCTTGATTTCGTCACCTGTTCTGGATTCAAGACGTGGGGCGCCAAATCCCAAAAAAGAAGACCCCGATCTTGCGTTAATAAGAAGATTTGTGGTGGATTTGATGGTAAAGGTGATGAAGGAGACGTCGCAGTTGAATGTTGTTGCGCGTACCAGGTATGGCAAGTTGTTGGACTTGTTTGAATTAAGTGGACAGTTGATATCAACAAAATTCCGTGATACTATTGGTCCTTTACTTGACAAAGAATCCATTCTGTCCGATGTTTACCACATGTCGAAGGTGTACATTGAAAAGCAAGTACCCGCAACATTGACTACCTTGATTGCCGAGTTTGATTTGAACTTCCCTGATATAGATAAGGTGGAGAAGGCGGCATTGAAGCCAATCACAAATTTGGGCAAAAACAAAGTTGAGTTTCAAGAGCTCTTTGCTGAAGATGGACAAGATGAGAACGACGATGATGATATTGTTCCTGATGATGAAAACGAGGACCGGGACGATACCCCTGATCTATTCCGTAATTCCACTTTGGGTATGTATGATGTGGATGTCGACAGTGAAGAAGATGACTATTACGACGAGGATGGACGCTTAATGATTTCGGCCGAAGCCTCGGACTCTATGGACTCTGCATCATCTTTCGAATCTGATGAGGGAGAACCGCTGGATGTTGACATGGATGAGGGATCTTTTGGAAACGAAGAAGACTCAGAAGGTAGTCTTGATGACATTGAAATAATAGACGAATTGGATATTGACTCCTCCAGTGATGAAGGATATGGTTATGGAGATGGGGAAGATGAAGATGAAGATGAGGAAGGGGACGAGGTTGTGGATGTCGATGTCGATATTGAGGGAGGAGAGTCTGTCAGTGGTGAGGAGTACAGTGACGACGACGACGATGATGATGATGAGAGCGAGTACGATGAAGAGGAATTGGACGGTTGGATCGAAGAATTAGGAAGTGAAAATGAACTGGAACAAGAGGGTTGGCCAAATGGTGATGGTCGTCACAGACACGGGCGTTTGCATGAAGATGGGAATGTAAACTTTGGCTTTGGAGAGTACAATGCGGATGGAGATGCTACTCCGGATCGTTCCTTTAGATTCAGAAGAGAGGATGAATTTACCGAAAACAGTTCAGATGAAGACAACGAGTCAGAATCACAGCCTGACGTAGCCGTGATACCCTCTACTACCGCATTACGCCGCGTTTTTGACCAGGCAGGCAACGGTAGAATGGATGGAACTTCACCGATATCATTGCTATTAGATGGTTTATTCAGGGAAGGAAACTTGCGTGGCTCTATCGAAATTACTCAAGATGGTGTTCATCGTACAGGAGCATCTACTATCGGAAGACTCTTTGAAAATATGATCCACATTGGACAAGCGGGGAGAAATATGGAACATACCCATACCCTTCATTTAAAATCTACAGTGGAGAGATGGGCTGATGCATTGAAAATGTTTGACCCAAAGGACAAGGAAGATTTGATTTTACGAGTGATTCCTGGTATTGTCAATAGGATTGAAGCAAAGAGTATTGAAGCTTACCGAAAAAAGAAGGAGCAACTGGAGAAACTAAGAAAAGAAAGGGAAGAAAAGAGAAAGAAACAGTTGGAAGAGGAACAAAGAAAGCAAGAGGAGGAGCGCAAACAAAGAGAAGAAAATGCTGCTAACGAACCCCCAAGAGAGCCAATTTTGGTTAGAATAGGGGACAGAGACGTTGATATAAGCGGTACTGACATAGACCCTGATTATATTGAGGCCCTTCCTGAAGATATGAGGGAGGAGGTTTTTGCACTGTATGTTAGGGAAAGACGTGCAAATGCTAGTACGACCAATTCTGATGCACGAGAGATTGACCCCGATTTCTTGGATGCTCTCCCTGGCAACATTAGGGATGAAATATTACAACTGGAATCATTAGCAAGAAGGTTTTCAGAATGGGATGAAAACCGGGATGAGTTTGAGGATGCAGCTGCCGACCATGATGATGATGATGATGATGATGGGGAGGAGGAGGAGGAGGGTGAAGAAGGCGCGGAGCACTCGAGGCCGCAAAGCTCCCTGAATCCTTCTACACAAACTACGGGAAGGAAGAAATCTGGAAAAATTTTCTTTACTCCACTAGTGGACAAGAATGGTATTGCTGCAATTATAAGACTACTTTTCTCCCCATTGTCGATTAACCAGAGAGAGCAGATTTACCATGCTCTTCAGTATATGTGCAACAACAAACATAGCAGGGCTGAGATTATAAACATGATGGTTGCCGTATTGCATGAAGCTTTCACCAATCAACGCCTGATGCAAAAGATATACTCGCAGATATGCAGCCGCGCGTTAGGTGGCAAAGAGGTGAAGAGTAGAATTCCATTGAACACTACACCAATATCAACAGGAATACAATTTGTCGAATCGATTGACTTTCTTCTTGAACGAAACAGTCATTTGAGGTACTTTATTTTGACTGACCACGACAACCAGTACATGTTGCCATTAAAGAAATCAAAGAAGGTAATAAAAGAGAGTAAATATCCGATCAATTACTTGTTGAAATTACTAGACAACAAACTAGTGGCAGAAGATCAGACATTCTTGGATGTTTTAGCAAGAGTTTTACAGTTATCTACCCGTCCGTTGTATGCATTGAAGAAATTGGAAGGTAAGTCTGCACCGTTTAGTCCACCCATTATACCCGAGGAGAATATAAGATCTATTATTACCATTTTAACTGGTAATGACTGTTCCAATTCTACATTTAGGAGAACCATAAGTGCAATGCAAAATTTGTCGGTGCTACAAAATGTACTGGATATTTTCAAAAGTGAGCTATCTAAGAAAGCAACTGAGTACGGTCACAAGATCATTACGGATTTGAACAAGTTGACTTCAGAGCTTGCTGTTGATGCTGATTCGAACAGCAAGGCATTTTCGAAATTTAGTGCTCATTCTTCGGATCAAGCCAAGTTGCTTCGAGTTTTAACAGCACTTGATTATATGTTTGAACATAAGGACAAGGATCAAGTTGAAAGGAAGAGTGACGTTGAGGAACTAACTGAGCTTTACAAGAAGTTGGCGCTTGGAAACTTGTGGGATTCTTTGAGTGAATGTTTGAGGGTTTTGGAAAAGAATCCCCAATTGCATAACATTGCAAATGCATTGTTGCCCTTGATTGAAGCTTTGATGGTTGTGTGCAAACATGGCAAGGTACGTGATCTTCAAAATAAGGAGAATGTAAAGTATGAAGTGAAAAAGATTGATTTCACAAAGGAACCAATTGAATCGTTGTTTTTCTCCTTTACGGATGAGCACAAGAAGATTTTGAATCAAATGGTTAGAACAAATCCAAATTTGATGAGTGGACCGTTTGGAATGTTGGTGAAGAATCCAAAAGTGTTGGAATTTGATAACAAAAAGAATTACTTTGATCGCAAGCTTCACAAGGACAAACCGGAAAATTCAAAGTTGGCAATCAGTATTCGTCGTGACCAAGTATTTTTGGATTCTTATCGTGCATTGTTTTTCAAACCTAAAGATGAATTTAAGAATTCCAAATTGGAGATCAATTTCAAAGGTGAGCAAGGTATTGATGCTGGAGGAGTAACACGTGAATGGTATCAAGTTTTGAGTAGGCAAATGTTCAATCCCGACTATGCTTTGTTTTTGCCTGTTGTTTCTGACAAGACTACATTTCACCCTAATCGTACGTCTTATGTCAACCCCGAGCATTTGTCGTTTTTCAAATTCATTGGACGTATTATTGGTAAAGCTATTTATGATAACTGCTTCTTGGATTGCCATTTTTCAAGAGCTGTTTACAAGCGTATTTTGGGTGAGCCACAATCATTGAAAGATATGGAGACTTTGGATCTTGAGTATTACAAGTCACTTATATGGATGTTGGAAAATGATATCACGGATGTGATTACGGAGACCCTTAGTGTTGAGACTGATGACTACGGTGAACATAAAGTTATTGATTTGATACCCAATGGTTCAAACATTCCAGTGACTGAAGAGAATAAGCAATTGTATGTCAAAAAGGTTGTTGAGTATAGGTTACAAACCTCTGTTGAAGAACAAATGGAGAATTTTTTGATTGGATTCCATGAGATTATACCCCAAGATTTGGTTTCGATTTTCGATGAGAAGGAATTGGAACTTTTGATATCGGGATTGCCTGATATTGATGTCCATGATTGGCAATCACACACTCAGTACGTCAACTATTCTGCGTCCTCTGTGCAAATACAATGGTTCTGGAGAGCCGTCAAGTCATTTGACAATGAAGAAAGGGCAAGATTGTTGCAGTTTGCCACAGGTACGTCAAAGGTGCCATTGAATGGGTTCAAAGAGTTGACTGGTGCTAGTGGTACATGCAAGTTTAGTATCCATCGCGATTATGGTGCAACAGACCGTTTGCCTTCATCGCACACCTGTTTCAACCAAATTGATTTGCCAGCTTATGAAAATTACGAGACGTTGCGAGGCTCATTGTTGATGGCTATAACTGAAGGACATGAAGGATTTGGATTAGCTTAGGAGAGGGCAGTAGTAGTAGTCGTAGTAGTAGCAGCAGCAGCAGCAGCAGCAGCGATTTATTGTGTATACATTTTAAGATTGATTTTGAGTTATTTATAAATAAAAGCTCATCTAAATCTCTCTATTGTTATACACTCTATGAAAATGATTAATTGTTTATTGCAAGATTTCTTCAGCAAGTTGATCAAAATCGCCCGTGTTGATCATATGCTTGACATGTTCGTAATTTCTTTCATTGATTTCTCGATTCTTTTCGTCGAGTAAATTGCAATATTCCAAGTATTCAGCTGGAGGGATTGTGATTCTTCCCTTTTTGAATACATATTTCGTCAATGCAATAGCATTGATTCTCTTTCCCTTAGTTTTCGGATCATATGTAGTGAAGGTTGACAATACAAACAACCATTTCTTATCCCAAGCCAAAACACGGGAGTTTATGTCATATTTTTCAAAAACGGTCAATTGACGCTTAAACAGGCATTGCACGGTACCCAATGGAGTATAAGGAATATTTTTAAACGTATTCTTTTCTTTACCAAATTCACCTGACTTGTTTTCATACGCACTCCACCAATACTGTTGCAACAAACGGACTAACAATTTAGTTCTAGCGATATCCAAATCGACAAAATACGTCGAATTGTTCTTGTGCATGAACAAGTCAATTTCATTGGGGCTCACGCGTGTATGGTATGTGACGTACTTGAATAATTTGTCTGGTGATCCGAGGTCGAAGGAGTTGTACTTGGTTACATCTTTGTTCTTTTTGAATCTTGAAGGGGCTAATCCTCTTATTGATTGATAGTAGAATCGAAGAGGGTGAGAAAATGGGGCTGTTTTGTGACAAAGAATAAGGTATAGTGCAGCAAGTATCCACTTGATTGAGATCATCTTTTGTAATAGGAGTGAGTCTTGGGAGCAGGAGGATATATATGAATTGTGATGGAAAAGAAGAAACACCCTGTTGGAATTAAAAAAAAAAAAATTTTTCCCGTGCATATCACCTCGGTTATAAAACCGTTAAGTGAAATTGTTTGATAAAAATTGTTGGGGTGAGGGTCTGTGTGTGTGTGTGCTGCTCTTCCAGCCTCAACAAAACGTTGTGTGTTGGCGCGGCTATAACTATACGATAGTGAAAGAAGCAATGTGATAAAGACTTACTTCTACACATCCTTTCTCCGTCGTTATCGCTCACACATACTTCTACTGCATTGGGGAGGATAAATCTTATATCCGCTTTATCCATAGTAGTAGTTAGGGGACTCATTGATTTACAATAGAGGACATCAATAACACATCAACTCGTACATCAAAGCTCTAATAGCAGAAACGAAAGAACAATATTTGGTCAACATCAACATAAACTTGACAAAGCAGTAAAACTGGTTCTAGAATCTAAATAAGCGTTAACGCGTTCTAAAATAAGCAACCGTTAGCCCTTTGCACGTTGTGGTATAATAATAAACTCTACATGAAGGTTTGCCAATGAAGAAGTTACTTGTTTTCAGGTGTGCAAGTCTTGCTTTGATAAGGAGATGATGGGTAATTTCTTCTCTTGTATATCATTTTGAGCAACTCGTGTAATCCTTCCAATTTTGATGATGGATATAGAGTTCCACTAACTCCGATCCCGTAGAAAAATAAAAGAGAAAAAGTAAAAGAGAAAAAGTACAAGAATTCGGCCGAAAAGAAGAAGAAACAACAAAAAAAAAAAACAAAACAAAACTTTTTTTTATATCCGCAATTTTTTTCTTCTTCTTCATCTTCATCATCATCATCATCATCATCATCATCATCATCATCTTCTTCATCATCATCATCATCATCTTCTTCATCATCATCATCATCATCATCATCATCATCATCTTCTTCTTCATCATCATCATCATCATCATCTTCTTCATCATCATCATCATCTTTTCTTCTTCTTCTACAAATAAGTTTTTTTTTTACTTTTACTTTCTTCGTTTGTTTGTTTATTTCCACACTCGTTTTGCAGCTGCAAAATTAGGGACATGGATGTTGCAACCTAAAAAAAAACATTTCAACAATGGTGCGATGGATATGCAACTAATCCATGTCTCCTACATGCTGTATAACATAATTGTAGTTACTTAAGGAGGATAATAACTCTCTCAATATGTATCTATTTTTCTTTCCTTTTTTTTTTATTTTCTTCTTAAAAAAAAACCTCTATTAAACCCATTGATGAAAAAAAAATCTAATGTACAAAAGAATAAAATAAGGAGAATAAAACCCAAGTAGCGACATATACATTCATAATCGTCATCATCATTCAGTACTCGTTAAAATACATGACTCACAACAAAACCTCGATTATCGTATTTTCTATCAGCCTCTTTTCATCTTGTTGACAGCATGAGGACAAGAATCAGTTTCAATATGGTTATGAATCCAATCGTCGACATTCTCAAACTCTTGGAAACACATGCGACACTTACCAGCAACTTTATTCCTTTGATCTTTCTTTGTTCCATAAGGATATTGGAAGTGGATGGCTTTCAAGTGGTTTTTAAACGTATCACAACGCGAAAAGATTCCGGTGCTGTGGCAACAATGATCATTGTGATCTGACAATGCTGAAAACTTGTTCTTTACAGCAGAAGCTGCATCATCAGCTTCATTTGCAGAAGACAAAGGAAAAGAAGAAGACGAAGAAGAAGACGAAGAAGAAGAAGAAGACGACGACGACGACATGGTTTTGAATGGGCATTTGAATTGGCCCTTATCTGAACCGATTTCTTTCCAGTGACATTTGGTGTGGCGGTATAAATCATTAGGTCTAGCAAATCCACGTTGACAGTACTCGCAAACATATGGGCGATTGGTTGGTTTTAAATGAGTAGATTTATGAGTGGCCAAATTGGAAAAGTATAGTTTGCATTCTGGACATTGTCTCTTTTTGCGAGGTTTCCAAATCTTTTTTGATTGAGTAGTTGGTGAGGAGGAGCCATCATACCCTTCCTCGTGGTCAGATAAGGGGGCTGGAGATGATGGGGATACCAGTGAGTCTTGCTGAGTGTTATGTGCAACTCCAGCAGCAGCAACTCCAGCAGCAGCAACTCCAGCAGCAGCAGCAGCAGCAGCAGTCATGGTGGGAAACGGTGATACCAATCCTATATGGGTATAGTTGAATGATTGGCTGGATGAGACTGGCGCAGTTATTTGTGAGTCACTCGTGTAGCTGCTATAGCTTGATGATGCGCGGGTCGATTCACCAACACTATCGGCTTTTGGAATCAATAAAGGTGGTGATTTAATACTCGAGGCTCTGCTGACATAAACCTCTTCTTCACTATGGGGAAAAGCTGGAATGTTTAGCGAGTGTATTGATGGCAACGTGATTGATGAATGGGTCATATTGTTTGAATTGGGTACGACAGTTGGAGTAGGAGACTGTAATGGACTTGTCGGGTGGTGATAGTGACGATGTTGAAAGACTGGTTCACTCACCACAACTGGTCCCGGTTGTTGTTGTTGTTGTGATGGTGACGACTGAAGGGAATACCGCAGTAAGGAAGATTTTGTCATATCAATTGTTAGTGGCGCTGCTGCACTGCTGCTGCTGCTGGTGCTGGCGTTTTGGTTGTAGGTGTAAGATGGAACAGTACAAAGTGGTTGAACTGTAGTCAACATAATAATATATGTGCAATTGTCTTGTTGGCTGAGGATGAGCTAGTGTACTGACGATTCAAAACAGAGCTTCACCTGTCAAGACACATGTAAAATAATAGTGAGGTCAAGTGGTTCTGGATGAGATACCTAGCGCTTTATCTGTTCAACAACAACCTCGTGATGACAAATCAACTTAAAAATATCTTTGAACTATTTAAGAATACGTTCGGGTTTTGGGACCCTAGAACTTCATATATATATATATCATATCATATGTTTCTGTACTTCCGTCTCCGCAACTATTTTGTACAGTCTGTTTTACGTCTTAAAAAATAAAATATTACTAAGATCATATTAATCGGCTTTAACATTTTTTTCTGTCCTGTTTTGTGTTCGCAACTGAGAGAGAGAGAGAGAGAGAGAGAGAAAATTTCTTGATTGATGAGAAAGTAAAAAAATAGGGGCTGATGCAGTTAAGCGTGAAAATATCTTCGGTGTTTATTTTCTTCTTAACCGAACTTTCACTTAACCATGAGGACAACGCAGTTTTGCTCTTGTCCTATATAGCATGAAGACACATTTCTACATCCTGCCTAACTGGAAGTTGTTATCTCGTTTGCGTGTATAGAGGAAGGACACAGAGGAAGAAAAGCAAAGAGAAAAAAAGACGGCAGTACCAAAGTACAACTGTTTTCCGGTTATACTCTTTCATCTCCGTGAAATATATTTTTCCTATCCGCATCAGCCTTGTGCACACAAAAGTAAAAGAAGTCGACATACAGAGATTGACAGTCATCCATTCCATTCACAACAAACAACACACTCCACATTGAATAGGAGAGATGATCTCATATATCTGCGTCTCTTCTAAAGCACAAGCGGAGGCAAGGGGTGCGATACTGCTGAGAGAATTTATCGCTCCTAACCTTTAATCTGGCGCATTAAAACAACGCACTTATTGCACACTCGGCCCCCCCTGTAAGAAATTTCCCTCAATGTATGTTCATCAAATTACTCTGCAACCTGTAGGTAGCAACGTCAAGAAATCATAGATGATGGGGTGACGGAAACTCTACAACATTCGTTCCGAAACACCCTACCCTTGTTCTATATCCGCATCAGCCGCGTACGCTTGTTTGTTATTGTTTCTCTTGCCCGTACCCTAACCTTTTCCGTCAAATACAATTTGCTTTGTTCTGTTACTGAATGCGTTCTGGAACCGCAATGAAATTTGTTTTTTTTTTTTAACTCCGAGGGATTTTGTATCTTTTCTTTCGTGTTTGCTGTTATTGTTAAAGCCTCATACATTATATTAATTTAAGCTGCACTACATAGAAGCACGACAATTTATTTGAATTTTTTTATTTCTAATTCTCATACGGGTAATTCGGATACGGCTAAACTTCAAACCAAGTGCCAAAAGAAAAAAAAAATGAAAATAAAATAAAGGAAGAGAAATTAATAAAAACCGGGTCTCATTTTGATTGACCTCTCACGACACTGGGGTAAGGTACAACATACGTAGAGCATTGTGGCTCTTCATAGCGGCAAAACTCAAGGTCTCCGGATCATTGAGTGAGATAGGCAGAAGAAAAAGGATACAGAGTGTTTTGTTTTTTGTTCTTTGCTGCAATTACGTAATAGAAACGGCTGTTCTTAACATTTAAGCTATTTTTATTTTTTTTTTACTGCCGATTTAAAGTCAATGATTTAAGCCCCGGTGCAGTTCACGCAACAACAACAACAACAACAACAACAATACTATGTGTAGAATACATCATTCTGATCTTAACATTAAGTGCTTAATCACTATCTCATCCAAGCTTTGTGGTTATTATTTAGTTTCCAGTGATGCCGGACGTGTAAATGCGCATGACTAGGGTAGGGTGCTGTTTCCCCCCTCCACCCTTTATTTATGAGATCATTCGATACTGCTAGATGTATGATCTACACTTCCCCTATATTGCACACGACATATCTTGGGTATCCTTGTTAATGTGTTTAGCTTTTTGTTTCGTAACTATATCATCTAGGAAGTTGCCAAGATTTCAAAAGTGGAAAACACGCAAGAAAAATAAACACCCAGGGATCGTAGTATTTGGCTTTCGTTTAACAGCAGCACACAGTCTTCCCCCCTTCCCCCCTTGCACAGTTCTCAATCCAGACGGGGGCAATGAAATAGCATTTCCATGCATAAACGATCGCGAGTGTGTGTTCATTGAAAGGGCAGAGAAGGTTTTGCGGATAAAAAGGAGTCGCAAAGTCGGGAGCGACGTCGACAAAAATCCTTAGCTGGAGTTAACACCAAACAACTTATGCAGTCGCTCGGGGTGATTTACGAATCAGCTTGAAACAAGGCGCAGGGTGCGACTGACTCACAGTAGAGTGACAAACTTCGTATGTGTTCTTACTATCTGCAATTATCTCCGAACGTAAAAGCCGTATTTTCTTAGACCAAAAATGATTTGCCTAAATCCGTACAAGACATAGTGATCTCTTGCTCTTTTAAAGTTTAGCTTTACAAAACAAATTTCGGCAAATTCTCCGTGCTTCTGCTTCCGTGCTCCGTGCTTTTCTCTAATACGAATGAAACCTCCCCTTACTAATTGTCATCGTTAGAGTCAATAGCAATGTCCTGGTACGTTTGGCTCTACGGGTGCACTGATGAAAGTTGTTCACAAGGTTTCTTCGGGAGTTTTTCTGTATGAAGAGTGAATATTCATATATTTTGCTTCATTTTGAATCGAAATTGGCCATCTTAGCATTCCCCTAACATTTGTAAAAGGAGTTGTTACTCAGCAACTCTCCATTTTGTCTCAATCCAACTTATTATTAACAAAAAAAAAAACAAACAAAAAAACAATCTATTTATAATTATGAAAGTCTAAAAATGCATAACGCGGAGGATGAACCGGGCTGGGTAAAGTTAGAGTACACATGACATAAACTTCCAAAGTGCTTTACTTCATTCAATCCGATCATCTCTCCCTCACACAAGATGGCCATGGCTTCAATCAAGCTTTTCTTGGTTTGACTTTTCTGGCACCGGTATCAACACCAGAGCTAGTACCACTACTAACGGCATCGTCAGCAGCTTTAGCAACTTCATCCACCTTGACTGGCTTCTTGCCACCTTTACTCTTGTACACCTTAATGTAGAAACTGATAAACAAAACCAAGTACGAAGACAAGATCAAGTATCCATAAGCAGCAGCCAATTCACTTCCATGACAATCTCCAAAGTGTGGTAAACTTGGGAAATAAGAAAATGCATAGTGAGTGTAAGTTGCGAAATAAACAAAACCTAAATCAAGAACAAATTGGATAATTTGGAATCTTGTCACCCATTCCTTCCACCATACTCTGATGCCTCTAGCACTAAGGAAGTAGTACCAGTACATGACAACGTGCACAGCTAAATTCAAAGTAATTGGCACCCATTCCACGGAAGTTGAGCCAGTCAATTGAGTATAGCACAACAAGGCAGTGGCTCCATGGTGATAAGTGTGCAAAAACAACAACTTCTTCTTCTTCAACACCAAAAACACGGTATCAATCAATTCCAAAAACTTGGTTAAATAGTTCAAGTAGTACAAAGTAACCAATTTCTGAGTAAATGCACCCTTGTCACAAATAGCGTAAAACAATCCATGATGATACAACATTGGCACCAATTGTTCAATACACAACAACAACAAACTCAACGACAACAAGGTAAGAACAATGTTGTGCAACTGGAACAAAAAGTTCAACTTCAAAGCTGGCAACTTAAACCTGTTGATGATTTCCCTTCCTCCAAAAATGACAATATAATAAACAATAATTATACTTATGGCATGGTAACCATTAGCTAAAAACGTCTTGTGGTAAATAAACTCGAAATCATCAGCTGGGTATCCAATGACCAACTCAAATACCTTGTTGAAAATGGGCCATAAATATATTCCAAATGGACGTTCAATTGATGGAACACCAATTTGAATTAAATTCTCAGTTGCCTTTTGCGTAAAAATGGATCCTGTCATTGTCTCTAGTTGACCCTGTGAAACACTCTTTTGTATTTGGTTGGTATTAGTGATGGGATAACTCGGCTAGAAGGTATAAAGTCTTGTGTTTGATGCTGCAAACTGGTTTTCAAAGTAATGGAGAGAGTGGTTGTCGAGAGACTTTCTGATGGATGTTGTTTACGCAGACAGAAAAAAAAAAAAATTAAAAAATTTCACATTTTCAAAGAAAGAGACAACAGAGAGAGAAAGAAGAGAAAGAAGAGAAAGAAGAGCAAGACAGACAGACAGACAGACAGACAAGTTACAAAGTTACAAAGTTTCAAACAAGAGAGGAAAAGTGCAACACATAGAGAGAGGAGTTCAGGAGTGAGGAAGAGTGTTTGTATTATCTACATATCCAACACGCTTCTAAATTGACCGTCTCTTATTCTTCAGTACTAATAATGTTGAGGAAACTGGAGACTGGAAACGCGTAATTTTTTTTTCTTTTGCATCCCCCCGCAACTATATGCACAACCTGACTCTGAATCAAAATGTCAGTCTTAGAGGTCGGCAGCACAAAGAATTGAAACAAAGTAACATACGAGAAACAAATACAAGGGAGAAGTCTGCAGATGAAGTGGTTATGATCCCCAGACGTACCTTGTATAAGGTCTCCACTTTCTTGCAGTTTGTGCCGAAACTATACGCAACTAATATGACTTATTAAAATCTCATTTACTGCCAAGAATCTATTTTTGGATACAGAATGGCATAGGTTGTATGGTTGGAACTGATTCATGGAAGCGAGGGGTCAGTGTTACAGGATATGACAGGGTCAGCTACAGAGGTGTAATGACTGGGCAGGTCCTGCGGTTGTGTGATGGGAGGCAATCAGAGTCGGATCCTTTATGCTCTGTTAACATATATAAGGAGTTGTCAAACTCACCTCCCCCCCCTCCCTCCCTTGATTGCCATAAGCTTTCACAATCAAGAAGCAACTGATGTCTACAATGGTCATAATCACTACTATTCAATTCGTTTTGATGACGACATTGTATATGCTTCAATGTCAAGGTGCTGTTGTCCCCACCAACCTGAACAAGGTGCTCCCAATGGATTTCGAAGTCACATACCGTGATTACAATGATAATGACGTGGCTAAGTTCAAGAGAGATTACATCAAAGCCGATTTGAAACATAGGAAAAGTTTCTACACCACTCAGATCAAGTTTGGACCCAAGCAAAACAATGTCAAGGCTGTCATTGATACTGGGTCCAGTGACTTGTGGTGGTGGTGGGGAAGGGGGGTTGCAAAAAAAAATGGTATAGGGTGAGAAAAGGGGGGGGGGGGGGGGCAAGTGACAATGCTGAATGTCTTGACGGCTCCTACATGTAGGAGCGAAGGAGTGTACTCGGTTGAGAAGTCGAAAACTGCATCAAGATTGAATACATCATTTGAAATTGAGTACCCTGATGGAACTATAGCTTCTGGCAAATACGTTCAAGATTCAATTTATTTTGGAAACAAAAGGAGCATCTACAAACAACAATTTGCTGTTGTCAATAAAACCTCTGCGCCGATGGGGGTCTTGGGAGTCGGTGTGGGATTTGGTGAAGCTACAGCGGCAGCTAATTCCAATTATGATGGGTTTGTATACAATTTGAAAAACCAGGGCATAATTGGTAAAGCCGCTTATTCAATATACTTGCCTGAAAAGAAGAGGAAATCAGGTACGATTTTATTTGGGGGGGAAATGATGAGGAGCAAATACTCGGGAAACTTGACCACATATAGCGTCACTTCTAACAAATTGAGCGTGCCATTAAAATCGGTATCATTGCACGATAAAGAGTTCCAAAACGATACGGACACTTATATCAATTCGGGATCCAGGTACTCGTACTTGCCAACAAGCATCGTCCAAGGTATTTCAGATGCCTTGAACGGATCTTATTCGAATGACTTGTGAGTTTACATTGTCGATTGCAAGTTGCAAGGCAAGAAACATAGTGAGATTCAAAGCTTCAATTTTGCAAATGACACCACCATTCAGACTCCAGTATCTTATTTTGTTTATCGCTTAAAGAATATCAAGAATCGTGTTCCTGACCACGCAAAGAATCATTGTGGGTTGTCGATTTTCCCAACTACGGATAATGCTTATGGAAATACTATTTTGGGAGATGATTTCTTGAAATGTGCGTATCTTTCAGTCAATTTGGAGAAAAAGACGGTTGGATTGGCTCAAGTTGTACATTCAAAGCATCATTCATACCAAAGTTTATGAAGTTACACAGAGAGTCGTCGTATCATTTTGATTTCCAAAATTGCAGTACATCCAGTAGTACCATTTATAGAATAGAGATGCATTGTCATTATTCGCAGAACTCGCTTAATACTTTACTTTTTTTTTTTATTTTTATTCATAAACTATTTACTTGAAAACATTTCTTCTTCCCCTCCTCAGTTCATCAACTATTTGGCGATTTCGGTTTCAAATTCAAGAAATCAATGGAGATAATTATATCGTAGCCCTTTTCTTCACACGCAAACATTGCTTCATGCTCATTCGAATGCAAGAATCGGATATTCTCCCCCACCAATGCCCGCACAAGGTTTGTTGTATGTAAATCTCTAATTTCAATAAACCCCGGTTCAAACGACATAAGATATGGAAAGAATAATGCCACATTCTGCGGCGTGCCTTCCCAAAAAATCCCCCAGTCGTGGTTTGTCCTCCAGCCATTCTTGTTGATCAAAAACACAAATTCCGAATAACAAAGCAACACATCTCTGCCTAGTCGGTAAATTGCCAATGGTGTAACCGATTCTCGTTGAGTTGCAAAGTCTAATGATGGATCAGCCTCATCCAAAATTGGTTCCTTTGTACCCAATTGGAGCGATAAAATCTCAAAGCCTTTGGTACATCCAATACACAATTTACTCTTCATGAATGAAATCGAAATTGGGTCAGATGTAAATTGAATCTCTTGTATTTCAATCTTATTCTTGTTTCGATTCTTTTGTTTGGGATCAAATGGATTAATTGGCTCAAATATACAAATGGCATGTTGCGAGCCAGTCTTTGCACCAATGATGAGCAACTTCCCATCGCAAACACCAACTTTGAAAAATGAAATGTGTGTCATAATCAATTTACCCAGTTTAGTGTTTTTCACATGATCCAACGAATCAGTGCATGCAAGGTCAAACTCATACAATACCTTATCGCTCAAAACCAACAACTTCGAATATTGCACCAAAACCTCAATTTGTGTCACATAAGGTTTTGAAATAACCAATGTCGGATCAGAGCAGATTTTTTCATTCGACGTGGCACTGATTGACCGAACAGTGCTCACCCATACTCCAGAATCAGTACCGTACAACAACTTCTTTCCACCATAACAAGGCACAGCACAGTTGATTTTGTTATTACCGGCAAATCTTCTTGTTTCGTACTTACTCATTGAAAACAAATCATTAGCGTCGATGAGTTTCCTTTGCTGTTGTGCAATTTGCAGCAATACTTGACTTTGTATTGTCAGATCTTCGGCAAACAACGAGGCATGCACTTGGTTCCGTCCCAATCCAAGAAAATTCAACTGAAACTTGTTGGTATTGTTTGATGACAATGTGTTTCCAATGTAATTACTACTTTCAGTTCGCTGGTTTTTCAAGCTGGTGTCGGAAACAAGCGAGACATTATACCTAAAGTTCATCAATGTTCTGCTTGTTGGAGCTTCAAATCCGCTATTGACAAACAACAATGGCAACAATATGGGTTTCTCAAACACCTTGTGTTGTTCACGCTTATTTTGCATTTTATGCTTCACCAACAACAATGCATGTTCAAACAAGTATAAATCAATCTTTTCATTATCACGCTTTCGGTTTAGCGTAACTTGATACAAAATCCGATTATTATAGGACAATTTGAAATTAAACTTGTTTTCCAAAGTTTGCTTGCCCAAGAGTCTATGCAAAACCATGATTTTATGACGATCGGTGCTTTCACCAGTTTGGATATTAATCTTCACTAAAAGCGCCTCAATGACTTCCTTTGCCTTCACAAGGTACTTGTAATCGGGACTCTCTGGTTTCGTATGCTTCAAGATCCCCGCCAATAACAACTGGTATCTCGCTGGTCTTTGCACACCTTTTATCAAAAAAGATGACAAGTCCTGCCTTCTCGATTCAGGTTTCCTCTCAATGGCATCAAGAAAACGAGCATACTTTATATTCACTTGTTGCTGGCGTTCATGTTCAAAAGTGGCAAACACTTTATTTCCTGAATACCTAATGAATGGTTCAAAGTTACCAACATGGTCCAAGAACACATCGCCAATGGTCTCAACTACTGGCTTCTGCTGTTGTTGTCTCTTTGTCAATGCGTCGCTAAAACTCTTGCCCAATCTTAACAAATCTCCAACTCCACCAAACACAGTTTGGATAAAAATCTCCCTCTGGTTCTCCGGGATTATATTATTAGCCGGGTTCCTTAATGGCATAATGTAAAAATCAGTCATAAACTCCAAGTCCTTCACGTAATCACGCTCTGTGTAAATGAATTCATAAATCAACTCTTGTCTCGTCTTTTCATGCTTGTCTAGTTTCTCCAACACTGATTGGGGGACAGTCTTGTGCCACAAAGTTTCATTTTCCTCTTGGTCATGTAAAGAAAGCCTCGAAACTGCTCTTTTCAACCCTCCTTGTGGTTTCATATTGAGCCTAGCTTGCTGCTCCAACCTTCTAGGACAAGCAATACTATAACAAAGTTGACTTCTACTGCATGTTGGTGAATAACAATCGGTCAAGATTGTGAAAACACCATTGACTCCAGTTTGCTGTGACGCACTAAGTTTCTTCCCAGCCACCGATGATGCATTATTACCCCCGCTTAACCTGTTGTTAACTTGTGGACCGGAATTCATGTACTCGGCAGATGATGACTGGTTCACATGCTGTGGAAGCTGCTGGGCCAAAAAGTTGTCTTGAATAGCTTGTTGCAACTGGAGACTATCGCTAAATGAACCATGCTTGGAAGGTGCATTACTATTGTTCCCATTGCTTGTTGACCCATCTTCATTGTAAAACTCAACATCATTGTAGATATGAGAAAACGCATAAACTTCGTGAACTGAATCTCGCAAACGATGGTTATATGTGACATCATGGAAAAACTTTTGCGCATCCAACGTCCTCCCCAACAAGAGGGCCAAATTTCGATCATTTGTCTTGATAATACGGCATAATATATCAACGGCCATTTTTCCAGTAAAAGTATCATGATATTCCAAGCCATCTTTTGTATTGATTGTTAAGATTATGGCTTCCTTGAATACCTTGGCTACTTCGGATAATATTGCTGGGTAGATTACGGCCGCCTTTGGGCCCACATGCACAGGAACCATAGTTTTTGAACTGGCATTGCTTGTTCTATCGCTCTTATTCAACGATGAAGATGAATTGAGCTTTTTTGTCGACAACGATGATGAAAACTTACTAAGGGAGCTAAACGAACGCGATTTTGATGATAACGAAAAAGTGTGGTGCAACGACGTTGAAGAACCTGCTCTATCACCGGATAATGGACGAGGGTTGTTACCAGACGGATCGGGGTGGTTATGTTGTTGATTGAGTTGAACTTGCTGTTGCACAGCTTTGGCCCTTGATGTACTGGACAATGACTTTGTTCTTGCATCTTGAGTTACCGGACGTGGAGAAAACTGCAGATGTGGAGAGGAAACGATCCTTCTGTTATCAGCATAAGTGTTCATTATATCAGTTTGTATGGGTGGTAAGTTCGTTGTGGGAGCCTTTCGTGTCTTGAGTGAAGGTACATTTTGCTCTGATTGCTCGTGGATAGTAGGGTATTGTGGTGGATATTGAGATGTGCGAGTGTCAGTGGGATAAGGAACATTTGCACCACCGGCCCTTCCTTGCGACTGGTACCCAGTATCGTATGACAATGACAGTGCTGATTTGTTTGGATGTGAAGCATACGGAGCAGTCAGATCATAATCATTACCATACCTAGACTGAGCATATCCGTCAAATTGTGGTAAACTCCCTGTCCTCTGGTTCAAATTTTGTGTATAATTTTGATTATTAGTACCGTGATTCATGTAATAGGATTGCGATTGTGTTGGCATTGGATGCTGGTTAGTCTGATACAGCTGGAGCACCGCATGGTTACCATTTACGTTAGGCTCTACTGTCGACATTTGCTCATCTTGAAATCCCCAAGGTTGGTTTTGACGCGAGGGTTCTAAAGAGGGATAGTTGGCATTTGACGTAGAGCTAGAATAGTCACTCGACGACCTTGAGGGGTATGTAGGGGTTGACAGCACTTGATTCAGACCAAGCGCAGTATATGATGCTGGTTGATACTGTTGCTGTTGCTGTTGTTGCTGTTGTTGCTGTTGTTGCTGTTGAGGAGGAGGAGGGCGCTTTTGTGGTGAGTGATGATGTGGACTTGGTAATGAGTGCGAGTACTGAGCATGTTTCATTGGGTGCTGATGATTGTGAAGATGGCTGTCTGTATGAAGTGAATTTTGACTTGAATTATGGGGCGGATTGTACAGTACCAGTTGCTGCTGTTGCTGATACAGAGCTGACGACTGGTGTGACCCCTGTCGTTTTTGAGGACTCTGCCTCGATGGATGGTAATGCAGTGTCTGTGGTTGTTGATGTATATCCAGATGGTGGTTGTAGTCATTGTGGTTATGATCCTCTTGTTGATTCATAAACGCTTGTGGCACCAAGTGTGCAGGTAAATTGACGGTATTTACCATACTGCTGTCTTCGGAATATGAATCGTGTGAGGGTTTGAGAGTGGAGTGTGTGGGGTGGGTGGTGGTAGATGCAGAAACGGCGTCAATAGATGATGTTTGAAGGAGTAATAAAAAAAAAAATTGCTCTTTTGAAACCGTGTGAATGGTGGTATGTGTTGTTGTATGTGTATTATTTGTGTGTGTGTGTGTGTGTGTGTATTTGGAGAATTTAGCTTCCCTCTGTTTCTCTGTCTGTGTGTCTGTAAAATTCTTTATTTTATTTTTTTATTTTTTTTTTTAAAGGAATGTGAAAGCTTTAACAATAATTACACAGATGAATCGCTTTTCCATTAAATCGGAAATACAAAGATTTTATATGTCAAACTTTTCATTGTTCTTGTACGTATACATCATGCTAGAAAAGGATTATGAAATGCAGATACAATACATACTCTCGTACTTGCTCCAAGTGAGTTCTCCACTAGTTATGGAACAATCAGTAGTTTCGCTATAAAATTGTAAAATTTTTGCATCCAGTACCGCGCCTGCACCAAAAATGAAATTTATACTACCATCCCGCCTCTTCTTCCCTTGACAAATGACATCTGGAGTTGATTTGTCACTATCATTCAAGCATAACTCGTGATACCCGTGTAGGTTTGATTGGTGCAGATATCGTGGCTACAATAAGAACTTTTTGTGGCTCAGAAATTGCCAATTCGTGAGATGAAGGAAGAAAACAAAGGAAGGTAATATACCGTCCCTCGATTGGGTGCATCTTGCTTGCAAGTTGATTGTGCTTTTGCCCAGATATCCTGCAACAACCGATTGAAACCCGGTTTTCAGCGCGACCACTAAAAAGAGTTGAAAACCTGGCAATTGGATGCGTCAAAACTCCGACCTGGAACTCAAACCTTGGTATCTCTTTAGCCTTGAAATTTTCAACTAGTCTTCTCCCGCTGCCGCAGTTTGGCCATGTAGCCGACAATAAGGATTTATTTTTTATCTTTTGTTACGCAAAGTGAGTGTGCGATCAATCGGGCTGAGCGCACGAGCGTTCTTTTTCATTTGTAACGCGGTAAGTGAAAGTGAAAAGAGCAGAGTAGCCCTCGCTCAACTTCCTCGTCAGCGTATATGACGATGTTCTGTGAATCTGTTTCCCAGTTTGACCCTGGTTCAATTAACTTTTCAGCTGGTCGTTTGACATTTGAGGCGACGGAAGCGTCATTTCTTTTTTTTTTTTTTTTTTTTTTTCAATTTTTCTTTTTTCTCTTATTGTTTAATTTTGTAACTTTCTGTTGCAAAAACGAAACGAAAGGAAACGACAGGGGGGGGGACGGTGGGGGATGACATCGGGTGTATACGGCACAACTTCGGATGAGTTTACGGGCCAGTAAATCAGCCTCGCCAAGCACTGAACAGAGGGGTGGAATGGGCTCCAGTCTTGCTCACCACTCGTAACACTGAGTTCATGACCCCATACGAATCGTGTAATTTTTAGCGACAATTTTTTAAAGAAGTCTAGTTGTTAACTCCGAGACAGATACTACAATGACGTAACAAACAAGCCAATACCATTTTATCTGCCGTAGCCACAACAATGCGGGTGCTGCTTCTAGTTATCCTTGCACTTACTTGAAAGGATTGAGGTACCCACTGTCTGAGCCGGGATGCACTATGGTACTACCACAGTATCGTAAATTTACATTTTTTGATGGCCAGAACAATACTTCAGGCTCGCTTATCTTCTTCATCCGTTAAATAGTTGAGTCTTGAACCAAGAGAGTGGTTAGTAACGACTGAAGCTGTTATGTATGGCGACTCTTGAACATGCTCTAAAAATTGGAGAAAGCTTCCTGCGCTTATGTAATACAGAGCGGAATGGAAAGCTGATAAAAAAAAACAACAATTAATTCAATCGAAAAAAAATCAATTGATGACAAAACCGGAATTGGGTCGAGATTTTTCAGCCGCTACAACATCATCCAATCATTACACTCCTCTTATTTTCCTTATCCCCCCCCCTCCCCATTATTTAATTATCCATCCACTCTATTCTACAACATCAACTAATCCGCCCCACCCCCACCCCCCCTTTCTCCAAATGGTTCATCAAGCGGAATTTCTCGAGACTACAGAATACTCAGTCAAGTCTGTCCTTCAAGGTGGATACAACCATGCATTATCACGAGAATGGCAACAAGAGAGACAACTCATGAAAAACATGTTCATATTCCCTCTTTTTGTAACTGATGACCCAGATGAAGAGAGTGATATTCCATCGTTGCCCAATATCAAACGGTTTGGAGTAAACAAGTTGATCCCATATGTGGAGTCCTTGGTCAAAAAAGGATTACGCGCCGTCATTTTGTTTGGTGTTCCCTTGAAGCCTGGTGTTAAGGATGAAGTTGGTACTGCCGCTGATGATCCAGATGGACCGGTTATTGCCAGCATCAAGTTATTGAAGTCGAATTTCCCTGATTTATTCATCATGTGTGATGTTTGTCTCTGTGAGTACACGAGTCACGGCCACTGTGGGATTTTGAATGAGGACGGGTCATTGAAACCTGAACCTTCAGTCAAACGTATTGCCGCTGTTGCAGTCAACTATGCTAAAGCTGGAGCCAACTGTGTGGCTCCTTCGGATATGATGGATGGAAGGATCAAAGATATTAAAGCTGGCTTGATCAAGGCCGGTTTGGCAAACAAGTGTCTTGTCATGTCATATGCTGCCAAGTTTTCTGGAAACTTGTATGGTCCATTTAGGGATGCAGCTGGGAGTGCACCTAGTCACGGTGACAGAAAAGCATATCAATTACCACCAGCAGGATCGGGATTGGCAAGAAGAGCATTGTTGAGAGACATGGAGGAGGGAGCCGATGCAGTTATTGTGAAACCATCTACTTTCTATTTGGATATCATTAGTGATGCAAGCAGAGTATGCCGTGATTATCCAATCTGCGCGTATCATGTCAGTGGTGAATATGCCATGTTGCATGCTGCTGCTGAAAAGGGTATTGTTGATTTGAAAGGCATTGCATTTGAAGCACATCAGGGGTTTTTAAGAGCAGGTGCGAGATTGATTATTAGTTACTTTACACCAGAGTTTTTGGACTGGTTACAAGTGTAACAGATTTTTATGATGAAGCAACCTTGTATAAAGATTGATCTATGTATATACTGTCAATAAAAGTAACGTACAGATTCTATATTGCAATTTGTTGATTAGCTTTCGGCAGTTTTGCTCTCTCGACCACGGGTGCTTCATTATCCTCCAATGTACTAGGCGCATTTGGCAATATGCGATCTGTTGGAGCATCAGGCAAATCAACCTTACCATCTTCCTCCCCTTTCTTCTCTTTCGCCTTGATCTTCTCACCGGGATGAATTTCTCGATCCAATTTGGCAAACTCCTGCTCAATCGCATCTTCATCAACTCGACTCAACCCAGACCCCAACCCTAAAGTCTGACTAATCTCTTCCTCTTTCAACTTCTCCTCCTCCAAATCATCCATAATCTTATCAATCTTCTCCACACTCATCTCATTGTTCAACTGTTTCAAAACTTGATTTCCCTGTTGTAGTCCATACATCACATCCTTCTCAATCAACTTGTACTCTATCGTTCCGATCAATTTTTCCAAGTTGTCCAATTGTTCAAAAGTCTTGTTGATTGTTGATTGTTGATTCTTTTTGCATCGTAGGTAGAATTTGGCCCGTTGTGGTTGATTATTGGCGATTGCCCGTTTGGCCAATTCGGTTTGTTTGTTGCAGATGATGGATAGTTTACGCTGATGTTGTTTTATCTTGTCCCGCTGTTGCTTGAGCTGGAATATAGCTCTGTCTTGGTCCGTTATCTTGGGTGCGCTAGGTTGGTTACCCATGGCTCTGTTGTGTTGTTGCTGTTGTAGAAGTAGCAAAAGAGTTTACTGTGGTGCATAGATTAGTTCGTACGATTAATATTTTTTTTATTTTTTTTTGTTTTGCTGTACTGCCGCGGAGATGATATGTGCTGAATATCGTGTGCTTATAGAATCAAACGTAGAGCTACATTACGAGAGGTCATCATTATTGTCAATTTCAAGTACGTAACTTACATAACATCTATACTTAATCTCTTTTGGTTTCATCGTCCTTGACGCGGTTGCCTTTACCCAACTTGTCGTAAACAATTGACTGTCCCAACAAGATAGAATTCATAATCAAGGAAGTGGTGTAACCAGCAACCAAAATCTTTTCGTCAACAGTGTTTTTGTTTCTCTTGGCCTTGGTCGAGTAGTCGGTGTATGAAGTGTACACTCTAATGATTGAACCAAGTACATTAGCTCTCAACACGACATCACTCAAATGACTAACAGTCTGTAATTTGTAATTGGCCCTAATTTGCGGGATTTTTGAAATAATTGAAATTGGAATGTTCAAAATTTGTAAAGTTGAAATGAGACTAGATGGAGCAATCTTTGTGAAAAAGATGACGGCACCAGCCATAATCAAGAGTGGATGGGCCAAACCATCAGCCAATTCTTTGATAGCATCGGACAATGGCAACTTGGCAACATTGTCAATCTCATTGTTGCCTCTCAATCTGTAGTATTTGGTCAACAAGATGATGATGGCATTTTGTATACCCAAAAGTAAACTCTCCCCGTAATTGATAAATGGTATATTATTGTGAGAATTGAAAGATACATGAATCAAGCTGTTCAATGTATCAATTGTCAAACTTTGCAATGATAATCCATTTGCAACACGAACACGATCGGCTTCAGTTTTGATCAACAATTTACGAATTTGGGGGATTCTGATGAATGAGGAGACTCCAACTGTCAATGCACTCAATAACGCTGCGAGGACTTTTCCAATACCAATTGCCTTGACTTGAGACCAAGCCATTTGCAAGACAATCTTGTTGGATGTGTCTGGGTCTTTCAAAAGATCAAGGAGGAGGAAAAGTGGACTGCCCATGATTGATAATGTTTGTGACTAGTTTTGTAGGTTTGGGGTTTTTTGAATATTACGCTTCGCTTATACAGGAGACAAAAAAACCAGATGTGAATGGTGTCTTTGAAAAGAAGATGTTATAGATCACTTTCACTTGAGATATTCCTCGGTAATTAATTTCGTTTCGTTTCGTTTCGTATTTTTTTATTTATTTTGTTTTTCTTTTCTTTTCTGTGATAAAAGTGGTTGGAGCGCTCTCAATTGCGTGTGACTAGATCCGCGTGAGTACAATCCTTGTGTTTAAACTTCCTCAAAAGTGTATTCAAAAGGCCTTGCAAGAAGGGGAGATAGGGCAGGCAAAGTCAATTTTACAAGTAATAGAGAAGATTGGATTATTTATAGATAAATAGATTGAGGAGAAAAAGGGAAACAATATAAAAAACAAAAACAAAAAAAAAACAAAAAAAAAACAAAATAATTTTATGCAAAGTTGGTTAAATTCATTTTGATTTCACCAATTTGGGTAAATAGGGTGTATATAGGACCACGGTCACCACAAGAGTAAGAGGTCAATTGCTCAAGAAACTCTCCTGATTGAATACTTTGGAACTTATAGAGCTATGTTTATGTATGTGCTCGTCACATGATCATATGTTATAAAGAGAGTAGTATAATCTATCCCCAACTAACCATCTAAATAACACATGAAAGCTTTTATTGAGCACACAGCGCAAACTTTGTTGTTTTTATTTTGTTTAGTTTTTTGCTACCCCACCATCTTTCACACAACATGGAGATAAAAATTAGTTACAAAACTTTGTCAGTGAATATAGCTCTACTTCATTCATTTCGCTAATATCATAAATACAGGATTTATCACATGCTTTAACACTAGAAGTATGTTTTTCCTTTCTTTCCACAGCAGTTGCCTCTAAATGTCTCTGTCTCTCTACATAGCTTCTTCCTCTGCATAGTTACTCCCACCTGATGCTACAGGAGTGAGCCCAAAAGAAGCAGTCTTGATAACCTGCTTCAAACATATCACAATCTTCTCATCTACTGTATGAACAAACTATCTCACTATTCACTTCGTCTTGCCTTTGCAAGTTTCTTCTTTAAAGCAGCTTCTGCGTTCTCAATAAACTTCAAATTCTCCAAATGAAGATTCAACAATTGAATAATCTCTTCAATTGCATTATCGTAGTTTTGATTATTAACTTGACCCTTCTTATCATTGCCTTCTCCTTCTGTCCTACCACCTGGCGGACTAAGGTTCTTAGCTAAACTTTTGTTAAAAGTGTTGCTTATTGAATTAACCTCCGCTATCAATGTATTCAAGTTGTCGCCCAATGTGTCCAACCTCTCATCCAAGAGTTCAGCATTATAGTACGCCTTTTCACGTAATTTGTCAGTCAAACTGACGGTCGTGGGCACAAGGGATTGTTGCTGTTGATGTTGGCGTTGCTGTTGTGTATCGTCACGCGTAGACAATGCAGAGCTTGATCCACTTGCACCAGCGGTGGCTGTGCTTCTGTTGGCATCTCCAGTGATTGCCGGAACACCAACACTTGTAGTCGTTGCACCCGAATTACTACTGAGATCAAGATTATTCAACAAGATATCGGTCTGCAGCTCATAATTGTCCAACACTTTCTCCAACTCATCTTGTTGATTCTCAACAAATTGGAGCTGCTGATCAATCTTGGACTCCAATGCTTGCACCTCTATCGACTCTTGATTCAACTTGGTGATTGCATCCCCGCTTTCCACCAATTTCAAGTCCCATGACTTAACCTTATCGGTATACGTGTTGAACAATTTGGCAGTTGAGCTCAATTGTTTAGACCACTTCAAAATCAAATCATCCAAGTTCTTATTGTCTATGGAAACCGCAATTGGCTGGATTTTGGTGGGTTTCAAATTAGGTTGTGATGGGTCAGCAGTGGTTGTGGACGTGCTTGTTGAAGCAGAAGGTGCAGCAACATTGGCAGTGCCAGTCTCCTTCTTAGATTCGTTGTCATCTTTCTTTGCACCAAAGCTAAAGCCACCTGCAGGTTTATCCTTGTCGTCATCCTTCTTAGCACCAAATGAGAATCCTCCTGCAGGTTTATCTTTTTCATCATCCTTCTTAGCACCAAACGAGAATCCTCCTGCCGGTTTATCTTTCTCTTCGTCCTTCTTAGCACCAAACAGGAATCCTCCTGCAGGTTTATCCTTTTCATCATCCTTTTTAGCACCAAATGAGAAACCTCCGGCTGGTTTATTTGCACCATCGTCTTTTGTAGCTCCAAAAGAAAAACCTCCAGTAGGCTTACTGGAAGCATTGTCGGCTTTTGATCCAAACAATGATCCCGATGCAGGTGTAGTTGTTGCATCGCTTTTGGAACCAAAGCCAAATGCAGGTTTATTTGTAGCTTCGTCCTTCTTGGCACCGAAACTAAATGGCGCACTTGCCGCAGGGTTTGGTGAGGCAGTGCCACTTGGTGGCGTTGGAGAGTGAACCCTCTTTTCTGTTTCAACGTTTCCAAAAATAGCACTAGCTTTAGGCTGTCCTAAAGTTGTTGCTTGAGTGTTGGTGCCGCTCGCACTGGTAGCAGCAGAAGAGTCATCTTTCTTTGCGCCAAATAATGACGTCGATTGTGGTTGACTAGAGCCGAAAGAAGTCAGACCGGCATTGGACGTGGCACCAAAACCAAAAGCTGGCTTTTTTTGCTCATCACCATCCTTCTTTTGACCAAACGCACCACTGAAGGCACTAGGAGACCCAGTCAGTGATTGAGCGCCAAAACCGCCAAAGCTTGGTGTAGTGCCTTGTGATGTAGTTGATTGCGCTGGTTTGCTTGAATTGAAGAGACCACTTGCTCCTCCTGTAGATGCTGGTGCTGGTGCTGCCGCTGCTGGTGATTCGTCCTTTTTGCCAAAAGTGAATCCACCGGAGTTCAGAGTGGTGGGATTGGGCCCAGAGTGTCCAAAGAGAGAAGACTGGCCGGATGTCGTTTGGCTCTTATTTGCGTCGGTACTTGCACCAAATGAGAATCCAGATCCGGTAGGTTTGGATGAGTTAAATGGACTTGAGGTCGATTGCGCTTGTTGATTGCTGGAACCAGCTCCGAATGTAAAACCACCTGCAGGTTTATTAGTCAGCCCAAATGCACTTGTATTGGCATTGGAATTGTTGGATCCGAAACCAAATGCATTATTGCCTTGTGATGAGTTGTTATTGTTGTTGTTGTTGTTGTTGTTGTTGTTGTTGTTGCTGCCACTTCCACCGAACGCACCGCCTTGATTGTTGGACGAGTTGTTGTTTCCAAACATTGACATCTGTGTATAGTATCAATGGGAATTGAAGTAAAACGGATGTTGCTTCTCCAACAATTGCAATTGGCTTTTTCAAAGAACGTTTGGGAGTTTACAAGATCTACCACTGTGTTTTTTTTTTTTTTTATTTTACTTTTTTCTTTTGCGCCAAGCGCTCCCTTTTACTGTTGTTCAAACTACAAGTTTTAATGCACTTTAAATGTACTACTATGGCTCTCTATACGCTGTTTACTTCTTGCTACCTTGAGCTGCAACGGCAGCAGCACCAGCGGCAGCAGCTTCTGGGTCCAAATAGTAGGCTGGCTTGGTAGGTTTCAAGTTGTCATCCAATTCATAAACCAATGGGATACCAGTTGGAATGTTCAATCCAGCAATTTCTTCATCGGAAATGTTGTCCAAGTGCTTGACCAAAGCTCTCAAGGAGTTACCGTGAGCAGCAACGATAACAACCTTTCCTTCCAACAAATCGGCAGCAATTGAATCTTGCCAGTATGGAATCAATCTGTCAATGACCAATTTCAATGACTCCGTATGTGGAACGACTGCTGGGTCAAGATCAGCATATCTTCTTTCACCGACTTGTGAGTACTTGTTGTCTGGGGAAATTGGTGGTGGTGGAACATCAAAAGATCTTCTCCAAGTTTGGAACTTCTCCTTACCGTATTGTTCCAAAGTTTCAGCCTTGTTCTTACCTTGCAAGTCACCATAGTGTCTTTCATTCAATCTCCATGATCTCTTGACTGGCAACCACAATTGGTCAGCTTCTTCCAAAGCAATGTCTGCAGTTTGAATGGCTCTGGATAAAAGTGAGGTGTGCAAAATGTCACCTTTGATACCGGCCTCCTTGATCAATTCACCAGCTCTCTTGGCTTCTTTTCTACCAGTTTCTGACAATTTAACGTCAACCCAACCGGTGAACAAGTTTTTCTCGTTCCAATCGGATTGACCGTGTCTAATTAAAACTAACTTTGGCATTCTAGATATCAATTGAGTGTATTGTTCTTTTAAAGATGTTGTAACTTGAAAAGATTGTAAAAAAAAAGAAGAACAAACGAAAGAACGTGGGAAAAACTGTGGAAAATATACTATAATATTTTTGTTTACACAGTGATTGGATCGAGAGTGCCCCGGATGCATTTGGGTGAAGCAAAAAAAAAAAAAAAGAAAAAAAAAAAATAAAAGAGCGAGGTGTGGATTGGTCCCGACCGAGGGTAATTTTTGCAAAGCAATATCTACAAAACAAGAGGGTGCACCAAACACACAATTGCTCCACTACACACATCCCCTCTAGCTACCAAATTGGATGTTATTTTGATACTCTGCTGATGTCAAATTCTTGTGATCAGCAGGGTTGGCAGCCAGTTCATAAATCGTAACCACTGGATCTTTATTCAATTCAGTAAACTCTCCCCTCAATTCAATCGAATGGAAACGACACTGGTCTTCGCCTTCATCATATATATCGGAAACGAAAATGGTCAACTGCTGCACTCCAGTAAACTTATGCCTTTGAAGAAAATGCTCCACAAAATCATTGTCGGATTCGACAGTTACCTCTGATTCATCAACATCATCAGCAATACCGACTTGAGGATGAGTGAGTGTTTGTACAGGTTTCTTCAGCTCTATGTTGTCAAAATCAATCATTTTGTCGTTTTTAAACAACTTGATGGTCTTGGGGCAGTAGGAATTGCCATTGGTGCGAAGTATTAACGAGTACAATTTCACACTTCCATTCAAGAATGGAATGTTTATGATGAGCTGTTCGTCACAGTCTGATTTGATCGTAGGACGTATTTCATACTTGTTGGTTGGTGATTTGAATATTTTGGCAAGATCATCGGGTGGATTTGCCATGTTCAATCCTGACACTTTAAATGTATCTATTTTTGAATTGAGTGATTGTGATGACGACGTAGGGATAGGTGCTACGTGACTATGATCGTGGTCGTGATTGTGGTTGCCATGGCCCCCGTGTCCACTGTGATGCTCATCTTCGCAAGACATATCTGAGTTGGTATGGGATGTACCTTAAGTGTTATTCTTTGCTTCTGCCACAAAAAAAATAGAATAAAAAAAAGAAAAAGCCTGAGCCTCTACTTTACAAACACAATTCTTTGAAGGTGATCTAATCCTGTCTATTCTATTTAAACTCTCACAATGCTAAACTAGTGTATAAACAAACAACCATAACAACTACGCCCCATATAGTCAACCCAAGTGACAAGTATTTAAAGATCTTTTCTAAAGTGCTTGGATCATCCAGTTCCGACCCAATAAGCTTGTATCCAAACAAACCAGGCAAGATAAAAGAAATAGAAGTGGACCCAGTTGCTCCAACGATAGCCAACACAAATGCAAATGACTTCAATGATATAGCAAGTATGTACGCCGTAAGCAAAAGAATGACCGTGAGAACAACAAAAGTCTGGTTTGAAAATGGGACAACATGCAAGTTATGCTGGCCCTCTGAATCTCCTTGATTGCTACCTTGAAGCAATAGGGTCGACTCATTTACATCCTCTGACTTTTCCTCCAACCCCTTTCTAGCTGCATAGTAGATATTGTTGAACGAGATACGTGCTGGGAAAAACATCAATGGGAAGGAGAATAAAACCATAAACACAATGCAAAATCTTCCCAACCATGTTGCTGCACCATTGGGGTACGACAAAATGACATTTCCATTTACACTAGAGCCAAAAGTCAAATAACCTGAAAGACCCACTCCAATAAACAACAAACTTGAAAGAATGATGGCAAAGTTGATCAAACGCGTCAAATTGGTTAAAGATTTGTCCCTTGCTTCATTGATAATTGAAAACATATTCTGTTGCCCACTGAAAGCAAACACAATAATGGAAAATGTGCTAAATACTCCGGTCACGCTCGATGGGAAGTATTCAATGATCCCAGAGCGGGGGATATCATTTATGAAGAAATGAGCAACCACAAGTAGTGAAATGTAAAAAATGGCAATCAAGGCCAAAATTGAAGTGTATCTCAACGCATCAAGCTTTCTAGCAAACGACAATGGTACGGTAAAGAGAGCTGAAACCAACAACCAAAACGTTCTATAATGCTTCTCTTCAACATAGGGCACATTTGAAATTATGGTGGGCATCAAATCACCAATAAGCACCAAATAGGAGATGGCGCAACCAAAGCATTGTATAGCAATAGCGATATCGAATATAACGGACAACTGTGGGTATGTGATTGAACAGAGACCAAAGAAATTCGCATGCCCACTAGCAACGTATCTTGACACATAAGCCTGTATGAATAAACCAAAGCCCGAAGTCAAGGCTGCAATTAGGATTATGAAGGTTCCAAATATAGTTCCGTCTGTGGAGTATGCCAATGGCATGGATAACAACCCAGCACCGATTATCGTCTTTGCCAAATTAATAGCAGATGAGATGTTGGAAGCCCCGCTGCTTCCATTGTCTATATGAGGCATGATGGTGTTGGACTTGGTGAGTTGGAGAAGTAGCTGATTGAAAATTGCTTTAAGTTGACGAGATGTTAAAAGCAAGCCACAATAGAGAGAGAGAAAAAACAGAAATGTTTTCTACAGCGCGAAATTCCTAAAACAGAATGACGACACCTACGCTACCGCCGCCACCACCACTGAAAGGACAGCTGCAAATTTACTGCCATTAATTGAATGTGGCGACCATATAGTCTTTCTTCCTAAGTCCTTGTAATAGTACTGTCTCATTAAGTTTTAACATACGTACCCGGTTGAATATTCTCTTAATTCTACAATTTTTTTTTATCAATCTCGCCTAATTTTGTTGCAAAATTAGTACAAATTCTTTCAATTTCAAGATGAAATAACCTACCTAAACAACCACTCTGACCATGCCGCTGTCTCACACCAGAGTAGTAGAGATATCAATGAATTGCACTTTGGCTCACTTCTGCGTTTCGTTTGGAATACCCAGATTTAGAGCTTTATTGCCATAGCAATTATAATATGACACAAAGACCTGCATAACGGTTTAATCTATCAGCGCATGGTGCAGTGGAGAGGCGCTATTTGGCACTCTAGAACAACTACCGGAGCTCGGCTCAAATGGTAAATATCACCGAGTCTTCTACCAAAATCTAAGCACATGTCAGAGTAGCCCAAAGTTGGCCAGTACACAATGATGAATGTTCGTGTATGTCGGACAATATTTGACACCGAAAACAAACCGAAAAAGGAAGAAAAACAAAAAAAAAATTTCCTTGAACAACGACAACGAGAGAAAATTGGAATTCCATTTTGCTTAATGCAAAATTCCCTTCTTTTAACAGCTACACAAGCACTAGCATCCAATCAATAGACTATCACTACAGTATTGAATAGAGAGAGAGAGAGAGAGTGTGTGTGTGTGTCATAATATCAATCCTCTCGAGACGCCACAAATACCATTAATTTCAAACATATCAGTTTTTACACAGACACATACATCTTTTTGATACATATATAACCTAGATTAACACCGCCATGTCATCAGATGGAGAATTTACGAGAACTCAGATATTTGGTACAGTATTCGAGATTACCAACAGGTACACAGACTTAAACCCGGTTGGTATGGGTGCTTTTGGGTTGGTTTGCTCTGCCGTTGACAAATTGACTGGTCAAAATGTTGCTGTCAAGAAAATCATGAAGCCCTTTTCCACTTCGGTTTTAGCCAAGAGAACTTATAGAGAGTTGAAATTGTTGAAGCATTTGAGACACGAAAACTTGATTACGTTGGATGATATTTTTATTTCGCCATTGGAGGATATTTATTTTGTTAATGAGTTGCAAGGTACTGACTTACATCGATTATTGACGTCCAGACCTTTGGAAAAACAGTTTATACAATATTTCACATACCAGATATTAAGAGGTATGAAGTACATACATTCAGCCGGGGTTATTCATCGTGACTTGAAACCATCAAATATCTTGATCAATGAAAACTGTGATTTAAAGATTTGCGACTTCGGGTTGGCTAGAGTCCAAGACCCACAAATGACCGGTTATGTTTCTACAAGGTACTATCGTGCACCAGAAATTATGTTGACTTGGCAAAAGTACGATACCGAGGTTGATATTTGGTCGGTGGGATGTATATTGTCGGAAATGATTGAGGGCAAACCTTTGTTCCCAGGTAAGGATCATGTACATCAATTTTCCATTATAACGGAGTTGTTAGGAAGTCCACCGGCAGATGTCATTGACACCATTTGTTCCGAGAATACATTGAGGTTCGTACAATCATTACCTCATAGAGACCCTATTCCTTTCAACGAGAGATTTGCATCTTGCACTCACGTTGAGCCTGAAGCAATTGACTTGTTGTCTAAGATGTTGGTTTTTGACCCCAAAAAGAGAATTAGCGCAGCAGAGGCTTTGACACATCCATACATGGAACCTTATCATGACCCAACCGATGAGCCAGTTTGTGAGACTAAGTTTGATTGGAGTTTCAATGACGCTGACTTGCCAGTTGACAATTGGAGGGTGATGATGTATAGAGAGATTTTAGATTTCCACCAAAGTATTGGAGTCGGTGGTAGTGGTCTTGACTATCAACAACAACAAGTTGCTGACGCAGATGGAAACACTGACAAGTTGGAGGAGTTGAATCGACAACAACAGCAACTTGCACAGGAACAGCAAACATAGAGACCAGCCCAACGTTTCCCCCATCTATTTTGTTAAATATCAGTGTAATTATAACTAGTTGTTATGACGAGATTGTTTTGTGTAGACTATTGTAACTTAACTGGAGCAAAATTATGAAACCAACGCGCGCTTTGAACCTTGATTGTTGAGATATTTATACACATTCTCGGAAGTGGTATTGAAGCATGCCGGTGAAAGCACATGGGAATCATAACTCCGAGGGGGTCCTCGAGAAACAATTGCATGAGAACTTACTAGTTTCGTTGAACTATTTGGACCTGGAAACCGATGGATCTCAAATTTGCGAGTTAACATTCAAAAACACATCGAAGAAGGATATCACGGTCAATCCAACAGACGCAACCAGCAACAAGTCCAATGAAGAAGGAAGCTGGCTACCGAGTTTTCTTAAGTCTTCACCAAGTGCAGAGGATGAACTGGCGAAGCTAACACATCTGAAAGAAGATGAGCTGATAACCTTGTTTTTGGGCCACGTTCAATTGTTTGGTTACATTGTTCTAAACTACAAATTTCCAATAGATACAAGCTCACTAGACATGAATCGGCATCAACAATGGTGGAACAATGTGGAGTACCTCAATCAGTATTGGCATGACGATGGAGATAATGAAGGAGACGCGAAAGATCCGCATGTGATTGTTGAAAACACCCCTTTCATTGCCGAGCACTTGAAGACGAAATTGACAGTTGGTGGATACTTGGGCGGTGTCAAGGATTTAATTGTTGGCGGGAATGACTCAAAACCCATTGAAGTGAACCCAACTTTGCTTCATGATTTGATCAACGTCTACAACTCCTATCCCAGGACAGACTCGACTCTTCCATTGAACCACTTGACTGATTCAATTGTGCCAATATATACGACCCCGCAATCACTCTTATTTCTAGACTTGAGCATACCAAAGTACGCGTCAAAGTCGTTCAAGTTTAGATTACCAGTAAATGAGAATCTACCACCAAGCTACAATACGAGACTGACGGGTCCAGCATGTGATCAAGGGTGGATAAGCATACGGTATGCTCTTGCAATCAGCTTACAAGAAGGAAGTATAGTTGAACCTCCAAAGACAATTTATTATCCAATTACCGTTCTACCACACAGATATGTTTCAAACAAGGTCTTACAAAGACTTTATTTTGAAGAGCCATTGGGGTTGGACAAAACCTGGACTATCAAAAGTGTTGACAAGACTGTTGAAACCTCACCCGTGGAGAACGGCACATCGGCCAAAGCCGATTTCTTGAAAGATCTTTCGGATTTGATTGATTCAGATGTCTATAATATGCCCAAGATTTCGACAACAGAGCGAAGGAAGAGCAGTATCAAAACTTCACTGGCAGAGATTTCCAACGAGCGGCTATACACCGCGCAACTTCCTTCTAACTTGAAAACCCTGTACCAGTTGAAAGTCAATGAGGAAGAGGTGTGTAAAATTTCTGTATCCAAACCTTATTATCATGTTGGTGAAGACATTCATTTTAAAATTGAAATGAATCTGAGAGAACACGAGCTGCAAATTATTGGACTCATTGCATATTTGGAAGCTCATGAAACGTATCATTTGAAGGATGGGGATAAGCATGAAATAAACAAGTACGAAGTATCAGGAAACATAAAAGTTAATACATTGGCCACAACTTTGACCAATGCTGGAGATTCGAAAAACACAATTACTGAGTTTGTCAATATACCCAAGTACTTAACACCACAGTTTGAGAGTAGATCGTTTATGAATTTGACCTACTGGTTGAATTTTCAATTCAATTTTGCCAAGGTTGCTGAGGAAGATATTGGCGCACCGGATCTTGTATTCAAATCCAACACATTTTTACGATCCGATGGGGTTGGAAGTACTCAACACTTTAAGGTACCCATTCAAATTATAAACTCTGTTACTGAGTGAGGTTGCGATTCTTTATCGATCTAAAACTGTTCTAGAATCGAGACTCGTTTGCAAGAACGGCCTCTGCCTGACTTTTAGGTTATAAAATAAATGTTGAGAGTGGAAACAAGCTTTTCTGTAGAATCTGACAAAGATTCACTAGTCAATTTAACCTCTGCATTTGATCTGATTAGTTAACACAAATCCTTGTTTTCCTATTCTGTAGATCACTTCGACTCTTTGGGGAGCAACACAACCAAAGGATTGTGTTTTTTTGACACATTTAGCAACCTTGCCGGAGATAAGAATTGACAGACTCACAACTGTCATTGCTATATTTGCCTCCACGGGTAAATTTTTGACGGATACGTTTTTCCGCTATACGCGGATGTAGCTTGCAATAAAAGAGAATGGCATTGTTGTTGTTGTTGTTGTTGTTGTTGTTGTTGGTGTGCCTAGAAGTTGTGAAATTCCCTCCTGCTAGGGATATTTATTGAAAAAACGAAAATAAAAACATTTCCTAATTAGGAAATGAAGTTGGATACTTTAAATAAACCTTTTGTGTAATGTTGTTTGAGCTGAAAAAAATTTCAATTGTTCTGCACCAAGTCTTAAGTCGCTTCTTTTTCTCAACTTGGAAATAAATTTTGAATCAACATGGAGAGAATACGGGAGAGTATTGAAGGGGTACTTTCCACCTTGAGTAATGTATGCTTCACCCCATTGTTTAAGCCACAATACCCTCCGCAATGGTTGCTTGTGAACTTCGCTTGTGCAGTAAACCTTGTTTTCATATAAATACTAATAAGCAGTCCGCTCTTGGAGCTCCCTTGGCTGTTTCTGTTTCCCATTTTTCCTAACCAAAAACTAGCCACTTCATTGAAAACTCACACACTCGTTATCAGCAGAATATCGGAAAAATGAAGTTCTCAACTATTTTGGCGTCGACATTGTCGCTTGCATCTGTTGTCACATCTCAATATGTTGCTCCAGTTTCTGAACAATTGACTGTGAACCTTGAGACAAGGGAAATGGGTAATGCTCTTATCCAAGCTTACCAATTTGAAGAAAGAGATCTTTCGGATATTATCAGCAGCCTTACATCAAGCATCAACTTGACTGCTATTTACGACAGCATCGATTACGACTCTATTGCTGAATGGATTAATGGTTTATTAACTGAAAACAACAACATCCAGTACTTGGAAAACATCTTGAACTTCCTTGGTCGTACAAACTTGGTCCCTATCCTCATTGGTTTCATTGCTTCAAATAATGCAACTAGAACAATTGCTTACGAAGCTATCGTTTATGTTATCAACAGTGGTGTTGACCCAGAACCATTGTTTGTTGCGTTGAAGGATTCCGGTTTATTATACACTGTTATTGCTGATTTGGTTGAAAACGAAAACACCTTGCCACTTGTGTTTAGAGTGCTTAGGGAAACTCTTGGTGGAATCAACTTTAGTGACCTTATCAATCAATTCCTTCAAGGAGGTAGTGCTACAATCACCTTGCAAACCAACTCGAACGGAGGTAGCAACACTGGTGGACAAGCTGTACCAACTTTGGTCTTATCTAATCCAATTGGAGGTAATGGTGGCTCCGGTAACGGCGGTTCAGCTAGCGGTGGCTATGGAAATGGTGGTGCTTCAAACACTCAAGGTTCTGGCTACCAATCAGTTAACGTTAACTCCATTAACCAATTGATTTCACAAGCTGCCGGCCAAAACTCCAACGGCGGTCAAGCTACTCCTGCTGCTGCCACTGGTCTCACAAGATCAACAAGCCGTGGCCAATCTCAAGCTACCTCAAACCAATTTGCTTCCATTACGGGCCCTGCATTCCAATCTGTCCCAACTTCACAAATTGGTCAAGGTCCAACCTCCGTCAACTATGCTTCACTTACCGCAGTTGCTTCTGCTCTTGGTGGTAGTGGTAGCTCATACAAAAAGAGAGACGCTGTTGCTGAGGTTTTGGAGCTCGCTGCTGAGAAGAGAGCTGCTGAAGCTGATGAAGCCGCTTTAGCCGAAGAGTTGGCAAAGAGAAATGGTGTTGAAGACTTGTTGACCACTATTTTCACCGCAATTGCTGATTCCAACTTGATCAACGAGACCATCAACTACTTGCTTACCGACAGTCAATTCGAAGGTTCAGTCGTCTTGATCATTAGAGATATTTTGGCCAGCATTACTCCTGCTACATTTTCATTCAACACCTCGAACCCATTGATCACTGCCATTCAAAACTCTGGTTTGATTCCAGATCTTATCAGAAGAGCACTCAACGACAGTGATTTGAGGGCTGCTATCCTCAGAGACGTTCGTCAAGTTGTTAGTCAACTTGCGTCCTATTTGGGAATCTCAAAGAGGGAAGTTATTGATAAACTTCATGCCAGGGATGAACAAGTAACTTCAAGCTTTAGCAGTATTATCATTCAGTCTGCTATCAATGCTAACGCATCAACTGTTGCTACCGTAGATGCTGCTAATGGCGGGTCTCCTGCTTCAATGAACATGGCTGGTATTGCTGCGGCTGCAATTGGTTTGTCAGCGTTGGTTTTGTAATGAGAGCAATACAGGTGAGAGAGGCACACATATTCTCTTTCACTCAAGCTAAAGTTCAATTTCGTTTCCTTCATTTCTGTCACTTATACCTTCCGATATATATACTTACTTAAAGTATACATTCTTTATAATTTAATTTTTTTTTTAGACTTTATTCTTAACTACACTTTTTGTAGAGGATACATTTGATCGTTTTGATGGTTTTGATTGTTTCACAAAATCTTGCGGCAAAACTAAACAGAGAAAATGAAATTCATCTTTTCATTTCAGATCGAGAGTAGTCCGAATACAAAGGAGGCAGATTCAGTAGGGATATCCAATGGGTACTCAATCGAACTTGACACAACAAATGAAAGATCTTCTGTGTAGCTCTCTTCCAGAAGGGCCAGAGAATGCGGATGACTATTTACATGACTATGATGGAGAGAGTGATGATGAGGATTTGTCAAAATCCATCAAATCCGCACACTACTCCTCGTCCCAAGACAGATTTATGAAGGATCATGACTTGAAGGTGAAAACTTTTGAAGCTTTGCATGGGAACAATGGGTCCAAACCGTCTTCACCAGGTGGAAGGAAGCTTAGAAGAAGGGAATCTGTCATTGATATGCCACACAACCTCCACCCACCTCCATCACAAGCGCCACATGTAGCAGCAAATAATGATTTCGTTTTCGGAACAAATGCTTTGCCCGAAGAAGTACCATCAACTGAGCTTATTCAATTCTATCTGGACGTAAAGGAATGCTTGGATCTTCGTCACAAGTACTTGGAGCTTTCGTTGCAAACGCCCGAGCTGTTGAATCCAAAAAACCAACCTGATTGGCACATTTATCCTGCTCCGCCCAAACCAACTTATAAGTCGAAAAATAAATTCAACCAGGTAAGGTCTACGCCAGATGAGGATGAGGAGTTTGATTTCAATAAATGCGACATACCGGATTTGAGCGACACTGCTTTATACTTTGTTTTAAGTGAAGAAGGGGTGTATGAGGTGTATGATAAGAACAATAATGAAAAACTCGTCCAAGTACCAAACTTGCATGAGTATTACAATGATTTAGCGTTTATTGGAAACATATCCTCCGATGGGCCAACAAAGTCGTTTTCGTTCAAAAGGTTGCAATATCTTGAGGCCAAATGGAATATGTATTACTTGTTGAATGAGTTTGAGGAAACCAAACAGTCGAAGGCGAACCCACATCGAGACTTTTATAACGTTAGAAAAGTGGACACTCACATTCACCACTCAGCATGTATGAATCAAAAACACTTGCTTCGTTTCATCAAATATAAATTAAAGACAGAGCCGGACGAGCCAGTAATTTTCCGTGATGGCAAAATTTTGACATTAGCAGAAGTATTCCAATCGTTGAAGTTAACAGGGTACGATTTGTCTATTGACACGTTGGACATGCACGCACATACTGATACTTTCCACAGATTTGACAAGTTTAACTTAAAGTATAACCCAATTGGGGAGTCAAGATTGAGAGAAATCTTTTTGAAAACCGACAATTTCATAGACGGGAGGTATTTGGCAGAAATCACCAAACAGGTAATGGAAGATTTGGAGAATTCAAAGTATCAAATGAATGAGCTTAGAATTTCAATCTACGGCAGATCTATTCACGAATGGGACAAAGTTGCGTCGTGGGTGATTGATAACAAGTTGTTTAGTCACAATGTCAGGTGGCTCATCCAGGTGCCTAGATTATACGACATTTACAAAAAGAATGGAAATATTCGTTCCTTTTCGGATATTGTCAAGAATTTATTTGAGCCATTGTTTGAAGTTTCAAGAAATCCAAAACTGCACCCAAAACTTCACGTATTCTTGCAAAGGGTGGTTGGGTTTGATAGTGTGGATGATGAGTCAAAATCGGAAAAGCCATTGCCACCACATAAGTATCCCTCTGCTGTGGAGTGGAATTTCACTTCCAACCCTCCATATTCCTACTACATTTATTATTTGTATGCAAATATCACCAGTTTGAACCATTTGCGGTTGAAGAATAATTTCAATACGTTTGTATTGAGACCTCATTGCGGTGAAGCAGGAGACCCCCATCACTTGATAAGCGCGTTTTTGACGTCTTATGGAATATCACATGGTATCTTATTGAGAAAGCTCCCCTTTATTCAATACTTGTACTATCTTGATCAAGTTGGACTCGCAATGTCACCTTTATCCAACAACGCATTATTCCTCACATATGACAAAAACCCTTTTTACAATTTTTTCCAAAAGGGAATGAATGTTTCCTTATCAACGGATGATCCATTGCAGTTTTCTTATACAAAGGAGCCATTGATTGAAGAGTATTCGGTTGCAGCGCAAATATACAAATTGTCCGGAGTTGATATGTGCGAATTGGCCAAAAACTCTTGTTTGCAAAGTGGATGGGAAGCGAGGATCAAAGAGCACTGGTTGGGTAAAAATTACATGAAAGGCGGGGTCGAGGGTAATGACATTGAAAAGACAAACGTGCCCGATATTCGCGTGCTCTTCAGAGAAGAGACATTGAATAGTGAAAAACATTTGGTACAATATTACAACGAAATGAAGGATAAGCAAACAAACACCGAGTAGAAGAAGCAGAGGAAAGTCATTGAAGTGTCCAAAAATAATGTTACAATGTTTTTATCTAAACTAGATTTAATAAATTTTAGAACAGAAGGGAAATGTAACCTCATTTACGCTTCAGGTGCACCTCTTAGTTCGTATCTCTGTACGTATTTAAAGTACTCGACTTTCTTTGGATCTATTGTCATCCCGTCATCATCCTTTGGATTTTTATTTTTCCTCTTTAACTGGTGCTCAAGTCCATATTTAGTACAAAACTCAAATGAGGACTGTAAAGCACACACAAGGTTATCATTAGCATGGTGAGTGTTTCCCATGATGTCATAATCGAATGTTCCCCAATTGATCAATTCTTTCAACAATCCTTTAACATTAATCCTATGCACAGTGTAGTCACTAACGGACAATGTCAACGTCAAGTAGTCGTCGACCACAGCTCCAGCAGAGTCCCTGTCGGCTACCCATTGAGATACCCCATTTGGAATCAAAACACTCGATCGAAGGCATGAATCTTGAGGATATAACAAATCCCATCCTGGAACATACATATCGAAGGACAATGAGGAGGATATGTGAGTAACCTTGTAATAGTTGCGGGAATGTTTTCGTTTTTTGATAATCACTACCAAATTTGGGCGGTACATCGAGCTTCCACAACCACAATCATCAATATGCGCTCTAGCGAAACCAGCCCATACTTCTTTGTTATCCTTAACGGCAACCATATCATTCAAATTGATCAACTGAGTTCCTCCTCGAAAGGGTCCCACGTCGTTTTCAAGTGATAACAGTGTGTTGAATCTGTAATCGTATGAACAGGCACCTTGCAAATCACACTTTAAAATGTCTAAGTTAGCCCACCTATAAACGAAATAAATATGTGAGTCATAACCGTCAACTTGTCGATCAAGGTGACTCGTAAATGGCGTCCAATTCTTCTGCGTTCTGAGCCTATAGTTTTCAATGTTTAACTCAACTGTTTTGCTGAATTTTCGTTCGTCCAACTGCCATGGCCAACAAATTGACATAGCACGGTAGCACCTCTCCTTAGTTACCAACTTATCGTCCTCATCATCGTCAAAAGTGTCCATTTTACATCTGTACGAGTTGAATAAAACCAACGGTTCCTCGTATCCTGCTTTGTTCTTGACCAACATTAATCGGGGATCCTCGGGCCCATAATACTGGTATTCATTTAGCTGCTCATCTTGATAGAAGGGGATAGGGATAATCTGTGGGAAGTGAAGAATGTACTGTTTATCACCCGTAGCATTGCGGATTTTGGGAACCAATAGCCTTGTGCCCACCAACTCGTTCCAATTCTGGTCATACAATTGCGCGTATGATAGAGAAAGTAGGGGACCATCTCTTGTTCCTCTGTGGCTGTACATAATCCGAGATACCATATAGTGTACTCCGTAATCTTTTAACCAAACCGAGCTTCCTGCCAAACGAAACCAAAATTTATCCACAACATTGTGATCCAACTGTAGTCTTAGTTCCGGAAGTATAATTCTTTTCAAATCCTTCAAGTAAGGGTCTTCACCTGATTCAATGATTGTGAGGAGGTTCTGTAGCACCTCATGCAAGGAAGTCTTTACCTCTGCTGCCTTGCTTATCATCACCAGAGAGTTCAATTGCAATCGATTACACTGTTGTAGGTTCAAGTTTATATTTTCAGCCAAGCTGAAAGCAGTAAAATCGAATTTCTTGTATTTAGTTTCGTGAAGTTCTTTTCTCGGATCGGTTTCAATTGCCTGATTGAACTCGGTTGAGCCCAGGAGATGTTCTCGTAGATAATCCTCATGTTGCCTGACAAACTTTCCCAATTCTTTTTCATTTCTGAACAAGCCTTTCGGAATAATGACCTCGTTTCTGTTAATCCTGACAAGATCATCTCTTTGAAAAAGCATGAATATTTGGAATAGCAAAAGTAAGAAAAGGGCAGCCGTTAGCAAGTAAAGCAAGTGCTGTCGCAAGATTCTCCTATATGGCATTGTAAATAACTCGTCGCGTTTACCAGATGCAGATTCCAATCATCAATATCTAGAGCAATGCTCAACAAAAAAAAAAGGGTGGATAGCAATTGTGGAAATATTATCTTGTATGGATGTTGTGATATTATTTTTTTTGTGGCGTGGTTGTTGCAGATTGTTGTTGATATTCGAGATCTATTTATAAACCTGCATTCCATTGCAGTAACAGTTTGCATAAAATTATCTTTTTTTTTTTTTTTTGGTTTACCCCTGATTTCAGCCACACACACGTGCGCAAAACTAAAACCTTAATGTCAACAAAGCAAATAAAGCATTCTTTTTTATAACTATGAAAAGAGGGACAGCAAAAAAAAACAAACAAATGTATCTATAAAACTCTTCCAACAGTGGCACCAGTCGATTCTTTAGTCTCAACCTTCTTCAATGACTTTCCCCCTGTAATTTGAGAAAGCAAAGCTCCTATATTCGGAGTAGATGGTGCCCCACCACTTAAAGAAGCCGATTGTGCGGCTGCGGCAGGCGGAGGTGGTGGAGGAGGGGCAGCTGGAGCTCCAAAAGAGGGCACTGGGGGTGCAGGTGGTGGTGGTGGAGGAGGGGCAGCTGGCGCAGGTGTAGCATCAAAAGAGGGCACTGGGGGTGCAGGAGGTGGCAGTGAAATTGAGTCTGATGGTGGCACAGGTGGCGCAAAGTCAGGAGGAGGTGGAGGCACAGCGGATGAACTTTCGAACTCTTCTTCTGCTGCAAAAGATTGAGACGAAGACGCTGGGGCATCTGACTCAAGTGCTGGTGGTGGCGGTGGCAAAGTACTTGAAGACGGAATTGGTGGAATTGGTGGAATTGGTGGAACTGCTTCAGCCCCATTCTCAGCGTTAATACCTGGTGACGATTCCGCAGTATTCCACCCTGCCCCACTTGATCCTGTTGAAGAATCCTCCAAAGGCTTCTTGTTTACAGTTGGCTCAGTGATAGCAGCAGTGCCTGGCTCAGCTTGGAGTTGACTAGTTGTTTCCCCTTTCCTTGCTTGAGTAGGAGTCAGCAAAGACTCCGATGTAGGAACTGACAGCGGAGGCGCCATTCCTCCAAACAAGGAGTTTGCCAATTTAAGTGCATCCGCTCTATTTGGCGCATCGTCGTCAGAATCTTCTTCTTCCGAGTCGCTCCAGCTGTTATCGTTCAGAATACCTCTTTGAAAATTCCTTTGCATATTTGCCTTTTCGGTATTGACTTGCTGAAATTGCTTTTTAAAGAATGGGTTATTGTCATGTCTAGGAGGTCTAGAATGTTCTTCTGGTTGGGAAGCTGCTTCGCGATCTCCTGGTACTTTCCCGTATTCATTACCATTGTGCCCTGCATCAAAAGATGGTGGTGCATTATTGACGTCTTCATATTTTGGAGCATTGGTAGCTGGAGCATCCTTCAGTGAGGCATGCTCTGGAGCAACAGATGTAGCAATTGGTTTTGAAGAAGCTTTCACCTCAGGAGATGAGTCTGTTGGTCCAGCAAGACTTCTCGACTTACCCAGAGCATGATCTTCAGTGCCTCCAGCTGCTACTGGAGCAGCCACACCGAAATTCTCCTTTGTAGCCTCATTATTTTCATGTTGATCTGAGTTTGAAGAATCAAGAGCAGCGGACTGACCAGGCACGCTTGACTGCACTTCTTGAGCTTGTCTGGGTTGAGTAGATCGAGCGGGTTGAACAAGTTGAGGTTGAGCTGGCCGTGAAGAAGCTGACTGCTGTGGAATTGGCTGTGGGTGAGCCACTACGTCACGGTCATTTCTAAGCTCCTCTGCTGAACTTTGAGCAGGTGAGTGAACAATTCCTTCGACCTTATTCACCTCAGGAGCCCCAGTCTTTTGCTTAACAAGTTGTGGTGCGTTATTCATGTTCTCCTCCTGCTTCACGTTTCTGTCATCTTGTACGGGTTTTGACTGAACAGCAGCAGGTGTTGGCTTTTCAGTCGACCTCTTACCCAGATTCTTGTGACGACTGATTCCAAGCTTCTCAAGTCTAGCTGCCATTCTCTTCTCTGCCTCTGCCTTTATGTAAGCCGCCCTCTCTTCCGGGGTTGAGTACGCTGCACGAGGCTCAGCAGATGAAGAATTGACTGCACTGACTTTTGTAGAATTAACCTGCTCCTGCTGAGGTTGAGGCCCGTTGTTGTTCGATTGAGGAACAGGTTTAGCCACTGGCTGCGCCTTTGCAGTTGCATCATCTTGATATCTTTGCAATTCTCTAACAAATGAAGCAACAGTTTGACTAATTCCAAAGCCCTTCTCCCATTTCTCATATCCAACTTCAACTCTGGAGGAGGTCTTGAGTTTCGAAGCACATTCATCCTCCATCGTCCTGATACCAGCCTCAATATCCTTCACCATGTCAGATTGCCCTTTAAATTCAGACTTGGACTTCTGAACCGCCTCCTTAAACTTGAAATCAGAGCCTCCACTGCCGCCTTTACCCGTGAGCAATGCCATTTTCTGCTTCAAGTCAAATTTTCCATAATCGTTCGAAACTGCATTGAGATCAACATTCTTGTCATCCCATGAAGGGTCCTCTTGCCTCAATTTGAGTTTAACCAATTCAATGCTTTTTTCAGAAATCTCTTGATTGACTTGATTTATATTTGAAATCAACTTTGGAATTTTATCTCTAGTTAAATGGTTTAATTTTTGAAGCCACAAGTTTTTGTTGTTGTTGTTGGGAGCTTGACTTGTGATTTTTGTTTGCAAATCGAAAATTTGACTTTTCAACTTGTCAATTGCACTGGTGTCATTGTGTTGTTTTTCTTCATCCTCGACATCCAAAGCATCCAACAAAATCTTCTTTTCTTTAATGCTCTTCTTCAACTCATCTATGGTAAGATTCTTGTCCTTCTCATTTGAAGCACTGGGTGATCCTTGGTCTCTACTCTTGTGGCGAGCACGCGAGACATATCCAAAATTGTCATCATCGTTTTTGAATCTTGCACCATCCACCTTTGTTTGTGGCTTGTAGCTTTTCGCAGACTTGAGCCCCCCATTATTCTTTAAGGAGTTTTTCAAATTGTCCATTGTGTCCTTCAAGGTTCTTTCTGCTGGAGGGATTAATTCAGGTGGTAATCTAAGAGGAATCTCCAATCCATTCAATCTTCTATAAATCAAATGCATTGCCACGGCAAATTGATTTTTGTTCAATTTTCCAGCATCATCAGTATCGGCCAAGGTCCAAATTGCTTCCAAATCCAGTCTACTCAAACCAGACTTTGTGAATACATTAAGAGCTACATTTGAATCCACGTATCCTCTTCTGCCCGTATCCCATGCTTGAAATAGATTGTCATAGACTTGCTTCTCCTGTTTGGTAATGGCCCAAGTCACATTAGTCGCAGCATTATTGCTCATAACTTTATTCAAATCTTGAAAATTTTGGTTGGTGTTTGGTTGAAATACTTTGTGCATCGTATTCAAGCCGGAATATCCACCTGTTGGCATATTGACAAATCCCCATTCACCAGGTCTTCCAGTTGGCTGGGCTTGTAAATAGCCAGTAGGTTGTTGTTGCAAAAAGCCCGTTGGTTGTGGTTGTAAAGCACCCGTTTGTTGTTGCTGCAAGGGACCAGTTGGCTGAGACTGCAAAGGGGCTGGACCGGTTCTATTCGCTTGCAAGGGGCCAGTTCTTTGTGGCTGCAAACCAAGGGTGTTGAATCCTCCGCTAGTTTGTTGAAACCCAGTGGTTTGCGGCACGAGTCCACCAGTACGTTGGGGCTCAATTCCAGTGCTTTGAGGAGCAAATCCTCCTGTGCGTTGTTGAGGAAGTTGGTTAAATCCAGTCCCTTGGGCTTGAAGAGGTCCAGTCTTCTGTATCAAACCAGCAGTTTGTTGAGGCTGCAACGGAACAAACTCGCCAGTAACACTACCACCAATACCGCCGCCACCTCCAAAACTGGTTGATGGCTGTGGTTGCTGGTTGTAACCAGTAAGTTGTGGAGCGACCCAATTGTTTTGAGGTTGCTGGTTGAAAGATGATGTTTGTGATTGTTGATTGAACCCAGTGGCCTGAGGAGCAAAGGAATTTCCAAATCCAGTGGCTTGAGGTGCGAATGTCGTTGGTGGCTGGTTGAATCCGGTAGCTTGTGTATTCATCGACGGTTGATTGTACATCCAATCGTCCTTCTTTGCAAAAGGAGTATTGGCAAGAATTTTGTTGGGATCATCAGGAATGCTGAAGTTGATTGCATCCATAAAGCTCTTTACCTCATTAAGCCATTTTTCAGGAAGGACACCGGGAAGCGGTTCTCCACGCTTTGCCGTGTTGCACAAATGCAAACTCAATGCAAACTCAGGAAAAAGCAAGGATCCTGTCTTGTCAATATCAGATAAGGTCCAAATTTCAGCCAAAGTAACTGGACTCAAACCTGATCTCATCAAAATTGTACTGGCCGAGTCACCACTGATTGCTTGTTCTCCACGAGGAACGGCAGTTCTGAAAAGATGCTCAAATTTCTTTTGATCATCCACAGTAATGAATGATAATCGGAAAGGCGGAATTTTCAAATCATGGTTTTCAACAACTGTGGGTGCACCTTGAAAGCCTGTTGGCTGCGTTTGGACATAGCCAGTCGGTTGGCTCGATGCATACAAGTTGGGTTGTCCGAAGCCAGTTGGTTGAGTGTAGAGGGACTGTTGTTGTTGTTGTTGTTGTTGCTGATTGGGTACTCCATAGTTAGGATTATACCCAGTGTTCTGAAACGAATTGAACATCGTTGTGCAAGTTACCTTGAATGGTGAACGATCCGATTGTCGAGTATTTTTTTTTTAATTTTTGTTCTTATGCCTTGTTGAATTTATTTTATTTTATTTTATTTTATTTTTTTTTCTTTTTCGACTAGAGGTTTATTGTGCCGAATTTAGAAACTCCTTCATTTTACTATTTCGCAATCTATTCTTATTAAATATCTAAGACTTCATTCCAGAAGTTGATTTCCAACTGAGAAACTTCTCTGAAAATCTCTACTAGTTCCTCGACTCGGCTCCTGGTTATTCCATTCACAACCAAGGCATTCAATGCCAAACGTCCCTCTTTATCAGCTTTTGCGTACCAATCCGAGGCATACTCATTCAACCAACCTTGATACACTTCTGGTATTTGAACAGGGTTTTCTGATCTCAACTTCTTACCGTAAACCCCTGCCTCAGCATATCCATGTAAACACGGAGCTAAGGAAACTTTGATTCCCAAGTAATCCTCTTTCTGTCCTATATCGAGTAAATAATCACAATACTCTATGCAAGCTTTCCCAGGCTTCAAGTCCTCAACATCTCTTTCATAATCGACATTGTAGGCCTTGAGTCTCTTTTTGTGATGTTCAATTTCGGTGATTATTTCTCCTATTATTGTTGCCGCTGCATGTGTCTGCTGGTAAGTAGGGGCTTTCGAGGCCAACAACCCATGCATTCTAGCATAGATAATAAGATAATGATAGTCTTGCTTCAAGTAGTAGAAAAAGCTCTCAAATGGAAGACAGTTCTCAGCTAATTTTTTCACAAAGGGATGCTCAACATAATTCTGCCAAGTTTGCCTCACCTTGGGGTGGGAAGTTAGAAAGTCAATAAACGTGTTGTCATCACTGAATTTCAAAACCTCATTGTCACCAGCTTCAGTTATTTGAGTGACTTGAGTACATGGAGTCAAGTTATGATTCAATGGACCACTTCCGAATCCCAATTTCGAGATTTGCAACATTCCTTTGTGAATGAAATCAATGGAGATCGTAATGGCATCAGCGATACTCTTTCCATTAGCAATGTTTGCTGATATTGCCGAAGCTAAAGTACACCCAGTACCATGTGTATTTTCTGAGTTAATGTACTTGGATTCAAAAAGAGTCAACTTTCCAGATTCAGATTCATATAGAATGTCAATAATCTGCGTACCGTTTTTGGTTGTATCCCCATTTCTGTCAAACAATATATGTCCTCCTTTGACCAACAAATTCTGGCATCCAATGTAGCTCTGCAATTCCACAACAAATTTTTTAAACTCTTCAAGATTGGTTAGTTCAGGTGGACTTTTGAACAATCCATACAACGCCTTAGCTTCTGGTATGTTTGGTGTAATTAGATATGCGTTTTGCATCAACTGCTCCACACAATACTTTATTCCATCCAAGTCAAACAACTGGCTACCTGAGGTACTAACCATAACTGGATCAATGACAAACTTGACATCAAGATTACACTTAGCAATCTCTTCAATGGCCTCTTTTGTCAACATGCCGGTTTTCACTACTTTTAATGGCGCATTGTCATACCCATAAAAATCATCCAAATTGGCTTTCAAAATCTTAGCAACCAACTCCTTAGACGTCTTTTCAAATGAAACGACTCCACGAGTGTTTTGAGCAGTCAATGCGGTGATGCAAGTTGCCCCATACACACCAAACGCACTAAACGTTTTCAAGTCGGCTTCAATTCCAGCTCCGCCTGACGAGTCACTGCCGGCAATTGTCATCACCACAGGTAGTTTGACATCCCTCGAGTGTGGATGCTTGATTTTGATGGACTCAGACTTCATGGTGGTGTACGGGAGCAGAAGACAGTTGATTGTATCATATTTTTTTGTCAAATATGTGCAAGAATTTATTGTTGAACGGATGGTTCAAAGACACAAGCCTGTTGGCGCGGAAAATTATGCGCTTACGGGGTCGAGGTAGGAATCAGCACTTATTTTTTTGTTTTTTACTCCCGATACTCTACCCGGTAGCGCCATTCTCTAGAACGAATAACAAAACTTTGACTTGTGCTGCTGAATCAATTTAGAAGCAGCAACAGCTCGAAATTAGGACTCGAGCATCACGAAAGAGACTAATTTCTTCTTGCATTATACACCAAGAATATATCTGAACTATCTCTGTCATCTCCCCCATTTCAATTGAAAGATTAGGTGCACTTCGCCCTATATAAGTGGATACCGCTGCGACCCCTCCGCCCCCCTCAAATTACCACCGTATACCAACCACAGCACACGAACTAAATAAAAAGAAAGATGTTTAGAGACCGGACTAAATTATTTTTGTCGTATCGTCGAACGACACCGCGAGATGCTCCCCATAGACGGCCCTTTAAAGACGACGTGAATGATGATGACAATGATACAGATAGCCTATTCGATTCCGAACAAGATAATCTCATTATTTCCTCCCGGAAACATCAGCAACAAGGATCATCAAAACTCAACAGCCTACAGCTGCGTAGTGGGAAAGAGCCAGGTGCAGAATACGGGGAGGATATCGAAATGAAGCCCATGATACCTACTCAATTCGAAATCGCCAAAGACTTGGACATTTGCTTAACGGTGATTGATAAACAAACTCAAGAACTAAACTCTCTATACAAGCAACTCATAATCATAAACAAGTCACTGAAGAAGAAAGTTGAGTCACAGATTGAGGAATATAGTTTTCAAATATTGCAAAATTTCGAAAAATGTTATATCGGAATCAAGAAATTTGAATACTTGACCAAGAATCATGAGCGATTACAAGTTAATTATACAGCCCAGGACTTGAACATCTTGACCAACATGAAGAAGAACTATGCCAATAAGATCCAACAACATTTGTTGGTGTTTCGAAATTTACAAAATAACTATATGAACTTTTTGCGGGATGATGATGATGAGTTTGATTTACTCTTGAATGAGAAACGCAATCAACGTGGACAGGGCAATGATGGACTCAAGAGCGATAACATTGAAGAATTGAGTAAAGAAATTGTGCAATCTACATCCTCTCAACAACAACAACAACAACAACAGACCCAAGTACAAATCCAACAAAGCTCCAACGACCAATATCTAGAACAACGAGAACGCGAGATCAACAAATTAGCAATGGGCATCTTGGAAATATCAACCATGTTTAAAGAAATGGAAACTATGGTGATTGATCAGGGGACAATGTTGGATCGAATCGATTACAACTTGACAAACACAGTACACGATTTGAAAACATCAGAAAAGGAATTGATTAAGGCCAAAACGTATCAAAAACGGACAACAAAGTGCAAGATTATCTTCTTTTTGGTCTTGTGTGTGTTTGCACTATTGATGATTTTGATGTTGCGACCTGGTGGTGGCGGTGGGAGAAGTCATGATACAGGAAAGGTGAGTGAAAAGCCAGAACAAGGGTTGGGCAAGGGTGGAGGGGATGGCTCTTCCGGTAAGCCACCTCTTGAAGTGAACCACCCTGATTCTCCAATAGATGGGTCTAAGCCTATTGATGTTGATGGTGGGTAGTAGTATAATTGACAAATTCGAGAGTGGGAAGGCACGTTTGTGTAGTTCTCCCTGTATCTCAATATAGGTTAATGCAATTTCTAACATAATCATTAACTAATACTATATAAAACGAGAATTGAAACAGAATTGACACATGAGCTTCAGTTAAATAAAAAGACCATCACAAGCGTAGACAAGGTAATATGGCACTATCTACTGACGCCATAATATAAAGCAACTACTACCTGGTCATTCCATAGGGCCCACTTCTGGCTTGTGTTCCAGCAGATCCACCACTACTTCTTCCCATCAACGCGCTCGCATTGCTGCCTGGTCCAGTCCTATTATTGTTGCCATACCTAGCTGCAACGGGAACGAATCCCGGTGCCACTTTCCTCTTTTGTTGTTGTACACCTCTAGCAAAGTTAAAATCGGGGTTGTTGCTCAAGACATTATCTGAAATGGTTGGTCTAGCGTGTCCAGATTGTGGCGCTGGTTGTTGTTGTTGTTGTTGCAATTGTGGTTGTTGGTGTGGTGGACCATAGTTTGCAGGTCTGTATTGTTGCAGTTGTTGTTGGTGTTGTTGAGCTGGGGACACGTATTGGTTAGGGATGGGTTGATACAGTGGGTGCAAGTGACCTTGTGGAGACGCACCTTGGGTGTGTACTTGTTGACTCAATGGTTGGTATTGCTGCAGGTTGGTGTACGGAGTACTTTGATACTGTTGTGGAACAAGTTGTTGGATTTGTTGCGGTCCAGGACCATATGGATTATTGTACTGTGGATTCGGTGGTCGTTGAGAAACACTAGTGAAATCTGAATCCTCATCAGAGTCATTGGTTCTTGCAATGACATTGGCACGTCCTGCGCTCATATCCTCTTCATCATCAAAGTCGTCGTCCATTTCTGTAAATGGTCTATGGCCGTCAACTTGCGGATGATGTTCAAATACACTTCTTGAGAATGCAGCATTGCTGTTATTGTTGCTATTGGGGACACCTGGAGTGGTTGGGTAAGGTGCTCCAGTTGTGGGTTTATACCCCCCACTGGCACCGGCAACTAATGAGCCGCTTGTGTTGTTGCGACCATTCATTTGAGTAAAGTCGTTGGCTACTTGAGGCTTGGCTTGGTACGAGGATGACGTGTTGCTAGCAATGGAGCCGTTTCCAGTTCCTGTTCTTTGCGCTAGTGGGACGCCTGTTTCTGCTCTTGACTGTCCATGGTTTGAGTTTGCTAACGAGGCGGCAGATGCAGCAGCAATTGCTGCATGACCATTGTAACGAGTATTGGATCCATTGTGAGCACCTTGGCTTGCGGGATTTCCAAAAGAAGTGGTGCTGTTATACGCTGGCTTGTAATCAAAATCATTATCAACAGAGCTAGTACTGTTTGGACTCTTGAACGTTGATGCTTGGATATGGTTGAATTTGTCATCGATTCTGCTGTAGTTGTTATAAGTTCCAAATCCGTGTTTGTCATTTGCATCTGCATCTGCATCGCCGTCCTCTTCTTCATCATCGTTTTTCAACGTCGTCAAGGTGAGAATAAGTAAAATGATTGATACAAGGTTGGCAGCTGCAGAACCAATCAAAATCCATCCAGTCCAAGCCAAATTTGGGTAAAAAGCCAAAATTGTTATAATGCAGCTGATGATCGTCAATATGGCAGATACAACATTGACACCAAGAGCAATCAAAACAACAGCTCTACTTCCAAAATGAGAAGCAAACACCAAAACTAGCAAGATAAAGTTGAATCCAAGGGCAATAGGAGTTAAAATGAAAATTTTAGCCAATGTGTCTCTGGTGGAGCCGCTCATAGTCCAATTGGAGGAGCTATCATTCACTGAACTGAGGGTTAATGGATAGGTGGCTGAGGAACAGTCATTATTGTTGTTGGAACAATACCCAAATACACCATAAGTATAACTAGCAGTTTTGCCTAGGTTGAAAGTGGTAACCACTGGAGAACTTATTGTAGCCAACAACAAGAATACAAATGAAGCCAAGATCAATATTAGTGACGCAGAGTTGAAACTTAAGCGGAATCCCATAGCTTGCTAATGTTTATAGTCTGTATGTGTGTCTGTGTCTGTGTCTGTGTCGTGCAATTTGTTGCAGATCCAAGAAGCTGTAGCTATACCAACCGATGAAAAAAAGTGGCAGCTAATCTGACTATAAGATCGGTGGTTGTGTGGCTATGTACCAATGTGGTCCAGTGTAGCGTACACACAATCAAAGGGATAGGGCTGTGTGCAAAAAAAAAAAGTGGTTTCAAAATCTCGTGCCACGCGGGAATCAGATCCTAGTCCTTTTTCTGTTTGTTTATCTCTCCTCTTGTTAATGAAAGAGTTGTTGTTATTATCAGTATAAGCTGTATTATAGATCCACTGTAAATGAAAGCAGAAGCTGATGATTCCAAAGTATATCTGAAGAAGAAGAAGAAGTAAGAAGAAACTAATAAGAGACGAAATTGAATAGTAAGAATAATATATGTGTGTATAATTTGAAAGACAAGAATAGAATGTGGGCAAGTGGGATCAACAACAACAACAACAACTACAGTCGCGTAAATTAAAATCAGAAAAATAAAAATAAAAATAAAAATCAGAAAAATTAAAATAAAAATAAAACTAAAAATAAAAATAAAATTGAAAATTAATAAAAAACGGCAAGGCTGAGACAATTTTAGCACTTCATACATACATACATTCATACATACATACATACATACAGATGCTCTGCCTTATGCACTCATCTAAACACACCCTTCAAAACCCTATAGAACCACTTTCAAAATCTTTGTAGAGCAATAACAAAACTCAAAGCCAAGTCAGTAGTAAGATCTCATTCCTTTGAAATTGCTGTAATATCCTCCTCCCTTTCGTCTGCAAGCTGTATCAATTATAAACAGGACGTGTCTATTTCTTTGAACTTTTGTCAAATTTCTTAACTTTGTGACATTTACCTGTTATCTGTAAAGGACGAGCCACACAAATATACCCGACACACATTAACACGCCTTAGAATTGTCTTTTCTAATATCGGTGCTTACTGGAACACCTTCTTGCACCAGTTTTGCCATTTGCTGCACGCACATGGAATTCCAATCAAAAATAAAAAAAAACAAATTAAAAACATGAAGAAGGGAAGAAGCACAAAGACAGTTACCACCACACATCTACTCATACGGCACGAAATCGCAACTGATAACTATTTAATGCAACTTTGCTCCAAACATCTTACCCCTATCTTCCTTTGAGTCAACTTCTACAAATGTCTACAACGATTTGCTACAGAATATAAGAAAAGTCATACGTTTTGAATCATATCCACTTCTGCTTCTCTGCTCTCAGCACCTATTTTGCCCCTTCGTACCAAATATCGGGCACTTCCAAAATATACCTCTCCATGGCTTCTCTAAATCTGATTCTATACTGCTTGGGGGTAACAACCGTCGGGTCCTTACCCTTTTTACCACCACCAATCAAATTATTTCCCTTGACCCAATTCTCCACCTTTTTATCCCACGTAAATGCCCTCAACCAATCAATGATTCCAATATACAACTTCTTCAGCTCATCATCAATGCCAATCACCAAACTATAATCCATCACATCCATTGCCGATAAGAAACTGGTGTCATTAAACAAACAACCACGCAACAACTTCTTCAGCTGTTCTTTAACAAACACGGGAGATTCATAAATGTATTCAATCATATTTTCATCCAACAAGACTTCATTTTCTTGGCCAGTTTGTTGTACATGTCGGTTCCTCATTGATCCTTTCAAATCAAATATTCGTGTAGTCTTGTGATTATAGAATAAATTCTCCATGATCAAAAAATCCATCTTGAATACAACTTTCCCATTCAATTGATTCTTGATTTCAACTTGATAAAACCCAAATATCTTGGCAATTGCCGTAGTCAATGTATTAAACATTGATTGACTAATATATTTGAAATAAAAAGGAGCTATACCAACAAATGACTCCAATTCAGTCTTGCTCAACTCTTTGACAATATACCTATTATCCAAAGTTTTCAAAAAACTGGACCCACTTTTGCCTCCACTTGAATGCCATTTTACACATCTACTCAATGACTGGATGAAGTCCAGATCTTCAACGCCACATCCTCTTCTCAATGCTTCAAATTGCTCGCTGTAAAAAATTTTGCACGATAAATTGGTATTGCCATCGCTAAATTGATACTTCAAATGGTTGGATTTGGGTTGATTCAAAATCGCTTCCAATTGATTGCTTTTGCCATCGCCATCACGAGAATTGCGATGCTTAAACTTGCGCTCAATTTTAGCAAATTGCGCCCTCTTCTTTTTGTTGTCGTTGCTCAAACCAAAACCAAAATCAGCTGCCTTGTAAGTTACTGACTCCTTCTTATCAGTTTTTCTAGAACCATCATCATCTGTGGACACAGTAGCTTCATCTTCGTCTTTGTCAACAACGTGACCAACCTGATTGTCTAACTGTGACTGCGACTGATTTTGTTGCTGTTTTCCTTGCTCATGGTCCCGATCATTCTTCTTCTGCTTCTTCTGCAGAAGCAGTTGTTGTTGTTGTTGTTGTTGTTGTTGTTGTTGTTGTTGTTGTTGTTGAAGTTCGTGGTGCTGCTCCTCCACCACAAAGGAGCTTAATTTACTCCGAGCATCTTGATGTTGATCCACTAAAACGTCCCTATCATCAGTAAGACCCTCAACTCTCATCTTACTTCCACCATCACGCTGCGTGTCACCGTCACCCTGGTCAAATACGTATCTAAGTTTCAGCTTATAATCGCTCGAGCTCAAGCAAAACGCAACTAGCGAACTAGGCTCATCCTCTCTAACAATCACATCACTATCAGCGAATGTGTGCTCATGACTATCCAACGGGTAAGCCAACGGATCCCACAAAGTGGCTGATCTATCAGCCCAGAAATTGGTCAATGATTTCAACAATGACTGTTTTTCCGGGATATCAAGTTGTTTCGGAGCTTGTTCCGCTACAACAGCGTTGCCAACGGAAGATTCTTTCGATTCGGCATTGTCACTGCTATTATTGGCAACGTTGGCGTTATTGGTAGCCACGCCCTTCTTTTCTTCATTCTCGGAACCCCCCACAACATCTTCAATCTTGTTGTAAATTTCAACAATTGGTTTACTGTCCAACACTGGTTGAGCTTTAACTTTACTTCTTTTCTTCAACTCAAATTCCCTCTGTTTGGAAAACTCCAACGATATCTGATCGTAATACATCTTGTCAAAGAAATTGGCCAAATGAATCACTTTATTTTGTGATGGAATCATCGTGTTGACTGATTTTAATGAACTATCCGACCCCCGGTGAGCCAATGGAATCGCTTGATGAAGAGCCTTATCACCTGCGGTTTCTTCCCATTTACTAATCCTTTCGGAAATATTGGTCTTTGGTTCATATAATGAAGTCTTGGAGAACATTTTGGACTCAATCAATGAGTCGGGTTCGAGATTATCATTCGATATAGTTCTTGGTTTGTGGGGAGTGAAGGTATGCGGTCTCTCGATGGGAGTGCTTGCGTCTCCGTGGCGAGAAGTTTCATCATCTGGCAATGCGCAATGTTGTTGAGTATCATTGTGAGAGCTTGTGCCATCAGTTTCATCTCGAGTGTCAGAGAGCTTCTCAATCTTGGGCCCGTCTTGAAGGACATCAACACCCTCCTGAACATCCAAAACTTTACTAGGATTGGTAGTGCTACTGCCACCTTCAACGCCACCCAGAGTATCCGCAAACTGCACGTTCTCTCCGTCATTTCCAGGATTGACACAGTCCTCCTTCCTAGTAGCTTCTGCAGTATCTTCTTTAAAATCAGTCTTTTCATCATCATGTATATTGTACTTGTCCATTAGGAATTTCCGCAAATGGAATTGAGTAATCTTGTTAACTTCACTCTCATTAGGCAAATACTTCTTCTCAAACTCTTGAAATTCAATATCCCACAAAATTCCCAACACTTGCAAGTCCTTGAATATTGAATTTAGCTCGAGATATCTAGTGACATCAATTTCGTCATACTTTTTCTGCAACTTGTTATATATCGCAGTGGAATCTTTGGCTAATTTGTCCTTCATTTCATTCACCTTCTTCGTACCATCCTCCGCCTTCACAAACGTGTCCAATTTAACCCTACTCAAACGCTTCAACACAGAGTCAAAGAATGCCTCTGCTTTGGATTTTATCGACTTGTATGACTCCACTTTCAAGTTGATATTGATATCGCAAATGAACTCAAGCTGTTTCTTCGGAACAACAATCTCATAATTGTCAATTTTCGAGTACTCCAACTTGATTACCAAATCATTGAATCCAAAACATTGAACATAATTTTGAAAGTAGCAATGTTCACATCCACCAAATATACCTTTACCATAAAAATACAACTCAAAGAATTTCCCAATGGATAGGTAATACGTATCGTCGCTCATGGCCATGATTGGTGTAACATAGTTACATTGCTTGCAATAACTCCACAATACCCTCTGATTTTTTCCTTGTGACTCGTGGCTAGCACCATTGAACTTGATGTCATACTTTTCGGTAATTAAATCAATTTTTGAGTTACCATGGACATAAGTCTTGTAATGATCAAGAGACAACTCCCCACACTCATTACAAGTCTTGCCACTATCTGAAAATATCTGATCGAGAAATAAACCTAGACATCTGTCATTCTCGGTGTAATAGTCAACGACAGCAATTGCTGGCCCTGCACAAGGAGTAGCATGTTTGATCGACACTGTGGAATGCAAAATGTGAATACTGCGATGGAAAATAGGAAATAATTGATAAGACGAGTACTTTAAACAATTGGACCAGGTACGAGCTCGATATTGGTACTCATTAAGCAAAAGCTTCAACTGGGTTTGGCTTGCGCATTTCAAAATTCTCAAAAAGTCCTTGTCCTTTCCAGGCAATTCCTCAACCGCAAATTTGATTCGCAATTGTTCCTTCCAACCGAGGTCAATCTCGTTCACCGAGTTAACCAGTTGTATAGCCTCATTTAGCTTGAAACCTTGAAAATACTTGTAGTAGGAATCAATAACTTTGCATAACACAGGTGGCAAGTTGTATTGCACAGTTGGTGACAAACTCAACCTTCGCATTTTGAAAGATTCCACATACAAAACAACTTCACGATTATCCAACATTGGAGTCACCACACTCGATAATGAATCATTCATAATTGCACTGACTATGTCATCTGCATCTTGCGCTGATTGGTCAAGTGATGTTTCTGTACATGTCAATAGCAAATTCCTCAAAAGACTTTTTTCATAGCGAGAGTTGAGATAGCCATGAACAAGGACCTCGGCAGTGTACTTGACACTTTCCAACAACTCCTCCCCTCCACCTCGCAATAAAATGGTGAAACCAGACTCAATGTTGGTACCAGTGAAGAATATAAAGCTCTTCACAACATTTTCAAATCTGAACCGTTTGACTTCAAATTTTTCACAAACACCTAGCGTCCCCTTTTTGAAGAACAAATCATTCACTGATTGGAATATGTCTGCATTTGTGTATCGAGAAATGCGTTCAATAACCTGTGGCTTGACGTTGGAAACAACCGTGATACCAGCTTCTTCGAGAAGCTTGATGGCTAAGCCACAAACAGTGTCCCCAACTACTATAACGTCGGGTGATAACGAAATAAGTTTCGATACCAAATTCGTAATGTAAACGGATTGTTGGGCATGGATAATCCTCAAGCTAATAAACTGCTCACGATCCTTCAAATATTCAACTGGAAACATGAGTAGCGCAATCAGTGGCTTTTCGATCTCAGATCTCATTTTTTTGCTATCAACATCTTTGGTTATAAACAAACCATCGACAACTTCTGTTTGCCCAATCTTGCCACCCAAGATTTTTTTGAGCTTGACATACTGTCTCACATCTAAGGTGTCTGAGATTTTCAACTTATTAACTTCGGTCAATACTTTTTGAAGGGTTAACATCCATTTTTGCAAATCAGTTTCTATTCCACAATCAGTAAGAGATTGCTTCAAGACCGCGCTCAATGTGTCTTTGTATACACCATCAAGTTTCGAAGTATCGTCAACGCGACTTTGCTGTAAGAAACCGTCATCCTCCTCCAACTGGCTTCCAACTCCATTATGGTGACTGTATGTAAAATAATCTGAAGTGTCATTATGCTGACGATGTTGCCGGTTCAAAGCTGTACCACTAAGGGTACGGGGCCCAATAGGGGACAAGTCGGTATCTGTCGGTTCATAACTATCGCTTCTATTGTCGGTCCTCGACTCCTCAATAGTGCTATTCGAGATGACAGTGCTTAGATTGGAGCGTGTGGACGTCTCCGGTATGGGTGACGTTGGAGAAGAGATTGGCGTTAGCTGCAGATCATTTGCAACTTTGTTGGTAATTGGTCCAAAACTGGGCAAGCGAATATTATTCTGTGTCAAAATCAGCACATTGCGACTGCCTCTAGTTTGTCTTCTCGATCTCATACGTTGGATGGAAGCATTTGCTCTAGCGCGGGAGCGTAAACTCTCGGGCCGTGTAGCTTCAGCAATACCAATGGCATTTTTCTTGATAACATCCGAATAAAGATTGTTATCGCGAGCACTAGAGTAAAAGGACTTGATTCCAGGAAACTCACCCAATGTGGGTACGGCACCTGTGCTTGCCCCAAACATGTGGCCCGAATTGAGTCCCAAAGGTGTAGATCCATAAGCATCATTTAACGACGAGTATATGGACATGGCTCTTTCATCCTCCTCTTCATCACTGCCTTCATCCCTGAACCCTCTTGGAGAACGTATCTCGTCCTCGTCCTCGTCCTCGTCCTCGCTCTCACTTGAGCTACTTGCGATATCTGCATCGTCGTCTCCACCCCTGTCCAATAGAACACGGCTTCTTTCCATTCTTCCAAAAGAAGGCGTCACTTTTAGCTTAAGCGATGGTTTTCTCGAAACAAGACTATTGTAACCTGGACTCTTCTCACCATCATTTGTATTAGATTCTAAGTCTACTTCGCGAAATCTCTCAGCATTCTTCAACCACGACTTATTGCTGTTTAACACGTCATAAGATGATTGACCCAAACTGAATGCTGGGTGTTGATGCACGGTTGACATCTGATTGTGAAGCGGTAAATCAAATTGAAACGATTTTGACAAACTATTCTGATCAACCGAATCAAGCTTACTAGCGGACCCGAACCTGCTCAAGGGCCCACGAACAAACTGAGAGTTACTCAATGAATTTCTCACTAATGGAATCTCGATTGACTCACCGGCACGAGTCGTTGGTATAGCCATTCGAGGTGCTTGCTTTGCGTTGGTCTTGATAGACTCATCCGGGTAAATATGGTGATTATTGTTGCGAGACGGAGAATTGGAGTTGAGCGAACTGCTATCCCTCGCCCTTGAATCGTATCGAATCGAACCTTGGCTAGTGTCATGGGCACTAAGACTTTCACGGTATGAAGTGGTCGACAATGACCGTACTCGTGAAAGTGGATGGTTGGGCACAAGCAAGTCTTCTTGTCGAGATCTTGGTTGGTTTTGGCCATCAGTTGTTTGATCAGCTTCTCCATCAGTTTCTGACCCAGAGGACTCATCACTAAGATAAATTATGACGTCACTGTAACACGGCTTGCAAACCCGTAGCTTATCATGGTAGGGCCGCTTTTGATCAATAACATTGTTTCTCTGATCTCTATGCTGCGTGTATGAAATGAATAGGGTGCAGTCAGAGCAAAATATCTGTCCACAAAATCGACAATGATGTTTTCGTCTGAAGGTAGTGAATGGTTTGAAACAGTTCAAACAGTCTGCAACAAATGCATCATTCATCCAGTACTTTTTAGGGATCCCGCCATTTTTCAAAGGGTTTTGGGAGATTTTTGTCGACTTCTTTTTCTTCGTACTCTTCCCAACTATTGACGACGCAGACGATGCAACCGCTCCAAAATTTTGGTTCATAATTGTCTTTGCATTATCTAAGATAGCTGAGGGAAACTTTTGAGATCTTTTTCTGGAAGCGCGTTCATCTCTGTTTCTGATTGCATTGAACGATGAAACAGTTGGCGAATCTCCTGAATTTGTTGATAATGTCAGCTTGCGAGTCCCGTCGACTTTCACTGGTGATGACTTTGCAATTGACTCATTGTGAATTGCTCTTTGGTCAAAAGATGTGGACAATGACCTCGCGTAATCAGCTTTTGAATTTGGGATTTGAACATTCTTTCCAAATTGTCTGTCTGTATCTCCTATTGTCGATTCAGTCTGCTCCAGTTCCCCTAATGATTCTAAATCCGAAGCTGAGTCATCCGAAAGTTCTATGTCGTTTGGCAAGTTGTTGAAAATTGTAGATATTTTGCTGTCAAGAGTAGTAGTCGCTTTTGGTTTTGTATTGCCATTTATATGCTCGCCAGGAGACGTGGAGTGTTGTGTTTGGGGCTCAGAATCCGACATGTCCACCGTTGCTAACGCATTCACACTAAACACTGAGCTGGTTGCTCTTGGACTCAAAGATTGAGATCCGGCATATGGAATGGTTGAAAGTCGAAGTGACTTGTTGTCTGATCTAACCCGAGGCGCTTTTTCCTCCACTATCAAATTGTGTGATTTGTGCACTCTTGCGGATGTGGGTTTTGGAGTAGTTTGTGTACTTAGCAGTATTTGTGTGGGAGTTTCTTTCAAGTCTTTTGCAGCTTCGTCGCGGTCCATTCTAGTGTCAGGTATTTGTGTGGTAGAACGTTCATTCTGTAACTCTTGTGAGGTCTGCTTTCCATCCATCTCCGTTACCACGCCACCACCTTTCATTTGCTTTCGCTCGCCAGTAACTATTGTATCAGACAGCACCGATTTTTTTGGTGTCAGTTGTTGTACTGGGGATTGATTGTCCACTTTTGAATTTCCTGTTTGACGTCTATCGGAGCGGGTACTCATCTCATCGGAGTCGCTTCTGCTCTGGATATTTCTGGTCGCTTCAACCAGTGTGATGTTCCCCACATCATGCTTGACGTGACTGTCCACTTGTTTTACATTCGTTTGCCCCAGGAGATTCGCGTCATGACTTTTCGGATTCAGTGGTTGGGACGATGAAGTATTCGATGTTGGGTACTGGGACGGCACATTAGCGAGTTGGTTAGGACCCTCCAGAATACCTGAGTAGTTTTGCACCAAATGACTGGCATTATTGGTAACTTTTCTCAAAGTCTTTGATATTAGCCCCGAAATTGAGCTCTTGTTTTGTAATTCTGGCTCTTCCAAAGTCGGGAACGACACAAAGTCCTCTTTCTTCGAAGAAGTGGTATATAATTCTTCGTCATCACTATTATTTGGAATAGATAGTGTTCTAGGCACCGCATGTGGGGCTATCCTCAGGTCAGACCGGTTTGTAGTGCTGTCCTTTTGAATCGTTGCCATTGGTGACTGCGTGAGAAAAAAAAAAAATCCTTTGGACTAAAACTCAATCTAACTTATATGCTTGCTCGTATACTGGTTTATCTTGACGGTGTAAATCAAATAGTCATCAACGCAGTATGCTCTGGTCCGCCACCTGGTTGCAGAATTCCTCTCTCCATAGTTCCTGCAGCTCCGAAAAATTAAGTTCCCCCCAAAAAAAAAAAAAAATAAAAATAAAAACAGAAAAGTAAACAAGGGAGAAAAGGTCGTGGAGAGGGGGCCAACAAACTACCAAAAGCATAGATATCATACTACATACGGTCCACTCAATAAGACGGAGAGGATATGGTACGGTAAGTCATCTCATACACACGGGGGGAGAGAGCATGATAGAATACAATTGAGGGTGCGGGAGTGGAGTCTCAAGATTATACGGTATGAATATCTAAATTCGTCGTGCGGTCTAGTAAAATGTAAAACAAAACAATTGTCTGTGCAACTTTTCTTTTATTTTTTGCTTTTTTCTTTTGTTCAGAATTTTCGTAAGTCGACATATTCTCTTCAGCAACAGTGTCAGCCAAGAGACCCACATCATTTTCACCTTCTTCAGATTGAGAGTTGTATTTGAATTGACAGAACATAAAGAACTAGACTATAGTATCAATTGGTCTGCCGAGTTGTAAAATACACCACTACTACTACTAATAACAACAAAAGTTAATCTCATATATGTCGAGTTCTGGATTGCAAAGACGGAGAGGTGGTAACAAGCAAGCCGCTTCGAAAGGGAGAAGCTCCAATTCATTTGAAGAAGACAGGGTCCCGGCTCAAGCTGACTCTGACGTTAAAGTCGGCTACGACGACCGCGACATTAAGGACCCGAAAGAAGTGAAAATTCCTTTACTTACACTCATGGAGGAAGTGCTTTTAATGGGATTGAAAGACAAGGAGGGATACTTGTCCTTTTGGAATGATAACATATCTTACGCATTGAGGGGGTGTATATTGTTGGAGTTGGCCTTCAGGAATAAAATAACCTTGGTCAATGACCCAGCCAGACGCAGATTCGAGTTGAGTGATAGGCTTGTGGAAGTTATTGACGATGAGCCAACTGGGGAAGTTTTGTTAGATGAAGCACTCAAGATTATGAAAGGAGATGAGTCAAACCTATCAGTCACAAATTGGATTGATTTGTTGAGTGGGGAGACTTGGAATTTGATGAAAATCAACTACCAGTTGAAGCAAGTGAGGGAGAGGTTGGCAAAAGGTTTAGTGGATAAGGGAATCTTGAGGACAGAGAGAAAGAACTTTTTTTTATTCGATATGGCTACCCATCCTGTTGCCGACAAGTTATCGAAGGAGTACATCAAAAACAGAATATTATCTTTACTCATACTGAGAAATGTCGATCTCGACTCGGTTGCTAATGACCAATTTCCTAAAGATACTTCCCTCAGATACTTGCGAACCATATCCTTAGTGTGTGGGTCATATGCCGCAAACGTATTGGAGAATGTTTTGTTGTCGTTAGGCTATGACAAAAGAGACCAAGCTTTTGCAAGAGCAGATGAGCTTTTAGCAGATTTTAGTGAATTCCCCTTCAATTTATCACATCAGAGTACCTTGGGGCTAGGGCTCAACTTGGGTCAAGAAGTGAGTAACGAGATTTCGGAGTCCTCCGCAACTGAGTTGCAATTGGAATTGGTCGCCGCAGTTTTGAGTGTTTTTGCAAGAATGGACTCGATTCTTTAGATGACATGTTGTATAGAGTGAAACTTAGTAATGAGAGGGACTCCTGTGGGTTTATATATTCAATCACGATCTTGACCTTCTCAAGTATTTACTTGTTGGGTAGTGTAGGCAATTTTTACTACAATCTAATTGTGTAATTCCGCCCAACTGATCAACGAAATTGGTCACTAGAGAGTCGGGTAAGGGTTCCAGAGATGTTACCCTGTCGCCAGAAGAATCCCACCACATTCCTCCGCCTAAGGCTCTCGACTTGACGAAACTACCCTTAATCTTTGCACTTTCAGCATTGTCGTACGTAACCAAACGTTTAGACTCAGGGTCGTAGGCATAGGCCCCCACTTTTCTAGCATCAAAACGTTGTTCTGGAAAGCAACTGATCTCGTTGTAGTTCATAACATCATTTGAATCGGCACTTTCGTGTTTTTGAAATGAGTCCCCAACATTACAGCAACTGACCCCGGTAAATACCCTACCATACATTGGACATCCCAACACCAACTTGGATGGGATCACGCCTTTCAGAAGGTATGCTTGCACAACGTCAGCTGTGTTTAAATTGTTATCACCATTGCTCCCAAATAGATTGGAATGAAATCCCGTCTTTTGTGACCAGCCCTGACCAGCAAAATCATAACACATCAAGTTCCAAAAGCCCAAATACTGGTCCATCTCTTGCACGTTCAAATATTGGATGTTGTCGATTCCTGCCGGAGCAGCGACTGTCAAGGAATACCTTGGTGGTAGTCTTTCGCGCATCAAACGCAACAAATCTACAAATCGTTGGCCGTGTTTGGAATTATTAGGATACTCCCAGTCAATATCTACTCCATCAAATCCATATTCTTCCACAAACTCTACCGAGCTTGCGACAAAACTCTCTAGCTTTTTATCATCTGCAACCACTGCTTCAAACAAGTGAGCCGTGCCCCAACCCCCAATTGACATCATCACTTTCAAAGTTCGGTTGAGCTTCTTCATCTGATATAGCTGTTGCAAGTTTCCGTGTACACTCTCACCTGGTATCAAAGTTTCCATTGGCATTTCCAAGTCACACCATTTGTCTGAAAGTTTGACTCGGCCACTTGACGGATCAATTGAGATGAATGCGTAAAATATGTGTGTATAATATCGAGAAGGAAGATGGTGGGGAAAGTGTTTTTTATCATACACGACCCAATTGGTAAAGTATACACATGTTTTGAACCTGTGGTCAGTTGAAAGTACCGTTTGCTGCGTATTAGAGTGATGCAACCTATCCTGAAATTTTTCAACCAAACGATGGCACATTGTATTAGTGTGGTGACTCCAACCACTTTTTCTCCTTTTCGCAGTCTTTTCCAAAACGGCGAAGTAACAACTGTGTTTTCTATTTTCATTTCTTTTTTTGCCAAACACAATTTGCCACCTTTATATTACCACCGATTTGCATAACAAACAATTGACAAAATGGGCTTAGAGTTACCTCAGAATATCCCACCCCATGTTCCGGCTGGTGCCAAGATTTATAAAGACGACTGTATGTACACATTTGATACAGCAGAAAATAATGACTTAGGTCTAGACATTGATTTGAAAACTTATCGTGCATACTCAAGAAATAACGAATACAACTATACAAAGCAAAATTATGAGGCCACCGGAAACTACTTATACTTGAATGTCAAAAAGACTTTAAAACCGAAAGAGGAAATCGATAAACTTCTATATGACGACGATGGTGAAAAGAGTCCGAAAATTCGCAAGTTGGAAATTAAGAACGTCAGCGAGGAAGATTATTACAACACCGAGATCAGCTTGTACGACGTGAAGCAAGATAAACTTTATCCAAGATCAGAGCTCAGCGCTGCTTTCAATAACCTTTTTGAGGAAATCTTGAGTGCAAATTCATCGAATGACGACGAGGAGATCAAGCAATGGGAGCAAGAAATTGCACCGTGCCCGCATTCAGTAAATGTCGAGCAATTTGATTTCGATGGAACACTTGATCTCACAAAATGTAGCCAGTGTGATTTGAAAGAGAATTTGTGGATTTGTTTGCATTGTGGTGCTTTGGGGTGTGGAAGACAACAGTACGCGTCCACTATGAAAGGAAACGGTCACGCTTTGGCCCATTATGAAACTTCACAACATCCTGTAGCATTGAAATTGGGATCTCTATCGGGAGACTCTGAAAGCTATGATGCATATTGTTATCAATGCAATGATGAGGTGAAGGTGCCAAATTTGGCAGCCATACTTAAGAAGTACGGCATTGATTTGGAAAAGACTAAAAAGACTGAAAAGTCCCTAGTTGAACTTAACATTGATCAGAATTTGAATTGGGACTTCAAATTGGATGGTGCTGGTGGAGATAAGTTGCCGCCAGTTTATGGGAAAGGATTGACGGGATTGAAGAATCTTGGGAACTCATGTTATATGAATTCTGTCCTCCAAGCATTATTCGATTTGAGTCTGTACAAAGAGTTCTTCAAGGGCTTGAACCCTAAGTTAGATATCAATCCGGCCGAAGATTTGTCAAGTCAATTACTCAAAATTTATGACGGGTTGTACAGTGGAAGGTATTCCGTTCCCAGTCCTTTGAAAGGGGAGGACTACCAACTAGGTATCAAACCTTTTGTTTTCAAGAATCTTATTGGGCAAAACCACCCTGAGTTTAAAACCCAGAGACAGCAGGATGCCTATGAGTTTCTTCTTTATCTCTTAGACAAACTTGATAATGAGTTTGGGCTAAAGTTAAATGAGGATTTGAAATTTGTATACACGGAGAAAGTCGTTTGTGACAACTGCAAACATGGATCATTGAAAAATGAGTTGGTGGACAATATATCAGTTCCGTTGGAGGAAACGGTGTTGGCGACAGAGGGCGACGAGAAAGTTTACAAGGAAGTGGATTTGCGTGACAGCTTCCAGAAAGTAGCGGGTCCCGAATTGATACCGGGATACCAATGTGACAATTGTAATCTGAAGCCCGGAGCTGCCTTGAAATCAGGCGGGTTTACATCGTTCCCGAAATATCTTATTGTCAGTGCTCAAAGAATCAAATTGGAGAATTGGGCACCTGCAAAAGTAGACGTTCCAGTAAAGGTGCCTTTTACCCTAGACCTTTCTGAATTCAAGGCACCCTTTTTTAAAGAGGGGGAAATTGAAGTTACACCTTCCAGGTCGAATGATGACACGCAGACCTTTACCGCAAATGCTGAACAGTTGAATACACTTTTAGGGATGGGGTTCCCAGAACCTCGATCAATTAAAGCTTTGTACAGCACAGGAAACAACGATGCTGAAGCAGCCATGAACTGGCTTTTTGAGCATATGGAAGATCCTGATATTGATGAACCACTAGATCTCACAGGAGAGGGATTGAAGGCACCACTGACCCCATCAGACGAAGCCGTTAGTAATCTCGTGGGCATGGGATTTTCCCACCAATTGTCGAAAAAGGCGCTTTATTTGAACAATGATGACCCTAGTGCTGCCGTAGAGTGGTTATTTTCCAATCCTGACGATGACGGTGTAATCGAAGTGAATGACAAGGTACCTGTTAACGCTGGCAAGGAAAAGCGGGATTTACTTGCAAAATTGAGCAACGAATCTAAATCCTCGGGTCAGTACCAATTGAAGTCGGTGATCTGTCACAAAGGTGCGTCGTCACATACCGGTCACTATGTTGTATTTGTGAAAAAATTTGTCGATGGTGCATGGAAGTGGGTTTTGTTCAATGATGAGAAAGTGGTACTTTGCCAGGAGGAGAATTTGAAAGAGGTGGAGAAAAATGCATACATCTATATATTTGAACAGGTTTGAATGAATTGCAACCTTTTGTTATTAGAGTATGTGAGCTATGATGTGGAACGGGGGGCGGTTGTGTAGATGCAATCACTTGTACTTATGGTGTTTGCCAATATCCTTCCCCTCCTCTCCTTTGTGATGAGTGTGTCACAAAATTGCACTTTTCTCTAAATCATGCAATCGCAATTGTTCTAAACGATGAGTAATAAAACATTTGTATGTACACAAAAGCTAACTACTCTCCTCTTGTCAAAAATTTTTCAGTCAAAAAAAAAAAAACACACTTCGGACTGTAAAGTTTCTTTGCTTCAAATACGGCATTCTACAGTAGTGCAACACCACAAGCTAATACCAGAAACATGTTTATTACAAACGAACACGTTGGAGACAGATCTCGTATGGAAGATTGGAGAAGTATGTTGGTTGATTAGTATTTTTAAATTGAGTCAAGTAAAAGTTTCAGCAAATGTGGTACTAACATTTTGAAACAGTTCGTGGTTATGATCCATTAACACCACCAGACTTGTTGCAACACGAATACCCTTTGACCCCTGAATCCCTGAAAACTATTTTGGAAGGAAGAAATGCTGCAGTCGATATTTTGAACGGAAAGGATGACAGATTGATCATAGTGATTGGTCCTTGTTCCATCCATGACCCTAAAGCAGCCTTGGAATACGCTGATAGACTTCACAAGGAAGCAGAGAAACACAAGGGTGAACTTTTGATTGTCATGAGAGCATACTTGGAAAAACCTAGAACTACTGTGGGCTGGAAAGGTTTGATCAATGATCCTGATATCAACGGTACATTTCATATCAACAAAGGTTTGAGAATTGCAAGAAAGTTGTTTGTGGAATTGACCTCCAAGTTGCCTATTGCTGGTGAAATGTTGGACACAATCTCGCCTCAATTTTTGTCTGATTTATTCTCAGTTGGTGCAGTCGGGGCAAGAACCACGGAATCACAATTGCACAGGGAATTGGCATCTGGATTGTCATTCCCTGTTGGTTTCAAAAACGGTACTGATGGAACTTTGGGTGTTGCTATTGATGCTGTACATTCTGCTGCTCATCCTCATCATTTCTTGTCTGTTACAAAACCTGGAGTGGTTGCAATTGTGGGCACTGATGGAAACCAAGACTGTTTTGTTATACTAAGAGGAGGTAAACAAGGCACCAATTACGACGAGGCTTCCGTGAAGGAAACACAAGCACAATTAAAGAAAGCCAAGTTGGTGACAGAAGAAAAAAGCGGCCCCAGAATCATGGTAGATTGCTCCCATGGGAACAGTAACAAGGATCACAGAAACCAACCAAAAGTTGCAAAAGCTGTTGCTGACCAAATTGAGGCTGGTGATAAATCGATTTGTGGTTTGATGATTGAAAGTAATATCAACGAAGGAAGACAAAACGTTCCTCTGCAAGAAGAGGGGGGCAAAGATGCTTTGAAATATGGTGTTTCCATAACCGATGCTTGTATCGGTTGGGATACAACCGTTGAAGTATTAGATTTGTTGGCCAATGCTGTCAAAAAGAGAAGAAGCTTGTAAGATTTAGTATGTATTATGTTTGGTTTTTTGTTAAATAGCACGACCATTCTTTTTCCGCGATAAACTCAGATCGAGTTATGTAACATATAAGCCAATAAAGGAAACATCCTACTGCTGGAACCTTTCTCGAACGCATCAATTTGATGAAATCGTTTATAAAACAACCTAAAAAGAATGATTCTACTACTTCATCAAGCGACAATGCTAAGCATGCACAACCTAGCGCAAATTTTCGCACAACAACGTTTGAAAGTATGACCCCACCCACAGCCAACCATCACAAGTTTACTCCGACTTCGTCCCCAAAGATGCAGCAATTCCCGCAATATACACCACCTACCAATGTTCATTTGTCCTCGACGACTACGAATTCGCCGAAAAAGTTGTTAACGCCAATAAAGAACTTGTTTTCGTCAACAAAATCAGCAGGGCCAACACCAAACTCAAATGATAATTTACAAAGTCTAATGGTGAACGGGGCTTCCCCAAGAGAGTCGAAAACTTCTCGGTTGAAGAAGCATATACGGAGCAGAAGCAATGCGTCGATCCCCACTCTTCACGACATGATGAAACCACCTGCAAGAATGAGTGGAGACACCAGACTCAAACTGACTGTGTCTTCTCCTTCACTTCAAGAATTAGATACTAAATCGATGAAGCCACTTCTAGAAAAGGGCCAAAATGAAGCTTCTACTGTTGCATATCCTCTAGAAATTGTCGAAGTGCCGCCTGTCACGGCAAATCTTAACGGTCTTGGCCCGCCTATACTTTTGAGTAGAGGTTCAAGTAAGAACTTTAGTATTGCATCTTCGGCAGAGAATGACCAATTTCACGCCAAGCAAGTCTTTTTGGATGCAAAATCTGTATCGTATATCAATGACAAAGAGAATTCGAGAACAAGCCGCAGTGGAGAATCTAGCGAGAGTTCCGATGACAATTACGATTCCGACGACGATGATAGGGACGATGACGACAATTCTTCCCAGTTTTCATTTGTGCAAGATATGAAAGCCGGACGAAACACTTCGGTCAAATACTACAAAACAAATGTTAGTAAACCAAAGTTGGAGCAAGCTTTGGCCCTGAACTCATTTGACGAGAATGATTTGGGTGGTGACGCTGAAGATATGATGGATTATGACTTTGAAAACAATGGTTTAGGCGAGGATGACGAGGAATATGATGACTATAACGAATTTGACGGAGAAAATGCCGCGTACAATGATATGTTTCTGAATGAGGATATAAAGTCCTGCACTATTTCTAACTCTCGTGACAAGCAACAACATCACGAGCTGGATAATCTCAGTCACGATGCTCTTGCAAAACCCCCATTGCCAGCCATGGATCCTACGTTTGGCGATATCTCCAAAAGTTTCTCCCCCGAAACAAAGTTTAGAGAGCTTACTTGTGGGTATGAGTTCCCTCCTCATTCAACATTCAACACCTCGCATCACTTGTCGATACAAGGTCCTCCTAGACTGGAGAGTCACGATTTACCTTCGAGTCCTAGAAGGGCTAGTGTTGAAGATGATATTTTGGAAAACTATTTAGATCGGAGCACTCTGAATTCCATTCACTCAAACATCAACACCAGTGGGGACCTTCAATCACCTTTGGTTCCTCATGACAACCAGTTTGAGCTTTATGATGTTAGCAGCCCGGTCATAAATGGACTCACCATCGGTCATAACTTGAGTCATCGCTCTGGTCGAAAGGGGCAAAATCCAAACAGATCCTTAATTCATCGTAATCCGGTCAATGTTTCTAGCAACCAACTCCTGAATAATGGCGAGCCTGAAAACATCAATCCAGAAACAGAGCAATTTATAGCTTCTTTCCACGGTTCCTTTGATGAGGGTTTGAACAACAAGATTAAAGGCAAAGTAGACGACTTTGAAAGTTGGCAAAAGCTTCGGCGCCAAGAGGTGCTCACCAATTCCACTGATGAGATCCAATCCATGAGAGCCGGATCCTGTGCAACGCTCATTAGTGGCTCTGGTTCTTGTAATACTTCGACTGGACTTACAAATAATGATGGAAGCTGCTCAGTCAAAGAGGATCAAGAACAAATCAATGCGGCCAACAATGGTGAAACTAGATCCCAAAATCGTAGCTCAGTGGCTGAAATGATGGGGCTTTTATCTAGCTTGGAGCTTAGTAATCCAGCCAAAGGTGAAGCTGGGACAGCACATGACTCCGGTAACCGTCGAGAGAGAAATTCAGTAGCTGAAATGATGGGGCTTCTATCCAGCTTAGAGCCTAGTCATGGGGTTGTTGGTACCACGGAATTAGCTCCTGAGGTTGACAACAAAAAGGTTCGAAGCTCGGTAGATGTCATGATGAACTTTTTAGCCTCAGTTGGAGACAGTGATAATACTGTTGACAATGAAAAATCAAACAACAGCATCAAACCCCAGCCAACACATGATCCTTCCAACCTCGCTGATTTTCAGGAAAGCAAACGCGATACGCACCAAGACTGGAGCGTGAAAAGAAAACCATCCTTCAAGCGCTATTCATGGTTCAGTAGCCAGGAGAGCTTGACTATGAAAGGTGTCGACCCCACCGACGACACAATGAAACCACCACCCTTAGATCAAGATGTATTGGATGAGATAAACCGGATACCGATGGACTTTGATTACGAAGAGCACGACAATATCAAGGGTGCTGCTTCAGGTGTCAATTCCATGACAATGGGCTTTGAAAGGTCAAATTCGTACAACAGGAAACCGAGGAGAGTATTATTACTGAATCAAGCAAAGTCGAATAAGATAGAGACTTCTGGTAAGACGGTTACGTTTTACGATAAAACCAAACGGCCCTCTCCTGCAGCACCCCCGGATTTTAGTAGGGTGAAAAACACAAACGTGAGCCGAGGTCTGTCTTTCCGCTCTGTTAATTCAATCACATCTGTTACTGAAGAGAACGAGAATGAAGAGGACGTGAAGGACGAAGGAACTGCTCTGATTCCCGTGCATGTCAAAATAGGAAGATTCAGCAGCTGATTTGCACAAGGATGTAACCGCAACCTACAAGGTGTCTAGCATTCCTGAAATTTGATGCATTTCTATTTATTAACTCTAATTAACCCTCTCGTTCATGAATGTTTGAAAGTTGTAATTACCATTCATTGCATAGTCAAAATACTTGTCGTCAATATAAGACGTACTAACTCGGTTGTTCTGATTTTTAAGGCGAGTGTTTGCCTCTACTTTTCTGTTTCCATCTTTGTGGGACGAGGATGCTTTGGATGATGCAGAAGTATTTGATCTCTTCAAGTTCAATTCATGTACTATTCTTCCCGCAGTAGTTAGTGAACGCAAGTTCTGTAACTTCTCGGGGGGCTCCCTATGTCTTTGCACAACATTCAAATTCGAATTTTGGGACGTAGCGTCAAATGATGCTGTACTACCAGTTTTTGATTTTGGTCCAAATAGCCATGAATCATTCTTGTATTTTGAATAGATACTCAGCAATTCGTCATCGGTCTCATCGGCTTCATGCATTTGCGCTCGCTCTGGTTTCTCTCTCGTCTCCTCCTCGTCATCAAGAAGAATTACTTCAACTTCCTTCCCCTTGCGTTTCTCCATCACCGAGCGGTATGATAGGGTCGAGTCACTTCGTTGAATCGTGACAACTCGGTACTTATCATCAGTCAAATCAATCACAACGCTCTCCGCATCGGAATCATCTCTTTGACTGGAGGATTCAGATGGCGGTTTTCTCTTTGTTGATTGGTGCTTTGCTCTTAGTGAGTGACGGGTATCTAAAGCTTTTGGAGTGGTATATTTGTTCCCAAAGTCACAATCGTTACTATTGTTTACCCTGAAGTCAACAGCATAGTGTACTGCTTTTGGTGGCTCTGCAACTTGGATGTCCAACTTCTCGGGAACAGCATTTGGCGGCTCCTTATTCGAGTTATTTCTGAGGGGAGCACTAGTATGTGACGCACTTGTAGAGGCCTTTGAATGAGACAGTTCCGCAAAACTCGTTCTGGAATTGAAGTCTGTTGACTTCGACTTTTGATGCAATTGATGTTGCGCTTTTGGAGAGCTCTCGGATGTATTAAAGTCAATATTGTACATCGACTTGCCTCGTCTATGTCTAACAGGTGACGTGGGAATAGCTCTTGAAAGAGGAACATTGCTTTGTAAGTCTGGTGCTGTTTTGGCAATTGCAGGAGTGGAATACAAGGTAGACTGTCTAAGTGAGCCTTCATTGTCAGAGTCACCATCTTCAGTATAGTTTTGGTACTGTTGCTGAAAATGTAGTAAAGCATCTCGGCTGGGGACTCGAATTTTTCTTATTTCATGCTCATCGTGTTCGACATCAGAGACCGAAGTTTCGGTAGGCCTATCAGAAAATACCGTTTCATTATAACTCGAGGGAGACTTTGACGAATACTGGTCCATGACTTTGCCGCATGCCAAATCTGGTATCTCAATTTGTCCATTGGAATAAAAGCTGAATCGAGACTTTGTGCTCTTCCCATCTTCATCTATCGATTTCAGTTTCAAAGACTTGCTATTGGTAATATTGCTGGAGTTATTTGGAAACTCGAATGCGACCCCGGCACCTCTGTGGTCGATACTTGCATCAGGTTTTGAGTGAAGTTGTTCATCCATGAAGCTTTTTTTCGACTGCAAAGTGGACTGTGTGTTTTGTCTAGTTATATTAAGTGGGCTGATTTCATCGACTGATTCTTCGCTACTTGTAGAGCTAGCGTCCAGCCAAAGGTTCTCTTCACTTGCTTTGCCTGACGCTTCAACTCTACTCATTGAAAGATCTTCCTTATCGTCCTGCTCCTTAGTCAAAGATATATCAATAGATTGCTGCAATGAGTTCCAGCTATTTGAAGAACTGGTGGATGCTTGACTGGCATCTGAGACTTGTCTATCAGTAATGGCAGGTGGTAATTTATATGAAGTGTCAACCTGTTGCAAGCGATGAGGGCTGAATTGGCCATTGTTCTTGCTTGCAACTGATCTATCAGTGGAGCTAAACTTTTGCCGCGAGTTCGCTAGTCCAAATGCTCCTGCAGAACTGAAAGAACTTACACTCGACACCTGTGAGGTCTCACTGAAGCAGCGACTATGTGGCGGTCTCGTGCTATAAGCCTGTGGCACTTCCCCTTGTGTGACTGCTCTGTTTGTTGTGCAGATTGCTTTAAGCCCCTTATTTGATGGCAGACCTTGTGGCTTTTTCATTCCAACTAAATTTAGCGAGTCCGCAAATGGTTTACCCGAAGTTGAGCCATCTGTTATATTGACTGCTTCTGTTTCGTCAATTTTTGCTGGCAAGTTTGGTAGTTTCTTGCTATGCTCATGCTTCATACCTTTATTTGTGCTTCTTGTAATGCTTGAGTTTCTTGAACCAAAATTGGACATCTCCTCTATCATACTTAGCTCATCCGGCTCTTTATTAGGATATGCAATTTTCAGATATTTGGTCTTGTTTGTGGCAACAGACGGAGGTTGTGGCTTCTTAGCTAAACTTGGTTTTTCGGGCACTGTTGGAGGAAGATTCTCCTCTTGCTCATCCTCCGACGACAGCGACACGTCAATCTTTTCATATCCGTGGGAAGTGTACACCAAGGTGCTCCTTTTTTGTTTGGGTAGGGATGAGTCCAGCAATGGCGATGCAGGAGTAAGCCTCGTGCTATCTCTCTGCCTTGTAGGTGAAGTTAACCTGGGAGGAAGTCTTAAGGTTAGCGGAATGGGGATCACATACTTGTCATTAGATGGATTGGATGATACAACGTGCATTCTTCGGGCCAATGGGCTTCTTGATATTGACCTTAATTGATCAGGCGTCAACTGAGGTGATGAAATGATGGACCTTAAATCATCTTCGCCTAACTTCGGAGAGTGGCCCATTGCGCCAATGCTTTGTGACTTCCTTTCTTTTGATGGTGACGATGAGTTTGTCACTGATGGACTAGTTGTCTTGACTGGTCTACCACGTGGGGGAGTGCTTGGAAGCGGTGAACTCAATTTAGCTGCTTGATATGTAGCCATCCTGTTCTTTTTGGAACCTGGTAAGTTGTTTGCTTTGATCTGGTGAAATAAGGAATAAAATGACTGGTAGTCGAAACTGGCTTGTCCTCTCTAAATTAAATTCTAAACTCTTGGAGATTTAGTAGCAGCAGCAGCGGCAGCAACAACAACAACAACAACAAAATCTTTTCCAAAGAAAATCCCAAGATGTGAAACTAAATCACTTTTTTACGAAAGCTGGAATTTGCATGAGGAGGTTTTGTGAATTCATTTGCATTATTATTATCTGAATCGTGGTTTCCCATTCTAACCATATAACTTTCCATGAAAAAGTGTGTAACAATGTACGTCAGCGCTACCGCAAATTTCGCAAATATTTTTTGTTTTGAAAACATCCAAATCAGGTAATCACAGGTTAATAGACACAAAATCAAGCAGTGCACTTTATAGCCAGCAGATTTAAACTTCAACAACATATTACGTTACGTCCGTAGATCGTACGGGTTTTCTTAGCCATCTTCTAAATCCGTGCAACACAAAAGAAAATCATACTCCATCATTAAGCGAAATTGTTCACCTTATTTTGGCATATGGTATAAGGCGTGGTGTCTCATTATGAAAATTTGACCTGGCAAATTCTATACCTGATGGTTGATCCTAGTAGCTCTAGTGCCTACTTGATGCAAATTAATAGAACTTTCAAGAATCCAATTGGGCATAATGTAAGTTCTTCTTACCTAAGTTGACTTCTGCTGAGACTCCAGTAATTTTCCATTGAAATTGTAACAAATTGTACTGCAAATAATATTTTGAATTTTGATTTATTTTACCACATTGTTTCTGAGTAGTTCATAAGATTTTCCCATTTAGTTTGGAAAAGTTTCCCAAGCTTATGTATCAAAGAATCAGATTGGTTTGGAGAGAGCGAAAGAGAGTACGTGAATCTGCTATGGGCATTTTGTGGTTGCGAAACTAAGTCGTGCGCGGCAGTACAACAAAGAAACGTAAAAAAAAATTATTTTTTTTTTTTTCTTTTCTTTTCTTTGGACATGGAGAAATCTACTTGAATTACTTTACTTTACTTTACTTTACTTCTTCGCACAACAAGTTCATTTGATTGACCATGGACGTCATGAAAATTGCTGAGGTATGTGAACTTACTTTTACTTATTGGACCATTTAACTTCAAGATGAATTTTGTTTTATTTTAAAGTATGTTTTTCTGGCATCTCTAATATTAGAGCCACGCTCAATGCTTATGCCCTTGACTAAACTTATCTGATCACGATACTGTTAAATTCCAATGAGACTCAGCTATCTGGTGTTCGACTTTACTAACTAGGAATGGTGTAGACACCATAAATTGTTTGGTTATTTGTAATTTCCTGACCGGACCTCGCAAATGTTTGGATGCGTAGCCAAGTTGTCGTCTACTCTCTATCGTTAGACGTACCCATCATGTAGAATAGTATCTCTAAGCACTCGCTGCATACTGTCCTACTCGAAAGTAGATTTCTTGCGATCTCCTTTGTTGCCACTACCCAACACCTCTTCATTCCCTCATCATCTTGGCAGAGGACAGAGGCAATTATTTTTTCCTTCTCTTCGGACGTTTTCCGACAGTCGTGTTTCAAGAGCATTCAACTACTACTAGGACACCGCTGCTCCCCCACCCCCCACCCCCCCAAGCGATGTCAGAAGAGTATGATTCAGAAACAAGCGACTTCGACTTTAGAGACGAGTTAGCGGACTTGGTATCTGCAGGAAGTTCGATCAATCACGAGGATCAAAAAGCCAGGGTTGTTCGCTTGATGATGGACCATTCAGCCTTTGTTCGTGGGATTGGAAATATCAAACGTTGGTTCAATGAGGAGTATGTAAAACAGAATTTCAATAAAACATTGGAACCCATCGTTTTAAACTTGTATATACCATCGTATACCTTGCACGAGTTTGATTTTGTGAAGAAGGGAACCTCAATAACGGCAACAAACGCTAGAGAAGCGATCAGATTTGTTGACAACTATTTGGAAAATCCCTCCGAAATGCAGTTTGGAAATGTTAGATACAATTTGACTTTAGAGTCGCCAAGTGAAATACCACCCTCTTGGACTAAATGTGCAAAATACAAGTTGTATTCGCCCAAAACAAAGGACTTTCCTAATTACAAAACCAAATTTGATTCGAATCTCATTGGAGAAGTCCCACACAAGGAAAGCCATCTTCTGCATCGCGAGAGTGAACCATTGACTGAGGGGCCGGATGACACGGCCTCATCCGAGTCTACGGCGGAAATGCCAGCTAGATTGAAATACTTGATACGTACATGTATCTACAAGCGATTCATTGAAAAGACTCAACCACAGCCCAAAAGCAATTTGGAAGATTGGAAGTTGGTTACAGAGGATCCGATAACCAAGGTTTGGGCAAAGTCATATGGTATTGATTGCGTTAACGTCAATGAGGCCGAACTACTCATATTCCAAAACTATGATGTCAACTCATTTCGAATGTACAATCCCTTTTCGGTAAACGAGGGATTTGATCCAAGGAATGACGTTTTACAAAACAAGATCGATTCGACTTTGTATGAGTATCAACCAGTGAAGCAAGAGCCTCCTAATACCAAGTCTACACGCCGATCAAGAAGACGTAAGGAGAAAGACGCCGAACCGATTCCATATGATGGTGCTGTTCATGAAGAGAAGGATAGCAACTATTTGAGCGGTGCGATCAAGAAAGAAAAATTTGATGCTATTAATTTTGCTCCCAGAGGGCAAGGGAAACTTTGGAAACCATAGTTTATAAGAGACATGAATGGTCGTATGATAATTACTAACTGTCAGGTTAGACGAACAGGTGTCTTTGAGGATAGGTTGGAGTGTAGTGCTGTTGTAAAGAGTTTGCTCAAAAGCCATCCGCTATAGCTTAAACTATTGAGTCTCGGCGGGATAAGGCTGCCAATACGCTGGAGTTTGTATTCCAATGCTTCCACTTTGCAGCCATTGCTACAGATGATGACCATGATGTTTACGCTTTTAGATGTTGTATCAAGACTAAGTGGGTACAACAAGAGCAACAACGTTAGTTCTCTGTAACTAACGAACTCAGTACGACTAACGCTTGCAAATACATGCGCTTCTTCTTTCATAGACCCACAATCTCACCTCAGCAGGGTTTACAGTAGACACCAAACAAGCAGGTTAATCTACTACTCTCAATAAAGTCGTGGGGTATCATAGGTCGTGTACCTGAACTCAATTGTCGGCTGTTCCTTTTAAACAAGAAGAAAAAAAAAAAATTTCTCTTTTTTGTGCAAAAGAATAAATAAATAAAAAAAAAAAAACATTAACAACACTATTTTTTGGGAATTTACGTATATCTGGTATTTGCATTAAAACCGTTTTTGCAATCAATCATTTCACATTATATGTATTCTGACGCTTAATAGGCCCGGGTTTAATTCATAGACGATTTCTACTCGATTGATTTCTTCTTCCACACCTTCATTTGTTTTTAGACTAGCTGTCACAGGAAAGAAAAAAAAAACAACAACATCCCTTGCTACTGGATATCCAATCATGAACCGTATGCCCACCAAGGAAGAGATTCAAAGAATCGTGCAGCGGTGGCATCAATTGCGCGACCAGTATGGTGAGCAAGTTGTCAATGTGCCGGAGTTCGCCCAGTTGAACAAAACTATAAACAACATAAAAATGCAACAACAACAATTACAACACTTGCAGCAACAGCAGCAGCAGCAGAACTCACAGCGACCCCCTGAACATGGACAGGAACAACAACAACAACAACAACAACGGTTGTCGCGTCCTCCATCTCAAGCACCCTACCAGCAACAGCCACAGCAACAACAACAACAACAACAACAAGGTACACCTATTACCCTGAATGCCGTTCCTCCAACACCCGCTCAACAGTTCCATAATGCGCCAAATGGGAACAGTGCCGGGGGTCAGCTAGCTAAACAGGTTGCTTCTCCTGCAGGAGGAAACTTACAGACGATGGCGCCGGGAACTCGCTTTTCACAGGATGCGACTCTGCTGGTCAATTCTATAGGAAATAACATGTACCCAGCTCAGTTTGCAAACAAAACTGTGCAAAATGGTTCCAACACTGCACAAAATATCAACGATTGGCACGCCAATCCTCTGGCACAGCTGCCACCATCATTGGAGTCGGCATTCACACATCAGCAATTCCAACTATTGAAATCACAAATGCAAGCAATAAAATACTTGACCAAGTCACCCAACCAAGGGCCCATGCCTCAAAACTTGATAATGTTTGTCACGAACCCTGCATCTTCATACCCAACTGATCCTTACTTAGTGACCTCTGCAGGGAACAACAGTGCAATGCCTGGGAGTTTCTCACAAAACCCATTATCCATACCGAATAATCTGACAAATCCAGTCTCCGCAGAGGCGCACACACCAACTGAGCCCACTGAGAAGAAAAAGGGGAAGAGAGGGCCTAAGCCCAAGAATAAAGATCAGCCAAAGAAATTGACAAAGAAGCAGATCAAAGAGGAAGAACAACGTCTTGCTGCAGAAAAACATAAAGAAGAGGTTGTCCGTCTTAATAGTATCAAACAGGAGCAGCCTCAAGTACTGCAGCCAAACTTAGTCGGTCCTGCTCCAACCCACCCACAATCCCAACCTCAACCTCAACCTCAACCTCAACCTCAACCTCAACCTCAGCCACTTCATCCATCGCAGCAGTCTCAGCCACCAACAGGAATACAATCAGCTTCCCCTCACAGTAAATTTTCATTTGCCGACCCATCTCCTCCAGTTTTGCTAAGTAAAATTGTCAACGAGAAGAACAAGGACTCCAAAATCATTGTTCCCGTTACCAAACCCACGGTCGAGGTCGATACATTTGAAAGAGTTGACATTGTCGGTGACAAGACCAACGATGTCCCACTTAGTTTCTTTTACACTCCTCAAAGTCGAATTCAGATCCCTTCTTTGTTACCTAAGGGCATAAACTTGGAGCAAATAGCAGCCAATCGTGAATTGTTCATGATACTAGGCATTGAAAACCAAAAGGACTTTCTACGTTCGGAACTCCAAACTTTAGGTCACGAGGAATATGAAAGGAGACACAAGTTGTTAACTCAATTACACGAGTTGGAAATAATTCCCATTCAAAAACAGGCTCGCGGAAAGTTGCTCAGTCAGATGTGGTTCAGTAAATCCTTACTTCCAAATTCACACCCTAACTTTTTGGCGCGATTCAATACATTATCCATGGAGAGCGTGTCTGTGACTATGGATTTATACCGCCATCAGTTGGAGACATTGATGCGAGAGCAGAACCGAAAGCACTCGAAAGTTTTGGACCTGGTTATTGACTTTAGCACCAGAAACTCTGCCAAGGCCAACAGGAGAGCAGAGAAGGTGAGCAGGTTTATTCATAAAATTGGCGGTTTCCACAACCTGACAGCTAAGGAAGAACAGAAGAAGCTAGAAAAAATGGCCAAACAGCGTTTGCAAGCTTTGAAGCTGAACGACGAGGAGGCTTATTTGAAGCTCTTGGACCATACCAAGGATACCAGAATCACACACTTATTGAGACAAACAAACCAGTTCTTGGACTCCTTAGCCCAAGCTGTTCAAAATCAACAAAAGGAAGCAGAGGAAAACCTTGCCAACTCTGGTCGTTTACCAGAGGGCGCTGCTGAGCCTGTTGATGAAGACGAAAAGAGGGAAAAAACTGATTACTATAATGTTGCTCATAGAATTAAGGAGGAAGTTACAAAACAACCCACGATTCTTGTTGGTGGTACTTTAAAAGAGTACCAGTTAAAGGGTTTACAATGGATGGTTTCTTTGTTTAATAACCACTTGAACGGGATTTTGGCAGATGAGATGGGATTGGGGAAAACCATTCAAACAATTTCGTTGTTGACATACTTGATCGAGGTAAAAAAAATATCGGGCCCCTTCTTGGTCATTGTCCCGCTCTCAACTGTGACAAATTGGAACCTTGAGTTTGAAAAATGGGCTCCATCTGTGAGGAAGATAACTTATAAGGGAACGCCAAACCAAAGGAAAGCAATGCAACACGATATCAAAACAGGCAATTTTCAAATTCTTCTCACCACATTCGAGTACATCATCAAAGACAAAGGTCTTTTGGGAAGAGTCAAGTGGATGCATATGATTATTGATGAAGGACACCGTATGAAAAACTCAAATTCGAAACTTTCGGAAACGTTGACTACAAATTACCACAGTGATTATCGTTTGATTTTGACGGGGACACCATTGCAGAATAACTTGCCCGAGTTGTGGGCATTGTTGAATTTTGTATTACCAAAGATATTCAATTCAGTGAAATCTTTTGACGAGTGGTTCAATACACCTTTTGCAAACACTGGCGGGCAAGACAAGATTGAGTTAAGTGAAGAAGAGACTTTGTTGGTTATTAGAAGATTACACAAGGTGTTGAGGCCGTTCTTGTTGAGAAGATTGAAAAAGGATGTCGAGAAGGATTTGCCAAATAAGGTTGAGAAAGTGGTCAAGTGTAAGATGTCTGCACTTCAATCAAAGCTTTACCAGCAAATGTTGCGTTTCAATGCATTGTATGCCGGTGACCCGGGCGATGATACAATAGCCGTTCCCATTAAAAATGCCAATAATCAAATCATGCAATTGAAAAAGATTTGTAATCATCCATTTGTTTATGAAGATGTTGAAAACTTCATCAATCCAACGGCCGAGAATAATGATCTTATTTGGAGGGTCGCCGGTAAATTTGAGTTGCTAGATAAAGTCTTGCCCAAGTTCAAAGAAACTGGACATAAAGTATTGATTTTTTTCCAAATGACCCAGGTGATGGATATCATGGAGGACTTTCTTAGACTTCGTGGGATGAAGCACATGAGGTTGGACGGAGGGACCAAGGCAGATGACCGAACGGATCTTTTAAAGTTGTTCAATGCTCCTGACTCTGACTATTTCTGCTTCCTTTTATCCACGCGTGCTGGTGGTTTGGGGTTGAACTTGCAAACTGCGGATACAGTTATCATTTTCGATACGGATTGGAATCCACATCAGGATTTACAAGCACAAGATAGAGCGCATCGTATTGGACAAAAGAATGAGGTTCGAATCTTGCGATTGATCACCGAAAATTCCGTGGAGGAGATGATTTTGGAAAGAGCCCATGCCAAATTGGAGATCGATGGTAAAGTTATTCAAGCAGGTAAATTCGATAACAAGTCCACCGCCGAGGAGCAGGAGGCAATGTTGCGAGCATTGATTGAAAAAGAAGACGAGCGTCGCACTAAAGGTATCGATGATGAGGAGGAAGATTTGGACGATGACGAGTTGAATGAAATAATCGCTAGGAACGAATCAGAACTCGTCAAGTTTAAGCAACTTGATGAAGAAAGATACGCCGCAACTAGAGATGCTAGCTACCCTACAAGATTGCTTTTTGAGCAAGAATTACCACCTATATACAAGAAAGATCCAGAGGAAGTTCTTAAGAAGGAAGACATTTACACAGAGGAGTATGGTCGTGGGGCGCGTGAAAGAAAGACTACGAAGTACGACGACAATTTAACCGAGGAACAATGGTTGAAACAGATTGATGGTGTTGTGTCAGGCGACGATGATGATGATGAGGATGATGATGATGCTGATGACGACGACGAAGATGACTTTGATAGTGATAGCGACGTCTACCAAAGCGGCAAGGGTTCAAAAGGCAAGACCAAAGGTAAACGAAAGAAGGGGTTTGGAAGGAATCGTGTTGGAATCTTGTCTGGACTTGACGCGGATGCAGACAGTACCAATGAATACGATAGCTCGAGCAAACGTTCTGCAGAGGACTCTGACAATCTTGTTGCTCAAAAGAGGCAGAAACTTGAGACTCCCGAGCTTGTAGGGGCATCAGGCAGTGGAAGAGGTCGTGGTAAGTCGAGAGGTACCAGGGCTCGGGGACGTGGTAGGGGCCGAGGCTCATTGTTGTCTCGTGCAACTCCTTCTATAGACCCATTGTCACCAGATGAGAGAGCAATACTTCAGAATAATATTGAAACTCTTTTGGGATTGATCATGAACGTTAAGAATGAGGAGGGAAGGGCATTAAGTGACTTGTTTTTGGTGAAGCCATCAAGAAGATATTATCCGGATTATTACGTTTTGATAAAGCATCCAATAGCCCTTGATACAATAAGAAAGAGAACTACTGGACACACATACACTCAATTGAGAGAATTTTTGGAGGATATCCATTTGATGTTTGGTAATGCAAAGATTTATAATGAAGAAAGCTCGTTTGTTTATCAAGATGCTGCCTTCTTAGAGAAAATGTGCATAGACAAGCTCAAGGAGTTGCTTCCAGCTGCACAACAAGATGAGATGGACAAGCTTTTGAATTTTACAGAGTTTGATGAGATGTTTTTATAGGTTAATACACAGAAGTAAAACGAAGTAAAGAAACAAATTGTGAAAGGGGGCCAGGCGGGCAGACGCTAACCTGCTGCGGCAGCACTGTAAGCCGGGAGCTCGTCATCGATTTCTCGGTTATTTACAACATCATTCAAAACTGCATTGAGTTTCTCGACAAAGTCAAATAGTCCACCATCTTGGAAGTAAATTTCTCCTTTAAAATACTCGTTCTTTGGAAACCCATCACTGACGATGCTTGGTTCTTTGGCACTGAAGAACATGAATTCCCAATAATTGACTCCAAACCAAGGCGCCTTTAACTTGTGACTCAATTGCAAAATCGGCGCCAATGTTAGATCCAACACAAATGACTCAATATCACCTTGATGAAGAGTAATGAATACCAATCTTTTAGTAGTGAGATATAGATATCCATCCTGTGCCGTTATCTTTAGCTTTGACTGTGAGGTGTCGCTCAGTGAAATCGATAGCTTTTGCCGTGAGGTGGGTGTTTTGTATTTTAGTATTTCTAGTCCATCGCTGCTGACCTCAAACGGTAACTCGCTGGAGGAGAAAAGCTGGGCGTAGTTGTGTTTCAATACAACCCCATTAATGGACATGGCTTGATGAATCGAGGGATGATCGTATAGATTGCTTTTTGTGCGTGAACTTTTAAATCATCGAATTTCATTCTTTTTCTATGAACATTTTCTTCTGCTAGATGATACTGAATGAGCCAAGTAGCGAACTTAAGGTCATATAACCCTGCATTGAAGAAGTTTTTTGACAAGCTCCCCCGATTCAACTATGGGAAATCTCAATTAAAAAACCCCGAGGCATGTCAACTTTTGCTAGACAAGTTGAATCTCAAACCTCAATACAATAGTGCAAACTTAGATATTATTGACGCTACTCCTGGATTCGGCCTCTTCTCATCCATGCTCAACCATGAGCTTAGGCCGAGGAACCACATTTTGATAGACTGCCATGATGAGACCATCAAAAGATGGAATACCCAGATAAAAACGCTTCACAGTACGACAGGTAACAAGGAAAACTTCAAATTCGTTGATCGCGACCCATTCTCATGGGCAACGTATCTGAATTTATACAAGCATGAACTTTTACCACCAACAAAACAGCAACTGTATGACAAAATGCATGATGAATTGTTAGTCGTGGCGAATTGGACGGGGACCAAGGATGAGGCAATAATCGCGCAATGGATCAAATGCTGCAGCCATCGCAATTGGCTCATGAAATTTGGAAAAGTCAGAATGATTTTATTTATGCCATCTCTGACCGCTATGAAATTTTTGAGCGAGCCTGGCTTCAGAAAGAGAAACAGGACCGCGTTGAGGAGAGATTTGTACACCGATTCAAAACTAATAGCTATTGGAGAAGAGCTGGATGTGCTTGGGGAGGGCTACGATCCGCGTGTATTGGTTCGCGATCAGCCGATGGTGATTGACAAGGCAGCGTTCATTCGGAATGCCGCGGTGGCAATTGTGGAGCTTCTGCCAGGCAAGCACACAAGTGACGCAATAGCTAACATTGACCATCTTTTGCTGACATTCTTTGTCACTGGTGCCACCTTGAGAGAACAGTTGCCCAAAATTGCAGCGGGTGCTGAATACTTGGTGAAGCTTCTTCCTGATGAGATCTTGGACAAGAAAGCTGGAGAATTCACTACGGATGATATCTTGAAGATTTCGCACGCTTATGAACAATGGCCCTTCAAACCAAGTGTAGAGGAGACATTTGATATTGGTGAAGAGGCTATCAGGTAGGAGACAAGGTAGACGGAGTTCAAATAGGGGCATTTAAGAGCGAGCACGCACATAGACACATGTATATGTTGGCTAGACATGACTTTACAATATACACGACTACCATCGTGTGGAGCTCGTAACTGGAGCTGTAAAACATCGCTTTGGGTACATTTGCTTGTCATTGACTTCAGTTGTTGGGTTGATTTCTGGGACAAATGTCCTGGTAACGGTCTTTCCAGTTAATCCTTCACCATTTGATGGAGAAGTATTTGCTTTGTGGGCAGCCGGAGTTGTTTGTGCGTCCTCATCCGAGTAAATAGATGACTGTGTGCTATAAGTGATGGCGGAACCATTCATCATCATAATCTGATGAGTTTGAAAGAACACAAAGTTGAATCCAATGATGGATATGAATTCAATAACTAGGAAAACTAGTGGATACGTGCTGTCTGAATTAAGTTGTGAGTGAGTGATTAAGAGTCCTAGGCACAGTGCCAAGTTTACTGTGTTTAGAATGTAAAGTGCCGCTAGTTTGAAATAATGCCAGGACAAGTCTTTTTGCGAGTAACAAAGTGCAATATATGAGCTCATTAGGAGAACGGAACAGACGAATACAATCAGCTTGAATGTCACAACTAGCATGAATGCAGTCATTATCCTAGCTTCCTGTCGCAGTGCCGCCTGTTTTCCATAAAGCCGTTGCAAGTACGCATTCGACAAATCTGATATGGCTTCCTTAACTTTGCCAATGTGAAACAAGACTGGTCCTCGAGGTAAAGTGTTTTTGATTTCCGACACAACATGGCGTCCACTTCCACTCTCGAAAAATGCCGATTTGTGAAGTCCCTCTTTCAAAGTCAAGTATATCTCATTCCCTGCAATATGGAAGGACACGTCGGCAACAATGGTTGTATATCCAACATTCTTGGAGTATGCGTCTTCGTTTCTCAAGTATATCCCCACCAATATGTTTTCAAAATTCATTTGCTTGACATCTGATGGCTCGAACCACTCTTCAGGTGCAGAGAGGGTACGAACAATATCAACCCTACCAAACTTGTAATCAAAATCAAGGAAAAAATTCATTATGTTCATCAATACCAACCAAATGAACACATTCCTCAATAAAAATAGATGCTTCAGTTTGGAGTCGTACGGGTTTTCAAATGGAGTGGACAAGCATTTTGAGCTGTGCTTGAAGAATGAAGATGCAAAGTCTGTAGTGAGAAGCTTCATGGCTATGCTAAAGGAGTGATGTAGATAAAGTGGCATATTATGATGAATGGTGCTTTTTTGTTATATTAATTTGCAAAATTTGCACGTGACACGAGCGACGCATATATTCGATAACACCCATAAGTTGTAAAGTAAATTCGAACAAAAAACTGACCTCTTGAACATGGTATTAGAGTATTCCCGTCAATTGAAATCTCTTTTCATGTCAAGTTTGTTTTCATCGGCGAAGGGAGAGGTGGGGAGGGGGGGGGGCCCTTAGATAACCGCAATAAAGAGTCCGCTTGGTTTTAAGCCCACTTCATTTCGGTATACACGAATTGTGTCCCAGTGTCAACAAAAAATAAACACTTTATACACATTACCAGCAGTTGGGGTAGGTACAGTAGGTTAATTGCTCATGTACTAAATATATACATACAGACAAAAAAAAAGTACACACTTTTCTTCGCAGCTAAAACTCTCTATGCCAAATTGGGCAAATTGGAAAAAAGTGTAACCAACTTCTCACTGTTGAATACGTTCTCCGAAGGTAATCCAAAATAGGAAGCATTTGGCAATGCCGACATCAACGCAACAATCGAAGGGCCAACAAAGGAGGAATTATCCTGCTGCTCTTCTTCAATCACTTCTTGCTCTATACGACTTGACTCCTGTATACTCTTGACTGCCGAGCTTGAATCATTATTGTCAAAAGCAAAAGATAATTTGCGTCTTTTTCTTGCTTGTTCCACGTAGTCATCTGCATCATCTTGGTTCAATTCGTTTCGTTTGATGATGTTTATATCACCAAGCTTGTATCTGTCAGTGAATAAGTCGATCGGATCATCGTCGGGAAATAACTGCTCATATTTTTTGGTGAAACTACTTGTTATATCCAAGGACAAATGGTCTGCTGAAAAGGAAATGTACTTCTTGTACAATCGTCTCAAGGACCTCTTTTGAAGATCAAGTCTTTGTTGTTTCTCCTCCTTGAGAATTGGATCCAATCCCGACAGAGCTAGTTCTTCCGTAATTTGAGAGATTTCTTTTGAAATGTTGGTGTCCGAGCTCTGTATGGTACTTCTTAGTTTGTCGACATCATTTGTCATGATTAGGTAGTCCAAAAACTTTAATAAAAACCTTCCATCTGTGGGAAATGCCTTTTGGCCAACACCAAACACCTTTAAAGCGGTTTTCTTGTTGTCAGCATAATGTTCCAACAATGCGTTCTCAACATATATCTGATACCCCACAGACTCGTTTTTTCTGGCCTGGCGGAATACGTCTCTTGCTTCTTTCATCCCTTCAGCTCTTTTACTTGCAACCATAAACTTGATGTACGTAAGTGTAATTTCATCAACCAATTGATCACGCTCTTTCTTCAACTTCAGAAAGGTTCTCAAGTCCAGTCCCGAGAGCGCCGAACGCACTTGAATTGCCAGTGGAGCAATATCCAGATCGATTGCATCTGGCGCAGGTGCCAAATTTGTGGGAATTTGTGGTAAGCTAGGTATGTTTGGCCTACGAGGGAGATTGGGATGTCCATGTCCATGTCCATTCATGTCACTATTGGTGTTACCATTGATTTTATTGTCGTTACCCGTGTCATTGTCCTCCATTTCCACATCCTCTTGATCTTCCTCGTTCTTATTCTCTTCCTTCGGTTTCACTCGCTCGTATAAATCATTCAAGCGTTTACAAACGGCTTTATGATCCACACTCAACTTTGAAATGATCTCGTTGTAAACTCCCTTTGCTTTATCAAAAGCATTATCTTTTTCAAACAATTCAGCTATTTGAAATGAGAGAAGCAAACTCTTAGGATTTAATTTTAGTCCTTCATTTAATATGGAAATGCAATTACCTAAATTGCTTTCCTCGTTATTGTTTAAAAGGTGTTTTACATATTCAAACCAAAGTTGCGGGACAAAAGGTAGAGCATATGTGGCTTCTTTGTAAACATAATTTATTCGCTTCTGAAGTAAAGTCTCATCCTTAATTTGCAATGAGTTCTTTTTTTCCAACAGTAACCAACTGGACCAATACTTCATTTGTGTTTCAACCGTTTCGTTGTCTATATTATGTGGGGTTATTGTTCGTTTCAACTTCTTTTTGGTGATATTCTGCCATTCGGTGTTCCATGAACGAGCCGCCATGAACTCGGCCGATTTTTCAGACACAAATTTTTGCGCCGTAACTTGATTTTGTTCGTTTTCCCACCTCGTGTACTGCGTCCACATGGATTCAATATTTTCCATTGGAACAACTAAAGCTTTTTTGTACACCTTTCGAATCAAATCTGTCTTTTGTTGTTGCTCCCAGTTGGCAGCGGGAGTCCACGACTTGATAAAGTTAATGTAATCTTGCCACAAACTGTCACTCTGCACATCTATTCCCACCTTGTCAACGGCAAACTCAAATGCTTGGATGATAGTTCCCCTCGCTTTATCACCACCAGTAACCATATCGGTAACACTTCTCACATAATCAACATACAGGCGACATAACTCCACATTTTCAGTTGTGGCAAAACACTTTTGGAAAAGCGTCTCTGCTTTTTCTTTTTCACCTCTATCGAGTTCATACTTGATATACTTGTTCCATTGTGATGCATCAAACTTGAAAATATCGAGATATCTTTCAAAAGCTTCCCTTACTTGTTCTTGGTTGTCCTTGGCAACCAAATGGTCCAAGTACTTGATCCATTTGTTGTAGTCTAAGGGGTTATTCTTTAAATCATCCTCCAATTCTCCTATTTTGTCTAATGATAACTTTTTGGTTTTAGTGGATTTGATGAAGACGGGGTTGCTCATGGTTTGTGGTGAAGCGTGTGGTAAGCACTATAGTAGCCTTGCCCAATAGATATATACAATATTGTGATTGATCAAGCAAACGGTGAATCTTTTTGTAAAGGATGGAGATTTTGGCGAACCTTTTTTATTTTTTATTTTTACGGTGATGAAAATTCAATGAGGATTGAATTTCTTTCACGAGCTACCACAGGTTCCACCATGATTGAGTTGCACGTTTGGGGATACGAAGAAGAGATATCAATACTATCACCTTCCTGTATTGCGTCGGCGTGGATACTCAATTTGTTAGCGAGCTCTCACAATATACAGTTCAAGATTATCCCATCCAACAATACTCATTTATCAAAGTTGAACGAGTTACCACTTCTAATCGATGATGGAAAACAGTACAGCGGCTTCAAAGAGATAGCAGGGTACTTAAGCAGTCGATATCAAAGTGATTATTTTGTTAGTCTACTGGGTGAAGAGAAATTGATTGACGACGGCTTGGTGACCGTTTTGAATTCCAAATTCAACGCAGTGAACAACTACAACCTATTCTCCAACACCAAAAATTATGAAAACTACACGAGAAAGCTATTCGCTAAATTATTCCCTTTCCCCATGATGTATAACCAAGCACTGAAATTCTACAATGAAGCACAGAGTCAAGTGCGCTTGTTGGGGTTGGGTGAGAGCAAGTCATCGTTTTTGAACATCACTGGCAATGGTGACGAAACTCAAACTGAGTTTTTTAGTAATGATTCGGATGATGTTGGTGATACCCCAAAGGCTATAAGCAGCCTTCACGAAAAATCAATAGTCCAGAAGTCGGAAACAAAGAGAGTGTTGAGAGAGTCCAAAAGCACCATGAAATGCCTTCTCTTGGTGGAGCAACTCTTTGATAGACTAGAGAAATTAAAGTCAGAGCAGAAACAGGCAAGCAAGTTCATTTTTGGGGACAAACCGTCTGCCGGTGATATTTTGTTCTTGGCCTACTTTCACTGTTTGACTCATCAGTGTCTACCAGATAAATTCATGAGAAAATACTTGGCCTCCAATAGTAGTGATCGATTTCAACTGATTATGGCTCGCTTGGATGCAATCCAGTCAAAGAAATTGTCCCTGGATTCATTCAGACAACCAGTTGGCAAAGAGATACCAAATTTAGTCAATGAAGTGGGCTTCTGGACGGGATTAGTAAGCTATTGAGAGCGGGAAAAATCAGTGTGCTCCTTTGTACATAGGTCAGATAGTTCAAAGTATACGTTTTCAACGATCTTCTGGTCCCAATATATCCTGTTCTGATCTGCATGGATCAGGATCTCAGCACCGGCTATAAAAAGGCGAAAAAAAAAAAAAAAAAAAAAAAAAAAAAATTTTTACCCCGTGCTTTGAATTTCTTTTTTCCACGGGATCAAAACACCGAAGAACACCACTCATCTCTCTTTCTTTCGTCAAAACTTCAACCCATGAGAATACCCATTGCATTAATAAGTCTCTTGATTGCCAATGCGTATGCATTGACATTGGCACAGCCAGAGGCAACACCGGAGCCAACTTTGGCCTCCACCACTGATGCTTCCGAACCTACCCAACATTTGCATAAAAGAATGAGGGAAGTGATTGTCAACAAGCAACATGCTGCAAATCAAGCGAAAAAGACAGCGTCATCATCATCAGAGAAGCCTCCCCCAGCATGGTATCGTACAGTTGATGGGCAGGTTGAGATTGTTAAACCAACAGTGATTGCAGGTGTCACCATCAGTGCCAAACCACCAAAGACTACCGATCCTTTACAAGAATGGGTTAGCTTGAACAAGCAAGGGTTGCCCAAGACAATCAGACCGGAAATAAAAAAGGGACGTACAAACAAAGGTCATCCTGATTATAGCACATATTTCCAGAGTGCCACCACGGTCACATACAACAAAGAGCAATTGAAGGCACACAATATGGCAGAAGACGAGGTGTTTACTGAAGTGCAATATATCGAAGAATCTGACTTGGAAGACCATAAGTTGAACCCCATAATACGATGCACGCCTGACCGTTATAAGAAAAAGGGAATTGCCAAGGATGTGCTGACAGAACCATTCTGTACTCCTGAAGATGATGTGAGGTTGATTTTGGACAAGACCCACTTTGTTACGTGGTACTCGCGTTATTTTGCACCGGAAGTGAAAAAGGTTAGAATCCATTTATCAAATGTGAAAGAGAGCGCTAAGCAAAAGGGCTGGAAAAAGAGGGATCTTGGTGATGTCGATGAAGAAGATGATATTGATTACACACCATTTGATAAAAGATCCAAGGTGCTTGAACATGGTGGTAAAGTCAAGGAAGGATTCTATGTGTCAGAGTGGGTAAGCAATGAAGACGGATATTACCCATTAACCATTATCGAAGACTGGTTCCCACCAAATGTGTATGAAAAGAAGGTATTGATCTCTTTGCAACCTGACAATGTACCAGATGACGAGTTTAGCGTATTGACCGACTCAATAGTGGTGGAATTCTGGAAAGGATCAAAAGTCCTGAAAGGCGATTTTGCTGATTTGCATAGGCAAGAAGAGAAACATATGCAGAAATACTTGACTGGAGATGATGTCGAGGAGGGGATCGATTATGAAGAATACTTGATTATGATGACGTTACCTACTTGTGTTGTGATTGCAGCATTTGGTATGTGGCTTTTTGTCAGAGTCAATGCTTTTGATTTGAGCAATTTGAAGAAGAAGAAGTTCGCCAGAGATAAGACGACCCACAGAATGATTCCCTTTGTTTCCAAGAAGAACAAGAAGTATGACAGCTTGCCACTTAGTAATTTGGATGTAGGAGGATCGAAGCGAGATTAGGTGTGTATAGGACATATTTAAAGACTGAGATTATCCAAGGGGGGAGATGTAAATGTGTGTGTGTATGTGTGTGTGTGTGTGTGTGTGTGTGTGTGTGTGTGGTGTTTGCTTCTCTTCTTTGACCTACCGTAAGGCGGTGGACAAAAGTCATCATTACACAAATACAACGTAACCACCAAGGTGAAGTAACGTCAGGCTTCGCTGACTTTGTCTTATCTGCACACGTGTAAACATTGGCACTTGTGTGATAAGTTTCAAATCAGTAAAGATAACGGGCAGACGTCATCTCAGCAGGAGACAGCATATTATTAAGTGTATCATTTGCATAAGTTCCAATCACACCAGCCCCAGTTCTTTATTAAGTTGATCGAAAAAAAAATACAAAACCATAATCTTTTCCGCTGAGCAATACTTCCATCACGTCGCAACATTGACAGATAATATGTTTGAAAGCCTACAATTTCTAACTCAAGGGTGGATTTTGACAATCCTTTCGTCGTCGCTATGCGTCCTAGGGACCTTGATTATATACTTTGATGACTTATACTACTTGATCTTCCCCAAGTTCATCACATCAAGATACAAGTTCCAATTGAAGGAAAACTATTCATTTCTAAATGGCTCACTAGCACTTAGTTCGGGGTGTTTGATTCTTACGGCATTATACAGGCTACTCCCAGAAGCGTCAAAGTATTTGTCTATGCTGAACCAAGAGGCAAATGCCGAATATTTGACTAAACGATGGCAACAAATTTACTTGATGAGTAGTTATTTTGGTGGGATATTGATTTGCGCAAGTTTCAACTTCGCCTTGCATTTATTGACTAGTGAAAGTGTTGTCCACTGTAACCATGGAAATACAGTGAAGGAGGAACAAGATCATGGGATGCGAGAGGTTGGCCACAATCATTCACATAGTCATCAGCATTCGCATGCCAATTTCGAGGCTGATGCCAACTCCGCCAAGTCCAGCAATAATAGAGATGAGAATGCAGTGCAAGACTTTGTTGTTGATGAGAGACCAGTAGAGGTGCAAGTACACGAAACTGAGACTACTCCGCTTATACGCGCAACCGTGAAATCGAAAAAGCTGTTTATTCAGCTTTTCTTAAACGATGAGGTTGCAGGAGAATGCAAGGGGTATACATCTGCTGAACTATGCACGTACCACCACCATGAACATGAGCGTGGAAAGGATAGGTTGCATTTTTGTGAAATTCCACAATTGAGAAGAGAAGAGGAGGACCAAGAGGAGGAGGAAGAAGGAGAAGATTCACGCGGGCACTCACATTCCCATTCCCATTCACATCCGCACTCGCACTCGCACTCGCACTCGCACTCGCAAGATGGAAGTAGGACACCTCATCGGGAACCCACTTTGTACCTGAACCAACTGCATCACCTGCATGAAGTGGATCACCACCACCATGTCAATTCTCCGCTTTCACGGTTATTCTTGATTGGTGTTGAGACAGCTTTGGCTATTACATTGCACAAGCTACCAGAAGGTTTTATCACGTACGTTACCTCGGAGACCAACCCCAAACTAGGATTTTCAATCTTTGTTAGTTTGATATTGCACAATTACACGGAAGGATTTTCAATGTGCCTTCCTTTGTTCTACGCCATGTCTACTACGAAGTATGCCAAACTTAAAGCTGTTTCAATTAGCGCACTTTTAGGTGGTATTTCACAACCTTTAGGAGCTCTCCTTGGGTACGTGTTTCTCAAGATCAATTCCCACAAGTATGATTTACAAGCCTTACATTTTATATTTGGAATCACAATGGCTGTGACGAGTGGGTTTTTGACTGTTGTTGCGTTGACGATGTTTGGTAGTGCTGTGGCATTTGGAGGAAATATGAACTTTGTGATATCATGGTGTATTGTGGGCATAATGTTGATTGGATTATCAACTGTGTTTTCTAGTTAGAATTGTATGTCAATGCATGAAGTCCTTGCTTATCTTTTGTGTTGCAAATCTGTAAACGGTGCACGACTTTTGTACACATGTGTCATAGGCACAGACACACCACAGGAGAGAAAAAAAATTGGAAAGCGTCGGCATTCGATCATCTCTTGCTGAGTTCATCATCAACGTCTCTAGTTAAAGAAATACTGTTAGGGTTGAAGCCAATAACTTCACAAGCACATATATATCACAGAGCGTTTCTACTATATCTAGTCCCCCCCCCCAGCAAAGAACACACATACAAAGAGATATTATACAATGATGGCACATGAAGTATCGTCACCAATACAAATTAATGAAAACACTCCTACATTTCACAATAGTTTAAAGAAGCCTTTGCGCCAAAACAGGAAGAAACAAAGTGAGGGAGACCATGACCAGATAAGATTCCTTCCAAGTGGAGCTCCAGTTGACTTTGGAAATGGTTCCATAAAATCGAAGAACAATAGTTCCAAAAAACTCAAAGAACCAATCAAATTATCAGCTTTGCCCTCTTTACCCAATGGAGAGAGACCGAAATTTCACAACGATAGAGGGGAAACAAGAAGAAAGAAAGAGGGCGAGCAAAACTCAACTAAAGTCCAGAATAAATCGAAAAAGTCTCAACGCGGAGAGAACAAAGCACCGGTGGAGATATCTTTACCAAATGGGGAAAAGCCAAATTTTACTACAAGCAGCAACGGCAACGGCAACGGCAACGGCAACGGCAACAACAATAGCGGTAACGATAACGGCAACGGCAACGCTGGTAATCTGAAACCCAAAAAGAATATTGGTAGGAAAGACAAAGGTGCTTCTGTAGTGGTGGAAGAAGATTTATCGACCTATGCTGGTTCATCATTTCATTCTTCGCCCGCTGCTTTGAATCTCCCAAAACCCAATTTCAAGCCTTCTCCAAAGCAAAGTGTGGTGAAGGAGGATATTGGATTGTTGTCATCAAAGCTGGTTGATTCTTTATCCACCACTTCGAACACGGCTATTCCAACGCCTATTGTCGCTTCTCCGAGTCCGTCAAGCCCATCATCTGCAGCACCTACAGTACCTACAGTACCTGCAGCATCCACAACCCCTACTGCCAATGCATTGCCATACCCACCGAATGTATTTTCCCATCAGCTCAATCCGAATCATCATGTATTTGCTCCTTCTCCTTATACATCGCAACAGACTCCTTATCCACCTCAAGGAAACCAAGTGGCTTTTTCGCATCATTTATCGCAGCCTATTCCACCGCCTCCATTGCCACCCAACCAATTTTACAACCCGTATTTGGGACCCGCGCAAATCTTGCACCATCACCAGCAATATCTTACACAGACGAGCCAGCCGGGTCAAAAGGTTACTTTTAATCAGTTATTGGGCTCGTCTAAGTGATTGAATCAAAGTGCGAGCTTGTGCGTGTGTGCGATGAGAACACGTCGATTATTTGTTGTTCTCATCTAGAAACATTTGTTCAATAACTTGTTTTTCTTGATTGTATTTTTGCTTGCCTTTTTTTTATTTCACTTTCCCCTTATGTTGAAAATGATTGATGCATTGTGTTTTGATGTGTTCAATTCTTTACTTGCTTACGAGTGTTTTGGACCAAAATTTTACAGCCCACTGATGTGGGTTGTTTTGTTTTGCTTTGCTTTACTGTGGTTCAGCAGTAATCACTACTGTTCATTATTGCCGCATACCTTATCTTTTTTTTATTATTTGTATGTTTGGCGTTGTTTTATGTTGGATTGCCAATCTCGCATTGTTTTTCATAGCTATTGGATACAACCCGGTATCGTTGGCTTTTTGATATGTAAGGTGTTTTTACTAGTTTTAGGAGAAATGAATGAAGACTTTTTTTGCAGCGACCCAAAAAGGATGTGCTTTTGAGGGAGGGCGCTTGTTGTGGACCCCATTTTCTTACAGCACATGAGAAGAAGATTTGACTTGGACTTTTGGCAGAGTTATTAGCGGAAATAAGCCGGCATTTCAAACAATGCAAGTATCGCCTAATATTTCCGACACTAAACATAAGAAACCGCAATAAAATGAGTGGCGAATCAGCCGAAGAAGAGGACGGTGTTTGAGAGATTGAGGCTATTGTTTTCGCTCTTCTCATAATCATACTTGTATAGAAAGCAGACGTGATGACTTTGATTAAGCATAGTGGGAAGAAGTTTTGCGAGATTTAAATCAAACAAGCAGACACGACCTACACATGCATTAGTACTTGCTATTGTACTTACTGCTCACTAACTAACTAACCAACGATATAACTAAGTCTAATTAACTAACTAACCAACTAACCAACTTTGTATAAACTTAATTTAGATGCAGATGTTGCAGAGAGAGAGAGAGAGAGTGTGTGTGTGTGTGGGTGTGGGTGTGTAAATTGTGACAAAAACTAAACTCAAAATTAGACATCCAATTTAACTTCATTTATTTAAGAGACAATAAAAGCTTCATATATAAAACTGTACAAAATATTAACAAAAGCTTCATAGAGCAAATATACATCAGCATCCTTAACATTCACACTCCTTGTATTGACCTTTTCTTTGCATCAAAGAGAGAGAGAAAGAGAGAGAGAGAGAGAGAGATAGTGTGTATTTCTGTGCGTGTGTGTTTGTCTGCGCTATTTGACGTTGTTGCAGTATTAAGAAATCGATTTATCATTACCACTAACGCAAATCCTCCTAAATTACTTTAAACGAGCAAATTACAAATCCATCACGCAACAAATATATCAAAGTATATCCTCCTACCCATACCCAAATCCACACACACACACACATACATACTGACACAGCCAAAATGAATAACAAGGAGATAAGGATTGGCGCCTTGTTAGTATTGGACACATTGTTCTTTCTTCTCGAGGCCATCATCGGTTACTCTGTCCAATCCTTGGCATTGATTGCCGATTCATTCCACATGTTAAATGATATCATCTCGTTAATCATAGCCCTTTGGGCCGTTCGAATGAAGAACTCGAAACCGGCCGATGGCAAGTACACATATGGATGGCAAAGAGCTGAGATTTTGGGTGCATTAATCAATGCTGTGTTTTTGATTGCCTTGTGTTTTACAATTATTATGGATGCCATTCAACGGTTTTTCCAACCGGCAGAGATCACCAACCCTCAGTTGATTTTAGTGGTTGGTATTGCTGGGTTGTTGAGTAATGGTATTGGATTGGTGTTATTTCATGAACACGGTCACTCGCACTCTCATGGTGGAGGTGGGGCAGATGTTCATGGCCATGGACACTCGCATTCACATACAGATGGAGGTGCCAGTGGTCATAGTCAACATGATGTGCCCAGTAATGGTGAACTTGAATCGAGTATTGGTTTGGATGAGAATACTCCATTGATTAGAAATCCTATTAGATCTTCTCCTTCTGAAGTGTTTGATTACTTCCCTGATAATGTTGTTGAGAGGTATAATACAGAGACATCGACAATTAAGGCAGGAGATGCAAGTGAAGGCGCTCATACTCATGATCACAGTCATAATGGCGATGTCGCAACCAAAGGCGTAGCTACCAAGAAGAAGAAGAAGTCAATGAATATGGAAGGTGTGTTTTTGCACGTGTTGGGTGATGCATTGGGAAATGTTGGTGTTATCATAACTGCCTTGATCATATGGAAGACTGATTACTGGTGGAGGTTTTATTCCGATCCAGTTACTTCATTAGTAATCACTTTGATCATTTTCAATAGTGCATTACCATTGTGTCGTAAATCATCCAAGATTTTACTTCAAGCTACACCACCATATATCGACTCAGATCAAATTTTGCAACTGATTTTGAAGTTACCTTTGGTCAACAGTGTTCATGATTTCCATGTGTGGAATTTAAACGAAGATATACTTATTGCTTCTTTACATATTGAATTGACGCCGAATTGTGAAGTGACCTTGCCAGGAGCACCATCGGCAGCACCAGCCAGCCAAAATGGTGCAACCAACACCAATGAAGCCGAAGACGATTCTGCAAACACGCAAATTGACAGAAACTTGTTTTTGACTGTCGTGGCACAAGTACGTGATCTTTTACACAAGTATGGCATTCATTCAGTCACAATCCAACCAGAATTCCCTAGTTTGAAGAACCAGAACTCGGGCCTGACGCCAAATGATTTGGAAGATTCCAACGCATTTGGTAATACTTCTAAACAGAATTGTTTAGTCGATGGATTCACGAATTGTGATACGCAATCTTGTCATTGATAAGGAGGAATAGCGGATGTGGTTAATAAGTGTTTTTAAAGACTTGTTTCCGGGAGAGATAGAGATAAACAATGTTTTTTTTTTCTTTTTTGAGTTAATATTATTACATTGTTATTATCACATTTGGAACTAAATTGTACATATCTCTATAACGGAAGATCTCGTTGTGTTTCTTTTACGAACAAGTCCATTCCTCTACATGTCAGCACCATCACCTGAATTGAAATTTAATCCGCACACCGACCCAATTGTACCATCAGTCTCAATATTACAGCGCATTGTTCTTGCTCTTTCTTCTGAACAACCCCCATCTCTTTCCTGAAGACGATGATATTGAATCTTGACGACGAAGAACAAAGGGCGATCCTGAGTATGATTTCTTGAGTTTGTTATATTCCTTAGCCTCGATTGGTGTTTTGTAACATCTGAATGAGTTCAAGTAATCAAATGGTTCAGTAATTGATTCATTCGAGGACGTAGGTGCAAGTTCGAGATTCTTTTCACCAACACTCACAAGATTGTCTGTACCCGATTCTGGACCCCTAGTTGACACAGCACTCTTCCAGTTATCTTCAACCTCCAGCACATTCTCTGACGACGTGTCCTGCTTACTTTCATCATATTGACCATTGCCAAGGGACATGTGTGATGATTTCATTGAGGGCAGCGATGAGATTGACAACCTAGTGAGTGGTTTGATGGGCGCAGATTTGAATTCATTAGGATCTAAAGTCATAGGACCCAAATCGTCATACACTGTAGGACCTGGGTACTTGCTTGTACCCTGGCCAGTACTCGTATATTCGACTGATTTGTTGCTGTTTGTTGTCGCACCTGACAATGACAACTGGGCATCTTCAACTTCATTGACTATTGTTTGTTGTGGGCTCTGAGTGTAGTATGCCAAAAAGCTCAATACCTGGGATAAGAACTTGTTGAATATGAATTGTTCCTCACCTTGGAATTTGCTAGCATTAGCTACACTCAATTTAACAACCATTGTTTGAGTTAAACATTCACCAAAGAGTTGGTACTTTGATGATGTAATGCCACTTAATCTGACATTGGATTTAGCGAGATTTATTATTGACTGACCAGGTGCAATTATGTTGGACTCCAAGTAATTGATCATGATGGTAATGAATTGGATCAAGACGGGTATTTGATATTCATCCAACACGGCATCAATGTCGCATGCAAAAGCTTTTGATTTTGGCGTCACTTCGTTGTTGGTGCTGTTTGTATTGCAGCCAAATAAGTCATCGTCATTGAAAATGTTGGTGCTGGGAGCGGAAACGAAATTTGAAGCCAATGTGGCGAACTCATCTATTGGGTTTGATTTATCATGGATCTTGGACGCTAAACTATGTTGGAAGTTGCGCAAATGTAATTCATTCTGGATCAGTTGGGGTTTCCTGTTTTGACTAGTGCTGCTGGTTACTTTTTGATAATTGTGGAATAGATCCAACGCAAGCCAGGCTTGTTTGACGATGGAGATTTCGTATTGCGAGAGATCAATGGTTGGTGCAGTGGTGTCTGTGGACATTGTACTTTGTTGTATTGTCAAAAAAGAAAAAATAGAAAGAGAAAGAAGAAAAAGGGGGCAACACTACAGCTTTATATTTATATTTATATTTATATTTATATTCATATGTCAAATCAATCGTCAATTATCGTCTCCCTTTACTCTTGTTTTTCAGAGGATTTACCTTTGTTTTCTATTGTTTGTGTAAATGGTTTTCACATTTTCATATATAGAGTGGCTAAAGTATTGGCGCAATCTGTATTTAATTATAGTAAGGGGTATGAGGTTTGTGTGAAATTGATGTAATTCCCTTTTTCTCTTTTTTTTTTTTTTTTTTTAGAAACGGAATAAATACTTACAGTAGTGCCTTTGTGTAGCATTCAGCTTGTGTCTCACATTCGTATTGAAAGCTAGGCTTCCCACGCTATGAGAAGGACGGACGCTATATAACTCCTACAACGTAAAAAAAAAAAAAAAAGATCTTATTCTCATAAATTTAGGAAGTATGAAATGTACAGTCCTGGTGCTGATGGTGCAGTTCTTAGAAATTATAGATTCCAACTCCAAAAAGTTTACAAGTCAGGTGGGTGTTGATTTGTCTTGTAGGGCCAATAATGGTGGACAACACCAAATCAACTCGAATGTGGGACAATAACAACGAGTGTGGCTAAGAAATAATTGTGCATATCCTATTGTCTTCAACCTTGACATCACTACTTGTTAATCAATATGAAATTACAATTGTTTCAATGTAAAAGGCGAAAATGTAGCGCTCTTCGTCTAAGCATTCCACCCTACAATATAGGCCTAACACACCTTGTCTGCCATTGTTCTCCTTCTTGTTGCTCTTATTGTTTTCTGTTCTTTTTTTTTTTTCTATTGTATGGATAAATTCGGAAATTGAAATGTGTTTAGAATACACCGAGACAAACATAAGCTTTTGATTATCCGCCTTCCGCGAGGCTAGAACACAAGAAGACAACGCAACGTACTAAGTGATGGGTGGTTGTGTTCTGAAGTCAGAATCATTAGGCTGTAGACTTTTCCTGCTACATCGAATCACTAAACAGATTAACATAATTGATCTGGACTGGGGTGGAAGGGGGCTTTATGCCGAGGTCGAAGAACAAACGTTTGCTCAAATACCATGAACAGTGACTTGTTTTATCACTGTTGAGATTTTTCTTCAGTTTACGAATTATATATCAAGACTGAAACCTAATTTGTTTCAATTGGGCTTAATTTATTGATCCACAAAGCAGGCAACAAAGAAAACAAAAATAAAAGAAAAGAAAAGAAAAATGCAAGGACGCGTATCGGTACAAGCTCGTCCACTACGTTGTTGTCTATGATTCCCATGTCTATGGCTGTCCCTTATCTCGAAGAGGCTGAATCAAAATTAATAGATGGGAAGAGGATTTGGGAGATATAGTAAAAAGAGCACCCTACTTTGGACACAAGCCACTGACTACAACACAAAATCTTCACTATTATGCTTTATAAAGGAAAGTGAATTCTCTACAAACCCCACATGCCGCTACTCTGTCTGCCGGATTATGTCGCTGGACAAGTGAATGGCGACTTCGACTTCAAGTTTGGGTGACTTGTCGTGTACTCTGTTTTCCAGACACTACCTCAATTTGCGGCATAGAAGAGAAAAGCCATTTTAATGAAAGATCATCAAAAGAAAAGAAAAAAAAATAAAAAAGAATCTACAGCACTAAAACACCATAATCTTTTGCAACACAATCCTCTCATTCAACGTACCCACATTCCACTGCATACAAAATGAGACTCAAGGTGGCGATTGTCCAAATAAACTCCAAATTGGGCCAGTCTCAACACAACATTACCAAGATCAACAATCTACTATCAAAAGCATTTCCAACCCACAATGGTAAAAATCCAGACTTGGTTGTGCTTTCAGAGTTGGCCATAACTGGATATAACTTTGCCCTGGCGAAGCATATTGAGCCATTTTTGGAATCTTGTAAACCGCCATATGGTGCATCGCTTGGGTTTGCGCGTGAGTTGAGTTTGAAGTATGGGTGTTTTACTGTTGTTGGGTACCCTGAAAGAGGCAATGCAGAAGCAGCAGAAGCAGCAGAAGCAGCAGCAGCAGCAGCGACATCAAACGGGTTTGAACATACATCGGCAAATGAAGGATCAAGGCTAAAACAAGGGCAAGAAGAGGTGATCTACAATTCGTGTGCTGTATTCAATCGATCTGGTGAGTTGATCCACAATTACCGAAAGACATTTTTGTACGAAACCGATGAACAATGGGGATGTTTGGAAAACCCTCACAAGGGGTTCCCTCCAGTGCAACTACTGTTTAATAAGAAGGAGATGAGTACCACAAGTGTATCCAATGATGATGGTACTAACTCGATATTGACAAACTTTGGGATATGTATGGATCTAAACCCATACAAGTTTGAAGCCCCATTCAATAAATTTGAATTTAGTGCACAATGCTACCACAACAAGTCAAGATTGATCATATGTCCCATGGCATGGCTATCGCAACAATCTCCATCAATCAAGAATGATTTGACGAAGGAGGAGAAATTGCGTCAAGCTGAGTTGGTTGAGCTACCAGCCAACAAACCAAATATGGAGACTATAAACTATTGGATCTTGAGGTTTTTCCCATTTTTGGCGCACAAGTATAGTTATATGCCCAAATGGTGGTCTAATGACGAGAAAGTGAGTGTGTTGATTAGTAATCGAGTGGGGAGAGAAGAGGACGTAATCTATGGCGGTAGTTCATGCATTTTGCAATTCAATAACGGTACTAAGAAGGACAACGGTGATTATGATGCTGTAGATGAGATCAATCCGAGTGTTGAAGTGATTGGTAAACTTTCTCAAGCTGAGGAAGGAGTGTTGGTGGAGGAGATTGAAGTGTAGATAAATAAATGCATAGAGATGTGTAAAATATACACAAAAAGTATTTCAATTTCAAAGTGTGGGGTGAAGAGAGTTTTGTGGTGATAAAGTAAGTTGCCTCTCCTTACTGTGATATGAAGTATGGGGAAGTGTGTGAAGTATGGATGTTGAGTACGCGGTGAAATGTCGTGTGACAACAAGAAAAACTAATGGAATCACAATACAACACGAGTGTTGAAGAAGAAAAAGAAGAAGAAGAAGAAGAAGAAGAAGAAGAAGTAGTAGTAGTAGTAGTAGTAGTAGTAGTAGTAGTAGTAGTAATAGTACAAGATCTGATCTATAAACTACGAATCTTTATATCCAGAACTCTAGACTAAAAAGATCCACTTTGTCCTGTCCTCTTTTGTGCCTGCATGTATATCCTCCTGCACTGGTTGTTTTGTAACTTGTGTGAAAAATAAAATATAAAAAAAAAAATGAAAAAGAAAAAGAAAAAGCTCAAAAGGTTTGTTATCCAATAGACGCAAGGAGAAGCAAACAAACAATAAGGTTTAATAAATCATCAAACAAATTATACCTAGAAATATATATATACATACATACATTAGTAACCTTATTCATAAGAAATATGATTTCTTGGCATAGAACCCCCCACCCCCCACATGTTTACATTGACTTATAGTAGTTATTGTAAACCACTATTAGCACAATATATGTTCGTCTAACTTGAGAAAGATTAGACAGAGTCATAAAGAGAAGGCAATTACTAAGACACTACTACAAATACAAAGATGAGATATAGTTTAATGTAAGGGCGTTTGAAAAAATAAGAATTACTCTGTGTGTGTGTGTGTGTGTGTGTGTGTGTATTGTCCGTACAGGTGAATGGCACATATTCTAGAAATAGAAGGAAAAGTAGTCGTGTGTGTGTGTGCAAGCAAATAGTTATTATTATTTACGCGTATTGCATACTTCCCATAAACATAATAATATATAACATACACTTACACTTAGACACAGACACATACATAGAAGCATTTGTTGTCGTGTGACCTATTTGGGACTTTTTGTGTAATTCAATGCATATGTAAATTTCTTTTTTTTTTATCCTTTTACTTTTTGTGTTATGGAAAATATCAAGAATTTCATTTTCTTTAGTATTCGTTCTATATAACGTTATTACTACTACTACTTCTCTAATAAGTCTTTCAACCATATTTAATCAACATAGCAAATAACTCATCAAACTTTTTCATTCGTTAACTGCTGCAACTCCTTCTTCTTCGTTATAACTGCCATTCACCCACTCCACCTTATACACCCAAGTTGACATCAGACTGCAAAAAATGAAGACTTTTTTCCATCCACGACGAATAGTTGTTAAAGTTTTTCTACTAACAACTATTGCATACACCATACTTGTCACATTGAATCTGATTCTTGCCAAACCAGATCTACATCAATACCGCAAACTACTTTATCAACAATTTACTCACAAATATAATCAATTGTATTACAACTTTCTTGCATCTAATTACGACTTGAACAATAATGACGATTTTAACAGACATTTGGCAGTAATACGAAAAGATGCTGTTGAAGAAGATAGAGGAAATAATGAACTATGGATGTTGAATGAGGAGATTACCGAACATTTACCATTGACAATGCCTATACCTTCAGCATACTACTCCAACTACAAAAAGACGCGAGAAAATTCAGACAAGTCATCACGGGAAGAATCAGGCACTGTCACTTCTGCTCCACTTTCTCCATTTGTGCCAAAATTTGACCCTAGGCTTACTCTCGGCGCTTACTATCAGTACATTGCAAGAACAGCAACACACACAGGGCCGTCAAACTCCGAAAACTTGGCATTGCCTTTCCACTGGTCTGATTGGGTTGATTTGTCCATTCTTGAAAAATATGTCATAGCAGAAAACAACGAAAATGACAACAACAATAACGACGACCAACAGACAGACTTGTGCGCAGCATTGTTTGACATTTCCAATAGAACTGAACTTATTGAGGGCTCGGAACTTCGGATGGTTGAGGAATACTGTCAGTCCATTTCCGACGACGACTCAATGTCATCGTCACTTGTGCATCCTCAATTGGGGTTCAAAATAACCGACCAACCGGGTCCACAAACCATACCCAATCGTGAAGTCATTAGTCGTGCTTATTTGTTTGCAACAGCTCCATCACCCAAAAAGTTGATATTTTTAACAACTAATGGATCGTATCAGGTTGATGTATCAAATCCTCATGAAAACAACTTTAACAACTCGTTGCTCCACAATGGCATAATTGATTCATTACCGATAGACACGTTAAATGTTGTAGAAGACTACAAATACTTGCAAACACACAAACCACAACTGCATCAACAACCACAACAACAACAACAACAAGCAAAGGATACCAAAGAAGTTGATGGCACATCCTCATCCTCATCTCCACCTCACTTCTTTTCCTCCTACTCCTCCTCCTCCTCCTTTTTCTCCTTCTCCTCCGTCCCTTCTCGCCACGAACTACATATCCCAAAATCGGCATTTCGCAATGATCCCGAATCAGTCATCGATTCCATGAAACGCAAACAACAACAAACCCAACTATCCCTAATGGAAAAAGACTATCTCGACTCAATATCATTTAGTCATCATTGCCAAGACCCACCCAAGTACTTTTACGAAGCCAAATTACTTAAATCCACTCCTGACGATTGGCAAGGTGAGCATTACGACTGGCGGTTTTTCCAAGGAATAACATTGGACTTGCCGGAAAACTCCATCATCTTGCATCGATTAATCAAAAACTATCTCAATTTTGCACGCATTCATGGCATAACCACCTGGATAGCGCATGGATCCTTACTCGCCTGGTATTGGAACGGAGTTGCATTCCCCTGGGATGGTGATGTCGATGTCCAAGTGCCCGTTTCAGAATTGTACAAATTGGGCCAGTATTACAACCAAACTTTGGTTGTTGAGAATGCCGCTGATTCGAGTGGGAAATTTGATGGAATGGGGCGGTACTTTGTTGATATTGGATCGAGCATCACCCATCGTACTAGAGGTAATGGGAACAATGCAATTGATGGGAGGTTTATTGATGTTGATACCGGGTTGTATATTGATATTACTGGATTGGCATTGACGGATGCGCCATCGCCCGATAGATATGAGTTGATTGTTCCGTTGTTGGATAAGGAGAAGCAAGCCATTTTGGCGACTGCCAATGGCAGAAGCGAAGGTGGGAAAGTTGTTAAAGATTTTTCGGTAATTAATCGTGAACTTGAGTTGTTCAATTGTCGAAATAATCATTTCACTTCGTACCAAGAACTATCACCATTGATTACATCCATTTCGGAAAATCAGCTCGCTTACATTCCTAAAAACTTCATGATGATTCTTCAAGATGAATACAATTTGAATGCATTATCACGAAAACAACATCGGCTGTTTACGTTCTTGAACAATTTACGACTTTGGTTCAATACAAAATCCATTAAGAAATATGCGCATATGGAGAATGTCGATGCAGAGGGGTACGATTTCAAGTCGTTGCAAATACTAAATTCATTGACCCCACAGGATCATTTGAACTTGTTGGGTCAAGAGAATACATTGTTGCAAGAATGGGAGTTGACCAAGAATTTCACAAAGTTGCATCACGATGAATTGAAGATGATTTACGAGGGCAAGATTGACCAAGCTGGTGAATTGATTGAACGTAATTTGGTCAGGGCGGAAAGTGGCGGTCTTGTGGGTAAGGCTTTGAGAGCTGATTACTTTATGCATAAATTGATGACTAGTGGGGAGATCCATTAGATTTGACGTACTCTAATTGCATACATATTATTCTAGTACCTAGTAACGTTTTTTAATACAGAAAAAGTATTGCAACCAATGTCGCTCATCACTCAAGCTTATATTGCAGTGATTCTATTAGGCTCTATAAAGAATGAATAAAACTTCGACCAAGTGAGCAAGCAAGATAAGGGCCCCACTCTTGTAATACGCTATTTGTCCAGCGTTAATCTCCTATCGCTTACAACTTTGCACCACCACTCAACAACTTCTTGTCAACAACCTTGCCATTATACTTTTTATGCAACTGAGTAGATTTCTCAAACACATCCTTGGGAAAAGCTCCATAAGTTTCCTGCACAGCAGTAGCAATCAATTTACCGTCATTTTCCAACGAATAAAAATTGATAATGCCCAACATACGATTATTTCCCATTGACACAAATTGCGTCTCCATATAAAGCCAATTTGAATCATCATCAACCGATTCATGAAAATCTTCAGTGGATGAGGACTTGCCGGTTCCCAGTTTCCGTTTCGGTTTCCGTTTCCGTATCCCAATTTCGAAATTGGAGTCGTGGAAGTACAACGTATGGTCCAAACTCACAGTCTTTGCTGTTGTGATTCCGATGGGCAACCCCAACGCCTTCACCAACGTCGAAGCCCAAAATGAATCACTAAGATAGGTCAATGCCAAATACTTACGACGTGTCAACTCACCAGCTGAAGGGCCAGCAACAGCACCAGCACCAGCAGCTGCAGCTGCAGTAGCTCCGCCTTCCTCCTCTTGTTGATGTTCAGCGGACTCACCAATCACTCTCCCGTGCAAATCATCATTGATCTTGACAAACATCCCCCATTCTTGATCAGCAGTAGTATCCAAGTTGAACCCTTCACTGTACTCGAAAAGCTCTTTCGGCATAGCCCGCGTAATATGGTTACTATAATACATTGTTTTGATATTTAAGTCATGTAAATTATCACGATACTTGAAAAACATAGGACCGGGGTTACGTTTAAACACAAGTGGCCAACTCTTTGGATTTTGTCCCTGGGAAATTTGATGCTCAAATTGACGTTGTTTCAAAATCAAGTCGTTATTTCTCGTAAACGATGCTTGGATCGTGACTACAAGAACTCCAGAATGTGATTGGTATCCCAACACGCACCGATTGGCGAAATTGCGAGTGTCGCTCACCTTGATAACCTCCCAACGCATGACGCTTTCAGTTGAGCCGGCTTTAACGAAATACGCATGTATGGAATGTGGTTGGAAGTTGGTTCCATCAGTAGTGGGAGCTTTAGCATCATCATTGTCTTGTTTAGATCGATTAAGCACTGATTGCCAAGCAGCATTCAACCCCTGGGTGATCAAGTCTCCACCATATGTGCCTCGTGAATCTGGCGCCCACGCTTCAGGAACGTATCGGCTCTGGTAGATTTCAGCTGATGTGGGAATGTGTTTACCGTGTTGGATTGAAGATGAGGACGAAATGAGCTTGACGGAGGATTTGGTTGCAATACGAGCTATTGGTGAGGTTGTCGATTGGTAAACCTCTGTTTGAAGTGCATCCATTGTTTTGCTGGTGTTGCTTGACTGAGAAGGAAGTGATGTGTAAGGGAGGGGAGGGGAGGAGATGAGGGAAGGTGTAAAAGTAGAGAAGGACGATGAGTATGCATTATATTCATTTGTTGGGTTGTTTATAAATTAGCCGAGGTTTAATAAACGAGACCGTTTTAAAGAGGGGAAAGCCGGATTTAAAAAGAAAAAAAAAATAGAGATTCGTTAAAACCGCACTCATATATTCATTTAAGGGACGTCTCAAGATTACGAAGTGACTGCTTGAGTGAGACTTTCACCTGCACTCTGTTATCAGATGATCTTCAACTTAAAATGGAGTTTACTTACTGAAGGTGTGGGAAATATGCTGTTTTGTCTTTAGGTCCTCTTTCAAAAATACTGAGTAAATTGGAATTTTTCACTTTGTAGCAAGAGATGTAAAGTCGGCCAAAATTGATCGTGAGATACAGTTTGTTAGCGTATAGAGATCGTTTGAGGCGTGTAATATTTGTAATTTGGAGAGCTTGATATCAACTTCTCCTGTTGAATATCTTTTCTTTGCAACAAAATCTTTGCAAAATGTGATTAGACACACCACCTTGAGGGAGGAGCACCCAAACAACTAATTTTGCAATGTGCTCTACGCAATAACTACATAGAGATTCTATAGATGAGCAGTTTATGCTCATAATGTGGGAAGCTTCACTCTAGTTGCTTCTACTGTTCGAAGTTCATTGGTTCCACTGGAGATACTGAAAGCAGAGAATACGCGGATGCCATGGACATGATCGACCAAATTGCTGAACGACAAGCCGTTTTGGGATACAGTACAACTGTAGTTGTAAGGTGATAATGACTACTAATTATATCTAATCATCGTGGTTATCCTGGCCCACATGCCATTACCTTCAGCATAGCCACACTAGTATGACATCATACTGAATAGGGGTTGTATTGTCTTGTCTTCTGAAGGATTTTATGTCACTGATGCACTACCGTCTTACCAGAAGTTAAACCATCTGTTTCAATTTCGTTTAAACACACAAGGCTTTTTGACACTTTGTTCAAACGTTGGCTTACCAAAACTAAGCAACAAGAAAAAGTGGTAGTGGTTACTCAAATGGCATCATACATTAATCGATTAGTAGATATTCAGGACTTCCATATTTTACAGCCAAGTGCAAAGGAAGGACCCGCATGTGAAGTACCCCAACTCCAATCGTTAAATGTATGCTAAGCTGCTTGCCTGTGTTGATCCCCGTTAACGACACGAGCAAAGAGACTTCACAGATCTATGATGTAATCTGCTATTTCTTTTTCGTTTGTGTAAAACTGTACCTAATCGCGTAAGACAATAGAATGCAAAAATGATCCAAATCTGATGAGCAATTGTTGTTTGGCAAAACTCAGATCACTACTACTGTGTGTGTGTGTGTGTGTGTGTGTGTGGCTGTGCGTCTATGAAGCACAGCCTCCAGGCACGTACTTCTGCATAACGAGAGATTCGTATTAGATGTCTTGCTTTCAAATAGTTCTTGTCTTATAATGAATGTTTTTTTTTTCTCAAAAATTTTTTTTTTTTTCTTAAGCCCGAACATCGGGTACTTTAGCATCATTTAACAAAACAAAACAGAATGACAATGTTTGAGATCCCTGGAAGTTTCGGAGTCAAAAATTAGAACAGAAGCGGCGTAGAGAGCTAAACCCAATGCCTTGAATTTCAAGTTAACCCTAATCAGCATAACTCATTGCTTTTCCTTCACCATGTAAAGTGAGGACTGTGCGTACTTGCTAGAGCAATATAGTTGAAATAGCCGCCGACATTTGCAAATTGAGGAAACAAGAAAGAAACCATACATTTCAGGGTACTGTTTCAGAACCCGTTTCAATATTTAGTTTGCTGCCTTGTTTTCTTTTTTTTTTTCTTTTTCATCTAACTTGTTTGCTGTCACAGATGAACACATCTCTTGCTCCTTTCATACATAATGATGTTGTGAGTTCTCCTTAAACTTCCTCCCTTTCAAGGTTTATTTATTTTTTTCCCTTTGTTTCTCCACATCTATAGAGTGGTTTACAAAACGCTGCTTGCCGTTACATTCTTCTCTCTCCCCCCCATCTGCTTTTGCATTCTTTGTATATGGATATAGGTTGAATGAGGCTATAACGAACGAGATTCTGTATTGATATTCAGTTTTTGTACCATTTATCGGAAAGAGAGTGATATTTTGATTTTCTTCTTTTTTTTTTTTTTTCGCTTTATCTTTTTTATTTTTATTTTTTTCAAACTGTAGTTTCCTTAATGTAGATATGCAGGGCAAATGTCATTACACCAAGAGTTCCGCATATAGATACGGCTAGCAGCTGTAGGAGAAGTAGAGAAAGGTGTGTGTGTGTGTGTTTTCTACTTAAATACGCTGAAACAGCGATAAAGTCAATTTTTAGAGTCACTGAAATTATCGATGATGATGTATTGTTGTTCTGCCTTCTTTTTTTTTATTTTTATTTTTTTTTTTATCGGATATTAAAATTGCTCTCGGTGATGAAAAATCGACGCAAAGAAAAAGAAAAAATTCAGAATTTTGAAATTAACCCGATATGCTTTCGCAGGGTAGTGTCACACGATTGCTCTCTGATATTTAGTAAAGATTGATAGAGTGAGAGCTGGACCATAGCTATATGACAATCGCCTTTCTTCAAACAGATTCGTGTATTTGCGGTTCTATAGAGTTTATCGTTTGTATTTGTAATACATCAATTTGAAGTTTAAAGTTTGTGTAAATTGGGGTCTCATTTCTCTAACGGCAAAAACAAAAAAAATAAAAACAAAAAAAAGAATTACAAAAAAACTGTGTAATATAGTATCATGCATAGTTATATATATATGTAACCTATTTTTCGCAATATACGTTATATAGCATTAATATTTGAAATATTTACAGAGTTTATTCCCTTTTTATTTTTTTTTCCTCCTTTTGAGAATCCCCTGTTTTTTTTGGTTCATAGTCTTCCCTCCCTCCCCTCCAAATAGAAGGCTCTTACTACAAAAGATCATATTCTTTGTTTTTTTCGTTTTCATCTACAACATTGAAACCAGAGCCCACGTGCTTATCGCAAATATGTCCTTTAGTAGCTTACTTTCACCAAAGAAATTACTCAATAAAACAAAGGGTTCCTCCTCTTCGGAAAAAAGTTTTACAACCAACAGCCAAAACCAAGAGCAGCAGCCATTGAACAACACTCAAGAAACACACATGGGCAACCCTACAGGAACTTTGTCTTCCGTACCTTCCGTACCATACAAAGGGAGCATTGCATCGCCAAAGTCTCCAACACTGCAGCCAAACACACGGAAGGCCCCATTACCACAGATTGACACAAGTGGCACGTCATATACACAACCGTCACCTGCGTCAGTGCCCCGTATAAGGTCTCCGTTATCGCAACTGGCTAATTTTGATTCGTTCATCCAAGAGGATCTGCTGCTGAACCAGCCAAACTACAACTACTCGATACCTAGAAACAACGGACAACAACCGATTTTCGCCTTGGCGAATAGTGACAACAGCAGCTCTAGTGCAGATTCCGTGTCGCAACAGAACCGATTACTACCATCAAAGATGGGTCATGGTGGTGCCAATATTTCAACTTCAGAAGTCTCCTCCATGTATGATCATTACCCTTCAAACTCACCAAGCTATAATCAATTTGCCAGTCCGTCTTCACCAAGAGCGCGTCATCAGTCTAAGTTGTCAGATGCCTTCTCAGACTCCACCAATCTGCCTAGACGCATCTTGTCGGAAAAAGCTCGTCAAACTCCTTCGTCTTTTGTGCGCCAGTCGCGACACTTTTCAAATGATTTTTCCGACACTGACGCCAACCTGTTGAATTCAATCACTGGTCAATCCTTGTTGTTGCAGAATAAATTGCAAACTGAAAACTTGTCACCTGAATTTCGTCCAATTGTCAATTTACTCAATGCACAGAGATTGAGAACCTATCGTGTTGGGTCATTCCAAATACCAGCTCGTTTGGGTAATGACCACGCCTGGTTTGAAGTTGATGCAAAGTTGACAGGAACCGAGTTGGCTATATGGAGACCCCTGGATGATGAATACACTATGGAGGATGGAAACGATGAATTCAAACCAAGGTATATTAATTTGGTTGATTTCAGACTCGAGTTTTTAGGCGACTTGCGACTCCGTATTTCTCAAGATTACCGTGAGGATTCAAGTGTTGTCATTAGATTTCATAACGAAATTGATTTCATCAAGTGGATTAGTGCAATGATGTTGTCCAAGTATGAATACACCAAGTTGAATGAAGCGTTCACTGCTGTCTTGTTGAGTTCCAAGGGATCCAAATTACTGGATATTCATGTATTGCTCACTCACAAAAAGAGATTTATTGAACATGAATGGTGCAATATCCGGTTACCGGAAATCTCAACCAAGTGGATCAAGGTTTACATGGTTATTTTGCCTAGTGATAAACACCATTTGGGTAGGATTGAATTTTACCCACTGGATAAAAAGATGCAAAAGAAGCATCTCATTGCTTATCTCAGTGACTTGACAAGCTTGTTCAATGTATACCCTGGGCAATCCAACATGATTGATTTCAATTCAATCATGAGAGCATCTGGCCAGATTTTCGTAAATAAACACTATGAGTACTTGTTTCCTTACAATAGCCATGAGGATCACCATCTGTCACCAAGGAAACTTATTGCCAAGAACCACGCATCAATTTCACGATCCGGATCCAACAAGTCTCTTGCGTCATTGACTGAAAACAACAACAACAACACCTCAAACAACTTGCAAATCCCATCCACACCTAAACCCAACGGTGATTCTCGCTCAAGATCGGATTCGTTAAACTCGGCAAGTTCATTTTTCGCAAATTCTCCGTCTATGACTGCTACACCATTGACTAGAGATCGGTCGGTATCAAACGCATCCAATTCTGACAAGTCGTCGAAAATTTTCAAATCCAAGGGTGGTAAATCACACACTGAATTTGATTTAAACAGAACCAATTCGAGTTTTTTCAAGAAGCATGCAGATGACTTTGCACTGACCAGTTCCATGTACATTATGCCAATACCACATCCTGGAGTTAATGCAGTTGAAACTATGGTGCGTAATTTCATCCCCATTATTGATTCGTTCAAGTTGTATGGACGTCCACGTCATTTAGCTAGCGAAAAGACTAATCCCGATTCGATGTTGTTTGGATTACCTTCATTACCTCATTACCAATACTTGTCTACTCGTGATGCGCAGGATGCATTTGCTCAATATTTCAAATTGAATATGAATCAGTTTCAAATGGAGGATATTTTGCGGGACAAGATTTTGGCATTGATGCAATCTGGTGGTCGTCATGGTAGAGGCTATAGAGGACATGGGGATGTTAGTAAGTTGTATGAAGGGTTGGATGTCAATTTTGATGAAATGATGTCACCTGATTTGAGTGGTGTTGGTAGCATCAATGGTGGTAGAGGTGGAACGGGTGCCGATATCTTGCTGTTGAATTTGGATGATGGAATTAGCTTGGAGTCACCCAGAGTGACGAGCCCATTGAGTGTTTGAGATGTTGTTCTTAGGGGGACTACAGGTTACACGAGAATAGCCACTCTATTGCAACGAAGTTAGCTCAGTTGTCAGTTGAGCTTTCGCGGATATCATTTTTTCCAATTGCTAAGGACAAACTCATCCCCTTGAGGGATGGATATACACAATTACAAGGAAACTTTTGTAGTTGCTGTCTACTTCAAAAGAAAGGAAAGGGTAAGAGAACAGGGGCAGCTTTTAAACCCTGAATTGTCTATAGGCTGTTTTATAGAAGTATTTCATTGAAATGAATAGTTTGCTTTATGAGAAGACATTGCAGGACGGAAATTACCCTTGAGTGCATAAGAAAGGGGGCCACTCGTAAAAAAGGAGGACTACCGGTAGGATAATTTCTTGATCCGAAGATCGGAAAGATAAAAGCTGACAACTCGATAGAACTAAAGATAACTTAGAAAGCAACTATGTCCAATGAGGCAAACAGAGACGTGACTCCGAGCAATCACAATGTGGATTGTAGCACTTTGCTGTATGTCTGAGAGGGCTCCTTTTCGCAAAACGCATGCTTGGCAATAAATAATTTTGTGTCGGATGCGCTTAAAATGAATTTCATCTGCTTCAACAAACTAAAGAAAAATATCGCGTTTGCGTGGACGTGAAATAATACAAAAAATATGTAACGTGTACTGATTTGAATTTCACATAAGCGCCTTTCCTAGAGTAGTAATGGATTATTATGAGATGTAGACAGTAAGGTAGAATGGACATTGTATCTGCGTCTGCTTTTAGTTGCTGTTGTTTCCGTGTCTTGTCTTCTTAATTGTGAAGGGGATCAATAGAGTCACCAAGGTTCAATAACGGAACACGTGTTGTGTTTAATTTAAAACTAGACGCGGACGTGTTCCACCACCCCAACTTGTGTATTCAGTTTGGCTTTGTTGTAGTTGTAGTTGTAGTTGTAGTTGCTGTTGTTGTGGTTTTTGTTTGTTTTTGTTCTCCAAAGTTGCGAAAAGGAAAATCAGAATTACCCGTTGCGGTTCATATCAAAACATCTCTAGCTTTCCAGGCGTGTGACAAAACAAATTGGACTCTGCACGGTATCGATTTTAGCCATCGCTGCATTGCAATTGTCTAAAGTGTGCCTCTGTTGTATGTGAGTTGTGTATACAAATGGAGGAAACTACTACAGTAAACGATGCTTGAAAAGTAGTGCACACGCCCTAAAAAGCAAAAATTCTTTGGCATTACATCACAAAAGTACACCAAATTAATAATATCAAACCACATACTAGAATCACCACACTAGCTACCACAACAACAACAAAAGTCAACATAAAAACAAAGAATCTTCATCTTTGTATCATAGTTTCATTCACCACATCCCGGTATTGGTATTTACTTCACTTTCCCTTCCCTTCCTTTTGCATTTGCAGATTTCGGAATACCACAAACTCAAAGTTTCAAAGTCAAAACAACACACACACAGACACATACACACGCTCACACGTCTTTTACCTTTAAAAAAATTTTTTATATATAAATCAGACGAGTCCCGTCACGTCTTGCTACATCCGACACATTTTCTTATAATCTTCTTATAATCTTCATCCAACTATAACTTCCCACTAACACACACATATATATACACATACACACACACACACACACACTCGCTACAATGTCATCATCATCAACCGCACCAAAAGAAACTCCAACTAGAGGCTTGACCGGAAAAATTTCAGGTCTTGACATGTCCACTGCTCAAGGTAAATCATTAACTGACAAATTGGCAGCTGAAGCATTGGCTAAAGACGAAGCTCAAACTATACACGAAACCAAAAACTCCTTATTGAACAAACCAGCCACTGAAAAGGAAACCAAAGATTACGAAAAGCAACTTGAGGCCATGAATGCCGAACATGAACAGTTCTTGAGCAAACACAAAGTACACAGACACGAATTGAAGGGATTGGAAGCTGAAGAGCCGCTCTTGAAGGAAAACACGCGTCGTTACGTCATGTTCCCAATCAGATACCATGAGATCTGGCAAATGTACAAGAAGGCCGAAGCTTCATTCTGGACCGCTGAAGAAATTGACTTGGGTAAGGATCTCCATGATTGGAGAGAGAAACTAAACGATAACGAACGTTACTTCATTGGAAGGATTTTGGCCTTCTTTGCTGCATCTGATGGAATTGTTAATGAAAACTTGGTGGAAAACTTTTCTGCCGAGGTTCAAATTCCTGAAGCCAAGTCATTTTATGGGTTCCAAATCATGATGGAGAACATTCACTCGGAAACGTATTCGTTGTTGATTGAAACTTATATCAAGGACCCCAAGGAAGCTGATTTCTTGTTCAATGCTATTGAAACCATCCCACAAATCAAAAAGAAGGCCGATTGGGCCATCAGATGGATTCAAGATAAGGATGCATTGTTTGCTGAGAGATTGGTTGCTTTTGCTGCTGTTGAAGGTATCTTTTTCAGTGGTTCATTTGCATCTATTTTCTGGTTGAAAAAGAGAGGCTTGATGCCAGGATTGACCTTTTCCAACGAATTGATTTGTCGTGATGAAGGTTTACACACTGATTTTGCATGTTTGTTGTTTGCACATTTGCAACACAGACCAGACCAAAAAATTGTTGAGAGAATTATTACCGAAGCCGTTGAAATTGAAAAGGAGTTTTTCACTGATGCTTTACCGGTTAGTTTGTTGGGTATGAACTGTAAGTTGATGTGCCAATACGTTGAGTTTGTTGCTGATAGATTATTGGTTGCCTTGGGTAACAAAAAAGTTTACAATGTCACCAATCCATTTGATTTTATGGAAAACATCTCCTTGGCCGGTAAGACCAACTTTTTTGAAAAGAGGGTTTCCGATTACCAAAAAGCTGGTGTTATGGCCAAGAGCGAAAACAAAGATGCCAATGCTTTTGCTTTTGATGAAGATTTCTAAAGAGGGGAGTTGCAGCGGAGTTTTGAGACAGGATGGGATAGTTGTGTCATGGTTGATGTTATTTTTGTTTTTGTTTTTGTTTTTTAATGCTTGGTTTTGGTTGATGCTTTTTTTTTTTTTTGTTTTTGATTGATTGAGTTTTTGTTTGTAATATTTCATTTCATGTTCTTGGTTCAGAAGGCCAAGGAGGGAAGCAGAGACAAATGGTTGTATTGCAACAACTGTTGTCACATATATAGTCTACTACGTAGTTTATAAAATTAATGTTTTTGATAAATTTTGATCTTGTCCGTAGCGGAAGCGCAAAAAATAATAAAAGGAAAAAATAGAGAATCCGATCTCAGAGCCTTTTCCTCATCTCATCTCTTCATTACCATGGGGAAAGGAAAGAATAAATCGAACGATGATAGACTGAACAAGAGCAGAACATCAAATGGGCACAAATCGAAACAACATCATATACGAAAGGGGCGACAAGAAGTAGCTTTTGCCAGACCTCTAACAATAGGAGACACAGAAGACGGCAGTGGCAGTGGCAGCGGCACGCCACAATCCAAACACAAGTTCCCCACCAAACTTGCCATGTGGGATTTTGATCATTGTGACCCCAAGAGATGCAGTGGTAAAAAGCTAGAACGATTGGGTCTCATCAAGAATCTTCGAGTGGGTCAAAAATTCCAAGGTATCGTTGTGAGTCCCAATGGGAAGTCTACCGTTTGTCCCAACGATGTGGACGTTGTCGAGGAGCAAGGGGCTGCAGTTGTTGAATGCTCTTGGGCTAGATTGGATGAAGTGCCATTTGGGAAAATTGGAGGTAAGCACGAGCGACTCTTGCCATACTTGGTTGCTGCCAATCCCGTCAATTATGGACGTCCTTGGAAACTTAATTGTGTTGAGGCGCTAGCTGCGTGTTTTGCAATTGTGGGTCATTTGGACTGGGCAGAACAGTTGCTTGAGAATTTTTCCTGGGGGTTGACGTTTTTGAAAATCAATGAGGAATTGTTGCAAGTGTACCAACAATGCACTGATTCTGAGTCTGTGTTGAAGGCTCAAGATGAGTGGTTGGATAAAATCGAAAAAGAGGCGAAAGAGAGAAAAGAGCAGGGACAGAAGGAGGATATTTGGATGATGGGTAACGTCAATAGAAATAATGGGGGGTTGAGTAGCGATGAAGACGAAGAAGAAGAGGACGAGGAAGACGAAGAAGAGGACGAAGAAGGTGATAGCGACGTCGAGTACGATAACTTGGGAAATGTGATACCAAAGACAAAGACTGATGCCCTAGGGAATTTAATAGAGGGCGACAGTGTACTGGAGCACGATTCATTGGAAGATGTCACCCTGGGTAACAATGCGCAACAAGAAGACACCGACTCTGAGGATGAAATAGTTTATGACAAATTGGGCAATATTGTCACCAAAAGCAAAAGCGATGTCACTAACCAGCTTAACGCTTTAAGTGTATAGACGACAATAAAACCACACATTTTGCGAAACACACTCGCTGCAACTCGTTGGCGACTTAGCCGCAAAACTGAAAAACTCTACAGTGCTTCGTTTGTGCCACACATTTTCATAATACGGCACTTTCTATTTTGTCATCAACAATGCTTTTTTTTCCGGTTCTTTTTTTTTTTTTTTGTCCCCTAACCCTTCGCGAAATACCCAATTGGGTAATAAGCGCTTCGATTAAATATACCAAAAATCTTTCAGGGATATTTATGTGATGTCCGTAGCTTAAGCGGTAAGCGACGGAACACAATTTGTAGACATTGTACATATATATATATATATATATATATAGTGGTGTTTATCTCCCCCACTGACCCAATCATCAAACCATATCATCAGTCCACTTCGACACCGTTGTATACACATCATCATCATGACTGTTAAAGGTATTCAAATTGCCATTGATCGTGGTGGAACTTTTTGTGACGTTATTGCAAAGATCCCAGGACAGGATGACTACGTGTTTAAGTTGTTGTCAGTTGACCCTCAGAACTACAAGGATGCACCTACTGAAGGTATAAGACGAATTTTGGAAGTTGTGAATGGTACCTCCATACCAAAGAGTGATAAATTGAAATTGGATCAGATTCAAAGTATCAGAATGGGAACCACTGTTGCCACGAACGCATTACTTGAAAGAAAAGGCGCGAATGTGTTGTTGGTTACGACAAAGGGATTTGGGGATGTGTTGGTGATTGGGAATCAAACCAGGCCACATATTTTCGATTTGACTGCAAAGAAATTGGGTCATTTGTACAAAGAGGTACTAGAGGTGGATGAAAGAGTGACTATCGAGAGCTTTTCCGAAGGTGGTGGTGATAAGTTGTCAATTGACAAACTGCAACCTAATTTGACTGAGGGGGTGACTGGAGATACAATCAGAATCATCAAGGAGCCAAACTATCAAGAAATTGAAAAGTCCTTGCAGAGTGTGTATGATAAAGGAGAGATCAAGGCAGTTGCGTTGTCGTTACTTCATGCTTATGCCTACCCTAAACACGAGGCTGAGATTGCCAAGATTGCCAAAAAGATTGGATTTGAAGTCTCGGTATCACATGAGTTGCAACCTATGATTGGGTTTGTTAATAGAACATCCTCAACTGTGGCTGATGCGTACTTGTCACCAGTTATAAATGAGTATATTCAGAACTTTGGTGCTGGATTCGAAGGTGGCTTGGATGCATTTGGAAATAAGCTTTTGTTTATGCAATCAAATGGTGGGTTATGCCCGTGGTACAAATTTACTGGATTGAAAGCAATCTTGTCGGGTCCAGCTGGTGGAATGGTTGGATTTGGAGAGACTTGTTATGATGAAGTTTTGAAAAAGGCTACTATTGGGTTCGATGCAGGTGGTACCTCAACTGATGTTTCTCGATACGATGGCCATTTTGAACATATTCATGAAACAATTGTCAGTGAGATCAATTTACAAACACCTCAATTGGATATCTCAACCGTTGCTGCTGGTGGTGGGTCGATTTTATTTTGGAAAAATGATTTGTTTGTAACTGGTCCAGAGTCAGCTGGGTCTGACCCGGGTCCAGCATGCTATAGAAAAGGTGGCCCATTAACAGTTACTGATGCTAATTTGTATTTGGGAAGATTGGTCCCGGAACATTTTCCCAAAATCTTTGGCCCTAATCAGGATCAGGGATTGGATTATGAAATTGTTGACAAAAAATTCAAAGAATTGACTGAACAAATAAATAGGGACCAAGCAGCAAAAGGTATCAAGCTAGAGCCTGTTGAGGTTGCAAGTGGGTTTTTGAAAGTTGCTGTTGAGTCAATGGCTAGACCTATTCGGAACTTGACGGAGGCTAAAGGGCATGAGACATCTAATCACAACTTGGCTAGTTTTGGTGGTTCTGGAGGTCAATTTGCTGTTTCTTTAGCAAAAAACTTGGGTATTACAAATGTTGCAGTTCACAAGTACTCCTCCTTGTTGTCAGCATATGGTATTCAACTTGCAGATATTGTTATTGAAAAGCAATCACCCGCTTCAATCACGTATTCCAAAGAGAATTTGCCTGGTCTTGATAAGAAAATTGAATCACTTATTGACGCAGCTCAAGAGGATTACCAAAGGCAAAACTTGACTGATTTCACCACCAGGTTGGACATTTTCTTAAACATGAGATATGTTGGCAGTGATACCCACTTGTTAATTCCAACCCAAGTAGGCGATATTGATGCTGCTGAAAAGTTTATCAAAAGACACAAGAGCGAATTTGGATTCAACTTGGAGAGGGAAGTTTTGGTTAGTGATGTGGAAGTTATGTTGATTGTCGAGTCAAATGATAAAGAGCATCACAATCCTTATCAAGAGGCAGCTCAGGTGACTACAGCTTTAGAAGCTTCCAAACCGGCATTCACCAAGCCTGTATACTTTGATTCAGTTGGGTGGTTGGACTCACCAGTGTACGTTTTAACCGATTTGCAAAAGGGTTCTCTTGTCAAAGGTCCAGCCGTCATCATTGACAAAACTCAAACACTCATCATTGAGCCTCGTTCACAAGCAAGAATATTAAGCCATCATGTGCTAATTGAAGTTGAGCAAGAAAAGAAGCCCCAGTTGTCGTCAACAACAATCGACCCCATCCAGTTGTCTGTTTTTGGTCACCGGTTTATGTCGGTTGCAGAACAAATGGGAAGAACATTGCAACAAACGGCAATTTCAACTAATATCAAGGAACGGTTGGACTTCTCGTGTGCCATTTTTGACCACAATGGAGATTTGATTGCCAATGCACCTCATATTCCTATCCATTTGGGTTCCATGTCCTATGCAGTCAAGGCGCAGATCAAGATGTGGGAGGGTAAGTTGGAACCCGGTGATGTTCTTGTTTCCAATCATCCAATTGCTGGTGGGTCACATTTGCCAGACATTACCGTCATAACTCCCGTGCTAAACGACAACAATGAACCCATCTTTTGGACCGCTTCAAGAGGTCACCACGCTGATATTGGATCTATCGCTGCAGGATCAATGCCGCCAAACTCCAAGACAATTCATGACGAAGGTGCAGCAATAGTTACTCACAAGTTGTGTGCTCGTGGCAAATTTGATGAAGTAGGAATCACCAAGATATTGGTTGATGAACCAGCCAAGCAGCCTGGTGGATCAGGCACGAGAACTTTAAGTGATAACATTTCGGATTTGAAGGCACAAGTAGCTGCAAATTACAAGGGTATAGTTTTGTTGCAAAGGTTGGTTGATGATTTCACATACGACGTTATCAGATTATACATGGGAGGAATTCAATCCACTGCTGAAATTGCCGTTAGAAATTTGCTCAAATTGGCGTATGAAAAGTTTGGTTCTCATGAATTAAAGGGTGTCGATTATATTGATGATGGTACACCAATTGTCTTGACTGTCACTATCAACCCTGAAACTGGATCTGCATTGTTTGACTTTAGTGAGACTGGTGACGAAATTTATGGAAACTTGAATGCGCCAACAGCAATCATGTACTCGGCGGTGTTGTATGTTCTCAGGTGCCTTATTAGTACTGATATCCCATTAAACAACGGTTGTTTGAGACCCATTGAATTCAAAACTAGACAGGGCTCTCTTGTGGCCCCATCTGATGACGCAGCTGTTGTTGGTGGTAATGTTGAAACCACGCAGAGAATTGTTGACGTTATGCTCAAAACTTTCCAAGCGGCCGCTGGATCTCAAGGGACTTGTAACAACTTTACGTTTGGAACTAACGACAAGGAGAATGGTATTTGTTTTGGATACTATGAAACCATTTGTGGTGGAGCTGGAGCTGGTCCTGATTGGGATGGTCAATCGGTTGTGCAATGCCACACTACAAATACAAGAATGACGGACTCTGAAATATTTGAAAAGAGATACCCTGTTTTGCTTCATGAATATTCAGTTAGGCATGGATCTGGGGGTAATGGACTCCATAAAGGTGGTGATGGTGTGATTAGAGATATTGAGTTTTTGTACCCATTGGAAGTATCATGTTTGATGGAGCGAAGATCAATGGCGCCATATGGATTACATGGGGGTGAAGAAGGGGCTCGTGGTGTAAACAAATGGATTTATAAGTCCCCCACTGGCGACTACAAGAGTAAATCGTTGGGCGGTAAATGTACGGTTAAGGTCAGCAAAGGAGACAGAGTAATCATCAATACGCCTGGTGGTGGTGGATACGGCCATGCTGAACTGAATGGTACGTCTAATGGAAAGTCTAATGGGGTCCACTACCCTATCAGGAGCACCAACCCTTCGAGGTTGACTGGATCAGTGGGAATGAGAGACCATATTCAAACAACTAATTAGAATGTCGACAAGTGTTAAATATATACGTATAGTAAGAATATGAAAATGAACAACTAGAATTAAATTGTTAATATAAGGGGTGAAAACTCTCTTAGCAATTACTGGATTATGTCACTGGTAAACTATTGTCCGAGATCTCCGAGCTTTTGTGTCAGGATGATCCTTAGCGCCACAACTCTCTCGATTTGGGAATATTGAAAAATTATGCAAAAAAATTATAAATGATTTGTAAGAGAATTGCAACGACTCGTCTATTCTGTCGATAACTAACTACTCACCCAAGCACCGTATCACTACTGGACTATGTTCTCTACTGGAGGGAGAAGAATCATCAGTCTTGCAAGGACTTCATTGAGACGCAATAGTAGCTCCACACTGAAACCGCCACAATCCAATCTACTCACCTTTTCAGCTTTGGGGTTCGGATCATTGGGAGTCGGATACTTTCTCGGGAAGAAATTTAGCAATCGCAATGACAAAGAAAGTGTGAATGAAAACAGCATCATCAAATCGATAGCAGAGGATGCTTCAACGGCACCGCTCTCGTCGCTAGATTCGCCAGTTTACGCCAATGAACAGCAATTCAAAGAAGGTTTGGCAAAAATTGTTGAGATTGTTGGCGAGGATCATGTTCTGCATGACCCAGATGTGCTCTCGGCCCACAATGACTCCTTTTACTCAACACACCATCCTCCCCAACCCGATAAACAGAAACCAAATGTCGTCATAACACCAACTTCCACAGAACAAGTGTCGCAGATTATGAAGATTGCTCATCAGTATAGACTACCGGTTGTTGCTAGTTCCGGGTTGACCTCACTTGAAGGACAAAACATACACACAAGAGGACCATTCAGTATCTCGTTATCGTTTGCTGAAATGAATCAGATTCTTGCTTTCCATCCTGATGATTTGGATATAGTTGTTCAGCCAGGTGTTGGGTGGGTTGATTTGGCAGATTACTTGAACGATGATCCAAAGGGCAAAGATTTATTGTTTGGTCCAGATCCTGGAATTGGTGCCAACATTGGTGGAATGGTGGGGACAAGCGCGTCGGGGACGAATGCTTTCCGGTATGGAACGATGAAGGAGAATGTTGTTAATTTGACTGTGGTCTTGGCTGATGGAACAATCATTAAAACGAGGCAAAGACCAAGAAAGTCGAGTGCTGGGTACGATTTGACTAGGTTCTTTATTGGCACTGAGGGGACTGCTGGTATAGTTACAGAAATCACATTGAAATTGCATGTACGTCCAAAAGTCGAACTCATTACTACTGCTGCATTTCACAGTATCAAAGATGCTGCTGCTGCTGCTCAAACGATTATAGGCAAAGGGATCCAGCCTAATGCTATGGAGTTGTTGAACGACACCATGATGTCATTTGTAAATGAGTCAGCTGACGAAGGTGGTGAGCAAAGATTAGAGAAACCTACATTGTTTTTCAAATTGGGAGGTCCGACTATAAAGGAGGTTGATGAACAGTCTCGAGTGGTTGAAGAAATTGCTAATGCAAACAATGCGATCAAAGTTGAACGCAGTGAAAACGCAGAGCAAAATGCAGAGTTGTGGGCAGCAAGAAGAAATGGTCTTTGGTCGACTTTCCAAGCTGGTGCTAGCCGTCTTGCTAATCCTGATGATACACAAATCTGGACCACCGATGTTGCCGTGCCAGTATCAAATCTCTCTGAAGCTATATCTCGAATCAATGATGATTTGATCAAAGCCGGATTTGATGGAAAGTTCTCCGTGTTGGGACACATTGGGGATGGAAATTGTCATTTTCTCATCATTTACAATTCACCGGATTATGGAAAAGTTCATGAAGCTGTCGATGCAATGGTTCTGCGTGCGTTGCAGCTCGAAGGCACGTGTACTGGAGAGCATGGTGTAGGGGTAGGAAAGAGGAAGTATCTTTCACAAGAATTGAGCGAAGAGACAATTGACACCATGAGAAAGTTGAAATTGGCATTGGATCCAAGAAGAATCTTGAACCCTGACAAGGTTTTCAAGATTGATCCAAATGATGATTTGGATGAGCAGTTGAACTCTGGACACGTCATTGAGAAGCACGAATGTATGCATAATCATTAGAGTAGAAATGTAGACTACGGTTGTTGTACGCTGATGCTCTTCTCAGCACACAAAAAAAAAGAAAAAATAACAAAAAGTAAATTACCATCTCGAAACTCCACACATTTGTAGCATTTCCCATGTGCTAGTTTCTCTAATGGGCAAGCAGTTGTGGTTTAAAGGTCCCGTTTGTGGCACTGACAACTGTAAATCACGACTATACAGAAACAGAGATGGGTTGACCATTTGTCAATACGGCCATGTTCTCGAAGGTGCTGTTGAATTCAATGACGATCAGGATCAACAGCCAGTCCAAACGAGGAGATTAAATGTGGTATCGGTTGATGAAAGGGGGAATTTTGCCAGTCAGTCAAGTCAAAGACCAGGTAGGCAACACAAACTGGATATCTTAACTGGTACTGAGGCGTTGCCTATTTTCTATCGATGTATGCAAATCATATTGAAAAAACAGTTGGATGCCATTGTCGAGATTTACTTTAGTGAAGGGGTAAAATCTGATCTAATGAATGTCATCAAGACGTTTTGGTGTCGGGCGTTGGAACACTACTACAAAGTCGAAGACGACGGCGACGACGATGATGGTGATGATGATGACGATGACGATGACGATGGCGACGACGATGACGATGGCGATGACGATGGCGATGACGATGTCCAAGATATTGGCCATGACAGACGAGAGGGAATGAGGAGGAAGAGGAAGAGAAAGAGATCATTAGATGTATTGGATTTGATATGTATCATTTATTTGGCAAGTTTGGAGTTACGAGCATATCCTTTCTACATTGACAACGTTTTGGAATGTATCACTATGGATAAGGTGCCTTACTTCAAGACTTATCATCTTTTACCCTTGACTGAGTTGAAGAAATTGCATGGCTTGTATCATCGCCAATTACAAGCATATGAAGCACCCACTGAAGGACAACTTCTACGAAGGATTTTTTACTTGTGTCCAATTGTATTGCAGCATGGACTAAGCATCCCGTGCAACTACTACTTCCCATTCATTTATCACACAATATCCCACTCTTTACTACTTCCCAATACACCAGATGTGTTTATGCTGGCATACCGGTTTCTAAATCTTTGCAAGAAAGATGTATTCGAAATTCCAAGGAATCCCAAAAGCGCAAGTAAACTAAAAGGATGCTTTCCAGAAGTATACTTGACCGCGGCGATTATGTATATTGTCAAGTTGCATTTTGGATATGGTAATCTCGAGTTTCAACCTAGTGTATGGATAAATCGGGTCAAAGCATATAATATGGAGTACGAATACAACAATGAAATCACTGATAATTCATTACTCAATTGGTCTACAGATAGAACGGAGCAATATAGCGAATGGGTGTACAATCATTTGTTGCCAAATAAATACAGAAGTGAAGGTGTCAATAATGAAAGCGATCTTTCGGTCATGGAGAAGAGATTGTTTCAAATTTTTCCGGTGGATGGTTTATCTGAGATGCAACAAGACCACGTTGCGGAAGAAGGTACAGACTCGATAACCACTACGAAATTTACCACTTTGAAGCAGATATTGGATGCAGGTCCAGATAACACTAAAGCATCTACAGACCACAGTGGTCAAGTGGACAAGCTTTTGTTTAATTTGTTGAGCAAAAGGATCAATCTATCCGCGACTGAGCTTATGTGTATATATGGAAACATTACCAAGCTGTTCAAGAAGATACGGGGCATATAAGGTAAGTACATATTACTAGTAAAATCTCAAGGCAACAATTACTCGGTTAGTCGCGGTCTTCTTTAGTTGAACTCCGGGAGTAAATTTGGTCACCGACACAAATAGAAGCGGGGTAGGCAAGAATGAGTTCGCGGCCGCACTTTGAAGTCCGACACATTGCAGTCCTAAAACTTAGCTCACACTTCATCCCCCAGGTTGTACTTCCGACATTTCCTTTGCAGTACCTTCAAACTGTAGACTGGCCCTAGTATAGAGACTTCTTACTGAACGAGGTGCCTGGTTGTTTGCCCTGATACAATGCTACACTCCGAGAATTTCCTCAAAGAACAAAAATTCCCAATGAGGCAAGTAAACGCGCACAAACTGAATATCGAAATGTTTATGTGCCTGGGGAATGCAAGTTGGTCTTCACGCCTCAATTGATTCGTTAGTATACCCGTGGACGCTGGTATTCATTCTCTGGGGGCCGACCTGATTGAACTCCGCAACCTTGTTTCCTACCCAGAAGAGGGGAGGGCTGTAGTGTCAATAGAAACACACACAAGCATGTAGATTCAACTCGTGCATATAATATCAACAAAGAGAGCGGGAGAGAGGGAGGGGGCCGAGCAACATCCACTGCCCTTTTTGTATAAGAGCCCTTGTTTATGGTACGAGTCTCCGTTGGTCGGGTGGTCGCAGGGTAGGTGTATCCACCTGTCTTTGTCGATCATCAAATACATAGAGCAATCTGCTGATTGATTCACAAAATTAGGCTCCAAAGTTGCGCTTGCATGAAGGAAACTTGTTGTACAATAGCGGATAGTGAACACTACCAGGAACCAGTTACCCACCAGTAAAAAGGAGACTTGAACGCATATCGGAGCATTGATCTGAGTTGATTCAATCCTGATTAGTAAGCTAGTCGTTTAGAAACCTATGATTGCAGTGGTTGGGTGTTGGGCGTAATTGCCAATTCTGCCTATAAAAGGAGTTAAAGTGGTTGTCTGACTTGTATGCAGTACATTCCACGAATACTGTAACCCCACAACTTTGCATCATCTTTTTAATCATTTTCATATAAATATCCCCACCAACAACTTTTCCAAAGGCAGCGCATAAATTCTTCTTCTTCTTCTTCTTCTTTTTCTTCTCAGTTCCCCTTGTTCTTCTCCTGCACAGTCAATTGACCTTATTAATCTTTATTTAAGCCTACATTCAACTGCAAAACAAATATGGGTGCCGATTTACCATTAGAAGTAGAGGTTAAGATTCCAACTGGAAAAACTTACAAACAGCCAACTGGTTTGTTCATCAACAACGAATTCGTTTACCCAAAGCAAAAGAGAACTTTCGAGGTTATCTCTCCTGTCAATGAAGAGGTAGTTGCAAGTGTTTACGAAGCTTTGGAGGAGGATGTAGACGTTGCTGTTGACGCTGCTGTCGAAGCTTACAAGACTTGGTCAACTAGTGCTCCAGAAGTCAGATCGGCTGTGTTGTACAAAGTTGCTGAGTTGGTTGACAAGAATGCTGAAATCTTGGCTGAAATTGAAACTTTGGATAACGGTAAATCCATTTCCAACGCCAAGGGTGATGTTCAATTGGTTGCCAACTATTTTAGATCTTGCGCCGGATGGTGCGACAAAATTTTAGGCTCAGTTATCAATACCGGTGGTACACACTTCAATTATACAGAGAGGGTTCCTTTGGTTTGTGGTCAAATCATTCCATGGAATTTCCCTCTTTTGATGTTGTCTTGGAAGTTGGGTCCTGTTTTGGCCAGTGGTTCAACAACTGTCTTGAAGACCGCTGAGCAAACACCATTGTCTGGTTTGTTTTTTGCCAAGTTGTTGATTGAGGCGGGCTTGCCAAAAGGTGTAGTCAATATCGTTTCTGGTTTCGGAAAGACAGCCGGTGCTGCTATTGCAAGTCACATGAAGTTGGAGAAAGTTGCATTCACTGGATCCACCCTTGTTGGTAAGACCATCATGAAGGCCGCCGCAGACTCAAACTTGAAGAAGGTCACTTTGGAATTGGGTGGTAAGTCTCCAAATGTTGTATTTGATGACGCTGATGTGGACAATACTATCAAAAACATTGTTGCTGGTATATTCTACAACTCTGGTGAGGTTTGCTGTGCAGGCTCACGTGTATTGATTCAATCTGGAATTTACGATGAAGTTGTTAAGAAGTTGAAGGCAGCTGCTGAATCCATTAAGTGTGGAGACCCATTTGACCCAGAAACCTTTATGGGTGCACAAGTTTCCGAAGTGCAATTGTCAAAGATTTTGCAATACATTGAATCAGGCAAGGAGCAAGGTGCCAAGATTATCAGTGGTGGTTCCAGAGTAGATGGCAAGGGTTACTTTGTCAAACCAACTATCTTTGGAGATGTTGCTGGTCATATGAAGATTGTAAAGGAGGAAATTTTTGGCCCGGTTGTTACCTTGATCAAGTTTGATACCATTGACGAAGCTATTGATTTGGCCAACAACACTGAGTATGGTTTGGCTGCTGGTGTTCACTCAAGAGACGTAAACAAATGTATTTACGTTTCAAGCAGGATCAAGGCTGGTACTATCTGGGTCAACACTTACAACGACTTCCACCCAATGGTTCCATTTGGTGGTTTCAGTGCTTCTGGTATTGGTAGAGAAATGGGTGAGGAAGTGTTCCACGAATACACTCAAACTAAAGCTGTGAGAATTAGATTGAACACAAAATTCTGAGACAAAAAAAAAGTGATGCTACTTGAATAAAGTCTATAGGTTTACTAAAAGGTGATAATTATACTGGATTGAATTCGTTGTAGAAAGAGTAGTCACTGGTTAGCTCTTCTGTGTGATATGTATGTGTAGGTAGCGCCATGACCAAAAGAAAAAAAGGTAAACAAAGACTGCCAAAAATGCCAAACACAACATTCAAATGCACAGAACACAGAACACAGAACACAGAACACATCATGGTGCATGGAAAGGAGGTAGATCCCAAGGGAAGGAAAAAGGACTCTATTGAGATATTTATAGGCAGTTCTCAATTGTTTCTAGAAAATGGTTTGTCCCAGCTACGATACATGATATTAACGGAAGGATTATCGATCCCAGAAGGTTATGATCAGTGCCCATACAGAAGTTACGTTTGGTCAATATTGAGTCGAACTCAAACATTCTCCACTAACCACTACTTGCAGCTCCTCTTAGAACAGGAGACTAGTCTCAGCAAAGAGCTTAGAGCCAAAATCAAAGGTGACACTTTCAGGACATTGATGAATGATCAGAAATTTCATCAAAAAGTAAGTGAGGACCTGCTCATTCGTATCTTGTCGTGCATCGCAGTGACCAACGACGTGGGATACGTCCAGGGACTAAATGTGCTACTTGCGCCCATAGCATACTCTTGTTATCGAAGTGAACCGCAAGCATTTGCTATATTACACACCATAATCACCTATCATATTCCGCTATACATCACACCGAATCTAGAAGGTGTACATACTGGTTTAAGTTTAGTTGAAACGGTGCTCAAGTTAATCGATCCGGTGCTTAGTGAATCGCTCGATTCCAAGTTTCTCAAACCTGAAATATACGCATTCCCGTCAGTTCTCACGCTAAGTGCATGCACACCTCCATTGAACTCGGTGCTCAAATTGTGGGATTTCTTGTTTGCGTATGGATTCCATATGAACATACTTTTCATTGTGGCACAATTGATTATCCACCGTACCGAAGTCTTGGATTCGGAACAACCAATGAAGGTATTGAGGAATTTCCCCCATTTGGAAGCTAATGAGATCATCAAGTTGAGCTTAAGTTTCATCCCCGAGTTACCGGGTCCTCTTTATGATTTGATTGCCAGACACGGGTATGACAAATCGGTGCCAAAAAAATTGAAGGCTTTCTTGGCAGATAGTGAAATTTAAATAGCGGAGAGAATAGATTCTTTTAACAGGTGCATGCGGCCTCAAAGCTACCTACAATGTGAAATTCATAAAATATCTCTGTCATACCAACATTTTTATAAGCTTTATCCTATAAGAGCATCAGAGAAACATACATTGCCCACATCTCAGTGTCTCCTCTCACGATCAGATTATATTTTTCTTGAAATCTTCGTAGTCATAATGAGTAGCAAGCACCGTTCGATCATTATACAGCCTTCCAGAAAGCTCCATTATCGCCTTCAAAGCAGCATCTTCATCACCAAACTCAATGAAAACTTTGCCCAATCCAGCAACATTCAATTGCTGTAACCCTGGCGTGAAGTCGTTAGCAGGACAGGGAATCTTGATAGAGACCACATTTCCAAATTTAGATGCTTCAGCCTTCATGTCGTCATGCAAGAACTTTACATTCAGATCGTTCGTCAAGTCCCTAATGGAGACAGCATTTATGAGTTGTACCACCTTGGAGCTAGCTCTAACGCGGACTAGCTCATTGTTTGCGAGCTTAGGCAAGGTGTAATAGTCGATGGGGCCAGTTTGAACTGGAGTTTCGGGGCTTGAAAGGCATGAGTAAAATGCGTTCGTAGCAAATGGTAAGCTCTTTAGCTTTTCGATGATCTCAGCATCTGCATGCTTAAACTTAACAAATATTAACCCAAGTGGTTCTTTAGTGCCTTTTTGTCGGAGATACTGCATGCCAGCTAAAGGAGCCAACTTTTCAAGTTGTTCTTTCGCGTTGTCAGAAGAGACATTTGGCGAAACAATGAGTGAAATTTTTCTCGGGCTATCCTTGACAACTTCTTGCACTTCACCAGAGCTCAAGTCTCCTTCATCTTGTACAACATATTCGTTTGGTCTGGAAATTTGAAGTCTAAACTTGTCGCTTACGTCTCTCCTGGCAACACTGTCCTCTTTGTAAGCATTGAATAATAGCTCTGTACCATTTAGCGAATAAATAATCGTGGCGCATTCACTGTTATTAAACTCAATGATCAATGTCTTGTCATCTTTCAACTTTCTCTTGCTATGGATGTTGTTACTCGAGCTCTGTTCAAAATCAATCATTCTCAAATAATCATTGAAAAACTCCACAATTTTCAAATAATTTATCGATTCAATACCAGTTATTATTAGTATTTTCGCCACTCTGGAATCGACGGGATCAATTCTGCTTGTTTCGTTCAATATGTCATCACTATTCAGAAGTCTGTCCTTGACTAAACCTTCTAGTTTCGTAAAGTCAACAGGACGTGGAAATCCAGGTAGGGGGAATAAACCCGATAATTTTGCCCTTGGTGCGCTGACTTTTTCAAATCCTTTTGCCTTCACACCCCATCGTGAATCGATAACCTTGATTTGATTCAAGGGTGGTACGTCAGAGAGGCTAGCTAAATGATTCTCCAATTTTTGAATACTCGCCTCAATTTCAGCTTTTGACATTTTCGACACGGGTCGTGTAGGGACAACTTGTTCATTCAAATTCGGCTCGTCACGGTGGAAGTTTGGATCAAATTGGTCTCTTCTTCTTGGTTGGTTTGGACGGTAAGAGTCCCCCTGGTGTTCAGCATAACGCCTTTTGTTGTTGCTCCTGGGTCTATACAGTTCACCACTCTGTAAGCCTGAATGATTGGGAGCATTATATCTTTCGCTGCCTCGATATGACCTTGATTCATTTGGGCCTCCATACCTTTCAGGTCCACGGTACAGGTTCGGTCCAGCAGTACCATGATACCTTTCTCTCCCGTAATATGAGCTGGGCACATTTGGAAGTTCTGGTTGATTTTCTCTCTTGCGATGTAAACTGGAAGCGACTGGCACTTCGGCTACTCTCTCCTTCCCACGATCCCTGTATGCATAAGCTTGTAAGCTACTTCGATCATCACCTCTCACGCCTTGCGTACCTTGAGGATACTGGCTAGAATGTGTATCTGCATTGGACTGCGGTTGTGTGTATCCTTGGCCACTTGAATCGCGTTCCCGAATCGATGAGCCTGAGCGTGCTGCTGCTGACGTCAACCTGTTAGTATCACCATTGTTTCCCCTTCGTGAATAGTCATTTATTGACGGCTGTGACATACTGGTGATGGCAATTTGGTGAAGATGGGCGATGCAGCTTAGAATATAGAGTTGTGTGTGAGAGATGGCCTTGAGCACGCTGCACAACCTTTTTTTTGTTTTTTTTTTTTTCTTTTCCTCCTCATGATTTTCAGAGCAAATGCTTTTGCAGCTCTTGGAGAATTCAGCATTGCAAATGCAGGAAATTCTATTTAATAGTTTGAAATGTACTCTATTATCTACAATTCATCGTGCTCAATGGGATCATCGTCTTCATCAGCATTGCCGGTAGACTCGCTGTTTAGAGCGTCAGACTCGTCTTCGTGCTTGGTTTCCGAAGCATCAGATGCTCCCTCAATGCTGGAACTTGCTTCAACTTCAATTGTGCTATTTTCCTTATTTTCACTTGAAGCCCTCTTTTCAGCTTCTTTAGCGGCTTCCCTCAATTTCTTTCTATACTCCTTCTGTTGTTGTCTTTCGATTAATTTATCAAACTGTTCATCGAATAATTTAATTCGATCCAAATGTGTTGTTTCCAATTCTATGAGATCAATGAGCATTTGTGCAACTCCTTGAGCTAAAGAGTCATGGAAACTGTACAACTCCTTTTTGCTAATCTTGTTAAACTTGGAGTCGGAGAACTTGAGCAAGTCTCCAATTTTGCTAATCACATCCTTATATGCCTGTAAATTTTTGTCAAACGTCAACATCTTGTCATCTTTGCCCTTGAATTTCAACTTAATTCTATCGTTTTCTTTATCAAAGTTCAAACCAGCTTCTTCGTATTTTTTACGCACCTCAGATATTTGCTCACCGAATTTCAACATGCTGGATTGAATGGTCATGATCAAGTTTGTTCCTTCGTCGTACAACTTTTTCATGCCTTCCTTCGACAAATCGGCACTCGACATTTCAAGGTAGTTTTTGACTTCCTTTTCACGCTTACCCACACCCTTGATCTTCTCTTTCAAATCATCAATCAGGGCATCATCACTTTCGAAATCCAACCACTCGATTTGCTCACTAACAAAATCTGTAAATTTGGAAATCTCTTCAGTGCTCAACTCCTGTGCCAATTTGTCTTTGTCGGATTCTATCAAGTCTCTCAATTTATACAAATGGCTCTCCAACTTGTTCCTCTCCGCCGTTAATTCGACTTTGGCTGCATCCAAGCCATTCAAGTAAGCTAATTTTTGAAGCAATTTTCTCTTTTCCTTTCTGTCAATCGGTTGAATGTGTGGGTATGTGGCAGAAGGAATTGGGACGAAAGAAGATTTCAAAGATTTAGATGACTTGAGTTTAGAATCACTTGTGGTAGAGTTTACATCACTGGAAGTTGTGTTCAAGTCTCCTCCTGATTCCACCTCATCACCTTCAGTGTCATCCTCGAGAACTTCTTGATCCCCATTCTTTTTAAGTAAGTTTTGGAAAAGTGACCCGGATTTCTTGGCCAGGCATTGAATATTAGTTTTGACGAGGTCAAAAATTTTGCTCTTGTTGAGCTCAAAAGTGGCAATAACTTCTTTAGTTTCTCCAGATTTGCATCCTAATTTTTTTGTGGTACTTGACATGTCACCAAAGTTGTAAGACTTTATTAATGAACCATCTTCATATAACGAAACTGAGAGCAGGTCGCTCATCTCTCCAAGGTTTACCTTTGTTGTATTTCCAACCTCGGTTCCTTTACCAAATACCACAATTTGCTCTTCATTTGCGTTTGTGCTCACTTCAAAGTTATGATAGCTTCTATCAATAAGCTTGATGTCCTTTGGACTTTGTGTTTTGGTTTTTAGCTTCAACCCCATCTGTGTGGTTCCCAATGCAGAACTTTCATCGGTGTTTACCGACTTCGAAATCTTGTCTTCGCCAACATACAACGACACGTGCTTTTGTACAAAAGGCACTCTGGTGGAACCTCCATTCAAAATCACCGACTTCAAATCCTTTGCGTCCAATTGAGACTTCTTCAACGCAGTTTCTATCGGCTTGGTCACTCTATCCATCAAGTCAGAGTTGATCTCCTCAAACTCATCCCTTGTAACCAGTACTTTGAAATCTCTGTCACCGTATATAGACTCCAAGGTGGTATGGTACTCAGTATTGGCAGACAAAATAATCTTTGCTTTTTCGGCAACCTCGTATAATCTTGCGTGTATTTTGTCACTTAAAGCAGACGATTCCAAGCCAAAATGAGTAAGTAACTTCTCCAACACAATTGAATATACTGATTCAGTCAATGTTTTGCCGCCAAAAAGTAAATCATCCCCAACACTTTCCATCTTCAAAACGACTTTTCCATCGGATTGTGGAGTAAGCGAGAACAAGGTGGCAGTGGTGTAGCCCGCACCAGCATCGTATACCAAATGATACTCTGTCTCATCGTTGTAATCAGATGACTCGTATTTCTTATTTCCGGCAAAATTAAGTGCGACAGATGTTCCCTCATCAACCAAACCTAAAACGTTGGAGAAGTTTGCCAAAAACAACGAGTCCAAATACGCTTGACGAGCTGCTTGAGATGAGAATGGAGGTATGCTGATTGCAACATCTTCGACCAAAGCTGCTGCATTTGGATTTCCCTCAAGGTCAGCCAAGGCCCTTGCCTTGATCTCGTTCAAAGACATGGCCAACAACTCTTCCACCGAGAATTGGTAGGTTGAATTTCCCAAACCAAGATCAAACTTGATAGCATTATTCCTTGATTCGTCCTTGACCAATTGGATACCAAAATGCGTCCTTAAATATTTTTCAGTAGCAGGATCGTCAAATGATTTACCAATTAATTGCTTCAAATCCAAAACGGTACTCTGAGGGAACCTTGTCGCCAACGAGCCCATTTGAGAGCCGTAACTTCTTTCCAATCCTCCATTCGGCTCCTTTCTAATGCAAATTCCGGACAAGTCTTTTCTTTTCCCTTCGTCTGTCAAGATTAATTCGAATGGAATACCTGGGGCTAATAGCACAGCTTTGGTAAATTGTTGACCGTAGTCAATCCCAACAATTGCTGAGAGAACTGACGTTAATATACAGGATATAGTGAGAAGGAATCTCATCTCGTGTATGTAGATTTTCAGTGCTAACGAATATTTGACGTGATTTAGCTGAATGAGTTGGCAATTTTTGGGGTGCTTTATTTGTTGTCTATTTTCTTTTTATTTTTTATTTTTTTTTTTTTTCTTTTGGTTCTTTTTCTGTTTGTCTTTGCAACACAATATTGAGGGACTGAAAAATTACACGCAACCACCCCCTTCTTACTCAAAGTGGGGAAGATCAGACTGTAAAGAAAATGATGTATTTACACACAGAGAGATTGGAGCCGCAAATATGACACTGACACTATTGTGAGACATCCTTTTCGTACAAGAACTCTTACTTGTTACAAAATTGAAGTTGTTTGAAATGAATTGACTTTCTCCCCGATATGAAGAAGAAAAAAAAAGCACTAAAGGACAGCTCATCAATACGGCCACGAAATCAAATCAGATGATTTCGCGCAAAACTATTGCAAAGTGTGGGATACGGCTGCTTACAAAATTTTGGGAGAATTACAAATGTGGTATGTGACATAGTAAAGTAGTTGTGCAGAGACCGGGTTGCTCTAGATCACGGAATGGGCATATCAAAAGAGTCAGATTTTGATATGATTGGTAGCTCTTTGCCTAGATGCAAAAGTGATTTCCTGGAAGGGTTGGAGATATATAAAGATGTCTTGCCCGTGACTATGATTTCATTGTCGATTTTGAAGTCCTGTTATCGACAAACCAGCTCAATTCAAATAACTATGACAAAGCCGCTTGAAACTTCGCTGCACACTACAAACGAGTCAAGGGATAATGCCAAGAGGTCTATTGGAGATGCCTTAGATGCCGTCGAAGAACAAACAACGGAAGTTGGTAAAGACAATGTGAAGGATGGCGATTCCAAGCTGGGGCAAACTTCAGATGCGACAACGAGAGCTAGGAAGGCAAGGGACGGCCCTAAAAGTATTGTTAAGGGTGTCTCATCAGTTGGGAAAAGTGAGCCCACACAATCCAAAACCATATCAACATTGGATGGCAAGTTTAAGGAACATGGTGAATCTCATGGAAATAAATCCACCTCTTCGGATGCTTCTGGACCAAAGGAAGACCTGCTTGGGAACAACATGGGGAGGAGTGAAGAACAACTTGTGCCACAAGAGGACCCTTCTTGTCGTAACAAGAATGATGAGAATTTTGATCTGGGAGAGCCAAAGAATCTGCAGGAGGTTCTAGAAGAGTCTAGTCATTCGGCAGGTAGGAAATCTGACGGGCACAATGACACTTCGACTAAAGATACAGGGTTAGGGCCCCAACAAGACAACAACAATGATTCGCAAAGTATTGAATCACTGGACTCTTTTGGATGGGGCAAAAAGCAAATCACAAATATGGTCAAGTCCTGGTTCGGTGTAACTGCAACTGACAAATCTCTAAAGAGTAAGAGCGGGCAAGAGTCTGCAGATGAGGATTCAGAATGTGCAACACCGGAAGTCCAGTTGATTGAGTTACCAATGATTCCTCTGCGGTATCGTGCCAAGGAAATCAATGGGTTTGGAGTTCTCGCAAAGTCTCAAAAATTGCCAAAGCAAATTGAAAGAGAGTATCGTAATCTTTTAAATACTGGAATTACTTGTGTCTTGCAATTTTGCAAGAGTTTGGAGATTCTTCATGAGAAGTCGAGGAAGAACGACATCAGCAAGTTATTTGCAGTTCAATTCACCAAGATGCATTTCGAGTTGACGTTTACCGAAGAGGATTTGAAAACCAAGGGTGACATTGATGGAGAGCTTTTGAGGCACTTGAAAATATTGTTCAATGACTTATTCAGCAGCAACAATATTATTTGGATTGTTAATAAGTTTGAATATGATGATTTCAGAAGGAGTTTTAGAAAGACGATTGCGCGTGTGTTGCGTGAGGAATTTCATTATGACGTCAGCTATAAAAGAGAGGAGTTTTATAGAGATGTTGTGGCTGCAAGTTTGTCGCAATGGGGAAGGAATATTCCCTTTCCTTAGTTAGCAAGATGTAGATTAAGACTGTTGAGTATGTTTTGTAATCGTTGTATCAAACAAAGTATAGGAAATGAAAAAAAAAAAAAAGAAAAAAAAACGAAAAAATTTTATTATTTTTTGTCTTCAATTGGGTGCAAAAGTAATCCCGTCGGAGGTTCCGAGACAAGTGATTAATAAGTGAGGAAACCACGAGTTACTTTTTTTCTTTTTTGTTCCGGGACTTGGGTATAAAGGGCCACAGAGATTAACCCTTGTGATTCTCTCCTCAGCCACTTCTCACTCTTTCTTATCTACTCCAAGTAATTACAACGATAGAAGAAAAAAAAAAAAGTTGAACAACTATTGATGTGTGTGGCACACCACATCGGAAAAATTTCTCTCTCAACCACATTGAGCAGAGAGAAAAGTAGAAGCACAAAATTACTTCATCAAACAATTTCTCATTCTCTCTTTCTATTGGGCTTTTTTTTAAATAAAACCTACCCCCACCCCCACCCCCTATCCTTAAGTATCCACTGGGATAATCGACCTGCTAGCCTACTTCAGCCGCCACTCCAAGTCTAACCCACAATCATGTCTGACGAAAAAATGTACATTTCGTACAACAATGTACACCAGTTATGTCAAGAATCAGCTGACAAGATCAAACAATTCAAACCAGATTTAATCATTGCTATCGGAGGCGGTGGTTTCATCCCAGCTAGAATGTTGCGTTCGTTCTTGAAGGAGCCAGGTCAACCAAATGTTAGGATTATGGCAATCATCTTATCCTTGTATGAAGAGATTGAAAACTCGGATGGAGTGCAAGAAAAGCCAGGTACTAAAGTCAGCAGAACTCAATGGATCGATTACAACCAGTCAAAAGTCAACTTGGTTGGGAAAAACGTTTTGATCATTGACGAAGTTGATGACACAAGAACTACATTGCACTATGCTGTTTCAGAGTTGAAGAAGGATGTCAAGGAGCAAGCTGAAGCTTTAAACGCTGACCCAAATAGCACCAATTTTGCCATATTTGTCTTGCACGATAAAGATAAGAAGAAAAAGGCAGACTTGCCAGATGAAATCATGAAGACTGGTCATTATTTTGCTGCTAGAACTGTACCGGATGCTTGGATCGCTTACCCATGGGAAGCGACTGACATTGTATTCCATCAAAAGAAGGCAGAAGAGCAAGGTAATGATGTATTTCTTCCTTCAACTACAAAAGAATAGAGTAGACTAGCTATCAATTCATTTTATTTAAAAATAAAAGCCTAATCAATCTCTATAACATCTGGACTTCGCTCATGATTCTTCAAAGATGGATGGCTTGTACTTTTGTCCTTTCGTTTCCTACTTTGTCGCAACGATTGACCCGACCCAGAGAACGCTTGCCTGCTCTTTTGTTTATCTTCAAGACCCTCATCTATCTCTTCTTGACTTGGCAACACCACTGGGAACCCAAAGAATAATTGGTTATCCGGTAGATTCAACGGAACAGCTGGGGCATTTGGATCCAAGTCATCCATACTGTAGGTTCCGTTTGAAGTATGGGCATCTTCAATTTTCTTGCCTGATAGTTTTTGTCCCGATCCTCCAAATCTTGATGTTGCCCCACCGTTCGATGTAGCATCAGTGACAATTTGAGCATAGTTAATAGACTTGGCCATAGTTGCCGCACCTGCACTCCTATTTACACTGGATGGATCAATAGGTTTCAGCAGTGATGGAGTGACGCTCTTTGGTTTATATTCTGGTTCGACATAGCCGACTGGAGGTGCAAAATCGGTCTCCAAATCAGTCTCCACAACACAAATACCATGATTTTCACTCTCCGGTTTCACTTCCAAAACCTTAATTCCGTAAATCGAATCATTGTAGTTCACCTCAATTACATCATTCACAGTCAACGTTGAGAATTTACGCAACACATTCTCCAAAACTGCCTTGGGGTCACTAATGTCCAAAAAGTCGACACTTTGCGGTTCAATCTTGACAAATTTCCCCAAGTTCAAGTCACAGTTCTTAACTTTGATCAACCCACCAGGCTGCAATTTCAATGTACTCATCATCCATTGTGGGATGTAGCATCTTCCTTCCTCACTGGTGAACTCCAAAACACCACTGTGTGTTAATAGGTCTTTTTGCTCGTTTCGTAGCTCAAACAACATGGGATATCTTATATGCAACATGGTCAATTTGTTCAATGCCGAAGGTGGCAAAAATATTTTCCCTCCATAGTTTGCATCATCTTTACGTATCAAATCTGGCATCATTGCTATAGGATAACACCTGAAATATTCTTCAAAGGTGTTGCTTCCAGGGATTCCAAACCCTGACATCCCACCACCAAATACGGAAGATCCAAAGCTCGAAAACATGATGGTAAAAAGGGGAGAGGGGAGGGGGAGAAGGGGGAGGTGGCAAAATGTGTAGACAGTAAAGAGATTTAGTAAGAGTGATCTTTCTATTTTTTTTTTTTTTGTATTGTTTATTTGCCGTCATATGAATTATTTGTTGGTGCGACTAATACGCAGGTACCAAATAACTATACAATATCCATATCCCCTACTTCAACGTCTTGCTTGTTGAGTAACTCTTACGAGTTCTTGAATCATTTCCTTTTTGCTATCATCTAAGTCACCAAACAAGATGTGATACCTCTCAGGTTCATTTTGTTGAATTGAAAGAAAAGCTTGCACAAACTCTTCAAACCCATTAACATTATCGATTGGTGTCTCCCTAAGAGCCTCCATTTCTGCTTCATCCATCTCATACTCATCTTCAAGCTCGCCAATCTCTGCATACTCATCATTGCCGTCTTCATCTTTCTGTTCCGCTTTAGCCTGGTCTTTGAGGCTGATTTCATTGGTTAATATAGAGTTCTTGGCTCTGATGGCATTGGGCAAAGCAGCAACATTATTCAAAAGTAAATCCACAGTTTCGCCAACTAGATCCTCTTGAATCTTCTTTACTGCGTCAGATTTGAGAATTGACAAGGAAGCCAACATTTGCAACTTACATCCATAAACGCTTTGGAAATCATCACTGTGCTTGATCCACAACTTGTAAAATTCAACTGTAAAGCCCTTAGATGCTATTAGATCCATTGTGTTGACTGGGTCAACAAAGATTGCTGCAAAAAGATTACGAAGCAATGACAAACGGTGTAACATGAACCCATCAAAAGCATCCTGGGCCTCCAAGTTCTGATAAATGTCAAAAATTTCATTCAAAAAGTTGGGCAAGATAGAAGCGAGTCTGGTATTCATTGCCAAGATTGTCAACTCGATATCCTCAAATGCCGCATGGGCAAATATTGGGTCCATATCGTCTTGCTTCAAAATACCGAAACAGACATTCATCATGGATTGAACATATGGGTGCTCCATTGTAACTTGAGGATTGGTGAATCCCTTGTTAATGATACCCACAAAGAATGGTTGGAACAGGTCGAAATATTCGTACGCATATATCTCAAACGCATCTACAACACTTTGATAAATTGACCACATTGTACTTGAAACCTCCTGGTTCAAATACAACAAAGATTCCATAATCTCAACGATTTCAGTCAAAAATACAACCATTGCATTTTCCAAAACAAAATTGAGCAAAGGTTGCACCACAGTTTCTAAACGTGTACCCAATTTGGAAGCGTGTGAAGTGGAAAGAATCAAAGTCGTCAACGTACTCAATAAACCACTGGCTTGGTACTCCTTATCAGTTTCAACTGTTCCTACACTTTGCAGTTCAAGGATCTCATTTCCCAATCGGACAAACTGGTCCACCAATTTGCTTGCAAGTTCAACTGCATACGGTTCAAGACTTTTGGCAAATTTTTCAACAAAAGTGTCCATCACATTGGTCAATATATCACTCTCGTATTTCTTTGATTTTTCTAGTAAGTTTTCCAACAATTGCGGTGCTTGTTCGGAAACGTGAGATGCCACGGAATCCTCTTGAACCAAAGTTGCCAACGCATCGGCAGCTGTCAACTGTACTGGAAATTGACTCTCATTCTGAAAGCATGAAATGATACCTTGAAAGATTTGTTGCAAAACTTGCATGTCACTGTACTGATGATTGTGGAACATGGCAATGGTGTCACAAGCTCTGGCAGTGAGCCAGGGTGTCTTTATCGAACTTTCATTTGACAACTCCGGAAGTACAAATGTTTCTAACATCTTGTCAACTTGGCCATAGCAAGGTGATGATTGAGTATCTAACTTGAAGGAAATAGTGGAGAGGACCCTAAGTGCACCCTCGGTTCTCATTGCAACTTCTTGACTTTCACGGTTACCAATCCTTTGCGTGAAAATTTCATTAACAAGACTGAAAATGGCATTTATAGTCAGCTTAAACTTTTTATTAGAGAGCCTGTAGACAAAATTGATGGCAGCAACATCACTCGTCTTTTGTTCTCTATTGACATCGAAAAACCTTCTGATGTACTCAAATGTGTCGTCTTCGTATAGTTCGACAGTCTCGTTTGTAGCTTCCAACGATGGGAGAATCAAATGCTTGACTACTGCTTCCAACTTATCACCAACCAATTCCCAACATGGGGTCTCAATAATAAGTTCCAAAAACGAAATCATGTAAAACAACGAGGCCTCACTTAACCAAATCTTTTTGCTCGACCACTCTTCGATAATCTTCCAATAGGCGCCAAGAATTTCAGGAACAAAATTAGTGAGAAATACTTGAGTGAAATCACTCTTGTCCTTGGTCAAGTACCCACCACCATGCTTGTTTAATAAACGACTCATATTGGCAAAACACCACTTTACAGCTTTCACTCTAGGGTGCATAGCACGTTGCTCGGGGATATCTTCATCCAAAACTTCTTTTGGCAATGGTTTGTTGATGATCAGGATATGTATATTACACCAAAGACCCAACTTGTTCATATCAACAAAATACTGTGGAAGTGACGAGTATGTGGCATTCTTAAAAGACTTTACAATGAGGTAAAGCATTTCGTCGGTCAGATAATTACCTTCACTTGAGACTAAGGTTTGCGCCAATTGCTCAACAACGGGAAACACTTCCTGTGTGACTTCGTCCATCACCGGGTTTGAGAAATTCTTCAGTTCAAGACCCGCCCATCGGTAATTCTTGACATATTCATGCAAGCAAATCAACCCGACCAAAATTTGATCTTGGTCCTGTGAAGAAAGCAAGCGTTTGATAATCGGTACCAATTCATCCCATTTGTCGTAACTCAAAATTCCATTCAATGCCGTCGACAAGGAAAATTTGATTTGGTTAATTTTGTATGCTTTGATCAAGCTTGGCACCAACTTATTCTTGATATCAATCTTTTCATCTTCAACAAGAAAGAAACTAATAGGCTGCTTTGTATTCTCTGGTGCAATCCAATAGTTTAAAATTCTATTCTTGAAAAATATGGCTGCTGCAATTTGGGTGCCGAGTTGAATACCTGGTTCAGTGATCAAGTCTAACAAGTAGCTTGTAAACCCCGGCTGCTGCTCATAAACATGTAAGGACTGTTCACTGGTTGTTCTCACTCGTTGATCTGCGTTCAAGGTACCACTCAAAGCCTGGAGAAGTGAATCTTTATCCATTGTGAGAGAAAAAGTTGATAGGATTTGGGGAAGGAGGGGGAGGGGGGGACTGTGTATGGTATCACACTAGTAATAAATCCGGACTATTCCTATCGACAGACTCGATCTGTTCTATAAAATTTTTGCGTGGTTGAATGGGTGCCAAATTTCTTCAGTGCCTAAATCTCTAAGGGCATTGAAAAATTGTTTACAAATTTTCATCAAAGAATTTTTTTTTTTTTTTCTACAAAGGTGCACTACCACGTTCCACAGTAGCTCAAAAACTCATCTCAAGATATAGTTCATGCAAGTGTATCAAGAGTCGTTTCCAAGGCCTCTTACTTGAAAGATAACCAAATACGGCTTTTTTTGTTTTGTTTTGCTTATCATGGTCAAATCAGAGATAAAGGGGTTTCACGTGTTACCCGTAAACATTCCTGGAACAAAGTCAACTCATTACATATACTTTAGGAAACATGATTCTCGAACTAATCCAGACACCAGTAATAACACGTCGATCTTTATGTGCAATTTACCAATACTAAGCGAATTACAAACTATCAAGAGATACTTTCAAACGGTAGCTTTAGGCGCAACTATTGAGAGCTACACCGAATCATATTTGACAAACAGTACAGAAGATATATGGCTAGATTTGACAAAATTGACATCTGATCTAGAGTTGGGCAATACCGATGAAACGGCTAGCAAATTGCCCAAAAATTGTGCAATAGTGTCATTTGTAGACAAGAGCTCGTTCCAGTTGGCATTTAACTCGCTAAAGAAGTTATCATCAAGTGCCCAGGTTTCTACATGGCCCATGAGGGAGGTCACAACCTCATACTTTCTTGATTACTATAAACTGAAAATCTTGGATAAAGAAAAGTTATCTGAAGAAGTGGCCCAAGCGTTAAAAGATTTCGATAGTGCGGAGCAGGAGAGTATTGAGAATTTGCAAAACCAAGCAAATTTGGTTGACGAGGATGGTTTCCAGTTGGTTGTTGGATCTCATAGGAAAACAAAAGCTGGTATACTTGGGAAGCAGAACTTGGCTTCGACCGTTGAAAGTGAAAAGGCCAAGAATAAGTTGAAAAAGAAAGAAAAACAAGATTTCTATAGATTCCAATTGAGACAGCGCAAGAAGGAGGAAATGAATGAGCTATTGAGCAAATTCAAAACTGATCAGGAGAAGGTTAGATTGATGAAAGAAAAGAAGCGTTTCAGGCCGTACTGAGGTGAGGTGAGGTGTGTATGTGTGTATGTGTGTATGTGTGTATGTGTGTATGTGTGTATGTGTGTATGTGTGTATGTGTGTATGTGTGTATGTGTGTATGTGTTTATGTGGGGGGGAGGAAGGAGGGGGTACATGTAGTTAGTGATGTATGTATTGTGATTACCGCTACCGAAATAAATCTCCAAACTTTCCATCATCAAGTTTTATCATATCTCCATTATTATGACCAAACTGCTTCAACTAGAGGAGGACTTGAAGTCCATCCATTCCAATTACATAAATGAGCACTTTCCCAATTCCAAATCCCCCACCGTCAAGGCAACCGATTTCGAAATACTAGCTACAATCCGATACGATCCATCTCTCTCGAAACAACCACCAACAACTTACAAAGAGATTTCACATCTGAATATCTTTCTTTTGTCAGAACACGTTGCAAGGCTTGACTACACTTTTAAATTCTTTCACAATTTGTACGGTACATCGTTTGATTCTGATATCAGTGAGGAGTTTTTGTTCACACAAATCGTCAAGAGTCTTGAACAGCTGGGAAAGACGGTTGATAAACCATACAAAATACGAGGGTTATTCAAGTTGAATGGGGAGTCATTGCTAGAGATACATGAAGCGCCAAGTCGTACTGACTTGTTACTGGGGTTGCACGAGGACACACTTGGCGCTGACGACCCCACGTTGTCTAATCATTCTGATCCATTGCGTGATGAATTGGATGTTTACGTAAGCCCCAAAAGCTCCCTTATATCACCGTTTACTTCTTTCAAAACAACAAAACGGGATGTATATAACGAGGCAAGGGAAATACTTCCTGGTTTGAAACCTGGACAAGAAGAGGTTTTACTTTTCAATTCACAAAAGCAATTAATGGAGGGTTCAATCACTAATGTTGCAATCAAGAGAAAAAGCGACAACAAGTGGGTAACGCCGTTGTTGAGTTCTGGTTGCTTGTGTGGAGTTACTAGACACCACCTCTTACGCAAAGACTATATCGAAGAAGACATCATTCAAATGAAGGATGTATCTGTTGGTGATGAAGTTTTGTTGTTTAACGGAATCATGGGTGTAAAAAGGGGACGAATTGTAGGTTAAAGTATCTATTTTTGTTTATTGTAACAAGTCTTTAATATCCACATCGCTGTAGCCCAAAATGTACAACACATCAAGCAAAGACTTTGTGTTTAAACAGGCAGGGGCCTGTAGTTGCACCTTTGGTTTGGCATTCCAAGCAATTCCAAAGCCGGCAACCGACATCATTCTCAAATCATTTGCTCCATCGCCAATGGCAACTGCATTTTGGGGGTCAATCCCATGTTTTTTAGCTATTTCTAGCAAGAGCTCAGCTTTTCTTTCACCATTCACTATATCTCCAATAGTTTCTCCATTCAAGATGTTATTTTCGTCAACTCCTAACGTGTTTGCATAAGCATAATCTAATCCCAACTCATTTTTGATATGGTTTGCCAATGGTATGAAGCCCCCAGAGCATACACCCAAAACGCACCCCAATTTCTTCAATGCTTTGCTTAATGGTCTGACTCCATTGGTGATTTCGATTTTTTCCTCCAATTCTTTCCATATCCTTGTTGAATCTATCCCACGAAGTAGCCCAACACGTTCTTTCAAACTTTCGTTAAAGTCGATCTCGCCATTCATGGCTCTGGTTGTGATTTCAGCGACTTTATCCTCGATTCCCGCGTAAGCTGCTATTAATTCAATCACCTCTTGATAGATCAATGTGGAATCCATATCGAAAATGAACAATTGTTTATCCCTTCTGGTCAAGCTTGGCTGAAGGATCAAATCGTACGGTTGGTGTAAGCAGTGCTCCTTAACCAACTTGAGTGCCTCTTCATAACCCTCTAGTTCAAGTTCGAAATCCCAAGCTCGTGGAGAAAGCTGAGCTTTGCCAAAAGTTGCGTGAAGTGAACCGGTAATAAACGTTTCCACAGTGGAGACCACACCTTCTGGCGACTGGTCATCATGAACAATCAATGTCAAAACATACAAAGTTTTTGCCGACATGGTTTGACTTGATGAACTCAAAGGTTGAAAATAATATATATAAAAAAAAAAAAAATAAAAAAAATAAAAAAGAAAATGACAATTTTTATCAGCCGCGAATCCGTACACACCCCATCCAACAACCAAAGAGATATGCCGAAATCAACGATAACAACAAGATCAGAAAGCGTCAATGCTCCATTCTCGGAAGCACAGTTGCTCGAAATCGTTGATGCAAATGCACAGCTACCGCTGCAAGATCTTGTGTCGGAAGTGGCCAACAAACTAAGCTCAATATCATCAAAGCATAAATTTATCATCCAGTACACATCATTGAAAGGGCGTGATGACAGGTCATTTGATTTGAATATCAGTACTGACTTTGTTGCCAGTTGGGAGCCCTCGAAGGATGGCTGTGTTGTTGTCAAGCTCGATTGGGAAAAGGAAGTAGCTGAAGTTTTGAAACTTCGCGGAAATGAAGTCAAGGAGGCCCCTGAGGACGACTTGGTGGATGACGTTGAGACAGAGAAGAACGACACCAGTGAGGATTCAAAGCCTGGCAGTAAAGATACACCACTCGTCACAAGTGGATCAGAGGCAAACCAACTCAATACATTACTCATTACTATCTACTGGATTAGTATATAATATCAATCAAGTACATTATAAACAGATTCGACCTGATCATTAAATGATCTCAAGGAGGCACTCTTGTCAAGTATGTCCCTCAAATGCAGTTGTAGTTGCTCAAGTCGTCCCCCGATATCAGCATCTGTATTGGGGTCAAAGTGACTAATGAGCTCGTCCTCTGCAAGCAGGATTCCCTCATCTTCACCAGCCTCCACAAATTGATCCAATTGTAAATCTTGCTTCATTGTATTTTCCTCGGCGCTCCAAGAAGACAACACATCCTGATTCGACTTTGAGTATTGTTCCAATTTCGCTTGATCCCTAGCTAAATCCAGTTCCAAGTCCAGTAGATAATTTTTTAAATGGTCAAGTTGTCGTAATTCCTCTGCGTGATACGCGTCAAGTACTCTTTGTTTCGCTAGCAACTCTTGACCATTCAATGCGTTGTTGCTCACGAGTGCGGCTTCATTCAGTAGTGGGTCGTTTCCAGAGGTGATCTTTGGTGGTGAAGGCAAGCTTGTGACTAATAGTCGCGATCTAAATGATTCTGGATTCAGCTCTTGACTCCAAGAGCTTGATAGTTGTTTTGATATTTGATGTCGTTTGTCTCTGGGAACATTGTCTTTGATTGCTTTAGTGACTGTCTTTGATATGGCAATGCTAAAGATCGTGCTCATGGAGTTGAGAACAACTTCATTTGAAGGTTGCCAATCGTGTCTTGGTTGATTCATGGTTACCTTTTTATTTTGTTTTTTTTTTTTTTTTTTGGTTTTTCAGGATCAAAGTCCCCGATGGTTTTTCTTGAGCTTCAGTTGTTCCAAAGTTCGGTTTCTTTACATTTTGTGTCAGGATGTAACATTGTGGCTTTTTTTCGACAATACATTCTTGAAACACTGATATCGATTAATGATTTGTTATTTCTCAGGAGTTTGAATGGCTGTTGAGCACTGATTAGTGCAGAAACACTGTGTTGTCTCTGATGAACAATTTGCAAATGCCATTTGTAGAGGGAGCGAAATCGCTTGAACAAATATTCAACAATTCACAAAGCTTTGAGCTGGATCCAACAATACCCTCTCGTCAAGTCACCACTACTCCAATCTTTAAACTGATTTGACCATTTCCAGCTCTCAACAAACCTGCAGAGAAGAAGACAAACTCAGTAAAACCATTTCCATTACTACACACAACTGCAACTTCAAATACCTATTTTAAGCCTTTCCCGTCAATACCTCATTCAAATTCTTGATACTGTTGTCCTCGTCCGACTCCGTACCATCAAGATTAGATTTTGGTCCGGTATAAGTTCTCCATGCCCAAGCATAATAGTAAACCAAGGACAAAATCCAAACAGCTCCATTGATGACGCAAGTGTAATTCATGCTATCCTTGTCAACGTGTCTGTTCTCGGGGAACATACTCATGATTATTGCAAACACGATATAAAGCACAGTGATGACGTTGACGATGTAAGTCAAAGTGGAGCCAAAATGAAATGGTCCCGGTATAAACTTTTTCCTACCGTATGGCAACAACACGAGAAACACTGGCATCCCCCATGCCAAGTTGTTTGAAGCAATTGCAAGTGAAAACAATGCTCCAGATCCTGCAGTTCCTGGAATGATACATAAACAACCAATGGCCAATGCCAAAGTACCAGAAAATATAGTAGCTCTTATTGGAACCTTGATTTTGGGGTCAACATACTTGACCCATTTGTACACTCCTGGCAAACCATCGTCCCTGGCAAATGACCACACTTGTCTCGATAATGCAATCATTATGGACACGGCCATTAAATATTGACCAACGCAAATCATAGCCATGAAGGCAACAGTCCATTTCTTTCCCAACGCATCATAAATGATTTGTGCCAAAGGAGATCCAGTTTCTGTGGCAACAATATGTGCAACATTCCCATCTTTGATGCAGGCAGCACAAACTATGATCACCACCCATCCCAAGAACCAGCAAGCTCCGATGGATCCTAATATTCCTACTGGAATAGATTTCTGAGCATTCAATGCCTCTTCCGAACAATGTATCACTGAATCAAAAGATCCTATTGTCCAGATGGCCGTGTTGAAGGACATCACTGCGGTCCAGCCTATAGGCCAATCTCTGGCATTTTCAAATTTACCAAAGATAAATCCTCTTCCATTGAAACTATTGTGCCTTCCAAACCCAACTGGAACGGCAATAATGAATAGCAATACCAAGAACACATTGACGCAGATCGATACAGTTTGAAACTTGGCAGCATGCTTAGTGGTTAAGCTAGCAACAACCATGCACAGCACAACACACGCAGCAAATACACCGTAGGCTTTTGCGTTTGTGATAACAAAGTCATTGTCTTTGGAAACTGAAACCGCTGACAAAACTTCGGTTGCGAAACCGTAGCTAATACTACACAAGCCGCCAATTAAACCAAGTGAGTTTGAGCACCCAATCATATAGCTCAATGGAACTCTAAAGCTGTCAGGACAATAGTAGTTCGTGTAGTAGTACAATCCACCACTGGTTGGTATAGCACTGCCCAAAAAGCTCATCGACATCCCAACACTGAAAATGAAAAGACTAGCAATGAACCAACCCCAGACAAGACCGGCTGGTCCAGAAGCTATACCCATACTGAAAACTGAAGCAATGCTTGGGAGGAGACCCATAATCGAGAAGGCGATACCAAACACCTGAAGTGTTGAATAGTGACGTCTCAACTCCTGTTTGTATCCAATCTGATGTAAAAGATCAACATCTCCGAGATTATGCTGTGGATCAATGTACCTCACCTCCGAGGCTGTACTCTGTATCTGATGTAAGCTTTGCACCGGTGAAAATGTCATATTTCTGTAGCAGTATGATTGGATTGAAGGATGTGGAATCTTGGTACCCAAGTTTGAAAAAATTGCAGCACTTTTATACAGAGCATCATTTGAAATGGCTCATGCATATTAGCGGCAATGTGTCTCGTTAAAAGTTGTGGTGCCTATTTGCAACAGAAGATGAGTTAGCTGAGTATGAACCTTGGCGGGGCCCCTTTCCTTCTTAGATAAAGTACAAAATCTCAGTAGTTCTGGATAAATGAAACTCCAGAAACAGGGCTTATTAACAAACGAGTGTAAATTTCTTTTGACAATTTTTTGCCCCACTTTTCATCTACAAATAGGGCAGCTCATCATGGGGAACTGCGCTACTTACGTTTGATACAGAAGAGTGATCTCAAATAAGAACAAAAAAAAAAAAAAAAGGTTTCGCCATGTAGTGGAGTTGAGTGTGGAGGCGCAACATCACTTCTGTCCATTCTCGGTTATCTCGAGGTACAAACCCTCTGTGTAAATAAAATGTACCACAATTGAACCTCCTCTAAAATAACCTTCACTCAAACTGCATGGCAAGAAATCGAAACTTGTAACTACATGGCATAGGAAATATATGATCTCTCCTAAGAATCGAACCAGTTGGTTCCGTTCAAACATGGGCTAACTCAGTTGCAGAGTCCCACCTACATTGTATTCTGGAAAGCAAATTTTCCCTCCATTTCTTTAAAGGTGGGGTAGGAAAGCGATTTTCATTTTCTTTTTCTCTTTTTTTTTTTTTTTTTTGCAATAAAGTGAGATTAGCTGAGTTTATTACACAAATCCCCTAAAGTGGAATCGTAGGGGTTAGCGCTACTTTCCCGATCCGGATGGTTGTTGGCCCATGCCTTTACAAGAAAGACACTACAATCTACCCTTGCGCTGCGTTTGCGCTAAATACTTGGCAGAATATGACGTCGCATTAGTTTTGTTGAAAGCTCCACTTGTACAAGTTTAACAAATATTTCCGATGATATTCACGCAATATTACAAAGCCAACATTCATGATCCTGAGTGTACTTCTGCTGATGTGTAAGTATTGAACCAAGCGGTAGCAGGGGAACTACCAATATTTGACTCTAATATCTACTTCAGAGATCGTTCCTTTTCTGAGAACAATATCCAACTCTTTGACCCTTCATAATTCGAAATGCACTTGGTAGTGCCAGCTTTTTAGACCAACAAAAAAAACTGCTTCTTCAAATAACAAAACACGCAACTTTAACATCACTCACTGTCAACCCATAAACAATGTTTGGATTGGGAAAACTATTTTATGTCATAGTCTTGATCATAAACGGAATTGCTGTTCTCAGCGAAGATAGATTTTTGAATAGAATTGGTTGGGGGTCAACAACAGCATCTGCAAATGGCAATGCAAATTTACAGAATCAGTTCAATCAGTTCAACACCGGGTTGGAAAGTAGCGACGGTTCTATAAAGACAAAATTGATTAATCTAATAAGTGCAGTACGAACTTTGTTGAGGATACCGTTAATTGCCGTGAATATCTTGATCATTTTGTATGAGATAGTGTTGGGTTGAGAATGGATACAGCTGATGGCGGAGGGGATTCGGGATCACTACATACGACAACTATACAGAAATCAATTCTTGAGTATATATTTATATTACACAGGTTTCCCTACGTACTTTCCTCTTGTTTGACCTCATGTGAAGGTGAACCGGATTGACTTTGAAGACGATCCCTCGACTTTTTAAACAATTCTTCTTGCTGTCTCAACAACTCCTCCTCACTCAACCCTGAGCTTTGGAACTTGTTGTTTCGTTTCTCTTTTCCCTTTAGCAACTCTTTCTGTTCACTAAGGATCTTGTTTATTATTTCAAGGTAGTTGTTGAAATCCAACTCTTCCAATGCTTTTACAACATGATCGGAGGCTATGGTCTTTTTAGCTTCCTTTTCAGCTATGTCATTCAGTTGCGTCGATAGCATCATGATGAACTCGATACTGCATTCTGTTATTGCCTCCCTAGCTTCTTTCGATATGGCAATGTCTTTAGGCAAGATTTCTGCAATTATTTTTTGAACAGTTGCTTTAGGTAGTGACAAGTCCTCATTGTTTGGTCCTGGATAGTCCGACATTGTTGTTGTGTGTGACTATGAGTTATACCAGTAGGCGCCTCTATTTTCAATTAGGTATCCCCAAGTGTTTGAGTGTCAATCTGGTACACAATGTGCTGTTGTTTGCTCTTGTTTTTCTTTTGTCGCGATGTTTTGCACTAATTTCCAAGAACCTTGGATCTAAGGTTACCCTCCCCCATGTTACCTAGGAGAGTTTGCAGGTCATTCCTGTATGTCGTGGCCCTATTGTTTGTGGCAGTGGTGCTACTACTTCTAGCTAACAAGCACCAAATTGTCAATCTCAACCAATACGTGCCATATGATTTGTTTGCCAGTACGGCACCATCATTTTTCCAGCCACCATCGGACCAATTTCTTCTTGATATATCCATCAACAGCTGTGCTTTCTACAACTCCAAAAACCCAAACTGTGGGAAACCTGGACCACGGGAAGGGCAATTTGGCGACATAACGGAATACGAAGGGGGTTGGCTTAGGTTGAAGAAAGATTTATGCCTCGGAAAGTCTTGGGTTAAGAAAGAGGTGTTGTCGGTGAAAGAGATAAACCATGTCAATTTTCAAAAAGTGTTGAGCAAGTTTCAGTTACCAGACGAGGTAATTGTTGATATTGCTGTGCAGGATGTGGAAGGGGACTCCAAGATCAAAGGGAATAAACTCAAATTGCCAAAGTACGTCATAGAAGATTATCATAAACAAAAAACATACGATGGTGCTACTCAGGACAACTTGATTGAACAGAACAAGGATGAAGTACTTGATGGATCCACTCCTGACTCCTCAAAAGCTAGCCATAAGATACAAGAAATGATCTATCCAGAGACAGGGGAAGCCAGTGGTAAAGGCGATTCCACAAATGACGCAGATGACAATGATGAAAAGCACAACAAGAGAGGAAAAACTGCTCACCAAAATGACTTAACTCGGGTGTATTACATTCCCACAAAGGACGAGTTGACAAAACTCGGATGGCGGTACAAGTCGCATGGAATTTGGCTCAAGTATGGTCCGCATAACAGCAAAGACGCTATCACTGCTGTCGATATTTTGTTTGGACTAGACGCAGTCGACCCCAGACCCAATTGGAGCTTGGTAAAACAGCCAGTTCGTGGTGTTTGCAGTTCAGCTGGAATCCCGCCATTCATAACTTATCGTCGTGGTCCCAAACTTGACTATAAAAAGGAATATAAAAAGCCGTTGGTCATAAATGAGAATGCCGAGTTTAAAATTCTCCAGGTTGCCGATTTGCATTTCTCCACTGGATTTGGTAAATGCCTCAACCCGGAACCTGTCTCATCTGCTTCTGGCTGTCAAGCGGATCCCCGAACATTGGAATTCGTGAACAAGGTTCTCGATATTGAACAACCAGATTTTGTTGTGTTAACAGGGGATCAGATATTCGGGTCAGCAGCTCCTGATTCAGAAACGGCTGTCTTTAAAGCATTGAATCCGTTTATTGAGCGCAAAATTCCCTTTGCTGTTGTGTTGGGAAACCATGACGCTGAGGGGTCTTTGCTGGCTAAAGAGTTGATGGGATTGTATTCTGATCTTCCATATAGTGTTGCCGCAATGGGGCCCGAATCAGTAGATGGGTATGGAAATTACATAGCCACAGTACAAGGGAAATCAAAGTCATCAGTGGCATTGTCGTTTTACTTTGTCGATTCACATGCTTACAGTGAGAATAAGAAAGTGTTTCCCGGATATGACTGGATCAAAGAGAATCAATTAATTTACATGAAAGAGGAAGCAGAGTCTATTAAAGATGGTGTTGCTGAATTTCAAAAGGAGAAGTTCACCGAAAATGGCGAGTCAAAAAACAAGATTCATTTGTCAATGGCGTTTTTCCATATTCCACTTCCAGAATACAAAAAGCTCAATCAGCCCACAATTGGCCAACAAAGGGAAGGAGTTATTTCTCCAATGTACAACTCTGGAGCCCGTGACGCATTTCACGATATTGGTGTGAAGGCAATAAGCGTGGGACATGATCATTGCAACGACTATTGCTTATTGGATGAAGAACAGTCGCCCAATGACGATAACAAAATATGGTTGTGCTATGGTGGTGGTTCTGGTTTGGGTGGATACGGCGGGTATGGCGGTTACATTAGAAGAATGCGGACGTTTGTTTTGAACACAGCCAAAGGCGAGATCAAATCTTGGAAAAGGGCAGAGAATGAGCCTGAGAAAAAAATTGATGAGCAAGTGTTGGTATCTGGTAGGAATGTCGTGAACTGGAAATGAGTTAAAGTTGTAGAGACAAAATTAAACTTTAAATACAATGTTGTTGTAAATTCTCTACTCTATTTCAAATCTAATCCTGGCGGGTAACGTCCCGGCTTTGGAGGTCTAGGCTTAGGCTTGTTGTTTTTTGTATTCAGCTTTCCCTTATAATCACTTTTCTTCCAGAATGGTGAAATAAACTTTACCAACTCATTGACAAATTCACCAGGTGCATCATGAGAGATCCAATGCCCACAATCAAACTCTCTAAACTTCAAGTCAGTGAAATACTCTTCAAACACTTGGAAATATTCTGGCTTCACAAATGGGGACTGATTTCCATACATGACTAATGTAGGGTGAGTAAATTTATCAAAGTTTGGTGGTAAATCTGGCCATGATTCAACAGTTTTGATGATATCATACTTCCAGAAGTTCATCACGGGGATTCGAAATACCTCCTTGAGGCGATCCTTGACATGTGGGTTGGCAATATCCTTATGAGTAAGAAGTAAGTTGCTCATCAACAACAGCCGTACAAGGGGACTCTTTTCGTACTTGCAAAGAAACCTGTTGATGGCTTTCACTTCGGTGACTCTTCTCCCATTAGATCCCTTCTTGTATAGTTCTGGATGTGCTTCAACCTCACACATCCCCAATATATCTAACCGGTAATGAGGATCCAATGGCATTGCATGGGGAGTGTTGTCGATAACCACCAATTTCGACACAAGATCTGGATATAGTAAGCCCACCAACATGGCAACTTTAGCGCCCATTGAATGACCAACAAGTACGCATTTATCCCATTTGCGCTCCTTTATGAAGTGACATACATCTTGGGCCATTTGAGTGTAAGAAAAAGGCAACACATGAGGAGATTCACCATGATTGCGTAAATCTAATGCATAAGTAGGGACCTTAGTGACTTCACTAAACAATCGGCCTGTTTTATTGAAGCTTAATTTGGAGCCAAATAAACCATGAAGGAAAAGAACAGGAGTCTCTTCTTTATTTAGTTTGATCTTGTAAGGAACTAGTTGTTTCCATTGTAGTGAAATCTTGTCATTAAACGGGAGATCGTTGATGTTGTCAATGTCAAAAGTAGGTTGTAGAGTCGGTTGTTTTGACGAGTTAAGAAGAACCGAGAAGGTGCTGATGCATCTTCTTCCAAGCACTCGTCTTTGTAGAAGCATCGGGGAGTAGCCCTCTGGGGATCTCCGCGTATCTTTTTTTGTTCTTTTTTCTTTTTTCTTTTTTTTTTGGGGGGGTTTTTTTGGTCGATATTTCTTGTCTAGATTATTGTTTTACATTAACTACACACACTATTGTAGATGACTAGTTTTCTCCACCTTGCCCACCTTCATTGTTATTATTGTTACCTCTACCGCCCATGAACTGATTAAGCATGGGGTTGTTCATGATATTCGACAAGTCGGGTCCATCAGGTCCACCTAATCCCAAAGATTGGGCCATTTGACGGATCGCTGGATTGTTCAACATTTCCTGCATGGCACCTGGATTCGACATCATGCTCTGAGCTGCTTGCATCATTTGTGGGTTGTTCATTAAATTGCCCAACAACCCATCTGCTCCACCGGCCCCGCCAAACATGGAGCTAAAATCGGGCAATCCACCAGCACCAGCACCAGCACCAGCACCAGAGTCAGGTGCCGATCTAGATCCTGACTCATGCCCACTTCTATCAGATGTGGAAATTGAATTTTCCAACTCTTGCTCCACTCTCTTTTTAGCTGTTTCATAACCCTTTTTCATACCATCTGATGGCTTATCACCTTCCACTTCCAATCCTTTTTTGTAAGCCTCCATCGCCTCCTTCGGTTTTCCTAGCGCATATTGAGCTAAACCTAATCTAGAATACGCTCTTGAAAATTCCGGATTCAACTTGATTGCCTTTTCAGCGTCTTCAACCGCTTGCGCGTGTTTTTGAGCTGAAGAGTATGCAGCAGCTCTGTTGGAAAGGTATACAACATTAGTAGGGTCCAAGCCAATCGCTTCGGTGTACTTGGCAATAGCCCCGGCGTAATCTTTAGCTCCCATCAATCTGTTACCTTCAAGTTTCAACTGATCAGCTTTCTCTTTAGTAGCATCATCAACAACAATAGATGAGGGTTGGGTGTCTGACAGGGAGGAGCTAGCAGGTGACGATTGAGATGAGGCTTTTACAAGCTCAGCTAATGACTTACCGTGGAATTTTGAATCGATGACTGACTTATCATCGTCCTTGTTCACTTCAAATGCGTCAGCAATGCAATCAATGGCAACATCCATCGACTCCACAAAATCTTCGGCAATGGTCTTGTCGGCAACGGATTGCTTCAAGAACCCGATAATAGATAAAGCAATATCCTTGCTAGATACGGATGACATGTTTGATGAATAGCTAATTGGTGCGTGAAACCAAAGATCAAGGTGCCCTTTTCTTTGTCAATGATGATTGTTGGTTAAATTTCAAAATTTCGCCTCAAAAAAAAAAAAAAAATAAAAAAGAATCGCAAAACTTTCATCGCTAATTTTTGTGTAAACTTTCTTCTACTTATGCCTGATTCTATACAAAATCTTTCTCAACTCCAAATGTCTTTGCTTCGAACTTCGGATTTCCTCTTGCACATACATCGATAGTCCAAATTTTAGAAACTTTGATCTAAATGTTAAGAAATTGGAAATTTGCGTAGCAATGATTTCATACTCCCATTTAAGATCAATATTCAACTTCATGATTTGCTTCACCAAATCTGCCTTTGAGACAACCATCCGCTTATACCGGTTCCGCTTGGTACTTCCAAGTCCAAAGAGATTCAAGCCTTCACTCTCATCCGGTACAAAGTCAGCATGAGTATGGGACGAGGTGGAGAATAGAGAGGAGTTTGTTCTCGTACGATGAAGTCCTTCTCCTGTTTCATCTTGATCTTGGGATTCTGAAGCCAAGCTCCCGTTGAAATCATTAGATTGCGACTTTGGTTCCATCGATCTCAATTCCAGGTTGATGTTGCAAATTTCATGATACAACTTTTTCCATGCACTCACATCTTGGTTGATTTTGTGGAAGTGTTTAGTTAGTTCATCGTCAATCATACTCATCCACACAACATACTGAGCCAAAGAATCCAAGCTCCCGCGCTGTTGATGATACTCGGGAATGCTGAATCCTTTAGAAAAGAATGATTGCCCATCAAAGCGACTAATTGCAAGATCCTGAACATTTCTCAAGTCAATTTGCTTCTGCTCTCCAACGCAAACCAACTTGGAAAGTTTGGTGACAAGTGTGCCATATCTCTGAAGGTCTTGGAGTGAAAAGTCCAAAAAGAATTCCATTTCTTGGACATTACTAAATTTCAACTTGACTTGGCCGAGTGCTCTCTTTTCAGATTCTTGAACGGCCAGTATCGCTTGCTTTTGCTCTAAAACGGACAAGTTTTGTGTAATATCACCAAGAAGTGTGTTAAAGAATTGCCCAGTATCAACATCATTATAAAATGCCACGCTTTGCAAAATAACATTGAGTTTGCTTAACAACCTGTTTACCCTCAATCTTTGAAACATGAAGCTCGTAGGAACATTCATTGCGTGGTTTCGCCAAATGATGTCAACATCAGGAAATATGGACATTGGTCGTTGCAACTTTTCCACATACAATGCTTGTTTTATCGACCTCACTGACTGAGCCCTATACTTGCAATCTTTATCTTTCAAGAGAATGACCCATTCCCGCGAGTTCGAATCAAATCTACCATTGAAAGCCGCAAGTTTTCCTACACTGTTGGGAAAAAACTTGTTGAAATAATGATCCACAACTAGACTCTCTATTTTCTTGAACTCTTGTGAAGAAGATGACTTTGCACCAACAAAGCTCAAATAATCAAACACGTTGTGGAAACTCCTTGGATCCTCAAACAAGAACTCAAGTCGATCATCTTTTAAAATCTCATGTAAATTGTCCAACCTGCTATACTTGACATACAACATCAATGGAGTGAGATTCTTTGAATTCGGTAGATTGACGTTGACCAAGTTCTCGTCTTTTGATAGGATCCGGGTCTGTGGTATTCCTCTCAAAATAATATGTAGGAGCGAATTTCCCGATTTATCCATGTGCTTATCAAAGTCAATACCCTTTTGGCCATATTTCTTGTAAACAACATCAAACGCATCTTGCAATAGCGTCAAGTAGTCTACATGATCATAACAGCGACATAGACTGAACAAGGGAGTATGGGAATTGTGATCCTTCAACTCCCAATCAATTAAATGACCAATTTTGGGAATGAAGTGGTGGTGGTGAAATAGGTAATGCCCAACAGTACGTCCAGTGTTATCGGGAGTATTGAAATATGCAATTTGCTCATCAATAGTAGCATTGTCAGTGATAATGGATAACAAATCATCCAAGATCCTCTCATCTGTTTCCTCAATCAATGCCGTCATCAAAAGATTTTGGTTTGTAATTACATTCTTGTTGAATAGGATATAGTCGATGGAAAACCACAGCAAGGATGTATTTAGAATCATGTTGTAAATTTCAAAATTCCGTGCCTTGATTGTAAAATCCAATGAGCTTTCCCCATTGATGTTTTTACTCAAAAGACAGTGTTTGGCCGGTAATTCTAAATCACGGTATTCTTGATCAGTCCTTGCAATAATCCGCTCAACTTTTGCAACATCCAGATCTACTATGCCACTCCACAAATCAAAATTCTCTTGTGAACTTGCAGCGAGAGAATTCAACGACGTATCTCTTTCCGATAAATGACAAATTACCGCATCCAAGTTACTCATCATGTAACTGAAATGACCATCATTGTTTCGGTCTACTGCGTTAAAGTTGTTGATGTAGTAAATGTGTGCCTCTATGTTGTCAATCTTGGAATGGACCACTGTCATGATCAACAATCCAATTAGGGAATCAGCGTCAATGACCAACTCACTTCCTTCTTTGCTTTGTGAGAGTATTTCCATTGTTTTGTAAACGATGTTTGTTTTCATGGTCAGATTCACAATTGATGGATCGGACAATTTCTTAAACTCTTGTATTGCAAGGTACACGCGCTGATGTAGCTCGTTAATCAACCATGGTTTATTGACTGGAAGGTCTAGTTGGTTTAATGATAAGCACGAAAGACTTTCATACTCAGTCGAAGTAAGATGCTTCATCGCATCAGGATCATACTCTAGCTTATCATTATTGGGACAATTGAACTGATATATCAATTGCGACCACATAAGATCATACAAATTCAATTCAACATACTCGTGGACAAGCTTGTTCAAATCAAGTTCAGGGTACGTACTGATGATATGGTTCAACAAGTTATACGTCTGTTCACGATTGGGGTTTTCTTCTCGAACACTGTCCAGAATAATTTTGTACGCCTCCTCTTGCATTTTGGCAAACTCGCTCCTTATATGACTTAGCTGCTTTCTAGTTCTTGTTCTCAACTGGTGGAATTGCAAGTTGTTGTGATGGAATAGACGGTAAAACTTGTCGCCCACTGCTTTTGATAAAAGCGGGAAATTACGCAACAACTTTTCAAAAGTTACATTGTCGACATCTTCTGTTGATCGTTCTGTTGATGTAGTGGTGGTTGGTGGGGTGGACGGTAGAAGTTTGAATGGTGGCGATCCTCCAATAAGCGAGCTCTCAAGGTGTATAATCATAAACTGGGAACCCTTTGGGAAGTAGTCGCAAAATGATTTGAAATACAGAATCGAAGTAATCTTCAACTTGAGACTGCGTTTGAACCCTTTCCCAGTGTACACCATTTGGTTCTTGATAAGCACCTGCTTCCCATTCATTGTATTGTAAATGACCAGTTGTTCTTTTGAATTTGGAGTCATTGTAGAGGAGGCTGGAGCTCCTGTTTTGATAATGTGTGACTTGATGAAATCCTCATTGTTGTAGCACAAGTCTTTCAATAGCACCTTTGTACTCGAATCATCGGTCACTGGATCATGAAACTCATTTAAAACATATGCCGCAGGAACAAGAATGGTGTAAATGTTGTGTTTATTCTTCAACTCATCAATTGTTCTTGCAAAAGGATGTTTGGAATGGTTGGGGTTGTTGAATATGCAATTTAAAAGTGGATTATATAGCACAGGTAAATGAGAAGATAGCCTTGGATGTAGTGGAGATTGTGGTTGTGGTTGACGCTGCTGCTGCTGCTGATGATGATGTCGTGCCATACCACTTTGTTCGTGTTGTATTGCAGCTGTTGCCAAACTGTATAGCCCACACTTGAATTTTTCAGAGGGGACGAGAAGCGCTACCTAAAGCGAATGAGCTTTAAAGAGATGTTGATGGAAAGAGAAGAAACAATCCTGACAGAGTGCATTACTGGGTGAGTTGAGTCATGAGTGCGTGCGTGCGTCACTGTTTGGTATTAAACCCAGCTTTTTCAACTTGCCTAAGCAGCGAGCTGACTTTCCACGCATATTTCGTAATTTTGAAAGACTCCGTATGCTAAGCGAAATGATGAGAATCGAAAATTCAGGCACCTGTCTCGTAGCTCCCTCTTTGTAACCCCCTTAGGGACGGATAAATAGTTCCATTATTTTGGTTTGTATATATGACCCCAAATCCAGAAGTTGCGCCGGTTCTTGCTTAATTAGGAATGTTCCGCTTAACCTACATCACGTTTATCGAAAAATTGAACAATGCATCGTAGACATTTTTAGCGGCTTCTGCCAAACGTAGAATAGCAATATATATATATATATATATAAAACTTCATTTTAGTATTAGTACAAGTTGTACGATTCAATGCGTTGATAAGAGAAGCAAAAAATTTGATTGAAAGATAACAAACCTATTATATGCAGGTTATCCAATTAAATTAATTTGGTGTTTGACTTTGTGTCTTCACAGTTTTTGCAGTTCAACTTCAATAACCGCCACGTTTCAAAACAATAGGCTGAGAGACATTTAGCTATTTAGCTTGAGTTAAGTTACCCATCTTGTGTAAAGATGTTTAGAGATATATTTGACGAACAAATTAAACTTTTTGAGGGATTTTCGGAATGAAGATATGCAAAAGCAAAGTTTTTAAGGTATATATTATAGCCAGTTGGTCTTGATTGGATTAAAAGAATTTCTGTCCATTCCCAATTGCAACTAAGAAATATACCCCAAATGGAAGCAATAAAATCAATCAAATCGAAAAGCGATCAACATCTCCACAACATAGTATCTTCACGTTCACAAGTTCGAGCAATAGACCCACAGCATAATCTCGGAGATGTTGATCTTTTACATCAGATTGGATACAAACAGGAGTTGAGACGTCACTATTCAACACTTCAGGTGTTTGGTATCGCCTTCTCGATTATGGGTCTCCTCCCAAGTATCGCATCAGTTTTAGCACAAGGGTTGGAAGCAGGACCCGCTGGTCTTGTTTGGGGCTGGTTCATTGCTAGTCTTTTCATTTTCAGTGTTGGGATGTCGATGAGCTTTTTGGGCAGTGCTATACCAACCAGTGGTGGATTGTACTACTACACGAACTACTATTGTCCTGACAGCTTTAGAGTTCCATTTAGTTTCCTAATTGGCTGTTCAAACTCACTCGGGTTGATAGGAGGTTTGTGTAGTATTAGCTACGGTTTCGCAACCGAAGTTTTGTCAGCGGTATCGATTTCCAAAGATGGTGACTTTGACATAACCAACGGGAAAGCATATGGTGTGTTTGCCGCCTGTGTGATTACCAATGTGGTTGTCGCTTGTTTGGCCACAAAGCATGCCGCCTCGTTGCAAACTGCGTCTATTGTCGTCAACGTGTTTCTTGTGTTGTTGTTTCTTATTGCAGTTCCAGCTGGGTTTGGGTCCGGGTTCAACTCGCGGGGGTTCATTTTTGGCAATTTTGAAAATGCGAGAGATTGGGGTGTCGGTTGGAGTTTTTTCATCTCGTTGCAGCCTGCTGTTTGGGTTATTGGATCGTTCGACTCAGTCATTCACTGTTCTGAAGAGGCAATGAATGCGCAACGGTCTATTCCTGTTGGGATTTTGGGGTCTATTGCCGCTTGTTGGTTCCTTGGCTGGTTTGTGGTGATTGTTTGTGCAGCATGTATCAAAGATGGCGATGTGGCTAGGGTATTGAGTACTCCCACTGGGTCCCCCATCGCACAAATCATCTATGACGCATTGGGAAAGAGATGGGCAGTGGCTTTCATGTCGCTAATTTCTGTTGGGCAGTACCTTATGGCTGTTTCTATAACCATTGCATTGTCGAGACAAATTTGGTCGTTTGCTAGAGATGACGGGTTGCCCATTGTGTATCAATACGTCAAGTACGTTGACCCCAGGATCAAGATTCCAATCAGGGCATCAGTATTTGCCGGTATTTTGGCATTGGTATTGGGATTGCTTGTTTTAATTAATGGTACTGCTGGTTCGGGAGCACTTTTCTCATTGGGTATTTGTTCCAATAGTCTTGCGTGGGGTGCCCCCATAGTGCTCATATTGTTGCCATATGGAAGAAAGAGGTTCATCCCAGGACCTTTCTACTTTGGCAAATGGATAAGCACAACAATTTGTGTAGTGGCAAGCTGCTGGTTAAGCTTCATTATTGTGTTGACAATGTTCCCCGATTCCAAGAAGGTTGACAAGGATTCGATGAACTACACGGTGGTGATCAATGTTGGAGTGTGGATTTTGTCATTGGTGTATTACTTTACGTGGGGTTACAGAGTGTATTCCGGACCAAAGAGCAATCTCGATCAACTGGAGACTGAATATTTGGAAGGAGCTAGTATGCCAGCTATGGATGAAGTATTGCTGGAGAAGGTATAGAGAGAGACAGATAGGGTTGTGGTGTATATTGATTATTTAGTTGAAGCTATTGAAGTAGCAGCCAGACTCGTTCACTTGTAAATAGTGTTCCTCAAACAACCTCTCTCCTTATGTTGTATTTACTTGAGATGTGATTCAACACATGCCAGAATTTAGTATTCTTGATCTTTTTGGAGGCAGGTTGAATAACCGCATCATCTTCAACGCGTTTGTTCTTGTCTAGCTGCTGTTCCTGAATGAACTCTGTAATAAACACCTCGTAATTGGAAATACAATCACCACATACAAACTCCTTCAAGTTCATGTTACATTTGGAATTGATTATCGACGATATTTCATAAAGTGGTTTATCACACAAGTCGCAGTGTTTTAAAAGCTGGAACGATGGCAAGTCTCCAAAGATGGCTTGTAGATCATTTGATTGGTGATGCCTAGGCGTCTGTTGTTGTGCGGTGGACGATGTTCTTGATGAGGAAGTCTGTTGGTATTCTGTTTTACGATCAATTCTCTCGTCTGGTTGCAAAATTACGGTATCAGTAGAATCGTTTGAGCTTGATGATAACACCCTCTTTTTGAAATCAGCTAGCGACTTCTGTCGAAGTAAATGATGTTTTGCGGTGGTTGACTTGCAAGAGTTTGTGAAAAATGTCATGTGAGATGACGATGCGGGTGGTGGTGCTGCTGCTGCTGCTGTCGTGTAAGAAGGTAAGGACTCCTGTAGACCCAAGTAATCTTCCACAAGAACTATTGGATCTTCTTCCTCGTACGAGTATTCGTAAAAATCTTCATCGTCCTCCTCCACTTCATGTTGCTCCCCAAGGTTCTGAAAATTCAAGTCTCCCATATATTCGGTCTCCACTGAGCCATTGTAGTTTGTTGCCAGTTGGTTGGATCCAACCGTATTCATCTTGGTCAGTCGTAGTCCTCCTACTCGTGCTATGCTGCTTGACGATGAGTTCAGTGAAGATGCTGTTGCTGAAGTTCCTGATGGTCGCTTAAGAGGTGGAGGTGGAGGAAATGGTAACGAAGTAAGTGTGGTGTCATCAATTAGATCAAGCTTTGACGGCTGTTGTTTCAAAGTTTTGCAATTCTTTGGCATATGGGGAAGGTAAATTGATTGTATGTGGATGAAAGGTAAGCAAGTTGAATGAAAAGACTCCACTCCCAAAAGCGAACGTATAGGTGAGTTTCAAAACAAAAGAAAAATGTGTAAATGTTAAAACGATTGGTATATATATATATCTGCTTATCAGATAAACTTGGAAAGCAAACCTTGCAGAAGTTGAAGTGTAAGAAAGAGAGTTTTATTTCAAACAGGACAGGGTTAAAAAGTTATTCTTGTTGATGTTTGTACACAAAACAAACAGCCTTCGCTCTCTGATTTTCCCGTTTTAATTAAATTTCAAAATATACATTTATGCAGTGTTATATGCAGTACGTCTACACCATAAAGTATTTCTTTTTTTTCTTTTTGACACTGTTGCACGTCCATTTATTTGTTCTAGACCTTCTCTCCCCTCTACCTCACTACAACTTTAGAGCCAAGCTACACGACCACTCCAACTCCCCCACTTTATTTTGAAGGAGTTAGTAAATGCACTCGCCTCAACAAACCACAACCTGCAAACAAATGGAAAAGAAATTTGGTTTACGACCCAACCCGCCTTTGAAACTTTAAAGGGGGGTCACTGTCTTTACACAGTGTCAAGGTCAGTGATCTGTCATCACCCCTGTCGTAGTCAGCAACAACAGAGAACAAAAGATTATTTACTCCGCATTCAGAATATAGCAATGTTTCTTTACATTCGCCGAATAAAAGTGTGTGACACAACCGTACAGCGGTTATTGTTATTGTTGTTTTCGTTGTATTCTTGTTATTTTTTTTTTTTTGCTTTTGCTTTTGCTTTTTCACGCTTCACGCAATCTCATTCAGTTACAGTTTAATGCCACTGGAGAACCATCACACCGAGTTTCTGTTGGAGAGAACAAGCTTGGAATTCGCTTTCTAATACATGGATACTGCCTTTTGATCTCCTCTTTTCCATCGGATTGAGCTCTACAATGCAGTGATTTATTCTGTCTCCTCTAATTGGTGCTTTATATTCCTATTGACGCTTTCTCTTTCTGCTATTTAACAACTCTATAAAAGGCAAATCCCCATCACTGTCCCATTGATCATTAATCCAGTACAAGATATCATGCATTATCCTGTTTGAAATGAGCTTATCTAGATCCAACTCTTGACGCCTCATTCTATACATGAGAGTTTCACATAGCTCAACTAGCAACAACTCTCCATAAACAGTGGACTTTTGACTGTGACAATGTTGGTATTGATACTGTTTCCTACTCTTGAATCGAATCAAACTTGTCAAATCAGTCAATTGCAAATTGAACCGCAACTCCAACACCGTCAAGTGAGAAAACACACCGGGCTGGTTCAACACATTAGCCACACCAGAGTTGGTCAATCTGGGACAGTTGTTTAGCGACAATCGCGACAATTGTTTCAAGTGGTGACCCGTTTGCCACAACACAACATCGGAAATACATGTACCAGCAAGTCCCAATGTATGCAATTGACAATTATTCTTGATCAATGTTGTAATTGAAGAATCAGTAATCAAATGCCCCTTATGTTTACGACCAACATTGACCAGTTGCAAGCTGCGATTATTTTTGAAAATGTGATACAACCCAGAATCAGTAATCAATTCACATGCACGCAAGTCCAAATGAGTTAGATTTTGACAATACCGACTAATCATAAAACAAAATTCATCATCAATGGACTTGGACCCGGTGAGTACTAGTGTTTGTAGCGTTGATCCACAAGATTGGAATATGTTCCATGAAGGGTATATTTTGGGGCACATAAACAACTCAAATGAGGTGAGATTGTGGAAATTAATGTTGGAAACTGCCATATTGAACAAGTATTGATTGCTGCGGAACAATTTATAAAGACTGAACAGCTGTGGATTAAACTTGATTGGAAAACAGCTGGGGATAGTAGTGTTGATGTTGCTGCTGCTGCTGCTGCTGGCATACTTTTGGAATTGAGCATCATTGGAAAAGTAGAATTTCTTAGCAATAATCTCCCTGGCAATTCTATTGAATAGTTTATTAACAAGAAGACAATTGAATAAAGGGTTGGAAACTGGGTCATTTTGAAGTTGCACACAATCGTCAGCCATTGCTCGTTGAGCCAGCTCTCGATCTCCGTATATCAACAAGGCGTGATTATAACTGGTGGGTTTCCTTCGAATCGGTGTAGTTTCACAGGGTTGACGATCATTCTGGGCCTCCACAAACAAGAGTATACGATGAACAAGTTCAGGAACGTCGAATAAGGATGTACGAGAAGTTCTGTTTGGTATTTCAAGTGATGGTGAATGTGCTACTACCTCTTGTGACTGGCATGTAACATCGTCGCACCCAGTAAAATCAAGTTTCCTTCCTGGTGTTACTGTCTCTAGGAATGTAAACTTATGACTCGGTTTAACCGGAGTTGTATCCGGAGTATCAGCATCATCGTCCGTCAAATCAGGTAAACTTTCCAAGTCAGAAGAAGATGGTGACGATGCATTAGAAGAGTTGCAACTGTCACCACCCACTTTGCAACACTCGTCTCCTCTAAACCATCGACTGGACATCCTGCTTCTGCTTCTGCTTCTGCTGCCAACTCTGTCTCTTTTAGTTCTTTGCAAAAACGCCGACAAGGAATTCGACGAAATGACTCTCCTTGATTTCTTCAATGGCGTGTATTCTTCTCCCCCATGCTCCTCATCCGTTTCATTAACGCAGGACGCTCCCAGGAATGGATTATAAATAGGACAATTATCTGATGAATCATAAGGCAATGGTTCAGTTGGGTTATAACTCATGATTAGAATCGCAATCAAAAAAAGAAAAAAAAAAACGGAACCAAAAGTACGTGTATGTGTATAATGCAAATATGGTAAAACTGTTTAAATTAAATTAGATGGTGAGTGGTTTTCAGTAACATTAAAAGCAATGAAGAAAACCCTATTGGAAATGAAAAAGATTGTAGTGTTAGTCTAGTGACTAAGAAATGCTGAAAAATGCAAAAATTAACAAGTAGTAAATGATAGACTAGGGTGAGTAAGAACAAAGTACTTTCTGTTCAAGGTGACAATGTTGGTGGTGGGGTGTTGTAGTGGAGGTGGTGACGTTGTTGAACAAGGTTTTGAATGTGCCTCACCACTTTCGGTCAAAGCAAATTGTGGCTTTTTGGTGATGATTTAGAAAAACAGCCAAAACTTAAAAAGCTTGTGATAAAGGATATGGTCGAGACAAGTTGTATTTATATATCAAACACGCTACTCCCCAGCCTGCAAAAGCAAGTAGTTAGTTTTTCTTTCGGAAAATAAAAAAAAAAAAAAACAATAAAGACGCAAAACAGTAGCTCTAAACTAAACCCTGTTTTTGACGAGATGCCAAAATATTGTGTATGTGTTGGTTGTGTGTAGCTTCTTCTTCTTGCAAGCCAGCGTTGGAAAAATACAAGTGTATCCAATCGGTATGTGTGATTGAAAAAGTGAATAGACGATCAAGCACAATGACAATGTAATATAATTTATTCTCTTGTGAAGATTTGTTTGGGTTTCAGTGTTTACGTTTCCAAAACCAGCTCCTGAAACAAGCTGAAACTTGTGATGAGAGGTCCATTTGCATTAATGTTGTGTTGTAATCTTTCTTTGGAAAGATGGCTGGTGTTGATATCTGAAAAAAGAAAATGAGACGCATACTCAATTGTTTTCTTTTGTGTTCTTCTACTTGTGTAACATTCCAACAAACCAAAAATTCACAAGTGTTACCTAACCCGCATAATCGTATCGAGGATGCAACCAGAGGCCATAAAGAACCTGGAAATGCATAGCAAGGCTAGAATTGCACTCCCAAAGGCTATTGTTTAACTCTGTGGCTCCTCATCTTGCATTGAGAAACCTATTGTCGTGTGTGAAAGACTGAATCAAAGCTAAACTCATCACTTAGACAAAAAAAAAAGGAATTCTCTTACAGCAATGCGACTTGGCCTTGATGGCTCATATCTTGAGTCAATTCAAGGGGTCAACCTGTAACGCACCTTGGTACTTCAAAAGCGTACCTTAAAAAAGAAGAAAATGAGTTTTGGTCTTACTGCTACAGTAATTAATTTTCCTTCCACAAAGTCAATATTTGTGTGCTTCTTCGTATAGTGAGGCTGGCTCTTGGCGTCCCATTTACGCGATTGACACTAACTACAAGCTCCAAAATAAAATACTTTGCAAATAAAAAGGAACAAACAGGGTTCATGTGGCTTTCTTCTCCTGTACTCCTTACCGGGTTTAACGCAGGACTTAAGAAATAAAATGGCTTGGTATGCATTACCAAAAGGGGAACCCATTTTTCACAAAGTCGCTTCAGGTACGTTTCTGCAGTATATGCACTCTCGTGGGAGAATGGCAAGACTAAAATGCCTCGTAAAACAACAAGCACGACTTTTTAGTTTATGTTTTAACAATAGTTTGCTTAACTCAGTTTTACGGAAATGCCAGTATTCGTAAACCCATTGAAGTTCATTGTTGCAAGCGGTACGATACTCGTCACGGTACTCAAGGATATTTTCCAAACTGTTTTTGCCGACAATCTAATCTCTGTAGCAAGTAGAGTATCACAATGGTTATCCATGTGAACAAGCATACTAATGATTACCCGCTCGTCTATTGCCACTCCATTGCGTTCAGTACCAGCAATGGTTATCTTCGCTCTAGTATTGAGAGTGATGGAATTCATGCTGACTTTACAAGGCTGATGCAGAGATAAACAATCTGTTGCCAGGTAACTAGAAAGAGAGAGAGAGAATGTGTGTGTGTGTGTGTGTGTGTGTCACACAATGTATGATGTGACCTCAATTCTACTGACAAAATTTATTAACAGTGAAGAGATTAGAGGTCACGCTTTATAGGGTGAGGGGATATTTGACCTGGCAACGGACTCATGAAGAGAGATTTGTTCTTCAATATTCTGTTATAAGAGCAAAATCAGATAGTATGTATAAGCTACCAATCATAAGCCGAATCTAACGTGATGCCCTTGCTTCTGTCAATGCTCATTTGAGTGACTCAATTGACTTTCGGAGATTGAAGTCCGAGAGATAAGAGATGTCAGAAAACTGAAATTACGAATTTACGACACACGGAAAAACTTTCTAGAAACACACATTACATCATTCGAAAAGAGAGGGTGTAAACTTCAAACCTGTTGGCTGTGTAGAGGCAACTATTTCAACTATGCATGTTTCCAGCATGTCTGCAAATCTTCTTTTGACTATGCGCGTACCAAATTAAGGAGAACTCTTCCCCTTGTAAAAACTTGTTCAAAGTAAAACACATCAGACTTCTCATGCAAGCCTTATATGAAGAAATTCCGAAGAATAGTTTTTGTCCCCTTTGATGATACGAGGCTCAGCCTTATTTGCTTCAGTAGTCACCCGCATACAAGCTCTCTACCAGAGATGGTCTTGTAATTCAGTCTAGAGTGTGCCGTACAACTTAATCACTATATATCCGTAAGCACAGCCAACGGGAAGATGATCTTTATCTTTTAATTACACCCGGGTGGAAATTTCTTTCTTGTTTTTTTTTCTTATGCCTTCGTTCACCAATGTTTTACTTTGTGATGCGACTTGTATAAACAATAATCAAACCTCTGTCGACAATCATCAATCGAAATCCAGTTTATATCTTAACCCAAGACACATCACTTTCCTCTTTATTGGATCAGTCCTTGATTTAGCTTCTCCACCACTAGAATCAATCGCATACAATACAAACCATCTACAAAAGACTTAGCATTCACGTTCGTTGAAAACTCCGAAACTTTGCACCTTCATCACACGGCAACACCTCAACTGTCCAATTTCATCGAATCTTCTACGTCTTTCGCTATGTTGAAAAAACAACACAACACCTCCAAGTCGACTTCCTTATTTCAAATCCGTTTAAAGAATCTTGAACATGATGTTCTCGTATTGAAAGGAAGCCCCCACGAGGCTGCATCAGCATTGTTATCAGGAAACATCGCTCTATCAGTCAATGAACCATTAACAATCAAGAAGGTCACACTTCGGCTCTATGCAAACTTGAATCTTCGTGCCGATTTGACGTCAGCTTCATCTGCTGCTGCGGGCACTAGTCGAAAAATGTTGAATTTTTCCAAAAAGATTTACGAATATGACTGGGACTCGAATGAGTTCAATCAATACATTGATCACATGTACGAAAACAATTCAAACTCAACTCCGCAGTTGCCAAAAAACAATTCGTCCACATCTTTGAAAAACATGAGGTCAAGAAGTGGGTTGAACTTGGCACAGTTGTCACAATCCAGTCACAGTTTATTGTCTAGCCGAAGCAGCAGTTCAACAAATGTGCACAAGACTGCAGTTCCTGGTGGGGCTGCAAATCATGTCTTGGTTCAAGGTAATTACGAAATCCCATTCAGTGCAATCTTACCTGGAGACATGCCAGAATCAATTGAAGGCTTACCAGGGTGCTCCTCAGTTTACAGATTAGAAGCAACGATTGATAGAGGAAAATTTCATAGTGCTTTGGTTACAAAAAAACACCTTCGTGTGGTTAGAACTTTGACCACTGATGCAGTTGAACTATCCGAAACAATCGCTGTTGACAACACCTGGCCGAAAAAAGTTGAGTACTCATTAAGTTGCCCCACACGTGCATTGGCTATTGGAAGTGGAACCCCCATTAGTATGATGCTTGTCCCTTTGCTAAAAGGATTAACCTTGGGAGAGATCAAAATCCAATTAGTTGAATTTTATTCATATGTGGGGAACGTGCCACCAATGCATCAAGCCGAAAGGGTAATTGCTTCGAAAAAGATTCCTAAACCGGATCCCGATGCGTTCAATATGGACAAGTGGGAAATTGAAACCTTTTTGCGCATTCCTGCAAGTTTATCCAAATGTTGTCAAGATGTTGATTTACAGCTGCACGTCACAGTAAGGCACAAGTTAAAATTTGGGATTGGATTGGTCAACCCTGATAATCATGTGTCCGAATTAAGAGCATCATTGCCAGTACAGTTGTTTATTTCTCCCTTTGTCACCGTCAGCTCAAAACATGATGTTGATTCCACAATTCCAAACGAAAACAACGAGGAGGACATTTTGTTCACCAGTGACTCATATGACCATTTGAGTGGATTGGACAACAGAGCCAGCAATAGCGCTGCAAACTCTGCTAGCAATTCCCACACATCCCTTACAGGATTGGTGGCTCCACCGGTGTATGACCAGCACATTTATGATCGGTTGTGGTCCGATGTGTCCCCTATAGAGACACCGTTGACTTCCGGGGCCTCAACTCCAAGAAGTAGAGGTGGTGGCTATAATGGCGGTGATGTTGGTCAATTTTCAATGTCGCCTTTGGACTCACATGCATTGAGTGAGAATTTGAGACAGTTGAGTCTACAGAGGCAGGCTCAAGAGGCTGAAGCGCTCTCTCAAAGCGGCTCTAGGCACGGACGGGCAACTTTCAACTTGGATGATGAAGAGTCTCAGCAACAACATTCAACACCTCATTCGACGTCAGGGAATGATTATTTTAGTCGTACACCTACAGGAATTCCAAGTAATCGTAGCTTTTTGCAAGACCATGTGATGACACCTCCTGTCCACTTATCAAGGGTCAATTCAGATGCAAATGTGCTCAGTAGTAGTGATTTATCACGAGTTCCATCCTACAGTCAAGCGATGAAGAGCACAGTCTCTGAAGATGATGACGTTGCTCCCGCGTATGAGCCACCGTCTCCTGATTCTAACGTCAATTTGCAAGAGGTGAATCGAAACTTGCTACAGAATACTCAACCCTCATCACTTCGTCCAAATGTACCACAAAGGGGTCCCGGCTTGCGCAAGTCCGGTTCACGTTCATCCTCGAATAGTACATCACCATCGATTTCACGAAACGTGTCGTCCACCAACTTGTCTACTATTGGCGGCAATACCACACTTTTGTCTCCGCTGCGAGCGACATCAGGCACAAATGGCGCTGCAGCATCGAGTCACTCTTTGTCCACCAGTCCTGTCAATATAAGAGTACCAAGCCCAAACCCTACTACCGAAGCGCCGGTGTTGTCACGCAGTGCTTCCGATAGGCTTGCGGCTGTTCCTGCAAGAACATCCTCCAGTTTGAGCTTGCATAACTTACATTTCTTGAAAAAGAAAGATAAGAAGTAGATTTAGTAGATAGAGCTAACAAGAAAAGAGTTACACCTAGTGAAATGTTATTGTATTTTTCAGTTTTCGCAATCAAGTGTTTTGGCTGCATCCCGCAAAATCGTTTTGACAGAAAAAAATGAAAACGGTTGGTCCATTCTTGGTCTTGCATCCGTAAATCATTCATACATACACAATCTTCCATGATCAGAGCCAGCACAAGACTAAGCTTTGCAAGATATTTAAGCTCTGGAAATAGGCCTCCGTCGCATTTCAACTCAGGAGAAATTCCTCAAACTTACAACAACAACAACAGCAACAGCAGCAGCAGCAGCACGGCACACACATATTCCCCTCCAACACCAATGAATACGTCCCCTTCGCAACAGCCTGCATCATCTTCCTCATCGTCCTCGAGTGCACATGAAGGATCAATTAGAGAAATCACGGGCTTGCTAGCCATGTTTGCCCTTGCGTACTTAGCCATTGACAACTATTCAGAACGAGTCAAGATTGAAAAACTCCACCACGACACAACCGCCATCAATTTAAAGGCTCTTCAGGTACAGCAGTTGAATCACGCCCAAGAAAGGAAGAAACGCGACTTGACGATGCTTCAGGAACGTAGGGAAATTGCCAAACGAGATTTCAGAATGGGCTTACATATCGCCATGTTGAGGAAACAACTCATTGACGTGGGGATGAAGCCTGTTGAACTAGACCAAGCTATCAAGGAGTTTGAGAATAGTGTCAAAGCTGACAATTCGATAAAGAATGTCAGTGGGCAGTATCTCTGGCTCGACGATAAATCTGGTATGTTAGATTTTAACAGAGTGTTATGAAACGTGCTTTACTAACCTTCCCATCTAGAGTTTAAGCCATACTTGCCAGACGCTATGGAATATGACAAAAGCCGTAAAAGTAAATAGACAATACACAGAGGAAACAACATGCTCCCTAATTGCCCAACATGTTGCAAACACTTCCAGAGGTCGTGCGCGGCTCCTCGGAATAATTCCTCTCATCGCCACCATACTCTCATGATGTATGGAAAAAAAAAAAATTTCCATCTATTTTTTTTTCACCTATTTTGTTTCCTCTTCTTCTTCTTCATCAATGTCTTTAATTGTTGGCGCCCATTAGAGTCACGGTTTATATGGTATTTTCTTCTACATATTAACTACAATCACTCTGTGATTACTTTCGTGCTCGGGTAAATGCCATAAATTGAAAATTTCCAATGTTTTTACCAGCCTTGTTTTGTTCGTGTCTATTTGTCCAGATGAATTGACTACGCGGTTCTAAACATACATTATATGAGGATGTAGGTTTTGTTTATGTGTATTGGGGTTGTGAAGGTGGGTGACGGGTGATCATTATACAATTATAGAATCCTCCTTCAAGCTCTGCCCTGTTTGATCATTTCGGCGTCGATTTTACCCAAGGATCGTTGTTCCAATTTTAGTTGTAGTAAGTTGAATTTGGGACAACAGACGCTTTTGGCATCACGACCATGCTCTTCGTAGAACTCTTTGCAACATTTATATAGAGCATCGATGTACTTTGTGCATTTGGATTCGTTGTATCCGTTACCTTGAAGGCAATCTTGAATGGCGCACGCTTTGGCCTTGCATGTTTGCGACAAATCTGTCTCGCAACTTTCAGACATTGTTATTGGAAGACAATGTTCACTGTTGTATTGGTCAGGATTGATGAAGGAGTGGTTGTTCTTAGTGTAAGAGAAACGAGTGCACCGCAAACGACGTCATTTTCCGGTTAAAGCAATCGCCAATATATATATATATATATTTTTTTTTTCTTTTTTCACTGGTTCGATCTACACTAAAAAATTCGACTCTATTCTAATTCAGATTTATCCAAGTCGGTGTGGTAATCATCCTCATCATACTCGCTAGGCTCACGTATAACCAATGGCACAAACTCCTTCTTTGCTTCATTCTTCTCATTCTTGAACTTGTTACTAAAGAAGATCAAACTGGCGAGAAACAAGGACACCAACAATGTAATCAACCCCCATCGAGACAAGTACCATCGCAAACTCTCAATTTCGGATCTGATTGCCGAATCTAGCTCAGTAGTAATCTTGTGATTAGTCTCTTGAATTCTTAAGAATAGTTTCTTTACATTCAATGTATTTTCCGATTTCTGCTCATGAATCGCCACTTGTGAATCATTGCGAAGTTTCAAATTATCGTTATTCAATTCATCAGATATGATGTTGAAGTCTCGCTCCAAAATGTTGACCAATGTGATCAATTCGTTGATATGCTGCTCTCTACTTCGCGTTATGTCAACCAAGATTTCCTGTTGAGCACTTTCAAATAAATACTGTTCACTCTCCATCTCATGTTTTTGGGCGTATATCGTCGACAACTTGGACAACTTTGAGTTCAACTGGTATATTAGTAGCTTTATTATGGAATCTGCTTGTGCTTCCGTGAACCCGGCTTCGGTAAGTCGCTTGAACACCTCGTATGTATCAATGTATGGTTCCAAATTATCAAAGATCTCGGTCAAAAAGTCGTCCTTGCTTGAGCCCTCAGGTATGACTTTAGCTTCACCAGGAACTATCTTGTTACTCAACTCATTATTAAGCGCATGGAGACTGGGTCGTATGGCGGAGGCTGCGTCAGGGCCACCTGCGGTCTTAGATTGCTCGGTTTGCTTCTTGGAATCATTGGTGCTGTTTTGGATTGAAAGCTTATTGCTTTTTGCCTCTTGTCTTAGCCTGTGGTACCTGGTAAAGCGTCGTATTGATGTGTTGTGGTTGTGATTGTGACTTTGAATATACTTGTTGATAAGTTGCCTATTGGTAGAACATTGATACAACTTTGACGTGCCTAAGTAGATATTATACAACCTTCCTAGACATTGTTTCATATTCAACTCAAACTGTCAGGACTTCCGCTGGTTCAAGAAGGACTTTGGGGAATATGCGGTGGATCTTTGTTTGGTGATGTCGGAAGTCAAGCGTTTAAGTTTGCTTGATTCTCTCCATTTCCTCGTTTTAGCGCGATATAACATTTTGTACTTGTTTTGCTTCTTCATTCACAAGACAACAGCAACAGCTACATACAGACGAAAATGGTAATACATAGCGAAAGAAAGAAAATAAAAAATAAAAAATAAAAAAAAGAACCACAATCTATACACACCCCGGCCCTAGCCTCTTTCATATATGTTGAAACAGTCGATAGTGGCGACTGCATCCACATTTCCATTCCATAAACTCACATGAGCTCTCTCTATCTGGCAGCTTCATGCACGAAAGTACTATTGGCCTGAGGCTGCTCAACTTTAGATGGTGGAGCATAAGGCTTCTCCAAAACGTAGTGATAGAGTGACCTCGAGAAAAATGGGAAACCAAATTTGAGATGCAAAAAATGAACCACTGTCATGCTCAGGGCGTTAGGATCTTCATCAATACAGGCGACACCCTCAAGCAGATGATTGACTCCACGACTGTTTTTTGGTGCAATTATGTACTCAGGTGTAGGTGGAAACTGATTGTTGAACTCTGGATCATCTGCCGTCAAGTTCTCCCCTTTTGAAGTGACAATTTTGTAGTTGGTTGTTCTAACACGGGAATCGCAAAGAATCACCGTGAGGGCTCTTTGGTCTTGATAAGATGTGATGATATCATCCAACGTGATCTCTTGTTGCGTAACTTCATATGTTTCAACCTCGCTTTCATTCACGGTATATGTTGCTTTTGAGAATTTGTTGACAACCACGATTTGTGGCAACATTCTCTTTAACTTTGCCAATTCTTGAGGATCACAAGCATTACTCAAAGCAACCAACTCTACCAATATTGCGTTCTTCACCGAGTCGATGAAGTCCGCTTCCTCCTCCCAACAAATTGCTTTCTTCTCAAAGATAGTTAAAGTCTCTATTGAAGGAACCAAGCAGCACCAAGTGATGTATTGCCCAATTTCTCTCAACAATCTTACTCTCTCCGAAGCAACGTGGGCTTGATATTGTGCAAAATACTCACTTCGGATCGCAATCGCATATTGAACATCTTTCTTCTGGGGAACTTGGATTTTTCTATCGGAGTCCAAGTAAGGTTGAGGAATCTCCGGAGGGGGCTTCAACAATGGAGGGTGGTAGTGCAAAACTAAACCAAGTGAGGATGGTGTGTTGGATTTGGGGACATGCTGCAAAAAATTGTCAAGTCCAATGGGGGTACCAGACCATGGGTTGAACACTTTCCAAAAGATCCCTGGCATTGAGGTTGCAACTTGCCAGTAAAAAAGTATCTCAGTTAACATATTTTGAAAATACAGCAGTGTTGTGATCCTGACGTAGTCGTGGATCAAATATCTAACATCCAAACGCAAAATACGGAGCAACTCAATTGTATGCAAAATCAACTCGTGTACCTCATACAACCTCATATAAACAAAGATGATGTAAGTCAACAAGATCTTGAAAACGTGTGCAACAAAAATGTCGTAGGTGGTGTAGTTTTCCTTGCCTGAATCTAAACCATGATTGTAGCTGGAGTAAATATTCAAACTTGTTGTTGGTAATTTACTGAGGTCTTGTACACCCGCAAGTGTCTCATACAACGCAGTCTTTTGTTTCCTATTCTTGAACATGTCAGTTGTTATTCAAAGTTTGGAGTGAACAAGGGAGGTGGGGGGGGGGGGAAGAAAACTGTTGCAAAAATAAAAAAATGTTGGTTTTCTCTTGAACTTACAAACAAACAGTTCACAAAAAATTGTAATATTAAGTGTACATAAAGGGTCTATTCTAAACAAACTGAAATGAAATTAAAGTCGCTTACGCATCCACCTAAGCTGCTTCGACTGCTTCCAAAAGCTCATCCAAATCACGTAATACTTCTACGTTTCCATCAATCTCTTCTGTGGTGCTGCTCTCCTCATCGTCATCTTCAGAATCAACAGTAACTGCAAATGAGTTGTCCTCGTCGACTGTAGTGTTCTTGCTTGGTATTATCAATTCCAATTCATCATCACCAACAAACTTGGCTTTTATTTTGTTGAATTTGATGACTTTGTCAAATTGAAAGTGCTTCTCAAAGAATACTTCTTGATTCTTGAATTCATTGATGAGATCTTCTGCGTCTTCTTGTAATTCTTCATCTTCAGAAGTTTCGGATTCTTCTTCTATATCTACTTCTGAGTCCTCTTCTGAGTCCTCTTCCGAGTCCTCTTCTGAGTCTTCCTCCTCATCCTCGTAGAATCCCTCAAAATCAGCAGTGTCTTCTTCTTCACCATCGATTTCATAGTCATCATCTGAATCTTCATTGTAGTTATCCCTTTTCTCCAATTCTTCAATCTGAGACAAGATGAAATCCCTCTTGGCCTTTTCAGCTCTACCCTTCTCTGCAGCGTTAAAGACCAAGGAGTCCTCATCACCAGAATATTCTTCTTCAGAAACCTCCTCTGGGTCTGCATAGTCGTACTCATCATCGTCCTCATCTTCGTCATCCTCCAAGGCATAGTTGATAAATTCTGCCGGTGTCAATTCAGTAACATCAACATCTTCTTCGTTCTCGTCCTCGGTTTCAGCACCATTGAAGTTCAACTTTCCCTTAATCACCAACTCATTCTCCTTTTTGAGGAACTCAATCTTCAATTCATCTCTAACCAAAGATGGAAATCTAACATTTAATTTGTACGAACCATCGTCTAATTCTTCCAACTGATAGTCTTGGCTGTCGGCAACATCGTCAGATAAATCAACTACAGAAAACTCTTCATCATCGTCCCTAATAACGTGTAGGTCATCATCATCATCATCATCCTCTTCTTCTTCTTCTTCTTCTTCTTCTTCTTCGCAGTCACACCCTGCGCATGGCAAGCTCTTGTAAATAGTTACACCCTCGTCATCAGATGATTCATCCTCGTCAGAGCTGTCAATCTCAATGTATTCAGGCTCTGAACCCAATTCTGAATCTTCGTCTCTAGATTCGTATTCATCGGGGCTAACTAATCCTTCTTCAAACTCCTGTCTAATGCCTTCAAGAAGCAACTTGTCATTCAACTTGTTGGTGTCAACGATGTAACCAATAACCTCGTCGTCGTCATCGTCTGAGCTGTCGTCCTCGGAGTCATCGGCCTCTTCGGTAAGGTGAACAATAGCTTCAACCCCATCTTCAGAATCACTAGCATCGTCAGAGTCTGAAGAACTTGAGCTAGCTTCCTCATCCTCATAATAAGCAACAATCTCCTCATTCAAATCATGGATTTCAGGAACTCCGAGTTCTTTAGCACTGACCAACTCGTCATCCAAATCAATGTAATATTCATCTCCATCGGAGTCCAATTCGACATCACTGGCATCAATGAATTCAACGTCCTCATCTGAGCTATCTACCTCGGAGCCATCTTGAGGTTTGAGGTCAAATTCATACACCTCTTCGTCTTCTTCCCCAGAGGAGGTATCGAAATCTTCTTCTAAACTGTCTTCACTTGAAGTTAACTCTTCCTCAACATCTTGCTTTTCTGTGTCATCGCCACTCTCTTCCCCTTCACTGTCTGGCTCTTCAACATATGCAAAACGTTTTGATGGTTGTTCGTGGTAATACTTTCTATATTGCTGCTTGTGAGGTTTTGCAACCCTAGCAGCTCTTTTTGGAGTAGCAAAACGAACCCCTTTCTTGTTGTACTTGCTCTTGTTTGGTCTTTGGTAAGTCATCTCTATCCTTAGTGTATAAGTAAAAGAAACAGATTGCAAAAGAAAATAAATGATGAGATTTAGCGAAAGTTCGGTCCCCTTAAATATTCATGTCAATTTTTTTTTTTTTTTTTCACATTGAAACAATTTTGTAATGAGATGCTGCGGCGCATTTTCCAAATTGGTACTTTGCCACCAGTATAGAAGGTTGAAGAAAATGACACAAATATGTAGCGCACACACAGAGAAAAATAAATTTTAAATTGCAAACTTCGCATTCACATTTGGTGGCGAAAGTAACACCACGGGTACCCACCATAGTTAACCTCCAGACATGAGTCCACAACTTGCCTCGAATGTGCAATTTGTAAACAAAATCATGGGCCACTTGTCAGCACGGCACGAAAGCTGTGTTTTCAAAGTAGCTTGAAAAGGTAAATGAATAACCACATCAGGACTGACAACGAATGGAACCTTTTGTTTAGGCTGCGCTTAAGTGTGGACAGGTTTCGATCGGGATCAGACAGACAGTCTTTTATTTGAGATCATCGGACAGTCTTTTTGAATTTGAATTCAGACAGTCATTTTTTGAAGCACAATCAACAACAAACGAATTTCAAATTGTTGAGCACTGGGGGAGGGAGGGGGGGCAGTTGTTTTGGTACTGGCATGTTGAGGATGTTGAGAAAACCAGGTTTATGATTCAATGAGAAGCTTGGCTTCGATGGTGGTGGTGACCCGGCACGTAGTAGACTTTTCGAAGCGGGATCTCGTGTAAGACGAACGTAGTCTGTTACGAAATGGTTCTGGTTCGCAAGCTGTTCCTGTGAGTGTGTCACTTATCTAACGACTCCAACTCGATACCGGCCATTGTGTAAGCTACTCCAATAGGTCGAATTCAAAATAAGCACTGGATATGACGTGTTACTCTAGCAACCATCGAACTGACCATTTTTCACTGTCGGAGAATGTGTCTGGAGAACTGTCTGAGAGAATGTCGGGGAATGTGTCAGATGCGCAATTGGCAAATCAACTGTGGCTTCGTGGCCACTCAATGAAGCGGCATCATTCTCTCATTGTCTTTATCTAACGTTATCTCGATGTTGCTTGATATGGAAATTAAAATTGGGTTTGTTTTGATTTCACGAATTTCGCGTCGACATTAAAATCAGACAGACAAAAATTGGTGTTTCAGACAGACAGACATTTTTAAGGATCCGGACACTAAACAGGCAGTATAATTGGAAGCACTCAAAGAGTACTCCTACTCTAACGCTGTGTTTTCATCACCTGATGAATTTCAGGTACCCTTGAGCTTTCCTTCTGAGAAGCAATTCCAAGGATATTGCTTTGAAATTTTGGTTGTGGTGGTTGTATGAACATTTTGGAATAAAGCGGTAAGTAGAGCTGATTTGGCATCTCCAGTTAATAAACGATTTCCATTATCAAGGAGCAATATTTCAGAGTACGGTAGGTGCTTCAAAATATCAGAAACTCATCCTCGCCAATATTTTGCCTCAACTTGTTGCGAAAAATTCAAGAAGCATAGACTATTGCTCTTTTCTTTTTTTCTTTTTTTTTTATCTCCAGTTTCTTCGAAGATACAATCTGTTATCTACTATTTCTATCAACTGAAGCTACATCACATTGGGACAACTCAAGTGCAAACCTACGTGGGCCCTCATCATACACACACTCTCATACTTTCACATGTCAAAAGAAAAAAAAATAATAGAATTTACCTCGCAACCGAAAAACATTTTTTTTTTTCTCTTCTTACCCCAAACTTTCATTTAAACCGACGAAACTACTTTAAATCATAGGTACTACACCCCCTACCATCGCGTGCACACAATCACCACAATGCCGGAGTTTTCACACCATATGAGAGCAGCTTTTGAGCCCAGTGAGACCAAGTTATTGACATCAACCCCTACTAGCAAACTATTGACGGATTCGCCGGTTTTAGCAACTGCTTTGTCGCAGATATTTCCATACATTTTATTAGTCGACGGAATCCTAGAAACGATTACATGGACAAACGAAGACCACTATCGCAACTTCTTGATTTTGACGGTGTATTCGTGTGTTGTGATGTATTGGAGCATGGTTAGCCATTTTTTGCTTCCCTTGATATTAGCATTGACATTTGCCAGTGTTGTTTGGCTGATCAGCTCAATTGTCTATGATTCCAAGTACGATGAGAAGCCAACGATAGAGGAGGTGTTGTATACCTTGCACAACATCACGATACGTTTTGAAATGATTTTCAGGCCGATTAAAAAATTCCCATTCACAATCTCAAATTATACCCGATTGTTAGTTGTAACGATATTGTTATCACCCGTGTACTGGTTTTTGGTAAAAACAGTGATTCCACCGCAAAAGTTCTTATGGTATTCTGGGATATTTGCGTTGACGTTTCACAGCCCTCATGCGTACGCAATCAGACAATTGCTTTGGAGATCGATATATCTCAGGCTTGTTGTTGTTTACATTACTGGGTTGGATGTCAAAGTGACGAAGAAGTATGATCCTAGTGAATACCAAGAAGTGTCAAGAGTACAAACACCAGCAACCAGTGACGCTGAAGGTGACGGGACGATTGCAACACCCACATTATCCAATTTCAAAATATTGAAAAAGAAGATGGTGTCACCTACGCAACTAAAACAAACTGTTGTGTTTGAGATTTTGGAAAACGAAAGACGATGGATCGGTTTAGGTTGGTCCTCTTTGCTATATCCTAGCGAGAGATCCAACTTCTGTTATGCGAATACACTTCAACCAGCACCTCCAATAACCATCCACAAGGAAGACTTCCCCTTCCCCATTTATGAAAATGATATTTATTCGTATCAATGGGAATGGCTCGATAAGGATTGGAAGTTGGACACCGAGTTTAATAAATCGAAATCTCAAGATGGCTGGGTGTATTTTGACACCAAGTGGGAAAATCCTCGATACAGAGATGGGTTTAGTAAATTCACGAGATCTAGGAAATGGACTAGAACTGCGACTTTGATGATTGATAAGCAAAGTACCGTTTATGATGAGTGATTGAATACATAGGAATCTCGTACGTTTTTAAACAATGTCGTAGAAAAGAAAGTCGTGACACATTATTGTCGCAATGTTTTAAGTGGAAGGAAAAAAAAAACGAGAAAGGAAAAACTCTAAGTTTCTCTGAAGTCATCTCTCTCTCTCTCTCTCATGTCAATCCTCCAACTCATCTCGTAATCGCAACCATGAGTTCGACATCCAATCTAGAGTTCGACAAGATACCGAAAAAGTACATTGATCCGCTTGCGCCAAAGGATAAGAGTGAAGGACCCAGAGTCAATGGGAAGGACTGGAAGATAAAAAAGGATGCATTCAGGGTGAAAAGCTTGGGAGTATCGAAACCAAATTCATTTCAACAGAGAGAGTTGAAGAAGCTACAAGAACAACAGTATAAAGAGAGATTGAAGGAACTTAAAGAGGAGAAAGAGACCGCTAAGAAGCAAAAAATTGAGGATTTGAAAAGAAGACGTGAAATCAAGGCGGAGAAGGAAAGGCACGAGAAGTTGGCAGCAAAGATGCACCAAAAGAAGGTGGAAAGGTTGAAGAAGCGTGAAAAGAGAAACAAGCTCCTTAAAGAGCGATAGGTCGATGAGCAAGGGGCATATCCTCGACGGGTAAGTTTTCTATCAGCTAACACGAAGATGTACTTGGAATGGAACAAGAATGGTGGCTTGGCTTTATGTGATTTGTCCGTCAGTGTCTACCGTTCTACATGATTAGCTCGTACCTTCAAATGCTGATAGTGAGTGTTCCTTGTCGTGTTATTTTATTTCATTTGTACTTTTTGATAATTTATATAAATTATACGAGCAACAGTTACTCTAAATTATTGTGGACTTTCTTTTTATTATTTTATAGTTATTTTTATTTTTATTTTTTTCTTTTTCTTTTTCGCCACCGAAGCTCAGAGAGAGAAAGAGAGCAAAGAAATTTTCTCTTTCCTTTTCTTTTTTTTTTTATCTCACATCCATGCATCAACAGTTTTTTTCATCGCTTACCCGGCCTGTTGGCAGAAGTATAAATAGGAGCGAGATTTCCCTCACTTTTTGCGAATTCAAAACATTTGAAATTATATATTGTTCCTGCATACAACCTTTTTATCTTTTTTATTTTTTTTTTTCTTTTATTAAAGAGGTACTCACACTAAGAGACAAATCAGCAAACCCCATATACACACCCCCATTATTAAGTTAACTGGGGAGACACTATTTTCTATAGGAAAGTTCATTTTCATCTACTTCACTTCCACTCAGAGGGATTTTCTTTTGTTTCACAACCAGCAAAACACCATCACTTGGACCACTATTTTGTTTTGCATTTATTTCCTTTACAGACTGAACGAAAGGAAAAGAAGCAATTTACACACAAGGTAGTTATTTGAAAGAAACGGGCTTTGCATTGGGGAAAGAAGAAATTCATTTGAGCTTCTTTTCTGTTTATTTTTTCCCGATATTTGTATTCTTTAACTACTGCTATTGCACGAAGGAATAGGGGTATCGATCACAACACGGACTCTTTGGGCCTTTCATTGTATTATTTTAAATTCATTTGCGTTTCTTTTTGAGACAAACAACTTTTTATTTTTTTGACATCAATCGCATTTGGGATACATTGACTTGTTCATCTCGAATATAACAAGCACAACAAAATTTTGCATTCATCATATTCATAGCTCAATTTTGATCTTGAACTTCATTTTTTCTTTTTTGCATACAGCAACAAAAACAACTTTCATATACACATCAACTTACTATCAAACATGGACTCGTTAAAGTTGCCACAAACTGCTGCTCAAGCTAAAGTGTTTACAGCACCAAATTCCATATTATTTCCCAAAGGTATAGATGCAGAAACTGAAGAAAATGACAGCAAAGACTTTGTTGCCAATGGCGCCAATGGCGCCAATGCCACGGTGAAGAAGGAGAAAAGTGCCGACATCATTGACTCAAAACAGCAACAGCAGCAGCAAGAAGATGACGGTGCCACGTCTGGAATAGTTCCCACGCTACAAAATATAGTCGCCACCGTGAATCTAGATTGTCGGTTAGATTTGAAAACCATTGCCTTGCATGCACGTAACGCCGAATACAATCCAAAGCGTTTTGCCGCCGTCATTATGAGAATCAGAGATCCTAAAACCACAGCCTTGATTTTTGCAAGTGGTAAAATGGTTGTTACTGGTGCCAAATCCGAAGACGATTCGAAATTGGCATCGAGGAAATATGCGAGAATCATACAAAAGTTGGGATTCAATGCCAAATTCACTGATTTCAAAATTCAAAATATCGTTGGGTCATGTGATGTCAAGTTTCCTATTCGGTTGGAAGGATTGGCTTTTTCACATGGTACTTTCTCTTCCTATGAGCCTGAATTGTTTCCTGGTTTGATTTATAGAATGGTTAAGCCCAAGATTGTGCTTTTGATTTTTGTTTCGGGAAAGATTGTATTGACTGGTGCCAAACAGAGAGAAGAGATTTATGCTGCTTTCGAGGCTATATATCCGGTATTGAGTGAATTCAGGAAATCATGATATTTGACAAGTTCTGTCACTGTTTCTTCAATTTGTAGATGTAGATTAATATAGATGATGCATAACTTGCAGTAATGGGTCTGGTGTCAAGAAGTATGGAGCAGTTTGGAGTGTCCCCATCTCTAAGTAAAGTAATCGTTTATTGCTTTCAGTTTGGTGGTTCTATTAGCCACTTTTCTACTCGTGTATACCAACTTTGGTTTCTTCGCAGTAGTGGATGTTTCTGTGGTTTCTGCGGTTTCCGCTGCTGCTGCTGCAACCTTACTGGACTGTGATTCTGGAGTTGCCAGTTTATCCAGTGATGATGTGACTGGATCAACACTTGATGCAGAAGTAGCTCCACTGTCCAATTGAACTGGCCTCTTTTTTCCATTACCAAACAATGTGGATATATCCCTTGTCCTGTTCAATTTAAAGTGATTCTTTGCTTCAAATGAGAGTCTAGGGGGATTTCCAATGAAAGTTGAGTCCGTTGCCACAGTAGATGGACTGTCCTCATTCCATAGACTGAAATCGGTGAACACGGGACAATGGTCACTGCCGAGAATAAATGGCCAAATACCGGCATTCGCCACGTGCTGTAGCATCTTTATCGAACTACACAAGATCAAATCTATCCGTGAACCGTAATTGATTTGCCTTGAGCTTGTCAACGTGTTCCAAACAGTGTACAATTTCCGCCTTCGACCTTGAACATACCTTGTTGTGTCATAAAGAAAGTGGTTAGCAAATGAAGTGGCAGTAGGAGCTGGTGCCTCTGTGTTGTGCTGTACCAATGAACGTATGACATAGTCATTCAATAACTCGCGAGCAGGGCGTGATTTCTTGAATTTGCAGCATTCGTCGTAATTTGCAAGTTCAAAAGCACATCCATCGGTAATATCAGTGATTTGTTTGGTCTCTAGTCGGTCATTGATACCTTCGGCACTATCAATCAAATCAAGGCACACGTTAATATCACCCATAATTATAACATCCTTCCCACATTTGAATTTCAAGTTATGGCATCGTTGCAACAACTGCTGTAGGAACTGTAGTCTATACACTTCTCCTTCTTCTGTCGCCAGTGAATTTGCCGGACAATACAATGCGAAAACAACACAGTTGTTGACCAATTCAACAACAACACATCGTCCTTCACTATCGATGTGCAACCCCTGAGTTTCATCAATGGTTGTGTATCCGCCAATACTCTCATCTTGCAACCTGTATGCTTTCCCATTTTTGTCAGCCAACCACCCACTCAAGCCTTCTTCAGCTTTTACAACACTGAGATATTTCCGTTCTGTTGGAGATTGCGGAACGCGTACAAATAATCCAACACCACTATATCCTTTCTTCTTTGCTGGAAGACTAATGAACGATCGATAGTTTTTCAAATGGCCAATGTCTTTCAAGGAACCTAAAGACTGTTCTGTCAATTTCAATTCTTGCAAGGTGATGAGGTCTGCTTGTAGGAGATCAAACATGGTGTTTAAGTCGTTATTGATCTTGTTCCATGGATGATAGTTGAACACTGTCTTGATGCCATTAACGTTGAAAGAGACAAATCGGATAGAGTTGGCATCTTTGGGAGAGATTTTGGTAAACGGTTGCTGACGTGATATCAGATCTGGCATTTCCTTGGAAAGAATCGTAGCGTTTCGTATCATTGAACGAGCTTAGACAGAAATTTGTTTTTTTTCTTTTTTGTATTTGCGTCGTGCCCGCGTTTCAGCTACGACCATTACCTCGATTTAGTTCTTTTATACACTGTGACTAACTATCTGCAAAGGGACTACAGTATGGCCGTGGAGTGAGTGACTCTCATTGAGCTACTTTAATGAAAAAAAAAATAAAAAGAAAAAAAAGATAGTCGTTTCTAGCTCATATTTGTGAAAGAGGTGGATCAAGTTCTGTGTATAACGAATTTGAGTTTGGTTATCGTAGTAAACGTAACTACACTTCTTTTAACTGAGATGTCCAATAGCGCCATAGATAGATTATTGATGAGTAGCGATGATGCAATGCTTGTTATTTTTGATGTATAGTTGTCTTTTCAATTAAACTTTGCATCGAAGAAGGACGCAGACGATTCTTTTGCTTTGATCCACCAAGTGAAACTGTTTTGTGGGCGGCGTGCTGCTACTGGATTGGTATCTTTTACCTTTGTCACATTAACTTTTAACAAAGAAAAGTTCTAGAATCGATATTTATCAATTAGAGTTCTCAATGGGGTCTATTGTGTCTGTCCATTGTTCTTCTCATTTGTTACCAAATAAAGAGAAGACTAGTACTACTATTTGATGTCAAAAAAGAGACAACAATAGGCTGCTAAAGCAACGCGTAGATTTAAAAATAGTTTGCTACTATTGTGGAATTGAAAAGTTTTATTGTTGTTGTTTGATGATGAAGCAAAGAGAGATCTTATAAAGAGAAAGCGAGAGAGAGAGAGACACACAAACAAACACACAGAGGATGTGTGTGTGTGTGTGTGTTATTGTGTTTTGTTTACACAAACGCGTCTGAAGAAATTATTTATGAGTAGACGCACACGACCTGTGTAAATGAAATTTCTTTTCTTCTTTTTTCATTTCGATTCGTTTCAGACAATTGTAGATCTCTTGTCACTACAATATAATATACTACAACTTCATCCACACATATACATACATATACATATATACATCAACTCGACGAGCCAAACACTTTGTCTTCAAACCTCCATTCGGCAAGTTACTACGTACTCATTTACAAGAACAGATTAATAGAGTGGATCACACCTCGCATTTCAAAAGGAGTAACGTCTTTAAACGATTAAATCCCATGCCTATTTAAAGTTTGACAAGATTCCCAGAATAACAAATCAAATAAGTGATGATAAACACACACGAGTTCAACCAACAGTCACCTTTCAAGCAAACACAGTGCGGTTCTGCAAACAGCTACAACCTCACTAATACTACTCAAGATTTAGTGAAGTTTCAGTTACAAGAACAATACAGATCTTCTTTGAATGTAGGTTCTGAAAAACAGCAGGGCCTGTCTCAAAACCAATACCCCTTGCAGGACGCATTTAACCATCACTTGCAATCAAATGCTTCATTATACCCTTCCTTGACAAATAACGTACCAAGCTTATCTTCGACGCCCACCTCCACGGATGACGATGAAGAAGGCGACAATACATCCTGTCTTGACTCATTTTTACAGTCAACCAAGCCAAACTATGTGAATTTGAGAATATTGGTTGAAAACGCAGCCTTTGACTCAAGTCAATTTGGCAAAGAGTCAATACTACCTTTATATGAAGTTCAAAAGCTAAAACAAAAAGTTGAGGAGAAATTAGAGTTGCAACAATACTTGCTTTCCAAAATTGCCTTATCCCAGCAATTCATCAATGAAGTCATTCATAAAGAAGGTGTGGTGGAGTCTGAAATTTTACTACGAGTCATTAAAACCTTGTCTTCATTGCAATCAAAGTTATTATCCAACAATAAGGAATTAGACGATGCTAGAGAAAAAGTCAACAACCACAACTTGTCGTGCATGCTTCTAGGCTATATCGAGGATGTGAAGCGCAACCGTTTTGATGGACAGCATGTGTCAGAAGGCTACTTGGATGAAGACCAGACGGGAAAATTTTCAAATTCAGTCACGTCATCACCAACAAGACGAATCCATACTTCTCCTAAACTTTATGAGTCACTCTCAGCACATCTTGCTAGTATTGCCGTTCAAAGAGATGTCACACTTGCTCCACCTCCTCCACCCCCTTCTTCTCCTGAAGAAGATCTTGACACCAAGGTCCAGTGGTTACAACAATGCATTGACGCCATACTTTTGAAGCCCGTGACGTCACAATCAACGGAAGATACCTCTTCAATTGCCAACAATTCAATGTTGGAAAAACTGCTCACGACATCTTCCTCCTCAGATACAAATAAGACTCTTACCGAGTATAAAACAGCCTTGACGGATTTGAAATTTTCCTATCAATACTTGGCCAAGGAATATGAGCTTTCAAGACTTAGTTCGTCAAGGCTCATTCAAGACTACAGAAAGAAACTTGACAAGTTGGAGAAGGACAAAGACGTGACTGATCTGAAGTCACACCGCAGCTCTTACTCGTCGTCAATGCCTCTTGGTAACTCCGATTCCATTGAGAACAAAGATAAAGAGATCACAAAGCTCCGTAAAGAGCTCCATTTGCTAAAAGTTGATCATATTGGAGCCTCCAAACGATCTTCTATGGCAACGCCGTTGAAGTACAACAGTGGCGAATTTTCGTCACCGACGCGTACCCTGGGTAAAAGCTCAAACACTAGTGACGAGGACGACGTGGCACGTCAAATTCTGTCTACTGTATCGAGGGGAACTGCAGCAACAACGTCTGCAAGTGGTGTCAGTAATAGCATATTGAGGAGCGAATTTAAGAAAATAGTCAGTGAGATGCAAGATTTCTACGAACAGGAGTTGGCAGAGGAGCGGATGATGCGAAGGAAAGTAGAGGAGGAGTTCAACCAGCTCAAGAAAGGAACATATGAGAGAGAGAGTAGTTAGGTATAACGATGTCATTATTTGTATATGTTGTTTTCAGTACAAAAAAAATTGTAATATATAATTCATCAATGATTACACAGACAAGACACGTCCTTGTCAGTACGACTCTGGCAACAAAGGAATGAGTCCTTCCAACAAGGGGCCCGTTTGGTTGTAAAAAAAAAAAAAAAAAAAAAAGGAGGTTGAGATGTGTACGCGATGTAGAAAATCAGTTCACATCAACTAAGCAGCCACACGAAAAGGCAACGCCGCCTACCCACATAGCAGCATCATGGGACGAAGAGAGAATGCGACTCCAGACAAACCTGCTCCTCTCCGAAACAATGCTCTAGCAACGGATATTGGCGAAATGTACTCTCTCGTCCTGGGTGGCTTAAACAAATCTGGGACTCAATCCGAGAGCAGTTCAACTTTGAAACTTTTGAGTCAGTTGCAACAGGAACCAAAACAAGAGGAAGGTGAAAAATTCCACCATGTATATAAGAGTGAATACATGTCATACGGAGATTTTGAGCCTAGACTGCCGTATCTCAAACATGATCAATCATCGACGTACCGGGAATATGATCGGTACCCTATTCACAGTGATCCCATGCCGAATGAGCAGAAAGAAGAATGCGAGAATTCAATGCAGGCATTGGATCTGCTGGCGGGCTCAAGTTCCAATTCTGAAACGGTGCGTGCTCAATTAGGAAATGTACAACAATTTGAGAAAGTGGCTACACGAAACCTATTAGCATTGGAAGATTCAAAACAACAGATGCCCTCATTGCTACAACCTCCGAAACCACTACTGACTTCTAAAAACTTTGCTGGCCATAGTGGCTCTGAGGATCCGGTGTCGCGAGTTAATATTGCACAGAACATAAAAGATATTTTGGCAAACATTTCAAACCTCGGGGCTATAAATAATGATGGAGTACCAAATGCAGCAACAACCATTGATTCTACGGGGAATAATTCAGGTGACGGGGATGGAGATGTACTGATGGCTACTTTAAACGATGACAGATCAGATCATCGTACCACGAATTTATTAGAGAATAAATCGATCGACGGGAAATTACCAACGCATGATCAACATCCTTTGAAAGAGCCAGAGGCTATGCTGCGTGATCAAGGTACAAGAGCTCCCCCACTCATGCCAGCAGAAAGCACTCAAAAATTGTCTGAAGGCAATGGCTCTATTGACACCGTGTCACACGCATTATCTGCTGGTCCAGTACATCCAGATAATGACCATTTTTCCTTGGAAACCTCACAAAAAACTACAAAGAGTGCACACCATCCGAATTCAAATGAAAGACATACTGAAGTACCTGCTGAGCAAAAGAGCCCTCATGGCAGCTATGCAACAAAGTCAAATCATACCTCGCGTGACAATAGTAGTGGGAAAGCTTTTAGCTTTGTAGTTCCGAACAGGGGTGAAGGACTTGTACGTTTCAATTCAGCCAAATTGAAAGAACATCTCACAGATCTGTATCAACCAATTTCGCCTTTCGAGCCAAACTCTACCATCAAACATAATCATAACCTAACAAGCTCGAATGCATCTGCTAAAATAAAGTCAAGCAAGGAGCAATTACAAAAGTATCTGCGTTTTGGCAAACAAGATTTGTCCAAAGGTGAGAGTTGGATATCTCAAACGGATGCTGGTAAATACACCAAGACTGATTCCCAACCCGAGAGACACTCACAAAGACCAAGCAGGCCACGTCTGTCCCTGGTAAAGGACAGCAGCAAAGGAGTCAATACTTATGGGTCCAATTCTTGGGTTCGTGAAGGGTATGAACCCCCTACTAAGAAACACAAGGTCGAACCTGGGATCACACAGCATGATTCTTGTAGGCCTAGTACCTATTCCAAATTTAAACATATAGCACTGCAGCTCAAACCAAGCAAAAGTAACAAGCAGTTCATTAGAGATCCGGTCAACACTTTCAAAGTATTTGGTAAACCTAATTTTCAAATGGTCCCATACACTAGCGATCAAGTTGAGAAGCTACTAAGTGAAAGTCTTTCCCATCCAGAATTGAAAGTTGCATACTTTGTCCAAAAATCTCAAGACTTGGTTCACAAAGCGCACGAGTCAAAAGTTGTTGATAAGTCGATGCAAAGTGTTTTCAATTATCAAAAATTCATCAAAGGTGCAATCAAGTGTTTGATGTTGGTTGTTAAAAACTACACAAGAGACTTGAATCCTCAGCAACTAGTATCGATATATTACAAGATTGCTAAATTGTACCTCAACGAGACGGAGAGCCTTGACTTGGCGGAAGCGTATGCAATCAAAGCTCTGAATGTGTGTCGAGACCATTCTTTCACTGAGTTTCAATTCTTTTGTGATTTGTTGATGATTGAAATCTATGAAAAATTTGACATTACAACGGTTGTTGGATTTGCACAGAGAAGAGTGGGCTTTTATGAAGAGTCAGGATTCCATGCATTAGCAACATGCTTGCAATTAGCGAGAATCAAGTATTTGTTGGTATCAGACGTGTCTCTTGCATTGGTTAATATGCAGCGATTACTCAAGGACCCCAAGTTACATCCAAGTATCAAGCAAATTACTGTTGTTTACTTGGCAGGCTTGCACAACTACCGTGGAGATCATGCGGCTGTTGTGGAATTACTTCGAGGGTTCGACATGAAGGTCACCCAACCATTTGCTGCCTATGTTTTAATGACTAAACTACTAGCAAATGTGTGTTTGAATAACACCCCTGAATCCAAATTTTTGCTCAAGGAGCTAATGCATATTTTGCAGGAAGGTGAGAAATTTAACTGGGGGGAATGGCTGATCAATGGGGATATCAAGTTTCATATAAAAGGTGAACTAGACGTGGAGTTTGACTTTGTTGTTTCGTGGTTGCCTGTTGTTGACTTCAAAATTATGTTGTATTTCTTGAGTGGAATTGCCTATTTACATTCTGTTGGAGATAAGTCCAAAGTTTGTTTCGAAAAGGCTTATTCGCTCATTGTAAATACACAACTGGATCTCAAATCGAATCGAAATTTGGCAACATACTTCACAGCCAATGATTCAAGGCAACGTGAGTTGAGGTTGCGGTATATTGGGTATTTGGTACAGTTTTATCAACAATGGCAATTCTTTGTCAATGACGATGCCAAGATTGTGTTTTTGAATGATTTTATGAATGCAAACAACAAGCTGTTTACGAGAGAGGAGTATGCGATGTTCAAACCAATGTATCCGTACATCAACTACATGTTTGCATTGTATTACCACGGCCGAGGTGATATTCAAGCTGCCAAGTTCTACTACTTGAAAGTGAAGAACATGACAAGTACTTTACTCGAGAATGACCCTTCTACTTCATTACAACAGATGAACAGTCGTCTTGGGGGGGATACCGTTTGTCCAAAAGGTTATTTCAATGAATTGCATGTTTATTCAACATTCCATTTGATCATTTTGTTAGATTACGAAGTCAATGAGATTATGCTGAAGAAGGAAACTGATGAGTCCCAATTGGCAGTGGGGAAATTCACAGCGATTAGAAACACTCTTTTTGATGAATTTTCAACTGGTATCAAACAGCCACCAAAACACGCCGACTCTTTCCAATACAATTTTGTCATTCACAACAAGCTTTTACGCACGACATTGGAGATCACTATAACTTTTCTTCAAGATATCAGTCCCCATTTGACCATTAAAGATCTCAGACTGATGTTGGTGAAACTTGGCGACAAGACCACTTTTTATTTTGTTTCGTTTATTGTGACGTATTTTTTGATTAAGACTTCAGGAACGAGTGAGAAAACTCGGTTGATTGAGCTGTGCTTCACTGTGTTGCCCAAGTCGAGAACAGAAACAGTTGAGACGTCCCTGGGTAATAAAGATCAAGTTTCCATTTCCGAATCAGCGGATTCGTGTCGAGTTCTCTTGTTGCGTGAATTGATTGAGGTACATCAAAGCACTGGGTTGCATAACCAAGTGAATATGGAGAAGGCTCAATTGGAGAGATTGTACAAGTTATTGGCGCATAGGTATACCACGTTGGAAAAAAATGTCATTTGCGATCCAACTTTCAAGATCTTGTCACAAGTGAAATCGGAGAATGAAGATGCAGAGATGAAGGATGCTTGAGGTGTTTCTACATTACTCAAGTTTTCTTTTTTTTTTTTTCTTTTTCCTTTTTGTCAACCATTTACAAAAGTTTGTTGTGATAATATACAAATACGCATCTAGGTGGGTTTAATTACTCCTTTTTGGATTTCTTCTTCTTTTCGCTCTTGTCGTCATCACCATCCTCAGCCTTCCTCTTCTTCTCTTTCTTCTCCTTCTTTTCCTTCTTCTCTTTCTTTTCCTTCTTCTCCTTCTTGTCCTTCTTGTCCTTCTTTTCCGAATCTTCAACCTTGACTTCAACTTCTTCAATCAAAGTCTTTTTAGGTAATTGAGGCTCAGGTGCCACTAATTTTGACTCTGGAACAGCTGGAGCTGGTTGTTCATCCAAATCATTGTACTCCTTCTTCCAAGTTTCTGGTGTGTTTTCATTTACTCTTCCGTATTTGTCCAATTTTCCATCGGCCTTCAATTGTTTCTTCTTTTGTGCAACCGGACCCAAACCCCATCTTCTTGGATAAGTGTCTCTTTCCATGATACATCTCTTGACCTTGGCAACGACACCATGATCACATCCTTGCAAATCAACAGTGGTCATTTGAGCAATACCAATGGCAATGGCTTCACCTTTGGTTGTGATCAAAACAACCTCGTCATACAATTCAATGCCTTCTTCATATCTCAATAAACCGGGTATCATCAACTTGGCACCGTAACATACAGAGTTGACGGCTGAGTCTTTGACTACAATTCTCTTGTAACCCACCAACAAAGTTTCCAATGGTTGGATAATCTTTCTCAAGTAAGATTCATCTCTAGTGTTATCGTAAACGTATTGAGCATCCAAAACATCGTGCAAAGTCACCAAGTTGTCCAGCTCACTCATGGCACCAGAACGCACACGACGCAATTCTTGCATATGACCACCGACACCCAACAACATACCCAAATGGACACACAATGTTCTCATATAAGTACCAGCTTCACAAGAAGCCCAAAACACACCCAATCCTCTCTTGTTATCGAATTCAATCAATTTGGAATCGTAAACAGTCCTAACTCTCAATTGTCTCTTGACTGCTGAAATCAATGGTGGTCTTTGAAACAAAGCACCAGTCAAATTCTCCAACGCTCTATTCAACTCCTTTGGATCCTGCAACTGATCGTGCAACCTAACAATACACACATACTCCTTACCTGCACCTTGTTGAGACTTGACCAATCTAGTGGCACGATCAATACAAACAATCAAACACCCAGTAACCTTGGGGTCAAGGGTACCTGAATGACCAGTCTTTTCAACTCTCAATATCCTCTTGATCCAAGCCACGACTTCATGCGAAGATGGGTTGGATGGTTTATCCAAGTTGATAACACCAGAAGAAACATATGACTTGAGGTCTCTACTGTTTGGTGAAGAACCAGCCGGGATGGGGGTATAGTGACCCGATCTAACGAGAAGTTTATCGTAGTTTTTCAATAAAAGTGGCCACTCCGAAGTGTTATTTGATGGAGTCACGCTCTCTGGCTTGATTTGAAAATCCTCTTTTGACATTGTGTTTTTAATGTGGAGAAGAGTATATATCGCTGCTGAGGGTTCAAGATTAACGATGGGACTGAAAATTTAGTTGCAGTTTTTTTTTTTTTGCCCATTTTCCTTTTTCAGATGAGCTCGCACGAAGCAAAAAATAAAAAAAAAATAAAAAAAAAGAGAGAGAGAGAGAGAGAGAGAGATTTGTTCTCCATGAGAGCGTAACTATATGCAGGAAAGTATAATATCCACAGACCAGTAATATACATGAAAGACGGATCAAGGTGCCCTTGATTTAACTAGACATACATATTGCGATGCTGTACAACGATTTCAAGGGGAAAGTCGAAAAAATGATCTTCAATTAAAATGACTCTAACAAGAAGCTCAACGAGCAAATCTGAAAGTTGCATGATGTATCATGTGCGTATGAAATCAGCACTGTCGAGATGCAGCAATGACTGGCTTTTATTGCAAAAACCCTTGGCCAGGTTAAGGAAACAACAGGGGTTCATTCACAAAAACACAAGATCGGACCAAATTCTGTCCATATCAAATACTCATCAACGCTGGGTACTGAGCGTAAGGCAGGCGATGTGATACCATGGAAAGAGGAGTGGAAGGATATCTTGTATGACTTGGTTTTCTGTGTATTTTTTTTTTGTTATCCTGCTTTGTGGGATCTGCTAGCCGCTTCTGCAACATTTCCAATATTGCAAGTAGAACCAATTAGAATTAGCAGTAGCTACGAAATGTACTTCCCTTTATTCAAGCTCTCGTATAATGTATTTAAGGTAAGGAACATTCCAAGGTCCCTTGACCTTGTCTGCATAGGGAAGTTTCGGTTGAGAGAGCAGTCGTGTAGAAGGGCAAACGCGCATGTTTGTTTTGCAACTATCACCAGCATAATATGGAATCTACAATGTGCACCCCTTGACACATACTACAGCCTTTGGTGGACAAAGTGTTCAATCTACAAGAGCAAATGACTGGCATCACAGAGAAGTGTGAAATTTAAATCCAAACTATAAACTTTTTCTAGCCAAGCAAGTAGCATCACTATTTTGTTACCAGCGTTGTTAACGGGCCTATTGGAACGCACGGCTTGCTCAACCCAAAATCACATATGATGAAAGTTATCCTCTCACGAACTTAGTTGGACAATCTGCTTCTTTTACTCACGCGTGAGCAAACTTCACCCTCAGCAATCGCCTGACTATCTAAATCGCTACCCACCTCATAACTTGCCACCTTATTAGCAACATCAGCATTCTCAATTTCATCTTTATCAACAATAACCACCTTTCTCTTGACACCTTTGGCAGGACAATTACCATGAACTAAATTGAGATGTCTGTTCAATGAATCACAGCGATAAAAAGCCTTACCGCAACCTTCCCTACTGCAAATAAACAAAATACTCTTGATTTCATTTTCATATTGATGACAACTATATTTGACAAATCCATTCTTCAAATGCTCGTAATGCACATGATGTTTCAATTCAGCTCTCTTTTTAATTCCTAGGAAATGCATAGGGCACTCCTTCACGGGACACTTGAACTTTCTTGTGGTTGCAAATTTAGTGCATGTGAAGATATCCAAATTGTTAATCATGGTGTAGTAGTTTCCCTTTGATTCGTCTTTGGATAAATACTTTTTGTCAGACTCAGTCATCTTGATCTTGCAAATGGATGATTTAGTGTACTGGTCAAAGAATGCTTTCTTATAATCCTCCAATCTCGAAGCTTCAACACCCAAAGTGGCGCCATTATAAAACTGAGAAGAGTCTGTCCACTTTATGGGTGCGGTAAGTTCACTAGTGGAGATGGCCTTGCCAACATCAGCTTCATCAGAATAATCGCTGTCCTCGGGTTGAGCTAAAGGACTGTCACCAGAAGACACGTCAGCATGTGATACTGGTGTAGTTTTAGGTGCAACAGGAGTCTCAAACGTATTCGGAGGGGCTGGAGTTGTTGCAAATTTAAACATTGACAACTTGTTCAACTGCGGCGTAGACAATCTTGATAAGGAGTAGTGTCTTGGTGAAGTTGATGGAGGAGCTGACATCGCCATGACACAGTCACGAATAGTTGAGCCTTCTTGTTGAGTTAAGTCCAAAACACCCTCATTGTCATCATCAATAGTTTGATTAAACACATTTTGAATGTTATCAAGTAATCCTCGCTTGAGTTTGAGGTGTATTGGTGCGGGCTGATGGCAGGTCAAACTGTTTGATTGCAATTCCTTTGGACATATTGAGTAGAGTCCAGTTTCGTGAGACTCTTCCATGTCGGCATCCACATCCATTTCAAAAGGCGACACTCGGTACAATGCAGGTGTATACCTCAAGTCTTGCTCAACCAACGAGTACAAGTCACTAGCAACACCAATTTGACTCAATTGTGACTGTTCAAGTGCCTTGTGTGGATTTTGGTACATTTGTGAGACTGGCAACGAGGAAACAACAGTGTTGGCAGATGCCAATGACTGCGAGCTTGAGGGATTACTTGGTGACTCTGCTACTTCGCGTTTGCTTTTGTCTCTATCCTCAGTATACGACTTGAATCCACTCACACTGTTTGGGAAACTTGTGCTCGATTGGGAGTGGTGGGGATTGGGAAATCCTATGCTGACGTTGTCCTTGGTTCCAAAGATTACACTGACTGGTCTTACCTGAGACATTTCGACAACATCACTTGTTTGTGGTTTGGGGGTGTGGGCAATCAATTCGTTCAACAAAATGGCTGATTGACAAGTGAGACTATGGCCATTTTCCACTGATGATACCCGAACAACAACTTCATCAATACTCAAACTTGGAAGAGAGCCTCTATTCTTTTCCGAATGGCTAACTGGACTATCCTTTTTGACGTTGGAATGATACGATTGCCAAATGGCAGCTAGTGGAGACATAAGGTTTCGAACGATGATGCCCTAGTGATACCGTTTATCAGCAAGATATGAATGAACACAGAGTATGAACTAGCCGGGGTGTGTAACGGTGACTGTATCCCCCCTAGTGATGCATTATTCAAGTGGAATCGAACTTTGTGTTGTATCGAATGTGTGACTGTTTTGGATACAAGAGGGCACACGATAACAAGGGTCTGCGATTTGGTGCATATTTATAGCTGAAATTTTTTTTTTTTTTTTTCGTGGAGTATTAAGACGCTGTTAGTGGAGAAACTTCAAAACATCTAAAGGAGAGCTGGTGATGAATTGCAGTATCAAAAAGTGAATGAGTAAGTTTACACATCAGGGGAAGGGGGAGAGGTGTGTCCAGTTGCTTAAAGGGAGTGCTAGAAAGAGGGGATGGAGTCTTGTTGTCTACAACCAATGTCGGTTGCAAAGTGAAGAATGTGTTGTTCTCTGTTTGAAAGGAAAAAAAAGAAAAATCTGGGGTAATGAAGATGAAAAAGATGATGAAGAAGATGATGAAGAAGATGATGAAGAAGATGAAGAAGATGAAGATGAAGTAAAGAGAGCATGTATACCCGTTGAGTATGTTTTGTGTGAACCCCGAGATGAGAAACGACCCACGGTTGGTCTGATTGAATTTCTCTTCCTTTAAAGGTTGGATGGTGGTGTGCAAAGTTGTTGTACTGATATACTAAAGTCTCTCACTATACACACAGAGAAACACACCACCGCTTTCACCAGCTTTATTGTGTAGTTGTTCCCGTTTGTCATGATCTCCGTGTATGCATATCCTTACGATTATCAAACTCTAACAAACTGCATCTTTCCTTAATTTGAGCTTCACAAATTGCCGTTTGTACATAGAGTGAAACTTTCGTATACACCGTATGCCTTGTATGAAAGTTTGAAGGGCCCTATGATTCAGCCATACTGACACACGACATAATGTTAGCAATCTTTCCTATACCAAAATGTGTCTCGTCTGTTTTTTTAGTTTATGAGTCAACTGGTGACATGTAATCAGCTCATTTCTTTTGTTTCAGCCCCACAAACATTCAACTGAAAAGAAAAGAAAAGAAAAACAAATGAGGAGAAACTTCGCAAATTATGCACCACCTACAAAGTGATGCCAAAAAAACAAACAAGTAGAACGCAGAGTGACCCGAGTTTATCAACCAGAGAGGGGAGTGTTAAAAAAAAAAAAAAGACTCGCGTTGTAGCATTTGTATTTCTCATTCTGTGGTCTCGATTACTTGGCGGCTTGTGTGAAATGAAATGCGGGCCAAACGTTCTCTTGAATGAAACTACATAACGTAAGTAAGGAGTCGAGCTTGAGACACACAACGAAATGAATAGTCGACACAAAGTTCAGTGAGAAGGGAGTCATGTACCCTTTCTCGTATAAGGGCTATGTAACACACAAGAGCAATCTTCTCATGGGTGCAGTAACAGGTGCAATCTGGTCCATGGTTTTTTGGCAATTTCATTAAAAGTGATGTCTGCAAGCAAACCACATCAAAGGAGTACTAAAGGAGTCACTTTTGGCTGCTAAACACATGGCTTTGTGTCGTATATTTCTTCTGCAGTTTCTTACAAAACACGCTTTGGAAAATGTTTAAAGACAATGCCTATCAACGAGTGTACAATTCTGGTCATTCATCAAAGTCTTTACTATCTTGTTAATTGTATAGATTGGTCCTTCATTCAACTTTCTAATGGGTGCGTTGTAGAGTGTACTGACTACCCAACAATAATATTTGAAATGAGTATCCCTCGTGTGAGCAATTTCTTGCTACTTCTAAAGGAAAAACACAAATGAAAAAAAAAGAACAAAACAAAAAAAACTTGCCCCTCTAAAGTGGGAAGGTTGGTGTTAGTGTGTGTTGTGTTCTTTTCTTTTTTTGAGGAAAGTTATTTATGTTGCACTTCTTTTGGAGGTGCCTTGGTTCACCAGTCTAAGTAAGTTGCGCTTTGCGCTACCCTCCACGCGTCACTGTTGACAATGCGGCACTAAACTTTAAAATTTTCGGTGTGCAATACCATGCGTATATATATCGCCATTCAACTCAATTCTACAAACTCTTGTCACAAATGTGTATTACTTCATTTTCAAAAGTTACTCAAATGAGGAGCTTGGACAACAAGTGGCTAGAGCAAGAGGCCCGCAGCATTACTCAACATTCCAGTATACACCGAGAAGAACCTACTGAAGTTGAATATGAGACTTTTATCGATGAGAAAAGATCAAGTTCCCATATGGATTTAGAGGCCCAGACCTACAACGTACATGTTGATCATTTATTTGAAATTGCCGAGCTGATTGTTGCCTTGAAGCATCGAAAGTTTCGAATCTGCGCGGATGCAGTAATGGGGCTGTCACCTGTTGTTATGTTAATATTCTTCTGGTTCCTTATACATGCATCAACTATGGCGGATTTAGCACACTATTTCAAGTGGTTGGAAGCTTTTGTATCTCTTGTGCATCTAATGGGATTTGGTTTAAATTTACAGTACTACAGGACCACTGTTGCTGTTAAGAACTTGAGAGACGGGGTCAACTTGAACAAACATGATATTTGCAAACTTGGAACCATTCCGAGATTAATTGTCGGTGCAGTGTGTTTTTCAGTATTATTTTCGATACTCCACGCTTTGAGCTGTCTTGACGAGTATGTTCTCATGTGGAGAACCCAATTTATCGTGGCATATCCGTCTTACTTATTCATAGTTACGAACTTTGTATTCCCAAAAACTTTTCGATGGCCGAGACTTCGCCATGAGGTTAGAAATAAGAACGTGGAAGAACTATTACAAGAATTGATTCAAGAAAAAAAGGGGGGAGGGGCGATATGCACTCAAAAGCTTGAGTGGAAATGTTACTCACCAATTATGATGCAAGACTACTGTCATTGATGAACAACATCCTATTATCACAACCAATTCCGAATGACGAGAATGGCTTCCAAATGATTCTTTCTTGATTACTAGTTTTTAAAAGTGTAATACATTTTCGATAAACCCAAAACAATTCTCTTACTGACTAGGAAAAATATTGTTGTCCAGTTTTCGTAGTGGTTGATTTGATTTATTCAAACTCACAGGAAACGGTGCACTCTCTCTTGTGACAATACATTCTACACGTTTTTATTTCTAGTATTAAATACGATTTCCATTGTCTTGTAAGTAAAAAGAACTAACTATAGTTATAAAAGGTCAAAACAAGAATTGAACTAAACAGCACTCTAACTCCCCTCCCATTCTAAAACAATTCCCATGGCTTCCACTTGATCTTGTGGCCGTCACCAATTGGAATGTCGACACCCTTTTCGCCATCTTCAACAAAATCTGAATCTTGTCTTCTTCCCTCATCCAAATCGACTTCACTCAAGTTGACCCACTTGGATTTGTGCCACAATTTGAAACTAATAAAAAATACGAAAAACACTGGTAACAAGATGTAAGCATCAACAAAATCTTTTCCGGAAAATGGCTTAAACGATGACCATCCTTGAATCAAAGCCAAGAAAATGTTTAGAACGACACCGGCAATGGGTAAAATAGGGTACCATAACCCCTTATAAGGCAATTCATCAGTAGATCTTCCTTGCAACTTCATGGCAGTTCTGAAACGTAATTGGTAGAAACAAACATTACCCCAGACGATAAACACTGCAACACCGGAAATGTTGACAATATAACCATAAGCTTTGGCTGCACCTGTGCTCTGATTCATCAAGGAAATTAATCCAAACAAATTCATAAGGATAACTGCGGCATAGGGTACACCTTGCTTGTTGACTCTCTTCAAAATAGCTGGCGCACATTTTTCGTTTGCCAAGTGCACCATTGCTCTTGATCCAGTGTAGATTGATGAGTTGATGGCGGAAACACAAACAGCAACAATGAATGCATTGACCAAGTGAGCACCACCTTCCCATCCAGCTCTTTGAATAGCAATAGTCATTGGTGATTTCAAGGCTTTGGTTGATTTACCCAATCTGTCATCGTTGTAAGGAACAGTCATACCATAGAATATAGCAATACCCATGTACACCAACAAAATACGCCAAAATGTTTGTCTAATAGCATTTGGAACGGCTCTACTTGGGTTTCTAGTCTCAGCAGCACAAACAGCAACAATCTCGGTACCACTGTAGAATGTACTGGCAAAAGTGAAACAACTAGCAACTGACTTGAATCCGTGGGCAAAAGCACCTGGGTCATTCCAGTAATGGAAACCAAAAGCCTTGTGTCCCTTTATACCACCAGCGGCGTATACAATAGAAAATATGTAAAACGCCACCAATCCCAAAATCTTGAACAATGCCAACCAAAACTCAACTTCCCCAAAAATGGCGACACCCAAGAACTGAAACAACAAAAACGGAAGCCATAAAATCAACACATATGCATAAAGCGGCACTTGTGGACCCCAAAATTGTAATATACTGGCAACCGAGTTGTACTCATTACTCAACACTGCAATCCAAATAATTACATACATCCAACCGACACTGGCACCCCACCCGAAATCAACAAACTTGATACCCAACGTTGAAAAAGCACCACCAGATGGATACAACGTGGCCAATTCACCCAATGACTGCATCATAATGAATGCAATGACTCCAATTGCAGCAAATCCAATCAAGATAGCCGCAGGGCCCTCTGCCAATGCACTTGAAGCACCAACAAGAATACCAGGTCCAATGATACCCGCGAGCGCCATCAATGACAAATGACGCTCCTTCAAACCGTGTTTTAAACCACGATCATCCACTGACAGGGCCGAGCTGGTGGTGTTGTATTGCAGCGATGTACTTTCATTACCAACTAATTCTGCTGATTTTACCAGTTGGAAAGTATCTTTGTTGTGATTGTTGATATCGATATTGTTTGGATACTGCTCGTGTGATGGCGAATGTTCAAACGGCTGCGACATTCTTCCCTAGAAATTTTTTCAAAAAAAAAAAAAAGTATGTTGTAATGGTTTGCTCTTGTCGACTATATGACAAGTGATGTATAATTTGGTTGAAAGGTAGATATTTTGGAAAGAAGGCAGATGGAGGGAGAAAGAGATTATAATAAATAAGTGAAGCAAAGAGGCATCTACTTATATATATATATTCAGTGTTATTAGCTATTGTTTGCGGATAAGGCATTTTGAAAGGTACTTGTTTTAGTGATATGGTTTTAAAATTAAAATTGACTGTGATGATGCAATATAAAAGAAAAGAAAAAAAGAAACTAATTTTTCATCTTTGTGCACAAATTGCCAAAATGAAATATTAACTCCCCCCTCCCCCATCTGCAAAACAAACAAGCAAACAAACAGAGAAAAAAATAAAAAATAAAAAAAGAAAAGGAAAAGCCTCTCTTCCGTAATCATATTATGCAATTTATTTAGCGAAAGTTCCTTTTACATATAAACTTTTATAGTCATATCTCATAACGATATTAAATGGACTCAAAGTTGGGGGGGGTTTCGTTTGTTTTACCTGATTCGTTCTTCAATTGCTACGAATAAGAGTCGGGCTTTTTACTCTCGCAAGTTTAGCCGCCATGATTGGAAAAAAAAACCAAAAAGAAAATAAAATAAAACTGCCGCCCCGACAAGTTTAAATGTGGATTACATAAACACAGACTATTTTTCGAATGTTCTAATTGAAGATACTCTCTCTACTAAACTATAGAGAAGCCATTTACGGTATTCACTGTTGCGGCTGATTGGTTTTGTGTGGACGACGAACATTATCCGTCCTAAACATTTGGAGCACCACAGTTGTTTGAGGCGTCAAATAATTCTGATTGTTTGAGAGCCACCAATACCACACAAAACGGAAGCACTTTGCAAATAAGGCGAGTCTTAGCCATTCTTTCCTCAATACTCTGTACCTTAAGCCACTGTTAGCTTCTTTGACGTACTTTTGCAAGCAGGAATCTCTGCATTATTGTGAATTGTAGTTGCGGAAACTGGGCCTAGCAAGGGTATCACTCTTCTACCTATTGACCCCTTTGATCTGAAATTGCGCTAAGCTGATAGACCACCAGAAGCGACTACACCCCTTTTGAGTGTCTAGCAGAAAGTGCTTCAATGATGATAATTAGATCACGTGAAATGTGGCAAACCAAAAAAACTGTGGTTGCAAAACTAATTTATGCGGCATTACTTAAATAAAACAGAGACAATAAAGGTCGTGCAAATTATCCCAATAACAGAAGGCAAAGAAGAAAAAAAAAACATAATAATATAAAAAAAACAAGGAACAGGAGATCTAAAATTGTAAGACACAATAACTCACCTTGAGCTATTTATGCAAGATTTTGTAATATACGGAGGACAACCGGGGAGCCACAGTTTTTGTATACTAGCTTCCTTGAAAGATCAGATGGTTATTTCATGCTGACCTTGAGAAAATAACAGGCTCCGTAAAACTAGGAAAGTTCTCTATACCGCAAAGTTGTGTATTGTGATTTCGTTACGTCTCCAACTGACTTTGTAGAAGTAAATGCACATAAATTGCAGTTGAATATCTTCTGCTGTGTGCCGGGGCTAGGATTCTCTCAATGATGAGCAGTTTCAACTGACTTACCTCCTCGATACATGCGTTCTTTTCATTAACATTCCACTTCCCCTTGATGCGCTATTTAGCCGAGGAAGTACAAGCGCAGGATGCTTTGTCGCGCGATTTTCTGAAATGTCGCGAAAACAAGTAACACGACATCGCATTCTCGTCATTCTCATCAAAACGAAGCGTAGAAAAATTTTCACTGGCAAACCTCTCCTTCTCTTCTTCTTCTTCTTCTTCTTCACACGCTCCTGTTTCTGCCCCAAATTTGCTTTGCATCCGTCGAATTATGGGTTCTGGTGATGGAGAAGATTAAGCCATGAAACCGGGCTTTTGCTTTTGATACTTGTATTGGTTTGGTTTCATGGATCGTGTGGATGGCTTTGTATCCATCGTGTGGCTCTCGAGATAATCTTAGCATGTCACGAGAGCCTGATCGGTCCCACTATATTTTTTTTGTCTTTTATTTTTGAAAATGCACTGCTACAACTGTAGAGGTTATCTGCAAGTGCAGTTTCTAGTCCCGAGCGATCTTTATTAAGAGAGAATAAGACGATTCGTTTGTTGGAGGTCACATTACATGGATAGGCAATTGTAGATTTTACTAAATTGGTGCCTCTACCAAATCAAATTAAACTACAGACTAAACTCAACCGGTCTGAAACATTGGTAAATCTCTTAAGTTCCTTCGCTAAAAATGCACGTTTGAATAATTCTGTTTATATTCGCAACCTATTTCACATTATTGATGATAAGGTTGACTGTCTTCAAAGCACTAGCGGCCACTCAAATGTAACGCTCTGTCGTAGCTCTTTTCCTCTATACCTTTGGACGGTAATTCTCACTTTGTATGTTCTGGTCTCAAGTCCGACCTCCTTGGAGCCTCCAACGGATGTAATTGTGCCAAGTATGTAATTGCCCACATAAGATAACACATGGCTAATCCTAGTATTACCGATGATCTAAACACAGTTCTGTTTTCTTGCGGCGCAAATACCCATGCCAATGCCGAAAGACCAACAACAGCAATTAGTACGATAACAACTGTATACCTGGGAGGGCGTTAGTACATTAATCCAATTTCACACCAGAGTACACCAGATACATACCCGCTCATTTGGTGAATTGATTGTCTGTAGTTGATATGTAAATGATGAAGTGAAAGCTTAGCAAAGGCTCGTCTTGCGTGTGTTGATGATAATCAGCGGATTACTTTTTTTTGTTTTTCTTTTTCTTTGTTGCCATTTTCGCTTTTTGGCGCTGAATGATGCTAACAATTCATTATTGATTGACCTAATGTCACAACCACCACTACTGCAACTGGTATCCAACTGGATATTCAACGTCATACAGCCGCTGTACTTGAACAAGCAGCTAGTTTATACCCATGTCTATCAGTTCCTACAGCAACACCTAAAAAGAAATTTGAATTTTAGAATACGAACACAAGTGCATACATCTGAAGAAACTGGACAATCGGAATTGTTGATCAACTTATTCGGGACAATCAATGTGAATGATGTCGTTGGGATTCCAATTGAAATATGGCTTCCATTTACTTACCCGTTTTCAGATTATGACAGAAATGGTGCTCCATTGGTGTACATAGTTCCCAATCACGCTAAAAGTTGGTACTTGACACCCACCAACAATGTTGATCTGCAAGGAAAGTTTTACCACCCATACCTTGCAAGTTGGCATCGCGACTTTAACGAAACGAGTGGAGATATTTCAAACATTTACAATTTAATCAAATTGGTCAATATTATATACCAGAGTGTTAGGTATGAAGTTCCCATTATCTTGCAACCAACGGTCCTACCCTCCAATGCACCACCAAAGCCAGCAAAAATTTCCTCGGAGGAAAACGCATTGTCCACAACACTGCAAACACACCTGTTTCAATCATCTCCTAGTCGGTCAGGGGTGGTGTCATCGCAAAGCACAGGTCCACCAGCTCTTCCAGCAAAGCCTCCCAAAGTCTTGTCACCACAGCAAACACTGTCAAATGCAATACCTGAAAAGTATCAAAGACCTTTGCCGCTACCTCAAGAGTCACAGTTTCCTGCATTGTCTGCTCCCCCTCCCATGTCTGCACCGGTCACACCTCAGCACACTCAATTTAGCACGGAAGATGGCGCGCTCACACCACAAGATGATAAGCATCTGCACAAGAAGCCTTCTACTCCAACGCACAAACAAGAAACCTCTGAGGCAATAGACCTAGTCGACAGCATTGCAGAGCTATCTGTTGTTGATAATGAACGCAGGGTCGCACTTGAAAAGATATCACAAGAATTCAATAGCTACTTCGCTCAGGATCCAATCCACAATCACACGCGACTGGTTAATCAAAACATTCAGAGGACCAATGCTTTATACGCACAGCTATCCCGTCATAATCAACAAGCGTCAGAGAATTTGAAAAACCTCGATGATCATATAAACCATATGTCCACTCGTTTGTCCAGTTTGACGCATTTAAACCAAGAGTTGACAGTACTTCATCAGCTCAACAACCAATCTCAAGACAAGGTCATCCTCAATAACTCATTTGAGCTACCATTGGATGAGTTAATCATTCCCGACCTGCCTCTAGTGAAGCAGTTGTACGAGGTCGTGCTGGAGATCAAAGCTACCAAGGACACAATAAATTTGATTTCGGGAAATTTCCACGGCTGCAAAGAGTTGATCAGTGATAAGAACTTGGATGCGTGTGTCAAGACGTTGAGAAACTTGGGTCGCGAGTTGTTTTGGTTGGAATTGACTAAAAATGAAATTGCCACCAATATAATGAACTTGCAAGCGTGAGCAAGAACTTGTTTTAGTCACATCGTATTCCCGGGTGATTGGCGGCTCAAGGTACTAAAATCTCATCAGATTCTGTCTTTTTAAAATACAACGACGATACTACGTATATTGGTGTGATCCCTCCTTTAACTGTATACGATTTAATATACGAAGATATCGTCGTTGTACATTACTTTTTTTTGCGAAAAGTTGCGCGTAGCAGAGTGCAGGCGTTGGCGCTACGGAGTTCATACGCAAGCTCTTGTCTATGTGTGGTAAATGTAGACAACAATAAAGGCTTTGGTTTTTTGGCATGAGGGTCTCTTTAGATAATCAATATAAAGTACAGATGGATTGAAAGATATAGTTCTTATGGAAAATACGCGTCTGGTTTATAGTAATTTACTCGGGTGGTCATACACACGAATAAGAGTTACCTTAATACATGAGAGTAGCTACATACGCCTCTTTAAAGTCAGGAGTGTTTGCCTCAAAAGAACCGAGGTTCTGATTGTAATTGCTATACAAGATGGAAGAGGATTTGGAAGACACGGTCTGGAATCACAACACAAATCAAGCTAAAAAGAAAAAGCAAAAAGCAAAAAAAAAAAAAATAAAAAATAAAAACAACAATTCCAAAATAGCCACTAGATTGACCGTCTACAAATAGGTTGCCACAGAGGAGATCAAAATCATGAGCTCAATTGAAGGGGTATGTACTCTATACTGAGTGGCTTTATCTTAAACGATTGTCATTACTAACCTTCCAATAGACGCCATCTCTGGAATTTGACGAGGTGATTCAGAATAAAAATCAACTTGTGTTTCTGGACAATGCCAGTAAATATTTCACCAAATCAGAGAAACAGCAAGTTGATATTGAAAAAACGAGCAACAGATTTAAGTACTTGCTTGGTCTTACTGGCTTATTTCGTCATTTCATAGAAGCCAAGGCTAATAAGGATCCGCTTTTCCGAAAAATTGTTGATGATTTGCACGATCTGGAAGCAAAGCTCAAATCGTCAAGTCATGATTCCGTTAGAAGAAGGAAGACCGAGAAGGAAGAAGACGCGGAATTGTTGAGAGAAGAAGGGTCAAGTAAGCAGCCTTTTGAGTTCACAGAAAGTCCTGGCTATGTCAACGGGAAATTGAGGCCCTATCAGATTCAAGGTTTGAATTGGTTGGTGTCGTTGTATGAGAATAACTTGTCAGGTATATTGGCCGACGAAATGGGGTTGGGAAAGACGTTACAAACGATTTCGTTTTTGGGGTACTTGCGTTTCATGTACAAAATTAATGGACCACATTTGGTGATTGCACCAAAGTCGACATTGGACAACTGGTACAGAGAGTTTCAAAGATGGATTCCCGATATAAACGTATTGGTATTGCAAGGCGATAAAGACGAAAGGTCTGACTTGATCAAGAACCGGGTCATGACTTGCGATTTCGATGTTATTGTAGCTTCTTATGAGATTGTCATTAGAGAAAAAGCAACGTTTAGGAAATTCGATTGGGAATACATTGTTATTGATGAGGCCCACAGAATTAAAAATGAGGAAAGTTTATTGTCACAGATTATTAGAATGTTTCATTCAAAGAATAGATTGTTGATTACCGGTACCCCATTGCAAAACAACTTACGTGAATTGTGGGCCTTGTTGAATTTCATTTTACCCGACGTGTTTGCCGACAATGACTCCTTTGATGAGTGGTTTCAGAAAGATGAAACGAATGAAGGGGAAGGGGAGGTGATTTCTCAATTACATAAAGTGTTGAAGCCGTTCTTATTAAGAAGGATTAAAGCTGACGTTGAAAAATCATTGTTGCCTAAAAAGGAGCTAAACATTTACACCAAGATGTCCCCAATGCAAAAGAACTTGTACCAAAAAATTTTGGAAAAGGATATTGACGCTGTGAATGGGGCCAACAAAAAGGAGTCCAAGACAAGATTACTCAATATTGTCATGCAGTTGAGAAAATGTTGTAATCATCCGTATTTATTTGATGGGGTTGAGCCTGGGCCCCCATATACTACAGATGAGCATTTGGTCTATAACGCTCAAAAGATGATTATTTTGGATAAATTGTTGAAAAAATTTAAAGCCGAGGGCTCGAGAGTCTTGATTTTCTCACAAATGAGTCGAATGTTGGACATTTTGGAAGATTATTGCTATTTCCGAGAATATGCTTATTGTCGAATTGATGGGCAAACTGAGCATACTGATAGAATCAATGCCATTGATGAATACAACAAACCAGGTAGTGACAAATTTGTGTTTCTTTTGACAACCAGAGCCGGTGGGTTGGGTATCAATTTGACCTCTGCCGATGTTGTGATTTTGTTTGATTCAGATTGGAACCCACAAGCCGACTTGCAGGCGATGGATCGTGCTCATAGAATTGGTCAAACTAAGCAGGTCAAAGTGTTTAGGTTCATTACTGAAAATGCTATCGAGGAAAAGGTTTTGGAAAGAGCTGCGCAGAAGTTGCGTTTAGATCAATTGGTGATTCAACAAGGTCGCAATAACAATGCTGCTGGGTTGGATGGACAGCAGAGCAGTAAGGCTGCATCTAAGAATGAGTTGTTGGATATGATTCAATTTGGAGCCGCGGATGTGTTCAAAAAGGATGAAAGTGAAACCCCAGAACAAAGCGAAGGAGCACTGGGACAGGATTTTGATATTGAAGAATTGTTGAGGCATTCTGAGGAAAAGACACAAGAGTTGAATGAAAAGTATGCCAAGTTGAATTTGAATGCCTTGCAAAATTTCACCAATGATGAAAGTGTTTATGAATGGAATGGAGAAAACTTTAAAAGAAAGGAACCCACGGCCATTGCCAATATCGGACATGCATGGATCAACCCAGGTAAAAGAGAACGCAAGGAGAATTATTCAATTGATATGTATTATAAGGATGTGTTGAATACGGGTGGCGGTGGCAGTGGTAATCGGTCACTGCAAGCCGTGTCCAAATCAGGTCCCAAACCACCAAAGCAATTGAACTTATACGATCATCAATTTTTCCCTCCAAAGGTGTTTGAGTTGTATGAGTTGGAGAAAAACTATTACAAGAAGCAAATTCAGTACCAAGTTCCATTGAAAGCTGGTGATGCGTCAAGTTTGAAACAACGAGAATTGGAACAGAAATTGGAACAAGAGGAAATTGCTCAATCGCGGCCTTTGACTGAAGAAGAGCGCCAGCTAAAGGTGGATTTGATGAAGCAGGGTTTCACAAATTGGAACAGAAAAGACTTTTATCATTTCATTTCTAGTTGTGCTAAGTATGGTCGTAATTCAATCCCATTGATTGCATTGGAGTTCCAAGGCGACAAGACTGAGGAAGAGGTACGTGAATATGCTAAACAGTTTTGGCGCAAGTATCAAGAAATAGAGGGATTTGAGAAATACATCGGTCAAATTGAACAAGGTGAGGAGAAGATTATCAAATTACAATTGCAAAAAGAGGCATTAAGGAGAAAGCTTTCACAATACAGGTTCCCGCTTTTGGAGTTGAAGTTGAAATATCCACCATCTTCAAATGCCAAGAAAGTGTATAGTGAAGAAGAAGATCGATTTTTGCTTGTTCAAATGTATCGATTTGGTATTGATCTGCCGCAGGTCTATGAATCAATCAAGGAAGCGATACGTGACTCACCCATTTTCCAATTCGATTTCTTTTTGCAAAGTCGGAATGTCACTGAATTGGCTAGGAGATGTAACACTTTACTCGGTTGTGTTTTGAAGGAAGTGAACCCAGAAAAGCAGAAACAGTTTAATGCATCTAATGGTGGTGGTACCAAACGATCAAGAGAATCTTCCACCAGTACTTCTAAAAAGAGCAAAAAGTGAAGAAAAAAAACAATAAATGAAAAAGAAAATGAAAATGAAAAGGAAAGAAAATGAGAACATTTAGTCCCCTAGCATGTAACAATTAGTTATTATTAACACTGTATAGTACACTTACCAGTTCTGAAAACTGGAGTCATTGATACTCTCGGTGGAGCTTCTTCATCAGACACTACTTCTCCCCTCTCAATAACAGTTCTATTAGCTTCTCTAATTGCATTGGGTTGATCCAAGAGTCAAACCTGGCTACAACTTTCCCCTTACGATCAATGATGAATTTCTCAAAATTCCATCGTACACCTTTGAACCCGAACATGCCACTTTTTTCATTCTTCAAGAATTGATACAATGGGGATTGATCCTCTCCATTGACTTTAACTTTCTTCATAATTCGAAACTCAACCCCATAATCGCGTCGACATTGCGAAACGACCTTCTTGTCTGATTTCGGCTCTTGATTACCGAATTGGTTACAGGGGAAACCCAATATTTCAAACCCTTGCGAATGGAACTTGGAGTAGAGTTGTTGTAGTTCACGATATTGCGGGGTAAACCCACACAAACTTGCCACATTGACTATAACGACAACTTTGTTTTCAAATTGTTTAAAGTCAATCAATTTGTTTTCTGCATCTGCGAGGGAGAAACTGTAAATTGATGGCTGTAATGGCTGTGGTGCCTCTGTGCCTCGTATCGTCGTCGACGAGTAGGTCGTGGCAGTGACCGTACTGGGTTCTGCCATATGGAGGCTTTGTGCTGAGGTAGATTGGATTAGCGTGTGCAGAAGACTGTCTACCTTGGGTAAAGGGGTGGGGCGAGATTGTTGTTGTTGCTTTTCTTGTATTCAATTGATCACACGGTTTACGTGATGTACGAGAAGCCGTTGTGCGTCTTTTATGGTTTTGTCTCGCTCTCGCTCTCGCTCTGTCTCTCGTATATATATTTTTTTTTTTCAATTTCGAAATATGTTTGTAATTTCTCATCGAAAAGTTAGAAACGCATTGGTAAATACAATTGATATTATATTAGAGAAAGTATTGAATGAACTTGAGTTTTATATAATGCTATTCTGGCTTCCAAGTTTGACATTCTTATGTAAATCTGCTTTTGAAATTGATTTCCCCCCTGGCTTACGTTTGAAATGTCTTCTTTCCCATCGATATCGAAACCAGGCACCCACACACTGGGCAAGTGTTAATGGTTCCGCTGCAGGATTGTAAATGATTGCCCTTTTGGTATACCCAAGAACAACAAACGTATCGTGAACGTCTATCCTCCAAGCAATCTTTATACGCTTGAACCGAAATGTTTCATAGAAATGTTTGTCAATTTTTACTTGGATATGGCTGTCAACATTCTTAAATGGTAATAACCGTACAAGATTTTCAAAATCCAATTTCCCAAAGCTTAGATCAAGTTCCAAAAGCTTCGGCATTCTCCAAAGTAGTTCAGGGAGATTTTCAAAAATGTGGTGTTGGTGTCAGAGTAGTGTAAACTAAATATGTGCACCATGCTAAGATCAAACAAGTCGATAACCCACTCGATCGGAAAGTCACTTGGGCAATCTGGGCTGATGGCTTCGCCTTTGCCATCAATCAACCAAAGTCAAATGTAAACTCACTTGTTTAAGTTGTAAGTCAGGCCTTTTGAATACGTAGTGATTTTTCATTTCTAGAAATTCATACACAGGCATACTGAGGTCCACAGTTTGTATTGGCCGTAATGTCTTAGCCCATACTTGTGGAGACTTTACTAATTGCAAAAAAGGCAAAATCCTATCACCAATTAACCACAGCTTCGCAAAATTTGTAAATTCGGTACTGAAGTGGTACTTCAAAGGGTCAACGAGTGTCATAGTCTTGTTGAATGGAGCATCAGTTCTATCCCAGTAATGACATCACAAGAACACATACTGTTTATCATTTCCGGTCCAAAGCCTAAGCTTGAAAAATAGTATCCAATATTCCGAAAGTAAGTGCTCCACCGCTTTGAAGTCGAAAATGGCATACTGCTTATAATATTCAGGTGGAATTGAATGTCCCGCATTGAGAAACAACCTAGTGGCGAATTTTACTCGCATCTTCCAGGTGCAATTTTCAATTGTTTCGTAGCTTTCCCCATACTTATTGCACACCTTACCTGGCACAGTTACCTGAGGCAACAACCCATCATTCCTGGCTACACGGCCGATTCCACTGTCTCCTATTATTCTGAACAGCTCCGCCGCAGGTAATAAGTTTAGCCATGGGACAATGATTTCAATGGGGAGGTCCAAAAGATGATCTTCAATTGGAAGTATTCTGATAAAAGGCTCAATGGGCAAGTCTGAGAGTTGCATTGTGGTCTATAGAACTGAGAGACTGAAATTGGTAGTGTGACTTGCAGCAAAGACTGTGGGTTTTATTGCAACACTTTGGCCAATCTGAGGAAACAACAAGGTTTTGGTCACAAAAAGAAAATCCAACCTGATAATTGTACACGGTGTAGGTTTCTCCACCTTCTTCTTGATTCATAATGTGGTTCAGCTTCTGTATTACGAAACGCAGATCGCCTTTGTCACTGTATTTGTTATGCTTGTCGGTATGATCTGTCAATTAACTCTTTTTTTCTCATTGTTGCACTTTCAAAAGGACCCTGTTTTTAGTTCTGGGATTAATTCCGTTTCATCTGTCACCGCATGCACCATCAATTGACAAAAACTGCACAACCACGATTATCGATCGAAGACACTCATGACTAAACTTTGGTGCCCTCTTTGTATTTCAACCTTTAAAAAAAAAAACTAGCGCTCAAACTTTTCCGGTCAAGTCCGCAGTACAGTGTGAAGGCAAAACAAAAAAAAAAAATTGGTTTCCGTATTTATCATGCAACGGACCCTCTATATTACACTGTTTAGTTATTATAAATGTGTGTTGCGTGATTTGTGGAGTGATTCGATGAGAGTGTCCCAATAATACATCTCGCGACATTGACACAGAGGTAAAAAAAAAAAAAATTTTTTTAAAAGGGAGAAGAAAACGATATCATATCATATCATATCATAGATAACCAAGATTCTTCATCAAGCTGTATTTTTTACTCAACATCAACTGTTGAAAGTGTAAGAATACTGTGGTACTCGAAAACTATTCACCAGTGCATTCTTCCCATTTGCATTTCATATCACTCTGATCCAACAAAATTAGCAAATTTATATAACCACAACAAAACACCACACAAGGATCAGCCATGTCATTCAAAGTTGATTGGGACTCACTAGATACAGAGTCCCTCTCTCATTGGACCAAGGATATTCTCACCAATGCTTTGAATTCCGGTAAGGCCCCAAATATATTAGCATCCAACATCACTGTTCAAGATTTAAATTTTGGTAAAGTTGCTCCAGATTTTGAAATTTTGGAAATTGGTGAATTGGATAGAGACCGGTTTAGAGGTATTTTCAAGATCAATTACCATGGGGATTTCCATCTAACTTTACACACTCAAGTTCAAGCCAACCCCATGAATATTTACTACTCAAATTCGATGGAATCTGAAGTCAACTATGATGGGGTGAATAAATACAATAATGATGGTGATGATGATGATGGCAACTCCTTTGTCACTCCACATTTCGTTATGGCTAATGAGGAATTTGCTATCCCTTTGGACTTGAAGTTGTCGGATATCAGAATAAATGGCATTGGTATTATTGTATTTTCGAAATCAAAAGGGTTGACACTTGTTTTCAGAAATGATCCATTGGATTCCATCAAAGTTAGTTCAACTTTTGATACAGTTCAGGTATTGGCAAATTTCTTGCAAAAGCAAATTGAATCTCAAATCAGAGACTTGTTTAGAGAGACTTTGCCCACTTTGATTCATCAGTTATCCTTAAAATACCTCAGTCTTGATAACCATATGAGTGAGTTTAATAGCAAGTTGGCAGCAAATGCAATTTCGAAATCATCATCATCAGCAGCAACAGCAGCAGCAACAGCAGCAACAGCAACAACAAATGCAGTGTTTGTCAATGACACCAGCAACAATTTAGTCTCTAGCTCCTCTGCAAGTTATAAGATGTTGGAGAATGATGAAGATGTGTCTTTAGTCTATTCAACAAAACATCTACAAAAAATCCTTGAATTGTTCAAATCTCGAGAAACTATGAGTTTAAAAATTCCCAAGTTTAAACATGTTGTTCAAAGAACACATATGGATAAGTTGGACAAGAATTACCCAAATTTGTTGAACTCCTTGTCGGTTGCTCATACTGACATTAGAAGGTATATGGGCTCTGTTCCTCACGCTTTGATTTCTGGAGGTGGTGGTCATCAACCCAACAGCGTTAACGGCAGCAGTGCTAATAGTAATAATGGAATTCCAATTGATATATTGGTGGATGAATCATTTGCACAAAAGGATAGTTTATTGAAAGATATTTCTTCTATTCAAACTAATAATTACTACAAGTATGCCAAAGATGCTGCAGTCAAACCAAAGAGAAGAGTGATAAAATTAGGTGGAAAAAAGAAGAACAAGGCAAAAGAGAAGATGAGTGAGTCGGAGACTTCACCAAGGTCACTATCTACAGAATCAGTGACTTCAGTCAGTTCCAATTCAACCTTGATTGACTCTGAACGCCCCGTTGATGGTAAAAATACACCTTTGAGGAGGTTGACTGTGGGTGGATTAGAAACACCTGAAAAGGATACCCAACAACTCCCACAAAGACCTAAATTGCAACAAGTTCAAAATGCTTCCCCGTTTACCTTGAAACACCCAACTCCCAAAAAGTTGCACAATCATCATCATCATCGTCAGCAAGACTATCAGCACCATCACCACTATATCAGTCACAACCCATCTTTCAACAACAGTTCCATATATCAAGAAGTTATAAGATCGACACAATCGCCATGTTTGATATATGAAAAGGGGTTGGGAGCGGGTGCAAGTGCAAGTGCAAGTGCAAGTGCAGGCGCTGGTTCTGGTTCTGGAGTTGGCGTAGGATTGGGCAATACTGGATATTTCAATTTTGCACCACAAAGAACCATTAGTACATCGCCAATCAGAAGAACAAATAGTAACTTCGCTGGACATAGGGGAGCTAATACTTCTGGTGCAGTTGATGAGGTGAAGAAAAAGGAGGAACCCACTTTGAAGGAAAAGAAGTCATTGAATCATATTGATATAAATAAAGTGAATCAAAGATTGGAAGAGAGCTTAAGCTTGAAAACGGAAAAGAGAGACGAACAACAACAAAGGAACCACAGCTTTGATAGTGTGAATCTTGTTGATGAAAAGAAAAGAGGAGATGTCGGTTATGGAGGTTCTGCTGCGGGTAACTTTTCAAATGTGGACATCTTCAGCAATGGTTATGGACAATCCGTCTTTACTGCTGCTCCACCACCACCACCATATAACTATCAACATTGATTGTTTGATTTACAAAAAGGGAGTGTTGAGTGCGTTTGTGATGGCCACGTTTGTCTTCATTGAGTTGCGTGATGGATTTTTTTTTTTTTTTCAGGAGGGGGGGGGAGAGTTTCATTTCTTTACGTGTACATATTTGTGTTTTTTTTTAATATAGCGGATGTAAATACACTTATGGCTTAGTTATACAATATTTCTATTCTAACATGTGAAAGTGTAGTTGGAAAAGTTTGATGAAGTCAGTTTGGATCAGTGACGGTGCTATTGTTATGGATCTTCCCAATTGGGAAGTAATTACATGCACGTGATGTGAAATAAAAAAAAAAAAAAAAAAGAAATGAAAAATGAAAACAGTTGTAACCGCAGTTTAAAAATTTCTTTTCTCTTGAAAGGAGAGTTGTGTAAGGATCAAAATCAATCAACAGAAACAGAGAAAAGAGCTCTTGTTACACTTTAAAAATACGTCAAATCTTGTTTCCGTCTATAGTTGACTATTCACCTGTCATTCTGTTACATTGCATATCTACTACTACTACTACTCGTAATTAGAGTTTACGTTCGCTACTTTATACCATTACTCAAGAAGCACAAATCACACGTGCTTCACCCCATTCACTAAAAACAATCTACTACATATCAAAGATAACAGTTAGCTATAACGGTAGCTAACCTGACCAGTTCTTTCCCCATAGCCCATTACAGAGACTACTTGCATCACTACCTTCCGCTTCACTGGATCATCCCCCTTTTTGTTTTTTTTGTTTTTTTTTGACCATGACATTTGGCTCTTTTGAAAGTATATGCAACAAGACATCACTACCTTTATGTTCAGTGGTTGGATCAGTCAACCAAACATCCTACTTCCAGCGAGGCATCGTTCCGCAATGCTACGCGCGGAGTGTTGAGTTGGCAAACACGATGATTTTCCAAATCGGTAACGCATTTGTCCATTTCGGTGGTCTTATTGTCATTTTAATCATTATTTTCAACATGAGGGTAAAGTATACCGCTATTGGCCGTGCGGAAATGTTGAACTTTATGTATTTGTTGATTGGATTGATTGTGAGTAGTTTGATTGTGGATTGTGGTGTTTCTCCACCTAGTTCGTCAACGTATCCTTATTTTGTCAGTTTGCAAATTGGAGTATCGAGTGGTGTTGTGGTGTGTTTGTTGTACAATGGACTACTTTGCTTTCAGTTTTGGGAAGATGGTACACGAAAGTCGTTGTTGATTTTGAGAAGTATTGTACTTGGTTGGTTTGCTATTAATTTTGTCATTAGTTTGGTTTCCTTTCAAGATTGGGGCACCGCTTTGGATTACCGCAAAACTACAACGGTGTTTGTTGTTTCGTATGTTTTGAATGCCGTCTTGCTTGCGGTGTATGTCGTGTCACAATTGATTCTTGTCATATTTGCATTGAAGTCGGTGTGGGCCTTGGGTGCCATCTTGTTGGGTGGGTTCTTTTTCATTGCGGGACAGATTTTGATGTATGTCTTTTCGATGGATATATGTGAAGGGTCCTCACATTATATTGACGGTTTGTTTTTTGGAAGTTTGTGCAATGTGTTTACCGTTATGATGATTTACAAGTATTGGGACATGATTACTGATGATGATTTGGAGTTTAGTGTTGCTAATGTTGAACAAGTTGTTAACGAGTTTGGACCTAATAATAATGGTGGTGTGGGTGTGCTTTACGATGACGAAAAGAGATCGTCTAGCATGTTTTACTAACAGCACGGTGTATAGAGTAACAATGGATAGTGTACACGGAAAACAATACCGATATCAGTTTAAGTTGGCTGTAATAATCTTTACAGTGGTGTCAAGATAAAACTTTTCTCTTTTTTTTTTAAAAAAAAAAACGTATATAAATAGAAGAAAGGAAAGAATATGTAAACCAAAACTCAGTGACCAACCTCACTCAAGCTTAAACTTTTTGCCTTTTTGGTTCCGACTCTTCTTTTGCCTCTTCTTCGACAGATGCAACTGGTTTGCCATTTTCGGTTGGTTTCAAGGCAGGAGTAGTTTGTTCTTGATGAAAGTCTTTGATTATCGAGTCAACATCATCAATATTCAACTGTCTTACATCACCCAACAATTTAATCTTGGTGGTAACTTCTTTAACTTGATCATCACTCAAGCTCAAATTCAATTGATCGACTCTTGATTTGATTGCATTCCATCCAGTCAATCTGTTGGCAAAATGGATATACCTAGTCAAACCGAAATCACTTGGGTTCAAGATTTCGTAAGTTGATGGATTGGCCAAGATAGCTTTAGCGTGGATACCTGCTTTGTGTGTGAATGCACAGAACCCAGTGATTGGGTTATTGAATGGGATATTTACCTGTACGGCATCAGCAACCAAGTTCTCCAAATCCCTCAATTTGTGCAATTTATATTTGGACAAGACGTAGTCACGATCAGCAGTGATCATTCTTGCCATCAATGCACCCAATGGAGTAATACCATTACGTTCACCGATACCCAATACTGAAACATCAATCAATTTGGCACCGGCTTCCAAGGCAGTGTATGCATTAGCAATAGCACATCCAGTATCGTTATGGAAATGACATTCAATGTCACAAGACACCACTGATTTCAAAGTCTTGACCAATTCGTAAACTTGTCTAGGGTTGGCACAACCAACAGTGTCAGCAATACCAACTCTATTGACACCAATCTTGTCCACAGTACGATAAATGTTCAACAAATCAACAATATCTGATCTGAAACTATCCTCACTTGAGAATCTAATTTCAATGCCTTTTGATTTAACAAACTCAATAACTTCAATAGCACTTTGAGCAATATAGTTCATGTCTTTACCGTGACTGTATTTTCTAAGAAACTGTGATGTTCCAATGACAACATCAACACCATCAACACCAGTCTCCACGGCAACTCTGGCATCATCCATGTGGCATCTAATATGGGTCAATATTTTGGCTTTCAATCCCAATTTACAAATAGCTTCACAGTCCCTTCTACTCTGCTCGGAAGCAACTGGCGAGGTCAACTCAATGTAATCAACACCGAAATCATCCAAAGCTTTGGCGATTTCGATCTTTTTTTCAGTGGAGAAGAAGGCATTGGCAAATTGTTCACCTTCTCTCAATGTACTTTCAATAACTTCGAATTTGTTGACGTTGGAAAGAAAGTCCGATGGGTTAGGACCATATGGGTTAGATGCGACTGACATTGTATGTGTTGTAGTGTACTGTAGTTTGCAGTGTTGTTGTAAAATGTAGATGGATGAAGAGGAAAAGAAGGAAAAAGGGGTACGTGAAAAATTGTGAAAAATTTTGAGTTGCTTATATATGCTTTCCTCAGAATTATGGCTGTGAAAAAAAAGAAAGAAAAAAAAAAAAATAAAATAAATTTGAAAGAGTTTCTGCAGTATGAGTAATTGCTAAAAAAAGAAAGGCAAAAAGAGAAAAGAGCAAAATCTAATAAAGGGAGTCCTTTCACTGAGCAGAGAGAGAGAGAGAGAGAGAAAATTTGTATCTTAGTGTGTACGTGTGTATGTGTCATAGTTTACCCAATCTAGACCAAAACCCCAGAACATTCTTTTGTAGTAATAATGATGTGATATTCCTTAACCGCGCAACCGATAAGCTCAAAAAAGGAAAAAAAAAAAAAATTTTTTTTTTTCACATTTTGCCTTTGCCTTTTTGTGTCGGAAAAGTTTTCTCTCGATGGTAGCGTTGGATTATCAAGTTTTGCCGTTACTGAAAGAAAAAAAAATGACTCATAGCTTTGACTCATACAAAAAGGAGTGACATATCCTCTGTCGCATTTATTTGCTTCTTTACAAAGTATATTTTGCGACACTCCACGTGACTCTATATATATATATATTGTCCAAAGAACTTGATTGTGTATTACTTACATACCACTAGTTGTGTTGGCAAGCAGCTTCATTGAAGGTTTATTCTCTCTGCATGTTTTGAAAAAAAGTTGATGAGCATTTTCTTTTTCTTCTACTCTTTTGGCACTTTTCTCTTTTGACAATATCGGGAAGTTTCAAATCTTCTGGAAGAAAGAATAACACATCGCCTCACAGACTAACATATACAATCAATAAAATCTCTTGAAAAAACATACACTAAACACACTATAAAAAAAAAAAAAATAAGCGCAAAAATTAACCGAACGCAATCATCCCAATTACTCTCTCTCACAAGCAAAGGTTAACAAACCTGTACATCTCATTCTTCATTCTCACAACCTCCACATCTTTGATGGTCAACTTCCCGTTCATACGATTCACCAATTGTCTGACAATAGAGTTGATCTCTTGGTTGCTCAACCCAGTCACATGCTGCCAATTCACTTGCAACTTCTTTGCCGAAACTCTATTCTCTTTGATGATTGTCAACTTGAAACATCCAACAATCAATTTCTTCAACTCAAATCCCATATCATTGTAGTTGACAAAATTGTTGGTTTGATTAAGGTATCTCAAAAGATAGATTATGTCCATATATCTGAATAGATAGATGATTGCCTTTAAGAAAGTTGACAAGGAAACTCTCAACCTGCTGGTGAGCAAGAGTAAGAATTTGTCCAATGGCAATTCATTGCTAGATGCTAGTGTTTGGGCACTCAGCGTAGTGGGTGACGAAGGCGAAGATGATCCTTTTCTTTTGGGTGCTTCTGGTGGGAAAGTATTGTAAATCTTGGTGGCAACGTATTTCACTATAATAGTCATCAATTGAGTACGTTGGTGTTTGAATTGCTCTGGGGAGATACCAATATTGGTTTTCACAAAAGGTTGTAAGCTGTTGATAATGTTTTGCTTAATTTGGGAGTCTGCTCCACCAACAGCACGTTGTGATTGTCTCTTCAAAAGTTGGACTTGTTGATGGATTGTCCTGTTAGACTGCGGGGACTGTTCTTGCTGTTCTTGCTGTTCTCGCTGTTGCTGCTGTTGTTGTACTGGACGTGGAGAGCTGGCAGACTCATTTGCATTAGCTGTGGAGACAGGTGTCGGTTGCAATGATCTTTGTTGGTTCCAATATCCAGCACTCTTTGTCAGTACGGTGACCACTTCATCTGAGTCATTGTCGGACACCAAATTAGGTATATCGATAAACTCGTTAAACTCATTGTTCAAATCTTCTTTGTCTTGAACTGACATAATGTCAAGCGATGAAGCTACCGAGGCGGCTCCGCCATTCACTTGAGCTCCATGGTTTACTTCTCCTCCAACTTGTTGCTCGGCTCGCTCTTCTCCCTTTTCCTCATCCTCCAGTCTTCCTGCTGCTTCTGCTGCCTCCAAGTAGATAAATTGTGACATCGAGTTAAGATGATCATCAATATCAACTCTCTCATTATCTGCTCGTTTCAATGGCTGTACTTGTGACCGAGGTGATGGCGACTTGAAATTGCCGGCAACGGCAACACAATCCTCCCTCATAAATTCGCCACCAGCACCAGCACCAGCATCAGCATCAGCACTGGAGGCAGCAGAGCCAAATCGGCCATTATGGATATTGTCATTAATCATGATTGAATGTAAGAACTAGTCCGACTTCAAGCACAATCTAAATAATTTATAATAAACTCAATTATCACAGAAAGACTATTCGAGGATCAACGTGTTATTCCTGCCCTCTTGAAACACTTTGGAAAGTTGTAAATGTGGTATAATATGACTATGTCCACCACTTGTAAAAAAAAAAAAAATTGGTTCCTCTTGAATCTGGAACCCCTAAGTCAATCTCCTTGAAATGAAAATGTTAAATAAAACCCCAAAAAAAAACCAAATATGTATAATCGCTTGCTGAGATAAAAAAAAAGTATTGAAGAACTCGTTTACCTGTTAGCCTTCAACTATTCAAAAAAATAAAAACTAAAACACTGATATGATTAACCTTTCAAGGTCTAATAAATGGTGGAATACATTATATTGTTCAAATGTGGGGAAAGTCAAAAATTAGTTACTATATGGAAAACAGTGTTGAAACAAGCCCTTTGGGTGCGATTACAGGGTTAAGATGTGTTGGAAGCAAATGGGATTTTTCGATGCACTTGCTAAATTCGTTGTTGGGTGGATGAAGAGTACTGTTTTCTCGTTGATTAGTAGTCTTCGGTTGAAATAAATGTCGCTAATGTTTAGGATGAGCTGTATTTGTTGATAGATGTAATGTTGTAGATACCGTTACAAATGTATTCTGGTGAATAGTTGTCTCTGGTCTTGAATTTGGTCTTTAGTAAAGAGAGATTTCCCTCTTTTCAATATTTTTTTCTTTTGGGTTTTGATGAGTCAGTCAGTAAGTCAGTCAGTCACCACTAAACATTTCACAAAGACGATTGAGAAAAATTTACTTTTCTTTTCTTTGACTTCCACTTTAGGTAATATCCAACTAACTTAAGTATGGGTGCCCAATCGCACTCAATATCAACACTTTACCAACATAAAGCAGTGGCAGTTGTTTGGTGGGGTAGTGCTGATAACTTGTCGCTAACCTTTTCCGAAAGGAATAGATTACATTGCATGCTGCTGGAAGCAGGTTTCAATAACTTTAGCAATTGGTGGGATATCTCTGTAGGGGTAGGGTTCATCTTGGCCGAACGCGGTCTCTTGTGACCCCAATGACGGGATGGCTTGACATTCACCTCCTGGCTCGCTTGCTTTGGAGTTAGACCTTCTGTGCAGCTGGTTTCCCTCTATGTTTTGACTCTCTGAGTAGCACTTCCCAGTAGCAAACGCGTTAAATCGGAGCATATGTCTCACTCAATGAGCCACGTGATAAACTTACTTAGCTTGTAGATACAATTGTAGTTTGCAATTGACTCAATTGAATCGCTCAATTGAACATCATTGAAGGCTGAAGCTCTGGAAAAAGCTGAAGTATAGAATTATGAGGAAAGAGAAGTGGTTAGGGGTTTAGAGGTAAAATGTAATTTCGTTCTTCAATATTTGACTAATTGATTTTGCCACCTGTTATTTACGCAAAATACGTAATGGACTAAAAATAAAAATACATCCAACTTTGCTGTTCAAATGGATTTCTACAGATACGCTTCAATGGTACTCAATTAGCAACTTAGCGATATAGACGGTAAAGAAGGTGCTTTCCAGCAATCTTTTCGCATATAAGTATTTGCAGATCCCTTTACGGAGTGTGTCAAGCTTCTGAACAACGATAGCAGAAAAAAATCCAATGTGGGATCTACTCCATTTATCTAAGCTAATGATAATCCATCTTCAACTCACTTCTCTTCTCTTGCTGTTCGTCCAACCCCTCCGATTCTGATCATAAGGCTGTCCCTTATTTGTGCGTTTTTGTGTAATAAATTACTTAGAATAAATTTTTTATTTTATTTTTCTTCAGAGTCAATTCCCAACCACATTATCAATCAAAACGCACCAGAGCCAAGTTTCACATGGAATGAGAATCCCCAAAATGAGTTCTCGTACATATACAGATGCCATCAATGCACTAAATTCCCTACAATCAAATTTTGCTTCCATTGAAGCAATGAAAAAACTAGGTCCTAACGTAAACCGAAATGAGTTATCAATCAACGAGGTTCGTGAATACACTTCAAGATTGGGATACGCTCCCAGGGATTTCAACAAGCTCAATATCATCCATGTTACTGGTACAAAAGGTAAAGGGTCCACTTGTGCCTTCACTGAAAGCATCTTGAAACAGTATCAGCCGGACCATATTTCCAAAATTGGGTTGTATACATCACCACATTTGAAGTCAGTGCGTGAGAGAATAAGAATCAATGGCCAACCTATAGAGAAGGAGTTGTTTACGAAATACTTTTTTGAGGTGTGGGACAAACTCACAAGTACAATGTCAGATCCTCAAGAGTGGCCAAGTTTGCAACCTAGTGACGTGGTCAAACCCATGTACTTCAAGTACTTGACTATTTTATCTTTCCATGTCTTTTTACAAGAAGGTGTTGACACTGCGATTTACGAAGTTGGTGTTGGTGGAACTTTTGATTCAACAAATATAATTGAAAAACCAACAGTTACTGGTATAAGTGCTTTGGGAATTGATCATACTTTTATGTTGGGAAACACAATTGAGAGTATCACCGATAACAAAACGGGGATTTTCAAAAAGGGGTCTCCTGCTTTTGTCAGTGAGCAAAAAGAATACCCTAAAACTCACAAACTCATTGAAAGTAGAGCTAAAGAGTTGGGGGTATCGTCATTGGAGTTTGTGCATCCTGATGATTTGCCTGATGTCGAATTGGGACTTTCTGGAGAGTTTCAAAAGGAGAATGCTGCATTGGCAGTAAGGTTGACAGATTCACACTTGAAAGCAATTGGAGTCGATAGTGGACTTACCGTAAGTGGAGGAAAAGTGGACTCGCTTCCTGAAAAATTCCGCAAAGGGTTGAAAGATGTCGATTGGCCAGGAAGATGTCAGATCATCACCAATAATCCATCAGACATAACATGGTATGTTGATGGTGCGCATACTGTGGAATCCATAACCGCGTCTTCAAAGTGGTTCAAAGATGAGCAATTGAAATCATCATCATCATCAAAGAAAAGAGTATTATTGTTCAACCAGCAAGGTCGTGATAACTATGAGGAACTATTGACTACTTTGTACCAAACTATTTCTGGAGAAGGTTCAAAAGTGTCCTTTGACGAGGTCATATTCACCCCCAATATCACATGGTCCTCGGGTCAGTACAATCCCGAATTATTAGCTAAAAATACCTCTGAGGATGCAGTCAAGAAGTTGGAAATTCAACACAAGTTTAGTGACTTGTGGGCGAAATTGGATGGTGGGAAAGCAAAAAGACTGGTGTTTGCAGATATAGAAACAGCAGTGGAATACATGAAGAATGAAGGGCAGGATTTGAATGTATTTGTTTGTGGTTCGTTGCATCTAGTCGGTGGGTTTTTGGTCGTCTTGGACAACGAAAGAGAATAGAAAATTCTACAGTTGGATCTGTTAGAAAAATTGAAAATGTTTCTCTATTAATACATTGCGCTAGCTTTTCCTCCTCACCTCTCTCTCTCTCTCTCTCTCTAATTAGCACTACTGTTTACAATGTTTTCCCTAGTAGTTCTAACAATATCATCGATGTTGGTGATTGAATCTAACCATTGTTGCAATGACTTTTTAACAAGATTCCAGTTTTCAACATTTGCCTCTTCTTCCCCAGCCAATAAGAATCTGTTGACTCTACTCAACAAGAAAGTCTCCTCAATTTGATTAATCTTACCCTCCAATACACCAGCTTTGATGGCTTCAACCAACAATTCTTCCAACTCAATTGAGCTTGACACATTTTCAATCTCGCTATATTTGAAAACAATATCGTCGTGATCTGGTGACAAGGATTTGTTTGCGAAAAATCTAGCCAAGTTCAAGATTCTTGATTTTTGATGTATGAAATTTGCAGGTAATGACGAGTCAGTGGATGAAATATCTTCAGTTGGGAGTATTTCTCCCTTGACGTAGTTTGTAAAAAGTTGGATCAATTTGTCATTGGTATTCTTCTTCAATGCTGAGGCGACATTGTTGTTAACCAAGAATGAAACATCAACAACTTTGGAAGATAACGCAAACTTGATCAATTTGGTCAATTCAGGCTCCGAGACGGCAAATTTATGAGTAAAGGATTTGATAAAGTTTAATGATTTCAATGAATATCCAGTGTCCAATTCGATAAAGTCCCAGAAAATCGACTTGATTTCATCTTCCAGTGCATTACTCTCTTGTAACCAGTTGACCAAGTTTGCCGATATGTTATCTTCAATAGCATTAAATTCAACATCTGAAGTCTTGATGACTTTTAAAATTTGTTGAATCACATATATCCTCGTTTTAGAATTGCTAGGTATCAAGTTGAAGATTGTACTCAAGATAGACAATACTGAGGTAGATCTGATTGATTTCCTGTCCCTTAAGGATAATGGTTGCTGGGGGTTAACAGACAAAACTAGGTTGTAGACAGGTGATGATTCATTATTCAACACTGCATCAACAGAGTCCAATTCTGAAAGAATATGAATCAACAAGTAAATGGTAGGCTCAAACTCTTTATCTGTTAACTTCTTCAAAGTGTCCACAGTAGATGCTTGCTGGAGTGTAGTGTATAACTCCTTTTTGTTGGTAATGGATTGATCTTGCTGGGTGGGTAATAAAGACTCAACTTTTGTCGCGAGCTCGGTGTTGCCATTAAGACCATCAAGGACTTGAGCGTACTCTTTGATCGAATCTTTCAAGTCGTTGTCGACAACTATTACTGATGCCATGGTGTGTGTGTTCAGCGATATATTGAGACTGTCTAGAGTAATGAGTTATCCAATGGTTTACTAAAAATCTGCTTTTCTATAAAAAATTTTCCAGAGGGCAGATTGCATGCAGGAATGAAATATGCTTTTTATTTAAGTCGTGCATACAGAGACAAAATATATACACTCTACGTGTCTTTTATTTTTTTTTTTTTTTATTTTTTTTTTTTATTTTTTGCAGCCGTATAACTCTACTGAACTCTATACATCGTCATACTCGTCCTCCTCGTCAATTATTGGCCCATACATGGTCTTATTAGAATATCCATGAGAGCCATTATTGTTGTTCAACGGGTTGTTCAACCAATCATTAAGCTGTTTTGTGTCTTGATAGTTGGTAGACACCGCGCTGCTTTTGCTGGCAAAAGAAGGAGGGATATACTTCCGACTCGTCTTGACATCGCCTCTTGATGATGTTGGTTTTTGACCTTGTCTAAAGTTGATAACTGGGGGCGATTGTGACCTGAAGGCTGGTACCCTCTCCATTTCGTTGGTGTTGAAGTTTGGGTAGGTTGAGTTACTTTGTGAAACAGGAGTTGGAGTGACAAGGCTTGATGGTTTGTTTTTCGTTGCAAATTGGGGCGGCAAATTCAATTCTCCGTTCAACGGTGGCGTTTCATCTGCATACCTTGATTCACTGGGAGTATCATCTGATGAATTACTCATTACTTTTGACATCGACAGTTTCTTCTTGACAGTAGACTGTCCGCCAGTAGTAGATACCGACTGTATAGATTGATCAGAAGATACACCTCTTCGGTAACTGGGTCTCTTTTTGGGTGGAGCTCGACTGCTTCCCGTAGCCATTCCGATGGAAGATCTTCCATCTTGTGACATACTAATGCTAGACTCATAAGCCTCGTCCTCCTCGTCGTCGTCATCCAATGTATCCGTTTCATCTAGTATGTCTAATTCTGACTCTGATAACATAGTTGATAGCTGACTCAATCTACTGATTTGACTAATTTGTGAAACCATTGACGAGGGGCGCGTCCGGGCTAATCCTCTGCCCTCATTTGACATGGGGGACAAATGATTTGAGCCTGGAACTTGTATCTCATTGGGTGTTTCCAATTCGATCCTGTCTGGGCCTGCAACAGACCCTGAAGGTGCTGGTGTTTGCTCCGGGTCGCCTACCTCAAACGAGGCCTGACTGCGGTTGAACTTTTGTGGGCTTTGTTGTACTTGGAACTCCAGATCACCACTGCCAGCGTCGTTGTCATATTTCTCTGATTTTTTACTAACAACCGAAGTTGAATCATCTTTCTCACCTTCATTCCCATTCTTGTCCCTTTTCCAAAATTGCAATTTATTTAGGATTTTTCCACCCTTGTTTTGCTTTTTCAATGAGTCTCCCGTGGATGCCGCATCCGAATGTCTTCTTTCTTGAGGAACAAAAGAGACAACTCTATGCAAAGGAATATCAATTTTGGTAGATGTTGGGGAAATAGCCTGCGATGGTGCTGTACCATCCGACCGAACAATTTCGCCGGTTAAGTTATGTTGAGGGTTTTCCCGATCAATACTGAATCGTGCATTCAGTTGCGACCTCGGCAGGTTACGCACATCCATGTTGTCACCTGACTTTCTTGAATATGTGGACAACCGAGCGAGATTTGTTTTGCTTGAATTCTTGTTGGAGGCTATGCTCAAAGACGAAATAATTCGCTCCAATGGTTGCGAGCCAGACAACTGGTCCGAGATAGAAAGGGCACTTTTCACTTTCTTTCGCGATTTCCGTAAAGAATTTCTTGCTTCGAAATATTTCCGTTTTTTATCTCTAATGTACCTCTTCTTTTTCTTTGAAAATTCTCGTGTTAACAATAGCTCGTAAAATGCAGTCAATGAATTCATTTCATTACTGTATATGCTTGCCTGAAGTTCGTCAATGTCGACATTCAATTTCTGTAATTTACGAACCAATTCACGTTCTATCCTTGTGTCAAATGGTCTTTGCATACGATTATAATGCTGACTGATGGAAAGAATCGACTCGCCATCTCCCACTACCCTTTTTTGATTCTTCTCCAAATGCTTGTTATATGAATCAATTAGAAAAGGGGAGTTCAAAATCTCAGTGATTCCTGGTCTCTTTGTTGGATCTTTGCTCAACATTTTCAAAATCAATTGATTAACCTCCTCGGGAACAAAATCAGCCAAAGCCGGGTTCTCGCTTATGACTTTTGACTTCACCTTCATGTCATCATCATCATCAAACGGAAGCACCCCATAGAGCATGGTGTACAATATTATACCCATGGACCATATGTCTATAGCGAATCCAGAGTATTTTTGCCCCAATAACAACTCTGGTGCCATGTACACTGTTGTGCCACAAATTGTTGTCAAGAATCGTCTTGAGTGTGGGTTAAACTCTCTAATGAATCCAAAATCAGTCAACTTCACACAATTTCGTTTCCTATCAGATAAAAGTATATTCTCCAACTTTAAATCTCGATGGCTCAAGTTCATTGAGTGGACAAATTGAACTCCCAAAACGATTTGGAAAAATATATGACGACATTCTTCAAGTTCCAACCGTCTTTTTTCATAGACCAAATAGTACAATTCCCCTCCCTCGCAGTACTCCATAGCAATCCATAGATGGTTTTCTGTCTTTATCACCTCGTAAAGACAAACAATGTTCTTGTGTTTTAGTTGTCTATGATAGTAAATCTCTCTCACGATATTAGGATCGTCAATCAATCCACATTTCAAAACAACGTTAACGTTTAGCAAAACATGAGTAGCGAGGTATACTTTTCCAAATGCACCTTCACCAATTTCCTTTGTAATCCTGTAGTTTCCAATTTGACTGATTTTTGGCGAGGAAATAGCCATATAAAAGTTGTTAAACTCATTGGCCAACTGAGCTGTGTTGTTCTGATCCTTTGTGTGCTTCGTAAGAGGTCGAGCACCATTCATTTGCGATTCTCTTTGCTCTCTCTTCTTCAGATCGTGAACCACTGATTTTTTATGGAGGGAATTGTGGTTGATACGGCAATTGGGAACTTGAAAGTAGAGAAGTTTTTAAGTACAAAAATCGTACAGGTTTGGTGGAAGCCTCGAGGCAAATTGAAGTAGTGACGTCAGGTGGTGAGAAAAGAATATAGAAACACAATGCAAAATAGCTTCGTTATAGTCAAACGGGTTTCAAAACTATTCTGGAATAGATTTTGTTTGCCTCTTCCAAGTAGGATCCTCCTATGATGTAAAATGGGTTAGGGATACCGTGTGGAAGTGCTGTGTGGCTGCTGTTTTGGAAGTAACTTCTTCTTCTTCTTCTTCTTCTTCTTCTTGTTCCTCTGTTCCTGTATGTAGCTTGCCTGGCTGTCTCTGTCTGTTGATTAATTTTTTTTTTTTTTCTCTTTTTATTTTCTCGTTCTTTTGGCGTATTACAGTATTTGTGTAATTCAACTTGTGAAGAGAGAGGGCAGCAGGGCATCATCACCTATAATTTGACATTCATTCATCAGAAATAGCTGCAAGAAGGAGGTTCAAGGAGAGCTGGTAGTGGGAAGAAATGATTGCATCTAGAGCACTAACCCGTATACGACAGAGGGTGAATATTAAATATGTAGTCTCCTTGCAAAAGTTTAACGTGTCTAGTTTACTGTTGAGGTCGCCACATCTTCTACATCTACGGTTTGTAACCACCCAACACGCTCCAAATACATCTAATTTGTCATCACCAGTTGATGGCCATACCAAATATAGCGCTAAGCCCACATTAGAAGAGAAGAGGGTGCTCATAGAATCCATAAAGAGCCCACTACAGACCATACGAGAAAAGATTAGATCCAAGGCATTCAAGTATCCATATCACTTTTTGAATGAAGAGACAGATCAACAACTAGACCTACTTGAGAACTTTATGTCTACGGTTAGTGAACAGGTTATGAAATGTGGCAGCCTTGATGACCGGCATCTCACTTTTAAGGAATTCATCAATCCCAACATCAGTTTCTTACCAATCCTCATTCATGCCATACAACACGATCAGTTTCCGAAAGAGATGCTTGAGATATGCAACTTGAATGACAAGGATGAGCTACTAGAGCGGATTTTAACTCATACCTTGTACAAGGAGTATCTCGAGCACAAGATTGAAACCACACCCTATGAAAAAACAATGATTGACTTTTCTAACCCGGCCCAATGGTTCCCTGAGGCAAGAAAAATGAAGCGCAAGATCGTTATGCACGTGGGGCCCACAAACAGTGGGAAAACCTATCACTCTTTGCAAAAACTCTCAAAAGTCAAGACTGGATATTATGCCGGTCCATTGAGATTGTTGGCACGAGAAATTTACGAAAGATTCAATGAGCAAGGCATTGGATGTAACTTGATTACTGGTGAAGAGGTGATTCCATCGATTGACGAATATGGCAGAGTGAGTGGGTTGGCTTCCGGGACGATTGAGATGATTCCGTTACATAAGAAGATGGATCTTTGTGTTATTGATGAAATTCAAATGATTGGAGATGCACAAAGGGGGTCGGTGTGGACCAATGCAGTCTTGGGGGTTTTGGCAAATGAGATTCATTTGTGTGGAGAAGAGAGCGCAGTTCCATTAATCGAAAAATTGGTCAAGGTTACCGGAGATGAGTTGATAGTCAAGAGGTTTGAGAGATTGGGGAAATTGACTGTGGAGAAGAAACCAACTAGCTTGAAAACTTTGAAGAAAGGTGACTGTTTGGTTGTATTTTCCAAGAGGAAAATCTTGGAGTACAAGTGTAGTATTGAGCAAGAGACAAAGTTGAAAGTTGGTATGATCTACGGCGCATTGCCGCCAGAGATTAGAGCTCAAGAGGCTACCAGGTTCAATAATGGAGAATATGACGTACTCGTTGCATCCGACGCAATTGGTATGGGTTTGAATTTGAAAATCAATCGTATTGTATTCAGTGGGATAAACAAATTTAATGGATCTGAAGTGGAGAATTTGACCACTTCGCAAGTGAAGCAAATTGCCGGCAGGGCAGGGAGGTTCAGTGCAGATCATGGTTCTAAAGAAGGATTGGTAACAGCTTTACAACGTGCAAGCTTGTTGTATATCAGAGAATGTCTAGAAACACCAATTTCTGAGCTTGAAAAAGCTTGTCTTTGGCCTACCGATCTTGTGTGGAAATACTACATGACAAATCACTCCACTGAAAGTCCGCTTTCTGAAACACTTTCCCATTTCATTTCCAGCACTCTGAATTTCAAGTCTGATTTGTATTTCTTAGCTGATTTGGAAGTCAAGACGGGCATTTTGGAAATCATATCAAAGGATAAAGTTTTGAAAAACATGTCAGTAGATGATCAATTGACATTGAGTGAAACACCCGTATCCATCCATGGTCCAATGAACAAAGAGTTGGTTATTCCAACAGTCAAGAAATTCTTTAAAAACATTGTTGAACGAAGCTGTAAAACTGTGTTCGATTTTGGATTTTTGAATTTACAACTTTTGTCAGCAAAGCCTTTACTCAACAAGAATATCAAAGTGCCCTTGGGGAATGTTGAGGAGTTGGAAAGCATGCATAAGTTGATCTTGTTGTTTTTGTGGTTAAGTCAGAGGTTCCCCACTTTGTTTATTGATAAACAATCAGCTATGGAGTTGAAGGCTCTTGTGGAGAAGAGAATCACTGAAGAGTTGAATAATGTGAGACGGATGAATAAGATGGGAAGGAGATGATGAGGAGGAAGATTCGGAGGGTGAAGCCTTGTATATATATGTATATAGACACGATGTTTGTAGATGCTGGATTTGCATTAGAGCTAGAGCAGCAACAGATTTGTTGGTTTTGTTGTAATATGCGATATCGCTCTCCCCCACCTAAAACCGAACACAAAAGCATAAATTGGCCCCCCAAAAATTTTTCACTCCGACCAGATTCGTAGATCTTTATAACCAGTAGTCTGCTTTGTTTGGCTAAGATTGCTCACTCCGTACAATCGTTCCCGCTACACCATTCTTCAACATGCCTACTGTTATTGTCGTTGGAGGTCCAGCTGGAACTGGTAAAACAACACAAGGTGAATTGCTTGCAAAACATTACCAATGTCCATTCATAGAGGGAGACTCGTTGCATCCCCAAGCCAACATCGACAAGATGTCACGAGGGGAGCCATTGACTGATGAGGACAGATGGGGCTGGCTTGCCAAACTAGCTCAAGAAGCTGGAGCAAAAGCCAAGTCAGATCCAAGTGGCAAAAGCGTGGTGTCCTGTTCAATGTTGAAGAAAGTGTATCGTGACTACATCAAGCAAAGTGCGTCGTCAGAATCATCATCATTGGCGCATCTGGGTCAAGACACTGCCAATTTGAAGTTTAGGTTTGTATTTCTCTACACCACTTTTGAAGAATTAGTGAAGCGGGTTGAGAATAGAAAAGGACATTATATGAAATCCGATATGGTCAAATCTCAATATGATATTATGGAGATTCCTCAAGGCATAGAGTTGTTGAGCAATGGAGGTGAGGCTGTAAGTGTTGATTCTACCGGTAAAACAGAAAAAGTCATATTTGATGATATCTTAGAACAATTGAGCTTGCCAAATGAAGCATAGAGGTTACCAAAGTATATAAAAAAAAAAAGAAAGTCAAATAGATTCATTTATTGCAATATCAGTCAGATTATTCAATGTGAACGTCTCTGTGAACCATAAAGATAACACGGGGAGACGAAGGGACTATGTTGCATGTAGCACGATCCCGAGAACCCTTTCCTCGGAAGTAAACAGGACACAGAAAACTATACACAAATTTATTTTTTTTTTTTTCTTCTTTTTTTTTTTTGTTCTCTTTGTTCTCGACTTTTATCAGCCACTTATCAAGTAGTAAACCCACCAAAGTGATACATAATACTTTCACCCTTGTTTTTGACAATCGAAAAAAAACCCAAAGAGTACCTAATAACTCCATACTTTGCATCTGCATTACATTCCTCCGGTTCCCGGGATCAGCTTTGAGCACACTTGCAAGTTCCTCGCTCACACATTGTTATCCTTTGTAACTTTTCTGTTTTTCATATTACATGTCATCACTCATCGATATCAACACACTCCCGTACTTCAATCCCAGCACTGATAGAAGGGTGGCTATAATAACTGGAGGGAACAGCGGTATAGGCTTTTACACAGTCTTGCATCTATATTTACATGGATATGTGGTGTACATTGCTAGTCGGTCAAAATCTCGATGCTTGAAACTGATAAAGGAGTTGGAGTATCGAGCTAGTCAAATGAAGCTTTTGGATCAAGAGGGAGGTACTAATTTGCAAAAGATCAACGGCGGAAGTGAATCGACAAATTCAGAGAGACGCAGTCCTAATCAACAATGCCCAGGTGAGGTGCATTACTTGGAAATGGATTTGAGTAATCTACAGTCCATTGTTAATGCTGTTGAAACTTTTAAATTAAAAGAACGATATCTTCATTTATTAATTAATAATGCAGGGGCAATGGCTTTACCGTATACCAAAACAGTCGATAATTTCGAAATCCAATTACAAACAAACTTTATATCCCCATTTTTGCTCACTTTGAAACTACTCCCAATGCTCGAACGAACGAGTGACACTTTCCCGCAAGCCGAACCCAGACCAAGAGTCATCTACTTGAGCTCTTTTGGCCATCAGTTTGCATTTCGATACTTCAATTTGAAAACTGCATTAAACTACAAACCAAACTTCATCTTGACTTGGATCAGGTACGGGATTGCCAAAACTGCCGGTATACATTTCATGAAGATGTTGGCACTACGTAATCCCAAAGTTCTTTGTGTTTCAGTGCACCCTGGTTTGGTCATGAATACAAATGTGTTTGCATATTGGACAAATTTGCCCATTGTTGGCATCATATTCTGGTGTGTTTTCCAGATATTTGCTTGGGTCTTGGGAGTCAGTTCAGAACAAGGTGCCATGGAAGTGTTACAATGTTCTTTGAATCCCTATTTATCGGTGCAAGAGAATAATGGAAAGATATTTGGGTCTCTGGGGAAGGAATTGCAGCCTTCGAAAGTTGCTGGCAATATGGATTACGCGGCGCGGACGTGGATCTGGACTGTACATGAGCTAAGTAAAAGAGGGTTCATCATTCCTGGGGCATAGTCATTAGCATACAAGGTTAAGGTTGATTGCAATTGCAAAAATTATATTTAATTCAAACTAATAATATAATCACTGTTTTTCTTTTCAATTCATTTCCCTTTCTTAATTTTCAGTTCAAGATTGGTATCCTCGCTCGTCCTTAGTGACTTCATTGTGGATGTAAGGCGTTCAATTTCCCTTTTCGTTAATTTAGGATCCAACTCTTCGTATTCGAGCGATGACGGCTCTTCATCCAACGTTTCAAGTACCGGTTTTTGTACATACTTGCCGGCAATATCTTCGTCACTATCGTCACTTACTAGCTCATCATCGCCTTCGGCATCATCATCGTCATCGACATTCTCCCAATCGTCATCATCATCATCATCATCATCGTCTTCTGGCTCCTCATCGCTAACATTAGCACCCTCTTGTCTTAATTTACTCCTAAACTTCAAATACTCATCATACGCCATATCCCCTTGGTATATTTCCGTAGCGTCATCACTTTGATCCGAATCATCACCATACTTGTTTTTGACACCACTCATCTCCAAAATGATTTCCAGTTCCAAAAATTCGGGGAAATCTTCAAACTCGGTGTTCTTGAAGTCATCTTTGAATACAGCTGTTTTATGCAAAATTGATGTCTTGAATTCTTGATACTTTTGAGCAACTTGATCACGGGGAAGCCATTCGGATGAAATATCATAGTATCGCCATCGAAACACATTCAAATCGTCATCTGTGAGATCGTCGTCTGTTTCATTATCTCGCTCCTCTGCGTATTCCTCATCGATCATATCCTCAAATTCGTCGAGTCCTTCCTCAAACACTTGCTGAAGGTTTCTGGCATACTGTTCTTCATCTTCCATTTGTGGTTTGTTGATGTCGGCGATCATTTCAACCAATTCGGTATCCTCAGGAACACGTTCCAATATTATCCCTCTATTCATTAGTTCGTCCTGTAGTAGTGTTCGTGACGAAGGCTTTATTGTTTCGGGCACTTTTGGTTCTTCTTTACCTGCATAATACTTTTGTAGACCCGATAATACAATCCCACTCAACTCTCGCGGTTTGCCTAAAGCTGACGCAATTCCCAACAACACACCAAGGTGCACACTGTTTACAGGCAATGTAACTTCCATTCCCTCTTCAAACACTAGTGGTTCAACCTCCTCTTCATTCTCAAGCGCCTCTAAACTTTTCGCAACCACCATTGGATCTGCTGTAGCTAGTTTTGCCACTGGAACAGGAAATGTGAAGGTGACATCATGCACATGGCTCAATCCTGTATCCAAATTACACTTGTTTTTCAATGCGGTGGTCAATGTATCGTCCTGTTTATAATCTCCCACAAAAATTTGCTTAATGGCTTCCTGCAATGGCAAATATCCACCTTGATCAATGAGTCGATTCAACACAATGCATCCTCCATCATGTAGCCAAACTCTATTCCGTGACGTGGTCACATCTTGTAACTCGGCCCTAAGCTCATCATGGCATGTTGCCAACACGGGCTCGAGTGTCACCGAATCAAATACATGGACGTAGCAATCTTCATACTTGGTAAAGTCGAGGAGAATAGCAATGAATAATTCCATATCTAGTACGTGCTCGTGGTAATTGAGCTCTCCATAAATGTATTCAACGACATTGAATGTGAGTGCTTGGAATTGGGGCTGTTTAAAGTTCCATGGATACCGCAACCATGGTTCCATGTATTTGACGTAATTGCTCAATGTTTGATCAATGTGTTGGGACACAATCACAAACGACAAGATTGTGTCTCGGAAGACGGACTGAATCTCATGGGGCTGAAGTTCATCAAGGGTCCATAGAAATTCTGTAGATGTCATCGTTACCTAGAAGAGTCTCTGTTGCCTCTTTTTGAGATGCGCAAAAGTTTTGATTGATGTATCGCGATTGCAAAAATTAAAGCCTTATGCCATTGCTATTTAATCTTTTTTATCTTCCTTTTCCTATATAGCGATACAACTTACTTAATCTATAATTTGGTGTCGTGTTCAACTTTTTCAATAACAATAGCTGAAGCACCACCTCCACCATTACATACACCAGCACATCCAATCTTACCACCTTCTTGTGACAAGACAGAGATCAAAGTGACAATAATCCTAGCACCTGAACAGCCCAATGGATGACCCATAGCAACAGCACCACCATATTTGTTGACTCTATCTTGTGGGATGTTGCAAAGTTGACAATTGGCCAAACCGACAACTGAAAAGGCTTCATTCAATTCATAAAAGTCAACCTTATCTTGTGAGACGCTGGCATGCTTCAAAGCCTTTGGAATGGCCAATGACGGAGCAATAGTGAAGTCAATTGGTGCTCTTGCAGCTTCACCCCAACCGACAATCTTTGCCAATGGTTTCAATCCCAATTCCTTCAACTTGGCCTCAGAAACCAAGATCAATGCAGCACCACCATCGTTCAATTTAGATGCATTTGGAGCAGTAACAGTACCATTCTCCTTTTGGAATACAGTTCTAGCTGCCTTGACTTTTGCTTCATTAAAGTTTTTGATTTCTTCATCTTCACTGATGGTAACATCGGGCTTACCTCTGACTCCCTTGACGGTGATTGGACTGATTTCATTGCTGAATTTACCCTTGGTGGCAGCATCAGCGGCCTTCTTGTAAGAATTGATAGCAAATGCGTCTTGTTGCTCTCTTGTGATTGAATGGTCCTTGGCACATTTTTCGGCGGCAACACCCATCAATTTAGAGCTATAGACATCCAACAAACCATCCTTTTGAATACCATCAACGATAGAGGCATCTCCATATCTGGCACCGCTCCTGGCACTTGGCAAGTAGTATGGCGTATTGCTCATAGATTCTGCACCTCCAACAACAACGATATCGCTGCTACCGGTGATGATGTTTTGAGCTCCAATAATAACGGCCTTCATCCCTGAAGCACAAACTTTGTTAATAGTGGAAGCAACAATGCTCTCTGGTAAACCAGCTTTCAAAGCAACTTGCCTAGCTGGTGCTTGACCGATATTGGCTTGCAAAACTCCACCAAATACAATTTCATCAACAGTCTCCGGTTTGATTTGTGGGACCTTGTCCAAAGCAGCTTTGACGGCGTGAGCACCCAAATCAGTGTAACTTAATGATGACAAACCACCTTGGAATGAACCGATTGGGGTACGAGCAGTGGAGACAATGTATACTGGAGGAACAGTCATTATGAGTTTCGATTAGACTAACTTTGTTGTTGAGTTTGAGGTAGATGAAGTAAGAAAGATCTGCAGGAAAAAGAATGTGTAGTTGGTGGGAATTATTTGATATCTTTATATATAATCTTCTTTGTCGTTTGGAAAAACGATTGTCGTATAACTTTCTGCTTCTTTTTTTTTTGTTTTTTTTTTTTTCTTTTTTTTTCAAACACTTAACAGTTAACAAACTAACGTGTATGGGGTTATATGCAGTACGACATCCACGGTTAAATTCAATTGGAAACAGCAGAAATTCAAGAAGTGGAGTTAGCGGAGAAACAACTCCGCTGTCACGTGTATGGCACGAGAAAGCAAAGTTGTTATTTATCATCACCACTCGAGGACATCATCGAGAAAGATATATTGGTACTGGACAACGCTATACAACAATGCTCCGCTTCAGCCGCATACTTGGTCCAATCTCACCACGTTTTTTACTTCGACAAGCTCCCATAACCACCAGACCATGGCTCGCTCGCTCCCTCCAAACAACCTATGTACAGCACAAACTATTTGGGGGCCACAAGAAACATGCAGATCCGTTGAGCAAGTCAACTACCACTGTCAATCCAGCTCCTGTCGAAACTGCACAGGACGATCCGCTCAAGTCGTCACTGTCCCAGTCACCACTTCCAGCAGAAGGACCAACTGAACATGATTTCAAAACCCACCCCATTCTCAAGCGTGTACCCAAGTTTCTTCGTAACTACACGGCCAAATTCGTCAATGCACCTTTTTCACACTTGGTTGCCTTCATTGTACTTCATGAACTCACAGCTGTTATTCCGTTGATTGGTATTTGGTATTATTTGCATCAGCATCCTGGTTTTATCCCATTGGATCTCCCGCAGTGGGCTTTGACTAAAGGGGCCAAGGTCATTGATTCGGCAATGGGTCAGTTCGATTGGAGCTTCAATACAAGTGACAAGCTATCAGTGATTATGGAAGGGGCTTATGCTTTTACAATTGTCAAGTTGTTTTTGCCGGTTAGAGTTGTAATAAGTTTATGGGGGATGCCTTGGTTCGCCAAATGGTTTGTTTTACCAATAACCAATTTGTTTGGTAATTGGAAGAAGTTGAGAAGAGCAAAGAAGGAGGGTAAACCTGTGGATGCAAGAATTAAAACTAAACAAGTGGATAAACCTAGATTATAGGGTAGGGTGAGGAGATGGACAATTTTAGAATTGCCAGCCATTTTTCAGCTGGCTTGGTTCGTGTGCTTTAAAAATGGCTCTTAACTATGGGATTCTTACAATCCATTTTTGGTCTCCGCTCCCGGAGTGTTGAAAGTATGGCAGAGGCTCGAAATTTTGCAAGCCACTTATATATGTCAAACTCTCTGTACGACAGTGTATAGTGTAAAACTTTCTAATGTCGTATAGTAAAGACTAGTAGAAACCAATCCAAATTTTGGCTCTTCACTGTACTAGCTCGTGATTGCATTACAGTGTTCCATTGTTTGCACCTTTATCTCTTCAAATCTGTTTTAAGCTCCTTGGACCAACTGTCAAGCTCGTTTACGACTGCTTCAAGTTTTGTGATTTTCCTCTCTATATCCACTAATAGCTCCGCATGGTGATCAAATTCCTTCTCTAAATGCAATGTTAGCACCTTCTCTTTTGGTTCAATTGCATCTTCGGCTCTTACATACTCAATAATTGCAAATGTTTACCATTTCCTTCAAGTTCGTTCAAATTTTTCTCCAATTTAATGTAGTTTAAAGATTGATTAGTGTTTAAATTCTCGAGTAGATTCAAGTCAATCGTAGATACGTTGGTGTCGGATTCAGCCACCTTAGATAGGGTGGTCAATGCATGCTCGACGAGTTTTGGTGTATCCTTTGACATTTGTGTATAAAAAATGGGGTTTGGGTGAAAAATGGGGTGTGGGTTTTTATCTGAGTTTTCAGTCGAGAGACGGAAATTTCAACACCGTCTACTACGATATTCCCCACCAAACGGCTTACACCAGCACTTTTTCAATTGTTTACTCTTTTTTTTATTTACAAGGAATATGTACAACACCTACCTTCCACTATACAACTTATACATAGGATTTGTCTTGTATGTTTGAATATTGCTCCATTTTTTACTTGGGTGGGCATTCAACTTTTCCACATAGTCCACTTTTTCCGGCTTGTCAATCAAATCAGTCATACTAACTCTAACTTTCGATTCCGGTGTAATAATCTCATACAACCCTGGCAACTTATCAGCTGCTTTACGTAATGCTTCTCTGGCCACTTTATCGTGAATACCCCCATCAATCTCAAACAAAACTTTCCCTGTGGGCACTCTAGTTGCCCAGTGGTCAAAGGGACCTTTACCTTTACCCATTCTTGTCTGGTTTCCTTTAATACAAACGGCCAAATCGCATACAAAACGAGTGAAAAGTTTCGATTTAGTGGGACGCAACTCACGACGCAAAACCTTGTCAGCGGCTAGTAACTGATTAGCTCCCATCCTCAACCCACGCGATTTCAAGCGTAACCCAATCTTGCCAAACTCCAAACTGTTACCCTTGATTGAACCACCAGTTCTTACTGAAACTCGTCCCTTTTGTGCTTTCTCAACTTCTCTAAACCGTGGCGCATACTCATGTTTGAAACGCTTGAACACGGATGCTACTGCCAGGGTGTTTTTTGTTAGACTAGCAAACATTTCTTCTCTGGTGTAGCTGTGTTGGAGTAGTCCTTAGTGTCAAGGTGGAAATCAAAAATTTTCCTCTCAATTTTTCCTTGAAGTCATAGTCGTTAAATACTATTTTGCGACTTGTTAGTTTGCGACTTGTTAGTTTGCGACTTTGATTTTGCTAGCTATACCAAATGCACGTACCACACCTAGTTCTGATTTTTTGGAGACATATGTAGCTATGGAGTCGCATCTTGCAGCTAGACTACATCACTATTTCGACATCGTTTGTTTGAGGCAATTTTTTTTCAAAAGTCTTTGTAAAAAAATCTGGGTAGTTTTGCAACAAAATTAACGTAAATAACTTGAAGGGACAAGGGGAAATGGCACTCGATCTATAAGTTGGCTCTGAGAAGAGAAGATCCTTTCTATTGGTTGGTTTTATTCTCCTCTTACTTGATACTTTAACGCCGCAGACTTGTTAATTGTCTAATTTCTGTATATACTCTAAATGTATCTCTATTTTTATGTATTTCCTAACCTGTAACTAGCTACTTTCTCAATGACTATCCCTTTCAAGGAGCTCGCCATCATTTATATGTTCATTTTGAGGTTTGTGATAAGCAGCATAGCCAGTTGAGGTGGCCATGTCTTCCTCTGAGGGTGGTGTCCAACTACCGGATTTCCAAGCTGGGATACCACTTTGGTACAATTCATCAACATCCTCCAAACTGAGTCCCTTTGTTTCATAAACCATAAAGTAAGTAAAAAAGATTGAGAAAACCAAGCATCCAAAAAAGACAAACCCATAGTAGAAATGAATCGATTGGGTAATGAATGAAGTAAAGAATGAAATCAAAAATCCAAAGACCCAATTTGCTGCACTGGCAACACCAATAGCCTTGGATCTAACTTTCAAGGGGTACAATTCCGAAACAATCGAGTAAACACCTCCGGCCCAAGTAGAAGCAAAGAAGAAGATAAAAAGACAGGTGATAAAGATCAATGCTCTTCCGGTTGGTTGCCTTGTCGGGCCATCAGGACCATCAATGTAAAGACTTTGAGTACCGAGCAAGGAATAAATCAAGAAACAGATTGACATGGCAACCGAACCGTACAACAAACATTGTCTTCTACCCATTTTGTCAATCAAGTAGATACCCAAGAATGTGGAAGCAAAGTTGATAACACCAATAATAATGGAAGTTTCGAATGAATCATCTAAACCGATGGCCTTGAAGATGGTGGTACTGTAGTAGAAGAAGTAGTTATTACCTGTCAATTGTTGCAAAGCTTGGCAAAGAGCACCAACAACAACTCTCTCGAAAATTCTTGGCTTACCAGTGATCAATGTCATCCAGCCAGCTTTTCCAGCCAATCTTTCCCTTTCGACACCAGCATGAATCAATCTAGCCTCCTTTAATAATGCAGGGTCATCTTCGGACACCTTGTTGGTCTTTGCAAGCGATGCTTTAGCTTTTTCAATCTTGTCTTTACCAATGAGGTAACGTGGGGATTCGGGCATGTTGACCATACCACCAGCTAAAAACAAGGCCCAAGCAAAACACAAACCCAATGGGATTCTCCATTGTCTGGAGTCGGAGTAGCTTTCCTTAGTTCCGTACGTTGTACAGTATCCCAAAAAGATACCAAACGTGATCATCAACTGGAAGCAACAAACCAATGTACCTCTCAAATGTTTTGGTGATGTTTCTGAAATAAACAATGGACAAACCACTGATAATGTACCAACAGCAAGACCAGTGAAAATCCTTCCAATCATAATTTGATACCATTTGTCGGAAGACGAGATTTGTACAATGATACCAACAACGTAAATCACCATGGACATCATGATGCTCAATCTTCTCCCCCACAAATCGGCGGATTTGGAAAGAAAGATTGCACCTACGGCACATCCAGCGTTAAACATAGCAATAATCAAACCAGTCCTGACGTTGGAGAAATAGTAAGAACCATCCGACTTTTGCTGACCAAATCTACTCTGGAAATCAGTCATGTTGACAAAACCAGAGATTGTACCTGTATCGAATCCAAACACAAATCCACCAAAGGCTATAAGCACACACATGAAACAAACTCCGATATAGGCGCTCATTGGCTTCTTGGGGATATCGTTAGAACCGTGTTGTACATCTTTTTCAAGATCCTGGGGTAATTCATCCTGGTTTTCGTACTTTTCTTCTATTTCGTGAGTTGGAGAATGTGCTGTGTGCGATGATGAAGCAGCATCTACTTGCGTTGGTTGTTGTGACATTGTGAGTTAATAAACTTTGATTAAGGAAGGCAGTGCTTAAAGAAGAGAAGTGACAGTTTTGGAAGAAACAGAAAAGTTGAGACTTTAAGTAGTAGATCGAAAATATAGTCTAACAGAATCGATGACTTCAACTAAGTATATGAGGGTTTGAGGTGGAGCTGGCTTTTAGCAGGAATAGCAAAAACATATGAATCCATTTTTGTGTATCTAGAATTTTGCAACAGCAACAATAGCAAGAAAAAGAAACAGCAGAAAAAAAAAAAAGAAAAGAGGAAGGCAAAGTAGACAACCTGCATAGAAAACCAACTATCAATACGAAGACAAAAAATTAACCCGAGCAAAAACCCCAATTGGCCATAAGACACTACCTCGGCTTACTTTTGACGAGATCTTTGTTTTCAGGTTGATTTCTCACCTAAGAGGTCAGCTGTTATTATTCAGACTTGTCGATGCGCAGTCTCGCAGTTTAAGCCTCGTAGACGGGTCCATAGTGATCAATTTACACCCGATATGTACAATTAAGTCATTTTCGACTCAGCCAAATGCCTGGATTACTAAGACCCGTTTTTGTTCATGTCCACACAATAGCCAAGAAACGGTACGAGTGAAAACTTTTTTTTTTTATTTTATCCTTGTCTTGGATTCGTAGTTGTGCCCGAACAGTATATCTGATTGTCTTGCTTATTATGAGTGTTTCTTTTGTGATCGGTGTCGGAAAAATTATTTTTTGCCATTACGTAATTGTTTTCCCACTCGAAGTGGGTGGAAGTGACAAACTCGTAGGGACCTTTTTCATGAATTAGTGTAAAGAAAAGGGGGGCCCCACACCTTGAGTGAGAGGTGACAATAACAATATTTCTCAAAGACGACCCTGGTGTGCCATTTTTTCTTGTCTACAGCTTGCAACCCACCGATCAAGAATATTTTTTGAACGAAAATGAACTCAACAAGTTCAATCGTTTTGTGCAACAAATTGAAATGTATGCGGACATAAAGGAGGGGAAGTGACAAAGGATGCCAGACTCAGAATTCGGAGTTACTGAAGAAATTAGTCCGAACCGTGTTCAAAATCATGAAAATTTTTTTTAGTGTACACAAAGAGTATAAAAGATTATCCGTATCTACTAAGTGTTATAATATCCCAAAGCCCCAGACCCCTGCTCGAACTTATCAAATATGTACAACTTTATTAAAACTTTGTAAGCTAATGTGTATCAAATCTATAAGAGGCTAGTGCCTAATTGAAATCAAAGAAAAAAAAAAAAAGTGAAACCGTAAACTCGTAACATGTAAATGTGTGTGTGTGTGTGTGTGTGTGTGTGTGTGTGCGTGTGTGTGTGTGTAATTGTGGGTGATATTATCTAATTCCCCACTTATACAGCTTCTTGGACATGCTCTTCTTGAGGCTTGGCATAAGCAGCATAACCGGTAGAATGAGCCATTTCTTCTTCTGGTGGTGGTGTCCAATTGCTTGACTTCCAAGGAACAACTTTAGCAGCGTATAACTCGTCAACTTCCTCCAAAGTGAGTCCCTTTGTTTCATAAACCATGAAATAGACGAAAAAGATTGAGAAAAGCAAACATCCAAAGAAAACAAAACCGTAGTAAAAGTGGATAGCACTGGTGATGAATGAAGTGAAGAATGAGATAAGGAAACCAAAAATCCAGTTACCGGCACTAGCAACACCAATAGCTTTGGATCTGACCTGCAATGGGTACAATTCTGAGACAATGGAGTAAACACCCCCTGCCCAGGTGGAAGCAAAGACGAAAACGTAAAGCGAGGTGATGAAAATCATCGCATCACCATCTGGGTGTCTGGTGGCACCACTGCTTCCATGATAGTACAAGTGTTGAGTTCCGATCAATGAGTAAATCAAGAAACAGATTGACATGGCAACCGAACCGTACAACAAACATTGTCTTCTTCCCAATTTTTCAATCAAATAGATACCCAAGAAGGTAGATGCAAAGTTGATAACACCAATGACAATAGATGTTTCAAACGAATCGTTCAAACCAACAGCTTGGAAAATGGTGGTGCTGTAATAGAAGAAGTAGTTGTCACCAGTCAATTGTTGTAAACATTGCAACATAAGACCAACAAAGACTCTTTCAAGAATTCTTGGCTTACCTTTGATCAATGTCATCCATCCGGCACTACCAGCCAATCTTTCCCTTTCAACACCAGCTTGAAGCAATTGCAACTCAGCATACAAAGCTGGATCTTCTGGTGAAACTTTGTTGACTTTAGCCAATGCATGTTTTGCATCATCGATTCTGTCCTTACCAATGAGGTAACGAGGAGATTCAGGTAAACGAACCATACCTCCAACCATCAACAAGGCCCAAGCAAAACACAAACCCAATGGGATTCTCCATTGTCTGGAGTCGGAGTAGCTTTGTTTGGTACCGTAGTCAGTACAGTATCCCAAAAAGATACCCAAGGTAATCATCAATTGGAAGCAACAAACCAATGTACCTCTCAAATGCTTTGGGGAAACTTCAGAAATGAAAAGTGGACACAAGACTGACAAACATCCAACAGCAAGACCAGTGAAAATTCTTCCAATCATAACTTGGTACCATTTGTCGGAAGACGAGATTTGTACAATGATACCAACAACGTAAATGATCATTGTTCCCGCAATACCAAGTCTACGACCAAAGATATCACCAACCTTTGACAAAAACAAAGCACCAATAGCACAACCTGCGTTGAACATAGCCACAATCAAACCGGTTCTAACATTGGAGAAATAGTAAGTACCATCAGCGTGTTGTTGACCAAACCTTCTCTTGAAATCAGTCATATTGATGAACCCGGAAATTGTACCGGTATCGAAACCGAAAACGAAACCACCAAAAGCAATAAGGAAACACATAATAATCACACCAGCGTATGCTCTGAGTGGTTTTTGATTCAATTCATTAGCACTGTGTTTTAGGTGTTCTTCATTATCCAATGGTTGTTCTTGGTCGTATTTAGCTTCAATTTCGTTCACGTTTGCATCCGCAGTGGATGTAGAATGATGATCTTCCAGCGACATTATTTGTATTTAGCAATGCCAGTTATTGATGAAGGAGTATTCAACAAAATATCCAAAAGAAGGGTACACAGTGCTCACTCGAAATGGTGGATTATTTGTTGCCTATTTATAGGGGGGGAAAATTTTTCTCTCTCTTTTTCTCTCTCTCTATTGTTCCGAACACTTTCCCCGAGAGTACTCTCCAGCTCTCTCCAAGTCATTCTCCAAAGTTTCTCCAATTAACCATTATTAGTGTCCGTACTGCTATTGTTAGGACTTTGCGTAAACTAAAACATACAAAAGCGGAAGTAGCTAAAAAAGAAAATAATTTGTGGCATGTTTAAATGGTTTTTGCCGCTCCGCGCACAGCATTTGGCTGGTTGTTCTCTTGTATGCAGAAGCACTCTAATTTTTTTTTTTTAGTCACCTTATTAGGTTGTCCAAAAGGAGGTTTATACTCCGATTGTTCCTACGTGAGGATCTTTTACGTCCGGCCCGACTATTGTTTGCACTTATTGTGCAACACAAGGCACTTTATCTTCCTTGTGCGATGTGCGTGCTTGTGTCTACATTGTTTTGGGTAAAGCAATTTAGGAAAATGTTTTCCTTTGGGTAGAAGTAGAGCTAAGAGAACCAGGATCCAATTCCGACGTCATGAACATTGACATGTTCGGGACGTCAGGGAAAAAAAGAAACAAAAAGAAAGAAAAATATAACCTTTTAAACGTATGAATGACTGACTAAAAAATATCAATAATAATATTGTAATCGTGTTTATATGAGCAAGTAAAGAGAAAATATGCAGAGAAGAGACAAATAAAAAAAAAAAGAAATTCAAACTTTTGAACTTTTGAGAGAATCTTTTTTTTGTGCACTATTTTCGGAACAATTTGCGAGCACAAAAATAAATAATTGTTCCGATCCAATGAAAACAGTACTACGAATTGCAATTGTTCCGAGAAACATATTGTCAATGAGAAAATGCCTCACGTAAGCCTCCATTCTCAACAATCAAATGGGGACCCACTTAAAATGGGTCTTGCAATAAACAATAACACTTCGAAAGGCATTTGTATTGTAAAGAATACAAACATGAGATCTTGTTCGTTTTGTAGATACTGCATCTCCTCCCTTTCGAGTGGCTCTCGTCGATCCGCCCCCAATCCCCCCACTCCCCCCACTCCCCGCCATTGCCCAACATTGCCCAACATCATCTGTCCGATTGTTTTGTCTCCTGACTTTAAACAATGGTACGCACATACCCATCTATTTGGAGCAGAGTGGGATTTAACAAACAGTATTCATAACAACTGCTTTTAGACTTAATCGCCGTAATTTGTAAAACAATTGCAGATGCAGGCGCCATTATCGCCAACCAATGACCGACTGGAAAATGACCTCACAACAGCGTACTCGTGTCTTTGTAAGTGATATGCCAATTTTTTAATGCCAGGAGCCCATCAAGTTGCGTTTTATTGATGTTACCGCAAGAACATATTCCAGGGTCAAAGGGTCAAAGGGTCAAAGGGTCAAAGGGTCAAAGGGTCGTGTATTACATACCAATCCCATTTCGCCCAGGCCAAAGAAAAAAGAACAAAACAAAAAAAAAAAAAAATAAAAGAAAAATTCACCCACGTTAAAAACGAGATCTCCGAGACTTTGACAACAACAATACAAAGCTCAAAATAGATAAAAAAAAATCACCAGATCTCAAAGTTAGAAAGCATTGTGTTTTCGAAATAGTAGTTGGATTTTATAATCAAGAGCGAGGGAGTCAAAAAAAAAAAGATACCAACACCATGCCTGTTGCGGATGAACGGCTTCCTTATGGAGACGGCGCCTTCAAGATTTTCGGCATGGAAAATTTTGGCAATACATGTTACTGCAATTCGATTCTACAATGCTTGTACTACACCGAGTCATTTCGAACCAATTTGATCAAGCATAAACAAACCCAACACGAACCCAAGTTGGTAGTCAATGGAATAAAATTTCACGCATTTTCAACAAAGTATGATCAATTGTTACAAAAGAAATTGAAGGAACAGGGTGCTGTACTGTCCACCCCAACTGAAGAAAGGCCTAAACAAAGTCGCAAAGGCTCTATTTTTGGAATCAAGTTCAATAATCAGCAGTCGAGTACCCCAACAACTTTCGTTGAACAACGAAACGACTACATTGACGAGGCGGGCAATTGTGAAGTTCTACCATTGGAACAGCGAATCTTGATCAACAAATGTCCGGAATTTCTGAGGTTGGAGATGATGATTACTAGGCCGGCTCTAAGCACTAGTGGCTATGTCAATGGACTGACTAATGGAAGTGCCACATCCACCGCTTCCAATACAGGAGGAGTCAACGTGAACAATGCATCGAGCAACAGTTCTGTCACAAGCGCTACTAACCCCAATAAAGCTGACTATTCGCAAAGTTCATCGATGTTGTTGAACGACCAGCCAACACAAACAGCACAAGAAGGGTCAATAAATTGCAAATCAAGTGCAATCATAGTGGGGATACCCAAACCAGAAGCAATCTTGGCCAATCCAATCAACCCATTCAACGCAAATCCCAGCGCAGACCAGAGGAAAAGATCTGCATTGATCAATGGTCCGATAATCAACTTGGACACCTCGTTGCAAATGCCAAGTGAACAAAGGGCGGAAACCGCCTTGTTATATGCTCTCAAGGATTTGTTTGAGAGTATGGTTGAGAACAAGTCACCAATTGGTGTTGTATCGCCAACATACTTTATTTCAAAGCTCAAAGATAAGAACTACTTGTTTCGCCAAAACAATATGCACCATGACGCACATGAGTTTTTCAACTATTTGATTAATGAAATCATTGAGAGTTTAGCAAAGGAGAACTCCGACCCTACACAAAACTGGTGCAATGATATATTCCAAGGTATCATTACCAACGAAACTAAGTGCTTATCATGTGAAACAGTGACATCGAAGCATGAGTTCTTCCTTGACTTGTCCATTGATATTCCACCGGGCGAAAGTGCGTATTCGTTGAATTTTGCCATCAATAACTTCTCCAAACTGGAAACATTGACAAACCAAAACAAGTTTCATTGCAACACTTGCTCGTCATTGCAGGAAGCAGTGAAAACTATCAAATTGAAGAAACTACCTCAGGTTTTAGTCATCAACCTAAAACGATTCAAGTACGACGAGGAAATGGATAAAATGGTGAAGCTTTTTGACTCAATTAGCTATCCTTTCAAACTACGATTATTCAACACTACAGAGGACGCCAACCAAAACATTCTCTACGACTTGTACGGTTTGGTGATTCATATTGGTGGTGGTCCAATGCACGGACATTATGTTTCAATCTGTAAAATCAAAGCTGGTCTTTGGTTGTTATTCGACGATGAAACGGTGGAACTTGTTGAAGACAACTTTGTGATGAGATTTTTCGGTAATGGGCCAGGCTTGGCTAGTGCGTACATTCTATTCTATCAAAGAATAGAATTTGATGAAGCATCAGAACACTTTGGATTTGATGTCTCAACTTTGTACCACGGTGATGATTATCAAGTCCCTGTACATACTCCAGCCAATAGCACTGATGAAGAGCCAAAGGAAGCAGCCGTACCCATGACCGCAGCGGATTCCAAGTGCGATACAAATTCAATCAACTCGTTTATGGCACCACCCGAAACCAACACGCGACCAACATTATCCTCAGGTGGTATGTTTAAAAGTTTCAAGTTGGATAAAGAAGACAAGCAGCAACAGCAACAGCAACAGCAACAGCAACAGCAGCAGCAACAGCAACAGCAGCAGAAACAAATACAATCTCTATCGCGAAGCAGCAGCTCTAATCTCGTTGGAAAGAAGGAAACACCAATCAAAGAAACGAAAGAAAAGAAGTCTTGGGTTGGCAGTTTAAAGAGAGGAAATCTCGAACGGAAGTTGTCACTGAAAAACACAGCGGTAAGTGAAGAGAGTAGTGCCAACAGCACTGCTCCAGCTACATCAAACCCCGCTACAACGCTGGCACCTCCTCCTGTTCTAGAGAGGAAGCGAACCTTGTTTGGTTTCAAAAAGAGGAGCTCATAGAGATAGTCAAATACGTTTGTACTTGTAAAGCATTCATAGACTTTTGTCCAACGATTCACATGATCAGGACACCAATCACTCCGATAGCACGAGCTTTTACAACGATGTATGACAATTCTTGCAGTAAGCTACATTCTCCAAGATCAAAATACCAATTTCGATGTAATCTATTACTTGTTACTTTTTGTTGCAATTAAATAATGCAGACTCTTTAGATATTTCCTTGTCCCAAATGCTTCCGACATAGTTGTACTTTACAGTTTCTAAACACTGCTGATCCTTTCTACCCTAGATGTACAACTCGAATCGTCTCACCAATAACCTGGAGATATCAAGAAGCTTCAACTTTTCAAAGCTCAAACTAAACATGTTTAAATTGGGCGTATAGGAAAGCAATTGAAACATACAGAGGAATATTGAATCTTTTGCATAATATGCAAGAGTAAAGTCCTTGTTCTGTGTGGTTGCAAATACATACGTGATCCAATAAAGGGCCACACAACAGGGATGGTGTTGCTTATTCTGTTTCTTGGTTATTGAGATTGAGTTGCAAGCGCAAGGGAGAAGACGACAAAAATAACTCTGCTACACTTGGCAAGGAGAGTTCTCTTACACACCTGATGCTCCACCCACAATTGATTTGTTGCAATTTTATGGCGCCATAGAGTTCACGAGATGCACGGTGTTTTCATCTCTCTTTCTTCGGAAAAACCTGAGATGCATTGTGGCTAACAAAACATGCACGTGCACACGGGATGCATCGAGTGGAAACTTTGCGTCATGCAATGCATTGAATATTGTAGGAGCATAGATTGCTGCTTACCCCGTGATTATTGTAATGCAAGACGGTTAAAGAACTACATTTCTAGAACATCCTGGAAAATGGAAGCGCAATCATTTTGTTCTTCTGTAACACAAAACTAGGCGCAATACCCGCTTTTAACAACCGATCCGATTTGCAATGATGGAACTGAGTGATGGGATACTCAGGGAATCACACATCACAAAGGGGCAGTATTGGTTTGAAGGTCCTGAAAATGCATTCTGCACATTTGCTCAGTGAGTGTTGGGAGGGGTTGACAATTGACAGTTGACAGTTGACAGTTGACAGTTCACTCTGTCGTTTGTTCTGACCCTCAAGTTTGGATAGCATAACCATCACAATCTTCATACCCCGATTCCGCAACTGAAGAAGTTTTGATATGTGTAGATGTATGTGAATACGCTTTGTTTATTTGTGTTTCTCGCCCTTTGCCCGCTTCATTCTGTATACTACGGCTGTCCTTTCTAACAAAGTTTACAGGTCAAACTCAATCTGTTTTGCATGACTATTCTTTACAAATATTATACACGGCTACGCTCTGGACCACAAGAATGTATGCTACAACTCTGATGTATATTACTCAGCAGTATAACAAAATTCAGGTTCAAATAATGGAAACAAGGATCTGAGAATGGAATAGTTGCTATACGGTTTACTCTAACGGGGCCAGTACCCAAAAAAAAAAAAAAAAAAAAAAAAAAAAGGGAAATGTTACCCGCGGATTAAGTGTGTGTGATATACTAGAAAAAAAAAAAAAGAAGAAGAAGAAGAAGAAGAACAATGACAATGATTCTACAATCTTGTGGCTGACAAAGCAATTGAAATTATTATATGCAGGCTTCTCCAATATCCTCAAAAAAAAATATATCTATCTGTATAAATATAAGGACGATGATGAGGTCAATGTAGTCCCACTTTTGCCATCAAAGAATACACCACTTTTCTTTTGACAGGAACTTACTCAATTAAATCACATTACACTTATACACAACAATGACAGTCGCAAGCAAGGTATTGGTACTCGGAGCTGGTTGTTTCTGGGGAACAGAGCATGTCTTTGCAAAAGCATTTCACAAGGGTTTGATCAGCAACGTTGTTGGTTATGCCAATGGTAATGAAAAATACCACGGGGTCTCATATCAACAAGTTTGTAGTGGATCCACGGGTTTCGTTGAAGTTGCTAAATTGACTTATGACCCAGCTCAATTGTCTACTGAGACCATCATTGATCTTTTCTTCAGAATGCATGACCCTACTCAACTCAATGCACAAGGTCCAGATATTGGTCGGCAATACCAGTCGGCAATCTACTACACCGACGAAGAACAACACAAGGTTGCTGAGCAATTGAAGGAAAAGTACCAAAAGGAATGGTACCCAAACAAAAAGATTCAAACGGAAATTGCACCATTGAAGGTGTTCTATGATGCTGAGTCTTATCACCAGAAGTATCTTGACAACAACCCAGGCGGATACGAATGTCCTACCCACTACATTAGAACTGAGCCACCAAGTCAAGGTAAATCTTGGGGCCTTTTCTAGCCACTTTATAGCTTGCAATGTATATTGATTTTTAAATTTAATGGAAGTGATCGTTATTAAAAGAGTGGAATTGATGGTATAGATGTGACCGTGTAGAGAAGGTGCTTGAAGTTGGCAGTGACTTCGTACATTACGCTTGATGAGAGTTTTGCAAAACGCGTTAACGTCAAATCACAATATTTTTTTTTTTTCATTTTTTGTTTTCCCCTTGGAAATCACACCTTCATTCACCAAGGCGACTCACTCACACAACACAACATGTCCTTATGGGTAGACAAATATAGACCACGGACCTTGTCCCAGTTGTCGTATCACAATAGTATCACCCAAAACTTACGTGCTCTTTCCAAATCTGGAGACTTCCCCCATCTTTTAGTTTATGGACCAAGTGGAGCAGGGAAAAAGACTAGAATCTATTGTACTTTGCATGAACTATTTGGATCTTCGGTCGAAAAGCTCAAGATTGATGTCAAGAATTTCGTTACTACGTCCAATCGTAAGCTTGAGTTTAACGTTTTGAGTTCCCCTTACCATTTGGAAATAACACCTTCCGATATGGGTAACAATGACCGTGTTGTAATCCAAGATTTATTGAAGGATGTTGCTTCAACAGAACAAGTGGATTTTGGAAACCAAAGCAGCAAAAAACATAGGTTCAAAGTTGTCATTATCAATGAGGCCGATTCATTAAGCAGAGATGCACAAGCTGCATTGAGAAGAACTATGGAAAAGTATTCAGCAAATATCAGATTGATTTTGGTTTGCAATTCAATATCAAATATTATTGCTCCTATAAAGTCCAGAACCTTGTTGGTGAGAATACCTAGTCCTTCAGTTGAAGATATAGGCTCCATTTTGGGACATGTTGCAGAGAAGGAGCGCGTCAAGTTCTCGTCTACAAATGCTCAGGAGATTTCACAATTTTACAGTCAGGTTGCAAACACAAGTAATCGCAACTTGAGAAGATCATTATTGGCTTTTGAAACCATTCAAATGCAAAACGAGACCATTAATGTTAAGCAGTTACATTCGGTTATTGTTTTGGATTGGGAAACTGTAATCAAGAATATGGCAAAGACAATTACCAGCAGTAGGAATGTGGCGACATTGGCCAAGTTAAGGACGGTCTCATATGAGTTGTTGTCTCACTGTATTCCAGCAAGAACTATCTTGAAGAATCTTTTATTTGAGTTGATCAATTTAGCAAGGGGCAAATCCACTTTAATTCAAGAGATTGTCAAGATAGCATCTACTTTTGATGAGAGATTGAGTCTTGGACAAAAGAGTATCTTCCACTTGGAAGGTTTCGTGGCCAAAACTATGCTTGCAATAGACAACTACAGCTGAAATCGAAAACTGAGTTTTGTACTTTATAATCAATATAAAAGAAATACCATTTGTCAAATCGTAAGAAGTAGAATGAAGTAGCCTGGGTGATCAATGTTGGACTTTGTTATCCGACGATTTGCTATTCTTTGCAGCTTTCCTGTGTTTTCCATCAACAATGTCATCGTAAGCAGGAAGATCGCCAGCATTCAAAAGGGGTCCTTCTGGACTATCCAAATCTCCTTCAACAACGTTATCACGATAAGGAGCGCGACTCTGTGAGCCAGCTTCCCCAGAAGCACCATGGTGGATGAATCCTTGTTGCTGCTCAGACACAGTATGGTCTTCTCCTCCGAGTCTATGACCAGGTCCACTATGCTGTGGGTGTGGACTACGGCTGGATCTTGCGGCGCCAGCTCCATTTCCACCTCCTTGTGATGGGGACCCTACTTGACTCTCATCATCATCACCAATTCTAGAGTACCCCTCGACTCCACGACTGGGGAAATCAATGTAAAATAAAAAGTAGATGGCAAACACACTTCCCGGGATATGACCAAAGAAGGTCAAAATTACGGTGACTAGAAATTCCTTGGTAAAGATTGTTCGTTGGGCTAAAAAGGTTGCTAATGGCGGAAGGAATATGGCGGCCAAAAGCAAAACAAATTGCTCCGGTGGACTTGGTGCTGCTTGAGGTGTGGTCATTGCTGTTGTTTGGAGGTTGAAGGTATATGCTTGAAAATGCTTCGTGAAGTGGCAATTGAGGATTTCTAGTGCGAATTTCATCAGTTCTATTTATAGCCCAATGAACAGATAAACTCCGAATCACACGCATATAAAAGAAAGATGTCAATTGGGCTCGATGAAAGAGTCGATATCCACCTGTGAGCTTAAAGAAGACCATGTTTCTTGAAAGGGGAGGTGGGAGGTTTGTTCTTCTGTGCTAATTGCATTCACAGCAAAGCTTCATCATAACAACCTTTAGTTCAATTTAGATAATGTCAAATACCTTCGAGGATCCAGGCTAGCGAGAGTTGGTTGTAAATTCATGCATGATAACTGTACTACTTTTTACATGCTATATTTTTGGAGTGCTGGACTGTCTCTGAAGTAATAGTTTCGTAAAGATTAAAGAGGAAGAAAAATGAAAACACGCACAATGATAGACATTGTTGAAAATTCATTTGCGAACCACACTATATAGATATTCCCTAGCAGCAACACTCGTGATATCATGGACTACATCAAGAAGCAAATATGGGGACCTGACCCCAAAGAACAAGTACGTGTATACTTCAACTCCAATCCTACGATTCATCAAAAAATACTAACCTCAGTACTAGATGAGAAAGATAAACCAGCTTCTTCGAAAGAATAAACGTGAATTAGATAGGTCGGTCAATCAACTTCAACCTTTGAAAAAAAAGACAGAAGGTTTAATCAGAAAAGCCGCCAAGGAAAAGGACTACAAGACTGCCAAATTGTATGCTAAGGAATTGATTAATATCAATCGACAATACAATAAACTATACACATCCAGGACTAGAGTCGAGTCAATCACAATGTCCATCAACGAGCAGTATCTGATGAACAAATTGACCAAGTCTATACACTCATCCACCTCGATTATGAAGGATGTCAATCTGTTGATTCACATTGGTGCTGTGTCGCAAACGATGCAAGAATTGTCAAAGGAGTTGACGAAAGCGGGCATCATCAATGAGATGATGGACGACATGGTGGACTTGGACTATGAGGAAGACGAAGAATTGGAAAGCGAGTCACAAGAAGAAGTTAATAAGATAATAGCCAACTTGACCGAGGAAAAGACTAGCAAGGTTTCAGAAGTTCCTACTACACAACTCGAGGCGCCACAATTGGAGGAGGAGGTACCAGCCACAGAAGAAGAAGAAGATGAAGAGGATAATATTGCTATTGACGAGATAAAACAAAGGCTCAGAGCACTACAATCGTAGTGCCTTGAATAAACAGCCCAGGTTATAATAAACAGAATGCAACCAACAACACTGTCCAAATGCATGTTTGTGGATCATAGGAAAAGGAGCCACTGGAGCTTTCCTCAATGGTTTCATCTATAGCAGTTGCCAGCTCTTTTGATGCTTTTTGAAATTGCGATCCAATGGTTTCATTGACGAAACAAATTGAAACATGATCGGTGACGTTCTCGGCGAATAACGAGTGGGTATTTGGGCTGGCTCTGGCAACGACAAATGAACTAGGTATACGGTAAATCTCCCCACCATCAACTTGATTGCCATTAATCACCGCGTAAGTGCTGTCGCCACCGTTTGTTGACATGAGTGCAAATCCTCCCTTGCCAGCTTTCTTCAAGAGCTTCTTGTTGACTTTTTTCTCAAGATATATACCTGCATTATATTGCCATTTGGGGATCAACTTCTTTTTCTTTTTAATCAAGGCTTCAAGTTCAGGGTCAGATGCGTTGGTGTAAATAACGGGGCTATCCAAGATGGTGAGATTATAACTTTGGTATGTCAAGTCAATTTCTCCGGAAACGTTTGTTTGGATCAAATCAGTTGCAGTGGAAGGAGTTGATATGGGTTGTCCAGTGACTACTACGGCTATAGCCATCAATAGCAAAGAATGAAATTGCATTGCTGGCTCTAGTGTTGTTGCAGGATAAAGAAGTGGTGACAGACAAAGAAATCTGGCTGCATAATGATATTAGGAGCAAGGGCGCCAGAAAGAAAGAGAGAAACATTTCACAAAAGTGAATTTACCGCATGAGTTTATCCGTATCAAAGTTATGCTTATATCAAAAAGAGATAGACACTGCATGAGATTATGTACGCGAGAGCACTCACTTGTAAGATAAGTGCTTTTGATTCAAACATCGATTCAATGGTATTGGAGCTATTACCCTGGAAGTAATCAACAATAGTGGCATTTTTCAATTCAACATCCTGATCAATAACCATTTTCTGGTCCTCTTTATCTGTAGTAACGACTTCATCCAAACTGAACAACTTAAACGTCTTCTTCTTCTTGTCGTTCTTCTTCTTCTTCTTCTTCATACTGCTCTTTCTGTCACTCTCAGATGATGATGAATCACAATCAGAATCCCAGTCAGACCCCGAGTCAGATTCGGGACCAGTCTCCGGCCCAGAAGATTTCAGTTCGATGATAGTAGGTATGAATGTAGTTTCCTTCTCAGTTGATCCCTCATCGATTTCCTTGTTCAAGAATGCACCAGCACCAAGACGCCATTTGGGTGTGCTCACTTTAGTCTCCTTCTTTGTACCTTGAGCCCTGAACTGATCATTGGAATCGACTTTGCTTTTCAAAACTCCTGCTGGTGTTTGCTCAACAAGGAGGGCGTGGAACACAACGTTGTTGAGGTGATCTTGTGAATTTTCGTTATCGTAGCTGACGACTTGTGAAGTGAAGATTGGTGATTGGTGCTGGAGCAAATCGGATTGGTGGTGGGTGATCAACGGGAAAACATAAGCCACTAACGCTAGGCAGATTAAGGGTTTCAACATCATTGGAAGTTAATGCAACCAAAAGAAGAACTGTGTTTATTCCAGCAGGGGGAGTGGCAAATTGCTTTCAAAAATAAAAAAAGGCAATTCGCCCCACTACTTGATTTCTTTCGCAGTCAATTTCTTTTGTGTTGCAAAAATTGATATGCCCTAGATTAAACTAAAAACAATAAAAACCAAATATACATAACGAGCGACAAGCTTTGGACTCACTGAACAAATACACACTCGAATATTGATTTCCTGCAATACTAGACGAGCTGAAGTTTGCAAATTGCCATGTAGAATCGTTACTTTTGCTCACAGCTGACTTCACTTGCCATGCCTCAAACTTGGGGGCAAGCTTTTTGTCAGAAACGTCTTTTCCTCGTTGGAAATCCTCTGCATCAACGACATAGTCATCCTCTATGTAATCCCTCTTTGCTACACTTGATACATTCAAAGCTTTGGGGTTCCTAGCGCTATCGTCGACTGTCTCATGGTGATCAAGAAATAAACCAGGGTGGTTGGTTCCGACTTTGGTAACTAATTTATTCTCATTAAGCAAATGATGCTTACTCCCGTTCTTGCCACCTTCAACACTGAGACCCAAGAACCAATGCTTCCCTTCAGTTTCGGACAAATCGCTATCTTCATCGGACTCTGACCCGGAAAAGTTCAACCCTTTTTCTCTTCCATCGCTTTCCTCCTCACCCTCCTCCTCTTCACTTGAAGAAGACTCCAATAACCATTCAGGTGGAGGCTTTGGCTTCGATTTTGGCTTTTTGGGCTTCTTTGGTTTTGCTACTGGTTTCTGCTCATCAACCTCTGGCTCAGTTTCAATTATGGTAATTGGCCTTTTCTTGTACTTTGCAATTTCACGACAATCTTGATACCCCATCTCTTGCGCTTTATTTGCAAACAAACCAGTACTGAATGACCATTTGGGTACTTTATCCTTTCCTTGAATGGTGAAGATGGTGTTGCTGATATTGTCGGTTGTGTTCAACGTGGGCTGCAAGGTGTATTTTGACGCTGGCAAATTAAGAGGGAGATTGGCGGTGGTATCATTCAACGGGTGAGTGGTTTGCCAGTTTGCAAGTTCTTCGACCAGATTGTAAAACAGCGTATCCTCAGTATAGCCGACCTTGCTGAGGACACAAATTACCAACACCGAGCTCATAGACATCCGCATATTCGTGTGATACTTCTTTGTGAGGAGTATGTTATGGTGTAGTTTGGTTTTTGCCACAACTCTATTTGAAAAAAAAAAAAAGAATATGAATAGATTCTTTAAAAGTATGAACTAAGGTACACAATGACAAAATTTCTTTAATCTTGATCGTAAGTCAAGCCATTTTCTTTTCTTATATCGTCCATTACTCCCATCACAAGGAGACTTTCAGCATGTGGCATTATCTCGTTTTCCAATTTGCCATTATGAATGTCATTTGCCACTGCATTTGCTTCGTATATGAAGCCATTGTAACCAGAGTTGTCCTTGTATTCATAAACTTCCTTGCCCTCTTTACCGAAAATTTTGAAGTGCTTAGCCCTGGCTGGATTATCGCTGTACATTTCGACCCAACCTCTGGAACCCTCAAGTCTAACATATGCCTTTGGGCCATCAACCAACTCGGACGAAGTGAGAAGTGCTTGCTTCCCATCTTTGTATTTGATCAAAATTGAAGCAAGATGGTCCACCAAATCATTTTTGTCTATGGTTAGAAAGCTTTTATGCTCAAATTTGGTTGCTTTCTCTCCAACATAATCATCCAAAAGTATTCTTGAGTATGTGATGGGGTAGATACCAATATCCAAGAGTGACCCAGCTGCTAGTGATCTATCTCTTACCCTTGACGTCAAAGGCAAATTCTCCACATCTCCTTCATAGCTGAAATCTGCAAATAATCTATGCACGTCACCAATCACCTTTTCTTGATAAACCTTTCTCTTAAGCTCTTTGATAGCAGGGAAGAATCTCGTCCAGACCGCCTCCATACAGAACCTGCCGTTCTTTTTTGCAACTTGAAAGATCTTTTCTGCTTCCTTTCGATTCACTGTAATTGGCTTTTCACACAAGACGTGCTTACCATTCTCTAAACACGCAATAGCTTGTTTGAAATGAAAGTTATGCGGGGTGCCAATATAGACTACGTCGATTTCTGAGTTCTTGTAGAGCTCATTGTACGATTGAGTTACTGGTGTAACATCAAAGTTCCTCTCGGCAGTGATTTTGTTGTTTTTGATAAACTCTTGGCCCTTTTCGGAGTTGGAGCAGCCGATACTCTTAATCACATGGTGATATTCCGTTTCTCGATCATTATTTAACAACAAATCGTAGACAAATTGCGATGAGATGTTTCCAGCACCCAATATGGCCCAATTGAGGGTGATTGTCATTTTCGTTGGCAGTTAAGGAGAACAAGGGGAGCAAAGTGGACAGTGGGGTATAACTGTTTTTTCTTTTTTTTTTTTTTTCTTCGTCGCCAATTCAACCAAACTTCGACTACTTACAAAGAAAGATACAAACCCTGTAGGACTACACATACCTTGTAACTTGGTAGTCATTGTATATTACCGTACTTACACTAGAACTTCAAATACAAGGGCTCTTGAGTGGATATTTCACACCCTTGCCGTACACTGTCTGGAAGCTTCAGTGCTTTCTCCAACACTTTTTCTTTATCACTCTGGCTGTAAACATAGGGGAATGTTCTTGTACCACCCTCACCATTCGTCCCTGCGTGGCCTCCGGATCTGTTGCCATCGCCATTGCTGAATTGTGGTGGGAGTAGTTGTGACTGTGACTGCGATTGCGATTGCACTCCAGACATACTACCCTTGTTCAAAAACGAAGTGACATCAATTAAGTTTTCCGATAAGTCATTGACTATGTTATTCAACTCTTGTTGCCTTTGTTCTTGTTTTAATATTTCCTCTTCTTGTAACAGGTCGTACCCCCCTTGTTGGTTTCTCCTTAGTAGTGATGCTGTTTCATCGTACTCGTCATCATTACCACCACCGCTCAAGCAAGATAGACATAGACCCATTGAACAGTTATATGGTTCAGGTTTTAAATGTTGTACTGCCGTGAAAGAAGTAGTAGCAGCTTTTGTTGAGTGGTAACCGTAAGGTCGATATTTTGCCTCGTCGTGTAAATTGTTCACATTAAGGAAAACTCGACTCTCCTCAAAACAAAATCTCGCTTTAGATTACAAATCTCACCACTCAAAACCCCCACTGTCAAAACTTCAATTCCTAGCCATGTCAAAAGCTTTATGTTGCTATGCATTTGAAACATTGCTAAACAAGCTTAACCTCGAACAGACTAAAGTGCCCCTCAAGTCCTATTTTGAGGCGGTGCACGAGGATGCCAGCAAACTCCCCAAATCAGCTCCTCTATTCGTCACCTGGAATAAAAATTCGCAATTGCGAGGATGCATAGGGACATTCCAGTCATTAGCAGTTGAGCCAGGTGTTGCCAAGTTTACCGTTAGCTCGGCATTTGAAGACCCGAGGTTTGCACCAATCGCCGCCAAAGAGGTCGCTGATTTAGAGGTGGATGTGACATTGTTGGATAGATTCCAGCCAATCTCGGACTACAATGACTGGTCTATTGGTGAACATGGGTTGAAGATATCTTTTGAGCTTGATAGCGAATACTATCTGGGAACTTTTCTCCCATCAGTGGCAGAGGAACAAAACTGGGACAAGCCCACAACTTTATATTACTTGCTCAAGAAAGCAGACTATCCGGTTAGCAAGAAACTGACTGAAGAATTTTATTCAACGGGATTGAAGGAAGGGTGGTTGAAATTGACAAGATATGAAGGACTAAAGGTACATATCGCGTATGGCGATTTTATCGCAATAAGAAAGTCAATTGTGAACTAGAGATGCGGTCGAGTAGCTTTGCAATACCTCGACGTGGATTACTTAGAGTAGATTGCATTGTCAGAGGGGGGGGGAGGGTAGCATTGAAAATTTTTTCGAGTTATTCCGTGGGGAAGTAAATAGGGCTGGTCCTGGTTTGCACCATGAAGCAGCTCCATGAATATATAGATTCAATTCAGTTTTGTTTGATTACACTGATCTTTATGGCCATCTCTTGTAGCTAAGCATCCATTATCATCTTTCGAAGCGTGCTCGGTCCGTTACACTTCATTTCCCTTTGTGCAACTATTAAATTCTATTTCCGATTTCTTGAACTTTTTCCTACACACTCGGAAAAGCGTTCACCCCCACAATTTTTGAGTAAAGATTATACAATTCCAACCATGATATAAATTGCATCTTGTCGTAGATTGGGTTAATCCTTAATTCAGAAGGCTTTACTTCACACCTTGAAGCCCCCAACCTATGTTCAAAAAGTCAGCAAAAGATATTGTGGTTCTCTCTGCATTGAGAACTCCAGTCACCAAATCTGTCAAGGGCGGCTTGGCTCAACTCTATCCCGAGGAGTTGCTATACCAAGTTTTGAAAGGATCTTTATCTAAATCGAAAGTTGATCCTAACTTGATTGATGACATTCTTGTTGGTACAGTTTTGCAAACATTAGGGGGTCAAAAAGCCTCAGCCTTGGCAGTGAAAAAAGTTGGGTTCCCCATAAAAACAACGGTAAACACAGTAAATCGTCAGTGTGCTTCGTCAGCTCAAGCAATAACATACAGTGCTGGGTCTCTTCTCAGTGGAGAGAACAAGTTTGCCATTGCTGCTGGCGTTGAATCCATGACGCACGATTATTTCCCACATCGTGGAATCCCACAACGAATTTATCAACCATTTTTGGAAGATGCCAGTGAGGAGGCAAAGAATGTGTTGACACCAATGGGGATCACAAGTGAGCTGGTTGCCGAGAAATTTGGCATTACTAGAGAGGCTCAAGATGAATTTGCTGTGCAATCGCACTTGAAAGCAGCACAGGCGAGCGAATCAGGTCATTTCAGGAAGGAAATAATACCAGTAGAGTCACGCAATGAGGCTGGTGAAGTTGTTATTATCGAGAGAGACGATGGAATTAGAGCTGGATCAACCTATGAGAAGTTGCTGACATTGAAACCTGTATTCAAAGAAGATGGAGTTACGACTGCAGGAAACTCCTCTCAAATATCAGACGGAGCTTCAGCAGTTGTTTTGACAACTCGTGAAAATGCCGAAAAGTGCGGGTACAAACCAATTGCAAGATTCATTGGTTCAAGCGTAGCCGGTGTCCCCGCTGGATTGATGGGAATTGGACCTTCGGAAGCAGTACCGCAATTGTTGGAAAGATTTGGTTTGACACATAAGGATATTGACATCTTTGAATTGAATGAAGCGTTTGCTTCTCAACTGATATACTGCATCGAGAAGTTGGGTTTAGATGCTGCAAAAGTGAACCCATATGGTGGAGCCATTGCCATCGGTCATCCTTTAGGAGCTACAGGGGGTAGGGTAGTGTCTACATTGTTAAATGGGTTGAGGACTCAGAGCAAAGAATTGGGAGTCGTGTCGATGTGTACTTCCACTGGTCAAGGTTATGCGGGATTATTCATCAATGAAGATTAAAAGTAATGTTCTGATTGAAAAAAAAATATTAGCTATACTGATTAAACCGCTGTCAAGCTCTATAAAAGTTACTCTAAGTATGAAATAAACGCACCAACCAATAAATCAATGTCCCACTCAATACTGGGATTGTGAAGTTATCATCTAATCCCCAAATATCAATGAGTTCTGAAACACTAGCAATAAATCCAACAAGAATGGAGTAAACATGAAAATTCAACCTACTCAGTTGTGGTGTCCAGTATATGTCGCCAGGCTTATTGACATCATATCCAGGGATAAAGTACCCATAGAGTAAATATGCTGCAAACGTACCCACTGCAAAGCTACCCAATGAACCAGCCAAAGACTTTCTATTTCCTAACTTGGGGGTGTACTTGCCAAACTTGCGGCCAACAGTCGAAGCAGCAGTATCAGCCCAGCTCAATAAAAGGATACTCAAAACACTAATGTCCTTGGGGTAGAGATACAAAACAATCAACACACCCGCCAAGTAGAATAAAGTTCCATTGTAGGAGTTTTTCTCATTTTCACGAATGATGAACCACATCTGAGACGTGACAACTTTGTTAATCTCGGGATTATGGAGTCTCACCAAATCGTTTATTAGGACACCTGAAAAACATGTGAATAGCGGAACAAATAACTGTGGAGTTGTGGTCCCCTTGGTATACAACCACAAGGTCAAAACACCAATAGATGAGTGAAACACTTTTCTAGGAATCTCGTGCTTGACCAAAAACTGATTAAACTTGCCTTTGATGGGCGTTATTCCAACTGATTCAACTTTTCCTTCACTGTTTATACTTCCCTCTCCCTTTGGACTCAAGTCATTCACGTCTAAATCCGTCTCAGAACTTTTACTAGACAAGACCTGAAAGTCATCCTCTACTTCGTCGTCATCATAATCCTCATCCTCCTCAGACGATTTATCGTCGTTTGTGGTGTTGTAGATGTACGTTTGATCCTCTTCTTCGATGTATGAATTCACGTTGGCTTCGTCAAACTCTAGTATATTGAGTCCAGTTTGCGGCTTAGGCGGAGGTGTGTTTATAGTACCAGCAGCAGCGGACATATCGGGCAGTAAATGTAAAAATGTGACTTTGAGGATCCTAGTTGAAACAACCAAGAACTATACTCTGCTGAATATTTTAAACGTAATAAGTATCAACCCAAGAAGATAATGGCTATGTTTATAGTTTATTTAATGATCTGCTGGAGAAAAAAAACAAAAAAAACAAAAAAAAAAAAATAATAATGTAAAAAGAATGATGTATTATCGCGCATTTGGGATTTTAAGTCAATTGAGCCGAGGAGTTGATAAGGGAGGGCCCTTGCTAAGAAAAATATAACAAACACCCCATACAACGGTTTGCAAAAAGCTACATAAAAGATTGTTCCTTCCACCGGACCAGTTCCATTAGAGCAAAAGTGACAATGCCATGTAACATATGAAGTTTAAAGACCAATCTGAATTTCCCGAGTTGAGCTTTGTTTGAGAATCAAAGTCAAAGACATCGAAATTAAAGCTTTTTGTAGGCTGCATCTTCATTCGACGGTCCCGTGACGTAAGAAAACCCGTCCCCCCTGGGCTATATTCAATATCATTCGCATGAGTTGAAAACGCTGCACTCCTGGGTGGTGGATGAATCAAGTCTTGATCATAAACCGGTCCTCTTGATGTAGAAGTAGTTGGTTCTACCGTTATCAACTGTTCAAAAGTTGTCTCGCGAGACACGTTCTCCAGCGAGGCCTCCCTTCCAATGTGGGGATGCTCGACCGCCAGTTTGACAAAATACTCCTCATACTGGGTGGTTGAAGGTACATTAGTTGCATCAATTATGGGCGCAAACTGAATAGCATTTGCGTCAATATACCCAATTTGTTGATCTTTGTCAAACAAGATCGTGTACTCGCCTTCCTTTAGCACTCCCAAGGTTTCATCCACATCAACTCTAGCTGCTCTTGCAGTGGTTGTAGCTGGAACTTCACTCCAAGCAACTTTCGGTTTCTTGTAGTCCATCTTTGCCGCTGCTTTCCGACTTTTATGTTTCTGAAATTGAGGTTTGATTATAACCGAGTTTGAAGGTGGTTTTGTTGCCATAATCTGCTTCCCGTTGACTTTGGATTGGGTAGCAGTAGTCATGTCATCGAAATCGGTAATCTCCTTGTCAACAGTGGGTGCCAGAGATAGCCTTGATAGTGAATAATCCGTAGTGAGTGGGGCAAAATCCAGTGAGGTAACAATCGCCTGGCTCTTATCTCCATCCCCCAACTGTTTTTCAAACCTCAGCTTCTGCCTATGCATTTGCTCTTTCAAATCTATCAACAACAACTCCAATCGGTTTATTTCTGCAAGTGGGTCAAATTTCGAAGTGGATACGCTTTGCTGAATCAATGTGTAAGAGGCAACGGGAGATGTCGTAGCTGAGAGAGCCACATAGCGTTCTCTCTCACCTGTCATTTTTGAATGTAGGGCACTAGTCGCTACGGGATGTAGGAAAGTACCAGTTTCATTAACCATCGAGACTACTTTAGAAGGCATCGATATTTCTGTGCTACCTCTTGCCAGGTCAATGTGCAAATCAGTTTTGTCTTCAAATGCTAGTGTTGAGATACTTGAATGAGCTCCATCATAGTACACGGGAACGCCTTTATTCAGAATACCCACTAATGAGTTGGTGCTGTTAGAACCAAGTGCGTTGCGTCGAGGTAAGGCCCCTTTCAAAAAGTTGATATGTCGATGAAACTGCTTTTCCACGCTTGAAAAAGTGTCAGCAACGACTGGTGGCAACAATAACAATACAAGTGCAGTGAGTATACTAACAAAACGCATGATAATGGATGTGGTAGTATAGCTAATGACGATTTATCAAAATTTATTCGAAAACAGCTTGAGACGTTCTTGCTTATTGAACATTTGTGGCGTCTCTTTTTCCAAAATTCACTACGGCTTTTGCAATATCAAAATAATCTTTGGAAATTTTGGATTCCGGATCTGACACTACTACTGGCTTGCCTAAATCGGACTGAAGGCAAATCTTCTCATTCAAGGGAACATTAGCGACTACCTCTATACCGTTCTCTTTCGCCACTCTTTCTGCACCATTACTTTTGAATATGTGAGACTCATGATTACAATTAGGACAAATATAGTGACTCATGTTTTGCACGATTCCAATTAATGGTATGTCAACTTTGTTAAACATTGTAATCCCTTTCACAGCATCAATTAACGCAATATCTTGTGGAGTGGTTACTATAAGTGCCCCAGAAACATTTAGTAGTTGACTTATGGATAGCTGGGTATCACCTGTGCCGGGTGGCATGTCTATTATCAAGTAATCTATAGACGACCACTCGACATCGAATAGTAATTGCTGTATGGCTTTCATCACCATCAATCCACGCCACACCACGGCCTGTTCATCTTTGATGAGATAGCCCATCGACATTGTTTGAACTCCGTAGTTGGACAAGGGCAACAACTTACCCGTAGTTTGCGATAACCTTGGCTCACCTTTCAAGTTCATCAATCTGGGAATTGACGGACCAAATATATCAGCATCCAATAATCCAACTTTCCGGCCAAGCTTCTGAAGGGCCAAAGCGGTGTTTACAGATACAGTTGATTTTCCAACACCACCTTTAGCCGATGAGACTAGAATGATATTCTTCACATTAGGGATGTACTGTTTTATTGGGAGGCCCTTAGTGGCGGGACCTGCTCCGCTTTTCGTGAACTTGGGAAGACCTAAAGGGTTTTCATGACTTAAAAGTCTCGCAAATGTTGCTAGTCCTCTTGTTGTTTGCATCATATCGGCATACAAAGTATAAAGAAGTTGGTGTGGAAAAATTGCAAAAATAGAAAATGTCTTCGCTTTTAATTTTCTTCCCCAACAAAGACACCAACATCATTATCATCCATGTTTAGACGACTATGTACATCGAGATTGCATAGCACTCTGCTCAATCCCTTACAACCAACCATATATGCATTGTCCACTCCATTTGCGAAATCGGCCATAGCTGTGGTCCGAATATCGGGCCCTCAGGCGTCGTATGTGTTTGAAGAATTGACAAAATCCAAAGCACCGCCACAGCATAGAGTTGCTAAAGTGCGTAAACTATATTCAGTGACAGATTCACGACTTCTTGACGAGGCCCTTACGTTGTTCTTCAAACTGCCAAGAACATATACTGGTTTGGATCTCCTTGAGCTTCATTTACACGGAGGAACTGCAATTGTAAAAGCGGTACTAAATACGATACGGGATTTACATGATCCAAAGCTGGGCAGAATAATACGGCAAGCTGAGCATGGTGAGTTTTCCCATCAGGCTTTTGTCAATGGAAAATATGATCTTACGGCTTTGGAGGGGATAAGTCAAATGATTAATGCTGAGACTGAACTGCAGAGAGTAGCATCGTTGGCCTCAATGTCTGGACAGACTAAAGACTTGTTTGTGGAATGGAGACAAAGGGTATTGGAGAATGTGGCCAATCTTACCACCTTGGTTGACTTTGGTGAGGACCATGATCTTTCTGAGACCGACTCGCTTTTCCAGGATGTTGAATCTAACATCTCAAACTTGGAAACAGATATACGAGCGTATCTCAAGAATGTAAAATCATCACAGGTTTTACTAAATGGAATACAACTTACGTTATTAGGGCCACCCAATGCGGGTAAATCGTCTTTATTGAACACATTGTCCAACAAGGATGCTGCTATTGTGAGTGATATAGCTGGAACTACACGAGACGTTTTAGATGTCCCACTCGATATTGGAGGGTTTAAGGTGGTATTGGGTGACACAGCAGGAATACGACTGTTGAACATGGCTGGGAGAATTGAACAGGAGGGAATTAAACGGGCTAAATCAAAATCCATCACTTCCGATCTTGTGCTTGTCGTTCTTGACCCGACTAACAATGGCAACGACGACGCAATTCTCACCCACGTACTGGAGTTGGTCCATAAGTATCAAAAGGATGTCCTTATCGTATTGAATAAGGAGGATTTGTTTCTGGAGGAAAAATCCAATCTCATTGCAAGATATGCGGAATTGTTGAATGTTTCGGAGAATATGATTCATGTTGTGTCGTGTTCATCTGGCTATGGTATTGCTGACCTACGGAAGGAGATGATTGAAAAGTTCAAAAACATGTCTCACTTTGGTTCTCAAGATGCGGCCATTGTTTCCTCCAGGGTTCAAGATATCTTAGAGTTTGATGTCTTGTATGGTTTTCAAGAATTCCACCATTGGAAGGAAGAAGGCGACGTCGTTTTGGCAACTGAAGGACTACGACAATCAGTAGAGGGTATTGGAAAAATAACTGGAGAGGCTATTGGCGTAGAGGAAATACTAGGTGTTGTGTTTTCAAACTTCTGCATTGGCAAATAGATGTGTATATATTACAAATTAATTAGGCACTGTTACAAACAACGAAAAATGTAAAGCTCTCAACATCCCATGACATTTTCATCTGTTGAAGCTGATGTCTTGTGTGTCGACTACCTGATAAATCTTCGGCTTTTTCTTGAACTATAGTATTCTTGACTTTTCGACTCAATGATGGAGCTACTTTACATTCAAACGTCAACATGTTTAATCCGGGAGTTAGTTTTATGTCATACTGCACAGCTAAAAGATCTCCTTCCTTCTTATGCTCTTCAAAACAATCATTGGGCTGGTTGAGGACTTCTCCATTCACATTCAAACTGCATTGGAATTCATCATCTGACCTCAGGTTGAGATAGCCATGTCCATCTGTCAAATCGGGTTTCTTGACAAGATAAAGGAGGTGATGTAAAGAAGCCTTGAATGAAACATAAGGCAGCACATCATTGGGTAACGATATAGTGTACGATTGATCAACGTAACCATTAGCTGGCACCTTGTAGGAAAACAACGTTGCAACAGATTGGGCAGAAAGCGCTGGAAACAAGGCGCTTTTTATCTCCGTTTCTCGTGAAGCTTGGTTCGACAAAACGGTATCTAGTTTGTCTTGGGCAAACTCAGTAATATGTCCTACAACGGCAGGGGACGAGAAAAGGGATGACTCTTGAATAATCGAATTGCTTTCCAAAAGTTTTGGCAAAGATTTCCCCATGGTATTCTCATTATTCTTGTCCAATTGAATTTCAACTGGTGTCTTTGTTGACGGTGTTGTGTCGCCGCCTTCGGATTTGATCTGCGCTTTAGTCCCCACAGTGTCAAAAGAACGATCATTGTCACCTTCCAAAGTGTTTGCTTCATCTTCATTCGCAGTATGCTTGATTGTACGCCTAGCTGTCTTCTCCGAGTTTTTGTTCAAACTGATCTTCAACTTGGGAGGCTTGGATTTATTCAAATCGGCCGCTTCTACTTTCTTTCTCAAGATCTCATACTGCTCTTCAAAGTATTCTTGAAGAAGTATTGCGTCCTGGTGTATTTGAGATTCTTCATTGTTGTAGGCTTTGGCATTTGAGAATATAAGTGTAGCAGTGTCATGAAATTTTTGTAGATTATCAAGTAATGGGTACTTTGGACTGAACAACTTCCTTGCTTCCAACATTGATAAAAGTGTATTGAAGGCCATTGGCTTCGACACAAAGTTTGAGTAGTCAGTATAAAGGTCTTGATCAACTTCATCTAAAAATGGTCCACTTATAACGCCAATTTCCTCAAACTCATGGTTTATTACATCTTCAAGTAGCTTGGAGCACAACTCGGGTAATTTGCCAAATGTCACCCCTTCATCTTCCAGTACAGAACTTTTCGGCACAGCTGACGAAGGACCTTTAAGTTTGAATTTAATTGTGGGTTGTTTTGCCTCAGCTTCATGAGTTGAGGGACTGTTTTCATACGCTGCAACTTGACCAGCTACAAATTCCACAATTTTCTTTGCATTAGTTACAATCCAGGATTCTGCATCATTGTATGTCGTTGCATTGTTGAGCAATACATTGAAATCATTTAGAAACTCATCAGTAGATTCTCCAGTGTACCTCGTATTGATTCTCTTTTGTATCTCGTTAATTGATATAGGGCTCTTTATAAGGTGGTAGTAGTCCGGGTACAACTTTTTAGATGGTAGTTTGATAAAAGCAGCGGCAAGCTGTTCGTCCCCTTCGCGCAAGTCCAACACCGAATTGATAGTTGATTGGTAAAACGCTTTGTTCTCTTCGGGAGAATGAGAGTTTGCTTTGAGCTTTTTCAGCTCAGTAACAACGGGTGAGCTAATTGCCTTTCTCTTTGGTGGCATAATTTTATCTGCAGTATCAGTGCCCGGTCGATTGTCTCTACTCAACACCTGTACAGTTTGTTGACAATTTGGTTCTGGTAATTTTTTTTTTTTTTTTTTTTCTTCGTCTTTTTCCTCTTTTGTGTATCGCACACTTTTTCTTTTCCGACAAGACCACGAAGTATTAGTAAGACCTTTGAAGCCTCAACTTTTTCCTAGAAAGCACTAGATTTAAATGTCTGAGAAGGTTGCCATTCTATATGGATCGGAAACGGGAAATGCAGAGGAATACGCCAAGTACCTAAGGCTTCGACTAAAGAGCTACAATTTGAAACCTATTTTATCTTCATTAGACGCATTTCCATTGAAGAAATTAGTCACAGACATAGACCATGCCATTATAATATGCTCCACTACGGGGCAGGGCGAGTTGCCACGAAATTCGCAAAAGTTCATGAAGTTTATCTGCAAAAAGAAACTCCCGGGTGATCTTTTCCAACATTTGCGGTTAACAACTTTAGGTTTGGGTGATTCCTCTTATACAAAGTACAACTACGCTATCAAGAAAATACATGCCAGAATGATGCAATTGGGATGTCAGGAACTTTCGCCAAGGTGTGAGGCTGACGAAATGTCACCAGAGGGAGTGGACGGGTTCTATTTGGAGTGGGAGACGCAACTTCTTGCTGCTTTGTCAAAGTTCTTTCCCATGTCCGCCAACCCCGACATCAATACTGTGCCCATGCCCGAATATAAAGTATCCGTTAAGCACGCGACTGACCAGCTTGCTCAAAATTCATTATTGACCAAAGTTTATAACAATTTGCAGGTTGGAACTGTGATTTCAAACGAACGTATCACCAGTGCAGACCATTTTCAAGACGTGCGACGGATAAAAGTCTCTTCTAAAGATTTGAAGTATAGCCCCGGGGACACCATATCTTTATATCCTTGTAATTTCGACCTGGATGTTGACGCTTTCCTCGAACTGCAACCGAAATGGTTGGAGATTGCCGACAAGCCTTTGAGAGTGAGAAATTTGGTTGATGATGAACAGTTTATTACCTTGCGTAATTTGACCAAGTACCATTTGGATATCATGTCTATTCCAAGACGCAGCTTCTTTGCGATACTATGGCATTTCTGTGATGCCTCCACAGATGATGGACAAAGAGAGCAAGAGAAATTGAAAGAATTTGGATCGTTCGTCGACCCCGAAGAGCTCTACAACTATGCCAACCGACCACGAAGACTGATTTTGGAAACATTAACTGAGTTCAAGAATAATCTCAACATCCCAGTGTCCTATATATTGGACTTGATACCCTTGATCAAACCTCGAATGTTTCTGATTGCATCACGTCCTAGCGAGACAGAGATTGAGGTCGTTGCTGCTATTGTGGAATATAGGACTATCATCAGACGCGTACGTCGAGGACTCTGTACCAGGTGGCTAAAGGCATTGAAAGAGAATGATGAGGTACACTTGAGTATCGACAGGTCGTCGTTCAAGATCTCACAGAGCCCAATCATAATGGTCGCACCAGGAACTGGGATAGCACCAATGAAATCTTTAGTGGATGACATTTTGCATCAAAACTCATTACAGGAAATGTATCTTTTCTTTGGATGTCGTCACGCGGAGAAGGATCATCTTATAAAGACGTTTTGGGAAAAGTCGAGCAATTTGCATATATATAGCTGCTTTTCTCGAGATGAGGGTTCAAAGTATAAGTATGTACAGGATGCTATCATAGCGAACTACAAATTGATTGGCGATTTATTGTTGAACCAGGAGGCTAAAATATTTGTGTGCGGTTCAAGTGGTAAGATGCCTAGAGAAGTGAAATTGACATTCATAGAAGTTGTGAAACGGTACAGTGACATATCGGAGGAAGATGCTAAGCGCTACGTCCTTCAACTTGAAGACAGTGGAAGATACAAGGAAGACGCTTGGTGATCGTTTTTGTAAATAGAAAAGTATAGAGTGGAAACAACTAAAAAAAAAACAAAACAAAAACAAAAAAAAAAAAAACACTTTGGAAAACTCATTGAATGATTCGAGCTCTCTCCAACCAATGTTTAGACACTCAATTAGACCTTTTAAGTCCGCCTTTGTTCGTTTCTCCAGCAATTCGGCAAAACCCATTGTGGTGGATGGGAAGTCCTACCATGGAGATGAGTGGACAAACGTACCCCCATTCATTCTCAATCTAATAGATCGAAAGTTGCATAAAAATGTGAACCATCCAATTGGGATATTACATGACTTGATTCGCCAAAACGTAGATGGTATGGGCTATACCGTGTATGACAATTTTCACCCCATTGTCTCCAAATATCAGAATTTTGATAGTTTGGGGTTCCCGGAAGACCATGTGGGGAGATCAAAATCAGACACATACTATTTCAACAAAGATTATCTTTTGAGAACCCATACTTCTGCACACGAGCAGGAATGTTTTATCAATTCTAAAACACCCGGGTATTTGATCACAGCTGATGTGTACAGACGAGATGAAGTTGATAGAACGCATTATCCTGCATTCCACCAGTTAGAAGGTGCTAGAGTATACAAGAAGGGCGATTTGGAACAGATCCAACGAGATATAGACGCAATTCCAGAAACAAACATTATTGTGGAAGACCCTTTTAGAGAAAGTCCTGTCACGGCAAATAACCCTGGGCAAGACTATATGTCTAACGAAGAAATAAGGCTCGTTTCCACTCATTTGAAAAAGACGGTCGAATATATCGTCAATCAAGTATTTGAGCGAGCCAGAGAATCAGCTAAAAAAGCTGGATCCACAGAACCATACTTGAACGAGCCTTTAAAAGTACGCTGGGTTGAGGCCTATTTCCCATGGACCTCACCATCGTGGGAAATTGAAGTATGGTGGAAAGGTGAGTGGTTAGAATGTTGCGGTTGTGGTGTTGTGCAACAACAGGTGTTGCTAAACTCAGGTTTAGGAGACCAAAAGATTAGTTGGGCTTTTGGAATCGGTTTGGATAGAATTGCTATGCTTTTGTTTGATATTCCCGACATTAGACTCTTTTGGACACAGGATGAGAGATTCCATAAGCAGTTCAAGCAAGGAGAAATAAGCACTTTTGTGCCTTACTCAAAATATCCAGGAGTCAAGCGAGATGTATCCTTTTGGCTTAATGACGATTACAAGTTGCATGCAAACGATGTTATGGAGATTGTGAGGAACCGTGCTGGTGATTTGGCAGAGAGCGTGGTGAATGTAGATGAGTTTGTCCACCCAAAAACTGGTAAAAGGTCGCAATGTTATAGAATCAACTATCAATCGATGGATCGAAATTTGACAAACAACGAAATCAATTCAATTCACGACATGGTGGAGCAAGACCTTGTCGATCGTTTTAAAGTTGAGGTTAGATAACTAGCATAATAATGTACATAGACAGCAATAATACATTGATACGTTGCACTTACTCCTTTTTTTTTTGTACGCTTACGGAGTTTAAACCTGCATTGGTAGCTTTTTGCGGCTTTAGCAAGGTCATACGTTTCAAATATTTTAAATATAAGCTTTACACATCTTGGAATTATAAAAGGATGGCAAAAAAAGCCAACTGAACTTCTAAATTGTCTAAACCATACATATCTCAAACTTATTTCAATCATGAGAGGATATTACTATGGCTATCGTCCACACCCCTTTGGATTTGGTGGGTTATTTATCGTATTTGCAGCATTTGCATTGGGAAGGATTTCAGCAAATCATTACGGTCCTGGCCCACACTGGAGACATCAACACTGTGGTAGTGGCCACCATTATACCTGCCAATGTCCTGACTGCATGAGACATCAACAATACAGAAAAGACCAGGAGCTTAGGTCTGTCAATTTCCACCAGCAATGAATGGCCGCAGCTGATCACGAGCTGCCAATGTAAATAGCGTGACATGTCATGTAAATAGTTTTAATTGCAGGATTTCCATATAGTGAACATGTTAAAAAAGTAGACATTCTGCACCACATTGCATGCAGCTGCAGAGACCTCCGCTACATTATGCCACCGTGAAGTATCGATTAGTTTCGTAAGATTGTAAATTAACAACGAAGTCACAAATTGGATTAGCTACCATAGCCATGGGCACTGCCTTATTCACATACCTGTTGTTCCTTCAAACACATGACAATTGGGACATCAAATCACAAAAACACAAAAGGTATACTGATTTTGATAAGGAGTACAACGCTTACAAATTGGAAATTGACAACTAAATTGACTTCTAGTCATCAAAGTGAGGGAGCACCGAGGTGGATGCAAGCAAACGCTTAGTGAGTGTATATAACAACCGACATATGTACCAGTTGTCAGAAAAGCAAGCCGAAACACAAGGAAAAATCCCTTGTAATTTCAATATATAAATATATAAATATACAAATACAACCTAAAAAGGGACTATCAAAGTGTTTCACCATTTGTAGAAGGCAACTAATAGGATAATATCGGCAACAATCTCCGGAAGCAAGGCCAAGCAACCATAGTATTTTGGCATACCAAACATCAATATGTATTTACTTGGTGAACTGAAATTAATACCGTGAAAAGCACTTATTAAAGAATAAACACAGCGGACTATCAACACAACCAACGCGGCTATCAATAGTTGTGAAATAAAAGCACAGTGTGCCGAGGTGATTGAAATGTACGCCAACACAGCAATGAGACCGGCAACACCAACCACAAAAAGCACGGCAGAAACTCGAATCAACGTTTGCTCAGTTGAGTTTGATGATGTATCGTCACTGTCTAACTGACTTGTTCCAATAATGTTTGTAATAACAGCAGCAAGCAATACGATTGTGAGGATTCTAAAAGGTGCTTTTTTCAAATTCTCCACCTTGCTCAACGTGCCACTGTGAGAGCTGAGTGGGAACTCTTTGACGGCATATCGAGCACTAGACTCCTCATCTTCTGGCCCTTTTCTGAACCTTCTACCGGATCCATCACTGGCATTGTATGAATCAATGTGACTGAGGTTACTATTCTCTTGTGCATCTCCCACTTTGTTTGCCAAAATGTCTTGAACTAGTGAACTGATGGCTCTAGTAATAAAACCCAAACTGATTGAGTCACAAATATACGTTGCAATAAACAAACTGTTGTTGAATGTTTTATTTCCAAGAAACACCAAACCCAAGATTCCACCAACAATTTTCACCCCATTGAATACAAGCATGAGAATGCAGAAAGGCAAAATAGTCTTGATTCTGAGACCTTTCCTGATTTGGATGAATGTGATGGCAATGAACGCACCAATAGTAATGACGAAAATTCCAAGTTGGACCCCACTAACTGCTTTCCAACCTTCTGTGTCTTGTAAATTCATGATAATATGTGTTGCTTGGTACTAGCGATTGAGATTGAAAGGACAAGGTTTGCTCAAGAGAATGAAGCAGGTATTTATAATCTTGGTTATAAACTTGAAACAAGTGCCCTCATCGATCTGCAGCCGTATGTTTGGAATTCATAGACATTGTAACACTGCCATTCTTCATTGTCCATTTTTCGCAGCCTCTTTCCGTATCGTATCTGCTAACGCCGTACGCGCTTACATAAGCGGGAAAAATTTAAGCGCTTACGTAAGCGTTATATATGAGTGTACAGTTTATCACCGCGATTTAAAGCCTCATTCTAAGATGGGAATTGACTTGTTCATTGTATCTCAGAAGGTGGCTTGTACTAAAATTCTTTGAAAAACAAAGCATCAGCTTGGTATTCGGATGACCCAGGTCATTTGCTTGATCGCATTGATCGGATCTCTGTCGGAACGAGATTTTACACTCCATATCCTCCGGCACTGAAGGTGCCGAACACAGACGCAAGTCCATCTTCTCAGCGCATATGTTTCTTCTCCTCAAATCATTAAAGGGAGAATTTCCCTTACAATAAATCCGAAAATAATATCAATTTCTTCTAAATAAACTGAAACTACTTCCTTTAAACCACCTACTTCTCAAATCAAATCAAATCAAATCAACAAAGCAGCTGCACCAGCAAGAGCTCCGGCGAGAATTCCACCGGCTTGCATATTTCCAGCGGCATTGGCAGTCTCAACACTAGAACTGGTAGAGTTTGTTCCGTTTGAGCCACTACTGCCACTAGTTTCCAACTTGGTCAAGTTGGAGCAGGTGATTCTGCTGGTGTTAGCGTAATGGATAACGACTGACAAGTTGCCAAAGTAGGTCTTGGAGTTTGGATTCAAGGAAATGTAGTTGTCAACATATTCAGTTGACAACAGCTGACCTTGAATCTTACCGTGTCTGCCAGATAAGTCACCAGCTTCTTTACCCTGTGGGGTAGTGGCATTTTCATTTCCACCATATGGATTCAAATGCAACTTGGTTCCAGTACAGTTTCCATCAGCAGGGACGGGGAGTTGGTGGATGTGGTAAGGAAATGGACCACCTGAAGAAGGCAATCCTTCTACGTCAACCTTCACTAAAACGGAACCATTAGTTGCTGGTTCAAAGGTGATTGTTCCTGTGACGTCAGATTTTGATGCTTTTTGAAATTTTGCTAGCAAAGAGGGTTGATTAGCAGAGTCGGATTGAATTGGGGTATCTCCAGCAAATGCAACAGCAGCAAAAGATAATAAAATTGGCAATGAGATCATTTTTGGAATTTCTTTATTGAGTTCTGGAAAAAGTAAATGAGCAATTTACCTGTAACTAAATTCAGCAAGTGAGTCCATTATTTATAGTTTGACTACTCCGCTCCACGGGGGCCAAAAAGAATTACATTAGGGGGGAGGGGAAAGGCGATCCTTCTTTCATATTTTAGTGAAATTCACTGATGAAATTGATAACTATGGTGAATTTGTTATTGTGTCAGCTACACCACAAATTATTGAGTACAAAAAATAGACTCAAAATGTGAGTAACAATACAATTAATTTTGTTTTGTTTTTTTTTTTTTCAGTCGAATCTTTCTACGTTCATTGGCTCCTTTGAAGGTAACAATTTCCAAGTTAAGACATTGTTGTGCCATATTCGTAACTGAAGCACTGGAAAGTTATGTCTTTGTGTAGCAGTTTAGAGCGTGCACTTTTGTAAACTCTAGAGACAGTACGAAATCCTGTCATGTTGTGTAACATCTTAAACCCGGGACGTGGACTATTCCCCTGAACATAAATGCTCGGCACGAACAAACTGACCACCGTTGCTTGTGATTGGCTCAAATTTGAAACGTGGGTTTATTCTAAAAATTTTTTTCCCTCGGATTCGGTCCATGTTCGGTCTACATCTTATAAATAGATTAACACTGTTGGCCAAGGATTTACATTCAGGTGGCCACGTATTGTACGCACGTGGAAGACAAACACTTTCGATTACACCCTTTTTGATAGATGTTAATGACCTATGTCTGATATCATACAAAGGGTGTAATCGAAAGTGTTTGTGCTTCGAGAGTTTGAATTATAGTTAACCGAGATGTGATCACTTCATTTCGGATATGTTTCTCCAATCAATTGGGGTTTGAGCCGTAACTACTGCACGACCATGCATTTAGAAGCTTTCAGCTCTATTCTCTTTACCAGCTGTTGAGGGATAGGGAACTATGCTCCCTTTACAGAAGCCTTACTTTCTCTACTATTTGTGGCGCATGAACCAGCACTTGGCATGAAAGGAAAGAAAAAAAAAAAAAAAAAAACTAAATAAAAAAAAAATGCAATCTATGCATGTGATAACAAAGCAAGCCGAAACTGTCTCCACGTACTATAACAGATATCTACTAGACCCTGCTGCTACACCTTCAACACTAGTTCGGCAGACAACCATCTTCTATCGATATTTCTATTTGATTGTCATTACTACAACAAGAGACCACAAGTGATATGTCAATTCCGCTCCTTGGCAGATTAAATATCTTTGACTGGCCCTTCATCATCATTTCATTTACACTCGCATGGTTTGAATTTTTGGTGTCTGTAATTACCACCCTACTTCCATGGCAATTCATCAACGCTTGTACTACAGTGGTGAAGCAATTTTTCCGCTTCACTTCAAACCCCATTGTCTTAATAACGCAACTGAGACCAAGAGCAAATAGCATTGAAAATGAAGAGAGGTTCCATTACTTGAAAGAAGCAGACATAACGAAATCAAATGTTAGTAAGCAAAGCTATGACTTGACTATTGAAATGTTGAATGCTGAAACTATTCATGACATGGTTAGCTTATTCGGTTATGAAATTGAAAGCAGAATCGTCACTACAAAAGATGGATACTTGTTGAACTTGCACAGGCTCGGAGGCGGGTCCGCAAGAAGAGTACCTAATGGAAGGGTTGTTTACCTCCATCATGGATTGTTGATGTGCAGTGAAGTGTGGGTCACTATGATTGAAAAATACCAAAATCTTCCTTTTGTTTTGTACGATTTAGGTTACGATGTTTGGATGGGCAACAACAGGGGTAACAAGTACAGTCAGAAGCATTTAGTTCACGATGTTCATTCTGTTGAATTTTGGAATTTTTCCATCGACGAATTTGCATTGTTTGACATCCCCAACCTGATTGATTACATCTTGAGCGATACCGGAAAGGAAAAATTGACATACATTGGATTCAGTCAAGGGAGTGCCCAAGCGTTTGCTAGTGTATCAGTAAACTCGGATTTGAACAACAAAATTGATCAACTCATTGCAATCTCACCAGCAACTACTCCCCATGGACTTTATTCAAAGTTTCTTGACATCTTGCTCAAGTCTTCGCCCAATGTTACCTACTTGTTATTCAGTCGAAAAGTTCTTATGCCATCTTGTATATTTTGGCAAAAAATCATGTACCCTCCATTATTTGACAAAGTGATTGATATTTCAAACTACTTGTTGTTCAATTGGAGGTCGCTTAATATCTCAAAGCTTCAAAAATTGAGTAGCTATGCTCACTTGTATTCAACTACTAGTGTCAAATGTGTTGTGCATTGGTTCCAAGTCATGAGCTCCAAAAATTTTCAAATGTATTTTGATACCACGACGTCATCTTCATTATCAGGGTTGCACCCAGTCAGCTACCCTTTGAAAAATATCCAAATACCTGTTCACTTGATTTATGGAACCATTGACTCGTTAGTTGACATTGAGGTAATGAAGTCACAGTTGCCAAAAAGGGCCACAACCACCTACGCTGTTGACAACCATGAGCATTTAGATAACTTGTGGGGCGTGGATGTATTTGAGTCGGTATTCAAAAGAGTCTTACAATACTTGGGTGAGGATATAGACGATGTTTACTCGAGGTTGTTCAGAACTAACGACGGAGTAAAACTAATTGAGGATATACTCCGTGCTGATAATGAACCAAGTGGCCTCGCTATTGATACCAATCTGATTCAAGTTGACAATACTAGCTTTAACAACATTGGTGACAAGAAAAGCGATCATGATTATGAGTTTGACGTGACTCAGATTTCTAATGTATCAGCATCAGGTCAATTTTCAAGCCTGACCTCGTCTCAAGGAGGCAAGTTGTCTTATTTGAAATTAGCCAACAATAGGAGGAAATCTAGTGCTCAAGGAAGTGACGAAAAGACGCAGAGTGTGGATAGCACTAATACAGCTGACTTCAAAACACCTCAATCGGTCGGATCCACTTCTGTATTTATTTAGATCGTACGAATAAAAGTGTTTGAGTTCATAGACTAAAACCAAAACCCACTTGGCTCTGGAACAATACCTTGGTGCTACCAATGTAATAAATATTTTTGTGTTACTGGGTCGTGTACTTTTGACCTGTTGCAGAGGCTCTTATCATTCGCTTAAGAAGGGGCCATCATAAAGTGCGTACAAACGAATTAAAGTGAAAGGCCACTTGTGCTTAAGAAGGATTGCTCTTGGGATATAAGGTATTGGAAGCATTAACGGTCATTACCTTTCAGCACTTATGCTCGCAACATAAAACATAAAAAGTGTTTGTGTGTGCATGTGTGTGTGTATATATATATATGTTTGTGTTGTATTGGTATTGTGGGTGTGTGTGTGGTTGCATATTAACTGAGGTCAGAAAAAAAAATGAAAAATGCGGAAAGCAAAAGAGAAATCAATTGCAAGACCTTTCAAAGGACATCCACACAAATCAACCACTCCAAAAAGAAGTTCACTCTTCAACTTAACCGCACACAAGGACGTCTATATTTGACCTAAACTTGTCAGCTTCTGAGGATGGCGTCAAATGGGCTGGTGGTATGTTCTATTCTTATTCCCACATCCTCCGAATGCGTAGTTTTCTATTTTTTTTTTTTTTTTCTTTTTTTAAGAACGGCATCAAGGAAAGGAACAACTTGATTCACGAGCTAGCAATACTAACCCCTTATTTTCTAGAGAACTTTCCATGTTATTGGGGACTTCCATCCGAATTGTATGTAAAAGTCAAATCAAAATCTCAAGTAGCTCATTTACTAACAATCTTTCCTAGCTTTGGTGCAAAGAGTGATTCGTCAAATTCCTCGCTCCTTGCCATATTATAACATCACGGGTCATCGCCATTCTGAGGAAGATTCGGACCCCTTGGTTCGTGAGTTGATGAAGATAAGACCACACAAGCCGCTGTTTACGATTTTGTCGCAGTTGAAGAATGAAACGGTCGCATCATATTCATCAAAGTTACTGGAACTATTGTATCTTTTACTAGAGGAGAAGCAATTGGATGATCACATAAGGATGGACCTTGAACGCTCGTTGACTAGATTGATCTCGTTCATCCCCTGGATCAACCCTGACACACCTGCAAAGTTGGATATCGATCTCAATGTGTCATACAAGAATCGTCAAAGCATTCCTAAACCAAAGCGGGGTTCCGATGAGACTAGTTCGAAATATCCCGATGGATACTTGTCAAAGATATTGATTGATAATTTTGATGCCTTGATAAAGTTTTCTTCAACCTACTTCAACTTAACTTTGAGCACGCTGGTAACAAAATACATTGTGGAGTTGATTTATCAGTTACATTATTGGGAGGTGGTACATTTAGCACATATAAACCCGAAAATCATTGACTTTCTTGAATTGATTGGATTTGAAGTAACTCAAACTACATTTGGCCCAATTATTAAACCGCCCGAAAATTATCTCAATGATAATCTCTTGCAGGGATTACAATACCCATTCCCATATCCATTCTACAATTACAGCTACCATTCTTTTGATTCCAAGGTTGAAGACCACAAGTTCAGTAGAGTCCAAATAAAACCATATGTGGACATCACATTGAAAAATGTTGATACTGTGCAGAGAAAAAAGCGGAAAGTGAGTTCGGTAACTAGTAATGAATTGCCCTCAGAAGTATCCCGGAACATACATCCGGGTAAACATGATACTTCAGCTTCATGGAAAGACGAAAAAGATGAAAAAGCTTCAACAATTGGCATTTTGCAAAACTTTCCATCCACATCATCGATACGACTGGATCAGGCTTATCCTCTACATACAGCAAATGCTCAAAACTATGCACTGCAAGGGATTTCTCCAGTTCTGTACAACCACTACCCATTCCTGTCACTTCCACCACCGACACCACAGCTTCCACAACAACAACAACAACAGCAGCAGCAGCAACAACAGCAGCAGGAACAACAGCAGCAGCAGCAACAACAGCAGCAGCAACAACAGCAGCAGGAACAACAGCAGCAGGAACAACAGCAGCAACAGCAGGGCCAATTATTCTCCGCAAGCCCGCAGCAGCTGCTGCCTCATATCAACATCAAAATTCCACCACTCACAGACTCCAAGACCACTTTGATACCAGGAGAAACCCGCTTTCCCTCTACGGTGGACCTGCAAAGAGAAATACCAAATATTACACCAATCACAAACAACAGAACACCATTCCAAGACAACGTTTTGCCGTCAATTTCCAAACTAACTGGCCAACTGAAGCATAATATCTCCGATGGCCAACATCGACGAGGCTCATCTCTACAAAGTCCTGGGTTAGGAATAACCACTAGTAATGAGAAGGATCATATTCAATCACAATCGGCACAAGAGTTGCCTCAAGTTGCTAAGTCTGGTTTCACGAGGGGTTATTCTACAAATGGGAAAGACGCTGAAGACGCGTTAGGCGACGGTGATTCGTCTTTTCCTGACAAGAACAAAGGCCTTCGTTACGGTGTTATCCACCAGTGTCATTTAACAGATCCTGCTACGAATTCTCAATGTCTCAAGATTTTCTATGGGAAGAATGAATTATTGAGGCACCAGGAGTTTGTCCATGCTACCAAAAAGAGAATCTTCAAGTGTTTGTATTGTGAGCGGAGCGGTGCTAGAGTTCTGACTTATCCACGCCATGATTCACTTGCAAGGCATATTAGAAGAAAGCATGGGATAACAGGAAAGGAAAATAAAATGGCTGTCACTTATGCCAAAGAAAATGTCATAGTTCTTGATGATATTGAAGCACACAATGCAGAGTATTCACCAGAACATGTTTACAATGGGCCACCTGATAATTTCTCGGGTCCACTGTCGACGCTAATAACCGTGGAGGAGGAGGAAAATTTGGAATACCAAAAGTTTAAACAAGAAGTGGATGACGAAAAACGAGAACGAAGACGTATCCGAATGATGTCTCGTGGTCTTGCTCCGAGTCCCACAAGTGAGGCGCCAACACCTTTGCCTCTGCTGTCGAAGAGGCATCCTGGTGAACAACAGCCTATTTCGAAAAATTTGCAAAGCTCAACAGAAACGTCAGCACTTGGTCGCAACTCTTCTGAAGCTGTGCACCCGCCAGATTATTCCTTTTCTGAGATACACCGTCGTGTACGCGAGCTCCCTCCTGATGACCCCATGACTCACCTGTTTTCCATATACATGGGTCCCAATTCACTTCCTTCGACGTATACCAAACTGGGCCTGCTTCAAGATCACATGTCACCTACATTTTCGGACCCTCCCTCTGCTCACCAACCAACGAGCCAAGCCTCACATCAACCGGATCAAGATGCACGAAACTCAGGTGGCAACACCCACAACCAACAACAGAGCAGGGACAGATCGAGTGAGACACGTAGGTCAGGTATTAAGCTTCCACTGATCCACGACATTGATAATGAAATAGGACATGCATATCGGAGGTAATCTTATATGTGTATGTATGTGGATACGTATTGTAGTTTAATATTCCGGTGATACAACGGTAGTATTTATTTTTCAAGATGGGACAGATTTGACGTGGAAAAGAGCTGAATATTTGGAGTGCAAATTAGCCCTCCTTCAAGTCTACTATAAGGTAAAGGCTTACAATGATGATGCTGGCCGACGCAGTAAGGACACATGTAATCAATACACAATCAAAGTTCTTTAAGTGAAGTAGAAGTATAAAGTGGAGTCACGTGTAGAGTCGTGGCAAAGAGAGAAATAGAAAGAGAAAGAGAAAGAGAAGAAGAGAATTTTTTGTCGTCAGTTAAAAAGGGGGAGAGAATTTTTGCAATCAAAATTTCCTCACAAAAAAATTTACATAACCACTGTAGAACTTACTATAACATACCAACAACAACAACAACAACGCAACATTTTTTCCCTACCATCTACTTGTGACAAAAACTATACCATACTTAAGATATTATTCACTTGCTGTAAGAAGCACCTCCCATCACACCAAACAGCTTTTCTGTAAGATAAAATGAGTTCATATCAAACTGCAAGGCTGGCGCAAAATGCAATGCATGAGAATGGTCACGCTATCAACAATACAACGACAAAAAGTGGGCATAATAACAGCAATACTACATCAAAAGAGAACTCATTGCCTCCAAGTCAATCAAGTAATGACATGGAGGAAGAAGACGAGCTTTCAAGTGAAGACCGTCAAAGTCCAGATAAGTCCACAGATTTAAGTTTTGCATCTGTTCAACGAAACTCGCCACTGCCCAAACAAGCAATAGAGTCGGTAACTTCAACGGAGTCTTTGGCATCGCGGCAACAACAGCCACTCACCAATCGCACTGCACCATCAGCGAGCAAATCTACTGAATCCTCAACTCGAAAAAAAGCCATTCCAGCCGATTCATCTAAGCCCCTGTCTGAAGATCCGCTTCTGCTTCCCCTTCCGCAGCATTTTGTTGCAGAGGAGTCGCCAGAAAGCTCCCCAGATCCAATTTTAGGGTTGAGTTCCTGCAAGCAGTCCCCTACCGATGACATCAATACCATATTCCTTAGATTAAGTAATGCCACAGTCAACACCAAAAGAGTTGACGATTTGCTCCTTGAGCATCAGATATCAATCTTACTTAAGTCATCACCCTTGGACACTGAGGAGTATGCCAACCACTTGTACAAAATTGCCAACGTCTTGTATGAAGCTAAATATGATCCCAAACATACCACAGCATTGCACGACAAGTACACCGGATTGCTCAATATTGTTGAGGAATTTGTCAACTTTAATGACCCGTTAAGGTCGCAACTTTACCTCGTCGTTGAGCGAGATTTTGAGATTATGATGAAGATTTCCACGAGCTACAAATCGCTTGACATTTCAACTGCAACTATACGATTCTTAACCACCGTTTTCATGAATTTGAATTATTGGGAATTGTTCAACTTGTTGAATTGGAAGCCAGTACTTTACCATTTCTTGAATCTAATTGGATTAGACATTCATGAATGCTATCAGAAGTTCATCAATGACTACGAGTATTTCTCCTATGATCATGTGAAACAGCCACTAGCATTACCCAGGTCGAGAGTTAGGACAAGAAAGAGAAAAATCAGAAAAATGATTGACGAACTGCAAATGACGGCCGAGGAGAAGGAACGCACCCAACGTTTCTTTTCATTGAACCCTGATACTGCCGACCACGATAAATACGTCGCTGATATTGTATCAGGAGCAAACAAACAAAAGAGGTCGTTTAGACCTGATGTCAAGCTTGAACACCACAAGATTATCAAAAAGCCAATCAATGCAACTACGTACGACAGAGTGGCGGGCAAGTCGTCCAATTACGACCCTGACGTTGTCCATGAATGCCAATTGCCTTCAGCTGAAGTGCCTCATAAGCTATGCTTGAGACGATTCTCAAGAAAATACGAGCTCATTCGTCATCAAGAAACAGTTCATTCGAAAAAGAAGAAATTATTCAAATGTTATGTATGTGTGAAACAAAACCCTGGCGTTGGTCCCAGAATCTTTACTCGTCATGATACCTTGGCCAAACATATCAGAGTCAATCATGAAATATTTGGTAAAGAGGCGAAGGCTGAAGTTGCGTACTCGAAAAAACATGCAGAAGTTGTCGAGGAAGGTGATATAACTGTACATGTGGGAAGACGAAAGACGAAAGTGGATTTCGAGTTGAGAGCACATATGGGTAAAACTGGAGGTATAGGTGAGGTTGACGGTGTTGGTGATGGTGATGGCGTTGGTGATGGCGTTGGCGATGGCGATGGCGAGGCTGAGGGAGAAGATGGAGAAGGTGGCAGTGGAAGACGAACTGGAAGAGGATCAAATACTTCTTTTGGTGGTTATTTGGAAACTAGTGATTTGGAATCTGGAGATGAGGAGGTTGTGTTTAACAATCAGCAGGTACCTAAGCAGGTGTCGTTAGACTCTGCAAATGCCAAATCGTATTGTTGATCCAAATGAAAGCGGCGTGGAAAAGGCATGCTATCAAACACGTTTCATACTACGAGGAGATTGATTGTCTACTCTTTCCCTCCCTCCACCTTTTTTTTTGTAAAGTATATAAATTTATCTTTATAATACAGATGCTATTTCGTGCTTTTGTTGATCAAGTACAGCTTGTTTAATCTCTTCATCATCAATCTCGTCGAGAATTTCTTTGGGTACACTCGCCAACCCCGTAATTGGTCGCCTTAAATCCCTGCTCTTGAAATAAATGTCGTACATTAGCTCATCACCGGCAGGTGCAGCTACAACTTCTCCACCGCCAATTTTCTCAATTCTAGATTGATGTGGTTGGGTAGACTCGGGGAACTGAACAATATTGGTAAACACATCCCTATATCCATTTGCAGCAACTTGCAAACGCAAGTCAGCTAATTTATGATTATACTCTGAAGTTTTCGACGCAATTTGATAAATCCACGTCTCGTCAGTTTGATAATCAACTAAGGTTGCGGGCGCCATTGGTGTTGCATTTCCACCAGTACCGCTTCCACCACCACCACCACCACCAGTACCAACACCTTCACCCAACACACTGGACAATTTGTTCTTGTAAAGTTCATCAGGGTCGGCGTATTCACCCGGTATGTCACCATTATCGATTGCCCGCTGTTCCCAGAAATCATCAATTACTTTCTTACCTTCTTTGATCATCTTGGCGCCAAACTCTCTAAAAATCGACCTAGCGCTGACTAAATTCACGGCACGACCCTTGTATGAGTTAGGAATGATTCCACGATTGATCAAATCTTGCTTTTGATCGTTATCGCAAACACGTTTGAATAATGTACGATGAGTTTTGAATAACAAGTATGAATCTCTGAATCCAACCATACGTGCTGGGATCGTTGAAATCACGTATAACCGATCACCCTCGCCGAGTATTTTAAAAGTCTTCATTCTGAATTCTCTACCACCTTGCAAATAACCCAATTCGTCTATTTTTTCTTTTCCTTTGGGATCCTCGTTGGGGATGTAAACTTCGTCATTCTCGGTGCTTAACGGGTTCCCATCAGCGTCGAAAACTTCTTCCTCTTTGTAATAGTACTTCTTTTCTTTCTTTCTGCGACCTCTTCTCTTCTTGCCAGTTTCTGCTTCGGTGCTATCCTCTGCTGTTCCTGTTGCTGCTGCACCACCGTCGTCCTCCTCATCCTCCTCGTCGTCCTCATCCTCGTCCTCGTCATCTCCTCCTCCTCCTTCTTCTGCATCTTCTTCCTCCTCTTCTTCGTCTGCGCCATCCACGTCAGCTTCATTGACCAATGCATCTGAGTCATTGTCATCGTAAACTACATTCACAGCACTAGTCTTGCGTTTCTTATTTTTCCGTCCAACTTCGGCATCTTCATCGTCTTCATCATCCTCGACATCCACCTCTGGGTTTACATTATCCTCAACAACACTAGAGTCTTCTTCACGATACTCATCTTGTGAATCGTGTTCGTCATCTAGTGACTTCTGTACTCTTCCTCGTTTAGCCATAATTCTGTTGGATCTGAGCTAGCTTAATAGCGGTATTATGAAAACATTTCTTTTTTGTTTTGGGAACAAGCTTTGAAACAGGTTGTATGCAGGATACTACTTTTTTACACTTATAATTCATGTAATCTATTCTATCTACAAGATATAGTAATTCAGTAGCCTCGAGTGAACTGGTGGCTCAATTTCTCTCTCCTTCCTCCCCCTCTTTCTTCTCTCCCTCATCCTTTTCATTATCTTTTCTCTCATTCTCGGGTTTAATATTCTTGAAAGCATCTTTACCATCAAGATACTTGTCGAAAGCATCGTTAGTCTCAGGGAATGGTCTCTTACCCAACAACCTAATCATATCCTCTCTAGTGATGAACTCCTTCTTCAATAACTCCTCAGCCACCAACTTCACCTCATTAGCCTTCTCCTTCAACAATTGCTTGCATTTATCGTGACATTCTTGAACGATTCTCTTAACCTCAGCGTCAATTTCCCTGCTCGTCTCTTCACTAAAAGGCTTGGTCAAGTCATCCTGAGATCTAGTATCGTAGTAATTGACCATACCAATCTTTGGTGACATTCCAAAACGCAAAACCATTGATTGAGCAATATTTGTGACTTTTTTGAAATCGTCATGAGCACCTCCAGTGACGGAAGCAAAATGTAACTCCTCGGACACTCTACCTCCCAAAGTCATAATCATTCTGTCGTATAATTGCGCAGTGGACATCAAGTATTGGTCAGGAGGCAAGTACTGTGCATAACCCAAAGTTCCTTTCCCTCTAGGGATGATGGATACTTTTAACAACGGGTGTGCATGCTTCAAGAACCATCCACATATAGCATGTCCAGCCTCATGGAATGCAACAATCCTCTGTTCTTCTGGATTCAACAATTTCGACTTCTTTTCAACCCCTCCAATGACTCGTTCAATAGCCAACTCGAAATGTCTTAAAGTCACTGCACTGGCATTGTACCGTGCAGCAATCAACGCAGCTTCATTACAAACATTGGCAATGTCAGCACCAGAGAATCCAGGAGTTAAAGCTGCTAATCTTCCAGATAAATCACGATCAACATCTTTTTCCAAGGTGATTTTTCTCAAATGAACATCAAAAATTTCTTTTCTTCCTTGCAATTCAGGATTATCGATATGAATATGTCTGTCAAATCTTCCTGGTCTCAATAATGCTCTATCTAAAATGTCGGCTCTGTTTGTACCTGCCAAGACCACAACGTGATCAGTGCTGTCAAATCCATCCATTTCAACCAACAATTGATTCAATGTAGTTTCTCTCTCGTCATTTGCCCCTGTGGCATTTCCCTTTGATCTTTGTTTACCAATGGCATCAATCTCATCAACAAAAACAATAGAGGGGGCATTTTCTCTAGCAGTTTTGAACAAATCACGTACACGAGAAGCACCCACACCAACAAACATCTCAACAAATTCGGAACCCGATACAGAATAAAAGGGGACACCGGCCTCTCCAGCTGTGGCTTTGGCAAGTAACGTCTTACCTGTTCCTGGTGGCCCTGAAAGAATAGCTCCACGAGGAATCTTTGCACCAAGCCTTTCGTATTTTTCTGGATTTTGCAAAAAGTTGACAAACTCAGTCACTTCTTGTTTTGCTTCTGCCATACCTGCAACATCCTTGAATTTGATTTTAACATCCGTTTCTTGATTGAACTTTTTCGCAGTAGATTTTCCAAAACCCATTGGACCCATTCCACCCATTGATGACGCGGCCTTTTTGGTCATCCAGTAAATAGCACCCAAGAACAAAACAGTCGGCAAGAAGTTGATCAAGAATTTGGTTGTGCTACCTTTGGTTGTGTATACTACCGGAACTCTCATTTGGGGACTGATGTTGTACTTATCTTGTGCTTCCCTCAAGTTACGTTCAAATGTTTCAACGGAACCAATGCTAAAATACAACTTGTCTGCGTGATTCTGGCGCAATCCATTGTCATTCAACTCCAAGTATGCAACAGAGTTATTCACAACAACAACTTTGGATACCATGTTTTTGCTCAAGTAATTAGCAACAAAGTCCTGGAATGTAATTTCCTTCCCATTATCACTACCTGTGTAGGAAATGAAAAATACAACAAGTGCTATAAGAGCCACGGCTTGAGCAATTTGCTTTGGTGTAAACTCAATTTCTATATTCACTGGTCCTTTGTTCTTTTTGTTTCCCTTCCTCAGATTCTTGTTGTTCTCACTTGCTTGCTTGAAAAAGTTTGAAAAAATGTCACTATTGTTGTGTCTTTGCTTCAACACTAGTTTAAGTTTCTGGAAATCATTGATTATTTGATACTCGTTGGGGCAAAGTGCGAATGTCCTTTTTCCATCGACCGCAAATGGTGTTGAAAGGAGGGTGCTAAAGATTTTAAACCAAAGTTTTACTGATTTCTCGTTGAGCCTCATGTCGCGTGCAACATCAGAAGGGTTCAAGTCTTGAGTTTCGGTAGTGGCTTTATCAAACACTGTTAATAGCTTCTGCACATCTGGGTTACTAAACCTTAATTGGTCCAAATACTCCAAATTGTTTGCTAACACGTAGTAGATACGCACAGTTTGAAGAATCTCGCCCTTGGTCAATGGCAGAAAATGAGGGTGCAGTCTTGTAAATGAGTCCTGGATATCCTTTATCTCCTTTTCAGCTACATTATCTTCCAAGAAAATGACCCCACCGGACTTTTCAAACTCGTCACATTTTCTTTCAAATTCTCGCAACATAAACTCACAAACAACTGACAATCTGTCGAGGTATCTTATGTCAAATGGGTCGACAGGGAGTTGCACTTCGGGAAGAGTGGCGGCCGGTAGATCTTGAGACTTGGACATCTTCTCAAACTTCTGTCTCACCTTCTTTAACTGAGCCTCGTAATCATCGGAATTTTGATTCTTCTGTAGAAAATACGAAGACGAATGGAATGATCTTCTCAACATGGGTATGCATCTTGGCACCGAACGCTTCAAAACATTTGCGAGACCAATCCTACTTCGTGGTATAAAAAGGCTCATCTTGTGATCTGGAAAAGGCTCCCGTTAATGCTCTTGTTATCGGGTCAGTTAATATCACGATTAGTCTGCTACAAGTTTTTATTTTTGCCTCTCTGAAAAAAATAAAAAAAAAAAAAAAAACTTTAAGTTTTTGTGCTTAGGTACACGCACCAACATCAGGAAACTTCGATCTAGATTGCAAATCTTCTTTTTTTTTTGCAGCAATTTGGGAATTTCGTCAAAGACAACTTCTTGCTGTCTTTCTGTAACGATCTTTGCAGGAAAGTGGTTATTGATTATCTGTATACTTAATTTCTGAGAGAAGAAACAAAATCACCTCACTTTTCTCCACAAGAAATCTACTTGCAAAATAATTACATTCAATATATACCCAATAGTTCAGATTACACAAGAGTCACCCCCTCTCCAAATCATCAACTGCTTCTTCGTCTTCACTGTCATCCTCAATCAATATATTCTCATCAAAATCGTACATCTCTCCAACAAGTCCCTTTACAACTATCATTATCTCGTCCAACCTATTGTAAATCATGTGCGCAATTAACAACGACAAGATGTTCAATTGACCATCACGACTGAAAAACTTGTGGTAATCCAAGTGCTCTGTTATAGCACCATGACCTTCTGCATCAACACTTTTGGAGCTGTAGAACCGTTCACTCAATGAAATCTTGTTTATACCCCACTGACGGCTAAGTAGCTCCAAGTGTCTTAAAGACACATTTGCTTCAGTGATTTTTGGCAACGCCTCTTTGGACTTGATAGCATCGGAAGCCATATGAATGAGGGAGAAAATCTCAGCATCCAACTCTGAGTAGCAGAAACCCACACGTTTGATTATAATCGGTACCCATGAAACCGGGTCGTCAAGCTCATTTATCGCAATCAACATCATCAGGTATAGTTGTACAGTGTCTCCGATCAACCCTTGAAGGCGCAAGTACTTCGATTCTGGCCAATACCCTGCAATAGGTAGTTCAAATCTCAACGGTACCAAGAGTGTGTTTAACAGCGCAATTTTCATAAAATGATACCTGAATCGGGCCAAAAGAATGTCATGTCTTTCCAATATGTGATAAGAGGGATCATTGGATCTTTTCACGGCAAATTTTGCCACGTCACAATGAATGTTGCCAACTTCCGATAGCGATGATGACAATATTTGCCTCACAATGTGTTTCGAAGACTTTGGCTTGGGAAGAATAGCAGTCAATGACCCTATACACAAGCCAATGACCACACTAACAAATCGTATGTAAGCTGGTCTCCATCCGTATCCAACATTTGCTGACATGCTGCCACGGGCATCTAGCCAAGACGTACCCAATACCAAAATCGTCGTCACACCAAACAATATTTGAGGTAAAAGGGTCTGGTGTACAGAAAAATGTCTAAAGAATATCAAGTACAAAAAGATGACACCCGTCACAGCCCCGTATCCATAGTAGTTTCCAGCAGCACTCCCACACGAAATGTACCAGCAAACAAGACCTAGTAAACACCCGGCAAATGTGTAAATAAGCTTTGATATAAAGACATATGTGGTTTGTCCGGTACTTTCACTTATCGAAACGGCAATCATAATAACAAGCCAAACCATTCTGTTACTGTAGTACCAATGAGCGGTAGTTCTCACAAAATATGGGATAGCACCTATACATATAAGCCCCCCAGCACGAATCCAAAACCACAATCTATCTGATATTAGAAAGTAGAATACTTTAGTCAAGTATAATCCAACATATTGAGCAAAATTTGATGGCGGTAAATTGTCTGCGTCTCTGCTCTGAGTCTCCTTTCGTAAATAGTCTGGTACCTCTTCGTCAAGATCACTTGTCAAGTGTCGCGGCTTAGAATACTTATTTTTAGTGAAATAGGTGATGAATTTGGGAGTGGGTCGCCTTTCATCCAAATCGATTAGTAAATCGATAAGCTTGACAAGATTTTCGCATTGATGGCGAGCAATCTGGAGAAACAACACTCCCTGGCTAATCAAAAACAATAGCCACTCCTCGCTCTGGTTGCTGTCAATCATCATATCTTTCAAGACATCGACGTTCTCAAATTTTGCAAGCGTTTCCACAAGTTCCCTTTTCACCTCTTTCACCTTTTCTGCCATTTCCTTTTGCCTTGCAACATGCTTTTTGTATTCCCATGGAACTAAAGCGAAAATCCTAAAGTGATTTGCAGCATTGAGCCATTCTAGTATCTTGCTTTGTGCTTTGTTTGATACGTCCAAAAACGGACTAAGATTATGTGTGAGTAATTCAGCAATCTCATCTATTTCATCTGGTCTTAATCTTCGTCCAAGTCCCTGATGCATGAATCGATTTCGTAACGTCTTCAAACGCTTCTTGTGTTCGTATTCTCCTACTTTTTTGTAGGAATCTTGGAACGCGCTATATATCTTGGCGTGGCCATGGGTCAAGGAAGACACAGTCGATCTTCGTCTTGACATTGTGAAATCATCTTTTGCAAAAAATGTCCGCTCCTGCAACAATTGGAAAAAATGTGCATAACTGGCAGTTGACGTGATTAAGTTTTTGGTTAATGATCTGAGTTGTCCAACATCACCAACGTCAAATCTACCATAAGAGTACTCCAACCATACGGTTGAGGCAAGTATCTCCAAAGGGGCTGTTTTACTCCTGATACTAGTCATTTCCTTCTTGAATGCTTTGTAGTTTGCAAAATTCGGTGCCGACGGTTTCATTGTCATGAAAAGTCGCATATTCTTCTCTGAAGCTTGCTTTAATTGTGTGAGCACTCCCTGCATACCAGCAATGTACTTGAAGTTGGACGTCAGTGGAAATACAAAGAAACCTGCGCCAACTTTCAAAAGAAGACCACATCCAAGTGGTTTCAAAACCGTAAATCCAATTTGTAACGGCTCATACAACGGAGAAAAATGTCCATAACACGAGAAAATCACATTTCCTATTTGACCCATAATATAGCACATATTTCCGAGTGGATGTAGGCGTCGTATGTTGCCTAGTATAACTGTGTTTATAATCATGGATATCATGGTCACAGCAACAGCTTTCGTTTCGATGTACCTTCCACTGAAAACTTGCTCAGTTATACAGTTGGTGAGTTCGGGTCCTGCTTGGCAAACTCCCTCAGTGATCAAGCTTTGCACTAGCTCTTGCTGCGTGATTCCGCCATGCAAATCATTAATTATTTTTGATCTAACAACATGGTGAACAAACGAAATCAATGCTCCAATCAACATCAATATTGCAGTCAATACATTCATAATAACGGACCCACCGCCGGCTATACCAATGAAGGAGACAATCATGGTCAAATATGGAGCGCCTCCAAGCCATGTACTAGTTTTCGGTACTATGGACAATATCGCCGATGGGTATAGATGCGTCCAACTTTGAATGACAACTTTGAAAGACTTGTAGTTCAAGTGATCTAGGACATAATCAGGATACACCACGCTGTAAACTTTTCTCCACAAAGGTTGCTTTCTTGCGGGCTCTTCGGTTATTATGGTTGTTCCAATATTCCGCTTATCGCCTTCTGGATAGTATTCATTGCATGTTACATTATTGTCATTATTGACTTCGTACTTTGGTGCGAATGTAATCGGTTCTTCTGCGTTTCTTGGCGATGCCCGAGACGCAGCTGACGTTGAGATGGAACTCAATGAAATGTTTTCTTCTTCATCATTACGTGGATCAGCCATGGGTACTTGATTTGAAGCTATATCTCTCTGTACTGTAGAATCTTGAATGTGTTAGCCAATGTTATGCGTACGACTGTCTAATCGCATAGAATTTATAGTTCTCAATTGAAGATGAGACTTCAGCCTCTTGTGGAAACTTTTTGCTCGCGGTGTTTATATTTCCGGTTTTAAGAATTATATAATCGAGGTGACACTAAAACCAAGAGTGGCAATTACTCACCCTAATGATTCTGTAAACTTATGAGAAAAGTGGTCGTTTCATGGATAGCTCCTGTTTGGAAAGACATTGATCTATTCTATAAGCAAAAAAAAAAAAAAACCCCAGGTTTTCAACACAACTTTCGTAGTAAAGTATGCTAGAACTGGACGGTTTGGACCGTTGTGAGGTAGACTGTATTATTGCGCTTTTGTGTTGCGATCCAAAAATGCTCGGACAAAACTGCGTATGACCGAGGGGATCCTTGACAGCGCGATAAGTCCCATGGCAATAAAACAATAAGTGTTGTTTAGGCTATAACTTCGTCATGTTGGGCTGTATACTCGAAGGCTATGTGGCGAGTGGAATGTACTCTCCGTGAATTACATTATGAGTGATTGATAAAACACCAGGTGTTATGCGTAAGGTATTGAGAACGCAGTGTTTATTGCACCTCAAAGTGGATGGCCACTTGAGTCCAGAAGCTGTCTTCAACAGATCGACACCCCAGTCTAAACCAAAGTGGGGATGTGCTTTTAATGTTTGCACAGTGGACAGAATCCTTATAATGTTAGCCGCGCGGTGTATGGCGAGTGAGTCAACCACAGTTGAAAACTTTTCGAGGATCTCTCGGAAGTTGCCGAGAAGCATAATAAGATATAAATACCACGACAAAGTCTAATAAAATGTTCATATAACAGCATCCCCCTTCTACAAACTCTTCAGCACACACATTACTACATATTCAAACCAACCAGGTTACAAAATGGCTAAAGTCTTGACAGAGTCACAATTTCATTCCGAAGTCGTATCTAAATATGTTGACGTTATCGGTGAAAAATTAGGTGGAAAAATCCATTCATTCTCTGATGAGTGGTTCGCTCAGGCTGAAAACTTGATCAAACCGAAAGCACCAATCAGAGACGCTACTAGATTCACCTACGCAGGCGCATGGTATGATGGATGGGAAACAAGAAGACACAATGAGGAAGAGGCTGACTGGGTCATCTTCAAATTCGGTGTAAGCTCAGCTAATTTGATAGGGTGTGAGGTGGACACTGCGTTCTTTAATGGTAATCACGCACCAGCAATTTCCGTAGAGGCTGTCCAGGTTTTCAATGATGATGAATTGGAGAAGTTGAGTGAAAAAGATTGGGAAACTGTGATCCCCAAAACTGAGTGTGGACCTAGTCAAAAACACTTTTTTGCCAGGGACAAGCTCACTGAAAAAAACTACACTCATGCTAGATTGAGAATGTACCCAGACGGGGGTATCGCTAGATTCAGGTTGTATGGACATGTCGTACCAGTAACGAAAAATACCTCGGACGTGGTTGATTTTGCATCTGTGAAGAATGGGGGTGTCGCAATTAAAGTTAGTGACCAGCATTTTGGTACTGCTGACAATTTATTGTTACCTGGAAGGGGTCATGATATGAGTGATGGTTGGGAGACAAAAAGATCTAGAGAACCGGGCCACACTGATTGGGTCGTGATTAGATTGGGGGCTCCAGCTAAATTGCAAAAGATTGTCATTGACACTGCTCATTTCAGAGGTAACTTTCCACAAAAGATCAATGTCAAGGGAACTATTGTCAAGGATGAAAATGATATCGATAATGCCGAATGGGTCACTGTCGTCCCAGATTCGAAAACCGGAGCTGACAAGGAGCACGAGTTTGCTATCGAAAATGATCAACCTTTTTCACACATTAAGGTTACTATCATCCCAGATGGAGGAGTAAAGAGAATCAGAGCATTTGGTGTGAAAGCCTAAGTATACTGTTAGTCACGTTTTATAGTGTATATACGTATTTCAGGAGTATTCACATCGAAATAACAATTTGCCGACATTGTACCTGGACTGGCCTCTTGAATGGCGATCTTCCAGCGGTTGGGAAACCACTGGTCAAGCTCCTGTTCCCATGATTGAATTGTTTCCAAATTTCTCACTGTAGCCGCAATCACCGCAAACTGCAACTTGTTGAGGTCAAAGAAGTCATTAATAGTACGACATAAAGGCTCAAGTATTCTCAGATCATATGTCACATCCGCAGCAATAACCATATCAATGTCTTCTTGTATAGTCAAAGGTTCGCCCCATATTAGTTGTTGAAATTGAAGTTCATCCGCATCTGATAAATCGTTCTCTCTCAAAGTTTCGTTCATGTTCTCAAACACTATGGATGAGCCATCAGTTAAAAAGATTTTTTGTAATGGTGAGTGTCGATGGTGATGCTTGGCTAGTGAAAGTCCTAATAACCCCGTTCCACAACCTAGCTCAACAACTGTTTTACCCTTCAAATCGATAGGTACTGGCTTTACACATGCATCTTTATCATTGAGGATATTAGATAGAAACAATGCTGCCTCCCATGTTCGTAGACCTGTAGTATTATTACCGGATATCAACCTCGGCATCTCCTTCATGGTAAGCACGTCATCTGCAGAAGAAGAAAAATCGACATTGAAGCCCCCAACTTGGTACTTGATCATATCCGGTACATCTGGTGGCAATTCCTTTGCATTGAGTATTTTGGGATCGACATATAGCTCGTAGATCTCATCTGATGTCTCTTCATCTAAAGCTTCGATGCAACGAATGTATTGCGAAAGAAGACCTTTGAAATAGAATGGATTGTTGTCAATTTGGGGTTTCAAAAACCGCACAGCCTCTAGTTGAGCGGCATACGTAGTGAGCTCATTGGGAATATGTATCTTCTTAACTGGTACCCTTTGCTCAATGAATGCTTGCAACTTGTTCATCCATGCACCAGACATGTAATCCTGTATATAGCTCCTGTCCAATCGAACAGAAGAAAAAAAGGAAAAAAAAAAAAAAACATTTCTACTGAGAGAGTGAGAGAGAGAGAGACACTGTGTGTGTGTGTGTGTGTGTGTGTGTGTGTGCGTAGTTGAAAAGAAAAATTTCAACGAGAACAGAAAGATTGAGAGATACCCCCTATTGCTTTCAAGTCACACTTTCACGAAAAACACATTAACAATGCCATCGCTTCCAAAATACCCATTCCCTGTCTTGAAGACTTACTGGCCATATGCTGTCGGAGGTATGTTAGATGACTGAGCTGTTTGTTGGCGTTGGGTCAAGAGGTTTCGAATTTAGACATCGAGAAGGACAGAGCACCCAATCAATTGAACTGGGTTGAGATAAACGGAGCATTTCAAGCTGGTTCCTTGGACTTTCAATTTGAAAGGGTAGGACGTGCATTCTTTGAAAGACTGAGAGATATCAAGATCACAATCCCGTGGAGGAACGTCCACTTCATTTCCGTCAATGTCAACTATGCTACCAGAATTGAGAACATTTTCTTTACTAACTATCGATAATATAGCCGGAGTCACATACTACTTGATCTACAAAGCTTCAATTGCCTCAGCCAACTCGGACGAATTCATTAACGATCCAAGAAACCCAAGATTCAAGAATGGTGGAAAATTCATTGACTTGAACAAGAAAGAAGAAGCTCATTGATTACGCTAGAGCGAGGTTGGCACGGCTGCTTGTGCATGAGAGAGGTGTTTTCACATCAATGATTTGGTATTTCACTGAAATTTCCTTTTATGCAAGGTAAATACAAAAATAAATTAAACATTCAAAAGTGATGACAGTGGACTTGTAGGTCTGTTGTGTAGTGACTCTGTATCGATTTGGAAGTAGATGGTTGACTCAAGTCTGTGCCCATCTTCAGCCAATTAGGTAGGTAAGTTATGTAAGAATCGTGGCGCTACCGGGATGCGTTTTTTACTTTCAAAGAGTCATCTTCTCACTCACTCACACACACTCTCTCTCCATATTATTAATCAAAGATTATATAAAAATCCCAAGCCGATTCTTCTCTAACAAGTTTCATCTTTACTTAGACTCCACAGCTTATACAATGTTATCAAGAAGGAGCATTTTCCACAATATAAACGGAGGCGTCATTAGGCGTCTCCTCCACATCAAGACAGCAACCACACCAAATGAAAACGCTTTGAAGTTCATCTCGCCAGATAAGCCCATATTACCTATAGAGAACACGACATTCGAATTCACTTCAACATTACAGGCCATACATTCACCATTAGCATTACAGCTTTTCAAACTTCCTGGGATCAAGTCGATCCTATTAGGACCCGACTTTTTAACTGTCAACAAGTTTGATAATTACGATTGGCATGATTTGTCAAACGAAGTTACGGACACTATGAAGCAATTTTTAGAACACAGGGAGGGCAAACCGGTTATAACTAATGAACTTGTTGAAAAGATTCAGGAAGATAAACAAGCGTTGGAAGATGAAGATGAATCTGAAATTGTACTGATGATCAAAGAACTCATCGAAACAAGGATACGTCCGGCTATTCAAGACGATGGGGGAGATATTGAGTTCAAGGGATTTGATGAAGAGACCGGTACGGTGTTTTTGAAGCTCCAGGGGGCTTGTAAATCATGCAGTGCAAGTGAAGACACGTTAAAGAGTGGGATTGAAGGCATGTTGAAGCATTACATAGAAGAAGTTCAAGAGGTGCAGCAGATTTTGGATCCTGAGGAAGAGATTGCAATGAAGGAATTTGAGAGGTTGGAGTCGCAATTAAAGGGGGCCAAGAGTAATGTTGTAGACGAGGGCCCGCCATCTTTATAGTTTGCTTAGAGAGTTTTTGTATTTATTCATGGAATGTTATTTATTTTGGCACAAAACTCTTTTCTATATCATGAAGAATTCTTTGACGGATTTTGGTTTCGGCGTCAAGTTGGATTACTTGATCGTTTGATTCTTGCAAAAGTCCATGGTCAATGCATTTACCACCAACTGTGAGTCTCACTTCTTCAAATAATTGCCTCGCCCATTTGGTTATGAATTTGATCCAGTCCCTTGATACTTGGTTGAAACCTAACACCCACCCCAAACTGGACAAGGCTATGCAGGCATTCCCACTGAAACCGAAAAACTGATATGCTAATGCGGCAATGACCGAAATGGGTAGTTGATAATAGACAAACGCTTTTGAAAGTATAGAATAAACTTGCGGTTGGACTTCCAAACTGACTCGCCTATTAATGACATCATTTTTCAATTCCAAGAGCGGATTTTCCACCACCTCATCTGTAGAAAGTATCTTTCCTCGAAGGAAATTATAATTCTCGATTCCCCGATTCATAAAGTGTTTGCTAAAGAAATCTTTCAAGTCGTATTCCACATTGTCATTCTTATAGTACAACTTCCACCACGACAATTGCTTTTGAACAAAATTGGTCGTTTCCGGAATAAATTCATATTGCAATTCTGAGTTGACCATTTGTCCAAATTGTTCAATCTCCGACTGTGTCACTTCAGAACCCTCATTAATTACCGTATTGGACTTGTCGATTTTACTCTGGATCATTCCACTAACCTTTTCAAAATACCAACTAACCAAATTGTTCGTTCTCAGATAATAATCAACAAACTTGAATAGCTCATAAATGTTACTTCGAGTCATGCTATCTATGTACTCGTCTGCTGCATGTACATCTCTTTCCATGAATTGAACAATACCCTCGTATGCAAGTTTGCTATTGATTTTGATCAAATGTGTTTGTATTCCCTCCTCAAGTGAGAGCGGTGCCAGTTCAGTGCTCATGGGCGAGTATTCTGTATTGTCAATGACTTGCAAGAGAAGTCGATCTCTCACAATTGAGGGCAAGTCTGCAGAGACATAATTGAATCGATGAGTGACATATACAACATACACCAAATCACTAATCCTTCTTTCCAACTCTGCCGCATCTTCAAACTCCTCTATTATCAAATCATTTGGTGTCTCTGGAGCTTCTTTGTGAAATGTGTTTCTATAAAATCCATTTAGTACGGGCGATGGAATTTGGTACTCAAGGTCATCCGCATCGACAAGATCTCTGTTGTACTCTCCAAATATAAATCTTGCCAATCCGTTCCTTTTCCTTATGCGTTCAAACCATACTTGATTGTTCGAAGCCAATGGATCAGCAAGTAACACCTCCATAATTTTCGAATTTCGGCGCACGTCGGGTGACTCGTACAAGACACCAATGTTGAATGCCTGTGGCTCGTGCCTGTTAGCTAGCAATTGTTTGAGTGTTGCTATGTACTTGTTCAATTCCTTGTCTTTAGGGAAACTACTCTGGTAGTTGCTCAAGTTGTATAGTAATGTGTTTGGCTCTGATCTTTGGTTATCATGAAGTGCCGTTGCTTGTGAATATGGCCTCGCCCGCTTACACAAGGATGCGCATGGTGGAAGGCTAATTGAGTAATGTATCGACTTGTGCCTTAGTGTTCTCGGTATCACAAGCATAAAAATCAGTGGGCTAGATTGATGCTGTCAAAGGCTTATAGTCTTGCATAGACAGGACAAGCAAAAAAAAAAAAAAGCAAAAAAGGGTCGAAAAACATTCAGTTGATATTGGTAGCACAGTGCCGCTAATTAGCAACAACCCTAAGTTTACTCTCCTTGAGTCACCTCATTGATGAGACAGTATCATAAATCTTGGACTCCTACTATTTTACACCAACAAAGCTGCGAATCTCCTCTCATTCTCGTAAAGCCTGAGTTTGCTGTTGTGATAACTTTGCTTGAAAGCTTTTTAAAGTGTTTGCCCCTCCCCCGGATCTTCAACGCAAAACGCGAATTTCGGAATTGTGGAAAGCAAAACCTCTCTCCTAACTTTTTCCGAATCATACAGAGATATCGCAAAACATTCTCCACATAGTTCTCCCACCACCACCTGTCAAAACTCCTTATCGGCTGTTATTTTTTGCTATACCTAACCCCATATATCACAAGTCGCTCCTTTCGAATAGCAAAACATGCACCGAGCAATAAAATCTACAGTTCAGACTTTCAAGAAATACCTCACATTTATAGGCCCGGGCTTGGTCGTCTCGGTGTCATACTTGGATCCAGGCAACTACTCCACCTCGACCTCGGGTGGGTCAATGTACCAGTACAAACTCTGCTTCATCATATTCATGTCAAACATATTTGCAGTGATTTTGCAAACGCTATGTGTAAAGTTGGGAACAATAACGGGTCTAGACCTAGCTGAAATGTGTCGATTAAACTTGACTCCCAAATGGAATTTGTTTATGTATTTGTGTGCCGAGATAGCCATAATCGCCACTGACTTGGCAGAAGTGGTTGGGACGGCGATATCGTTGGAGATCTTGTTTGGCATTCCCTTGCTATATGGTGTGCTCATTACTGTTCTTGATGTATTGATTGTCTTGATGGCATATCACAAGGACGGCTCTTTAAAGCAAACCAAGGTGTTTGAAATCTTGGTGTCCATTTTAGTCATGGCCACTTGCGTTTGTTTCATCTTGGAGTTGTTCAGGTGCCCGTTTGAACCTGGCGCTGGTTGGGAAATCTTTAAAGGATTTCTTCCGGTGAACAAGGAAATCTTTAAAGAGAAGAATGCATTGTTCTTGAGTTGTGGAATTGTGGGAAGTACAGTCATGCCACACTCGTTGTTCCTTGGGTCAGCTTTGGTGCAACCGAGGTTGAAGGATTTCGATGAAAAGCATGGCTTAAAAGAAGTTGTCTTTATTGGTTCGGATAATGCGCAGTTAAGCGCCATCAATCCCAACGCCCCAAATGAGACGTCAGAAGACCTTGCACCTACCCCAATGTCAAGATTGAGAAGCTTGTCCAATGGGTCCATGCTTGTAACGAAATACAAGCCATCATATGAAGCAATAAAATACTGCCTAAACTACTCATACGCTGAGTTGATCTTGTCGTTGTTTATTGTTGCTGTGTTTGTCAACTCTGCAATATTGATTGTGGCCGGGGCCACACTTTACGGAAAACCCGATGCTGCCGACGCCGACTTGTTATCCATATACGAAATGTTGTCGCGGTACATATCACCCGCTGCAGGTTTGTTGTTTGCTTTGAGTATGTTGTTTTCTGGTCAAAGTGCTGGGATTGTTTGTACCATGGCGGGCCAAATTGTATCTGAGGGTTTCATTAATTGGACAATTGCTCCTTGGAAAAGAAGAATAATGACTAGAATAATTGCAATCGTGCCTGTTGTAATTGTCATTGGCATTCTTGGTCGAGAAGGTGTCAATAAAGTCATGAATTCGTCGCAGGTTGTGCTCAGTTTCATCTTACCAATCGTTAGTGCACCCTTGATTTACTTTACTTGTAAAAAGAAGTACATGGTGGTTCACAAAACTAGCAGCGTACTGGACGAAACTAGTCCATTACTCACATCCAGTCAGGACAACACCGATGTGTCAAAAACAATCACGTACGAGAATGGAACATTCCTACAAATCACGAGTATCCTTACATGGATTATCATTACAGCTCTAAATATCTACTTGATCATTGCGTTTGCTAACGGAGCAGACATATAAAATTCACAATTAAGAAAAAAAAATTGGTATTTTTTTTTTAAAGGATCTTGCCAAATCTATTGTAGCCTTCTTCTTCCACGTGTAGAGGATGTTCGCAAATTGGGCAACCTACCTGGCTTTGTTATATGACTTGTTCCGAGATGCGACCCGGATCCAATCAACGATCTTGATGCTGGCATACCTGGCAATGTACCATTGTACTCGCTGACCAAAGTAGGAATCTTTTTGCTGACTTTGTACCCCAAACTACCCGGACCAACATTGTACAACTTCATAGTAATCGATAGTAAATGATGTACACGCTTATGCAATTGGTTTTCTTCGTCACTGGGACACGAAAGATCCTTGGCATACCTCTCCTGGCGCAATTTGTTGATCTCCAACAAAGAGTCTGAAATCAAGCGTTGTAATTTTGAAGGTTGCAACAAGTCTTGCTGATGATCTTTCAAAAATTCAAGAGACTTGATTTCTTGTGGATCCCATTTGATCAAATTTGTCAAACTGATTTCGTGCTGTTCTTTTAAATCGCCATCATCTTTCTTGATTTCTGTTGTTGGGTCTTCCGCATCCTCCACCTCCACGTCGTTGTCGTCTCGGGTCCCACTTGGTGTTGCAATTTCCCCCTGAGTCCTTTCTACATCCTCAACCTCTGTATCCTCGTCCATAGCATCGTCTGCATGCACAAAACTATGCTTGAGCTTTTCTATTTCGGCAACACCAATATGCTGCAACCATATATTGCCCTTTAGTCTCTCAGAAACGACAGCGCCTTTGCCATCCTTGTTGGGAGCAAAGGATTGATAGTTGTGCCCCAGACCCCAAGTATTATTTGCACCTCCTTTTTCATTATTGTGGTTTCGTAATATGTTCAACATGGGAGGCTCGTTTGAGGTGTATGGTAAATCAGCATATTGCGGCAACTCAACTGTTGATCTCAAACTTAAAGCCTTGTACGTCAACCAATCTGGCATAGCAACGGTGTACCAAGTTGGGTGGAAAAAATCATGCAAGATGTTGGTTGGTCCTTGTAATGGAAGTGGTATTGTAGCACTCGAGGGTGAGATATTCTCCAATAAATTATTTGAATTGGAATCCTTCACCATCGGTACAACTTTTGTTACAGTGAATGGCTCGTCAACCAAGGTCGGTGTAGAGTCCAAACTTGACTTTTGGATAATTGACGAAAACAATGGCTGTATTTTTTGCTTTATTGGAGGTGGATGGTGGGGATTGTATATGCTTGAACGACTTTGATAATCTTCCTCCCTGCTTTTTGAAATGTATGTGATGACTTCTCCATTTGCAAGTGTGTACGTGTCCAAAATCTTATTGAATTCGTCTTCAAGTTGAGTTTCAAGCTCGTTTGTGATATCATTTGACTGGTTAGTTTGAACGATGGTACCCATCTCCCTTAATAACAATTCACAGGAAAACTTGTAGAAGAAATCAATTTGCTTGTAAGCTTCCGAGCCTTGAGATTCCTTACTCAAAAGAACAGATGAAACTGCTTTGATGTCATGGTACAACCTGTAAGGTGATGAGTTATATTTGCCTTCCTCGTATTGACGAGATAAGCTTGTAAACACTTTTGAATCTTTCTCTTTTAGTGAGGAGATGATCGCATCCGGATCAGGCTCGTAGAAATTCTCCGGCAACACTTCTTTGCTTATGATGTCGCCATTGGTGTGCTGATAGACTGTGAATAAATCTGGCAATATGGCGTTAAAGTGAGCTTTGAAGGTCGTTAGTACTTCAATGTTCGTGGATTTCAAAGTTGCTTGCAACGTACCTGTAGAGCCACCGTTTTCATAATCTTGAGTCATGTTGAGTTTTGTTGTCTCCTGTTGACAAAATTACACTTCTGTGGAAGCCTGATTATAGCTGCTTTGTACAGAGACTCTCAAAACTAATCGATTTGTTTTTTTTTTTTTGTTGATGTATCTCTCTGTGAATATTTCTTTTTTTTGTTTTTTTTTTTTTCTTCTAATAATCTTTTGGATATCGAGGATTTTTTAATTTTGTGCATGATCACACGCCTAATGTATACCAACTACTACCTTGTTCTTTGGTCACAGTAACTGAGCGTGGCTTGCATCCAACTTTTCTAGCAAAAGTTATTATCAATGTTTCGGTGGGGCATCCCTTTCTTTTATTGAACTCCGTAACACACTTCCAGAACAAAACATTCTTGTTTTTTTGATCGACCGGATGGATACTCTTGATCACCTTGTCCCTCGAGATGATCATCCTTTTATCAAAGACCCTTAGCTTGACCTTTGATGATCTTCTCTTGAAATAGTTCATTTTGGTCAAAAGAAATGGATTGTAAACACTTTTTTGAGTCTCATGTGCTGCTTCCACCACATCTGTAGAGACTCCCTCAGACAAGATTGATGTTTTACTGGTGTCCTCTATAACATCTTCGGCATCTGTCAGACACATTTCCTCATAGCTCTCTTCGTAGAAAGAAAAACTCCAATTGTTAGATGAAGAACCCATGGCTGATGGTAAAATCGGGTTGTTTCTATTTCATTTGGAGTGTGGGGAGAGTGGCTTCACAACCAAAGTTTTACAACCGCATTACTCAACACGTCAATAATTTTTTTAAAAGCAAAATAAAATAGTTTGTATACAATCATTTACCTGGGTTCGACATGATCGCCTCAATCCTCGAGACTTGGTTCGAAAGCTCAAGCGCCAAGTCGTCCTTATGTCTCTCTCTTTCTTCTATATCAACAAACTCTTTACGCCCGCGTACAATCCAATCACAGAAGAAGATGACAAACACAACACCAAGCACAGCTGAGGAGTAGTTCATGTTTCCAGCAGTGACAGGCATCACAGATGGGAAGTTGTAGAATACTGTAGTGAAAATAGTCCAAACAACAAGTGCAATATTGCAAAATAAACCGACTTTGCCCCACCAGAATGGGCCATGTCGGATCTGGTTCCTCTTGAAGATTAAACAAAGGGTGGGAACCATGTACGACAACAACAAGAGCATCACACACGACACTAATATGGAGTTGAATGCAGTGTCGGAACCCAAGTAGATGCATCCAATAACAGCAACCCAGAAGCACGACACAAAGTGTGCATAGATTGTAGTCCCTGTCTTGGGGTTAACTCTTGACAAATACTTTGAAAATGGCAACCCATTGTCTCTGGCGAAGCCCCAACAGATTCTTGCCGACCATGTGTGACATCCAATGTTACAGCCAAAAGCGGTGATGATGATCAAAATACCCAATCCCAAGGCGGCACCTTTGGATCCTGTTGCCTGGTGGAAAATATCCAAGATTGGAATACCCGTGTTTGATGCAAAAACAGCTTCCAAATTCGTTATGGAGAAGAATATTGCAATACAGAATGTAAATGTCGTCACAAAACCGATAACCACCGTACTTATAAGGGCTCTGGGTACGTCAACAGCAGGATTAAACGACTCTTCTGCAATGTGTGTGGCCGCATCAAGTCCGTTGAAACTCCAATTGGGGTTGATCAAACCAACAATGAACGCAACCCCTGACGAGCTCCATCCTGTCTGGTTTTGAAATTCAACAAACACAAATTTGGCGCTTTGGAAGTCTCCTTTATGCATAGCCAAAACCGTGATGATGATAATTATAAACGACGAAAGTGATATGCCGAGAGTCCCCATGAATATAGCGGGCAAAGGGCGATCATAAACGTTGAAAATCAGAACAAAGATATTGAATATCTGGTAGGTGACAAACACATGCCATTTGTGGACAACAAAGTTAGGACGGAACAAAGCATAAGCCCCAACTATACCAATCGATGTGGTGGTTGTAATACTGGCTGACGTGAACACTGATCCCACCCACGATAATACTCCAGTTATGTAGGCAAGTAATCTCGAATACTTGCGTGGTGCCAACTTCATTGTCCAGTAGATCTGGCCTGACGCATTTGGATAGGCTGACGCCATTTCAGCCAATGAAATTACTGTACATAATGAAAAGAACGAAACGATAATGATACCATAAACAATCATCATTGGTCCACCAGAAGCAATTCCCGCAATCAAAGATCCACTGATACCAGCCCACGAGTTTGTGATTCCAAAACCAACTCCAATCAACGAAATTATATTGAAATTTCTTCTCAATTCTGGTGCGTATCCAGTCTCAGCCAGAAACTCTAAGTTGGCGTGTGCTTCCTTCAATGCTTTAGATGCCTCTCTCTCATTTGCTGTTGCAATATTATCTAAACTTCTAATGGTGGCTGGCAGACGAACTCTGTCTGGAACAGGTGGGTTAACAAAATTTTCATCTCCTTCACTGTGACTGTCCCATGAAGACTCGGGCTTGTGTATTGAGTCTGACATCTTTGGATTTACTTGTCTAAGATTGCAAAAGCAGCGAGAATGTTGTCATTGCAGAAGAGAGTCTTCCATTTATATATATTATGTTATTTGAGTTCCAAGTCCCTTCCCCTCATCAAAAGAGAATGGGTCATTGGTTAGTCTATTTTAGGACGGCTTTGTATCTGACTAAAAGGAGTGTGCAATTCGTATAATCTGCAACATCCATATTCCAAACGTTTGAAGGACCATACAGAAGGGATTTTGAGAATATGCGTGAGTGATTACTTGATTTGAACACTTCAAAGTGGAGTTGAAGAGAATAGAATTTTGTCATTTTGTGAAAGCGCGACCTTTTTTTTTTTATAGCGGATTCTTTTTGCAGGATCCCCCACCCACACATCTACTTCATCGAATTTGATTTTTTTTTCTTGAAACCATTCTTTTGCTACATACATTGCCATCACACTCAATGGCAATCCCAATTCCGCTTTCAAATGAATAAAAGTAAAGTTAGCCTATTGTCTAAACAACTTTATTCCATTGCCAGTCTGAAGCGATGTAGTCTATTACTTGCGGAGTTATGCAAGTCTGCCTAAACAACAACTGCAAAACTCCGCCTTTTAGGCTAAACTACACAAACCTCGATAGAAAACTTGGCGGGGAAGTGTTTCGAATCTCCTCTAATCAAAGATACGATATTTGCCACAAACCGTGCAAGGTTTCCCCACACTCAACTATCCCTGTTTTGGTATTCATAACCACTTTTTAGTGCGAAAGGGATTCTGGGTTTTGTTCCGTTAGCCGCACCATTCTTGTGAATGCTAAATTGGTTGCGGGCAGAAGGAGACTCGTTATCTTTTTTTCTTTTTTTTTTTTCAGGATCTATGTATTGCTACATTTTGAGCTGAGATTTTGTGGCCTTGTGGTTTCATGGTAATTGCCATGGTCTCTCAGCTTCATACGAAAGAGTGCAAATTTACAAAGAAATCGCAAGCTACAACAAAATTCTATCAATTCAAACTCAACGTACTACAAAAACAAACTATTCTCATCATTACTTCTGTGGATGGGACAAGATGACTTCGATGTTCGACACTTGGTTGGATAACTCGTGCGTCAAAGCATCCTTTTGGCCCTCTCTATCCTCAATGTCAATATACTCCTTGCGGCCACGGATAATCCAATCACAGAAGAAAAGAATAAACACAACACCAAACACAGCTGATGAGTAATTCATGTTGCTTCCAGAAACAGGCATTGTGGAAGGGAAGTTGTAAAAAATCGTGGTGAATATAGTCCAAATAACGAGAGCGATATTACAAATCAATCCAATTCCAAACTTGTTCAACCAGAATGGGCCATGTTGGATCTGGTCTCTCTTGAACATGAGACAAATGGTGGGAACCATGTATGACAATAACAAAAAGATCACGGAACACACAAGGATCGAGTTGAATGCGGTGTCGGAACCCAAGTAGATGCATCCAATAACAGCAACCCAGAAGCACGACATGTAGTGTGCATAGACGGTAGTTCCAGTCTTGTCGTTAACTCTTGACAAATACTTTGAAAATGGCAACCCATTGTCTCTGGCGAAACCCCAACAGATTCTTGCCGACCAGGTGTGACAACCAATCGTGCATCCAAACGAGGTGAGAACCAACAATATACCCAATCCTAAAGCAGCTCCTCTCGATCCTGTTGATTGATGCAAAATCTCCAAGAATGGTAAACCCGTATTTGTGGTCAACACAGCATCCAAATTCTTTATGCAAAAGAATATACCAATACAATACGAGAATGTAGTGATGAACCCAATGATGATCGTGTAGATGAGTGCTTTTGGTATATCAGTAGATGGGTTAAGTGATTCCTCTGCAATGTGTGTGGCCGCATCAAGTCCGTTGAAACTCCAATTGGGGTTGATCAAACCAACAATGAACGCAACCCCTGACGAGCTCCATCCTGTCTGGTTTTGAAATTCAACAAACACAAATTTGGCGCTTTGGAAGTCTCCTTTATGCATAGCCAAAACTGTAACGAGGACAACAATGAAGGAAAGAATCGAAATACCAAGCGTTCCCATGAATATAGCAGGTAATGGACGATCGTAGATATTGAAAACCGACATCACCACATTGAAGATTTGATAAGTCACAAACACTTGCCATTTGTGGACCACAAACTCTGGGCGGAACAAAGCATACATTGCAACTATAGCTATTGAAGTTGTAATCGTGATACTGGCAGTGGTAAAAACCGAACCAGCCCATGAAAGAACCCCAGTTGTATAAGACAATCCTCTTGATAGTCTGCGTGGTGCCAACTTCATTGTCCAGTAGATCTGGCCTGACGCATTTGGATAGGCTGACGCCATTTCAGCCAATGAAATTACTGTACATAATGAAAAGAACGAAACGATAATGATACCATAAACAATCATCATTGGTCCACCAGAAGCAATTCCCGCAATCAAAGATCCACTGATACCAGCCCACGAGTTTGTGATTCCAAAACCAACTCCAATCAATGCAAACGTGCTGAAACTTCTTCTCAATTCTGGTGCGTATCCAGTCTCAGCCAGATACTCCAAGTTAGCCTGTGCTTCTTTCAACAACCGACGAGCATCCTTCTCGTTGGACATGGCAATATCATCTAGGTGTTGTACATGGGTGGGTTGTTGGACTATTCTGTTCGAGGTAATGTGGTGAACCATACCTTCGCCATGGTCGATGCTTCCTCTCTCGGCCAGTGGGCTTCTCTTTTCCATAGAACTGGACGATGTCATTGTAGATATGTGCGTAGTTGGTGAAGAACTAGTATCAAGAGGTCTCAATTGACCGTTGAGTATTCACATCTTTGGGAATCGTGGCGGGAGAGGGGTCTTTATATAGATATCTGGAAGCGAGCTCAACGTCTTTTCGGCGCAATGGGGGATGGTTACATCTGAAGCTGAATCTTATCTTATCTGTTTCTTTTTTTTCGCCTATCTTTAATTTATGCCAAATGCAGACGTTCCTTTGTGATTTAATCTGTTGATATTTCGTGGGATGTAGCAGCTGCTAACAATAAAAAAGACTCTCGACACAAAAGCCGCGACGGAAATTGAAGAAAAAAAAAAATTATCCGTTGACGATATTGTTTGACAAGCTTACCGATTAGGAAATTGATAACGCACTGATTGGATAAAAGGCACCTGCATCATCATGTCCTAGAGACGCATGATGAATAATCTATGCAGCTCCAACATTTAAACAATACCACGACTGAGGGATTTTCTCCTTTCGTCTCTCAGCATCAAACGATACAATAAGATATCAAAAAAGAAAGTACATCCGCAAATGCCGTACCTCAGCAGATGCAAATAACCCTCTCTATAGCTGTAGTCTTACCCGTATTCTACCTGTTGAACAAGATGCGTGAACTTCCAATAGTGTAAGAGTAAACAATCACCAAGATACAATCTTCGACCCCCATTTGCGTTCCACCTAGCTATCTCTATGCATTTTTACACAGACTCCTCGTCGGAATCATCGTCGGAATCATTAAGTAGTCCCGCTTGCATCAATATCTGATCCCAATCGCTGAACAATATGACACAAGTCTCACTTAGTGAAATTACAACCATTCCACTGCCTATTCCAAACCATAGTCCAAAGAGACCATATCCCAAGCTTTTGCTTAGTATTAATGCCAACGGTAATGCAAATGCATAGTATGCGACCAAGTTTATAACACCCCCAATCTTCTGCAAACCCTGTGCTCTCAATATCCCACTATCAACACACGCAACCCCATCAAAGACTTGTAAAACAGCCACTAACGGATCAAGCAAGCTCTCTATCAATCCAATGACATCTTCGTCGTTGGTGAATATCAGCGCCAACTTGTTCTTGAAGGCGAGGAATACCAAACAATTACCACTAGCTACAATAAACGCACCAAACATGGCAACTCTGGTGGCAGTTATTGCCCCGTCCATGTTTTGACCACCAATGAAATGAGCTATACGTGTCGAAGCGGCAATGCTGACGGCAAACGGGACCATGTATGATAAAGATGCGATACTCGATACTGCACTTTGAGCAGCTAAAGGTTTAGTACCAAAATACGATGCAAAAAGAGTCATGATCTCGTATGCCAAGTACTCTGACTCAATCATAACGATCCCCGGTACTGCCAAATGAGCAAACTGGCCCCAATCTTTCACCAATTCGGGAAATTCTGCAAGTCCACACCAGCATTTCTTTCCGTCGATATATCGAACATACAACACAAGCATCAATGACATGAACCAGAAATTTAGCGCCGTGGCAATAGGTGCACCAATATAACCCAACCCATAATTTCTGTTCCATACTAAAAACCACGAGAAACAGATATTGATTGGTGCGCTAATGAACAAGATACCGGTCCCTGCTTCGAAAATACCCTGTGCTTGTAGAAATCTCTTCCCGTTCTCAAACACAATGTAACCTGGAGCACCCACAATCAATATTCGCAAAAACTGCGATGTGAGCTGAACGACGGCGTCATCATCAATGATGAAATGGAGGATGGAAGCACTGAACCACCACAAAACTCCAAAGGGAACAAACAACACCCACGAAAACGCCACGCTTCTTTGTACGTAGATACCCATTAATTCATAATTTCCAGCCCCGTAAGCTTGTGAGCACAATGTATCCAACGCGGTGGCAGTTCCTTCGAAAACCCCAAATGTGATTGTTGACGTCATTGTAGCCAAACTCACAGCCGCCAACTCCTTCGTCCCCAATTTCCCCACAACTATTAAACACACAATTGAGAAAAGATGCTCGAGGATGAATGTAAGGATCAAGGGCAATGCATGACGGATCAAAATCTTGGCTTCAATGACATATGTCGTTTTCAAATTCATGAAATTCTCCAAATCATAGCTCTTTGACGACTTCAAGCTCGCTCGCCTCCTCCCTGATCCATATATATTCTCACCAAATACATGGTCATGATCCAAATCATCTTCATCTTCAGAATTGGCAGCCGACGACATTCGACGGTGGTGTTCCTCAATCAACCACGAATGAAACAGTTCCTGATCTTCAGTCGCTTGTGCACTGCTCAACGAGTCCGGCAACGATCTTGAGGTACTGACACTAGCAGCATCGTCGAAATCCAGCTCTGAGCCAAACTCCGACCCATTTTCAACCAATGATAAGAACGACCGCTGATCTTCTCCTTCTCCGTAGCTGAATAATGGACGTTTGGTGGACGGTGGAACAAATATTCGTCTGCGTCTACTTCCGGTAAGACCGGCCCCGGTATTTGGGTCAGCTAGTCTATTTATGGCCTCAAATAACACCATTCTGATTGGTTTTGAGTGGAGTATTCGGAGTGTGGAAAATATAATTTTTTTATTTTTTATTTTTTATTTTTTTAATTTTTTATTTTTTTTTGCCTTTCTGAAGTTGCGCAATTTTGTACCATCGGTTTTGTTGAAGACAAAGATGGGTGTTGGAAGTGACATAAGAGAGTAGGTAGAAGAGTACAACTTTTACTTCACATCTCAACGCATGGCATTGGGTTATTTACCACAAATACAATCTAAAATATCATCCATATACCACCACCCAATAGTATAAGCAATACAATGGCTGTCAAGACTCCAGCTCCAGCTCTGTCCTTGCCCTGTATTTTCAACTTGTTTTTATTTTCAGTATCCTCTGTGTCGGTTCCTGCAGCGAAATTTGATCTATTCGTTCCTCCTGTTTTAACACTAAGTGGCTCCTCGACAATAAGGGCCAACATCACCTCCAATGCTGACATTTGCTCACCTAGCCCGTACTTATTATCCCAACCGTTTGCAGACCAATCTTCACCACATGTGACTCCATCGCTTCCCCCGGAACACGATTGGGCGGCACCTTTAGCACTAGCTTCCAAAGAAGGTCTGATCTCATTCTCAAATTCTGGTATAAGTTTCATAGTTAACCCAAGACACCGGGAAAACAAACAACGAAACGATCTTTGATCATTGTTACAGTTGCCGCTAGGTTGACATGTTTTCTCCAACATGATTTTGTTCTCAAAGAAGTAGTTGATCGCCGCCTCAACAACCTCGTATGAACGGGTTTTCCATGTCTCATCTCCCGTTACATTGTACAAGTAAGCACACCCGGACATAAATACACCATAAGTATAGGACCATCTCAAATCTGTCACTGAGGTACAATTCTCCTCGACTTCTGCACCGTCGTATATACGCAAATTTCCATTCGTTTCTTCGGTTAAGAAATTAATCGATTCCATCCAGTCCCAAACTCGTTCAGCCGTAGGAACATACGCCGACTCATTTCCTGTGTATCTAGCCAATCTTGCGGCCATGTGGAAAAGACATCCATTTGAGATTGCATTCTTGTAATTGTAACCCGAATTCCAAGTGAAGATTTGCCATCTGAGTCCACCGCCACAATGCGCGGTATCCCATCTTGCATTCATTGTATTGAAAATTGCTTGAGCCATCTCCAACCATGAATGCAGCTGCGGATCAGTAAAGTTTCGTTCTACTGCTTCCATGATCGCCATTCCCCAAACTCCTTGATCATCGTTACCCTCAGTCAAAGACTGATTCGATGGAATATAGTTGTAATTCTCACCTGCTTGATGATACATTCCGTCGTAAATCCATTTTTCCAACGTTTTGTTATCTGAATCGCAGTACGTAAAGTAATCAACAAACCCACCAAAAGCTTCACCTGCATTCCACCAATAGTTGGGAGATGCAAACATACCAACAGTTCCTCCAGGTTTGAAACCTTCATAATAGTTCCACATACCATCAGACACAATCTTTGCAGCCGCACATATGGAATCCTTGTCGTCGATATTCAACTCCACGGAGTACACAAAAGCCGTGCATGTGAGTAGTACAGTTGTGCATATGAGTTTACTTAGTCCAAGCATAGCGTAGTCTGTATAGTCTCGGAGTCTAAGAATTGTTTGATGTATTGATGTTGAGCTAAAGAAGTACTTGTGTGGAGATGAAAAATATGTTCTATATTGTGAAACCTCCTAAACTCTCGTGTAGTAAAGACCTTTTCTAGCAAAAAAAAAAATAATAATAAGAAAAAAAAAAAAGAAGGAAGGAAAGAAAGAAAGAAAAGAAAAGGGATAGCAGAAAGGTTCCGATATTGTCGAGATTGAAGGTGTTTAAGTTGATGATTGTGTGATGAGTACAGCCTCTGTGAATGTGCCTCTTATGGCTAATGTTGTTCAAATTAAAAGGCTGAGCTTTTTTTTTTTTTCTATTTCTTCAGTTTTCCCTCCCCCCTTTTAGTGTTGCATCAGACATTAGTGTATATATATATACAAAGAGAGAGAGAGAGAGTGTGTGTGTGTGTGTGTACAACTTTATATTTTATTTTCTTCTTCTGCGCTTTTGTTTATATTTACATTTTATACTGATTTTGTGTGCATGTGTGTTCTATATATACATACATATATACTGCATACTTTGGAGATCTTTCAATAACTTCTCAGAGAAACCTTTTTCAAAGTTGAACAGAGTCATTCACTATCAAAGGGTCAATCTATTAATCTATCAAATTGTCACATCTTTAACCGATCTACCAATTGTAGAGTTGCAAAAGTTGAGTTAAGCGTGACAAGACAACTCTGTTATTTGCCAAGACCAATGGACCATCATCACTCTCGTCCTCTTCTCTTCCATGACCTTGTGACATATAACAAGCGTCATAAGTAGACTTGTTCTGCCTTTTCTTTCCCAAGCTTAACTCACTGGTTCCGTCTCTATCCAACAATATTCCATTCCAACCGGCCCGAATTGCTCCAACAAAGTCCTTCTCATGACCATCTCCAACGTGCCAACATCCCGATAAAAAATCTCCCGGCGGAGTCAACCCCCTATATCCTCCATCGACTTCACTTCTGTACTCTTTTACTGCAACCGCATCGAAAAACGACTTCTTAGGCTTGCCGACTTCATAATCATAAGACAAATTCACGTTGATGAAAAATTCGATCAACTGAAGACTCCTCAATATCTTTACCGAACGTGAGTCTGAGTTGCTAGACGCAATCATTGTCACTCCACGTTTCCTCAACCCTTCCAAAGTTGGAAGAACGTCGTCATAAACATCATATGCCTCAGAACTGGTGAAATGGTTAACTAACCGGTTACAAATGTCATTGGTTTTAGGATCTTTTCGCGGTAAATCGTACACACGAGTAACGAGCTCTTTCCACCAGGCATCAGAATGCTCGAATTCAGAAACTCCCTTGCCGTAATTGGGGTATTCATCTTGTAACTCCTCAAAAACTTTGGCAAAATCTTTAGCAATCGATTCTGCAGATTTGGAAATACCAAACTCTTGACTTGTAATTTGGTGGTATTGTTCAGGGACAGGAATTTTGGGTTTGTAAATGGTGCCAAACAAATCAAATGAGATAAAGTTTGGTTTGGCAAACTTCTTTTCTGATTCACGGATTATCCTTGTATTTTCAGCATTGAAAGGTTCTGACATAAGGTGTGATCGGGTAGATGCTAGCCTTTTGCATACTCTAAGTGGTTGGAGTTGTAGTCTACTTGGATGTAACATTGCTGTAAAGAAAAGGACGTTTCGTTATGATTCATTCCGATACGCCGTAGCGGACGAGTTCTAGTAAAACCGATATTCATGTAATATATTACGTAATACGAACCCCACTTGAATTTTTGCCGCAACCTTTCCAAACTCAAAGTTTCTCCTTGAACAAATGTGTCACTCATCCACCACTTACCCTCCTATGCCATTTATCGTAGATCAAGCAGTTTTCTTTTGCCAGATGTATAAAAATCAGCCAAAGCTTAATCCGAATTTGCTGTTAATTTCAGTTATTTTTTGAAAAATTTGTTACAAATCGGTGCCAATAAAAATTAGAATGCTAGAAAAAAAAAAGAAGAAAAAAATTGGCGCAGCCAAAGAAGCACCAGTAGAAGCTACATATACGTAGTAGCAATAATAAACAATGCCCTGTTTGTCTGGGAAAAATCTGTTTCAGCCGTTGCGTAGAAAACTGACCAGACGTGCTTACGATAGCTTAAGCGCTACCAAAACACACCCACCCGAGCTCCGTATTCACAATTGCATAGATAAGATTCCAGACTGAAATACAGCAACAATTGTATTTGCTTCATTACATTGCTCAACGCCAAGCTCTATATTCGACTATTTATCCCAAAAGCACTTCCCAGCCCCATTCTTTCATGATGCTACTCCAATGAAATTTGGACTCAATGCCACTCGACTCGGAGCTGTTCATGAAATTGGCGTATTCATTGTTGACAACAGACATCAAGCCATCAAGAGGGTTGTGACGTGAGCTTTGCAGAGTAGTTCCAGCAGTATCTTCACTCTTCTGACTCCTCGAGCTCATTGCCAATTCATCTTTTCTCTTCCAAACCTCCTCAACCACTTCCAAAGCACGGTCAACATTGCCTATCCACATTCTGTCCATCAACACCTTCCATCTAGATTTACACCATTCTCTTTCCTCACCAATTTCTGCCTCGCAAGATGCAACCAAGAGCGGGAAGATGTGAACCACGCTCGTGTTTGATGATTTTGGTATTGACGCCAAAAGAATGAAAATCTTTTCTGCAAGTTCATGTGATGACAAAGAAGGGATTTCGGGTACAGCTTGATGCAAGAAAAGCAACGCTGCATAACGATAAGATTCAGCAGTGGCAATGCAACTCGATAAATCCCAGGACTTGGACCCATTCTCTTCTTCATTCTTGATCATATTTGCATTGACAGTTGATTTCCAATCCAAAAGAAGATGACGCAACTCTGACGCTTGACTGATGATAGTTAGAGAATTTCGTTTTTTCCAATTCTCACTAGCCTTTTTCCTTCGTATTTTGGAAACCAATGCTGCCACTTTACCTATTATACAGAAAAGTGACTGGCCACATCCCAACAACGGATCTATGATTTCAGAGTCATAGTTGAACGCGTCAAATTCTTCGAAAAAAGTGTAAGCCTTGTCGGAATTATCACTGATCTCAGATGGAGATGCTGAGTTGCGAACACCATCTTTTGCCTTGTCATTCAGAGTTATTGAAGTTATGGTGGCCACCAAGTCGACTCCCTTTTCGTCGTAATTTGTATCGGTAGTCATTTGCGCAATGACCAGAAAATAGATCCAATTGTTGAATAATATTTGTATAGGTTTGGGTATGACCAACGAGGATCTTTTGGTTGTACAGTCATGTATCATCTTTTCGTATTCAAATTGGTCAATCAACACCAACTTACTCTTTAGTTGCAAAAACTTGTCCTGGTTGAAAACTGATGATTCACTCAGTGGTAACAGCTGATCACAAAGTGAGTGCTGATGTTCTCTCAACAACGCCAAGATCTTGTTGATCATAGTCTTTGCTCCTTTCAAATGAGCAATACCACTTGATGTCAGTACATCCCAAGACTCACACACTGCCAAGTTCAAGCAAGTAGCCAAGGCGATATCTGCAGGAAAATCAACCTCTCCTCCATTTTCCATCTTTGATAACCCACTCGCGAGTTCCAATATACATCTTTTCATATAATTTTGAGCCCTTGAGCGTAGTTCTTCCGATGACGCAACAATCCCATTTGAGCCAGCCAAATGGAAAAGAGTCATTGCAGCTATCGAGTTGAATAAACAACCATATCTCATGGCTAACGGCACTAACAAATTTCTCCACGGGTTTTCGTGGAACCCGTTTTTAATCGACATGATTCCAGAAGTGTACTCTGAATACAAGTATAGGATCTGCTCCTGCTCTGAAGTTTTTGCCAAGGACTTGTTCAAGTCCCACATAGGAGAAGTGGCTGCCGACAGCTCATGAGCTCTAGCCAAAGTGAGCGGGCTTAATGAACCAACCGAAGGGACATCAATGTCTTCTGGATTCAATGCAAAATTCAAAATAGCTGATATGGAGGGAGAAAGACTCAAGTCGGGAAAGTGTACCTTTTCAGCCGTCGCTGGGTTCATGATGTGTTCCAAAGTAGGAGAAACAATCGATTTTGCACCGGCCTCTATTTCTTCAATCGGAGATTCAAAAGCCGTTGTTGATTCTTGTAGAGTATCGGTATTGCGATTGAGACTCCGCGTATCATCGAAGTGAAACGTATCGCCGTGGGATCGCGATCGCGATTTCGATTGTTGTTGTGGTTGTGGTTGTGGTTGTGATTGAGGTAGAGCAGTTGAAGTGGAAGTTGGTGTCCCCACACTACAAATTCGCACCCTTTGTTGACTGCTGGTCTCCCCAGCAGCAGGATTCAACCCCTTCGAGATCAAATCGCTTTCCTTGGCTATGTCCTGGATACTTTTACCAATCACGGAAATGCTAGCTAGTTGCAAGTGCTTCTCGAGAGCTTTCCCATTGACGGCAGGCTTTGACTCATTGAACAGCTTCCATTTGAAATTCGTTGCATAACCACCACACACTATATTCTTTTTACTGCAATTTAAACACGTTGGTTTTGATTCGTCACATTTGAGTCTCTTCTTCTTGCATGTGGCACAACCGTTCCTCGATTTTGTGCGTGGCTTCGACGAGGAGGCGGCAGACTTTGAATTGGAGGTGATTGTGGATGATTGGCTGTCACCTTGCTCTGTTACCATGGTTGTGCTGGTTCGATATATGTGTGAGGTAATGAGGATAGATTTTGCAAGTAGGGGAAAATCAACGAACCAAAAAGTGGGAGAAATTTCCTAATCAGATTTTTGTAGCTCAAGTCTACCATCAGCTAAGTAAAGAATTGAAACAACGGGGCGGAAACTCCAAAATCGGGCATATAAAATATACAGCCGGGTATCGTTAATTAAAGATCCCACCACCGCTGATAAGGAAGGAGTGAAAAAAATAAACAAAAAAAAGAAAAGAAAAGAAAAGGAGATTAGAGTTTCCATTTTTGTAGATACGGGCATTATTGCCTAATCGGGATATACGATCCGGTATAAAAAGAAAGCCGTATCTGGAAAGTTGCAAGTACATATGGAGCTCAGACTACAGGTCTATATAAATATACATGCAAGTACTTAGCAAGCCAAAGCTCTAACCAGATCAAGCAATGGCAAAACAATCCATTGACAACTTGAACCGGTAGGTGCAATTTTGACCCATGGCTGATGGCCCAGGTTCACCGCTGAGATCCAGACTTTGCGTGAGATATCGGATCCAGGGAAAACACGGGTACTGTAGCTGTTCTTCTTCCACAGAGATGTATGATAATTTCAAACCTGAGTAGGTGAACATGGGGATCTTGAATGTCAATACTATGTCATCATTTTGGAACTTTCGTTTCACTTCTTGTAGTAATTGCCTTTGGGTGGAGGTTACGGAGGTCCCGTTGACCCCATAGAAAGCCTCCAAATCGTGCCGAACGTCATCAATCTCGTCCTCTTCTCCAGCCATTCCTTGGGACTTACCATTGTCCATTTTCCGCAACAAGTGATGTGATATTTTGGATAATGTAATTTGTTCACAATTCAACAACGACAACTCACACATCATTCTCACCGTTTGTTTCCCATCTATGCTTTCAATTTTCCAAATAATTTCCATGGTGTCGTACTTGAATGAAACTTCACCGTTTTCAGTCTTGTATTTCAAGTTTGGGTTGATTACATCTAACTCAAAATAGTATGGGTTCAATGGTATTCTCACAAATAAACTCTTGCAGTGTCGCCTTCGTGGGAATGCGGTGTTCAATGTGCACATGAGTAACAACTTTTTCGCTTCATGAATGACCTTGAATACAGGCTTGATTGAAATTAGAGGTAGCTTCTTTTTGTTCTTGCTCTGCTCCACTTGATACGACATTAATTCAAACTTGTCATCGGGTGGGATGAAGGTGACAATGTTGTCGCGATATATTTTTGATAACTCAATGCATTGGTGAAATTGGATATTTCTAATGGGGATTCGATGCTCAAATGGGGTTCTGTTCCCCGCGACGGCCGCATGTTCTGTTTGATTCGGGGAAGAGTTATCTTGAGTGTCCAAGTGAGATTCGTTTTGAACATTTTCCAATGACGTTGTTTCTGATTCTGCTAGCTGTTCCTCCTCTTCGGGATCTTTTTCCAAGAGACCCTCTCCTTCTTCGCCTTCCTCGACCAACTTGATTTGGTTCTCCGGCAAAGGGTCCTCATCAACACTAGTAGTTACCTCATCATTTGCAATCGACGACATGTAGTTTTCATTAAACCCCATTCGACAAACTGGGATACCTGATAGATAAGATTTCACCACACAGCTTCCATAAATTTCATTACGCTTTACAGACTCTGTTTTGAGATCGTAGATGAATTCGACGTTTTCAATAATGTCGACAAAAATCTCATTCTTTGCGTAAAAGATACCTTTCGGTCGCCAGTTTATGGCCAGTGAATACGTTCGCAATATGGAACTGTTAATTATATGTGCGTTGCTTTCTAAAACATCAGTTTTGATTGATTGATTATGAGTAGACTTTATTTCAGTATTTGGCTTGCCCTTTTTCTTCTTATCCTTCCTTGTGGTGTCACGTTCAGCTTCTTCATCTCCAGTGTCATCAGCATCGTTCTCGTTGAGTAAAGTTGGAAAATTGGGCTCCACTTTGATATACTCTTCTAGTAGCTTGTAGTCCGTGATTTGCAAAACCCCAAAATCCAAACACTCGTCAAGTAACTCGGTAATGAGAACTGAATTGTCCAATATCAACTCAAAATCCATCGGTTTTTTACCACCCTGACACAAGAAGTGATGCATAATAATTTGGAAACTTCGAAGGAATGATATAACCAGCATCACATTGACGTTTTGGTGAGTAACAGATAGGAGCACTATATTGTTCTCACATCCGATATACACGTATGAAAGATTTTGGATTGACAACACAGGCACTTGTTCGTGTGGAGGAGTACGTCGAAGATGTTGATAGAACTGGGAAAGTATGTTGGCGTCGTCTGGAATGATTTCAATGAACCTCCTACTGATCAAGCATCGGTACGACGATATTTCAGACGGGCTTCTGCAGCTGGAGGGAATATGTAGGACGTAGAAGGCTGATATCATTTGCTCAGCTCATTGGAAAGGATCAGTCACATTCATTTAGAAGAACGCTCTATTGACAAAAACGATGAAAAAGCGCGAATGTATATTTCATGTAGCACAAAAGTAACACGTAAGCTTTGGAACAAGAGAACCAACCACTCAAATCCTACTGGAAGCACAATCACCAAGGGCAAAAAGAGAGCAAAGACCTCAATTCTAAGAAAAAATTAGACGTAGATGGGTTTCAGGTGCTTTAAATAAATGCTAAAATAGAAAGGGGGGGGGGGGGTGGAAGGAAAGACTATTTAGCCTTACAGGAGGTCAGTTGCTGTCACTTTCATCTCCATTGCATGTTCTTCTAAGCACAATAGCTATTACAAACACGTTGTGCACGTTGCTACTCTGTAACGTGCACATTCAGTAAAGCTGCTCCACTTTGGAAAGCAGCTGCAAAAAAAGAAACATCACTCCGGAATTAAGTTTCCTAAAGTTACCAGGAAAAAAAAAAGAAAAGAGAAGGAGGATTATAGCAGCAAGAAAGTAGTCTTTTTGAGACAACTCCGCGTTTACAGAGCATATCTACAAATCCCACTCAGTTTCCCACACGATGTCATTATCAACCCTACACGAAGAGTCAATTCGTAAAGGTCTTTTGAGAATCAATAGTTTGGGACTTCCTCATTGGTCTTTGACGGTCTTGGACACGGTACCTCCATCTCATGTTTTGGAAGTCCACTACAAGTTGAAGAATTTCAAAAAGACTTGGGAATTCTTGAACTTGATTGCCAAACAAGCAGACTTGAAGAAACACCACCCAAAGATTACGACAGTGTATAACAAAATTGACATTGAGTTGACAACTCACGATGTAGGAAATAATATAACTGAGGCTGACATTGGACTCGCAGAAGCTATACACCAGGAATTCCACAAGATACAGAGCACTCAAGGCGAAAACAAATAATAAAGAAGTCTATGTGCTTTTATTTACCTTTTCTTCCTATTCTACATAATTGATTGATTTGACAGCTCGGCAGAACTTGTCTTGAACCTCGATCGCCTCGTATGTTCCCTCAAGGCTGGCCGAAACAACAAGTTCTTTATCCCAAATGTTACCAACAGTTTCCTTCTCCAATAATTGTCTTACTTTTTTCTGGTCCCGTTTAACTTCGATAGTTCTAATGTATGTTAACTTGAATGGGGGTTCACCCGTGAATGTAAAAATCAACTCTGTGTGTTCGCCTTGATGTATGTCTTCAACAATGTAGTCACCTTTGTTCACTTCAACACTAGGCAACTCGTGCACTTGGAGTTGCAATTCTTGAAACTTTTCATCATTTGAGGTAAAGTTGACCATACAAGAGCTTTGACCCGCATCTTTCAATGCTTCTATGTTTAAGATTCCCGGCTTTGACGCTAGTCTGACAAATTGGTGACGCACCTCAGCTTTTCTAGGAACATTGTCGTATTGGTAGAAAATCGTGATTGGTGTCACACCGGTTAAATTGTAGCCAACATGATCTCCAACACAGTAGTGCACTTTATCAAGTGATTTGAATATATTTGGAGGTTCGGTGATGGATATGATATACTTGACAGTAGTTTGCAAATTCCTGTTTATGCAACCATTGCCATCTTTTACGCTCACTAGATCGAGCGTGTAGTCCCCAAGTTGTAAGAATGCAGTGCTTTGCAAAAATAAATGAGGCTCCTGGATGTTTCTAAATTTCAATTTCTGATTTTCACCAGTGGCTTGACTTTGTAAAATTGCTTCAACTTCAAACGGGTATTCACCCGACAACTTAACGGGAATATCTGCCACAATTTCGTCACCACGGACCTTATTTTCACAAACTTGTGCAAAATGTTTGCCTGTTGCAAACAGTGCATGCGGCAAACGATTCACTTGATAAACAACCTTTGGAACATCAGCAAAAGGAACCTTGCTTTCCCTAGTGTAAAGTGCGTCGTAAATCTTTCTAAAGGTATGCTCGTACTGACCGTTTGCTCCAGTTGGCAATTTAATTCTGATACTGTGACCTTCAACATTCATTGTGTGAGTTTCAACCTTACCACTTGGCAACTTGATTGCATAATCAATCAAGAACGGTGCTTTGCCCTTCAATTGTAAAGTGATCTCATTCGCAGCACCATTGCAAACGGGTTTCAAATGAATCAAGGACTCCTCTTTGTGTTGCAAGAATTCGTCAGCAGACGAAACATTCATGGATGGTCTGTCGTAGTACTTGACTGTCACTGTCTTTTCCTTGTTGACAACCTTTCCTTCACAATTGCCATTCATAAAAAATTCTAAGCTATAGATACCCTCCTCGAAAATCCGAATTGAGGAGTGCCTCAAATTTGCCCTCTTTTTTGACAAGAGCTTCCCTTCCAAAGTGTGGTGTTTCAAAACCACCACGTCATTCTTTTGCTGTCCAATAGACGACTTGTACTTAAGAGGCACGTCCACAAAATGACCTTCAACAATTTGAATGCTTGATTTTGTGTTGCTCAACTCAAGTTCTGGGACATCCGGTCTACTCACAATTTTAACTTGCTGGGAGTTGTCGTTGATTATAGCATCGCATCCAAATTTGTCTTTTGCCTTGCTCAAAATAAGAAGGTAGGTCTTACCCAACAACGACTGAGGAGTTTCAATTTCGTAATTAGACACCTCACTCACATGCTCAATAGAACGAAATCTTTTCTTTGTGTTAATGTCGACATATTCATAATCAAAAGAAAATGGTCCGTTGCCTTTGAAAACCACGGGTACCTTTGCCGTAACTCCATAACACGTGTGCAATTCCCGTCCAGCTAACTTTAAGGATACTTCCGATGCCAGTCTAAAGTACGTCAGATATGTGTACTTCGCCTCGTCAAGTGCAATTCCCTTCTCTTGGTAGTTAGCGTCTTTTATATTGGAAAACACAATACTGTAACTTCCCTCACCTGGTGGCTTGAACTTGAAAGAGTGTTGGTTCAGTGGCGAATTGAACTCACGAATTCTTTGACCAGCTGGTGATGGTACTGGTTTCAAAATTCCAGAATTGTTGGAGAAAATCTGGTACTGAACCTTAAATGGAGCCCTGCCAGTGAAGTTGAAGTCAAATCTGTATCCAACAACCCCCAAGCATCTGTCACTCTCAGGCTGGGCATTTATGTTTAACTCTGGTATCTCTGCCAACTCAAGTTTTATTGGTGGTACATCAGAGATCCCACAAGGGCAGAATGCGTCTCTTGCAGAAACCAACTTATACAAACCTGGATCAGTCACCGTTATTCCATTACGAAGCTGGATTTTACTAGTGAAAGTGGATGTCAAGTTTGATCCATTATGGGAAACAACAATTTCAAGGGGAAAATCTTTATCGCCAAACTCATTTGCACTTGCAACCATCAATGTCTTTTCTCCTCCTAAAAGAAGCGGAGAATCTTTGGCAGGATCCACCAACCTAATAGATGGCGATTTTCGAAGTACCAATTTATACCAGACATCCTTATCTTTAGAAAGTGGTTGGTATCTATGCAAATTTCCAAATGAGTCTTGCACTGATATCAACTGGAACTCAACCGTCGTCTCTTTTAGTCCCTTGAACTCGTCAATGTTTTGTAAAATGGCCTCCTCTAACGAGTTTCTAACAAGCTTCGTTGGCTTCAAATAGGTAAAATCTGTCCTCGAGTGCAGTTTGCGATAGTCACCGTCACCAGGAATAGTTAGATTCAACACCTTGAACTCATTCCCATTGGCACGGATAGCAAGTTTCACATATGCAGGCGAGGGACCGTAAACTTCCAACCACGGCACCGGAAATGTCTCTTGCTCAATTGAAGACAAACACTTGTGGTTGTTTTGAAAGTCAAAATTTGGCGGATAAAAAAACTTTCCCGAAGGACAGTCTGATATAGCAAATTCAGATTTATAAGTCCTGATACTATTACCCTTCTTGTCCAATACACTCTTTATCTTGTACGAGCCCGGTTCCGTGATTGGATATTCCAAGTAGAATAAAGTATCACTTGGCTTGGATTGTATTTTGTTTCTCAAATGAGAGTAATCCTTTTTAAATAGCTTTTTGAGAGAGGATCCCGTATAATTGTGGAGAACCAAGTCGTTGTTTGCTGTGTTTTGTTGAATTTGTAAAAACCCAATCCCCGATGTTGTATTGAATTCAATGGGCATTTGAACTGTATTGCCATTGGAGGAGCCCAAGCAAGTTTGATCAATGTGGAATGGATTCATTTTTGCAGAGGAGTCTGGTAGGTAATGAATGGTTAATTGTCCCTTGAAATGAGAATCCATATCGATGACATTGGCGACATTGATGGACTCTCCAACAATGTTAAGCTCGTTCTTTTGTAAAATGACTCTCCAAATAGGCAAAAAGATATTGGAAAGCAATGGTAATGCCATATTACTCACCAAAAATATCGTAATTCCATTTAAAATGAAGATGGAAAGTAGGGTTTTCGGAGGTGAAAAAGTGAGATGCGGTATCCTTAATATGGGAAGTAGCCACAAGAATACTCCGTCAATGAAGACGTACTTCAAAACGAATGTGAAATTTGTCAAGGTTGTCAATTGCTCATTGGAGGACGCAATTTCCGACTTGACCAATACTAAATCATAGATCTTCCAACTTTGTATTAGCATGAACAATGAAAGCACAAATAGTCGCTGCGACGCTGAATCCAATATGCTACTGGGGATAAGCGGTTTAACATCCCTCCGACTCTGTCGCCGTTCCCTGTATTTGACATCTGTGGGACGCATTTCTGTCCGTATCTCTGAATAGTTGGATCCTTGTTGGTGCTTAGAGAGAGAGAGAGAGATCTTCCAAAACAAAAAATTTGAGAAAAATGCGATTGTTTACACATTGGTACTTGACACAAAATAAGCACATTTTTACAGAACGTGTGCAAAAATCTATACAATGACCCAAGAGCCGTGTCGTTTCTCTTGTATGACTTTGATTGCAGGTAGATCCCAACCAACCCCACCACTTCCGACTGATGCACCAAACCTGGGAACTACATAGCATTCTCGTTTAGTTGGGGATAGATTCTTTGGCGCATATGGATGACCCAAGGGTTTGGAGTAGGTGATTAAACCAGAGCTCTTTGCAATATTTGTCAATTGCTTTCCAGTGATATCAACCAATGGCTTCATTCGAATCTTAGTGTGCTCTTCTACTTCAGTAGTGTTTGACTTGGAGCTGAGGTTTTGATAGACAAGGTATGGACTAGGCAATTTCCCACTTCTGCTCATCAATGAGTTAGCGTGAATATAGACAAATGGATCCATTTCAAAAGGAAGAACAGGACAATACGGGATGTTACTAATATTGGTCTTGTTGGCTATCTTGACATCAGCCGATATAAGGTCACCTCTAATAGCAACGTGGTCGACAAATCCCGATGCAATCATTTGCTTCATCGCGGAAACTTGTTTGGGGTTAGGGACATCCAATTTCTTCTTGTGAATCAATTGAGCCCCAGATTTTGATATCAAGCATCTTTCAACAATTTGCGCTACTTGCACTCTTAGCTTTTGAATTTCTTGCATCATCTTTTGTCGCAAATAATTTGTGGACATGAACTCATTTATGCGATCGGCAGGAATATGGTCTAGAGCGCAAACCGCAGACAACAACATCAAACACTCACTTGAAGGATCTAATTTCGAAAATAATGCTCTAGATTGATAAAACCTGCTTCTGAAAGCTTTTCTTTCCTCCTCTGTCATGTTCCCTATTAATTCATTTTCAGGAATAAACGGATCACCAACTGACAATGCTGACACAATTGCAATAATGTACTCCAAACAATTTTGTTGGTTTCCAATGATGAGAATTTTGGCAAATCTCGGACTCAATGGGAATAAAGACATCTTTCTTCCCAACTCAGTTATCTGCTTTTGATCCTTGTCGAGTGCACCCAAAACCACCAACAACTCCTCTGCTTTCTTCAAAGCGGCTCTATCTGGAGGAGTCGGGAATGGGAAGTTGACAATGTGATCAATTCCCATGCTTTTCATGCTCAACACTATACTCTCGAAAGGAGTTCGGAGTATTTCGGGAATGCTGAATTGGGGGAAGAATTCTTCATACACTGCCGAAGAAAACAACCGATAACAGTGTCCGGGACCCGTTCTACCAGCTCTACCAGCTCTTTGGTCAGCCGAGGCTTTGGATATCCAGTCGACGTCAAATGATTGCACTCCGTTCTCCTTGTTGTAATTTCGCTCTTTTGACCTTCCACAATCAATAACATAGCGTATTCCGGGAATCGTCAACGAAGTCTCTGCCACATTGGTAGCAACAATACAGAGTCTGCTTCCTGCTGGTGGCTCATCAAAAACTCGCATTTGCTGGTTAGTAGGCAAAAGTGAGTATAAGGGCAACACATGAAGCGGTCCTATTTCGGACTCAGAGGCGTTCTGAGCTTCCTCGAACCCTTCTTCCTCCTCCTCCTCCTCCCCATTGGAGTCGTTATAGTCGTCATATGTCTTTCCGTCTTCAATTTTAACGCTAAAGTCCACATCCTCAACCTCTTGTTGCACATTTTCTGAAACTCTCACATCCTGAGTTTCTTCCTCGTTCTCAACCAGTTTATTTTTGGTTTCTGGAAACTCTTCCTTGAGTCTTTTGACCAATGTTTTGATCTCATTTTGACCCGTCAAGAATATCAAGATACCACCAGGAGGTAGCTTTCGATGGATTTTGCATGCCTTGTTGAATGCTGCATCAATGTAGTTGAATTCGGTTTTTTTATCAAAGTGAACCGAAACAGGATACTGTCTTGCTTCAACATTGATTATTGGGGGCGAGGTTTGAAACAAGGTTGGGTTCTCAGAGAAATCCGACACTCTCAATGTAGCCGACATGATTATCAACTTTAATGGTGTCACATTTTTCTTCTTTTCCATGTAATGCTTTCTTCTCAATTTTACGACCCTGGTAAGCATTCCGATTAATATGTCAGTATTGATATTTCTTTCATGAGCCTCATCAATGATTATTGAAGAGTACTTTGTCAAAAGGAAATCTGTCATCATTTCCCTTAACAAAACACCATCAGTCATGAATTTAAGCGCCGTTCCATTCTCGGTACCTTCATTCTTTATAGACGTGTCAAATCGAACCTGATAACCAACTCTGCTCTTGTGATTCCCCAACTCATTTCCTACCCTTTCAGCCATTGAAACTGCTGCAACCCTTCTTGGCTGTGTTACTCCAATCATTCCTGGGTATAACTTATTACCATGGTTACCAAACCCAGCCTCATATAGAAATTGAGGAACTTGAGTTGTTTTACCTGAACCCGTCTCACCACAAAGAATGATACAATCATGATGGTATATTGCTTCCATGATTCTATGTTCCTCCGCGTACACAGGTAACAAAACCCTTTGTTGTTGAACATCGTCCAGTCTTTGGACATCTACAACGAAGGCGTCTCTTTGCATATCCTGATCAATAGAAATGTAGCCCTCTTCCTCTGACATGTGGTCAACATCCTCGGGTCTAACATTACGCTTGGAGTATTTTTGCTTGATTTCATCAGACACCTCTGCAACGAGGGGGACGTTATCACGACCTTCAATGTGACGAAGCTGTTGCTCGGCCCAGTCTTTGAATGAGGTTGCAGTTTTTGAGTGCTTCGGTTTGTTTTGCATAAGTTTGGTTGGGTGTTCATCGTCGTCGTCATCATCGTCTTCGTCGTCATCGTCGTCGTCTTCATCGTCGCCATCTTCATCGTCGTCATCTTCATCGTCTTCGTCTTCATCGTCTTCGTCTTCATCGTCGTCGTCTTCATCGTCATCGTCTTCGTCGTCTTCGTCGTCTTCATCAACGTCATTACTTTCGTTGCTGGCTTCTACCTCCTCAACCTCAGCTTGGCCACCTTGATCTGAATCTTCTCCACTGTCATCATGCTCAGAAGAGCTGGTGTTTTCACTATCGCCAGTCAGCATCCGCAGGGCTCTCCCATTAGTTTCATTTTCTTCTTCTGTGGACTCGCCTTCTGTATCATCGTCTTCTTCTCCACTTTCCTCATCAGACAGCAGTGCGTCTTCCGAGCTAGATACGAAATCATCTAAATCCTCCTGCTTTTGTCTTTTTTTGTCCTCATCTTGAACCCTTTTTCTCCAACTATACTTTTTCTTTGCCACTTCGGTATCCCGTTTAATCACTGGAACATTCTTGAATCCAAATCCCATTCCTGCACCTCCAAATTTGGACGGTCTGTTATCAAGAAATGTGCTCAGCGGTGTACTAGTGTTCAAGGAAGAACTTCTCTCTTCGGTGCCCTCCTCTTCAGCACTTTCATCCTCACTGAAATCCTTTACGACTCTCTCTTCATACAATGTCTCTCGCGTATTTTCGTCTCCACGTCCTTGCTTTTCCAACTCTAGAGCCTCCACCATCTGTTCCCTTTTCGTCAAGCGCCCTTTCCCTAAATCCTTCAAAGCTGAGAGCTTTGATGTATCCATTTTTGTCTCTTCTAATTTCCTCAAAAGCTCTTTTTTCTCCTCTCTTTTGAGTTGATGTTCAATGTACTTGTCAAGCCTCTTCTTTTTGGCTTTGGATAATTTTTCATCTTTAGAATTCTGAGTATACAAGTTTTCTTCCAATGCTCTTTTCCTTGCTAGTCGTTCTTCTTCAGATACTGGGGCAAGTATCTCTGCATTTGAATCTGTATTTTGTGCATTTATTGGAATATCAGCTGATGGAGGGTTATCATCACCAACATCATCATGCGAATTTGTTCCATCATCCTGAGTGTAGAACTGTTTATTTCTCGCCTTTTTCAAAGCAGCTTGCTTGGCAAGCATACCAGTTCTCGCCTTCTCGTTGAATCTCTTCCTATACTTCCCCATTTTAGCTGCCTCGATACTGCGGGACTGAGTATGTTGTGAATTAAATTTTTCAGTATTTAGAGGAGAAAAATGATGAAATGATGAGATGCGTAGGGGAACCGTTTTTGTGATATCAAGAAGGTGTGCGGCTCAAGAGAGCACTATTTAAAACAACTTTTGATGGACTGTTTTCCCACCTGATGCTTCCAAAGAGCTAGGTGTCTGGTGTCAAAAACATTTCCGGCTAATGTGATGGTCATTTATCAAACTCTCAAGAGGTAACTTGACCTTTAGATTTAAGTACGACGAAAAGCGGTCCATTCATATTGATTTCTTGCTCAGATTTTTCCAGATTATAACCATAATGCACAAGCTTCATCATCTCCTGAGCATGAGCTTCTGAAGCCTTTCTTGTGGCATCATGAATAACGATACAGGATACAGATCAAAATACAATTTTCCCCCCGTTAATGTATCTCCACTTGAGAGTGTTTCTAAAGCAGTTCCTTCGCTTGCGCATACAAAACATTTTTGCGCTGGCACTTTTCTCAATCATTCTTTTCTCATTTCTTCCTCCACACCACCCCCACTGTCCAACTTCTTATACTTCCATTAATTACGTTGACCCAACATATCACAAGTGAAAGAAATGTCTCACTCGGATGTACACAAGCACTGTATGTTGAACGAGAATGCCAATTGCTTTAAATATTCATACTAACCATTCCACCTTGCGTATAGTGATATATTGCACCTTGACCATCAACTCAACCACCTTATACACCTATGAAAACCACCAACTCACATCCCATTTCCCTCGTACAAACTGCTCAGAGATTGTGTCGCAAGAATTGGGGTTGATAAATTCCTCAAAAACTCTTGTCGGCTCAATCCCAGTATCAACAAACACAGCCACAAAGTTGTCTCTTTACTTTATGAAGAAGTACATGAACAACGAGGGGAGTAGGGATTTGGTGACGATTGTTTCCATTGCTCACAATGACGTCAACAAGACGTTTATTTTGGTGGTGTTGAAGAACATTATGGATAGGTATATTGATTTTAGGAACCGACAACATGACCAAAATGATCCCGCTTCGAAAGCTAAACCGGGAGAGTTCAAACTATACATGAAACAGATAATCAAACACGAAGAGCTGAGCTATGATGTGAATCGCCAGAGTTACAATTACGGATCAACTAACGAGTCCAATGACAACAATTCTTCAAATCAAATAGGACCTAATCAGTTGTTACTAGCTAACGAGGAAGTTGGCGAGGTTAGACAGCTTATGTTGGATAACATTACCAAACTATTGAGTCGAGGAGATAAGCTAAATTCTTTGGTGGACCAAACAGATCGACTCAACACATCTTCTCTGATGTTTCTGAAAAAGGCAAAGCAGATAAAAAGACGTATGTGGTTTCACAGAACAAAGTTCATTCTCTCTGCAGTTGGTGGGTTGTTAGTGCTACTTTATTTGTTTATTGCCAGTCAGTGCGGCTTCCCTTTGTTTAACCAGTGTATAAGTTAGAGCTCGCAATAAAGTGGGATATCTATCTCCCTATTCTACATCCTCGTCTTCTTCCTCATCATCATGACTTTGCCTAGCTTCCTCAATGTCCTCTCCACGCAATTCCTGTTCTTCTTTAGCAAGCTGCGATATAGGATTTGTTGCATCGTTCTCCTCACCATCCAGCCCATCTTCGATCTCATCGCTCAGCCCTTCCCTACCTACTTTATCTCCAGCATCCTCCTCCTCCTCTTCTTCTTCTTCTTCTTCGTCATCATTGTCACCATCATCCTCTGTATCACTTGCAACGACTTTATGTGAGGCAATCCCACCACTCGAACTCTCCACCTTTGCCTTCTTCTGCACACCTTCCTCCTCTTGGACCGAGCTCTTTGTCTCCAACTTCTTTTGTTTTTTTGCTTTTGCTGACAACTCAAATTCCCCTAATCGTTCCTTAACCTCCGGGAGAAATCCAGCAAACTCAGCTCGTTCCAAAGCCATCATTATATCTTGAGCAGTAACCGTTTTTCTCCCAGTTGCTTTCGACACCAGTTTTGCATGAAATAGCATATAGCTCACAAACACAGTTGCCGATCTTTGCAATGCTAATAGCGAGTCCTTAGCTAAATTCATATTATTATGGTTATCTTCATCTGAGGTGATTGATCGCGCCAACTTCAGAATTGTTGATTTAGGAAACAAAATGTCGTCTATTGATACTATATCAGTCTCCCTGAAAGGCTGCTCACTTGGATCTGCATTCTTTTTCCATCCCTTTGGTGGCATATTTGTTCTCTTTAAAGTATGTTTTTGCTGTGGGGAGTTGGTGTGGGAATTCAATACGCGTCCTGATATTGTTCTCAGTGCATTCAAAATTTTCCACATTTTTTTCCCTTTATTCCCTTTTTTCCTTTTATTTTTTTTTTTTTGGGTTGATCGCGGAGAGTACGTGGGTGGGAGGGGGAGTATACACACACCAACTCGGTATCTTGGCCTGCACAATTGGATGCTGTTAACCATTCCTGCCATAACACAAGATCAGAATAAAAAGAAGTCATCTTCTTCCAAGAGCACATCTTACTATGGGCGACTAGATAAACCAAACATAGGTAAAGTGACATTTGGCCAATACGAGTTTGAGCCTTGGTATGGCAACCCTGCTTACTTCCATCCATACGAAGGTGTACCGAACATGTTGGGGTACGAATATGTTAATATGAAATCCAGAGATCCAATTGCTCGAAAACGACTAAAATCATATTCTGCAGAGGACTGTTTTGTTGACCACCTATACGTTTGTGAATATTGCTTTAAGTATACTGCCAACGAGAATGAGATGTTGGAACACTGGGAAGTGTGCAGCTTCCATAGGGAGAATCCCAATATTGGCACCTCAGTGTACTACGATCGCAAAAAGAACCATATAATTCGAGAAGTTAAAGGGTACGAGGATCCACTATTTTGTCAAAACTTGTGTCTATTTGGAAAGTTATTTCTCGATGACAAATCGGTATACTTCAACATTGACCATTTCAATTTTTACGTCTTTTACGCCAAAGATAAAGGGGAAACAGACTATATACCAATGGGATTCTTTTCAAAAGAGATGATTGCTTATGATCCCAGCACCAATTTGGCCTGCATTTGCGTGTTCCCTCCGTTCCAGCGAAGGCACATTGGCGCCATGCTCATCGAATTTCTGTACGCAATTGCTTCGTTGACGCAAGAGAGCAGCGGACCTGAGATTCCCCTATCACCATACGGTAAGGTGAGCTATCTAAGTTACTGGGCAAAAAATTTAGCAAAGGAGTTGACGCAAAGACGATTGAAAAAGTTTACGTTTGAGGAGTTGTCCAGAGCAACAGGCTATCGAAAGGAAGACATCTTGTTTACATTGGAACATATGGAAGTTTTGGAAGTGGACTCCAACGGAGAAGTATCATTTTCTAGTGAAAGATTTCAACATTGGATGATAACCACCAATTTTGACGCCAACAAACAACACCCACTACTCGATACGGGCTCTTTCAATTTGTAAAAAAAAAAAAAATAATGTAGTACTATGATAACAAAAGAAAAAAAAAAAGTTCTAATGAACATCTATTTAACGTATTTGCAGAAAAGCTCCCAATAATACCGATGACGGCGAGTCATTGCTCTTGTTTTTTTCAAAAACATTCCAGAATCGTAATGTTTCATCACCAGCACCAGTGACAATAGTTTCACCATCGGGTGAAAGTGACAAATACAAGACACGGTACGTGTGTCCCGTTAATTGGGCAATTTGCTGCATCGAGGGATATTTCCAAACAATAATTTGATTTCGTGAATATCCATGCGTGGAAACAATCTCATTTGAGTTTTTGGACCAGATTAAGTTACAAACTTGGGATCCCGTATCAACGTCGTGAATCATGTTGCCAGTCAAGGTATTCCATGTCTTGATGGTTTTGTCAGCGGTTCCTCCTCCCGAAGCCAAAATACCTCTTTGATGCGGCGACCAAGCTATGGCCTTGACTGCCGCGGAATGCTCAGTAAATTGATACAAGGGTTTAGTATTCAAGCCATCCCACACAAACAACTTGTTGTCATTTCCACCACTAGCCAATTTATTCTCATCAACATTCCATTTAAGTCCACATATTTCTTGCCTGTGACTTTCAAATTTATTAACAAAATGGTCCTCAATACGAACATCACGATTCAATATAGTTCGATCGCGAGACCCACTTGATAAAATGTGTTCATTCCAAGCTAAAGAGCTCACCCGCAAGGAATGGCCCGTCATTGTCCTAATACATTTGATTTTAGTTGCATCCCAGATTTCAACCAAGCCTTTCGAAGTTCCAATTGCTAGATGAGTACCAGTACCTATCCAGTTCAAACTTGTCACCTTGTCCTTGTTTGACAAATTGCACAATCGATCAACTGACTGTGTTGATCCGTCCCACAAGTAAACGCTATCGCCCAATCCGACAGCTAGCACATCCTGTTGTCCCCAATCCACCAAGTTCAAGTAAAAGTCATCAGAGAGTTCAGGCGCATCGAGCACACGATACGGGACTTTTGCAATAGCACGCGCCTTCTTTTGAGGCGATAAGAGAAACTTTTGCGATTCTTGTCGAACTGGCGACAACGAGTAAAGCTCCTGTTGTAAATCCCTCGACACTGGTCTTGACTTCTTCGGTGACTGGTACGTGAATAAATTTGTTTTCCGACGCGGCGTGGACAATACATCGTCGGAGTCAAAAGTGGATATTGAGCTCGAATTCGCTAGCTGACTGGTTGATGAAGTGGCCGACATTGGTAGATGAGGTAATGAGCCGGATGATCTAGGTGGTGTTCCTGATGTCGATATGCTAGACCCTGCACCAGTACTTCCGGGTCGCTGTGCAGATGTCTTTGCTCTGTTATTGCTTCCATTGATTGCTGTTGACTGACTTGTCAAATCAGCCGTGGCCATTGGAACATTATCTCCAAACAACTCCGCTTTTAAAACAGTTGTAAAAGTCCGATTGGCCTCCTCTTCCTTTCTAATTTCAATCTCGTTGTCTGCGTTCCGATTACTTCGTATATCCGGTAGTACATCTTCATTTGTCAAACTAAAGGCGGCTTGTAAATCCACTCCCGTGCGGTTCGGTATATATCGGTCACTGAAAATGGTATTCTGGTTTCTCCGCCTCGACGGCGATGAAGACAGCATAGGATCATTTGGTTTCAAAGGATCAACACTCCTAGTTGACCTCGATGGCGACTTCGGAGTCTCATATGACTGTAGGCTACCTCGCGAATGCTTCGAGAAGTTATTGTTGTGGCTCATCATCTAATGACTGATAAGTGGAAGTATGCAGTCAGTTGTGGTTAAGTTAGCGGTAATTAATGAGGTTTCACAAAATATTGCGAAGGACAAGAAATGAGGTCGTATAAGCTGATGCAATGAATAGGGAAGACAGGATACGTGTTGTTATCTCAATCGTTTGAGCTTTGCTTGAAAGTGAGCTTTTTTTTTGTTAATGTTTCCTTGAAAAGATAAAATCCTGCATATAACATTCGATAATAGTGGTAGCGCATGGTAAAGGCGGGCGCCATAGAGTTAGTTGCCCTTAGATATAGATTGACTACGTTCACCAGATGATTACATGAAGTAGTCACAAATGGGGGAAGGAATTATACCGCTCGAAATCCAAACTCCAACTCTGATTCTTTCATTCTTTGCAGAATAATTTTTGTGTGGCATAATGTAGAAAATAAAAAAAAAAACCGCCACAATTGCAAGCAGAATATAGTCTAAGTCGTAACTCGAAATAGAGACTGTAGCTCTTTCAAAAATTGAGTAGGTGAGCTACTCAACCATGGCCAAGAGCAAGTTGGAACTTAAACAAACTTTCTTCACACTACGGAACTAGATTGCAACTTGTTAGCGATTGTTCCAACGCCACCGAAACCTCTCCCCCAGTCTCTTGTTTCAACTTTACTAAAACGCTTTCCCGGGTTTACTGTTTCAACGTCAAAAACCAACTAGCCTTTGTAGAAGTGTAACAAAATTTTACCGAGTTGTACTTGCATTGATATAGATTGTCGTATCCCAATATGGAAGTTTTTGCGAAACGAAAGTTTAAAAGTTCTCGACGTGGTTTGGGTTTAACTGGGTGCAAAAAAAAAACAAAAAAAAAAAAAGAAAAAAGCGCATGGTAAAGAAAAACATTGGCAAAGAATTCTTTGTGAATCACAATGACTTGAAATCTTGTTTCCAAGTGAGGTTCTTTTGAATAGGGATGGAGGAGCTACGTGTATATAAAGCATCATGTCTGGCTATTTTGTTATTTGCAACCCGTCTATTCATTATTTTCGTTTTTATTTTTATTTTTTTTTCACGACTTTATTGCAGAAAATCCCTCCATTTCCATGCTTCAATTATTAGCAATTGTCATTGTACTGATTGCCGTTGCATCATCAGAGGCAGCCAGTTACAAGTTCAGTCTCAGAGAGTCAGAGGGACTATACTATATTCAAGATTTCTTTCTCGGTACACCACCACAAGAACTACACCAGATTCTCATTGACACAGGCTCATCTGATCTTATAGTGCTTCAATCCGGCTTCAACTATAGAGAGTCCTCATCATTTATCAACACCACAAATGAGTTTACTGGATTGTATGGGTCTATTGGTCTATTTGGAATGGTGCAAGCTTTTGAAGTGGTGACTTCACCAAATGGCTTGGTGTTGCAGAATGAGACGTTTGGTTTAGCTGATGCTGATGTTGTGCCTGCTGAGTTTAATGGAGAAAATGGAATATTGGGACTTGCATACACTAGGACTGAGTTTATTAGACCAACATATAACCATTTCACCTATTTGCTCAAGGACGAGGGCAAGATTGACAGAGTATTATTTGCAATCAATGGTCAATCGAGTGATCCTTCAATTGTATTTGGTGGTATCCATGCAGGTATTTATGAGGAGCCATTGACCAGGGTTCCATTGTTACCAAGACCAGGCACCACTACAGACTTTTATGTACCAATGATCACTGTTGATGAAATCAAATTGGGTGATATTGTTATCTCGAATCAAATCAGTGCTTTTAGTGTTGATACTGGTGCAGATGTTTTTGTGCCACCAACTCCTGTATTGGCGAATTTATTCACTGCAATTGGAGCAGACAGGTTTGATGATGACGATGAAGGGTATACTTATTTCAATATCGACGATTTCAAGGATAAGGTATTGACACTTGATGTTCAGGGTTTAGAATTTACCATTGAACTAAACGATTTGATTCAAGATGAAAAAGTTGTCAATGGAACCACTTATGTTGCCATCCCTCAGTACTCGGTTGATATTGGAATAAATGCTGATGCGGGCACTTTACCTGGGTTTTTGCTTAAGGAATGGTACATGGTGTGGGATTATGACAATCATCAAATGTATTTCGCCAGGTACATGCCAAGTGGCGAACAGGTGGAGAGTATTGTTAATGTTGCAAGTGGTTACGAGTTGCCTGTGGGCACGAAAGATGCACCAGATCCAACAAATACTTATACCGCTGCATATCAAGCAAATTTGGAGACAACTATAACAGAAACAAATGCCGAGACTAGCTCTGCCTTGGGAAGTTCAGTTGAAACGTCGGGGTCGGACTCAGCCACTACATTGTCGGACACAAGTTCAAGTTTTGAGACGTCAGACATTGAATCAAGTGCTGGCTCTAGTAGCTCGTCTGATGCTCAGAGTACTACTGTTTCAGAATCCAGTTTAGAAACAAGCCTTATTGAACATGAAGCATTGGGGACAACCTTCTCTTATGAAAGTTCTACAACGGAAGTATATCATACAGAGATTACAGTCACAGAGTATGCACAAGTTTGTAGATCGGTTTGAAAGTTATCTTGATCCATTATACACTATATACTATATAATAATAAAAAAAAACGTAGTTCAAACACCATAGACTCTTGATTGTTTGCGTAAAGACCAGCTCTACCATAGAAACATCCCCCAAAAAGACTCCACTCGCTTATGTGCAACATTCTGCTCATCACGAGCAACAGAACCAAACGCGGAGTCATCATCAACCCAAAAAGTTGAGGAGGTCATCAACGGGCTCCTCATGCTGTTGATATTTGGAATTACTTTTGGAACTGCTTTCCATCGTTGGCATTTTGTATTCGTGTAATGAATCTTGCACACCTTTGGTGAAATCCTTCATTTCGTCAACCTTTTTGTCCATATTCATGTTGGACATGCTTGAAGATGATTTATCATCTTTTGCGTTTGGGTCGTAGTGAGGCATTGACTCATCAGTCAGAAAATTGTCTTCCAACCAGAAGGGGTCAGTATCAGTATGAAATTCTCTGTGTTTAGGCATTATTGAGTTAATTCTGTAGAAGAAGAAGAGATAGAAAGTAAGAGTTCTATAAGGAGCAAGGTGAGTGGGTGATGCGTCTCACATATATATATATATATATAGTAGTGTTTTTTGTAGGACGAGGGAGTGTTTACTCAATACGTGTGACCATCTCTCACACTCACTCCCCGCATTTTACACAAGCAGAAAAAAGAAAGGAAACACAAATATGAGTACGCCTTCGTCTTAAGGAGTAGGTGGAATGATGTTTTCCACTATGCTTTGGTGTTGTGACATAATTGTTGTAAATGCTTGCACCGGTTGGGGAAAGGAGAAAAAGGGGAATGTGTGTGTGACTGCACTGCACAGTGTTGAACATTTGACTGTGATGCCCATAATGCAAGAAATGATCAATGATCACGGTGGTGTGATTGATAATGGAAAACCGATTTATAACTTCTCATTATCTTTTGCTTTTTACATGTGTACATACACATCATGACCATGTCATGCAGCAATATCATGTGTTATGATCTTTATCCATTTGTCTCGCTTTCCTTTGTTGGTATGTAGATCGATTGCAAAAACTCTACTTGAGAGTGAACTTGGTAGCGCACGCTTCCAACCAATCAAACAAAATTAAAATTTCATTACACATACACCATACATACATACACACACAGTACAAATTTTTCCCTTTTTTTTTTCCCTTTTGGCTCGAGTTCCAAGAACACATCACTACAACATATACATCAGAATTCAACCAATATTCTTCAAAGTCAGGAGTCTATAGGGTTATACTAGTTTCAAGACAGTCATTCACTTTTTTCCAGTCAGCACGCACACCGTCTACTTTTGAAGTCTTTGTTTCTTTGTGTGCCATTTGCTTTTCAATTGCATCAGCACATTTGTCATATATATATATATATTTTCACATTCCAATGTTGTCCCGTATTATAAGAAATTCCTCAGTATCGAGTGTCTTCAACACCTCCAAGAGATACTCTTCTATCATTTCGGTCCACAGAGACACAAAAGAAGACAATACCAATCTACCATTTGAATTTACATCCGAAAACAAGAAGAGAGCCGATGAAATCATTGCCAAATACCCACCACAATACAAAAAGGGGGCCACAATGCCTCTTTTGGACCTTGGACAACGTCAATTGGGGTTCACTTCGATATCAGTCATGAACTATGTTGCAAAACTACTCGATATGCCACCAATGAGAGTCTATGAAGTAGCCACTTTCTACACCATGTACAATAGACACCCCATGGGTAAATACAATGTTCAAGTATGTACTACTACTCCGTGTCAGTTGTGTGGTAGTGACGGAATAATGGATGCTATAAAGGATTATCTTCAAGTCAAACCAGGCCAAACCACAGCTAATGGGTTATTCACTTTGCAAGAAGTTGAGTGCTTGGGTGCCTGTGTTAATGCTCCGATGATTGCCATCAATGACGATTACCATGAAGATTTAACACCAGGTGGCGTAGTTGATCTTTTGAGGAAGTTGGAAAATGGAGAGGAATTGAGTCAAATTGGGCCAGAGACTGGAAAAAGACAATCTTGTGAACCTTTTAGTGGCCAAAAAGTATTGTTGAGTAAAGAACCAAATGATATTAGGAAGTTTACTAGATCCGATTTGTGAACCGGTTAAAACAAACGTCAGCAACGATATACAATTAATAGATTTGATCGATCTGGACAAAAGGGAAAGAAGGCTGTAGTGGGAATCGTATGTAGGACAAACTCTTTTGACTACATGTTCATACCATTTGACGGGGTAGTTGGTAAATCACATATTGTAGTCTGTAAGGTATTCACGTGACTTTCCATCTGGATGATGCAATCGAGTCGTTTCTTTTTTTTTTTTTTTTCTACTTCTTTCTCTGTTCTTTATCCGCACTCACTCTCTGTTAAATATTATGACTAAATTGAAAGTAAAATATGTCAGAACTTTTTCCACAATAAATTTTCATTCAAACCAAAAATAACATTCATCTTTGATAAAGTTTGCTACAAAAAGGTGGATAACAAAGTATATATACCATTGATCAGATCTTGAGATACTAAACTGCTTCTTCCCACTTTACCAACATATCTATTCATACACACACACACACACACACACGCACACAAAAATAATGGCACCAAAAAAGAGTTATAGCCTTGAGACAGAGTTGGTTCTTGCCAAATCTAATGACCAACACAATGCATCGGTCCCACCATTGTACCAATCGGCCACTTTCAAGCAGCCATCGCTTTCCAACATGGGTGAATACGACTACACAAGATCGGGTAATCCAACAAGAACCCACTTGCAAAATCACATTGCCAAAATCATGAAGGCCAAACACGCATTCGCAGTCTCATCAGGTATGGGGTGCCTTGATGTGATTACAAGACTCTTGAACCCGGGCGATGAAGTTATTGCTGGTGATGATTTATACGGTGGAACGCAACGATTGTTGACTTATTTGAATAAAAAGGGCGATCTCATTGTCCATCATTATGATACAACCAATACAGAGTTGATAAAGTCGAAAATAACAAAGAGTACAAAGATGATCTTTTTGGAATCGCCTACAAACCCATTGATCAAAGTGGTGGATGTCAAGTCTATTACTGAGCATGCGCATAAAGTCAACCCTGATGTGATTGTGGTATTTGACAACACTATGATGTCACCAGTGTTGATGACTCCATTGGATCTCGGCGTAGACATACACTATGAATCAGCCACAAAATATCTCAATGGACATCACGATATCATGGCCGGTGTGTTGGCCACCAGATCGTCTGCATTAGCTGAGAGATTATACTATGTTATAAACTCTACCGGGTGTGGATTATCGCCATTTGATTGTTGGCTCTTAAGTCGAGGATTAAAGACATTAGCCATAAGGGTTGAAAGACAACAGGAAAATTGCATCAGGATTGCCAAGTTTTTGGAAAATGTTGGGTTTAAAGTAAGGTACCCTGGTTTGAAATCACACCCACAGTACGAATTACACAATTCCATGTGTTCGGGATACGGAGCAGTTTTGTCGTTTGAGACAGGGTCTATCAAACTAAGTGAGAAGATTGTTGAAAGTACAGATATTTTTGGCATTGCTGTATCCTTTGGATGTGTCAATTCCTTGATTTCAATGCCATGCAAAATGTCACATGCTTCGATCGATGCCAAGACTAGGGAAGAAAGAGAGTTTCCTGAAGACTTGATCAGATTGTGTATTGGAATTGAGAATGTCGATGACTTGATTGATGATTTGACTAAGGCGTTGTTGAAGAGTGGCGCTGTTAGGATTAACGATAAGGATGAGTTGTTTAATGCTATCCCTATTCAACCCAAATTATAGAGAAACGTGTACACATGTATAACAGAATCTGGTAATTGAATAAACTTTTTGCCAAGGTGAAGATTTTAACTAGTGTAGAGTAAATCTCTCATACAAACCATCTCCTCTTCTGTAAGGGCGTTGTTTCCTTTGAGATACGCGCTCAATACAAAATTGAAAAAAGAACAAAACAACTTTGCAAAAAGAAAAAACAAATAAAAAGGGAGAGACACACGCGTACTCATTCATTAACACGCTTCTTTTACAACTGATTATTCTATCAAACAAGGATGACATCGTTCCCATTAACTACTGGCGCCTTGAAGAAGGCCTTTTCAAAAGATGGCCATGACAAAGTTAAATGTCCTTTGATTTTCCAAGTAACTAATTTGAAATCGGTCAACACCATGAACAATCTGAAAAAATATCGTATTTTACTATCTGATGGCGTTTACTCCACCCAGGGAATTATTGAAGAGAAATGCACTCCATACTTGGAGAACAACAACTGGAGCAGGTACTGTACCATCCAAGTAAACGCATTCCGCACCTTGGCTACTGCTAAACATTTTTTGATTATTGAAGATGTTGAGATTTTGTCACCTACCGGAGAGAAACCAACCACGCCATTGATCAATGTTGATACTTATTTTGCTGAGCATCCAGAGGAAGCGGCATTGTCTATTACGAAGAAGCAAAACTCACTGGATGATAAGGAACAAACACCTGGCGCAGGTACTCCTCCGGTTGCACAATCTACTGCATCAGCAGCATCAGCAGTCAAGCAACAACAGTATCCTCCACTGAAAGCTGGTCAGCCTGCACCAAGAATTTCGCCCATCGAGACTATCTCTCCATATCAAAATACATGGACTATCAAAGCGAGGGTGTCATACAAGGGTGAACTCAGATCCTGGTCTAATGCAAAAGGTGAAGGAAAAGTGTTTAGTGTTAACTTTTTGGATGAATCAGATGAGATCAAGGCTTCGGCATTCAACGAATCGGCCGAAAGAGCTTACAATTTGCTTGAAGAAGGTAAAGTGTACTACATTTCCAAGGCCAAAGTGGGAGCAGCAAGAAAGAAGTTCAACAACTTGACCCATCCATATGAATTGACTTTGGAAAAGGATACTGAAATTTCCGAATGTTTTGATGAGTCGGACGTGCCTAAATTGAACTTTAATTTTGTCAAGTTGGACAAGATCCAAAACTTGGAACCTAATGCCATCATTGATGTGTTGGGAGCTTTGAAAGTTGTTAATCCACCTTTCCAAATCACAGCAAAATCCACTGGGAAAGCTTTCGATAGGAGAGATATTACTATTGTTGATGAGACAGGGTTTGCGGTTGACGTTGGTCTTTGGAACAACACTGCCGTTGACTTTAGCATTGAAGAAGGCACTGTTATTGCATTCAAAGCATGCAAAGTGTCTGATTTCAATGGTAGATCGTTGAGTTTGACTCAAGCTGGATCAATAGTGCCCAATCCAGGAACTCCAGAAAGTTATCAATTGAAAGGCTGGTTTGACAATATCGGAACCAAGGAGAATTTCAAGTCAATGAAGACAGAGACGAATGCTACATCGTCTATTGACAGATTAGCCAATCGTAAAACCATTGCTGAGGTTGAAGAAGAGTCAAACAACATGAGTGGCGAGAACCTGGGCTATTTCACAGTCAAGGCATCTTTCTCATACACAAGGCCGGAAAATTTCGCCTATGCTGCTTGTACCAATATCATTTCCAACAACACTGACTCTTCCAAGCCTGGATTACCATGTAACAAGAAACTTGTTCAAGTCAATGACCAATGGAGATGTGAACGATGCGATTTGAACTACGACGAACCAACATACCGTTACATCCTATACATATCAATCACCGATGCAACAGGACAGTTGTGGACTACATTATTTGACGAGCAAGCCAAGAGATTATTAGGAGTAGATGCCAATGAGTTGATGAAAAAGTCACACGAGAAGATGCTCGTTGCGGAGTATATATCAAGAGCGTATTTCAAGGAATACAATTTCAGACTTAGAGCCAAGCAAGACACGTTTAATGATCAGTTGAAACTTAGGTATCAGTGTGTTGGATTGAGTGAAATTGACTTTAATGCGGAATGTGACTTTTTGTGCTCAGAGTTGGATTCCATGTTGGCGTAAGTTTTGGTGGGGGGTGCTGGGTGCTGGATGTTGTTACGTACGCACATGTGTGTGTGTGTTTCTGTCTGTGTTAAATGTGTAGTTCTTTAATATTTTTGTATAAGCTTGTGTTTTTGATCGAGATGTTAGTGTACGTGATTGAGAGACTCTACTTGTGGTTATTCAAGAATCAGTAACGTGCTCAACTACGTTTATTGAACCATTTAAATAGATACATAAAAATGGTGACAGTGATATTGGAGCTGTTCTAGACGACGAGGACTTGAATTACAACGATTAGAAATAACAGATATTGATGCTATTTCTGATGATACATACGTTAGTATGGGGCAAACCCTCAAAAGAGGAGGGGGGAATCCCTACCCTATCTATATTTTTGTCCAGATAGAGCTTCCAACTTCCTCGGAATAACTTAGAGAACTTTCGGCACCTTTTCTGCACATGCTAGGTCTATCTTTGTAGACACTAGGTTTGCCCCCGCATTAAGATACAACATATTCATATCGCATTTCTATATTGTCCTACTTTGCATGTGCTCAAATTATTCAAGGACATTGTATTCTTTTTGCGGCCATATGTAGATGTTATATTCTTATTTTTGTAACATTTCATGGTAAACAAAAGGTGGTGGCAATCTGCTCAACCTTCAAGAAAAAAGGAATCTTTATCATCAAGATTCGTCTATTTACCCCCAACCTCTCGCCCCTTTCACTGTCTATGTAATTATTGTTTATTTACAAGTGTTTCTTCCTTTACACACTCAATCCCCATATGGCTAACCAGAAATCTTTTAATACATTATGAGCCATTCTTTGACCTCTAGTGAGCATCAACTTATTGACAAATTGGCGTTTCGCATCATGATCCAACTTGTCTTTTCCCAAGGAGGCGTTGTCAACGACGTATAAAAGCCATTTCTTGACCTCCAATGGGTATTTGTTAATGAGGTACCTGAATAAAGGATAATAATAATCCAATGAAGACCTTGGAGATGCAACGAAGGCAGTTAGCAACTGGTTAGTGAGTTGGAAACCTAGGCAGGTACCATTTTGTTCTGTGGTCATCCAATGTCTTACAACTTCCTGATCTTGCTGGACTCCTTTCTTTGTTGTGATTAGCGCATTCCAAAACTTGACCGTTGATCGAACAATGGGGACTTCGTGCTTGGCAAAAGCACCTAACGCAAAGGGGAATGTAAACTCTGCCAAAATTGGGGTATACAAGATCAATGCCGGTTTGGTGTCAACAATGGCTGCAAATACATCCAATGTCGACTTTATCAAATCCTCATCTGCTTCAATTACAGATCGAATATCCACAAAAGCCTTGAATAACAAGGTCTCAAACTGGGCTTGATCGATCTCTCTTGCATGAGTCAACACCACACTTGTAATCAATTGATGAAGATAGTCAATTGAGCGTGAAGTTGAAACTTGCAATTTGGCAAGAATGTACTGAAAAATCAACTCCAAATCAAATGTAAATGGTCCAAGAATAGGCTCATTGAATCCACTTTTGATAATGCTACAGCATTTCTCAGTTACCACAGTCTTTTCCGCTAGCAACGGAGAGTCAAGGGAGAATGCTCTCAAATTTTGCAAAATCGAATCTCTAATATGCAAGGGATCCGCGCTCCAATATGCCTTGGTTTGTTGAAGTTGATCATCAGTAAAGTATTCTTCAATCTCCTCAGGGCAGGCACACGCTTTCCCAATTTCATCAATGCAAGCCACTAAACTGACTGCGTAATCTCCCATTGATTCATCATCAATCCTTGCCCGTTGTTGGTCAATTACTTGTAATATTGCAAGTATTTTATCACCCAAGTCCGATGCAATTTTTCTTGACCGGACTATTGAAATGTATGAATTCGTTATCCTCTCTCGTATGACATTATCAATGGCGGGGTTTTGCAACATCTCAACTAATACCAACTCTAATTGCGGCAAGAATGGAATAAGATTTTCCTCGGCATCTTGACAAACACGGTAGACGGTGCGAGACGCTATAAGCGGCAAGTTACCGGTTTTTCTAGTTGTGATTACCCTAAACAAAAAGTCAAAACTTGGTGCTAGATATTGACTTCCTGCTTTGGACTTGTAAAAAAATGGCAACACTGAGATGAAATTCAATAAGCTTGTGGTGATGAACTCGGAATCAAGATGGCTCTCCACCAACCCAATTATATTTTTTTCGAACAATTTGGTAATTTCATGTATTAATGGATGCGTATTGGAGTTTTCATCAGCATCAGCCTCATCATCAAAGAACTGAACATCAACAGTGATCTTGTGTAGTAGGTACAAGGCAGCTTCGCTTTGAGCCATACTGGTTCCAACAGTATCGCATAAAGTTGCGTAGATGGGAACACCCAAGACTGAGTAAAACACAATGAACAAATCTGCAACCAAAACCCTATAACGAGAAAACTCTTGAGATACAGCATCGGTAGATTTCTGAATTTTTTGGAAATAAGAAACAGCCACTTCCATCAAAATCTCGTTGCTCTTTTTTTTGTTCTCAGCCACAAGAGTTGGGAAAGCCTCCTTTAACACGTCGGCATCGTCGATTAGAGTGTTGGAAAACTCGTCCCAAAAAGATATCAATTGAAAGCTGATGTTTTCTTCAACAATTGGCTGACCAGGTGCATTGGTCAAAGCGATTACCGTTTGTATGATCCTTGCAGTATCTGGGTGCAAAATATTTCGTGTAAGTTGAATGATGTTCAACTCAAGGTAGTTAATGACCAAATTGATGTAATTATCAACCTCCAAGCGGTACGTCTCCATCAAATCTTTATCTGCAAAAATTGTATTTAGCATTTGCATTCCAAACTTTTCACTGCCAAAAAAGATATCCATCAAGGTAGCTTTAAATGGATTCAATGCTCTTGCAATGTGATCTACAAATTCTGCCAATACCGAGAATGTTTTGTTGTATAGCTCCATTTTGTCAATATCAAAGTCCGCATCCAATTGCTTTAGGATGAGGGTTAGGAACGGATCCAAGTCGTCAGCATACCTCACTTCTGAGCGAGCCTCTGCGGTTGATGCGTAAACAACCCACGAATTTAAACACTCAAGTAGAAGAAGTACAAATTCTTCCGGTAATTGGGAATATTGTTGCTGCAAGTACTCAAGAACAGTCTGTAAATGTTTAAAAATTGTCTTATAAATCGCTGACTGTAATTCCGGAACCGAGGATGGAATCTTGACCACCTCTTCCACAATGGTCGATAAAAGATATAAAAGGAGCTCCAACTGTTTTGAATCTTGCAAATTGGTTACATATTCAGCAACTGAACTGGCTCCTGGTAGCAATGCTTTGATATACACCAACACGGGATCAAAATGTTGAAAGTTTTGTATATATATCAACGACAAACAGCTCAATAACTTCCTGATAATAAATAAGTTTGCGTTATAGTTTTCATTGGATAGCTTTTCAATGACTAATACAATTTGTTGAAAAGTTGTTTCATAATTTTTACAACCGAACGTGTTGAGATAAACAGTAATGGTTAGTGCACCAAAGTACTTTACGGTACTGTGGGGATGCTGTAGTAGCTCTAGCCCTAGCTCGTCACCATGTTCACTTTTCTGGTATGTTTGTAATTTGTCTTGAAGGTGATGTATTTGATCAGCATCTTGAGTAGTGTAAAGAAGCTCTATGTCCTGAAAAAAATAAATGGTTAGTTCATCTGTATAGAGTTGCGAGGTTGTCATTTACTCACCTTGACGAAATCATTCAAGTCCAATTGACTCGTCATGTGTTATGTAGCTTTGTTCAACTATTGAATTGATTTCTTGTCTGGTTGCCAAAAATACTGATGGAAGAAATTATTTTGATGAGGGAAAAAGATTGAATCCTTGACTTCCGTATTGGGAAAGTAGCGGAAATCCTCTCTGTGCAGTGCTCACAGTGTGATTACGTAAGAGGGAGAAAAAAAAAAAACGCCATCGATCTATGAGGCTCTGCATTTTCGCTAAATTTTACCTCTTGAAAGATTGTTTTTTTCAATTTTTTTTTTAGGTGTCTATGCGCTCGTCATCTTTATCTTGAACATCAGTTGTTTTTTATTTTTTACCATGAGTATGACGTGTACTGCATATAGATCTATTGCAATCAGACAGACAAAAATAAAAAAAAAAATAAAATTAAAAGACAAAGAGAATGGCACAATGCAAAGAACACCAGCAAAAAAATTGCACAACTGCTTTGGACGTATTTCTCTTACATTTACTTCATCTTCTAGCAACAAGTTGATCTTATACTAGATAACCTGAGATGTCGAGAGTAGCTAGAGCTCATTGTGCGAACTGTACATGTTCACCAGGCTTATTATCAAGGACCAATAAAAAGTCCGTGTCGTTTGCCAAAAGAATCAATCTCAATAGACTCAACAGCGGTGGCAGCGTTAAAGATGGCCAATCTCAATCGAGAAAAGGTTCTGTTTTCACTTTAGACCCAACCTTATGTTTACCTGAAACTAAGGAGGTGAACACCACCCAACGATTGGAGAGATTAAGACAAGAAATGAAGAAACGAGACTTGGGTGTTTACATCGTTCCCAGTGAAGACCAACATCAGTCTGAATACACTTCTGCTTACGACCAAAAGAGGAGCTTTATCAGTGGGTTCAGTGGAAGTGCTGGTGTTGCCATTGTCACCAGAGATTTGAATAGTGTCGGTGGAGACGACTTTACCCAAGGTAGTGCTGCATTATCAACCGATGGTCGTTATTTCACACAAGCACTTGACGAATTGGACTTTAATTGGATTTTGTTGAAACAGGGGGCCAAAGGTGAACCTACTTGGGAAGAGTGGACCGCACAACAAGCCGCCCAGTTGAGCTTGGATAGTGGATCCAAGGTGAAAATTGGAGTTGATCCAAAATTATGGAGTTACAAGCAATACCAGAAATTCAAAACCGATGTCGAAAAACAGTTGACAAAGACGCCAAAGGCACAAATTGAAATCACTCCTGTGGCTGACAATTTGATAAATAAGATTTGGGAAGACTTCGAACCTTTGCCTCCATCAACTCTTGGTGAAATAAAACATTTGGACTTGAGTTTTACTGGTAAAGAAGCAGGTGAAAAAATAAAGCAAATCAGAGATGAAGTTTTCAAAGATGACGTTGAAGGGATGGTCATTACTGCTTTGGATGAAATTGCTTGGTTGTTGAATTTGCGTGGTCTGGATATCGAATATAACCCTGTTTTTTACAGTTTTGTTATTCTTACAAAGTCCCAACTAAAATTGTTTGTTGGCGAGAATAGACTTTCTTCACAAATTATTGAAGACTTGGAGAAAATCGGTGTCACTATTCATGCATACGACAAGTTCTATTCATCGTTGAGTTCCCTTTCAAAGGAAATTGCCGTTGACGACAAGAAAATTTTTGTACCGAATAATGCCAATTGGGAAGTGGTGAGAAGCTTGCAGTGCTCATTCAAGGAAGGATTATCGGCCGTTGAGTTGCAAAAGTCTATCAAAAACGAGACAGAATTGAAAGGAGCCGAAATTGCTCATTTGAAAGATGGTAGGGCCTTGATCAAGTTTTTCGCATGGTTGGAAAATGAGCTTTCGAAAAAGGGAGAGATGATTGATGAAGTTGAGGCTGATGAGAAGTTGACGGAGTTTAGGCTGCAAGAGGACAACTTTGTTGGGTTGTCGTTTGACACTATTAGTGCAACTGGAGGTAATGGTGCTGTGATACATTACAAGCCTACAAAGGGAGCATGCTCAGTCATCAATCCAGAAAAGATTTATCTCAATGACTCAGGTTCTCAATTTTTGGAAGGAACTACCGATACCACCAGAACCGTTCATTTCGGCACTCCAAGCAGAGAAGAGATTAGAAATTACACACTAGTGTTGAAGGGTAATATCGCATTATCTACATTGAAATTCCCTGAAGGAACAACAGGTAATCTTATTGACTCCATCGCAAGACAATTTCTTTGGCAGTATGGGTTGGATTATGGACATGGAACATCACACGGAATTGGTGCTTACTTGAATGTGCACGAGGGGCCAATTGGAATTGGTCCTCGTCCGAATGCTGCTGCTCATCCATTGCAACTGGGTAATTTGATTTCGAACGAACCTGGATTCTATAAGGAAGGCGATTACGGAATTAGAATTGAGAATGTCATGTACATCAAGCCAAGTCAGTACAGTTTTGCAGGGAAGAAATTCTTGGAGTTTGAAACGGTCACAAAAGTTCCTTTTTGCAGGAAATTGATTGATGCATGCATGTTGACTGAAAAGGAACTTAGATGGGTTAACAAATATCATGCAAGCATTTGGAGAGAATTGAATGGCAGTCTTGACAAGAACAGTCTTACTTACAAGTGGTTAAAGAGGGAAACTGAGCCTATTGCTTCATGATTGAGCGGAGAAGAAGAGGCTCAAGAATCTTACACCTTTATGTACAATGATTTCAATGCTTACTTTCTATGAACAAACGATATGCTTAATCACTCTTCGAAAAGTATCTGTATCTCCTCAATTCTCCTTCTCCTTCTTTCCTCTTCCTCAACACCAACAGCCTCACCAATTTGCTTCTTTCGTTCCTGAATCTTGAGCATTTTCGTCTCAATGCTATTCTCCATTATGAATCGAACAACTTTAACAGTCTCATTCTGACCAATTCGATGAATTCTGTCAATCGCCTGATCTTCAATACTGGGGCTCCACCAGGGATCCATCATGAATGCTCTTGATGCCGTTGTCAAATTCAAACCAACACCACCAGCTTTCAAACTCAACAATAAAATGGCAATTTTCCCATTCGTCAAGGGGCAATTAAACTGATTGAGCAACTTGCCTCGATCATTCATATTCAACCTTCCATCAAATTTGTAAACGATGAAATCATCACTGGCTAACTTCAACTCCACTTCCAATATATCCAAGTACGAAGCAAATTGGGAAAACACAATCACTTTCAGATTCGGCTCATTGGTTTGAATCTGCTTCAAGTGTTTGATAAGAGCTTGGATTTTGGAGCTTGTTCGATTGGGATCGTGTAAATAGATTTGAAAATCGTAATCGTGTTGATGATCTCGATTTTGCGTATGGAAGCGAATTTCATTACTTGTGGTTTTCTGATTTCGAATTCGAAACAACTTGTACTTGGATATGGGTTCTCGACAATTGGGACATAATTTGTCACGTTTCAAATCCAGTTGGAAATCCAAATGTTCCAAAATGCACGAGTAGCAGAATGTGTGTCCGCATGGCGTGATTGTGAGCTCATTGGTTGGAATTGGTGATGTTGTGCATATTGAACACTCATTTTCCGGTGTAACGCAATCATACAACTTGTAGATGGTTTGCTTCACTTCGGTATCATTGGCGAATTTGCCAGTTTGATCCTTGATTGACTTGAGAAATGTTTTCATCTCTTCATCGACTTCTAAATCGATGACATCATCATCCATTTCATGAGCACCTCCAATTAGATCCACATGACAGCAAACTTGCCTCAATCGTAAAATATGGGTCAAGATTTGGGTATATTGCCGCATCAATTGTCCCGTCTTGACCCCTTCGGCAAAAGATTCAAATGCCCTTGACTTAAACCAATTGTAAAGTTTTGCTTCTTGATCATTAAATCTGATTTCTTCAATCACAACCTCCTTCTCGGGAAGCTCCACCAATGGTTTGCCATTTTTCTTTTGATTTTTGGTTCTTCGCAAAAAGATTGGTTCCAAAATAGACTTGATGACATCCAACGTTTGCGATATCTTCTTTTGTTCAAAGGGCAACGTTACAAATGTTTTCCAGTAGGAAAAATTGTTCCATGGATCCAACTCCAAAAATTTGGTCAACGAATACAAGTCATCCAATCGGTTCACAATTGGAGTACCAGTAAGAACCCATTTCCGATTCAGCAGTAGCTCATAAACAGATTTTGCCGTCTTGGTGTTCCTATTACGGATATTGTGTCCTTCATCAAGAATAATTCGAAAAAATTTCACCGAGTAAAGCCCTAATTTCGGAAGTTCTCCTTTCGAATTCCGGTTTTTGGAGATTCTCGTATACTCATTCAAAACAGTTCCATAAGTGGTGATGACAACTATGGGGATTTTGGAATTTGGCTTCAAATGGCAAAGAGACAAGGACAAGTCATTTTCAGTCTCGTCTCCATAATATAATCGACAAATATGTGCATCATTGTTGTTTGCCTTTTCAAACTCTTCCTTCCATTGTGTAAGCAAGGACATGGGCATCACAATCAAGGTTGTTTTTGACGCGTAACGGTTCTCCACATCATGCGCCTTATCGTAAGGCACGGAGTTTATCAACGCCAATGTCGCGATGGTCTTACCCAACCCCATTTCATCGGCAAGGATGCCTCCTTGTAAACTTGTTTTGATTATAGGCTTTTCCAATGACAACTCACCGTTATACAAGTTAGCATAAAAGTAATTGTCTTGAGTCTGTGAGTGGGCTTGTGTAGAATTATTGCCACTTTGCGACAAACTGCCATCATTAGGCCACCTATATTTTCTCCAAAGAGGATTCATTGTACCTGCATCTTCTATATTTTTCCTTGTTTCCAGAGGCAACATATCTTGCCCCAAACACAGTTGCAAGACATCGACTTCTTTCTCTCTCGCTAACATCCAAGAAAGTCCATGTTTTTGATACTCTCTTAATGACAAACTGAAGTTTTCCTTAGGTGGCTCCGTAGTTTCAGGTAAACTCTCCAATAACTTTGATTGATTATTTGCTTGATAAAATTGTCTCAACTGATCAAGGTTCACTCCGTCAGCAACCTCTTCAACCTCAGAACCAGTGATTTCAACCGACTGGGCAGAGGAAGTGACATCATCTTCTCTATTATCGTTGTTCAACTTTAGCGGCTTTAGCTTCAACCTCTCAAACAAACTCGATACACCCGCCTGTCGTAATCTCATTGATGCTTCCCCTTCGCTTTCTGTTGCGAAATTGAAGTTTGGCCCTCTTTTCGAACTAGGATGCTCCATTGCTAAATCAATGTTTTTCACAAACCCTGTGCTTTTCAAGTAAATCGTGACTTGAATAAAGAATGAATCTCCCGTAGATAACCGACGCTTTGTTGTTTCCAATACAGTGACATCGAAATCAGCAATATTCTGATCAATCAAGGGACTGAAAATCCTGGTTAAATCCTCCGGGAGCCTTCCGATCTCTCTGTCATTGAGACACAATCGTATGATGGAACTCTTTTGAGCTGTTGAAGTTCGAGGAACTAATCTTTTCACCACAAGCACATCTTGGTACTTGAGGGGCTTCATTGTGGGTCTTGTTGCCCAAGCTTGAACTTCCAAAGTGCCAATATATTTACGCCACGAGTCAGATTCCATTTCAACACCACCATCTTCTTGTTCAGGATGTTGCCTCTTGCGCAATTGTCCAAACTCAAGATCATCGCCAATGTCTATGCGTTTCAATGGTGAGGATGGGCTTGTTAATGAGCTGTTTGGTCGCAGTTGTCGTTGAGATAGTATGGATGCTGCATTAGTAGTTGGTGATGAAGATACTGAATGTTGCAGACGCGTTGTGTTTGTTTGCGGTAGCTCATCGATATCGGGAGGATTTGTAAAGAGTTCGTGAGTGGCGTGCTTGACACTGTTGGGATGTATGGAGTACTTATCATATAGGTAATTTAGTATCACGGGCGATATTTCACCCACTATGGCTTGTAAATCGCTTGCAAATTTCTCAAATGATATCGTGGAGTTGACCAGTTGTTGCGATTGTACTGGTGTCGTCTTCTTTTCGTCTTCGTCCTCGTCTTGTACAAATAGGCCCTCTTCATTTGAAACTGCTTCCGTTTTCACTTCCTGGTTCTTTTCCTCCTTTGGTAGAAAGAACCTTTTCTTTGTAATCTGCATTTAAGATGGAAATCCACTTAAAGGAGCTGAACAATAAGTCTCTGCATTGCGAAAAAACGAGCCAAAAAGAAGAAGAAGAAAAAAAAAAAGGCTGTTTGATCTGGTGTTGCAAATAAAAGACGCGACTACAAAACATCACAATCATCATAGAGGGGGATAAGAAGTAAGAAGCTTTCAACGTCCAACTTCATCTAAATACTCCTTTCAATCTATGGCGCTGACCAAGAATCAACAAGTTAGTCACAGTACAGTTTTTCGAAACAGGAAGGTATAACCCTTGATAACCTGATCCACAAGAAGTAACTGATTGCAGGTGATGCATCACGACAATGTGACAAAGATGAAATCTGTCTGTATAATTGAGTGCCACTTTGCTCTGATGGTGGAGTTCAATGAACAGGGTATCTTTATCAGATTAGCGGCAATAGCCGACTAATGCCGAATTGAACACTTCAACACCGTGGTCGCTATTTCCAAGAGTTTCACAGCACCAAGATAGGCACCTTGACGATCAAACTTCTCTGGTTTTAAGTCACTCGGTTAAATCCTATACAACTTTCCTAGTAAGCTGTGAGTAGAAAGAAACAAAAAAAAAAAAATGGTGGCCCATTGACTCATGAAGTTGAAGAAAACAAAAAACAAAAAAGGAAAGGGTTTTGTATATCGTTCCTGTTCCGGCATTAAGCGCTTATTTTTCTTTTTTTTTTTCTCTTTTTTTAAGTTTTGTTCACAGTGCGGTGGGGTTTGACGAAAAAGAAGAGGAATAAATTGACTCCGAAAACGAAAAAGTTAGTCATCAAAGATCACTTTATCTTTCTTCCTCACTGATACCACCAACACTCTTTCTGGTTGATAGTTTTCACTCCCGTTAATATATTCCTACCACATTCTCGACTACAACTCACCACACTGAATATGACCAAAGACAGCACTCAAAACGCAAAGGACTTGTACCATTTGTTATCTCCAGAAGCTAAATCGAGACAAAACTCACCGTTGAAAGATGCCTTCAAGTACTTTAAATTACCAAACATGACATTCTTGGGTGGAGGATTACCCTTATCTGACTATTTCCCATTCGACAGAGTTAGTGCCGACATCCCAACTCCATCTTTCCCCAATGGTATTGGAGCTCCATTGACTAATGAAAGTAAAACCACTATCGAAGTGTTTAAGAAGGCTGACAAGAACCAACCAAACGAGATTGAATTGGCAAGATCTTTGCAATATGGTTATACCGAAGGTCAACCGGAATTGACTGCCTTTTTGAAAGAGCACACGGAAATGATCCACAAGATTCCATACAAGGATTGGGATTTGGTTGCATCTGTTGGGAACACCGAGTCTTGGGATTCTACCTTGAGAACTTTCTGTACCAGAGGTGATTCGATTTTGGTTGAGGAATACTCCTTTTCTTCGGCTTTGGAGACTGCCAATGGCCAAGGTATCAATACCGTTCCTGTGCCAATGGATGACTATGGTATCATCCCCAGCGGATTGGACAGCTTGTTGGCTCATTGGGTTGGTAACAAGCCAAAATTGTTGTACACCATTTCCACTGGCCAAAACCCAACTGGATCATCATTGAGTGCCGAAAGAAGAAGACAAATTTACGAAATTGCTTGCAAGTACGACCTCATTATTGTTGAGGATGAACCTTATTACTTTTTGCAAATGGAGACTTACACCAAGGACAAAAAGGCAAGAGAAGGCAAAACTGTTCACGAACATAAGGAGTTTATCGAAGCCTTGGTGCCATCATTCATTTCATTGGACACTGAAGGTAGAGTCATCAGATTGGATTCATTTTCCAAAGTGTTGGCGCCAGGTTTGAGATTGGGATGGATTGTTGGCCAAGCAAAGTTGTTGGAAAGATTTGTAAGATTACATGAAGTTTCCATCCAATGTCCTTCAGGTTTAACTCAATCCATGACAAATGCATTATTGCAAAGTTGGGGACAAAAGGGATACTTGGACTGGTTGATTGGTTTAAGAGCTGAATATACTCACAAGAGAGATGTTGCTATTGACGCATTGGAAGAGTATTGTCCAAAAGAAGTTACCTCTTATGTTCCACCAGTGGCTGGTATGTTTTTCACTGTAAACATTGACGCTTCAAAGCATCCCAAGTTCCATGAATTGGGAGAAGATCCATTGAAAATTGAAAATTTGATTTATGAGCAGAGCATAAAACAAGGCACATTGATGATTCCTGGTTCGTGGTTCAAATCTCAAGGTCAATCAACTCCTCCACAAAAGAATTTGCCACAAAATCCTGCTGCAAAAACCCACATTTTCTTTAGGGGCACTTATGCAGCTGTTCCATTGGATCAATTGGTTTTTGGATTGCAAAAATTCAGTAAGGCAGTTAAGATTGAGTTTGGTTTGGAATAGAGGTTACATAGTGTAGTTTAAGGCATCAGCATCATAAAGAGAAGTTACATACTTTCAAGTTAATTGTGTCGCGAAATAGATGCTGTAGAAAAATCCATTGCATAAAAACAAACAAACAACTACAAAAAATCCTATACGCTCTGTCTTCATTATTATGCAAATACTAAAGATCCCATGGCTAGGGCATAAAGGTATGTCTTTACGCAGTAAAACTTTGCTGGACTTCATACTAACTTTGAAATAGCTGAAAACAAAAAAGTAGAATGTTATACAGTCACCATAAATGCACAAGGAACAAGGCTAGCTTCAGGTGGTCTTGACGGGTGTATCAAAATCTGGGATACCAATACAATCAATCTGTTTTTCAATATACTGGATAAACCATACAACAAGAATAAGCGGCTTCAGTCAAGCGCATCAAATCGAACAACAGCTGCTTCCTCCAGCGTGGATGTCGAATTCACTCCCGATTTGCCCGATAAATCCCTACGTCGAGCCCTTTGTTCCATGTCGAGACACAATGGTGCTGTCACATCTTTAAAGTTTAGTCCCGATGGAAGATGGCTAGCTAGTGGGTCTGATGATAAAATCGTTTTGATTTGGGAGAAGGATAATTCGCAAATCGCCAATTCATTTGGGGCTGAACAAGCAGATTTAGAGCATTGGACGGTGAGGAAAAGACTTGTGGCTCATGACAATGATATTCAAGATATATGTTGGTCCCCCGATGGCAATCTACTAGTTACTGTTGGATTAGACAGATCGATTATTATATGGAACGCATTAACTTTTGAAAAAATTAAGCGGTACGATATACATCAGTCAATGGTGAAGGGAATTGTTTTTGACCCGGCTAACAAGTTCTTTGCCACTGCTTCGGATGATAGGACTGTTCGAGTATTTCGATATTACAAGAAAATGAATGAGTATAATAGTTATGAATTCCAAATGGAGCATGTTGTGGTTGACCCATTGAGGAAGTCACCCTTGACGTCATATTTCAGAAGAATGAGTTGGTCACCAGATGGACAACATCTTGCTGTGCCCAATGCTACTAATGGTCCCGTACCATCAGTGGCAATTGTAAATAGAGGGAACTGGGGCTCCGATGTCTCATTGATTGGACATGAAGCACCAGTTGAAGTGTGTTCGTTTTCCCCCAGGCTATTTCAAATTGATACCGATTTGGATAATGATGAGCTCAAGTTTCAAACTGTATTGGCTACTGGAGGGCAAGACCGTACGTTAGCCGTATGGTCGACATCCAATTCCAAACCTATTGTTGTATGTCAAGATATTGTTGACAATTCCATTACTGATATTTGCTGGGCTCCAGATGGAGAGACGCTATATTTCAGCTGTTTGGATGGATCAGTTTGCTGTGTTCATTTCACTAATGGAGAGTTGGGTCAAGTAGTTAGCGAGGAGTTGATTGATCAACAACTAAACCGGTATGGTGCCGATCGAGAATCTACAATTTTGCCTGAAAGTGTGGAACAACTACGGTTGGAGGAAAATGCAACCGAGGCTAGAGCCATTGCCATACGGAAGATGATGCCTTTGGAAACGGTTAAGGAAAAAGTCAGTGACAACACCGAAGCATCAAAAATAAAGCCATTTGACAAGGAGAAACTATCAGCGCCATTGACACCTGCATTAAAAATTGATGCGTCGCGGTTGCGTAAGCAGACTGTGTCAGTGACTAAATCGGGTAAAAAGAGAGTGGCCCCTTTGCTTGTGTCGTCGGCTTCCTCTTCCTCTTCTTTTTCTTCATCGTTGGGTCCATCGTCGTCTAACATTGCCTCAGCCAAGACTATGGCACAACCTGAAACTAAAAAGAGAAAATTGCAGGTGAATGCAAAACTATCACAACTGAACTACGTACTTCCTCGCCGAGGTTTGCAAACTTCGGTTGCTGGTTTCAAGGAACGCGATTCACCGTCTACAACCAATACGGAGCAAGATGAAGACAATGATAATTTAGATATTGGCGGCGGAGTCAATACATTAGAGGAAGAAATCAACACTTCACAACTTTCTGAATCGGCATTGAAACGACACAAGAATCGTCAAAAGCGTAAATTATTGGAAACGAAATACCCTCATTCTTTCAAACAGATCTCCCATCTTCCGGAAACTTTATTTGCCAATACTGCGTTTCAAAATACTCAGATCAACAAGATTTACAAAGCTTATGCCAACAACAATAAAGATATCCTGGCGGACTTGTCTAGGGGCGCAGCCATTGATTTTGATGAGGATTTGATGTTCTCCGTAGTTGTGAGCAAGACAAGGCATCAACAAAAGGGTAATGCCATCTTGAATGAACTGGAAGTGAAGAATGTGGTAACAACTACTGTTGAAGTGCGTAATGGGAAACCATGGCATGAAAATGCCGCCCAGAATGATCGCGATTTCGATGACCCCACCAAGGTGATTGTGTATAATGATCATGATGGTGAGGATAGGTGTTTTACTTTGTTTTTCCCATTTAGAATCCAGCTGGTACTTCCTATACTCAACGATGATGATGGTCAATTGACATACTTTGTCTTGTGTTCATTTAATGGAAGTTTGCAAATCGTGTCCGCCAAGACCGGCAGATATATCTTACCCACTATCGAGCTACTTGATAATGTTGTATCAATGAAATATTCGAATGACAGGTTGCTTGTGATGACGAGTTCGGGCCTTTTTTATGGATGGAATTTGAAAACTTTGACAGTTTATATGAATAAAGTGTCTGTTGCCACAGTGCTCAACTCGTTTGATGTTGGTGGTCGCAAATATGTAGGTATGCCTAGTGTCAGGGCGTTGGAAATGAATCATAATGATGGGACGCCGTATATCTTGATGGATTTTAGTAATGATGTGTTTGGGTATTCATTAGACTTGGATTGTTGGATCAAGGTGATAGATTCATGGTATTTCAATGTGGGGACGCAAGATGTAAAGGGGAACTTGATGGCGAGAAGGATGTATTTCGGACTGAAATTCCAATTTGATCAGAGTGCATTGATGGGTAGTACTCAGACATATAAATTTGATGATGCTGCGTCTGGTGTTTTGAAGGACACTATGGTGCGTAGAAGCAAAGAGATGATATCAATGATCAAGTAGATAGTGAGGACACGTCTACACACTTTATAGATTATGTAACAATGTGTATCACTCAATTGGCTTGAACCTCCTCAATTTTCGTCTTGTCCTTCACCCTTGATTGGCTTTTCAGGTTTAGCAACTTTATTCTGGAATGGGAAGCTAACGACAAAGAATATCTCGCTTAAGACATAGTTTACGGCAAACATCCAACACGTCAATCCAATGGCACCAGTTTGAGAAAAGGGTAAAGCCAACCACCATTCAAGATAATGTGGTAAAATACCAGCACGTATGTAAAACAACTGTGTTTTTCTAAACAAAAACCTCATAACCCAAATTGGTAGTACTGTACTTATCCAAATCAAGGAATTGGTCAAAGAGTTGACCCTGGCCTTTTCAGAACCCAAGCTCTCATTCAATTCTTGTAATTCCACTTTCAACTTATCCAATTTACGATTCAACTTTGTCCACCTGGCATACTCGTCCTGGGCACTAATTAATCTTTGCTCGTGAGTCAATGTTCGTATTTCGTGTTGTTTTGCAGCGTATTGTTTGATTGACTTTGATTGGGCTAGCAACGGTGATGATGAGTAGATGTTCCATACTAGGGATTGGATTGTGGGTTTGCTTATTACTGAAATAAGTTTCTGTAATAGGAGTAGTGTGAATGTTGTTATTATGATTGTGTATGGACTCAAGTCGAAGGACGCCATGATGAGCTGGACACAGAATAAAGGAGTTCAGGATTGGGTTGGTCGGCTTCTTTCGTCCTTTTTTTTTTTTTCTCTTTTTGCACATCTGTTTTGGCAATCAAGTCAATGTCGCAAGAAGTAAACTTGTAACCGCAGAGTTCTACGACACTTGATAATAAATAGGAAAGTATACTACACACTCGAGATATGTTTCTATTCAATTGTACGAAAGAGTTTTCTACGTTATACTAGACATCTCAGTTAAAATCATTATTGCACAGACTACGGCATAGTACTCTGGCAAGTCAATCTCTTTTGTAGAGTGTGTATAAAGCCTCGAGCTTGAAATTACCATAGAAAAATTTTCTCAAAGTAATGGAGACAGAGAGAGAGAGAGAGACAGAGAGAGAGAAAGAAAAGAGAAAAAAGAAAGGAGAGATATCATCAAAGTCACAGCATTAGCAGACGACAGAATCATCAACAAATTCTTGTTGCAACAGACCACCAGTCTTATATATATAGCGCATCTAGTCATTTGGGTGTCATATTCATCTCCGTTTCAACTGTTCCCTACTCCAGTATATCACACACGTCAGGAAACTTTTAATTGACTTGGAATTTGCACAATTCCAAGTTATCACACACAAACAGTGTACTCACTCATCCTTTGAATTTTTTTTTTGAAAGACGAAGAGGAACGCCCACCAAAATCTTCAGCCACACATACCTAGTCTCTGAGCAGCCCGCAACACCCTGAATTACCATCCCCCCTCATTCTTAACATTGTCAACTACTCAACCATCTTAATCAAATGCCCAGCGACATCGAAGACGATTACATATCTTGGATCCAACAATTTTGCGAGGTTTTCGGCCACGACTACTTTGTACAAGTATCACAGGATTTCATTGAGGACGACTTTAATCTAACTGGTTTGTCTCTGCAAGTACCCTTTTATAGAGAAGCATTATACACGATATTAGACTATCAGGTGGAGACAGCTGAAGACCATACCAACACTAACAATAACAATACTAGTAGCATAAGTACAAGTACGAATAACATCAACAACAATAGCAATAGCAACACTTCACGAGGGGCGAACAATACAGGGACTGGAAACAACAACAACAGTAACAACAGTAACAAGAAGTCGTCCAATAATGCGCCTGAATTACCTAATAAAGCACTTTTAGCCCACCTGGCAGAACTATTATACGGACTAATCCACGCGAGATACATTGTATCCAAACCAGGGCTAACGGCAATGGCATCCAAATTTGAAAAGAATGATTTTGGTTCATGCCCAAGATACTTTTGTGACGGGATGCATTTGATACCCGTGGGGTCAACTGATGTACCAGGTCAAGAAACTGTACGATTGTATTGCCCCTGTTGTAATGACATCTACATACCTTCAAGCTCAAGATACCTCAACATTGATGGGGCGTATTTCGGAACCACGTTTCCTGGATTGTTGGTGAAGATGTTTCCTGAAATTGAGAATCAATGTCGGATAAGAATAAATAAATTTAGTGCGAATGAGTTTGGGTTGAAGTTGTTTGGATTCAAGATTAACGAGTTGAGTTCAACCGGTCCCAGAATGAAGTGGTTGAGGCAACATCCCAAATCTGCTGAAGATAAACAGGAATATGAATATTGTGAATATAGTGTGCCAAAATTGAAATTTGACGATGAGGAAGATGACGGAGAAGGAGAAGGAGAAGACGATGCTAGCATGGGTGAAGAAGAGGAAGTGGAAGATGAAGACGACGATGATAAAACTATGGCCAGCGAGTAGAGATGAGAAGACAAGACATGAAGTACCTCGCCTATTATGAAGTCTATGTTTATGTACAATGGAAATAGTTTATACTGTCTGTACAAAATTTAGAAGTTTGTAAACTTGCCTTTTTCAATGAGTCAAATGCACTGGTTTCCCCGGTTCCCAGTCCTTGATACCATTTTGTATATTTACCCAATACTTCAACTTTATAGCATCTGTAATCAACTCATCCCAATTTATCGGATCTTTCCTCAACTCCAGTTCAATCTTGTCCTCAGCTTGCTTGATCCGTTCGTTATTTTCATCTTCCAACTCATCCAATTCCTGTTCCTTTTCGGCAAACTCCAACTGCTCATGCGCCTCCATGACTTGCAACAACATCGACTTGTACGCCATTGCGTTTGAATCGTTGGCATTTTGAAATTTAGCAATCATGGATTTAGACACTGCATCATCAGTTATATCGACCCCATGGAGCAATTTGATCAAATGAGCCAAGCGTAAATACGGATTGCGCAAATGAGTGAATGCTTGGTTGATATTCAGGGATGCTATCGTATCGGATGACACATCGGGGTGATTTGAGCTTTGTAAAGTACGATACTCTTTACGGAGTTGTTTTTCATTGATGAAGAATGGGTCTTTGGGTGGACCGCCATGGGGAAAATTGTGTGGGAATAATTTGAAAAATGAGGGCGTTGTTGTCTCGGAAGAAAGCCATCTTCTTGTTGGAGTCAGCAAAGTGGGGCTAAGTAGGAGACCGAGTCTTCTAGGTAGCATTCTGATATGAAGGTGTAGTGAACAGAAAGAAGAGAAAGTTGTTGTATACAGCAGCAAAATGGAATTTTGAATCAGGTGGAAATTTTAACTTTTGAATGTCGCGAAATAGTTCACACTGTTCCAACAGAGAAAAATAAGATTACAAAGCACCGCTTCCGGGAGAGATGATCTTGCCTTTTTAGATATACGATTGCCATCACACGCATGTTCAAGAAAAGGGTGCTCAAAGATCCTACCAGTAGCTCTAAGAGAAAGACAACTGATTTGGGAAATGATGACCAGGTAGATTCTCTTCCAAAAGAGAAGCTTGGCATCTACAAACGATCAAAATTGACATACCCCACCACAAGCACGTCATCGTCCTCAAAGACACCCGTCCTCGCATCAACGACAGCATCGCTGCTACTAAAGAACTCAAAAAATGATGAGAAACAAGAGCCTTTCCAGCAACCTGTGACAAAACCATCAACCATAAAGCCTGTGCCTGAGAGTATCAATATTACAACATTTATGGACTTCCAGCCTGACGTATGCAAAGATTTCCAGCAAACAGGGTACTGCGGATACGGCGACACATGCAAATTTCTTCACGTACGAGATGAATCTAGGCAAAAGAAACCAATAAGGAAAGATTGGGAAGACATTGTCGTGAACGGTAAGCAAGGAAAGAAAGATCGGCAGATGAACGATACCACCACCACCACAGCCACGCCGTTCAAATGCATACTATGTAAGAAAGACTACCAGAGTCCAATCAAGACTCAATGTGGCCATTTATTTTGCCAATCTTGCTTTTTGAATCGTTATAAAGTACAAAAAAAATCTGGTTGTGCTATATGCAACAAAGATGTTGAGGGTGTGATGATCCCAGTGTCCAAAGAGGAGTTGAATGTGTTGATTGGCTCAACATAATACATGTGAGCAACTTCGATTGGCTTGTTTTGACTACAAGCTCGTCTTTTTGGTCTGTTTTATCGTTTTGCGAGCCCGAGACTTGAATTTACGCTTCTCGTGTACAGTCGTTGGGAATAGTACTAGACCCATGAGCTTGCTTTTTGATTGCATGCTCCTCGCGTAGTTCAATAACACATGGTCGTCCAGAACAGAAAGCCACCATTTTTCAACAGTATTTCGCCGGGGCCAGACTTGAAAGTAATTCATGAGACTACATTTGAGCTGAATAGCGAGAGGTTGCTTTTGAGGCCACATCATTTTGGGAATTTCCGGAACGTCCAATTTGCCAAAAACTCAAGTCAAGCTGGGTCAAGCGTTTCATTTGGTATAATAATAGGGCAAGTTGACTTATTTGAGTGTTTTGTGCAAACATATGCAAACTAAAGAAGCGCACATTATGTAAACCAAAAAACATTGGTTATCCATTTGATGGGGAAATCGTTGGGAAGGGTGTTGTCAATGCTATGATTAGTTAAGGTGTTGTTCAGGTCTGTTGTGTTCGATGTAATCTTAACACATAGTGAAATTGGGCATAAATGAAATTTTGATCCACACTCTAACATGCGTTCAACAAACCGTCTGTATTGCTTGATTGTCACGATCACCTCAATTAACCCGATTTGAGTTCACAAAGAATAGGCCTGTCTGAATGTTCTAGACCAAGTATGTGCATTGGTTTTTAGTAGCGAATAGCAGAACATCTCTATATGTTCATGGTCGAAAAACATATGCTTGCAAGGTTTAAGTTTTATAATTCATAGCAATGTACACTCCTATTGAAAGATTATTGCTCTCCTCTCCTCTCACGCCTTCGTTGACGACATCTACTCTGCAAACACACATCAACTTCGAAAGACAAATGCCTGTTGCACAAAATCGAACTTGAATAAAGGGTTTCCTTTTTTTTTTTTGCAGCATAACAATCAAACAGAAGGATCAGTAATGGTATACCTATATATATATATATCAACAAGAAACGAAATAGAATATCTAAATTCATAGTTTCTCTTCTTCTTCTTCTTCTTCATATCGTTATGCAAAACTCGCCTTTTTCTACATTGACGTTAGAAATGGATAACAGCTTCTACTTCAAAGTATGGATAAAACCCTTGTCATTGGGACAAGAATGAAATATGCAGTTTGTATGTCATGCATTTTAACTGTTTTTGCCGTTATTGGTCTTATGAATGCAGAATCAGTTCTCAATAGGGTGGCCCAGTTCTTGGTTATGATCCTTCAAAATAAATTTGCATCATACCCTGATTACAACGCCATCGAATCAGCTCCTTACGATGATACAATAACTTACACGATGGAACAGCAACAACAAATTTTTGATTTCGACTGCTTTTGGCCAGCCACATCCGCACGTTTTGCAAAATTCCAAGTTGTTCTTTGTATTTACTTTTGGTTATTTTTTGCCATTATTGGTCCGGTAATATCTTGGGAGATATTGTATCACGTTATTTGGAAGAACATTTTCATTGAAGTATTTCAATGAAGGGTCGCATGATTGGTAGTTTAGTGAAGTTTAATCATGATTCTTTTTCTGTATGTCCATTTTCAGTCAAGTGTCAAAGGTAGAATGCCTACAAGTCGCTGTCCTAGTGGAAATTCAAGTGGCCAATGATCTGAATCTGAAGTAGTTCTCATTTAACGAGTGTCAAGCACTGTTGCCGCAAAAAGCTTCATTGTATTTGTTCTCAAATGTAATCAAGTATTTTCTCATTCAGCATTTTGGTTTAAATTGCAACCCAAATCACTATTCGTTTCAAGCACTAAGCAGTATAGTGTGCCAGCCATGAGTTTACATCTGTTCTTCCTTCAAACTTTTTTTGTTACCTGCTTCGGCAACAAATTTTAAATTTAAGCCGATCAGAAAATGAATAAGAGCCGTCAATTATAGTGCGAATGAGCAGCAACCATGACTCGAAAAACCCGTTTATTTACTGCGCAAACCTGCTTTTCTTACAAATTTCTGACACATACATACAACGTATTACATATACGTCTTTGCGACTGCATTTCACCAAATCCAGGTTCAACTACGTCTCCTACATCATATAAATCTTCTCAATTTGCACCAATATGTCACAAATCCAACAGCAATTGGAAGGCATCCCGGGGTACGACATCGTTATGGATAAGTTTAACGAGTATGCCGAAGACCATTGGAACAACACCGACCCATACACCGATAAAGAGACTGGCAAAAAGTTGAAACTACCCCCGGACATCACTACAAAACAGGAGCAGAAAGCATGGGCCAAGATCCAGGCCATGGCTTGGACGCATGATAAATGTCTATGTGGATCATGTGGCGTAGGCATGGACTGCGGATTGGGATTAGTTCCATTTACCGTGTTTTTCTTCCCCGTGTTGGGTCCATTGGTGATGTATATGATTCACATGAGATTGATTTCGTTGGCAAATGAGCGATTCCATCTACCCAATAAACTAATGGCGCAAATGCAAGGAAATATTGGAGTCGACTTGTTGATTACGTTTCCTCCCGTGATTGGCGGCTTTTTTGGATGGTTGCATCAATGCTCGACCCGGAATGCAGGGATGATTTATTGCTGTGTTGTCAAGATGGCAAAAGAGAGGCAGGCTCAGGGGGCAGTGAAGTATACCGGGAGTGGAGTTAATGCTGGAAATTACGGCGGTAGTGAGTCTCATTTCGGTCAAACAGTGAATCAGGAACCACTTCTGCTGCTGCAACAACAACAACAACAACAACAACAACAACAACAACTGAGGAGTGTGCTGTATGGTGTTCCACAGCAACAACCACAACCTGCTTATACACAACGGTCAGCGCGAAGCAAAAAGAATGTACAGAACTCCATCGAGGTGGGTCAGCAACAGCAGTCAGGGTTCATATAGTGGAGTAGAAAGCGGAACGGGACTTAGTGGTGGTGGTTCGTTTGTAGATATTTATATCGTATTTGCAAAAAGTTTTATACTGCGCTGGGAGAGTGAAGGTGGTGTCTACTTTCGAGACTAGTTTGTATATAAGGTAGCTGAGTCCAAGGTAACTTTTGGCAGAAAAGATGGATACACATTTACATTGCGTCTTCCCTTTACTTGTTGTCTTTTTTAGAACGGCTGAAGCGAAGTGGGGGCAGAGAACAGCTAAAGCGCAGTTAAAGCGCGTGTGAAAGAAAAAAGAAAGAAAGAAAAAAGAAAAAAGAAAAAAGAGAAGGAAAGATTCAATCAGTCCAACAAATAACCCAACAATAAGGGCAGTTTCCTTTATTACAACTACTGGTTCAACAGAAGAGAGACAATGTTTGAACGTCCCGAAGGAATTGAGAATTGTCGAATTTGGGTTGATGGATGCTTCGACTTTGCCCATCATGGTATGTTTGCGAAAGCTTTACAACTCATTCACTCACCCACATAAAAGTCCACTAATACTAACTCACTATTTCCCGCTCCATCCTTGAATTTTAGGACACGCAGGAGCAATGTTACAAGCACGGCAGCTAGGTAAGGAGCTCTACGCTGGTGTGCATTCCGACGAAGAAATCTTGCGCAACAAAGGACCGTGTGTTATGAAACTTGATGAACGAATGACTGCAGTCGAGGCATGCAAATGGTGCACAAGGGCCATTCCTGGTGCTCCATATGTGACTGATCCGAAAGTGATGAAAGAGTATGGATGCCAATACGTTGTTCATGGAGATGACATCACTACTGATGCCAATGGGGAGGATTCTTATCAAGTTGTTAAAGATTTGGGGTTGTTTGTTGTTGTGAAACGTACTCCTAATATCAGTACTACTGATTTGGTGGGGCGGATGTTGTTGATGTCAAAGACCCATCATTATCAAGATTTGAATTTGGAGAAGAATTGGCAAAAGTTGATCAATGAGGGTGATAATTTGGATAGGTTTACTAGGTATGCCACTGATGAGACTGGGTTACAACCAGGATCAGTGGTGTATTTGAACACCCCTGATGAGTTGAAGACTATTGTGGAACCAAAGAGGAAGAAGGATGGCGAGAAGAGCAAGTATGTTTATATCGATGGAGGGTTTGATTTGTTCCATCCTGGTCATATTGAAGTATTGAAATTGGTTCATGACAAAGCCCAACATTTGGGGGCAAAAGTTATTGTTGGTATTCATGATGATATTACAGTTAACAAATACAAGGGGTTGAACTACCCCATTATGAATATTTTTGAAAGATCGTTGTGTGTGTTACAATGCAGGTACGTTGATGGAATAGTGCTCAATGCGCCATATGTGCCAACAGTTGAGTTTCTTTCTAGAATCGGTGATGTGGTCAAAGTGTACCATGGACCTACTGAAGTTGATGAATCAGTGTATGATGAAGTTCGTGACAAAGAAAAGACGGAGGGAGACGGGTTGTTTGAAGCTTTGCCTAAGCACAAGTATGATCATATGAGTACAGAGTTTATTGTTGAACGAGTATTGCAAAATAAGGCAATGTATGTTGAACGACAAAAGAAGAAAGGGTGGAAAGCTGAAATTGAAAAAGTATTGGAAGCCAATGAACGAAACAAGGGGAAGGAAAAAATGGACAATTGAGAGACAATTTTGCACTTTTCTACAGTTTTATAGTTAGTTAGCTTATTTGCATCATCACTTTAGTTGTATATGTTTGAACTTTATACAAGTTTAGCTAATCAAGTCACATTCATGAAACATCGTCATCAATCTTTATCATCAAACATCGTTTATCTTCAATTGTAAGAAACACATTCAAAGAAAATACAGCATAATATAAAAAGACTGTCTTTTTCAAGCAAACTTTGCATCAATTGAATTATTCAAATTCATCAACTTCAATTCATTAACATCGTGATTGGAATTTCTTCTTGTGCTCTTCTTGTTAAACAAGGTGAATTCAGATTCATCACCATTTTGACCCCAATTGTTTTTGCCAGCTCCATTCTTCTTGATCTTGGTTGGATCAGTGTTGACGTATCCGTTATGAGTAAACCATTTTGGTTCTTGTGGACGCTTTTCGTGAATTGTCCATTTCTTTGTTTTTGACATTATAAGGGGAGGGAGATAAGAAGAAAGTTTGTGGTTGTTACTGAGTAGTAATAGTAGTATTCAATTGCAAGTGTGAAAAGTGTTGTAAGTAAAAGTAAGTGGTGAAAGAAAGTAAGAAATGAAAGAAATGAAAGAAATGAAAAGGGGAATTTTGTTGAGTATTTATATATATATATATAGAGAGAGAGAGAGAGAATAATAAACCAAAGTGTATATTGTTATACAATGTTTGTTCCAATATTAGTAAAATGTAAAAAAGTATATTAAGAAAACAAAATAATAAATTTAAAAAGTGTGGAGTAAAAAATGTGCTTTGGCTATTTATTTAATTACGTCACAAGACTTTAATAACTCACCCCACCCTACTATGTTGGCAATTGTAATTACTATTTTTGTCCCTTCTTTCTACTTCTAACCAGTATACATGGACTCATATCGTTGTGTGTCTCCACATCAGCGCATTTTTTGTTGGAGATCAGGTGGTGGTGAAAGAAAAAAGAAAGAAAGAAAGCTGCAGTACAGTATACACAGTAAATTACTTCCGTTGCAATTTTGTGTATTGCGTCGAAAAAAAAATAAATAAAAAAAATAAAAAATAGAAAATGGAGAAAATGCTTCTGTGCTACCAAATGCTGTCACAAAAATAAAGGAGGGGAAGCAAAACGTTTTGATTCTTCTTACAACAAACCATGAAGGGAGAGGGGTGGAACGGATATCTTCTACTTAGAATAAGAGTGTTATTCTTTCTTCCCTATGGAGTACTCGAGCTATAGATCTGTAACTTGGAACTTCATAAGCTTTTGTTTTACAAATGTAGAAATGCAACCCCCTATTTCTGTTTCTTATTTGTGAACCAAAGAAAGAAAGAAAAATAAAAAATGGGGGGGGGGTCACGCGAGAACTATTTTTATTTTCCCCATTCAGATTTCTGGACAGCTAATATACACCTTACTCCAATCGGCCCTGTTCAGGAGCACTTATGCAGTGTTATGTCAAATGTTTCCACTATTCTACTTATTAAAAACAACATTTGTTGTGGTGCCATTATATGACTGCAATTGCATCTTCCGCAAAATGCTATCTGTTGAGAGAAGCTTCTAGTATCACAACAACTACTTTACCGTAGTAGTACTCTTCAATAGAAAGTTTACGCTATGTAATTGACTTTGCAACAACAAGTGCAGTAAAAGTACTCCATGATTGTTTAAACAGAAATTCACCGTTCCTGAACTTTGACGCTACTATGTAAAGTTCCTAAGAGATATGTAAACTCTGACAATGAATACCACACTTTTAAGTAGCCTCACCACCAATCAGGCTATCTCTTCTACAATCTCATCACTCGGTCCTCTCTCTCTCTCTCTCTCTCTCTCTCTCTCTCCCACTCCCTCTCCATCTCTACAGCCGAAGTGGCAAAACAATACGCTACCAAAAAATTGTAACCTCTTTTGATTTTCCTTTTGCAACATAACAAAATCCACAAGTACCGATTATAAATTTGTAAACTTCAAAACTATCACCAACATAAAAACTTCCCAATTAACTACTCATAATTTCACTTTCCTTTTATCTCCAGTTTCATCACAGCCCCAAACTCCATCCCCACAACCATGAAGCTTCTTTCACTCATCCTCAGTCTCACATTTGCAACAACTTGTCTTTCAGACAAAGCTCCCAAAATCAAAAAGAACCCCAAAAACCTTGTTGCCATTGCTGATTTCCCATTTGGTGGTGATAAAAACATCAAAGGAAACGTTGTCTTTACTTCATCCGGCAAATATGTAAATGTTCACGTTGACATGACTGGTTTCCCCCATGATGAAGGCCCATTCTATTACCACATCCACGAACGTTCGGTACCTGAAAATGGCAATTGTGAAGCTTGTGGATTGCATTTCAACCCATACAATTCCAGCCCTGACTGCTTGGCTCAGAAACATAATGGATATTGTCAAGTTGGTGATTTATCTGGAAAACATGGTGCTATAAATAGTACTTGTTTTGAATTCAAATTCACCGATCCTTACTTATCTTTGAACAAGAGATCAAAGAGTTATATTGTTGGAAGGAGTTTGGTTTTCCATTATGCAAACATGTCAAAGTTGGCGTGTGCAGATATTGAATTGGCAAATGATTTGCGTCTTCAAAGTTTGATGGATGAATATGTTCAGACTGACGATACGGTACAAGTGCAACAGTTGAAACAATCAATGGATCATCAAAGTGACTCATTTGATGCTTTGGAAGCTTTGAGAAACGAAGTTTATGAAAGTGATAATGATGGTGATGAAGAAAAAGAACAAGAAGGAAGCGGTGCTGTATTGTTGCCACCATCTTTGCAACAGGAAATTAAAGAACCAAAGGCAGAAACCAAGCAGAATAATCAACAGGGAGAGAGTGTTGAAAACAACAATAACCAAGACAGCAACGATTCCCAAGAAGATCTTTCCAAATCAAAGAACTTCAAACATATCTTGCAAGACGTTAAAGTTTTACCACAAAAGTTGGTTAACAAGACCAAAAATCATTGGTCAAAAGATGATGAAAGCAAGTTTGGCAAAAAAAGTCTTGACAAGCTGATCCATCATTCTTCAATCCATTCACCAAACTCATCCGAAATGAAATTATACCAAAATCAAACTAATGTCACCTTGCATGGAATTTCGCAAGATTGTTCACCTAATTCAGGCGCTTCCTTGTTTGCAGCATTATCGACTTCATTCCTATCTGCATTGTTGAATTCATTAATGGTTGGATTCATCATTGTGCTGATCATTTGAAAAAAACACTTTATGTCACTTCTCTCATCCTTTGGACGTTATCTTCCTTTGGAATTTTCATTCATAGTTTAATAATAAGCATAATATAATGAAAAAGAAAAATGGGGAGTTTATACTCTATTGCAAAATCATCGTTGAATCTCTCATTTTGTCTAGGCCAAACAACCGAACACAATCAATGTAGAATCCACGCCCTTCACGATTCAAGCTCCCCAATTGAAACTTGCGTACTCCACCAAACATATTGATTTTTATCACAGTATTATCGTCATCAATAACATCTTCATCTAGCCATTGCTCTATTCTCAGCAATGGAATCAATCCCGGCATCACTGGTGGTAGCTTATACTCATCAGTTCTCCCGATATCATAGTACTTGTGCAATCGCTTTACTTCCTTTTCTGCATTGGTGTAAACATCATCTCCTCCAAAAACATCTTCAGCCGCGTTATAATTTACTTCATTAATTGTGCCACTTTTTATACATCCCGTAGCTTCGCAATCCAACTCATGTCCCGGTTTGGTCTCGCCAATAGTGCCAACGACAAACAATCGGCCATTTGCCAAGTACCGTTTCACCTGCTCAAGTGGATAATATGTTTCACTACAAACATCAAGTATCTCACCACCAAAGTTGGCCTTGTAGTTCATCTTGTCACAATCTTCCACATAATATCCCAAGTAGTACCAATCGTACCCTAATTTTTGACACATTTCTAATTCATTGATTCCCAGGATCGTACCTAATGATAAATGTGCATAATCTGGATCCCAAATGAAGTAAATTGACGATACCCCACTAGGTAGAAAGTCCAATACAGATATTGCAATTAGTTTGTCGTTGAGATAATAACATGCGTGGGTGGGGCCAATTCGTTTCTCCCTTGCAGTAGATGACCAATGATCAATATCTAGGCTCTGCCATTGAGTATCAGTACCTCGTTTTTCATGGCTCATAAAGGGAGAATCGCATAGAAATCTAGTGAATGATTTTTCACTAATGTCATTTGGATCATCATTATGCACAGCAACCTGATACTTCTTATACAATTGATACTTTTCCACACTAAATTTCGATGCCTCATATTTGATTTTGAAATTAGTTGATTTAAGCTGTGCTTCCACCATTCGTTCCAAGCTGAATGTGTTCTTCGGTACAGGACTCAAAATCGACTCATCTGGACATATCTCTTTGATGAACTTGTTGATCGCCTTGCGTTGCTTCTTTGATGGCTTGAGATAGGACATGTTTGTACGAATGGTATACAATCGACAACACGTTCTTAGCAAATCACTCTTGTACAAAAAGCTGCCTGATCTTCTAAACCCCTGGTTTATCAATTCATCATAGTTTTGACATGTCATGGACGTGATTGATGATCCCACCATTATCGATTGCTTGTCTCTGCCATTGCCCCGACTACCTAGCGATTTCCGAGCTTGGCTTTCCAATGCAAAGTAGTCCTCTTTGTTATCGTTGCAGTATCCGCAATGTCTCTCTTTTATATACAATGGAGCTGAGAATATCATTGGAGTTGCAGGTGTCATATAATGTTGGCTGCATAAAGGCAGAAAAATGAAAATAGAGATCAATAAAGGGTCGATGCGCAAAATGCTGCAGTGGAGAAAAATAGCACAGACGTGAAATATGACTGGTCCCCGTCGTGTACACTTGAGGCTGAGGCATATAACTATTTAGAAGGCCAGTACGGAGGATACCAAGGTCAATTTGTTAGTTGTACAATGCACTGGAAACGAAATGCACACGTAAAGATGCAGCCTTTTATAATATAGAGTTTTCTTCGATTGCCCCTATCTCTACACTCTGATGCAAATTGAGCCCCATGTTACCCCACTTCAGCCAATTTGACTTAAACTGGTTGAAGTTGATAGCACTGTGTCAATCATTTGCATAGCACTCTTGGACCTGTTATGATAAAGAAGTCTAGGTGGTCGTGTAATTGCATAGTTTTCTCTCTCCCTTTTTCTTTTCTTTTTTGCCGCTTAGAAAGTCCTAATCATTCCTTCCACGTTTGCAGTGTACTCTGGTTAAAAACCCTACTGTCCCTAATACGCTCTTCATTAGCATTCAATTACTCATAACTGGTTCAAAATGAGCTCGGCCAAGACCAGTCCTGTTAAAAAGCCAATTCAACCCACAGATATCTCTAAAGAAACCGATACTACAGAAAATGGTGATGAAGATACGCCCTCCACGACAAACGAAATTGACGAAGACCCATCAATCCTTTCTGACCCAGAAGACTACTTAGAAGAGAATGAGTCTCTAGATATGAACTTGAGTCGAGGCGATCAGAAGGTTTGGTTGGTGAAATTGCCCAAATATTTGATGGACAAATGGAGTGACCCAGAATCAATGAAGAAGGGAAATCAGCTAGGGAATGTGAAAATCAGAAAAGACGCAAGGGGGAAACTAGAAGTGAAGCTTGTTTTGGAAAAGAACGAAACGGATATACCACAAGAATATGATATTAAAATGCTCAATACTCAAGTTCGTAATTCCTACGCTTTCACTGAGGAGAATTTAAAGAAATTCAAACAAGAATTAACCGAAGTTGGGGCAATGCCTCAACAACCTCAATTGAAAGAAACGGATGACAAGAAGAAGAAGTTTCAACCCAGAAGAAAATTCAAGTATTTCAGAGTACAAAAAAATGGCGATGGTTCCAATGGGCAACCCATTCGAAAATATATTCCATTTGTCAAAACCATTCCCAAAAAGACAAGCCTCTTGGGGAAAGTTGTTCATGATTGTCTGATTGTTCCATCAAAAAGAGATAAAAGCTATGCCGCATTGATTAGAAGCCGCGATGCAAATATTCAAGGGCCACCTAGACCAAAAGTCACCTTGCTTAATGAAATCCCTGGAGTCATTCAATCCAATGCTGGTCCTTCGATCAAAGGCAACAACACCTCAGTCTTTCTCAAATCCACCCAACCTAAGAACAAAGCTGATGGCAGGGCCATTAGAATGCCCAAGCAAGATCTTTTGGACTTGTTGTTTAGACTATTTGAAGAGTATGAGTATTGGTCAATCAAGGGGTTGAAGGAGCGGACAAAACAACCAGAATCGTACTTGAAGGAGTCGTTGGATTCAATTGCGATTTTGATAAAGAAGGGGCCGTATACTTCCAAATGGGTATTGAAGCCGGAATATAGAAAGTTGAGAGATGCTGAAAGAGCAGCAAGGTTGGGGCTTAATGAGGAGGATCAAGGTAAAGAGAATGAAGAGGGAGAAGGAGAGAATGAGGACGAGGATATGGAAGACGTTATTTAGCCAGGAGCGGTTTCTAGATTTGGAATGAATGTCAGTAAATTTCGAGTATAGTGTAGATGTGTGACACAAAAAGCAACCCCTAGATAAACCTTTCATGGTGAGAGGTGAATAAACCGTTTGGTAAAGTGCAGCTCGTGCCGTTAGCTGCGTCATTCGTCTCTTTAGGAATGACTGCCACTTTGCTCAAGGATTGTGACGTAGTTTTTACGTACGTAGCCTCTTCATGGAGACTCAACCGCAGTGGCAAAGGTTCAACCTACAATATCGTAGAGATAAGTGAAAGTCGATAAACTGGAGCGAATAATAAGGCTCTGTTGGGGAACTGCTTTGCTTGGGTGACCGAGTCGTATAGACACGTAGATTCCTGTTCAAGATTTCCAACTGATGCAAGGGTATCTGCCGTCCCCAAACCTAGCTCCGCATCCGTATCCGTATCCTTCTATTCGTATCCATCAACTCTTCTACATCCACATAAGCAAAAAAAGAAAAAAAAAAATACTATATCATTCCATTAAAAAAAACGTGTTACACACATGCCTTCATTTCCATCTAAACAAGCTTGTTTACAAGTTGGTGATTTTCAAAGTTGGTGGCAATGATTGTTGCAATTTCTTAGCTTTAGTAGCATCGTTAACAACCAAAGTGTATTGATATTTAGAACCTCTAACCTTGAATTTGGTTTGTCTAAACTTCTTTCCGTTAGCATTGATCTTGCTGTTGACTTTGACAATGGCGGATTTGACGTCCGATCTTCTAGCTAATTCAACGAATTCTTTTATGTCTTTGATTTCCTTGGCCATTGTGTGTTGTGTTGTGTTGTGTTGGTGGTGGGGATTTGGTGTGATGGGAATGGTCTTGGTGTTTTCGCTAAATTTAATTTTTCACTACCAGTAATGCGTAGACAGTCTTTCCCTTTTTTTTTTTCTGGTGATAATAGAGGTCGTGCGCGTGGTAATATAGGGCTCAGCCCTAGATCGTTCAGTTCCATACACAATATACATCAACAAGTAAAGATTTATTATACGAAGCTGCAACTGTTCCATCACTGCGTTCTCTTATCAAGAGTAATCATGATGGGTCTCACCTTCCTGCCAGGTGAGGTTGCAAAAATATCGGTAGCGCAATACATTACCTACCCCCTCTTGCTGTACATCCTTTCCTTAAAGTTGATGAGTCTCTTGACACTGATAATCCATTTGCGAGTCAGCTCATTCATCATGATGTTACTCACATTTTTACTTCCTGTGATTCTCAGGCTCGAACTTCGTGCATGAATACCAACGTTGACTACACCGATTGGCCAGCAAACATTCCCGATACTCAATTTCATATAACTTTCATTGGCTTTGTTGAACTGGTTCGATTGTAGATAGTAGATTATGGTGGAGAGGGATACAAGTGCTTCTGTTGGTATTTTGCCACTTCGCAACTTGTACAAAAGGTTAACAATTCCCTTTTTGGTTTTCTTTAGTAGTGACGCATCCTCATCAGTCTTGTCCCTTTGCGCCTCCCATTCGCGTATGATCTCTTTAAGAAACACTCGAGTTTGAATTCTCAATTGGGGTCGGTGTTGTTCTGCCTCAATTATCGAGTCAAGTGTGATGATCTGCTTTGAAGGGTCTTGATACAACGGCTCTTCTTTATCTAACCAATCCTTATATTTTTCATTTCGAAGTTCCAATTGTAATAGATATTGTAGCTTCTTAGATTTGTCTTTGCTGGTCATCTCACTGTCGTATTCGTTGTATTGCTTCAACTTTTTGTCAATTTCAGCTTCGCTCAATTCATTACCCTTGGTGGTTGCTAGCACAAATTCATCATTGGGTAAGTCACCAGATGAATCTCGGACTGTGTCTTTCCTGCTGTCCTCTATAACTTCCTGTTTATCCTTGTCATCTTGTCCTTTACCACCCTCATTTCTTCTGTGTTTTGCCTTTTTGTTGGAACCCTCCCGTGACAGCTTCTTTCGTTTGCTTATCTCTTTCGACAAGATGTTAGAAAAGTCCATCACTTGTGTGTGCCATGTAATTGTGTCTGTTAGACATTCTTGCCAAACTCCTCAATATCACAAGCGGATTTGATTGCGCTACAAAAAAAAAGAGAGAGAGAGAGAGAGAAAAAAGATGTTCAAATCAGGAACCCCCCAACATTTTGCACTCAACAAATACAGCAATATACCGGTGATTCGATACAAGGGTATTTCTTTGTATCAACTGGACGTCAGGAACTACATCAAGTGTATCTAACCAATTGGACATATCATACACATTCCCGCACTGGTTTTCGCTATGTCCGACACCGCTGGCAAAAAGTCCACCACAAGGTCGAATTCTGATGCACAATCACGACTTGAAAGCATCAGTAGCACTTTAGCTGATGCGGGACACACAAATGGTGGTGAATTGCGAGCCAACTTTGCTTCCACATCTGAGTCCTCTAAGGGCACGTCGCGCACCGAAGGCAAGAAATTACAATCCTCTCCATTATTGTCATCCACACCACCCGTTGTGTCAAAGGCTCTTGTCAGAGCATACCCATATTTATTGATAATCAACAAGTTGCTAGCCATTGCTACTTGGACCAATGACGACTATTGGGTTAATATTGTTCTTGTGTGTTTGTATGCATTTGCAGTGTTGTACTTTGAAAACTTGGTAACATGGTTTGGCCACTTGATAATTGTGGGCGTGATTACATTATTTGCATTATTGAATGAAAAGATTATTGAAGAGACTAGCGTGAATCCTACATTGGATGATGTGGTTCATGCTTTAACAGCAACGTGCATCAAAGCAGATATGTTGATTTATCCCATTACTTCGTTATCGTTAACGGCTTACGATATCAAAAGGCTTTTGTTTACGACATTGTTCCTTACTCCTGTGTACTTGATTATCACTTTTTTGTTGGTCAAACCCCGCTTCATCTTGTTATTCACCGGGTTGTTTTTATTTACCTACCACTCGTCATATTCCGTCGTAATTAGGAGAATAATTTGGAAACTCAAAGCCGCTAGAGTCATTTCCTTCTACTTGACTGGGTTGGATTTGTCACAGTCGAGAAAAAGCTCATTATTTGCTGCAGCTTTTGCAAAAGTGCAAAAGAATGAAAATATTGATAACCCAACTTCCAAACCGGTGAGATTCACCTATGTCATATACGAAAACCAAAGAAGGTGGCTAGGTATTGGATGGACCTCGAACTTGTTATCATATGAGAGAACCCCTTGGACTGATGAGTTCTTGAACGAGAGCAGCTCGATCGAGACGTTTAAACTACCAGCTACTGATGACACAAACATGTCGACCGACCCTCATTTGCAAGGAGCTACATGGAGATGGGTGGACAAGACATGGAGGTTGGACTTGACTAATGACGGGGCAATTACCTTGCCAAGTTCAAAACGATCAAAAACAACTGCCAACCCTTCAACTGATGAGGGATACATCTATTACGATAATGTATGGAAGAAACCATCAACTGAGGACACATTTTCAAAATACACACGGAGACGGAGATGGATAAGAACGGCAGAATTGGTTTACAATAACAGCAAAGCATCACCAGTAGAGGAGAATTTGGAGAATATTTCTGACTCGGTAAAGTCCACTGGCGCAAGTACACTATCCACGAGTCCTTCAAGGACAAAGAATTTGAGATTTGCTGAAGAACCGGAAACCAAGGAATCAGGCGAAGAAAGTACTGATAAGAAGAATATATAGTTTAGTGTAGTCGGCACTAGCCACGATCTAATCGAAAAAATGAAAAAAATAAAAAAAAAAAAATGGTCTGATGGAAAGCTTGTGGGAGATTCCGTTGGTTTTATTTTTTTTCGCTCGGTGTTCTCCGCAGAAAAGCTGCAACAATAATAATAATAATAATAAAAACAGACGTATTAGCCCGAGATGCATCTCGCAGGTTTGCGCAATCTAAATTGATTCTCTCCTCCTTATCCAAATTAATTGATTTTTGATAACAAATGATTCGACAAAGTGTATAAATAGATTAGCAAATCACCCTTGACTCCCCACTAGATTTTTCTTCATCAAACTAGTCACACTCACACTCACACTCACACTCACACTCATATTTATACAATGGCAGAATTATACAATAGCTCCTACGGTAAAGCCAACGTCAAGTTCTTGAAAGTCAAGAAAGATGCTTCTAATCCAACCATTCAAGATGTCCTTGAAGCCAACGTTCAAGTGTTGTTGAGAGGTAAATTTGACACCTCTTATACTGAAGCTGATAACTCATCAATTGTCCCAACTGATACAGTCAAGAACACCATTTTGGTTGAAGCTAAAACTACTGATGTTTGGCCAATCGAGTCCTTTGCTGCTCATTTAGCTAAACACTTTACTTCAAAGTATGATCAAGTTGAAGGTATTGAGGTTAACATTGTTCAAGCCAAGTGGACCAAGATCAAGTTGGAAGGTAAAGAACATGCTCACTCATTCAAACACGAGGGACCAGAAACGCGTCAAACTTATTTGAATTATGACAAATTGACCAAGAAATTGACCTTGTCCTCATCCATTAAAGATTTGACTGTTTTGAAGTCAACCGGGTCAATGTTTTATGGATACAATGTTTGTGATTACACTACTTTGCAACCAACCAAAGACAGAATCTTGTCCACTGATGTTTCATCCACTTGGACGTTTGATCCAAAGCAAATCGCGTCCTTGGACGATGTGATTGGTAACGGTAAGTTGTTTGACCGTGCATACAATGAAGCTAGAGATGTTACTTTGGAATTGTTTTGTAAGGAAAACTCACCATCAGTGCAAGCCACCATGTACAACATGGCTGAAAAGATTTTGGCCAACGTCAAGCAAATTGCCACTGTTACTTACATTTTGCCCAACAAGCACTACATTTTGTTCAACTTGGAATGGAAAGGTATCAAGGACAACAAGGAATTGTTTTACCCATCTCCAGATCCAAATGGGTTGATCAAGTGTACCGTTGGCAGAAAGGGAGACAAAGCTAAGTTTTAAGTAGGTCCTGCTTTGAGTGTATTTCAATTCATAGATTGTATATTGGAAATGTAATTTAAGATAAGTGGAAAAAATAAACAAATAAAAAAAAAAAAAAAATAAAATAAATCTCTCTCGATGAGCCGATAGGCAAAGATCAATGTCGAGAAACGTGGTACTAACAGTGCTCGCTACTGCTGCAGTGACCACTGCGGTGGTAGAGCTCTATCATAGGTACAGAGAAGTTACCACCACGAAACCACAACCGACAAAGACGCGAAAATTTGCTTCCAGTGAATACTCAGAAGAGCTCATTCGTGAACAGTTGGCTCGAAACTATGCATTTCTCACAGAGGACGGTATGGCTAAAGTACGAAACCAAAGGATCATAGTTGTTGGAGCTGGTGGTGTTGGATCATGGGTGGCAACAATGCTTGCCCGATCGGGAGTTGGTCATTTACGAATTATTGATTTTGATCAGGTTTCTCTCAGTTCGTTGAACCGACACGCGGTGGCCACTGTTTCCGATGTGGGGATTTCCAAAGTTGAGTGTTTGAAGAACCATCTATCGAAGATTGTGCCGTGGATTGAGATTGATGTGCAGAATAAGCTATGGAACTTGGACCTGGCTCAAGAATTGTTAGATTTCAAACCAACTTATGTCATTGACTGTATTGATAATTTTGATACAAAGTGTGACTTGTTAACTTATTGCCATCAACGTGGCATCCCCATTGTTTCCTCTGGTGGTGCTGCTACCAAATCGGACCCGACTAGGATAAATGTTGCCGATATATCCAAAACTGAAGAAGATCCATTATGTAAAAAGATTCGTATTGTGTTGAAGAAAAGAGGTATCACCACTGGCATCCCATTCATATTCTCAGCAGAGAAACCTGACCCAAGAAAGGCGAAACTTTTGCCATTAGCTGAAGAGGAGATTGTCAAGGGCGAAGTTGATCAATTGTCGGCATTGAAAGATTTCCGTGTGCGTATATTGCCGGTATTGGGAACCATGCCAGGTATGTTTGGATTGGCCATCGCTACGTACATTTTGACTACAGTGTCAGGGTACCCAATGGAACCAATTGAAGGTAAGAACAGGTACAAAATTTATGATGACATGTTGCAAAGTTTGGCTGGTCAGCAATTGCGCATCGGTGAGGAAGACCAACGTGTCAAGATTTCCATGACTGATGTAAATTACATTTTGGAGGAGGTGTTTAGAGGTAAGTCGCCAATTTCAAACTACTCAACTAGATTAGCTTTGAGTAAATGGGATCCATCAAAGGAGATTAGCTTGCAAAATGTTGTGGTCATGACTAAAGATGAACAAAGGAAGCATGAAAAGAGGGTTTTGATTGGCGGGGAGAAGTTGGAAGACGTTTACCTGAAAGAAGTTCTTGATTTGGTAAAATCAAGGCACAAAGATGAAGCATATTATTCAAAATTTAGATAGCCCGTGTGTATATAGAGATGTAGATTGTTAAGATTCTCAATCGCAGTCATAATGGCAAGATGCAGCTTATGTGCGCGAAAACTTGCTTGGAAAAAAAAAAAATCCGGAACTTCATCTTTAACTCCATCCTCTGCCCGCAGTTCTTCAGCTGTTTCCCCCCCTTCCCAGTCCTGCCCACTAAGGTCTATAAATGTTCCCATTCAGGCCAGCGAATCCGTTGCGGAGCTATTTCCGCTCCACTGTGTTTCCAACGCGAGCCTACAATTCATTGCGCAGTTCATTCAAGTCCATGAGATTCAACTCCTCCACCACTCACAATGTCCCACCTCCAAAAGGCAAAAAACCACAAGGTATCAAAGCATTGATGAAGGAGTATGGATACCCTGCCTTGGCCGTGTACTTGGGTCTCTCAATGATTGACTTGCCAATCTGTTATGTGCTTGTGCATTCAATGGGACAAGAAAAGATCCAGTACTATGAAAACAAGGTCAAGCAGACTTTCGGGTATGGAGTTAGTGATGCTGAATTGAAACACCAACAGGAAGTGCAAAAGATTGAAGCGCGTATGGACGAAGATGACAATGCAATAGAGCAGAACGGCAACGGTGATCAAAGCGTAATTCAGTTTGTATTGAGTCAATTCTCATGGACTGAGTTTGCCATTGCATATGGCTTGCACAAGAGCTTGATTTTTATCAGGTTGCCCATTACTGCTGCAATTACTCCCGGAATTGTCAAGTTGTTACGAGGCTGGGGTTTTAGAATTGGTACTGATAAGTTGAGTACTACTGCTAACTTGGCTAAAGATTTAGCCAAGAGCGGATACAAGGATATCACTGCTAGTAGTGGTAAATTTGGTACCAGGCCAGGAAAGAGAAAGTGGTGGTGGTTCTTTTAGGAGTTATAGAGAGTGTGTTTGTTTGTTTGTTTGTTTGTTTTTTTGCATGTAGATAGAGTAACTAACTTTGATAAATATACTGTAGGTTTAATTCTACTGTCTAATCTCTAACCTCTATATTCCCAAAAACTTCTTCATTCGTTCGTAAACAAAGAACGAACAAGCAAACATTGGTACAACTTTCATATATCCAATACTCAATCCAATGAAAAACCCCTTAAATCCACTCTCACGATAAATCAAACGTGCAGTGTTTTTGAACGACAAGAAGTGACCTCCTCCAACAGCACCTCCAACTTGCATTCTTCTTCGAATAAGTTCAAATGGGTAAGCTGCAGTTTGAGAGAATAGTCCCGAGATACCACCTGCAACTAATTGGGCGTATGCTTTCAAAGATGGGCGTGACTCTCTAGACGATTTAGTTTTCACCGAAGTTGAAGTGGACTTATCAGTTGCCGGTTGCACTGTATACTCGCGCAACGGTTTTGATCGTAATATATCATGAAGCAAGTCGTGGGCATAAAAAGAGACACCCGCATACGGGATCATTCCCATGATTGTTGGTGCAAACCCACGGTAAAAATTACTTATGCGTTGGATATTGGCTGGCAAAACTTTTCTCATCACAGTCAACCAACGCGGGTCATTAGACCTCGTTGGCGGGTTCTCATGATAAATAATTCGTACAGTTTGGAAAATACGTCCTCGATGACTACGCATAAACTGTTGGTGTTGTGGATGTGCATGGTGCAAATTTCTCGTCTCAAATGCTAATCGTACACGTATCAAGTCCAAAGGATATGTGAAGAAAACCGAAGCTAATCCTGAAAGCGACCCAGCAAGGAACCGTCTTCCAGCAGTTTCATAAAGGTCATTTGGAATCAAAATTGTTCTAATTTGTTCATAAGCAACAAACTTGATTGAGGCATAGGGGAAGATGCGCAACAATGTTATTGAATGACCTTGGTATAATCCCCATAATCCATCGCTGGCCCAAATTCGTTTTCCAGCACGCACTAGTCCTTGGAATGTGCCTCGGTACTTGAGAAATTCTGGATTTGAAGTCTGAAATAAAATTTTGATACGATCCAACGGTGCAACGAGTGTCTTGGCTGCTGAGCCAGCTACACCACCGGCAATCCCAGAAAGAATTACATAATGCAAACTCTGTTTATCGATAACTTTAATACTTTTTATTGGTGTGGATTGGTCGTTGGAGTAGTAGCCAGATAATGGAATCGTGTCGTTGAGATCGTCACCCTTCTTGGTAACGGATGTGGTGCCCAGTTGGGTAAAAAGCAAGCCCTTTAAGCCTCTTGATAGTTTGGATACCATTAGTGAATCTGAATCCTGGTTCGTTTCGCGCTGTGGTGGTGGTGGCGGCGGCGTGAGCCCTACGTGCTCTGATGACAGCAGCAGCACCAGCAGCAGCGGGTGCATCGGCGGTGACGATGCTTGGCCTCGTAGTATTTCATTCTCTGACATCTAGACACAGTGGTGAAAAGGAAAAAATGGAGTTAGATCTGGTGGGAAAAGATCTCTAAATTATCCAATGCTTTGATATTATATAATCTCACTCGAGCTATAAATTTTTTTTTTTTTCCTTCTTCGCTCTTTGTTGAATCGTCCGGGGTAAAAGGGCTTGACTCCATAATTCTCGCAAGTGTCTCTTGTCGTGAATCAAATGCAATACAAGAGAGTCATATATGGATAGCTCTTTTGCTTGTTACATAAATACATAAATGTACCCATCACTTTTCATTCATAACACACACTAAGTAAGTAAAGCAAAAAAATATAAGTACTGTCATAAATTAGAGATATTACCATTAAATCCACTTCTTGTCTACCTTGTCTCGCTGAGGGAATGAGAAAAAAGAATTGAAAAAAAAAGAAAAAAAAAAAAAAAATAATCGAGATTGCTGCAACAAAGTGGTCCCCCCTCCCCCTACTTGACGCTAATACGCCTACGCCTAATCTTCCACACAGACATCCCAATATACCCCTTTATGAACCGAATATGCCAATTGCATCAAAGGGTCCTCGGTAGTAGTGCCAAGCTTCTCTCTTATGCATCTACAAAGCACCAAGTACGACTCACCAGCACTCATCACCACCTGAAGATTTCGGAATCGTTTCGATTTACAATGTCGCGACTAGCATCACCAGCAATGATCCTAACATCAGCAATTCCAATATCTGAGAGCAACAGCAAACGCGATCTTCACGGAATGACGCTAAGTTCCGTTTGTTCATTATCAGTATACCCAACACCATGTCTTGAGTTCAATTTGCATTTACCTTCGTACACGTCAACTGCATTGCATCAGCATCAGTATCTCGCGATACATATTATGCCGCCTACAAACCACTCTGCCAAGATCTGTCGTGTTTTTGCCAAAGGTGTCAAGTTGAATAAACGAAGAGGAACCAATGAGCTTAATGATGATGATGATGATGATAACGATGGAGAGATGTTCCACGAGATGACTACTCCATTCACTGAGTTGGTGGAGAACCAAGACTATACATTCATCAGGAGAGTTGAGGACAATGTGGCAATTCCAGTTTTGAACCATGCTGAACTGGTATTCATTTGTAAAACATTGCACAATTTCACAACAATTGGTGATCATGAGATTTGGGTTGTTCAAGTTGTTGATATCTTGTCACAATCAAACCCAACTGGGGGAATTTTATACTTCAATAGAGGTTTCCACAAAATTGGAGAGTCGTTGTTAGAGGAGTAAACATATGTATAGCATTTGTAGGGTATATAAACGTCTATAACCTTTCACCTGTATCCTCCATCAACTCTGCAAGCTCTTGTCTCAACAATTCGGTTTCATGCAAAATTCTAGGAATAATAGTATCAAACTTTTCGTTGGTCTTTTTGATTCGTTTAGCAAACTTGCTCAAAATTTCACCCTTTTTCAAATTCTTCAATTCCCAATGGATAGACTTCAATTCTTCTTGTTTGGACTCGTGGCGAGCAAGTAGTTTTTGATACTTTGTCGACAAATTGCTTTGCTCTTGTTGCAACTTGACCAAACTTGACTTGTACTCCTTGAGACGAGACTCATGCTGCGTGTACTCCTCTTCTAATCGATTAATCTCTTCTTGCTGATCGTGTTCTTTTGCTTTTGATTGTTTCTGCAAAGACTCTTCCTCTGTAGTTAATGTGTCAATCTCAGCTTGGATAGAATCAATTTCACTCTCCAATTGCAGCACCAGATGTTTCAACCCTTGAATTTTTCCATACACGCGATTCTCATTCACTGGTTTGGCACTATTGTATTTCGAAATCTTATTCTTGACTACGTCGATTGAATTTTTCAAGTCGGAGATTTTCTTATTTTCATCCCTTTTCAACTTCTTCAACTTGAGTTTGAGATTGTTCAAATTTGTCATTGTTGAAGTGAGTGAAGTTTGCAAAGTTACCAAGGACGAAGTTTCTCCACTTGATTTATTGATAATTTGATCATTTTCGTTCGTGGTGTTGATCAAGAAATGGTTGAGCAAGACATCGCCATCCAAAATCTCCACCTTGTATTGGAACAACGGGGTCAACCCATAAATGGTGATATAGCTTGATTCCTCTTTGAAATACGACCAGTTGACATCGTTCAATCTAATCTTTAGATCAAGTCGTTGTTGCTCAAAGAGCAACTTCAAAACCACTTTACTTGAATCAATGGCAATAACAGCAATCGGCATATCCTTGCTCGCAGTAGCCTCACCATTCTTCCCTGTTGGTTCCCCATTGAACAAGTTTGGGTTTTTCAAAATTGCCTTACATGCAGCAACTATTGACCAAAATGGTTGTATAATGATTGTGTTTTCAATGACTGTAACACTTGGTGAGATTGTGGTTGTAGTTAAGGACTTGGAAACTGGTGTTGATTTGGAAGACGTCGTTATTGATGTTGGTGGGGTTGACGCTGTCACTGGTGCTGTTGGTGGAGTTGCGACTCCTAACGATCCCAATTTTGATTTTGATATGGATGCAGCACGCATTCTCGTCTTTAAAGTCGTCAACTTGCTATTGAATGGGGAGACAACAAAATTTTCAAAATTTTTATAAGCAATGGTGCTCCAGGTGTTCTTTGCAGTCTGACTCAAATCAACATCGATACTCATCAACTTATTTTCATCGACATTTACTGATATCTCTTCGGGTATTGAGTTTTGCACAATGGTTGACTTTTTAACAAGCAATGCACGGATGATGATATGAATCGATAGGAATAGATATAGTTGAATTTTGTACTGAGTGAAATTCAAATTGTTTATATATGATATGTTAATCGGGATGATCTTGGATGCGATATTGTTAAATTTTAGTGATGCCACTGCCGTCGTAGTTGCGGTCATGGTGGCGTTTGTTGTTGTTGTTGTGGGGTTGATTGACAACGATGCAAAATGAAACCAGTTTAGCAAGTAATTGATATAGTTGATGATAATGAAGCACAATACTGCATTCATCAAACTATTGTTGAAAAAAGTTCGTCTTCTATCGTCGTATTGAATCTTGCTGGTGATTTTCTTGTTTGATATGGAGTTGATGTAGTATATCGAAGAAGCGCCTATCAATTCGCTTGAAACTATTGACTTTGACAACATGATTAAATAATTGAAATAGCTCTTTTTCATAAATTTCACCAAAGTCAAATATACAACAACATCAATTAAAACCACCCTCAATGCCGAAAATGTCACACCTCTGAACACTCTCTTTCGAGAGTCGGGGAGCATAAAATTGATTAAAAACTTGCCACCCATGAAATTGGAACCCAAAACTAAATACAAAATGCAGATGAGTAAAGAAATAGATTGAGGCAATGACAATGTAACAAAAACAAGCGATAGTATATCCCGCAAGCTGGATGAGTTGGGAAAAACGGACAATGGTGGGTGATGGTGGTGGTGATGATAGTGATGATGGTGTTCAACAGTGGGTTCCAATGACACGTTATTAACTGCTCCACCTTTTTTGTCACCAACAGATTCAGCTTGGGTACTGCTGTGGCTGTTGCTGCCATTTACATGATAGTGATGATGGAACGATGTTGGTTGTGAATGATGCATACGTGCTGCAGCTGCAGCTGACGTCGATGTTGATGTTGATGATGATGTTGATGTTGATGTCGTCTTACCCGTCAAGATTGATTGTGAAGAGACTGACGACAGAGACCTCAACTTTCTATTCACAGTGGTCAGTGCTTGATGCATCTAATCATATATACAATGACGTTGGCGTAGTGGTGTGGATAGTATAAACTCGTGGAGGCAATGTTTGCAAAATGTCTTCTGGTTGTAAATTTTTTTTTTTTTTTTCACTTCACAATGTGACGTACACATTATACAACGTATGGAAAAAAAAAAAAAAGGAACGCAAAATACACACCAGCATAGGAGAGATTGAAAGGCAGATATGAAAGAGGTACTCTAATCAGCTATATGAGCTTAAACGTGATCTAAAAAGTTCCTGTCTTGAGTGCTGTGCAGGCATCGTTCTCAGTACATTCCGTTACCTGTCCTGCATAGAACAATCCAGAATCCGGTTTTCCGTTATACTTTGCGCGCTCATTTGACAGGAGAAAAAATGTGTGTGTGTGTGTGAAAATAGGGGGGAAAGCACGTGATGCAAGAATGAAGACATCCAAAAAAAAATTGGCGACGCGACACATGAACGCGTCAATTGTAAGTTGAAGAGTAGCGGCTTAAATGTTTGCATTTGAAGTTCTACCCCATGTGGAAAAATATCATGTTTGACTTCAGCAAAAGCATCGTCAAGGAAATAGTACCCAGAACTGGAACGTACCACTGCAGTATACTGTCGTCTACTGAACATATTTTTCACTCAGTGATGGAGATAAACGCGTTATGACATGCAAGTCTGTGCAGGGAAACAGTGGGGATGGGGGGTGGCGGATGTACGTACTACACAAATATAAATGAGGGTTCAATCGAAGTCACCAATTGTAGATAAAGAGCCTTGAATTGCATTGCTAGAAGAAACGCACAATGTCAATTCATTCAACAAGGTTTGAGCTTCTACTGAAATGATATGTACGAAGGTTCTTGAAATACAGAAAAATACCATTCTGTGTAGGGGCTGTCAGCATCCAGCTGCAATCTATATCATCTAATCCTTTTTCTTTTGTGATGGAAACAGAGAAGAAACCGTTGGGACATTCTATTTTGTATTCTTGTGTTTTGTTACTCTCTTTATACTGTATTTATGTGCATTATTTTTACGACAATGCACACAATTGTTTTGTTTGTCGATTTTTGTAAGACACTGAAACTTTGACTAGCCGACACTGCTTTATGAACATACAAAGCTATGTGGTGGGAGCAAATCCCTAGTTATCTACCACACACATGTAAAGGGGAGGGGGCCCTTTGGGAATGCGTTCATCTTTGAGCGTATCAATCACACTATTCTGTGATAGTATATAAGGCATTTTGAACAAGATTTACACTTTTGTACAGCTTTATTTTTGAGGTTTTTCTTGTTTCTTTTTTTGCTTTCTCTCTCTATACAAAACGCCGTTGAAATTCTTTTTATAATTATGTCATTGTGCTTTGTGTACAAGTGTTTTAAAAATAGCTGCCTCCTTCACAGTTGTTGACTCTCTCTCTATTGGGGCAACTCTTTTTACTTCGCCATAGATCACAATGTCTTTGTTGGGTTGATCAAATTAAAGCAATTATAAGTGAGCTCTTCTGACACCAATAAGCTCTTCATTACTCTTCTTCAAACTATGACTGACTTAAAGAATCCAATTCGTGGAGAAGAAAAAAAAAATAAAAAAGCAACGAAGAAAAAGTATTGACGCATACGCAAGTGAGAAAAAGAAAATGCGACACACAAGATCAAAAAAAAAAAAAACCCAATGACACTAAACTTTTTCTTTAATTCAAATTCTTTGAACTTTTGTAATTTATGTAGACTTTACGAGAAAGAGATGGATAACAAAACCGGAAAAATAGAACGACTTCAACGAATGTACTTTGTTGATGCTTAAGAGACTAAATGGAAAAAGATTTACGTCGCCCTCACACACACACACTCACTCACACCCACATTCCTCATCCACTTAGACAACCTCTGATTGGTCGATGTGCATACATACATTTAGACGGCGGATTTTGTAAAACAATAGGAATTTCATTTAACACGCGAAAAAAAAAAATAATTATAATAATAAAATATAGTTTAGGGGGAAGAACAGAGCAAAAGGGCGTTTTTGCTTTTGTTTTGTTTTTGTTCTGCTTTGCTGTATTGTCTCTTCTTCCAAAATCACAAAATATAGCAATCAATAGAATTACAAAACAAAGTTATATACAGTACCTCTTCTCGTTTTAGTATATGCGAGAAGGTTAAAATTGGTAATACGTCACAAGTTCAAAGGAGAGTTGAGAGCCTGTTTCTCTCCACCAACTCTGTATGTATGTGTGTGGGGGAGTGGGGTACGGAAAGTCTCTGTATCTCTCTCTCTCTCTTTAGCTTATTGGGTCCACCCGATAGGTTTCTGCCGAATATCGAAAGCTTACCTCGAGGATACGTTATACAACACAAACAACAGAGTCCAAAAAAAAAAGAAAAAAAAACAGAAACTTTAAAAAACAATAAAGTTAATTTTTGTCATTCATTTTTCGATTGGTATTGGTATTGGTTATTGTTATTGTGCTCTTTTTTAAGTGCAAACACAGACACAGAACTCAATCCACCCGACACAGAAACAGAATGAGAAAAAGAGGAGAGACACACAGAGAGAGAGCAGTGATGCATCATAGTATCGAAACGTTCAACCATTTGTCCAATAATTCCATGTGGTAACTAACTTGTATGTATCGCATTGATAAGAGATTCTTACAGATTGCAATCTAGTTTAACATAATCTTTTCGTCTCTCTTCTGGAACACACTATCTTGGTGGAAAGGGAAGAAAAAAAAAAAAGAAATTTTTGTTTTTGAAAAACCAAATGATTTTGTCCTGCTTCTGTTTCGTGTCCGCTTTGTCATTCAGCAACAAGAGATACAATAACAAGCACACGCACTTGTAGGACTGTAACACTGGTTGTACTAGAACTAACCCCTTTCCTAAGCTATGAGAAGGCTATAACTCTGTAGTCTTCAGTCTGAGACAGCTCAAAGAAGAAGAAGAAGAAAACAGTGAAAATCAGAGAGATAGAGAGAGAGACTGCCAGTCCTTTAACACAAAATAGGATGGCGTGATACTGCATATAAATATACAGCCTATTAGGGGAAAAGACAACACAGCTACACAAATAAAAGCTTTGTACAGAGGTGGTAGCACTCAAAGTTAAATGCATTACAAAATTAATTTTGTGAAGAAAAATTTTCACCGTTCAACTCAACAAGAAGAAGAAAAGAAGAAACAAACACAAGAACGACAGGAAAAATTAACTACTGTTACTACTCTTTCTTTTCTTCTTCTGCTTCCTTCTGCTTATTGCTGCTACTGCTACTACTACTACTAATACTACTTCTTGTTCTTTTTTACCTGACTTTGCGGAATCAGATCTTACCAAGAGAAAGAAATAGAACATTTCAACAAGTAAACAGCACAGTTACAAACACCAAAAGCACTTCAGTCAGAAACTTAAGTTGGATTTGTTTACAGTTCCTTGGAAAAGTTGAAAAAAAAAAAATTTTTGTGAATCAAAATAAAGAGACGTCTCAATACATCAGCAACCGCTCCTGAGCAAATCATGAATCAACACTTGAACTCTTCAACAGGTACCCCCACTAATGGAGTGGGCCACTCGGGCCCTGCTGCTACTGGTTCCAATGATGATGGTCATTATCAAATTCCAATCAACAGCGGTGGTGTTCATCATCAACAACAACAACAGCAACAGCATCATCAACTTCCAGCTCCATCTGCTTATGGGTACGACCATGGAGCTACTGGTCACTTGCAACCACTCCAACAGCAACCAATGCAGCACTTGCCAATGCAGCACTTGCCCATTCATTCACTTCCCCAGCACTACCCCATGCACACTTTGGGTCAACAAGGACATTCGCAACTGCACACACCTCAATTGTATCAACAACAAGCTGCTGTTGCCACTGCTAATGCTCCCGGTCAAGGACAAGCTGCCCACTATGCAGGTCAGCACCACCAGTTGATGACACCAAATCCTTATCAGCAATATCAACAGCAACAACAATTGCCTCATTTGCACCCAGGCGGAGCTGCAGGTGACACTCGTGACCATCTTAACCTCCAATTCAATCCAATGGCATATCAGCAACAGACACAGCACCAGCAATATCAACACTTGATGCCACAGCAATCACAAACACCCCAACCTGTTGAGCCAACTCCCCCAGGCAAACGTCAACCTAAAAAACAGAAAAAGCAAGTTGGAGAACCCGTTGATGCGCATGCTTTGGCACAGCAACATCACATGGAGATGTTAGCTCGTGCCAGTCAGAATGAAATAATGGAGTCTACGACTCGGAAAGTCGCTCCAAGATCAAGTGACCTCTTCCGTGTTGGACCTCCATTCAATCCAACTAAACAGCATGCGCCAGTGTATGTGGCTGGCAGTAACATGCAAGTGTTTCCAACCTTACACGCCCGTATCGATCGTGGGTTTGAACCAAGTCAGTCCAACTCTTGTTGGATTGGCTACAAGAGAAATTATTTCAGTTTAGTTTCGTCCTTTGAAATTTCTGGCCTACCATTTGAGCAGTTTCTCCACAACAGCTACTATACTGTTGACGCTGGAGGACCCCAAAGTAAGCCAATTTCGTATTTTGCCATACGTCTCACTGCCAAGTGTCTGGATGATGATATTGCAATCTCGCTTATTCAACACACAGCAAAAAGAGATAAAGGACCACAATTTGCGCCACCAATCTATCCTGCTTTACCTGGCGAATTGCCTGATCATGAGACTGTCAAGGCCAGCTGTAATAAAAGAAACTCGGCCAAGATCGAAGCCCTCAACAAGGTGTTTTTCTTCAACAGAGGTGATTCGTACGAAGCCAAGAATTCAATTTTGAGAAACTACCCCAGTGATTCAATTTCAAAAGTGGCAAGATTTGAAAGAATCCAATTCACTAGTTCAATCCGTGTCAAGGCCACCAATAGCGCTGCTCGTTACTTTACTTTGGCTGTTGAATTGCTTGGTATTGTTGAAGAGGATTCTCAAATTCAACCTGTTTTGTTGTCTCTGATTGAATCTCCGCCATTGATCATTAGAGGTAGATCTCCATCCAGCTACCACAAGGACAGAACAAGTGGATACAGAGCACAATCTTAATGTAATATTTTGTATAGTACTTTTTTCTTTTGTAATTTTTTTTAGATTATATTGTTTAACTTCGTTATTTTTACTATTATAGGAAAATAAACGGAGAAATACCACGTGATGTATGCCGCATAACACGATAACTCACTGTATTCTTCCAATTAAACGGAATTATTTTTCCTCGGGTTTTTGCACATACGTTCCAGAAGCTTCAAAAAAAAGAATTTGTGTTAATGTCCTCGGAAGAGCCCACAGCTTTAGGCCATCAGCAGCAAGTCAAAGATGCTCTGAGCATCAATGAGTGTTCAAGGAGTGGTAGACCAATTGATGGTGAGGAGAAGCTTTCCTCGCCTGAAAGATATAACCAACTGATTCAGTCGAGATTTCATCTGTTTAGGCTATTAAAATTTTACTTTCTGTGGTCAATGGGACTTGTTGGTGCCGTGGCCACTTTCATTAGATCAGATGAAAGTAAAGGAAAGAAACGTGCTCTATATGGTATGTTCACTTTTGCTATGATATTACAGGCATCTGAAATCATGCTTTTTTTGGAAACGAGACTTGAGCGGAGCGTTAACAACGATCAATCCTTAGGTCGTGATAGAGCTATAGTCCATTATGTTTTGAAAGATCCAGTCTTGAGTTTCGGCTATGTTGCGTTCATAAGCTTTGTGTTGTACTGTGCGTTTGTTTGCCCCGTTGATTTCATTTGGTCGACAGATCTCTACATATATGTTACGTTGACAATGGTCTTCATTGATTATGCTTTCCGGTATTTTAGCTCTCGCAATGGAACCAATCCAACAAGCAGTTCACCCCTACACGAACGGGAGTCTACTTCTACAAATGAAGCAGAGGAGCAACTATTGGAAATAGAAGATTATGAGTTATTATTGGAGACGACTTTGGGAGAAAACGATGCAGCTATGAGATTGGCTGAATCGGCGTCATCGGTCATTGAAAACTATAAAATAAAGGCCAACCAGAATATGCGCAAGTACAAAACCTTTCGGTTTGTGTTTCCCATCACTCTGATGTTGATCTTTTTATTGAAAACGTTATGGGTTACAAGAACGAAACCGTTGGCAAGAGTGCATGTTTTCGTTATGAATGAGTTACTAATTTCAACATCATTTTACATTCTTGGGAGACTCAATAACAAGCGCAGACATGACATTCTTGATGATTACGTTCGGGATTACGTGCGTGTCGCCAAAAATCAAGAAAAGATTAGCCTCTCTGAAGAGAGGTTCAAGAAAAGATTCAGTGCATACTGGTACACCTTCTGTTATACATTATATATGGCTCTCGGCAACATTCAGGATTATAATAGCTGCTTTATCAACTTTTGTGTTGTGTTGTTTTTGATGCTCAAAACTAACAAGGTAACAACTGGAAGCTATTTGAGATTCAGGACTCAGATAAAAGCAAATAATAATAGAGTTTAATGAGTGACTATGCTGTATTGGGTGTCTGAATTTGCCGCAAAGGTCAGATATGCTATCTCAACGTTTCCTTCAAGCCCAGTCTTGGCTTGGAATTTCATTGAACTTCATATGCACAGAGTATGCAAGACCAAAGATGACGCACAAGCTCGAAGCAGTGAGATTATTCTCCCAAAGCACATCTCAAGCTGACAGCAAAACCGTACCTAAAAAAACGGGGTGAGCTTTACTCTATACTTACAAGTACGTCTTTCAGCAATAATTGGAAACTGTTTCCAAGTAGGGATGGATACGTCCATCATTCAAACTATGTCTACATTGTTTACTTTTTTTTGCAACCGTGCCCTCTTCATTTCTATTAAAAAATCTATATATCAGCTACTCTCACTTTTCCCCACCATTAACTTTACAATCTGCCAAATACTGTGTCTAGCCTCGACAACTGGCAACACCACAACGTAAAAAAAGGAGCAAAACAACCAGATAATAATTACAACCACTGTGCCTAATAAGAAGTTTGGACTGAAAATGTATGGAGAGGCACCTAATGGGACAGGAATGATAATGGTCATAACCAACGCAAGGATAGCCACCAATATACCATATTTCTTGAACTGGTGGTCCAAGTGCTTATGATCAATTACGGCTTCCAAGTTCATGTCCAACTCCGACGTTGAAGCATCATCGTCAGCAGATGACTGACTAACGTGAACAGGAGAATGCTTCAACTCAACCGAGATTGCCTCTTGGACATCTTCCAACTCATCAGATTGCTTTCTCTTTACCAAACTGGTTCGATTTCTCGTCTCATTGAAATCAAAATTGGCTGGCCAGATTAACGACATTACAATCGAAATTATCCCACCCATAAATAAAGCAGTCACGTTACCAGTGAATGAAACCCATTGGTTCGATAAATTGGTGACGTTGACTTCGCCAGTATACGCTTTGCAAGTCACCAACCATGCAACGATACCCAAAAACATTCCACCCACAGCTCCACCAACAGCGCCAGCTTTATTAAGATCCTTCCAAGTGAAACTGAGCGCAATGGGGAAAACACCAGCACCAGTGGCACACCCGAGGAAATTAAACAACCACCCCATACTTATCTTTGCAGCACCGTAAAAAATCGACGCCAAGCAAGATGAGAAAATGGCCCAGCCAAAGACACTGATCTTGGCAGCTCGGACCACTTGTTTCGGGGTTGCATCGGGCTTGACATATCTCTTGTATATATCGTAACTGATTAAGGTTGACGTGCCGATCAATTCTCCTGCAAATGACGACGTTACTGAGAAGAAAATCATCACCAAAATCATTGCTGAGCCAGATTTCCCCATCAAGTAAGTGGCTGCAGCTACTGGGGCCAAGCCTTCGCCAACTTCGAATTCGGAAAGCGATGGGAAATCCGGGTATGCTGATAGTGCTCTTCCTGCAAGTCCCAAGCCTGCTCCCATGGCAAATGGTATAACAAACCAACACACTGAGGCAAAAAAGTATGCTCTTGACGTGATTTTGGGGTCAGCCGCTACTGCTCGTGACAAATACGCTTGATCATTGACTACTAGACCAAATCCAGTAACGATACTAATGATTGAAAAAATCGCACCTTGTTTTGATCGGAACGTCAAGTATGAGCCGTGGTAGTTGTCATCAACTGCCGGTAATGATTGAAGCAACTCCCACATCCTTTTTGGTGATCCAATCTTGTCGCTGCCGAAATACACCTCAAACATGAATACAATGATAAACACCAATATGACACATGTATGAGTAGCATCTGAAATGAATGTGGCTCTCAATCCACCAAAACTGACATAGATGGCGCACCCAAACGGTATCAAAAACAAGGCTGCATACTGGCTTATTCCTGTTACGGCATTGAACACGGCCGATCCTCCCAACAAGATGCACGAGCTGACAATGGCATTACAGACAAACCCACACCAAAGGAAACTCAAATGCCCCGCCTTGCCAAACCTGAAATACCCCATTTCAGGAAACGTTGTGACCAAGTTTGCATTCTTTTTGATTTTGGACGAAACTACTGAAAACACACTCACTTGCATCAATCCCCCAATTGCATACCAGTAACTGCCACTGATTCCAATGTTGTAACTTTTCACTGCCGATTCTAGCAAGGTCAAGCTCCAGGTCCAGTTGGAAAGAATACCACTGAGCAATAACCCAAATCCAACTGATCTACTCCCAGACACAAACTCATCCACTTTTTTCGAATTGTATGAGCTGAATTTATTCTGTAAGAAAGTGACGTAGTTCATAACAATGGCAAAGAATGCGCCGCCACCTACAATAAGGCCGTAGCCTACACCTTGAGACAACGATGGCTGCATCGGGAGTTAGTGGTTCTGGAGGTGAAGAAATATGACATTGTTTTTGAGAGATTCCTTCGCTTTATGTACCTGAGTCAACTTTGAAGTATAGAGGGATTGGCGTATGCAGGAGACTAAGGATGTGCCATCTGTTTTAGACTTTGACGCATTGTTTGCCGTTAATTGCGTACTTATGAGTGCCAATCTGGTAAAATAGATGGCAAAATTTGAGTTTGTTTTTGTGTCAACTGTGGCGGTCCAGTTTTAATTAATCCGAGAGTCAAGAGCCACAGTTGCAAAGACTTTGCATTGCATCTCACTATGCAAAAGAAATAGGTTAATGGATTATCTATTGAAAAGTAATCTAACGGGTATATAAAGTCCAAGAATTGAAATCAGTAGTTTGCCAATTGGTACAAAATTTGACCGGCACTAGCATTGGTCAACAAGCTTTTTGGAGCCGGGCCGGACGAGCTTCCACTGCAATAAAGATTCTTATTGGGTTTGTATGTAGATCCTGACGTTGAGAAAACCTTGGAGTATTTTGCGTACGTATCTGGAGTTCCACTCGACGCCAGATCAAAGTATAGGTTGGGGTCATTTGGATCTTGGTCAAATTCGTAGATGTAGTTCCCTTGTCTTGTCACTTCGTCTTTGAAGTGGTCAAATTTGCCAGTTGCAAAAGCATCACCAAATCCAACAAATAGCAAATGCACATATTGGAGACTATTGTTCCAGATACCTTGAGATGTATAAAATGCACCATTCTTGTTTGTTGCTGCTGTTGCTAGTTCCAAAGCCTTGTTCAAAGCATCTTGTGAACCAAGTTTAACCAATGTGCTGATGGCACAGCCAACAGTGTAGGTCAATTTTCCTTGGTTCACTGAAAATGAACCTGAATCGAGACCATCAAAAAACAACTTGTCGGTATCCTGTAGATATTTAAACATGAAATCCATACAGCTCTGTGCCAACTCCAACAATGAATCATCACCATTGATTTCATACAACCTCATTGCACTCAACGCAACCTCTGTGGTGGAAATTGAGGCAATATAACTATGGTTTCTTTGCCATAGAATTCCACCACTATTTTGATAATTTTGCGTTTTTAAGTAATCCATGATACCTTCAGCATATTTCAAATACTCTTGGTTGTTTGTCATCTTGTATGCATCTAAAAACACCCACAATAATTGTGAATTGTCGTCACTATAGATCTCCAGTGGCGAGTTTGGCGTCGATGAAAAAGCGCCAGTGCCGGAGTCGTAGTATTCCAAAATACGCGAAATGGTTGTTTCGACTCCATTGGTATCGCCTGAATTAGCAATGGCTTTTCCCAAGACCGCCATATCCCAAATTGATGGCATTTGATATGAATTGTCTTGACAAATGCTATCTTCTTGGTTCCATTTCCCATTTTGCCAAAATCTCTGCCAAAGCTTGTTGATAGTTGCTTGGTAGGCGTTGCCTGATTGTGGAGTAGATGAGACTGCTTCATCGAGCAAGAAATTTGAAGATTGCGACGTTTCTTGGGATAATGATGTAGAGGAGGATACTGCTTGCGAGGGGGGAGCTAAATTAGGGGACGAGGGCAACAAATTCAGGAAAGTTGCAGCAGACAGCAGGGGTGTAATTGTAGTTGCTTGTGAACTAGTGCTGAGGATTGCTACTGCAGGTGATGAAGATGATGATGAAGGAGAAGAAGAAGCTGTGAATGCCGTAGGTGGGGTGGTTTCAACAACTGAGGGGGTGGTTTGCACGGCGTCTAGTGCTGTGGTAGCGACATTGGCAAAGCCAAAAAGTTGGGCAATTTCTCCAAACAAGTTTAAACGGCTCGTGCTAGCCGTTTTTGGAGTGTCAACTTCATTGTTTTGAATTGGTGATGTTGTTGTTTGTACATTCTGTGCTTGGGCGGTTTGCAAGTTTTGACTTATCCCCACTGTTTGCGTTACAACGACTGTATTTATCACTATTGGTGCTGTTGCGCCCAAAGTGACAATAAAAGGTAGAAACACGAGCATGAAAGGGGAAAACGTGTAAGCTGCTGCTGCTGTTGACTAACAACGTTGGGACCTCCTCTTACGCATTTGGCTTTCGTGTATGCATGTTGAGGAGATTGTTCTGGTTTTATACTAATGAATCAGCTTCGTCTAAGGGGCTAGGGAATGTAAACAAGTCGTATATGTTTCAGGTTTCCATGGCAACTAGGAATGTGTATATCTCTTACATCTTTCAAAATCCAGAACCGCTAACTTGAGCAAAAGAAGTGTAGAACAATAGAAGTTTCAAGTTCGTTTAACCAAATTAAGTAAATTTGCATCAATAAAATCAATACACAAAATCAAAATGTAAGGGAAAAAAAAAAACACAGATAATTGAGAGAATAATTAGACGAACAAAGAAACAAATGGGTTTCTATTGAAAACCACACAGTTTAAGTAGCCGGATATGTGAAACCCGCCTGTAACTACGCAGATACTAAAAATAGAAAACCGAAACAGAGCAAAAGTTGATAAACATCGCACTCCAAAATGAGCTGCCACGGTGGCGACCCAAACATCCGGAGAGAAGCTTTTCAAAAAGCTTTCTGTAACAAGGGTGTTAATTGTTATTGTATCCCAAATGCAACAAGATGTAGTTCCTGTACTGTATTACCCAAACAGGCAGTCCGGATCATTACGCAAAGAACAATAAAAAGAAACTGTCGAGATAAAGTTTACCGTAAACAGCGATAAACATTTTTCTTTTTTTTTTTTTTCTTGTTTTTCTATTCTTTTTTTTTTTTTTGACAACGGCAAATTAACCCCACTGAGATGGGAGAAAGAGATTTGGTCCGACACGGTTTACCCCACATAAATAATCATCTCAATTTCCTCAACAAGTGGTGGAATGTCGCAATATACAGGCACTAAGAGAATACTACGCAACCCACTTTTAACTAATGCCTCAAAATGGCTCAATGACGTGCCAAAAAAACATCACAGCAAATTTCTCCAAAGCGGGGTTTACAACCGCAATGCGCTTGATTGCAACCCATATGTCCAATCTTTAATCAAAGTGGATGCCAATTCAGGTGCTACGGTCCTACCGGTGGGAAACGCAATACGACTTACAGCAGCAGTGGATGATACTGCAAGTAAAAAGTCACAGGTTACACTACATCCAAGTTTGCATTTGGAAAACAAGCCCAGCCGCTTGATCAGTAACAGCAAAGCATACATGGAATTAGTTCAAGGGAATTCAAGACTTGCACATGCACATAGGCCAATGCAATTGGACAAGCTGTTTTTACCACTGAAGTTCAAAGTTGATTTCGTGGAGAATATGGGTGACGTGATCGAGAGGCTGTATAGAGAAAGGATTGAGTCATTGTTGAGCAGCATCCAAAAAGATGAGATGGGGACAGACGGCATCCATCTAATCGAAATGGATGGAGTTAGTCGATGGGAGGATGGAAGGTTGAAAGTCAACAAGGGCTTGGTTGGGTTGACAGATGACACATTTATCTCATTTAGAAACAATCCGGAACTCGCACGAATCATCGTTGCCTTCTGCGATTACAAAAGTTGTTGATCTCTTCATTACTTTAATTTATTACTGTCAAGTGTATATAAAATCTATCTAAATAAAGTATACCAAAATTGCGGCAAGCAAGTTGAGCAATGCCGAAGGCTTGTAAGCAACTCCATCACCTTTCTTACTTGAGCCACCGGTTGTAGTAGCCACATTCAACGATGCAGAACTTAAAGTCTTTGTAGCAGCAGAAGTATCCTTGTTTACCCATTGATTCACATCAGATCCAGAAACTGTCGAATCAAAAGAAGTTGAGTTGCTCACCCAAACAGTGGCATCACCATTGGAATCAAACACAACACCACCAACCATTGTTCCCGTTAAGTCACGTTCAATGTAGGAGTCGATGGCTATACCGGTTTCAATATATTCCGAACCTTGATAGTCATGGATCGTGGAGTACAAGTTGAGATATTCTGTCGTATTCATGACCTCAAAGATATCAAACTCTCCGCAGCCACTTCTCCAACATGAACAGTTGACATTTAGCGAATATTGGGCAGTTCTTGGAATTTGAGCATTCAACAACCAAATTGCTGGCATATTGTAGTTGGAAATTTCGGGAGATGTCTTTGTTTCATTGGGCATCTTGAATTCAAATAAAAACATCTTGGTGGTTCCGTAAAAGCCATGGTATGCTGGAATATCTGATCTATAAACACCACAATCGTTGTTCAATCCCGATTTCCCGCAACTGATATTTGAAAATATGACAAACTCGTCATTCGAATTGATCAAGGAATTTTCAGCCAAGACAGTTGCCGACTCAGCTGCACCGGTACCATTGTCACTTGCATAAGTCAATCCCAATCCCAAACACGACGAATTCTTACCAGCACGAGTTAAGAACGTGATGTTTTCCGAGGTACCGCTCGAAGCCTCGTAGTAACTAAGTCTGTTCCAATTTCCTGAATTATCATCACCAAGTTTGAACCCATCTGAAACGTACGATGCAAATTTGTCTAAAATTAACGGTCCTCTAAAATGAACAGAAACTTCTTCATTCAATGGGGTATTGGGCCCTGAAAATGTAACCTTGTTTGAATCAAGTTCACAAGAACATGAATCTTTGTAAATGTCGCTGAGCTTACTAACTTGTGAGTATGCCCCGGAATATCCGAAATTGTCAAATTGAAGCACTTCTACTGCATCTTTGGCGACAGCAGTAGCAACAGAGAGGTAAAGTAGGAATAACACTTGAAGCATAGCTCTGTAGGGAGATAATGAAGCTATTGATCAAGGAGTGTAGTCTACCTCTTTGAAAATGCAAAAAGTTAAATTAATATAAGGAAAAAGTGTTATTGAGGAATCTTAGACAATGATGAGAAAAACATCGGCTGTGTTTGTTCCTTTTTGTGCAATCATAATACAGAATGTTTTCCGCACCATTAGGGACACATACCCAAAGAAATCTTGTGTGAAGACATTGAAATATGCGAAGCTTTGGAAAGGTCTTGAGTAGCTGCTGCAAAACTGAAATTTGACACCGCTTTCTCCCCCCTCACCCCTTACTCTATATTCTTGGCAAGACAACTTTCTAGCACAAGGGGGAGAACTATTTTTGGATCCTATTTTTAGATCTTATTATCTTGGCCCGAGTGAGAGAATATAATAAGAATAAAGGCTGCATGCACGTGATTTCCCAATTATTTTCTAAGCCTTGCAAAGTTGCAAATCAAGGGTCTGAGTGACTTATTAGGTGGAGCGTGTTTATTCGATAGAACGAGAGTGTCCATCAATCTGGCACGAATGGTGGGATACTGAGATCTTTAACCTTGATTTCGTGTACAGAGTGGCAAAGTCGTCCTTTTGTACATCGTGTTGTGAGGTTGGAGACACTTTCTTCGAGCATTGTCTAAATTATACCTCACTATGGCTGTTATTGGCAATGATTTTCCACAAAATACTGCTGTGATAAAACCTGCAAAAGAGGTCGAGAAACTAAACTACCCAAAAATTATGGTAGCGTGTAGAAGAGTATTTATTTTTTTTTTTGCTCTAGCTACAAAAGTCGTGTATAACATATAAAGCCATCTCATAAAAAAATAAAAAAAAAAAAAAAAAGGAGAAGGAACAGCCAGAAGGGACCAACTCAGTATCGAGATATCGCTGTTACGCGAAGCAGCACATATACACTGATATTCAGTAATGAGTCAAGATATACTACAGGGGCTTATACGCAACCCGCAAGACATCTTCAAACTACGTAATGCATCACAATCTGAGTCCACCACCACGAATATATTCAATGAGTTAACGAAAAGTATACTTAACCCTATCGTGAAGAACTATTCAGTCCTCGATGAGTTGTATACAGATGGGTTGGACTCGTCGCAGGTGTTTGGACAGACAAAGATGGTGTTGGATGGAATTGGGAGTAAGTTGTTGGGGCAAGAGATTCCACAAGTGAGGGAGCAGATTGGAGAAGATGAGGATGAGGATGAGAATGAGAATGAGGATCAGGATCAGGATCAGAAGGTGGATGACGATGAGGATGAAGGAATTCGGGATGAGGAGCAAGTTGAATTCGGAAGTGAGGATGATGCAAGCGAGGAAAAAGAAGGACTAGAGGATTTGGATAGAGATACAGAAGACGAGAAAGACCAAAACGAACTTTCCGATGACGGTGAAACATTAGTTGGTGAAGACGATGATGAAGAAAAAAAAGATGGATCTGAAGTTGAGGTTGAGCACAGGAAAGATGTGTTTGGCTTGAATGATGGGTTTTTCGACATTGACGAATATAATAAACAAGTGCTAGCCCTTGAGAATCAGCAAGATGGGGGAATTAATGATGACGATGATGAGGAAATTGACTATTTCGGTAGTCTAAGTGACGAAGATGAGGAACAGATGGATTATTATGATGATTTCTACGACAAACCGGGGAAAGTTAGAAACACCAAGTCGACAAGTAAAGATGATGATTTTTACAATTCTGATGGAGAAGAGGATGAGGTGGGTGAGGGTGAGTTTGCCGATGAAGACTATGACAATGCCGTCAACTCAGCTAGACTAGATTTGTTTGCGGACAGCGATGAAAAAAGTCATGTCGGAAAAAAAGCAGGAACTGACAATGAAAACTTGTCGTCTTTTGAAAAGAAGCAATTGGAATTGCAACGAGAAATCGAAAAATTGGAAGCTGAGTTGGTTGCTGACAAGAAATGGACATTGAAAGGTGAGATCACGTCCAATGAAAGACCAAAGGAGTCGTTGTTGGAAGAGAATGAACTTTCGTTTGATCGCACTGCGAAACCAGTGCCCACAATTACCCAAGAAGTTACTGAAACGATTGAGGATTTGATTAGGAAACGGATAAAAAATGATGAATTTGATGACTTGCCCCGAAGGATTGTTCAAGACTTGTCGAATTTCCATCAAGGACCTAAGGCTGATGTGTCACAGCAAAAGTCATCCAAGTCTTTGGCTGAGTTGTATGAAGATGAATATAATCAAGTTGATGCACAACAAGAGGAACTTGATGAGGCGGTGAAGAAACAACACGAAGAAATTGGAGAGTTGTTTACAAAAGTGACACATAAACTAGATGCCTTGTGCTCTGCCCATTTCATACCCAAGCCACACGAGGTGAAAAGTATAGAGATTAAAGTTACCGATGCAAGTGCTCCTGCTTCCATCAGTATGGAGGATGCACAGCCATTGAATGTGTCAAGTGAGTCGAGGTTAGCACCTCAGGAAATCTACAAAATAGGTGATGATGCAAACAAGGGTCAAGGAGTGAAAGGCAAATCTGAAGTACAATTAAAATCTGGACTTTCTTACTCCAAAGACGAACTAAATCGCGAAGAGAAACAAAGGTTGAGAAGGGCAAACAAGAGAAAGAAGTCAAAGCAATTCAACGATAGACAAGAAGTCAAGAGACAGAAGTTGAAACAACAACCAGCTGGTGCTGATGCAAAGAGGCCTAAAAACATTAATGGTAAAGATGTTGTTGATACATTGTCCAAGGCTAAGAACGTCAGTGTCATTGGAGCAAAGGGAGAATTGAGAGATGTGAAAGGTAACTTGAAAAAGAGTAATGCACCACAAACAGGAAGTAGGTTGAGGCTATGAGTAAGAATGAGTTTGTGTGTATGAGTAGTCAATCCTAAGGACTACAAGAGTTGTAAGAAATCAAATCTCTACTGCCGAATGCACTGCAGCCGTCACTATTCCACAAGCATACCAACGATGTACATAAAAGTTTGAACATTTCTTTTGAAATGCACAAAAATGTAGCATATCATGCAGTCGATATTGTACATATTGTACACCGCAGCAGCAAAGTCCACGCCCGGCTTTATTTCTGGTGTCGATATCTTTTCTCTCGTGTTTTATTTCCGGGAGCACAAACCCGAAAAAAATAATGAACAGTGGTCCGTTGCGGTTATCGAATGTTAATTTTTCTTGGCAGGGGAAAGTGAAGATTTGAGCAAGAGTATAAAGATCCGTTTATCTCCAGTTACCTTTAGCTGCTCTCTGCTGTTCTATTCAGAAACAGAAACGGGGAAGCCTCAGTAGGGGAGGTCACGCAAGGGCATGAGTGCCTAGTGTACACGAAGGAGAAGATAGTGCGATCATTCGGCTTGTAGATCGCGGTTTTATTTTTTTTTCTTTTTGCTCTTTGTGCATCTCAGTCAGTTAATTTTACGTGACAGCAAAAAAGCAGTAGAGTGAGTAAGCGTAAGAATGAGAGTAGGAGTAAGAATAGAGTCCCTACGCTTAAGCCTTGTTTTATTTAGTGAACCAATATTGGGGGGGGTGGGTAAGATACTGAGGGAATTATACTCTTATTTTTTAAAAAAAATTATCTCGGTTTTACGCTTGTTCATCTTAGCTTTAATCTTTTGCTAAAACCGAAGAAGAGCTTATCTCCGAAGTATCCAGTTTTGTAGCTTAGTGGCAAGTCGGAGTAATTGCATCATTTCCATACCCACTTGATACCCACCATTCCCGTACACGCGTATAACAAAGAAAGAACAGAAAAACAGAAAAAGAACAGAAAAACAGAAAAAAAAGAAATTGTGTAATTCTCTCTATTCATCGTATATATAATCACTCTAAAATTGATATGTCTTGTATTCACGTTCTTTTTCAAACAAGTATTTTAGTAGAGTCACTAGCTGACACCAACTCACACTCACTCACTCACTCACTCACTCACTCAACCCTCCAGTTAGTCATTTCATCCCACTCACTGCTCGCTCAAATTCTGTTTTTTATCGTCACCACTTTATTCGTTCAATCACTCCTTTGTAAATGGAATTGCTCGAAGGATCTCGAAAACCAAAGTCAGCTACGATGTTGACCCCACAGTTTATTGGGAAATTGTGCACTCTACCCTACCCCGTTGTCAAAATCATTCTCCAGTACTACACTGTCGGCACAATATACTCCAAAACCAACAAAGAATTCAAGCACTCCTTGTACAAAAATATCCTTGTGGCTATGGAAGCTCATATGGCAATGAATTTACAAAAGAGTGACATGAAGGCAGTTTGTTACGAGCCTATTAATAAGTTGTTGAAGCGTTTCAAAAAGACAAACCCAATGTCTAAACAATTGAATGCATTTGGTGAAAAGTTTGATGAGTGCAGTTATTGGATACACAAGCTGGATTTACCAAAAGAAAAGACAAATGTTGTTGTTTACATGCACGGCGGTGGATACTTGCTTAATATGATTGATTCTCAACTTGCATTTAGTGCTGCTTTACATTTTGCATTGGATGATCAAACAGCCGCTCATACTTCAATCTTAATCATTGACTATTCGTTAACCATGTTTGATCATATTTATCCTACTCAATTGTACGAATGCTTGCGCACTTACAGCAACTTGGTTAAACTGGGATACACAAACATCACTTTGATGGGGGATTCAGCTGGTGCGCATATGTCATTATCATTAGCCAGAGCCATTGCGTACCCGGAAGAAGTTAAACTACAGTTTGACTATTTCAGTCAATTTAATGTGAACTTCAACATATCTGACTTGCCACAACCCATAGCCTTAATACTAGACGCTCCTTGGGTCCAGCCATGCACTCCACCATTACCATCGCGACACCACATTGACACCACTGGTGACATTATTGGATTCGATGTCAATTTGGGCCACTACCTAGTGGAAAACTTGGACCAAAAATTCATCAACAATTTCCTCAAATTCACAAACACAAACTGGGACGAACATTGGGCCAAAGTAGATGCGATAAATAATGGCAACACCCTCATTATTGTTGGTGAACGTGAAGTTTTGCGTGATGGAATGGAAGATTTTTACCATATTGCCAACAAGAGCGGTAGTATTCAATATTGTGTTGAACCGGGTGGGATCCATGCAGGCATGGTTTATATTGAAAGTTTGGATTATATGGGGAAAAAGGGAGGTAAGAGAGCTATAAGGGGAGAGTTTAATGACAAATTTGGAATCAACTTGGTGTCAGATTTTCTCAATACTCGCGGTTTCAAAGAATAGTAAAGCGGTAGTAAGCATGTAAATAGAGATAGATGGTATTCGAGTGTATATTATGAAGTAAGGTGCAGTTTAGTTAATCAATTGGTTGCAAAATTCAACCAAATCTTTATCCTTTTCAATTCTTTTGATCCTTACAAAAGTGAAAAATGAACGCAATTCCTCCACGACTTAAGGAAAGGGTATTTCGGGCACTATTGAAACAGAGCTGAGCCTCTCAACGTTGACGACTGAGACAGCTTTTGTAAAAAATTGAAGCATTCATAGTCCAAAAAATTTGAGTTTTAGAATGTGTCTGGGATCATCCCAAGGGTCAAATTCGTTAAATTTAGTGCTCTGACGCAGTTGTCAAGCAATGATCTGGTGGCGTAGCCCGGTAGCGCGCCCCGCTCACAGTTACTTAGCTTGGAACCGGGGAGGTCGCGAGTTCAAGTCTCGCCTAGATCATATAAATTTTTCATTGTTCATTTTTTTTTTGTTTTGCAACTTGTCATGGCTTAATTGCTCTAAGTTCGAAGGCATGTGTTTGTGTGTGTGTGAATGAGAGAAGCTCCAACCTACTTTTCTTCGTTACTATACCAAGCCCATTGATTGCGTTTGCCTATACCCTAAACAAAATCAAAATGAGAGCCGTAATTCATATGTACAGCTAATCATCATCGCTATCCTCGTCACTATCATCTGAATCATCTGAATCTTCCTCACTATCAGCACTGACATCACTATCATCATCATCCTCATCATCATCCTCATCCTCATCCTCATCCTCATCCATGTGGCTTCCAGGTGAGGCACTATCCTCATCATCGTCTTCATCCGGATTAACCTCTGCCCATTCGACATAGTTATTCTGTCCAATCAATTTCTTACACATGGGTAAAACCAATGGATCAAATGGAAAGTACGCCTCCAAATCCAAAAACTCTTGTTTTTGGTAGAAAGTCCCCGTTGCTGAAGCTGGCATGACGGAGACTTCACCGCCGATGTTGCTCTTGTTGTTTGTAGTCTTGGCATTAGGAGCTGCAGTCTGCAACATTCTTTCCCTTTTGTTATGTTCGATAATCGAATAACAATAACATACATTCAATTTTGTTGCGAGTTTGGCAAAGATGTAGACAACGGTTTCATCACAGAATTTCAATGGGTTAAACTTAACAATGATTACACGTTGGAAAAATTTGTCAATGTCACACTCCCATTCCGAACCTGAATTGGTAGAAGTTGATGTGGATGATGGGTCTTTGCGTAATTGTTCATGTCTGAAGCAGAATATGTATAGTAATGCTTGGAAAGCCGCGTAGAAAAGTCTAAATCTTTCCATACCGCCGGCTTGTTTTTGGCGGTTATGGTGCTGCTGCTGCTGTTGTTGTTGTTGAATGTCAAATGTCTCTTGTTCTCTTTCGATAATGTACTTGTTCAACCATCCCATAAGGTAACTCACAATAAACACAATCTGATGGCGAGATAAATTTTTGGCTCTAGCAATGTACGAAGAAAGATATTGCATCGCTTTTAATCGTTTCTCAACAATCTCATTTGGATTGAATGCAACATCTATAAGTAAAACCAAAAACGAGTCAGCGAGTTCTTGCTGGTACTGAGTTATGTGAAATAGGATAAATTGGATCAGTTTTGTAAAGTGGGTGGGTAAAATGTGACTTTTGAATAATGAGTTTATAGTGTTGAAGAGTGCTACTCCATTGCCATTGTTGAGTTCTTCAGTAGTGAAACTTGATTCGGTTCTTGTGAGTAGTAAATGCATGATATTGTCCAATTTCGAAGCTAGAGTCTTGATGCTTCTCGTTGAATTTACCGAGTCAACCCATTCCACTTCTCCCATTTCTTCATCGATGTCTGAATCAGCATCTTCATCGACAGGACGAGCAGTGGCAGACACGGTTGCCTCTCCTTGATGAGCCACCACTTCCTCCTCCACTTCTTCCACCTCCTCATCTTCTTCGCCTTCGGTAACTTCTAGCAATTCTGCGTCATTGTCCTTCCCGTTTATCAACTCTTCAATCTCATCGTCATCCAAATCGTCCAACTCATTCTGCAATTCAACATCTAGCTTTATGCAACATTCCAAAACCAACTGCCATATACTAAACTGCAAATCTGAACAATAGGTCAACACTTGCATTAAATTGTCAACATAATTGACAACTTCAACCATGGATGATGATATATGATGAGGGAAATTGGCTTGTAAAATTTGTGGGATAATATTTATACTTGTTGGGATATATCTCAATATTTTGCCCAAGATGTGATGATGACGATATAGGAAGTTGGATTTGTTGTTGTTGTTGTTGTTGTTGCTGCTGCTGCTGCTGCTGCTGGTGGTGCGGCTGTCACCCAGCCCAAACAACTCAAATTCAGAAACTAGTTTATTTAAAACTTCGGTTAGGAATTTGGGCAAAGTACTCACCAAAACAGTAAGGAAATGGGCATATAAATCTATAAATGTGGTGGTGGCCTCATCTTCATTAGCCCCACTTGTAACCACATTCATCCACTTGTAGCGAAGAATGGCAAATATCAAATTATTGCATGCACGATCATCTAGTTTTGATGTATGGTTGACTAAAGTCTTTAGTAAAATGCTAAAATGTGGAATCGAGATAGCGTCGGCGCTATTTAGTGGTGCGTTGATCTTGTCAGTTAGTGTGTCGATTTGCATAGAGTCGCCCTAGAAGAAAGATAAACTGTTAGTAGCCAGAACATAAAACAGGCCAAGTCTCAAGGGGAGGAGATAAAGATAATCTTTTTCCATCTCCCGATGAGGTATTCCTCTTTCTATCTCCATCTCTATCTCTAACATACTTTTTCCAAGGTAGTGAATGCAGATTTAACATAAGCTGAATACATCTTTTCTGTAAACTCAAAGTCGTTATCATTACCACCATTATGATTATCAAGTGTGGCGGTCATAGTTGAGGTTGTATTATCGTTATTGCCTCGCGTCATTTTCTTACTTCTTTTCCGTGCTGGTTGTTGTGATTGTGGTGAAGCAACTGATGCTGATGCAACTTGAGTATCTATCTCTCGACTCCGTTTCAAAGGTTCCTCTAACGACATCTGCGCTTTTGATTTGAGCAGTTTGATCTTCTTTGTCTGAAGGGATAAGGGATAGAGAAGAGCAGAGCAGAGAAGAGCTTTGAAAAAAAAAAAAAAAATTCTCCTTCTAAAGAAACAAAGAAAGAAGACAGACATACTGTGAGAGACACAGAAAGGACAATCATCAGAGATATGTCTCCACAGTTTTTGTTTTTTTTTTTTAAAAAAAACCCCCCCAATAAACATTTGACACTACGAAAGAGTTCACACAGAATTTGGATCAACCTACGCTCGTGGATGCAGTTGTATCACTTCAAAACACACTGCAGTAACTGATAATGAAATGTAGAAGGATGTTCTATCTCTTCTAGTTGTCACTGGTCACGAGACCGCTGTACTTTCCCCACACATTAAAAAACCAACTCAAAGTGGTATTTAACATACACTCCCGCATTTCAAAGATAGTGGACTAACTTTACATACTAGAGCTCTCATCAAGATGTTGTAGTCTCTCCTCCACCCATTTGCAGCCTCCAATTCCAAGTGGTAGCGCGTTGCTAAATTTAGCGGTTTAGGAAATTCCACGGGACTCTAAACGTGCTATTTGTATAAAGCACTCATCAGTTAATACACCTAACACTCCCCCCCTCCCCCATCACATTTCAGTCATCGCCTACCACATTTCACACATCACCCTCGCCTATCACCCATCAACACCCCACATGTCCTCAGTTGAACTACACTCCAAGTTCTTACTAAACTTGGCCGATATCCAGGCAAGAAAGATTGGTTTTGATTATGGTATCTTACTTGGGTTCCAAGATAATGACAAGTTTGTAGTTGCAACATCATTTGAAATCATCAGTGCCAACCAATCCATTGATTACGAGTTTCTAATCAAAAGATATAATCAATTGAAGCTAGTGTATCCAGCATTCACAATCTTAGGAATTTATCATATCAGTACCTACAACAATATCTACTCTTTCGACTCAACAATTGCCATGTCTCAAGTAATTCAAAGATGTTTCCAGTCTTATGACATACATGCCAACCCACAACAAATCTATATTATCTACAACAAAGACGAAAAGGGCTTCCCGTTCAAATCGTTTTTGGTAGATCAACCACTTGCAACCACAATCAAAACAAATCAAACTGAAGCAATTACAGTCACAGAATTCACAAAGACTAATCAAACAAAGTCCATACAAAGCCATGTGGATGAACTTGAAATCGTTAAAGACAAAGTGCCGTCTGACACCTCAGAGCCGCCAACAATTGCCCAATTGTTGAAGTTGCAAACAACGCAATTGGCATTGTTGACGGAACAAAAGGCAACATTGGATGGCGCTCAGAACCGCCTTCTAAGACTTTGGCAAACTTGAATAACTTTCTCTCTCTATATATGTATATAAACGCCCTGGGAAGAGTGTACCCTGCAGGCTGAATATAAGATTTGCTTCTCTCAAAGCCATGTGCACAAATAATATTAATAATAACGCAGATATATAGTAACGAGCTTGTGCCCCTTTACTATATTGACACTTTTGTTCGGTACAGTCTGCTCTACAGTCATTAAGATTGGCACCCAGTATCATCTCCAATTAGAACCAGTATTGTTCATTTGGATCTCCAAGTTTTTGTTTTTGTTTTTGAAACCCTGGCGGAAGACAAGGACACGAGCAAACAAAGCTGATTATCGCAAGGTTCACCTCAAAGAAAGTGTCTTCAATTTGAACCACAAGTTTCTCTCCCTTTGCGCCAAATACTGTGATCTCCTTCTCATCTAGCTCACCATAATTGTACCCGAGTTCCCACTGGAAACAGTGATAACCTATTACACCCCGTGGCAACTGAAGACACATCATTTTCAAGAATTCTAATGGAAGTTGTGGATAAGTGAGCAGCATCGTACGACAATCAACACACCAATTAATTGATGCACTAGGGAAATTGAAAAACAATCCTCCGATCAACTTGAAAAATAAATAAATCTCCCTTGTACTCAAGTTGACATCTGTTGAACATTGTGGTCCCAATAATGAAAGACTCTAGTCTTTGGTGGCTTTTCAATCTCAAGTCAACTAAGTAACCTTCAGTGTCTGCCATAGATTCAGATATAGCCAATTCAAACAATTTCCGTCAGATATCAGCTCATTTATGGGAAAAGTTACACTTGGATAAGAGCAATGTGAAATTGACAAGCTCTCTAGTGCGGACGTGTTGAAAACCTTTCCAATGTGAAGCACTATTGCATTTTGATACTGCGTTATCGTTAGTTTTCTTATTGACGAGTTCATTCTGACAGTCCCTTTTTCAGTTCCCCAGTCACCCTCAACCATTAAGCATAATTCAGAAATGTATAAAAACTTATCAATCGAATTGATAACCCATTCGCAGCAGTGACTGACAGCTACTGCTGGATTGTGATAGCTCAGCTCAACTATTACTGCCGTCGAAGCTTCTCTTTGTTCCTCTTCTGACGCGTATTCATCCACTTTTGGAATGTGTGTAAATAAATCATACAATAAACAGAGTTGAGTCTGGGCTAGGGTGACAAAAGCCTTTGTACCGCGCAAAGTAATCATTGCAGCAGAACCAATTGCAGTGGTAAACAGGCAGAAGCTCAAAGCTTTTCAAGCGTTTAAAATACCTTAAGATGCAGTCACTCGACACAATGGAACATTCTAAACATTCAAATCTTATGATGGGATAATTTGCATCCATTGTCAACATGTATTTTTCAACATTATCCAAAGATACAAAAGTGAATTGGTTCGTTTTGGCATTGTTTATATTTTTGTGGAATTTAAAGCAGAGTCCTTTACTAATTGAAGGTATAAATCGCGTGGTAAGGTGGTACACATAGATGTAACTGTACAACTTCTTCTTGACAATGTAATGACAAATTGGAGTGTAACGGGGCGAGGTTCAACGCTTGATGTTGTTTGAGATTTCTGAGAATGAGCTCGAGGACGTCGTATGGTAAGCCAGTTAAGCGAGGCATGTTGTTTTGTAGAACCTTTGCGAGGGAATATCGCTGGCATTAAATAGTACGTAGTATAGTTTCCTCAAATTGGGCTTTCGACAGCTTGTTTGTCTCTTTCTCTTTGTTTCGGTCCTGCAACATATCACACAAATATTTAGGTAGAAATGAGACAAAGTTTTGAAAAGTGTAGTGCAACAAAACAAATTAGAGGCAAACAAGACTGAGGAGCACTGTAACTAACACCATCTCTGTTTAGAAAGCTTCGCAAATGAGAAACACCTCGAGTGCTGACATTTTGCAACCAAAATTGTACAGGAAAAAGGTATATTATTTTACACAATGAGGGTCACCTGAGTCTTCAACAACACAAGAATTGGAAAGGTGGCCGAGTTGGTCTAAGGCGCTAGACTCAAGAATTAAGTTTCTTACGACTTAATAAGTTGTGATTTCTAGTATCGTAAGATGCGCGAGTTCGAATCTCGTCCTTTTCATTATTTTTTCTTTTGTTTTTGAATTTTCTTTTCCTTTTCCTTTTTTTTTTTCTTTGCAGCAACTTATGCTGCCGAACTATTTCCACAACGAATAATTGTCAGAAATCAATCACAGGGACAACAGTGGTGGAGAAACGACCAAGTAAGATACATCGATAACAAAGATACAGGGAAATAAACTGCCTTACACAGGTGATACCAGTGGAGGTTTTATAGGTAGCGCTGCAGATGGGATTGATGCATCCATTATTGCAAATGGGTTAGGTCTTGAGTGAGATGGTAATCAAAAGGGAAGGGGGGAGGGGTGGGTTTTACTGTTTGCCCGAGGGTATTGGGAAGGCATTTATCCCACTACGAAATTACATTCTTATTTCACTCTCAGGACACTTTCCACCCGTCCCTTGATTTTGAGAAATGCAGAGGTTATTGACAGAGATCTCTAGTGCTGGCGAGCCGTATAACCAGTTGTCGATGTTTGAGATGTCAACGTCGGCGTTTTCATTCCACACAGGAGAAGTTATATAAATCAGAGACGGAAAAGGTTTGCTTTGGGTTGTAGTAGAATAAATGACCCAGACATACCTAGGCACACTTGCGATGAGGATACACCGACTCGAGAAGAAACGCGCCCTCATGTTTTAAATAGATTTAGGTTTTTTTCTTTTTAGCTCATGACAAATGAAATGACATGGAAGTGAGTGGTGAATCTCTACGTGTTTGTTTGTTTCAAAACAAGGGATATCTTATTTAAAACACATAGAAGTCCTTGTACAACCACATCCAAGCTAAACTCAAACTGCTCACGACTAAAGGTCCAGCCAAGCCCTTACCCAACAGTGTGGTTTTGAAAATCAACCACTCACTCACGAAATGGAATGCAGCAACACCAAATGTGAATTGAGTCAATTGGTACACTTGTGGATTGGTAATGTGGTATGCTCCATATAATCTTACTATAGATGTAATCAAGGTCCAAGTTCCAAACGTTCTTGCTGACAAGTTTGTAACTTGTTGTGGTTTTGCATTGTAAACTTTTTTGGTCAAAGCCAAGTCCTTTTGATAGGTTTGAAATGAGTTGAAAATGGACACAATGGAGATGAACAATAACCAGTATGGTAGCTTGCCGCCACGGGTGAATGGTAGAATTCCCAAGTTCATGTTGTATATACAGAGTTCTAGTGAGGAGGTTAGCGGTGTGTGGATAAAATTTTCAAAGAAAATGTTTTGTCGCGTAAACCACACGAGCTAAGTTACGAGGTCTACAATACATCAGCCTCAAAAAATAACTGTATATGACTATTCTTCCTTCTTACTCTACGTTTGTTGGATCCTGTACTTTTGTTGGATCTCTATCTTTCAACACATCAACAACAGGACCCAACAATCTTTGAAACCCTGATTTGCCCAAGGTTGCAACTATAACGTTATCCAAAGCCTCGACAGTAGCTTGTCTAGGTAAGTCATTGATTAAGGCCAATTCTCCAAAGTAGTCGCCTTTGCCCAACTTCTTAATCTGACCAAGCTTCTTGTTGTAAACTTGACATGTACCACTTTCAATGAGGTAAAAGTTCTCACCTTGCTCACCTTCAGTGACAATCTTGTCACCCTTCTGATACCTTTCAGTTTTCAATGCATCGGCCAATTTAGAACGTTCTTGATCAGAAAGCGACTTAAATATTTCAATATCCTTGAGGAAATCTTCATACATCAATCTTCTGTTGAAACTACCTTCTAATAAGATACGACGGAATGTTAAACGGTCCAATGCCCACGCAGTGACATCCGTGACAGCAACAACAGTAGCTGCTCTGGGCGCATTGTACATCAATGCCAATTCACCAAACGAAGATCCATCACTGCTTGTACTAACCTTGACGTCATTAACAAAGAATTCAACTGTACCTGATTCTATTATGTAGAAAAAGTCGCCTTCATCCCCTTGTTTGATGATTACTGAATCTTTTTTAAAAGTTTTGGACTGCAATGCTGAAATGACCGTTTTCTTTGAGTTTTCATCCAATTGCTTGAAGAGGAAGTTGTTTTTCAAGCTGCTTGCCACTGATTCTTCCTCTGTAGTGGATAAATTATTTTGTGGTGGTTTCCAGCTCTCCGACTTTAACTTTGCAGGATTCAATGCCTCTGCAGAGACTGAAGTCCTTCTATTGGTGTTGAAAGATTTGGGTATTTCTCCATGTGGTGAGGGGTCCATTGTTGTTAATTGATCTGGGGAAGCACGTGTAATAGGATAACAATCTAGTGGTTAAGGGGGTCGTAAATGCAGCGGAGATTTCACTTCGAGGGAGGAGAGAGAGACAGAGAGAGAGAGAGAGAGAGTCATCTTTGATTTTTGGCCATTCACCAGTTTTGTATATCAGTACACGACCTTTTACTCGCATCCCACACACAGAATTAGAGAAAGAGAGAGAGAGAGAGAGACCAAAAGAGTGGAGAAAAATGAAATGAAAACAGCCACATCATACAAGATAACTCTGTGAGTTGCCATCACTGTGTAACAGGACATGGTATTATTAGATCAAGAATACTCTACAAGGATGCATCATCGACAAGAATGTACTTTAATTTTCTTATCTAATCATTTGGTAGCGTATCAATCAAGTGGTAGCAGTGGCCAAAAGTGCCACGTCATTTGATAGAGAAAAATTATTGTTTGTGTGTGTTAACTGCTAATTTTTTTCTATTATGTTCTCTGGGATTCTAAGTTGGTGGATACGCTTTGCAAAAAAGAGACATGATCTACTTACATTATGCACATAGGGAAGCATCCCTGCGTAGACTGTACTCGAATGCAGTCTCTCCCGAAAGAACACGTAGACTGTAGTAATTCTTTCTCTTCTTTTTCTTTGCAGTGTGTAAATTATTTGTGTGTGTGTCTCTCTGCATTTGACGTGTCAAAAAAGCCACACACACAGAGACAAAGAGAGCGTGTTGAAAAAATATAAATCTATCAAATCTTACAATTTTTTTCAACCCATATTCGTTTTCCTTCTTTCAACGAGATCCTTTACAATACAAATTAAACATGAGATCAAACTCTTGGTTTCCACGTCTTGGGTTGCTTTACGTGGCTTTGGTGGTATTGATACCATTTTTAGCTTCGTCTAGACACAGCTCATCATTTGCACTTGCTGCTTCTTCTGATGAAGACGCACACGAAAATTATGGAACTGTTATTGGAATTGATTTGGGTACCACTTACTCGTGTGTTGGTGTGATGAAGAATGGTAAAGTCGAAATATTAGCCAACGACCAAGGTAACAGAATAACCCCATCTTATGTCGCATTTAACGGTGACGAGAGATTAGTTGGTGACGCTGCCAAAAATCAAGCTGCTTCTAATGTCAACAATACCGTCTTTGACATCAAGAGATTGATTGGTTTGAAATACAACGATGACACTGTTCAGAAGGAATTGAAACATTTGCCATACAAGATTGAAAATAAGGGAAACAGACCTGTTGTTTCTGTTGACTACAATGGCGAACACAAGGTTTTCACCCCAGAAGAAATTTCAGGTATGATTTTGGGCAAAATGAAGTCTATTGCTGAGGAGTATCTCGGAAAGAAAGTTACACACGCAGTCGTCACTGTACCAGCTTACTTTAATGATGCTCAAAGACAAGCTACCAAAGATGCTGGTACTATTGCTGGTTTGAACGTTTTGAGAATTGTTAACGAACCAACCGCCGCCGCCATTGCCTATGGATTAGACAAGACTAACGAAGAGAAACAAATTATTGTTTACGACTTGGGTGGAGGTACTTTTGATGTCTCGTTGTTGTCTATTGAAGGTGGTGTTTTTGAAGTTTTGGCTACTGCTGGTGACACTCATTTGGGTGGTGAAGATTTCGACCACAAGATTGTTAGATACTTGGCAAAGCAATTCAAAAAGAAGCACAACATTGACGTCTCTTCAAACCCTAAAGCCATCTCCAAATTGAAGAGAGAAGCAGAAAAGGCAAAGAGAACCTTGTCCTCACAAATGTCAACCCGAGTTGAGATTGACTCATTTGTTGATGGTATCGACTTTTCAGAAACTCTTTCAAGAGCTAAATTTGAAGAATTGAACATGGCCTCATTTAGAAAAACTTTGAAACCTGTTGAACAAGTGTTGAAAGATGGTAATGTCAAGAAGTCTGAAATTGATGATATTGTCTTGGTTGGTGGTTCTACCAGAATTCCAAAAGTTCAAGAATTATTGGAACAATTCTTTGACGGCAAAAAGGCTTCAAAAGGTATCAACCCAGATGAAGCTGTCGCCTATGGAGCCGCTGTTCAAGCTGGTGTCTTGAGTGGTGAAGAGGGTGTTGATGACATTGTTTTGTTGGACGTTAACCCATTGACCTTGGGTATTGAAACTTCAGGTGGTGTTATGACCACTTTGATTAGGAGAAACACTGCCATCCCAACCAAGAAATCACAAATCTTTTCAACTGCTGCTGATAACCAGCCAACAGTCTTGATTCAAGTTTACGAAGGTGAGAGAACCATGGCCAAGGATAACAACAGATTGGGCAAATTCGAATTGACTGGTATCCCACCAGCACCAAGAGGTGTTCCTCAAATCGAAGTCACCTTTTCTTTGGATGCCAATGGTATCTTGAAGGTTGAAGCTGCTGACAAGGGAACTGGTAAATCCGAGAGTATCACCATTACCAACGAAAAGGGAAGATTATCAAAGGAGGACATCGATAGAATGGTAGAAGAGGCTGAAAAGTATGCTCAACAAGATCAAGAATTGAAGGAAAAGATTGAGGCTAGAAACTCTTTGGAAAACTATGCCCATCTTTTGAAAGGACAATTGAGTGACAAGTCTGAAACCGGATTGGGATCCAAATTAGAAGATGACGACAGGGAAACTTTGGATGATGCCATTAAGGAAACTTTGGAATTTATTGAAGACAACTTTGATACTGCAACCGCAGAAGAGTTTGAAGAACAGAAGCAGAAATTGATTGACGTTGCTAACCCAATAACTGCCAAATTATATGGCGGTGCTGGTGGTGCAGCTCCAGGAGGAGAAGGAGATGCCAAGTTTGGAGACGATGACTCCGATGATGACATAGATCACGATGAATTGTAGATAAAGCTTTTAATCATGTTGTATAGAATATTCAAAAAGAAAAAAAAGGTGAAAGCATAATCACAGTCCCACTCTGTACATTGCTGTTGTGTCTTGACCAAACAAAAATTTTCGGTTTCAAATTTTTTTTTTTTTTTTTTTTTTCTTTTTTTTTTCTCTTTCTCTTTACATTGAGGAAAGAATTCAAAGACTTAACACCATTACATCACCTGTATATATTGGGATAAGACTAAAACAATGGCAAACAGAAAGCTACAAAAGTATGTTACTTGCCGATGGAAATAATGAGGTATGAAATGTATACTAACGACGTGCCAGGGACATAGATGTCATTTTCAAGCGAATCCAAGAAGGTCTACAAGACTTCAACTACCATTACGAAAGGTATGAAAGTCTAACGAATACCGAGGACGACTCAGATAACCAACGAGAGAAGGAAAAATTGGCAAATGATTTGAAAAAAGAGATCAAGAAACTACAGAAATTTCGAGAGCAGATCAAGCACTGGCTACTGAATGATGCCGTTAATACCTTGGGACCAGTGGGGACGTCGTATAGTGCCAAACTTTCGGAAAACAAGAGTACTATTGAGGATGCCATGGAAACTTATAAACTAGTGGAAAAGCAGACGAAGTTGAAGTCATTTTCAAATCAGTCCATTATGATGGCATTTGCCGACAATGAAAATGGAGAAGAAGAGGAAGAGGAGAGTGATGAGGACGAGAGCAGTGAGGAAGAAGATGAAAGCCTATACGACGAGTTGTCTGAGGAAGCAGTGGATTTGATTAGATACTTTAAAGACTCGATCTCACAACTTAGAGAGCAAACCGACAAGTTTACGCACGAGTATGAAAAGTTGGCGTCAAAGAAGTTGCGAAAGAATAATCTTGCAACTATTGAAGCCAAGAAGGAAAAGATCCAAGCCACAATATCCAACAACAAGTTTCACCAAAAGAAGTTGCGTAAATTGATCAAACAGCTAAAGAATGGCATGGTTACTGATTTCAACCTTATTTTCGCATTAAAGAATGATTTGGAGGCATACTTGGACAAGAATGGGGACACTGATTTGACCAAAGATACCGAGTTGTATGACGATATCTTTAACCAAATTTCAGCTGTAGATGAAGACTATTCTGAAGTCCATGAGGACACGTTAACAGCACCAACATCTGTAGACAGCGCTAGCGTGGTCAAGAATGGTCATATTGAGAAAAAGTCGAAATCGCCAACACCTACCAAGCTGTCGAGTCGAAGTTCAAGTGAGCAACCTGGCCAACCAAATCAAACACAACAGCACCAACAGCACCAACAGCAGCCACAACACTCACAATCGTCACAGCAGTCTCAGCACCTACCCAAAACCCATCACGCTCATTCTGCTCGTTCAAGCGATGGAGGGGAGCAACGACACGTTTCTCAGACGCATTCTAGCACACAAGCTGCATTGCATGCACCAAATACTCACCAGAGTCCCGAAATGGCATCGCCGGCTATTGTCAGAACGTTGAGACCAGCTACAACTCCCTCCAAACCAGTTGGTGGGCTCAAATGGTCTGCAGCTGCAGCAGTCGGTTTACCCGAAACACCAGAAAAGCCTGTTCTCCATGACGAGGCGGCGTTGGTGCCTGATGTGGCGACCAGTGCAAAGCGCGAAGCAAGCGTGCCTTTCAAACAGTTGGAATTGGAGGAGATAGATTTGGACAAGTACAAGGCCGTCATTTCCAACTCTCCCTTGTCAAAGACTGAACACAATTTATTTTCCGATATGGATTTGGTTCGTGTGCCCCCTGGAATTCAGGACTTGGTGATTTCATTTGCTTCAAAACGAAACAATGAAGAGTTCAAGATTCTCATTGACTCAGCTGAATTCAACCAGTTTACATCACCAATTTACAAACCTTATTTACCCAAAAGCGTACAACCAAATTGTTATTCGCAATTCACAAACTTTAGCTTCAAACATCCCACCTCATTGAGTAAATTTCAATCACACTGGAACAAAATCAGAGCTTATTACGGGTTCAAGAGTTTAACTGATGAAATCAAAAAATTGTCTCTACAGGATTCGTCGCCAGAAGTTGCCACTTTGCTTACTGAGTTAACATTTGTTTTGTTTTACGGATACTACTATGGTTTGACTCCAGCTGAGAATTTGATTGCTGAGAGTTGTTTATTTGAAATTGGTTGGAAACCATACAAGAGCCAATTTGAAGCCAACAATAGGAGTCCATCACCATTTGGAGATGCTTCTGTAGAGAAGAAACTGGGCCAGGGTCAAACTCTGTATTGGTTCAAGAGGTTGAAGCTTATATCGAATGACGCAACCGAGGGACAACAGCAGGCGACTTTTGAGTTTGGTGATTATCAAGTGTTTGATCTAAACTTTTGGGAGATTTTTGTAAAGTACGGATTCAAGCTTGAGTACGGCTTGTGTCAAACAGCACCTTCAAAGACATTATTTTAAATATATCCAAATCAATCTAATTATATACATATCCAATTTTAAATCTCAGATGACATCATCATTTCTTGTGATGTTTGTAGTGTCGACTCAACAATCTCAGAAAATTGCGAAGCTTCGGACCCTGGATGAGAAGTCAACAAGTCTGGAGCTGAGTCGTGATCGGCAAACCCTCCTTGGTCCAACTTGTAGACGGTGCCATCTTTTGCAACCAAATTGGGAACATTCGCATAAGTAGTGGCATTCGGCATTTGTGCAACATCTACGAAATTGTTAATTCTCTCCTGTATTATACCAAACTGTTTCATCTTGGGTGGGGAAATTCCATTACTAGCAATAAGCTGCTTCAAACTTGGTAATGCATTCATAGCTGGTGTAAAAGCGCGTGAGAGCGTGAGAGCGTGTGTGAGTGTGTGAATGTGTGTGTTGTTTGTCTAACCTCGGGATTTATAAAAAAGGTTCTCCGCAAAGTTGAAGAGAGAAAAAAGAAAAAAAAAAAAAAACAAAAAGGAAATCAGATATTTCATATTTCACTCCAAACTGATTGCCATTGGTAACCCTCCTCCAAAAGTAACAAAACATGGAATACTATTCATCCCTAGATGCGTCTCAGCTAGATTCAGAAAGACCAACCTTATTCGAACTCATCTCAGCCAACCAGTTGGAATCCTTATTGTCACCCTCGTTGAGATACATTTTGGTCCATTATGCTAGTAGGTATCCTCGATACTTGTTAAAAGTCAACAACTACTTTGATGAGATCAACTTGGCATTGAGGAGCTTTATAGAATGGTACTTTCTTACGTATTGGCAAGGCTCCTTCACGGAAAACTTTTACGGCCTCAAACGAGTGAATCAAACACCATTATCTCAAGGCGAGTTCAACAGTTCAAAGTTGACTCAACTAGTGCCCTCTATGATTGAGGATAGGAGAAGGATCACATCCTTGCAAAAAATTGTATCCATTTTTGAAGTCACTGGGACTGCTTTCTTGTCCGAAAAGCTAAACTATTGTTATGAGGTATGGTATACGAAATACATCACCAATCAATTGAATACCCATGAAACACTCACAAAGAGGGAGAATACGAAGATCCAAATCAAGAGAAAATTTGTTGAGATCTATCCGTATGTTCAGAGTGCTTACAGGTTGGCCAACTTTATTACAACCTTGATGTACTTGAGCGGATCGTCCAAGTCCCCGACAATCTTAACCTATCTATTCAAAATGAATTACTCCCGATTAAATCAATACGATTACGACAAAAACGAGCCACAGCAGAAGTTACCAGGCACAAAGAAACACAACAAGATTGCGCCACCCACAACTGTCGAGTTGCTTTTACACTTTATCCTGAACAACATAACCAACCCGTCCTGGAAAATGGTGAAGCTCGTGTTGGGAACATTTTTTCCCGTTGCTATATTCACTTTAAAATTTCTTGAGTGGTGGAACAATTCCAACTTTTCAGCAAAGCTTCTCAAAAACCTGGGCAACTCGCTCGATTTCACATTGCCGCCTCCATCTAGATTGTCTGCGGCATTGCGTGCATTCGCCACGCGGGATAAATCGATAAAGAAGAGAAAGCCGTATAAATCGGGCAAGTTCTGTCCTTTGTGTAAGAAAGAAATGACCAATCCAGCGGTCATCGAAACGGGGTATGTTTTTGATTACTCCTGCATCTACAATTATTTGGAGAAATCGCATATTATCGTGTCGAAAAAGGTTGAATCTGAATCTAAGGAAGACGATGGCAACGAAGAAGAGGAGGTGCACTCGGATTATCTGGAAGACGTTGAGGGGGAGCAGGTGCATGAGAAAAAGGTCTATGATATAAATAAGGGTGGAAGGTGTCCCATTACTGGACAGAAATTGCTTGGTTGTAAATGGAATCCATTGAAGGAGGAGTGGCAGATCGAAGGTATCAGACGTCTCATACTTTAGATGATAAACCAGTACATTTGATGTTTATTACCGTGTACGACAAATATGTAGCTGTACTATACATCTGGGGACAGTATCTTCCCTGCCTACAACTCTGCTGCAAAGCTCTCTCTCAGCCACAGTTTGGACGATTTTGCAACAAACAATAGGAAAAAAAAAAAAAAACAAAAAATTCATTCTGCAATGGACCCACGAGGTACCCCCCCCCACGTTGAAGCCAAGCATGAGTAACCAAACAAGAACATTAAAAGCCATCAAGTTTGACAGGGATAACATTAAATTAGAAATATTGAACCAGTTGGTTTTACCTTACGCAACAACATACATCCCAATCACTGCAATTGAAGATGCTTACAATTCAATCAAGTCCATGCAAGTAAGAGGTGCGCCAGCGATCGCAATTGTCGGCACATTTGCCGTCGTTGTAGACACTTTCAACTACTTGAACTCGCAGCAGTCTGGTGACCGTGACGTCAAAGATCTACTTCAATAGTTGGATTATTTGATCAGTTCACGTCCTACAGCTGTCAATTTAGCCAATGCAATCAACGATATTAAAGAGATCTTGGCGGGTTATGATGCCACTCAAAAGGTGAATGAAGAGATATACAAACAGATCTTAGACTACGCTGTTAAGTTGTATGACGAAGATTTAGCGAATAACTTCAAGATCGGTGAAAATGGATTAAAGTACATAAAAGAGTCGTTGAAGGAGGAAAATTTTGAAGGACCATTTTCCATAGTCACTATTTGCAACACTGGGTCATTGGCCACTTCAGGGCATGGTACGGCGCTTGGAATTATTCGCTCGACTTATCAATCATTGAGCAAGAAAAGTTCTGGTGAAAAGTTTTATTTGGAAAAAGTCTATCCTTTGGAGACAAGACCGTACAATCAAGGAGCGAAATTGACCACTTACGAATTGGATTACGAAAAGATCCCCTTCACTTTAATTTGTGACAATATGGTGTCCTCATTAATAAACACATTGAATTCCAAGTCTAAAGCTCCTGTCAAATTCATTATTGCTGGTGCAGACAGAATTGTTGAAAATGGTGACACTGCAAACAAGATAGGTACTTTCCAACTAGCCACTATTGCCAACTACTTCAACTCCACCCAAAACACAAACATCAAATTCATTGTTGCTGCTCCAAGAACCACAATTGATTTGAAAACTAAGCAAGGCTCAGAAATCAAGATTGAAGAGAGACCAAAACATGAATTGACAACCCTTGTTGGCCCTCAATTAAAAGAGGGGGACGATGTAGGAGACAAAGTCACTGTGGGAATTGCTACACCGGGAATCGACGTCTGGAACCCGGCTTTCGACGTGACCCCACATTCATTGGTTGATGCAATAGTCACAGAGAACACCAAGGTTTACACAAAAGACCTGAATGGTAAATTCAACCTTGCTAATTAGACAAATTAGACAGACACACATTATATAAACGGTAGAAACAGCTCATTAATTTTTCTTTTTCTTATTCTTTTTATTCTTTTTCTTCTGGTTCTTCGTCTTGGTTACTGGCGGGTTCGGTTGCTTTGCGTCGGTCTCTGCATTACCGTTAGCGCTCTCTTGCTTGTCAGTCAGTTTTCCCGCCATTGCTAATTTATCGCTCTCATGGAGGTTATTTTGAGCTGCTTCTTCACCAACAATATCTACCGTGGATGGGGGGTTTTCCAACAGTACTTTGTCATTTCCATGAGTTTCCTTTGCGGGGCTGTCATTCGCGGTCTCATCCGTAATATCTGGCCGCGCTACTTCGCTCTTGTCGTTGTTCGCACTATTGGCCTTTTCTTGCAGTTCTGGTGATATATAGACTGAGCTTTTTTCATCTCTGGTTGACCCATTAGACTCGGTTGAGGTGATGGACAACGGGGGTTGGTCAACAGTCAGTTCCGGTTTGGCAAGTTCTTCTTTCTCAGCATCGTTGCTTTCTTGGTTTCGAATTTGAGTGTTGGAAACTTTGTCTTCAAGAACTGTCTCGTCCTTGGATAAGTCACTAGATTTACAGTTGCTGTTTTCTAAGGAAGGAGAGTCAGCGGTTGCGTCTTCTTTATTGGCTGTGTTTTGCTTCGTATCTTCCTTCAATTTGGTTGTCACACTCAGGACAGTGTCAAAGGCCAGACTTGCCGGAGATTTATTTGATTTGCTGTTTTCTTCAAGTGATCCTTCTGAGGTAGCCTGTGCTTCACTGTGCTCATTTGTTTCTGTCACATGATTTGGATAGACTTTTTCCTCAACTCTTTCGTTCGTCACCCTGTCTCTACTGGAGTCTTCAGAATTGACGGTCACAATCAGTTCCTCCTTTGTCTTATCACCATTTTCCACTTCTTCAGAAGGCTCATTCGACTCCAGCTGATCTTCAACCACCTCAGCATCAAACAACACGTTCGAGCTATCTGGAGTATCTTCCTTACCAAGTTGATTCCAAACTTGCTCTGATGCTGCTGGTTTACTCACTTCTTGAGTAACCGGATTGGTCACCTCACCTTCCTCCTTGATGCTGGTATTAGACTGAGTATGTTCAGCCCCATTTTCCTTCTTTGGAGTTACACCTCGTTCAAAGGAGTTTCTCGCGGATGAGACAAGTCTTTCAAAGGTGTTTTTCAGCTTTGTAGGCGGCTCTTCTTTAGCACTCTCCACGGTGGAGTTGCCACGCATTACTTCATCCATCTTTGTGTCCTCTTCTGTGGGCATCAGATTCACATTCTCCCATATAACTTGTCCAGAATTTTTATACCCCGAAATCTCACTCAATTTGACTCTGAAATAATCAACGTCCCGAAGCACGTTATGCTTTTCGTTAAAGTCTTTGAATGGAGGTAGTCTTGTGCAATATGTCTCCACAAAAAGTCGCTTATAATTGTCAAAAATACGCAAAAGAATAATTGAGTATTTTGCTTCTGGCAAGTATCTCATCAACACCTTTGAAACAGTCATCGTGTCCCTCACGAGGCTCTCCATGTACGAATGACATTGTTGTGGGTGCTTCACTGGCTCTGCCCAGTTGATTTCCGGAAGCTTGTTACAGCTCAATACCGTCCTCTCTTCCATTATGGTGATGACCTTAGCAAATAGCTCAGTTTCATGGCTCTTGTAATCGGCAATCATTGTTTTAAATGTCAATTGCTCATTTTGCTCAGGTGTCTCTTTGAACCCACCTTGTAATACGCTGAGTAGAGCAATGTTGAATTCAATAAATCTAGTACAAAGTGCCAAGTGCTTCGTTGTAATGTGCTTCAAGCCTGCAGTCCTCGTGGCACCGGCTCCCAATACTGCTTGTGACACCCTTGAGTTTAAGTCGCGAAAATAAATCAAAAGATTGTTCTCTATAGTCAAAGAATGATTGGGGAAAGCTTTGGATGCGGCCATATACTCCTTAACATGACCCAGCACAACCACAGCTAAATGAGGAACCATGAACTCGTCCCCGTAAATATCCAATTTGGTTGCAGAAAACTCCAGCTTATCCTCTTGAACTTCCTCCACCGTTCCATTGTCATAAAAGTCCATAGATGCTAACCACTCAGACCCTGAAAAGCCTCTTGCGCCATTAGATTGAATGAACTCGATGTAGCCCTCAACTTCATTCAAAGCAATCTGGGCTGGTTGCAATGCCTTAGGATCATCTACAACCTTCCAGCTTTCGCTCATACAGCTTTTTGCTACCAGTCTCGAAAGGTTGTTGTGAAGTCTATGTATGTAGTATACCAATTTATTGGGAAACCACTCCTTCAAAACATTTCCAGCTCCAGTAAACTCAAATGCTGGATTTATCTGTTCACATTCGCTTAAATAAGCCAGCGTGATTGAGTAAAGTCGAAGATAAAGTGTAAGTGGTAAATCACTAATTTGGTCCTGACGCACATTCAAGACCTTCATCAAGCGGATTTGGGTCAACTCTATTGCCTTGTGAATTGCTTTCGTTATATCCAACGACATTATATTGACATCTGAAGAAACGCTTGATAAAGCAACATCGAGCAAGAGCTTTTGATGCACCGAAAGTCTACGCAAACATTCAGACAATTGAGCAAAAGTTTGAGCAAGCATACTCTCAAACTCTTTTGGAGTTAGGATTTTGATGTTGGCACTTAGCGCGTTGGATTTGCTTTCGTTTTCATTGGGGCCGGGAGTACTCTGGGTTGAAGTTTGCGAATAATCTTCTGGCTTTTGTTGGGTCGGGAGATTCTGCTTTATAATGTTTTTGATTTCTCCTATGAATTGGTTTTGATATACCGCGTATGCATTGATTAGTTGTCCTGCTTTTCCCAAATACTCCACGTACTCTCTTAGTTTCTGCTTGAAGCCTCCTTCAATGTTGAGGTATGATGTATTGATAGGATTTGTGGCATACTTCCTTGAACCGTCCATTTTGGAGTACATTCGGTTCAAAGTATCTCGCGATGGAACGCTTTGGTAGTGTGACTTGATATCGCCCAATAAAAGTTCCACAAAGTCGTCAGTGAATTTCTTTGAACAGTCTGTTTTGAGCGAGTGTAAATCGTTACGTAAATGGATCAATGCAGGGACATTACTTAAATTGGAAACTTCAATCTTTGGATATACTCGCCTAATTTCAGGATCCTCCACGTTTGCAAACTCCACTCCCGTAATCAATGCCTCTGTTGCCACAATTTCATTCAAGCATTTGAAGTAGTTGTTTTCACGGAAGGATATATTGGCTAGTTGAAATGTTATTGTAATGTATTGAAGTTGTACTGTTGTCCTCTCTAACATCTCCACATTCTGTTTCCGTAGCATCAGCTCAAGTATCTTTAATCCTTGTTTAGCTTGATTCTTCTCAAGTGATTCAAGTTTCAGGGTCAACTTGTTAAAGTCTTGCACGCAGTTTTCTGACTTTGATTGAATCTTTTCAATGTCACCAATTGCATCAAAGAACGAGTCTGATGACTTTTCAATCTCAGAAATCAAATTTATCTCCACAATGTCTAAATAGTTTGAAAATTTCTCCTGTAAACTCGTATCGTTAATGATATGGTCCTCCTCTAATTTAAGATTTGTGTTTTCCAACACCTTTTTGAATGTTCTTGGATCATCTAGTTTGAAATCAGGGTCAAGAAACACTTCTGGCACGTTTGATAGCAGGTTGCTCAGGTCAATGTGTTCAACAGACGAAAATGCAGAAGCCGTACTAGTATTCGAGTTGGACAATTTTCGCAATGATTCCTCCGTTAATGCTTTATAACTTTCTTCAAACTTTTTATACTCGTCAATTATATCATCAACGTATCGTGTCTCTATCAGTCGGTTTGAAACTTTCTTTTTCAACCTCTCTAGTTGTACTTGCGGGATATCATGTGAAGTTGGTGTATTCAAATTAGACACCAATGTCGTCCCGCCATTCAATTTCACCGAGTTTCTCGGCGCTTTATTTTTCCTCGACCTTGCCTGATCAGAGCCGACCGTCAATTCGTATATTGAGTTTGGGCCCAATGGTGAGTATACCGCAGCTGACTTATCGTCAATATTGAAAAAAGTGCCTGACAGTAAAACGCTTTCATTGTCAATGCTTCTCCTATATGATGTTATCGAGCCAGTTCTTCTGTGTGAATGTGGATGTAAATTATGAGGGGTGCTGATTGATGAAGGTAGCTCAGTTGAGCTGAAGGAGTGTTCTGATGACTCCATTGGGAGATCATCATTCAAATTAATGACACTTTCATCTAGTGACAATACGTTGATGTTATTCGATGATTCATCTGCCATGTGTCGATGTTTCTTGTCTGATTATAGATGAGGATTTTTGAGATTTCGGCAAAGCCCTAGCCATTCAAAGGTTTTGATTGTTTTTTTTTTTTTTGTTGTCCGCACGGTTGAAAGTTTGGCTCATCCATGCGAAATTTTTCAATTGCCGAAGATTAACCAGAGAGAACTTCTTTTCAATCTAACGAGATTAGACAGGTATACAGTCCATTGCGAAGGTGAGTTGCTGTTTTAAAAAAGCCCCCCTTCCCTTCTTCCCCCACTTTTTAGAGCAAGAGTAGAGATAAGATTGCTGGAGATGTGGGAAGTTGTGTAATATGTACGCTTCTTTGGTTTATGTTGAGTGGAACTAAGAATGTATCAACGATGGCTGCCTCTTACAGACACTCTAGCAGTTTCTCGCATCTCTCGGATCAATGATCTTTGACTGGGTAACTCTTGCTCAGATGACGCTTTTGTCTTAAAGATTTCTATGGAGCCATCCAAAGATTGTTGTGTACTGTGACATGTCGCAAAAATCACATCCAAGACATGTCTGTCTCATTACTAATTGAGCAGCAAAATGACATCACGCTAGTTCTGCACTAAAACACACTTTTCTGAAAAACTTTCCGTTTTCCATAGCAGTACCGTCTTTACAGTTTGGTTGAACTACAACAAACAATGTCATCATTATCATCATCGTCCTCACCTTCTTCAGAACAAAGGCCAAAACCATGCTGTGTATGCCTCGATGAAAGAAAGGACAGAGACAAATGTGTGCTATTGTATGGAGTTGAAAGTGAAGATTGCAAATCAATCCTCGACAAGTATACATCATGTATGAAGGGTTATGGATTCACACCCAATGCAGTCAGAAACTAGCTTACGTTATATGGAATAAGGAACTTAATAAACGATAATACCCCCACCCTTACTTCACCCAATTTTTCTCTCGTCCGTCATCATCACTACTGTGGCATTTGGTCAGCCAACTGTGACCCACGCTACAATATGCCAAAATATTCAGTACATTGTGCATGCAACAGTAGCACTAGAAATAGAAATGGTAACTTTAGAATCGAGTTGACTTTTCGCAACGCTTTTGATATAAATGTAGATGTATTTAAGTACTCATTTATTCACTAGAAGTCGATCCATAGTGCTTATGGTGGCCACTCCTTGCATGAGGATTACCCCCCAGTTCAATCTCCTCCCGTTCAGTGTTCAACACCTCATCAATCTCCCGTTGTCGAGTGCTGGCAGTCTCCTCGTCAAAATTAGGATACTTGAACCGAATCAATTTATTACTCTCAAACCAGACTTGGTTACGGATAAAATTATCAATAAGGATCAACTGCAAACAATTCATGATAATGGGTATGATAAACATAACAATGAAAATCTCAACTTCGTCAGGATACTCGTCCAACCAACGAAGCAAAATATGGGATGTGATCCAAAGCAACTCCCGCTCAAAAATCTCCACTAATCCATACAAGATAAACTTTGTAATCATCAAACTTGTGAAATAAATCGCCAACTGTTTGCTAAATGCTCTCCAACTTGGATTGTTCACATCACCATACTCACCACTCTCAATCTGAGTAATGTGAAACATTCGCTTACACACATAATTGACTCCCCTGAACACTAAATATAGGATGTAAACTCCAATAGTACAATCAAACACAATATTCAAGAAATACCAATCACACGGGTCATCTTTATCCGGGTCATCATCTCCGTAACTCGGCTTCTCATCACCACCACGTATTAGCAACACCAACCCCGGTGCTGTTTTGAGCACCGATAAAATAACATTAAACACATGCACGCCCAACGCACCAATAAGTTGCTTGCTCACGTCAAAGCTCCATACTGGCCATGTTCGTCGTATGGGGTACTCGTAGAACCGCTTGACTATAAGACTAGATAGGCAAATGAGCCCGAGAAACGCCTGTGTGAGGAGTGAAAATGTACCAATGAGTTCGCATTTTCCATCGTCGTCTTGTGGTGGCGGTGTTAGCTTATGGGTGGTTAGTGGAGTTACTGAGAACGTCATTTACTCTCTCCAATTAGTATAGAATTGTGGGTAATTATATACCTCTTCCCTCGCGTGGGTAAAAAGGATATGCGTAATTAGCAACTGACAGCAACGATTAGTGGAGTCTCTTCTTTTTCTTTGTTTGTTTTTTTTTTTCCTGTCTTTTTTCTGGTAATGTGCATGTCGCAAAAGTTCTTTGCGTCACTCACGACACACAACTACAAAACTTTGTTCCTACTGAATTGAATTTTCGTTTATTTGAAATCTATCTTTACTCCACTGTAGGTCTAGTATATCATATCACTTCGTCTTTACTACATCAAGACGCAGCAACCTTCAGCCTGTTTAATAAACTTTGCCTCATCGTGGTGTATAATCTCATCCATCGTCAAACCCGCTTAGACTCTCAAGTGAACACCCCCAACCCTACTCCCCTACTCCCCACCCATACCCCTAGCCGTCCCTCCTTCCCGAACGTTTGCCTCCTCTAACTCCTATTCTCAGTCAACGGGTTATGTCCATGGAAAATCAGTTCAGCCAAGGCTTGACTTGATCTTCGTGTGCCTATACTCAACCCCTCCTCTTCGTCGTCCTCTGAATCACTAAATTGGAAAGGCATATGCACTGATTGAGAATGAAGTTGGCTATTATGGTTCGAATATGAGTGTGTGGGAGTGCCCAAATGCGCTATAGGCGTTTTGGGTCCAGAAAGTGGTGAGGCTGGTGAGCTACCAGAAACAGGTGAGGCAGGTGCAGCTGCTGTCCCTCCTGATGTTGATGTTGATGTTGCTGCTGTTAGTGCACCATCCTTGCCACTACCTTCTCTATCGCCATGCTCATTGAGTTCCAAGGTGCCAACAGCTACATCCTTGTTGTTGTTGTTGTTGTTGTTGTTGTCGATCAAATCGTAGTTCACATTGGATCCCATGTCGAGATTCTCAGGCACATCAACAACATCGGGTGTTTGTGACCCCTGATACTGGTATGGATCACTTGGATACACTGAATTGTAATCATAATAGTAATCATATCCTCTGCTGATGTCATTACCAACATTGTGTGACAAACTTGAAGTGTATGGATAATCCTCGTCACTTGAATCCTCATCTGATCCGTAATTCAACGTGGTTGGTGGTAAATGTTTTATAGATGTGCAACGTTTAAGTGAAGGAAACGAGTCTAGATCAGTTTGGTCGTGGCTTTTTATCGATGGCGAAGATCCTTGGCTTGGTGCCAATTTCAAAGTAGGGTTGGAATTAGACTTGACTTTCAAAAAGAATCCTCCTTCATCGTCTTCGTCCAGACCACTATCCTCATTTTCCAAATCTCCCTCATACAAATGGCTTCGAATCAAATTGTCATTCACTTGGTCATCGTAGTCGTCATATATTTCATCTGTGTCTTCATAGTCGCTAAAACCACCCTCCTCGTCATTACCATCCGAAAACGAGTCATATGCCACGCATTGTTGTACTACGTCATTGAAGTGTATATGTCTCTCACCGTGCTCGTCGTCGTCGTCGTCCCCACCTTCTGTTGCTAATTGATCGTTTTTCGAAGAAGCGTGGTCTCCGGTTTGGGAATCTTGTTTGATCAGTGACGATGAATTTGAATTCAGCTTGTTGCTCGAATTGAGCAAATTCTGAAACCTTGCTACACTCGAATTGTCTGTGGTTTGATTTCTGGAATATTGACTGTTTAACTTATTCAGAAGGGCATTGTAGTCAAAATACTCATCAGTTGCTTGGTTCTGCTTCTGTAACTCTTGTTGTTGTTTCAATTGTTGCTCTCTTTTCTTTTGATGGATACTTGAGGCCAACTCCAATTTTAGCAAGTTTGTATGACTAATGATTGATTCTTCAATAGTTCGCTTCTTCAATATCGGTTTTGGTGCATTTTTGTTTTTAGATTTTTTGGGTATTGATATATCTCCTGCAACGGCACTGGTGGCTGTGGGCTCGTGGTTTACATCATCCTCATTTTCGTCGTTCCCATCACCGGAAGACACACCTTTGTTCTTCAATATTGGGCCATATAGCCAAGTAACATCTGTGTCTTTAGCCCAGTTAACTACTTCGGGACTGATTGTTTTTAAATTTGATCTTCTTTGTGCCCACGTTCTCCAAGAGGCATTTTCTAAACGGGCGGCGTTTGCCACATCGTGTTTGTTCGACACCACGTACCTCCATGATTTGGAAATGTCCGACACATCCCACTGGTGAGACAAGTAGTCCACGTGGCGGGAAGGTTCTGCCGCCACATTAGTATCATCGTATGGAATCAATTCAGGAGACTGCAAGTTGAGAGCTGGTCCAGAAGTAGGAGAAGGAACAGGCGATGGCGAGGACGACACCGATGTTGATTGATTGCTATTGGTATTATTGCTATCGGGTTGATCGTTTGATGGTGGTGTTGTAGTGTCGACGCCGTTATTTCTATTTCTCGGCGTTGTTCCTGCTGCCAACGACTGCTCTTTAACTTTCTCAGGTATGAATTCATCAAGAAGACCTAAAGACCTTGTTCTTTTCAACTTGAATGTGGTGTTTTCAAAATGATCGTCATCTTCAGCATCCACATGTTGTGAAGTAGTGGCCCCACCTGTAAATACCTCATCTGACATGATTTAGTGTACTTTAACGCTGTCTCTGAATTCTCTTTGTTTTTATTAGCTTCTTGATGTAGTGAGTTGGATGAAAGGTTTGCCAACACACACAGACAGAGAGAGAGTAGTAGTGTAGTAGTAGTAGTAGTAGTACTCGTAGTCGTAGCTAGGATGTGGCAGGTGTAGTTTGATGATAAGTAAAGGACTGTGTGTGTGTGTGTGTGTGTGTATGTGTGTATGTGTGTATATATAGTGTTAAAAAGATGTCTCTAATTTGTTGAATGAGTGAATTTAAAGAGAAAAGTTAGTGATTGTTTTTATTCTTTGTCTCTTGTCTATTTTTTTTTTTTATTTTTTTTTTTATTTAATTTTCTTTTGTTTTCTAACTCTTGTTTTGGAGGGGAAAGAGATTTTGTTATGAATGATATACGAATTGCGACACGACACTGAAGTACCCCGTCATCTTTATTCATCTTTGTCCATCCACCTCTGCTTCATCCCCCTCCCTCTCTCCCCCTCCCCTTCCCCCTATTGTCTTTCAATTGACATGACAGGGAGCTTACTGACTTACGTCGGTAGGTACATAACTCTCTTAGGTCCTTCCTTGTCGTTTTTATGACTCGGTTTTGTTTTGTCTCCAGTACCACCAAGCTGAAGAGAGTTCATCCAGTTGGGTTTGCAGTTGAACTCGTGGTTATCCAAAGATGAGCAATTTAGTGGTAATATCAATCTTAAGGAGTTAGCTTCTTTCTAGCTAGCTAGGTGTAGACTGCAATTCTCTTTCTGCACTGTAGAGAACTAGAGATACACAAACGACAAAAATGACGTGATAAATTGAAACAACAGTTGTGCAGATTCTACACTGCAACCATACAGCAAGTCCAGGCCTATAAGTAGCTCTAACCAGTTCAATTCTTGACTGTGCATAGTTTGGCTCTATAACCCACTGACAAGAAGAAGAAACTCTTCACACAAAGGTCTTGGTCGAAGCCATTACCCTTGGAAAACTGAGAACATTGGCCCCCCATACCAATGGAGCTATTGCTATACATCAGCTCAAATAGCTGTATATATAGTCTGTATCTTGGCAATACAACCAACTGATTCTGTACAGCAAAAGTTGTACTGCGTAGTTAAAAGAGTGTAATATTTAGTTGCACGACTTTATACGAAGAATTAATTTATCCGATTTGTGGGGGCAAAGGGGAGGAGAGGAGAGGGAAAGAAAGCGCGCACGCTGGACAATTTCGGAAAAGAATTTCCAGTTTCTTGTTTTGTGTCACATTCTCAACAAACGTTCGTAATAACGATGAAGAAAAGAAACAATGTGAGCTCACTTTAAACTTGCTGTACCATGTGATTATGAACAAGTGTTATGGGGTTCACACACACACACACACACGTTGCACTGAACAAGAGTAGCTGCTCTGTTATTGTTTTATTATTCAAAATTGACCAATGTATGTTCTATTCCCACTGATGTAGCAAAAGTCAATTGTATGTCTTAGTGTATCAACTATGGGTGAGTTTTGGTCGCCGTACAAATACTTGTAGTTCCCTAACTCGTCTATTTTTGTCTTTCGATCAACAATCGGAAGTGCGGTTACATCACATGTTGTCCATGAATGTCCAGATGTTGACATTATCATATTGTTTGAGTTTGTCTGTAGCTCAGCTTTAGAGTCAATGCTAAATTCTTCAACTAGGTTTGTACCCACTTTGATCTTGGCTTCAGATTCACTCAATTTGAGACCAAACCGAAGACCCTGTGCTATTAAAGAAAACCTGTCTGTTTCATTCTCCACGGGGTATCTTTGAGCTACTTGATGTAACAACTGTATAATATAATTTCGTATCCGGTGCTCGATACTATGGTGTATGGCATGCACTCGTTTGTATAACTCGCCAGTCATTCCATTTCCTGGGGTTTCAAATTGCCCAAGTGCAGACAAGAGCAATCTTGCCAAACAGATTTTGAATTGATTGTCAACAACTGCTTCGTTTTGAACGAAATGTTTTATCAAATCCACTTGCAAAGTTCCCTCTGTTGTCGGTTCTGGTAACTCCTTTGGTTGCAAGACCTCATTCACAAACACTTGTAGCTGTGGTACAAACACGTCAACCTTTTCCAAATGTGACATGGTCAAGTCATCAATCACCACTGGTATGGTTGCAAAATTCTCTAAATAAAAACATGCAAGTTTGGCTATGGATGTGTTCACCACCGTGTCCTTGAGTTGTCCTATTGACGATTCAAGTTGAAAAAATGACAAATTGACGCTTATCTCAGAGGGGATTCTGAAATGGATCGCATTCTTGGGTAGGACTTTGTACACTACCCCCAAGATATTATCAGTAATTGGTTCAACCCCGTGTAAAATTATACTACCTTCAATTGATCCTCCTTCGAAAGACATTTGAAACCTATTCAATACTCTTTCTTTAAACATTGCCCATGACAAGTCATTGGGTATCTTGGATAGATTGCCTCCATCGAATGAAAGTGTAAGAATTGTTGAGTCTTCGTACGCTAACACAATCGACAACTGTTTACTTCGTCCTGCAATAATAGACGTGCAAGTATTCCAAGTCTCTGTATCAAACTCGTGCGTACCTCCACTGCCTAATACAACAACCTTTGACATAAACACCACAATGACTAAAATATCCTCCTGGTACTGAACAATCTTTGCCTTCTGAAAATGACCTCGCTGAGCTGGATGGATCTCCTTTACATCGTCCTTGACCACCAGTATCGAATTGTCTCTTCCAATAACCAAAAGAGTATTCTTTTCCCAGAATAGTTTTGCAATTTCCTTTGCAAAATCAACTTGTTTGACCACGTTCAAGTCAAAGTCAAAGATGGTGATTCGATTAGTCAAATCGACAACTGCCAATTCACTTCCATAAAATGCAAAGTACTTTAGCCTTAGACGTTTGAACTCCTCGGCGCTGACGTACCATTTCCCTTCAAAGAACGGAATCTCATACAATTTTGCCAACGCTTCAAACACATTAACCTTTACTTTATAGTTGTATATCTGATTGTGATTTTCTCGTCCCAAAACTAGCATCTCGCCTGTACTGAATAACACCCCCAACAAACAGTCTCTCGTATTTGGATTTATTGTACTCCACTTTTGCTCAACAATAATCGGCTCTTGAGCAGTGATGTTATAAAACTCGTCGCCATCCTTGAACACAACATCCTTGAACCGACCCACGGGCAAGTTTCCAACTGCTTCCGAATACAATATAGACCCAGTGGAGAAGATTTCTTTGGTGTTTAAGACTGTTCGATGTCGGCTCTTGTTGATTGCATTGTGATATGATGGAAATCGTGGTTCAACTATAGCTAACTCGTTATACAGGTTCAATGTTAGCTGTAGATTATCAGATAGCTGAATTGGATCATGACGAGCTAATGCGAGGTCTACCCGGTTCAATTTTATGTCCGAGATGAAGGACATCTTGGGGGAGGGAGGAGGAAGTTGATGTTGTGGTTTTGAGATTCCTGATTTGTGCGATGTTTTCTGTTTTTATTATATCACGACGCGTACTCATCTGGTTCACTCAATTTGGACAACTGCCTTTATGTCTAGCCATGTGTCCCACTGCTGCTCCCCGAAATTACAACCATCCATTCACCCCTTACGACATTCAACTCCAGCTTATGGATGCCATATATGATACTATAGAGAATAGGTACAAAGTCGGCCTTTTTGAAAGTCCAACTGGGACAGGGAAAACACTATCCGTTATCTGCTCCACTATGACTTGGTTACGAAATTACAAGAGAGATCATGTTTTTGATATTGGTGCTGATCCAGATGAGAGCAGTGATGATGAACCTGAATGGGTAAAGAGTGCCTATAGGAGCTCCATAGTTGACAAGTCAAAGGAGAAACTCAAAGAGTTTGAGACACACTTAGACCTAGTTGAAAAGAGTCACGGGGGTAAAATGAGAGCAGAATCAGCAGGCAAACAAAAGGTTAAACGGCGACAGATACAGCAAGAGGATGCGAATTTCCTTCCTGATGACTATCACGACACTGATTCGGGATCAATCGAAGCACAAAATGTGAAGCTCAACCGGGAAATTGAGAGTTTAATGAATCACCAAGTGAACCAAGCCAAGGAGTACAGCTGCAAAACCAAAATCTTCTTCTCTTCCCGAACACATTCTCAGTTGAATCAGTTTTCAAGTCAGCTACGACTCACATCCTTTGACGCTTCATTTGATGACATGTCAGAAAGGACAAAGTATCTTCCAATCGGGTCTCGAAAGCAATTGTGTATCAATGAAAAAGTATCTAAACGTGGAGATCATAGCATCAACGATGCCTGTATTGATTTGCAAAAGACAAAAGACGGCTGCAGCTACTTGACAAAAGATCAGTCGCTTGTTAATGAATTTTCTGATTTGAGCTTGTCTCGGATTAGGGATATTGAGGACCTTGCAATCTTGGGCACCGAACTCCACGCGTGTCCCTATTACTCGGTTCGACAGGGTCTAGATTCTGCAGAAATAGTCTCACTACCGTATCAACTACTTTTCCAAAAATCTTCTCGAGAAGCTTGGGGACTTGACATTAAAGATGCGATTGTAATAATAGATGAGGCGCATAATGTGGTTGACTCAATCACATCATTGTACGCTGTGAAGATTACAATCAGCCAGCTCAACAAAGTGATCCAATCTTTGAAGGTGTACTTGAGCAAGTTTGCCAAGAGATTAAATAGTGGCAATCGAATCAATATCACCAAGTTGACAAAGATCTGCAAAGTATTGGCAAAGTTTATGGAATTGGAACAACCTTCACCGGGAGCGGAGGTCAAACCAGAAGACATATTTGAAAATTCCACTGGGGATCTAGTAAATATTCACAAGCTAGACGAGTACTTAACCAAATCCAAGATCGCCTACAAGATTGAGTCATATATGGAAAAAACCGAAACTGAATTTAGTACAACGACACCTGTGCTTTTCGAAATTGCAAAATTTCTTCGTGCTTTGACAAACCCTGGAAAAGAGGGGAAATTTTACTGGGATAAAACTGGAGATGAGTTTGAGCTTAGGTATATGCTATTAGATCCAAGTGTGATCTTTAACGAAATTGTGACACAGGCTAGATGTGTGTTGCTTTGTGGTGGTACAATGGAACCAATGTCGGATTTTTCTGAGTTTTTGATACCTCAAGTTGCAAGGGACCAAATAAAGAAGTTTTCATGTCAACATATCATTCCAGAGAGTAATCTAGAGGTGTACACTGTTGACAAATGGGGTAATGACTCTGAATTTGATTTTCTGTTTCAAAAACGTGAAGATGTGTCACAAATTGACAGATTGGGTCAATTTATTTTACAAATATGTCAAGTGGTTCCTCATGGTATTGTTGTGTTTTTCAGTAGCTACAATTTTCTTTACAAAGTTGTACATCAATGGCAAAAAACCAGCACTTTTCAAAAAATATCCACCTTGAAAACAATTTTTCAAGAACCTACAAGTTCGTCGCATGTGGACTCTGTGCTATCTGAGTATTCAAATGCCATAAATACTTCAAAAAGAGGGGCGATTTTGTTTTCAGTGGTTGGTGGGAAGTTGTCAGAAGGAATCAACTTTTCTGACAATCTATCTCGAGCGGTCTTGATGGTAGGTCTACCTTATCCCAATGCATTTCTGGGGGAAATTGTTGCCAAGAGGGCTTTCATAGAAGCACAGGTTGTTGAAAAAGGAGGAACACCACAAAAGGCTAAAGAATGTTCAAATGAGTATTATGAAAATCTATGCATGAGGGCCATAAATCAGAGTATTGGTCGTTGTATTCGACATGCCAATGATTATGCATTGATTTACTTGGTGGATAAACGGTACAAACAACCACGTATACAAAACAAATTGAGTCAATGGGTCAAGAATCGACTTGTCTTTGAAGGCAATATCATCGGTAGCTCTGCAAAATTTTTCCTGAACAAGTGAAGAAGTATAAATCTTTGATCCAATGGTGGTTGTGTTTGCTCTTCAATAATATAGTACCATATTGGAAACAAGGACGACTTTAGTCTTTTTGCTAGTTAAGTGTAGTCTTGGGAACTACAAGAAATCGCGACTAAATGAAGAGATAATCTTCAGAAACAATTTAAAATTTCTGCGGCTGCAAAAAAAAGAAAAAGGGAAAAGGAAAACAAAATTCAAAAAAAAAAATAATGAAAAGGACGAGATTCGAACTCGCGCATCTTACGATACTAGAAATCACAACTTATTAAGTCGTAAGAAACTTAATTCTTGAGTCTAGCGCCTTAGACCAACTCGGCCACCTTTCCAATTCTTGTGTTGTTGAAGACTCAGGTGACCCTCATTGTGTAAAATAATATACCTTTTTCCTGTACAATTTTGGTTGCAAAATGTCAGCACTCGAGGTGTTTCTCATTTGCGAAGCTTTGTAAACAGAGATGGTGTTAGTTACAGTGCTCCTCAGTCTTGTTTGCCTCTAATTTGTTTTGTTGCACTACACTTTTCAAAACTTTGTCTCATTTCTACCTAAATATTTGTGTGATATGTTGCAAGACCGAAACAAAGAGAAAGAGACAAACAAGCTGTCGAAAGCCCAAGGCAGACTATATTTGGAGTAATTTGCTCTACATCATATACTAAAAAGTTAACTGCATAATGTTTACTTGTTACGAGCTGAACATGCATAAATGAAATAGAATTCTACCCTCTAGTCTCCACCAACTGACTTCCATACATACGCGTGGATTGTTTCTCGAGCACAATTTTTCATGGGCATTCACGCTCGTGCAAGATAATTCGTGGTGACTACCACTAAACTTTTCCACAGCACCCAATTTGAGGAAACTATACTACGTACTATTTAATGCCAGCGATATTCCCTCGC